AGAGCCATCTAACCGCTAAGCCCCGCTAACCCGCTAACCCCCTTAACCCCGCTAACCCCCGCTAACCCCGCTAACCCCCCGCTAACCCCCGCTAACCCCCCTAACCCCCCGCTAACCCGCTCAACCCCGCTACCCCGCTAACCCCGCTAACCCCGCTAAACCCGCTACCCCCCGCTAACCCCCCCGCTAACACCCCCGCTAACCCCGCTAACCCCCCCCCAAATGGACTGGGTACAGGGAAGGATCGTTGCGTGGTTGTTGAAGAGGGATGCCGAGGTGGTAGACAAGGCGCCGAGGATTTACGGGGGGGCGTTTCGCCCACTCGTTCTTTCTGCGGGTGGGCTCATGAGTGAGGAGACGGCGGTGGAATGGAGGAGTTGGCGGAAGTGTCTTGAGCAGGAGGTGTGGCAGGGGCTGCAGAGTAGGGTGGGGATCGAGTTAGTGAAGGCGAGGGCGAGGACGCTGTGGATGTGAGGGAGTAGCTAGAGGCGAGGAAGGTTTTTTATCGACTTGGCGAGTATGGCCGTCTTGTCTTTTTCCTTCTATTTCGACATCGCCTTACATAGAGCCTAAGTACATAGCAACAATGAGTTCAAAAGTTCCTATGTAACTCTCTTCAACCCTAATCGCCATGCAATGTTATATTATCAGGGTCAGAGTCGCGAAGTGCTGGAGGGGGATGTGTGTTGAAGCCGGTGTCGGATCAGGGATAGAGGCCGATGTCTACGATAGAGGCAGGGTCCAGAGAAGGGGGGAGACTTTGTACCGTGAGCTTGTCTGTCACCATCGTTGCCGTCATCCCATCGTCCCATCTTCCCACTTACATGATACTTCACTGTGGACCCACTCTGATCTAGAAGGTATACATTCTTTATCTACAATGCAAACAGATGATACAATAGTGCCTATACAAGCTCAATGACTGCCCACTCATCTACGGCTCAAAACATGTGTACACCCTTCCCCACATCCACTCAAAACACCAGTCCCTTCTCGATCCTAAAACATAGGCTGCTGGGGGTATTGAAGTGATTTGTGCATGGACGGAGCTGACAAGCCCCATGACTCACGGATTTGATGCCCTGCAGACGTCATTCGTAATAACACACCGTCTTGCCAACGAATATCCCAGTTGAAGTAATCAACTTGTCTCAACACCGTTGGTGAAATGGTATCATGCAACTTTGCCATAGTTGCGGCAAGGGTTCGATTCCCTTACGGTGTATTTCTTTTTGGCGTCTGGCTTTTAGCGTCTTACCCCTTTTGAAACAGAGTTCCTGCCTGCATGTGTGTGTGTCTCGTGTAAACGCCTTCCTATTCTAAAGCCGGAAAGCTCGGCGATCCAGACCCTACCGACTGGACATATCGAGCAGTTGTCATCTCCAAACATGTTCACTATATAGCAGATGGAGGGATCATGCGCGGATTCGCGATTAGCGCATACGCTCCCTGATTTGTTTCCTGCTCTTTGGCTCTTCTCGCTCTCACAACCACTGGCCTTGCTGCCCTGGGAGTGGGGGACTGGACAACAAGACAACAAGTCCTCGTCACCGTTAGAGAGGGATGCAGCCGGGCGCCGGATGCATTTACGTAACGAACGCGTCAAAACAAACAAGCACAGCACAACTCCCGATGATCTTGTATCTACATCCATAACGCCATGTCCAAGCAGGCCGGCAAGCGGGCACGGGTCTCCCTCAATGCCCACGACAATCCCCTCCACCGCTCCACCAGCTCCATCAACGACGACGCAGCTGAGAAGGCCAAGCGTCGCAAGTCCGCCCACTTTCCCCCTCACCTCGAAGAAGATGCCGCCGCCCCAGCCAAGCGAGTCGTATCCGGCCTCGCGCTTCAACAGCAAGGTATCAACCAGAGGAGGGGTAAGAGGCTGTCTGCTGTGGAATCCAGCGTTCCCGTCATCAGCATGGAGGCGATGAACACCAATTTCGAGGAGTGGATGAAGCTGGCGACTGATAATGTAAGTTGTCTCCATATTGCTCTGGGCTCAGCTGATAGAGTATAGAAAATCACTGCCAACAACACGTGGAACTTTGCTCTCATCGACTACTTTGCCGACCTCACACTCCTTCGAAACGGTCCCGACGACCAGAGCATCAACTTTCAGAAGGCGTCTTCGACTCTCGATGGGTGTGTAAAGATCTGGACTTCGCGAGTGGATAGTGTGGCTACGGAGACGGGAAAGCTTCTGAGTGGTCTTGCAGGTGGAAGTGGTACGTTTTGTATACAAGCGAGGGTAAAGCTGACATGGTCGTACAGAGGACGTTCAAGATGAAGACGGCGAGGAGGGAGAAGAAGAAGAAGGCGCGCCCAAAGCTACTCGCAAGGTATGCTACTTGTTCATCGCATGCATCACAATGCTGACTATACTGTAGACTGCCCACTCCGAAGCTACCCTCGCCAAATCCTTCGCTCAGCTTCAAGTCAAGAAACTCGACGTTGAATTCACAGTCGACCCCCTTTTCAAGAAGACTTCCGCCGATTTTGACGAGGGAGGCGCCATGGGTCTTCTTATGAACCACCTCGGCGTCGACGACAAGATGCGGGTAGTGTTTGATGCTGGGGATGCAGGAGACGAAGAAGATGAGGAGGAAGAGCTTGAGATGAGGGACGATGTAATCGACCTCGACAAGCTTCTCGGTGCGTACTCTTCCAGCTTTACAAAATCAAGCTAACGTTTCTCTTAGACTTCATCCCTTCCGTTGACGCCCTCGAGGATTTGAAGATCTCCAACACCCTCTCATCTTTCCACTTCTCATCCGACCCCGACTCCGCTCCCGATTTCACCACCCTCCTCGGCCTCAACGACACATTCCAAGACGACGAGCCCCCCTTCCAAGACGAGCCCAATCCCGCTTACGACGGCGATGAGATACCGATGGCGCCCATGGATGTCGGAGGAGAGGAGGAGCACGACTTCTTCGGTTTCGACGACTACAACGCCGGTGGTGGTGGGGGCGAAGGAGGGTTCGACGATGACACTTCTATGATGGGCGATGCGGATGCTGCTGAGCGTCACGGCAGAGCTATCAACCCGCAGCCTGCCTCTCTCGGTCTGGCGGGCCAAGGCGACCATCTAGGTCCATTCGATCCTCGTACACGCCAGGCGAGGGACGAGCTCGTGGTCGGGCTTCGAGAAGGAGATGAAGATGGGATGTTTGACTATTTCGATCAAGGCTTCGGGGGAAAGAGTTGGGCAGGGGCAGAGCATTGGAAGTTGCGAAAGGTTTCTAGAAAGGGTAGGTCTCATTTTCTACAGCCTGCTCATTTTCTACAGCCTGTGATTCTCGCTCACTCTTCCTAGACCCGACAGCGCCATCAGCCAACGCCAAAACTACCCGCGCTGCCAAAGCCCCCTTCACCATCGACTTCTCCTCTCCTGCCACCACTGCTACCTCTACTAAAACCCTATTCGCCCCCGGAACCAAAGCCTCGCTCAACCTCCCCTCTTCATCTCGCTCTAAGGGGAAGAACGCCGCAAAGAGAAAGGAAGAGTACTTGTTGCCGGACGACATGCACTTTAGCAGTCATCAACTGTTGAGGTTGTTTTTGAAGCCAAAGTTCTTCTTGAGAGTGCGCAGATCCGGGGGAGGGACGCAAGCGCCTTGTACGTCGAGTCGTGTTGTTTGTTGATCGTGCTGATGAAATGGTAGTGAATGAGAACGGCGAGATTGATGAGAACTTTTGGGCGAATGCTGCTGCTGAGCGAGCTGAGGGCGATGTCGACAACGATGGTATGTTCCCTCTTCTCCCCTCTTCTTTTCGAACACTTTCCCCAGGTGATATCTAACTGTCTTCTGCTTTCCCTCAACCCTCTATCATTGACCCAAGCTGACTTGATCCTACAGAGTTCGGCTCCGCACCCGCTCCCTTTGAATCCCAGTTCTTCCAAGACGACGACGACGGCTACGACGGCGGTGCCGACATGCCCACCATCATGGACTACGACGACGAGCCCCTCGTCACATACGACGAGAACGGTCTACCCATCCCTGTCGCCGGCGCCGATGGAGGTGAGGAGGACTTGTTGGCAGAAACGCAAGGGATGGAGTTGAAGAGGGCGAGGCCAGAGACGGTGCATTTCGCGAAGAAGGCGAAGAGGGTGGATGTGAAGAGGTTGAAGGACGATATCTGGTCGGGTCTCAAGACACTCATCCCCGACGGACCTCCTCCCGCCGACGAAGACGGCGACGCCGCTGCTGCTGACGACGAACTCGACAAGGACAAAGCCGAACCCGTCCAGACATTCAACAACATCATCACCTCCCTCCGAACCACCTACCCCGCTCAAAAGATGTCCGACATATCTACATCGTTCTGCTTCATCTGTCTACTGCATCTCGCCAACGAAGAAGGTCTCAAGATTGAAAGTGCGAGGAAAGACGGGAAGGATAGTGAAGATGTCGGCTGTATGGGTTTTTTGGGAGAGGATGGGGTGCCTAGTCTCGAAGATTTGGCGAAGGCAGGAAGGGCGGAAGGAGATAGGAAAGATAGAGTTATTGGCGAGCTTGAAGCTTTGAAGGTCTATAAGGTGAGTCCGCGCTACGACTTCCCCCCTGGGCTTTCTACTGACGTGTACTAGGACCTGGCGGCTGGACGTGCTGCGTAGAACCGACTTCCGAGTAGAGGAGTGCTATACGTGATCTTGCCAGAATATCGAATGGATGACACGATATGTTGAATACTATCACTGAACGCCAGAATACTCAACGGCCTGCGCGGTATAACATACATGTCCGTCCTCTGATTAAATAAATGATATATACAACGCTCGACTCGGCTCTGATATATCTAATCCCTCGTACATCACGCCGCCCTTAGACAGATGCCCAGCCTCACCCACCCATCCGCACCACAAACGCAGCTCGCTACCCACGCAATATCCGCTTCCGGCGGCAACACTATTCCTTGAGCTATCGGAAATGCAAGAGGGTACGGGTCTTTGAATGATGAGGGTGGTACAGGGAAGAGGAGGGGAATGAGCTTGTGAAGGACAGAGATGAGGGTGTTGGGTTTGCCTATTGAACGATAAGCTTGGTACTTCAGAGAGAAGATGAGATCGTACCATTCTCGTCCATAGGGGAAAGCACGTCCTGGATAGCAGGAGCATTGTCGGGGAGGTAGAGCTTGATAGGAACCGAACGAGTCGCATATGTCGACTCTGTTGCAGTAGTCCGACCCGACGGGTCTGTCGAAGGTGGGCGAGAAGGCTGCTGTTGGTTTGTCGGTGCTGGAATCGGAAGAGGGACGATCTTTGACGCCATCTTGGAAAAAGATTCAAAGTCATCTGCACTCCCATCAGCTTCGCCCTTGGATAACGAGCCATACTCACCGAGGACGATCCCATCCCACCCCGCCTCAAGGTCCACCTTCCTCAAATTCGTCACCCTCGAAGTATTCCTCCACCTCACAAAGTCTGCCTCTTTGACCTGGTTGAGCCACTGCGACTTGCAAGTCGCGAGATCATTCGGCATGAGCAGCTTGTCAGCCGGCGGCTTCGATAGATGGAGAATAAGACGGAGTATGGGGGGTGAAGCGGGTGGAAGTGAGGCTTGAGCAACGAGGGGTAGGGAGCGAGGGCGGGACATGTATGAATGGGTAGCGATAAGGTCTATTGACCAATGCCTAAGTTCCGCGTCAAAACAAGTCAAAACCGAACGCTCAAAAACATACCATCGACAAGCCCCTTGACCCGCAAAGCTCCTCACCCCCTCACCCCCCACTTCCTCCTCTTCCTCAAACCACCAATCCTTTACATCATACTTTGCCACATCCTCATCCCCCAGCGCCAGCTCCACCATGTTTTGCTTTATTTCCGGTATCAGGAGCGGCAAGTACGTATGCCGGGGCGCCTGGATGAAGTAGGTATCGGTGATCGCGGCGGGGGCATTGGGGGAAGTGGAGGAGGGGGCGAGTCGGATGGATATAGGGACGGTAGACTGCCATGTGAGGCGCCGATAGAGGTCTGTAGAGGAGTGGATAGAATTGGTCGCCATGTCGAATATGGGTAGACGTGGAAGAAGACAAAGACAAAGAGGACGAGCACCGGGAACGGCTCACAAACACAAGTCCAAATTGATCCCGTTCTCCTTGTTTGGTTCATCCTTCAATCGCTCGAACGCTTCCACATTCCAAAATCATTAAACAGCGCAGCGTTCCAGTATTCATACTCGTACACAACAATGATATCTACAGAGGGATTGTAACTACCTCACCAAGGGGCCCAGATGACACAAAATTTGAATGAATAAGACCAATGCGTGTATATGTGTTATGAAAACTCAAACGGGACCCCCAATCTAAGAAAGATGGAAAATTGAAAAAAGATGACAAAAGCTCCAAACGCAAAAGCACACATGAAACACGCCCAGACAAAAGTCCACAGAAAACCACCGAGACCGTCTACAAGATCTACACAAGCACATTCACAGCATCATGCGACCCTCCTCCAAAGTCCGTCAAATAGAGGAAATCATCCTTTCCCTCCTCGCTCTCCCCACTCCCATTATGGCTCTCTTGCCCATGCGGCAGCAGGTTGACATGATAATCGGCAGCAGGAAGAGGCGGCATCTGCCCTGGCCTCGCTCCGCCGCCCAACGTCCCAGCTCGCTGACCCAAAGCCCCACCCGACGCATCCCACCGCTCAAACCCATCAAACGGATTATGTTGCCCATACTGATGATGCCCATGCGGCTGCGCATGCGCGAGAAGATGGCCATGCGAGTGCACATCCTTGCCAAAGTGCGCCAGGGTGGGGCTTTCGTTCGAAATCGAGTCGGAGCCGGGGTGCGACATGGGGAAGGTGGATGTGGAGGAGGCAGAGTGGGGGGTGTAGAGGTGGTAAGACTCGGGTGTGAAATGTGTGTTGAGAGGCGAAGGGCGGACGGGACCGCTCATGCCGTTCAAACCGGCGACATTCGGCGTCAGACCCATAATCCCAATCTGATGTAGCAGATCCGCCGGACTATTCTTTATCAGCATTGCCCCTAGACACAACTGAAGGTATAACTCACGCAGACGCTCTCCTCGCATCCGGCTCAAACCCTTCCGGCAAAGCGTCCACCAACCACTCCCCACTGGAATCCTCCCCATCCGTCGTCCCATTCTCCGTCCCCATCGTCCCTATCGACGCCATACTCCCCAACCTGCCCCGCTGCTGCATCATCATAAACATCTGCTGCTGCCTCTGCGCCTCGTCATGACTATCCGACGAATGTCTCGACGAAAGTTGCGGGTTCGAGGACGATTGGGACGAGGAATGGTGTTGAAGCGGGGGCGGCGCGGGCGGGTCGCTCGGCGCAGAGCCAAATGAAAATGTCGGGTTGGGAAGGGGCGAATCATCCAAGAAAGTCGCGGCGTCATACTCGGCAGGAGGCGGCAAGAACCCCCAGCTCTCCGACTCGCCATAAACCTCATGATCCCTGATCGGGCTCAACTCTCTCGCCCTCCCTCCCGCCACCGCCCCGGGCAACTGCGCACCCACCACCCTCGGCGGCGTGAACGGCCCACTCGAAATAAGCTGTGGTGCACCAGGCATACTCGCTCGACGGGTGTTGTTGCGGATAGCAGCGATATGAAGCGCTGATGGCCCTGCCCTTGCGGCAGGGGAAAACTTGGGGCTCATCGGCGTTGGGAGTTGTTGAGGTGGAGGCGGTGGGGGGAGCGACGTCACGGGTGAAGGATAAGGGATACTACCCCTCCTCGCCGCATTCGCCTGGCCCAAATCGGTTCCCGTCCCCGTCGTCCCCGTCGCAGGTCCCAGCCCGTGGCCCGATCCCGAATTCGACTTGACATGACTCAGTACCTCCTCTTGCTTCTGCGCCGCAGCTCGCTTGGCGACAAACATCTCGATCTTGGCTGCTTCGCCGTTGGCGAGCGAGGCTCGACGACCCATGGGGAAAGAGTGAGGCGGGTTGGGTTGGAGGAATGAGGGGTAGTGGGGGTCGACATAAGAGGGGTCTTGAGGGGTATGGCTGGAGGAGAGATCGCCGGAAGAGCCAGTCTTGTTTCCTTCGGCCTCTTTCTTGGCGAGACCCTTCACCTTTGCTCGCCTAATCATATATCAGCTCGATCCCAAAAAAAGAATGAAAGACGTACCGATTCTGGAACCAAACCTGGACGTTCCTCTTTGTCATGCCCAACTGCGCCGCCAACTGCTCTCTCAACTGGTTATCCGGCTTCGGATTGATCTCGAACCAAAACTCCAACACCTTGAGTTGCTCCGGCGTCGTTCGTCGTCGATGTTTCACCGTCGCGGCCTGCTCCACAAGTCAGCTCGGAGCCCAAAGCCGAAAGATCCGCTCAAGACTCACATCTGATTCACCATCCCCCGACTTTTCTTCGCCCGGTACAGCAGGCATAGGCGGCGGTACCCCCGGCATTCCCCCGAAATGATAATTCGACCCCCCGTACCCCCCCGCTCCTCCCTGATAAGCCACGCTCACGCCCTGGTGATAGCTCGGTACCATGCTCCCTGACGGCAACGAATACGGCGACGGCTGGAGATGCAATGGAACCGGATGCTGGGGTTGCGGCGGATTGTGGTTATACGCGGGGATGGCAAATTGCCCATTGTAGTTGCTCGGTCCTGCCACAGGCTGCGACGAGGGCTGCCGTTGGTGTTGCTGAGGCTGCGGGGCGGGACGTTGTGGTGGTTGAGGTTGAGACCTTTGGGCGTCAAAGGTGGTGTACACCCCGTCGGCATTCTCGAAACCTTGAGGTGCGGGGACAGACATGGTGGTATCGCGGGCTATGTGGACATTCCTGTATCAGTGAAGGCATTCAAGGTTTGAGTGTAGAGTTTTTTTTGTGAAACAAGAGAGGGAAAGAGGGCGAATCGATCATGCAGAGGGAAGACATATGACGAAAGCGACGTACCCGGTGAGAATCACAGGACTCTCTCAATAGGGCCAGATGCACACCCAAGGCTGCACTGGGGAAAATTGAAAAGAAGGGCGGAGAAACCTTTGATACGCGGTCAAAGACGGTGTGCTCGAGTTTGGGGGACCGACGAGAGGATATGGTTCTGGGATCCTTTCTCTGTGCAGGGCGGGGTAGGCCGGGGGATGAAATGCGTGTGTGCAAGGGGGATGATTCGGGAAGAGACGGTCGCTGGATAGATAGGGAAGGGGTGACCGATGTCGCAGTCGGGGGCGAGGTCGGGGGTGAGCGGTGGGCGGTGGCGAGGGTGGTTGATGGAGGGGGTGGGCGGTGTGGTGGTGGGGATGGAGGATGAGGGTGGGCGGTGGTGGATGAGAATGGAAAGAGAGATGCGATGTTGCGAGAACGGGAACAGGGATCAGATGCCACAAGAGTCGCCGATCGTGCAGTAGTAGTGTTGCTGTTGCGGGGGGAGCCGGGTGCTGCTTGCTTGCTTGCTTGCTTGCTTGCTTGCTTGCCTGCTTGCCTGCTTGCTGGCAGGGGAGCGGTTAGGGGGGTTAGGAGAAGGAGAAGGCGAGCGAGTACGTTGCAGTCAGTGCATGCATCCCGCCATTGGCCACCGCGAGTCCCATCCTTCCCTCGCCGCCCAGGGCCCAGAGCCTCAGGGCCGGCCTCTTCTTCAGGCACCCTCTGCCCCTGCGGTCCTCGCCGCCACAACTCTCTTTCGTCCCACAAACCCCGGCCACAGCCCACACTCCCAGCCCATGCACCCCCGTCACAGTCACAAGCTTCCCAGGACCACACAGATCTCATTTTCGCTTCAAACGGCACCGATGTCAACTCAGGGTCCCTCCTCGAGCCAGATTCGGGCCCGGTCAGCTGGCGCCTGGCAGGCGAGTGCCTCATTCCCACAAAAGCATCGTCGTCATGCAGAGAGCCGTGTGCCGTGTGCAGCCCAGCAATCCGGCGAGATCTGAACCCCAAGACGCCTTCACTCGAGGGAGGGGGGCCAGAGCTGAAATTGAATCTATGCTCCGATGTTGACGGGTCGTACGTACGCACGCTCCTTCTCACTGAACCTTAACAGCGAGGCTGGATCGAAACCCGGCCGGGGTGGTCAGGCCGTCTCATCTGCTTTGGCTCGAGCACACTTGATCCTTCAACTTGAATAGAAGCCGATAGAGTGGTTAGAGTGGGGAGATCGGGGTCTACTAGGCAGTTACGAGAGATACACATTCCCACTCGTTGTTCTTTCCGGTATATCATTCAATGCGGCCCGAAGATTACGGACGTCTCTCGTTACAAACCTCGAGAGATAAATGGAAACACCACTCCCGGGTTTTGTTTGCTGTTCTGTTTATCTAATCTTGACGTACAAATCTCTGTACAGGTGGTGCACATGCTTAGATTATCGGGGGCTGCTGCTCGAGACGCGAGAGTGGTGGTGGGAGGGTGCAAAGACCCAGAGTCTTTCAACGCAGCATCACATGATCAGCCGATATACCACATACGCCGTATAACACTTGGACAGTTCCCAAAGCACCGACATCTTCTCCGTACAGGTCGCCATCCTCGCGAGCTTCTATGTTTACGTTGATAACATCTCCCACGATCCGAGACACGAGACACACGGCTGGTCTCATGATGAGAACGATGAGATCATCCTACATCATACCCGCCCCCCTCGCCACATTGCCATTTCCAGGCCTCCGCTCATCTCTTTCCCATTCTATAATACATCTTGTAATGTTTTCACCCTGTCTGAATGCTCATCATAATATAAAGAAACACTTTCAGCGGATAGAGACGTGGCGCTCTTTCGCCGACGCTCTTTCATGATCCAGTTCCATCTACCGTTCTCCCCTCTTCGAGACTCGTCCGTGTAGTACACTACACATTCAAGATAGTAGTGTATGAAAAGTCCGTCTTTGATTTGCTACGCCCCTCCAATATAGAAGGGTTGAGTCAAAAAAGAATCGATAGTGTGGGTCGGCGTTGATTGACGGCGTCTCCCGATGTGATATCTAAACATCGAAACAGCTCTCCTCACATACCACTACCCCCCACGTTTCGAAGTGCTCACTGATGCTCTTACCACGCTCACCAATCTCTAACAATCAACCAAGACAAAACGTTCTCCCTCCCACCAAATGCTGTTGTAGACTTGCCAAACACGAGTCGTGCATAACACTCTCCGTAGTTTAGTGTGGTTTAGAGCGTCAGACTGTAATTGGTAACATATATAGACATCTGAAAGTCGTGCGTTCGACTCGCACCGGGGAGATTTTTTTATGGCTTTTTTGCTCTTTTTCACTCTTCTCTTTTTGTCCTTTTGCCCGAGCTGGGCAGGAATGTATGAATATGTACAGACTGACAGAGAGACATGCAGGATGTAAAACATTGTCATTCTGCAGGGCGACATTACAGTAATAGATTTTGACGAGAGCGAGATGCGCTTTTACATGCCTGCATGGTCTTTCAAGCAGCGCTACAACGCTATGTCTATACATTCAAAGCATGATGCATCATAGCCCATAGCTAGAAGAACCCTCCCTACATCATCGCCCTGAATGTCGAAGCTACGATCTCGCGGTAGGACCGGAAAGAGACGACGTCGAACAATCAGCAACGGTGACAGACGCTTGTCAAATTCATCTCACAGACACTGATCAGTCTCGCCGGAGCTTGTATCCGATGCAGTTTTTCCTTCTAATGGGGTTGTCTTACATAGCCTAATGATAGCGCTACTTTTGGGGCAATGAATGGGTAATCATATACCGCGCAAAGGAAGACTACTCCCAGATTTCAACCTCGCGAATCTGCTTTAAGCACAAACGAGTTTCGAGAGCCCGAAGCGTCGCTGGTCCCTAACAGTACTAGCCAGCGGTGAATTCGATAACGCCCATGTGTTGGATAACCACTCTCGTCTAGTATGTCATTTTCGTATCGCAGCTCGGCCAGGAAAAGATGAGCAGACTTCTAGCATGCGGCGAGCCGACAACTGGCGGTCATCATTTGGCTGACACACAGCGCTGTTCTTATTATACACAAAGCTCACTCTGCCAAATTCCTAACCGGGAGAGCCCTGCATTGGCTATTCATCCCCTGACACCAAGACTACACGCTATAGACAGGACCAGAAGTTGACGACGTCAATGCTGGATCATAACGCCGGCGCTTCCTCGGCACGCGCTCATCTTTATCGACATCATCCGAAGTCGACTCCGAATCCGAATCCCAACTATCGGAGTCATCTTTCGTAGCCTACATCAAGTCAGCAACCGACTCCACAAACAGAGCGGACGATAGACTCACCTCATTGACCGAATCCGCCACTCGACTCCCCCAGCACGACGACAAAGCCCTCCCAGTCTTCTCATCAATTCTCCTAATCTCCTCTCTCAACCCCTCCAGCTCCCCAAACGCCTCCTTCCCACTCTTATAACCCCTCAGGATCAATCTTCTTAATATCCTCATCAATCCAAAATTCCCTCGTAAACTTGCCGTACAGCTGTTCATTCTCGACGTTATCGCCGTTGAATATCTGGCCCGCGAGCAGGGGGGCCATGTAGTTGGTGAGGCTGCTGATTTGGGTACCGGAAGCTTGGAGGAGGTTGGAGCTAAGGTCGAAAGCCATTTTGATTGTCTCGTTCTCTTCTTCTGTCAATGACGCGAAGGTTGGCGCCGTAGCCGCCGAAGCTGATGACGGGACTTCGGTAGACATGTTAGCGAATAGTGGTGCTATGTTCGATAATAGATAGTTCAAGTGGATAAACACTGCGATGTTGTGGTGTAAGATGGAAGGTGGCAAAACTATTCCTCACCGTATCGCTCCATGATATACGTCGCTCAAACAGTCCACACTGCACTTCTATAGAACGACGCTCGAGTCAATGAAAGGATCACCGTATGAGGCATGAAGGGCTGGCAAAATACATCTTCGAATCGCGTGTCATGTTCGATTTCACGAAAGGACGAGCTTCCGCGGGTTCAAAGTCCGAAGCGTTCATGTTGAATTCGAGTCAGTGCTGGCTACTAGGGGAGTGTCAGAATCAGCCACAGGCGCATTATGCGGGATTAGTAATAAAATCAATACACACCGTGCACGTTATTCTGCGCGTCGCTAGCTTCTTCTCTTTCTTTGTCACACGTAGTCATTCCCTGAAGTGGCATGGCGCTGAGTTGTGTGGATGGTTGAAGGACGCGCGGTGTACATACTCAATTCATATCTCGTTGTCTACTCTTTCCTTATGCGATAATACCGGAAAGGTCTTTTCCCCTCCAAAAACACCTTTTCCAGTCCCCTCCCCTGCTGCGTCCCAGCAGGCCGTGACATTCTTTGTCACTCTTTAATTGCATCATTGGCCGTAGCAAGTGTTTGGGTTAGTGCTTGGGATCCTTCAGACTCCAAGAGAGTATTCTTGCATGGGGGTTGTCCCGGAAGGATACGCCAGAAACTGAGCACCCCCCTTGATAGCTGCCAGAGCGGACACTTTGCGCGGGTCAACATGATGACCAGAGCTGTTGCTGTCGACACAATCAGAGACGTTCACCATGACGTCTTCCGATAGCTGGAAAGCGTCAGACGACTGAAAAGGAGCCGTTACAGGTGGGAATTATCCAGCACCTTCAGCTTCGGTGGAAGCGAAGGCGACAGAATTGAAGCAAGGCATTGGTGTCCGTCCTCTGAATATCTCTACAAACCATCACTCGTCAGGATATCACATCATCATACATTATTTGTCACAATTGAGCACAGAGATAGAAGCGGGAACAAAGATCAGCCACGTCGGAAGCCGAAAAGAAACAAGAAAGTCCCCTTAAATTGGTATTACGCGAAGATTGGCATTGCACAATGAGGATTCAAGTCATCTTTGTGACAAAAAGAGAGGATGACAAAGCACTGCTGCCGGTTCCTTTTAGCCATCTGTGGCGGCTGATATGACAATCCAAATTGGAACACTAACATTGGATTCTGGTCAGAACGAAGGCCTCCTGTGAGCTCAGCAAAGCCAAAGTAGGAGCCACCTTTCAGTGACCGCCGTCGGGGATCAGATGCAGAAATCATCAGCAATCAGCATGCGGTATCGAGGGAAATCATACACATCAATCACCTCTACCCATTCTACCCAATATCCAGACACAAAACCAAATTTCTTAATGTCCTTCCTTCACGAGAAACCCCTCTCAACCGTTGACGATGAAGAAGACATCGAGAAGAGCGCAGAGTCGTTGTCTTTTGACGACGACTCCAGCCAGTCTTCCACTATGCCGTCTGGAGATAGGGTGCTAATCTGGCCGGAGGACGATGAGCAGGAGGAAGCTGGAAGGCAAGAAGCAGGACCCCAGATAGAACGCTGGCTCGACCAGGTTACCGAGGCCACAAACAACAAACCGTCTGGTGTGGTACACGAGGAGAGAGAGACGGAGGAGGACCGCTCACTTCTACAGGCGGTGGAGTGGCAGTTGTCATATCTACGTATGCAGCCAACAAGGTGAGTCTCACCTTTCTATTCATGCGGAGTCGTGGATCTACTTTAAGCGCATATGCTGAGGCTCGGTGACAGATGTTTGAAATGGATAGAGGAAGGTGCTAGTATCAACCGAAAGGTACTTGGTGACTTTCGGGGGGAAAATTGTAGGCCGGATTTCAAGCTCGATAGTAATGTCGACACGGTGCAGTTTATCCTATTGAATGACCGGGCGAGGATCGCGTCTTGGGCTATCGGCTCCAGAAGTGTTAACACTTCAGAGTCAACCAGGCAAGATGCAGAGGCAAGGTATACCGAATATGAGAAGAGCGCCTTGGAAATGAAAGCTGAGATGTTCCCCACGTTGGACCCGGACGGGTCTCTTGAATCACGTCCTACACGTTCGCTGCTCATTTCTAGAGAGTTCAACAGAGGTGTGCTTGAGGTGTTGACAGACGACGGCTTGACCGCAGTACCTGATGGTGTTTGGAGCGATGTACGGGCCCATAACGCTGTCATTAAGGATACATACGACCGGGGGGGCTGGTCAGAGTTCAGTCCTGAGTTCCAGACGCTCTTTGCATCATGGAGCGATTCTATGGAAGCCTTGCGAGATGCGGTAATGACGGACCTTCCTCCTCCTCCATTGTAGTAGTTTTGCTGCTAGCCACCATGGCTGTGCTCTCGAGAAGGTGGATGCTGTGGTTCCCCAAGCCGGAAAGCGCAATGAATATATCAATCTGCGATCTATGTCGGCATCAACGGCCCGGACAGAGTGATTCGAGCAGACAGATTTGTCCCTCCAGCCTCCTATTAATCACCTACATCCTTGATCGGCCTCCATCTCACTTCTTTTTGGCATCATCATGCATCACCAGGTACTGTTTTATAGCCTAGAACAAAACGAAAATTATGCTTTTTCGGTAGCCTTGAGAGAGGACAAGTTGACGCTGGGGGTGTGCAGCTTTACATCGAGCATGCCGATTCATGTTTCGACCCCAAATCAATACAACCACTCCTGAGACGATTCCAACCTTCACGCGAACATCAAGATGTATGGGACAAGACCATAAAGGTGATCTGTTCACAACCCCCGCGCCCACCTCTTCTTCTTCTTCTCCGCCCTTCCTTACCCCTTCCACATCTCCAGACGACCCTCCCTCATACATCTACGTCTACCACACCACCCACAAACTCAAATACGGCTCCCCCTCCCTCTCCTCCACCCACCTCCCGGCCCGTGGTCCACCACCGCCTTCCAAAAATGGCTCTTATTCGAAGGCTGGGAAGGCTGGGTCGTCGTCCAAGAAGACGCCGAGCGGGACTTGCGGGCGCTGTATTTTGATCGGAGCGATGATGGCTTGACGGGGGAGGGGAAAGTGGTGGATGTGGAGAGAGGAGGGAGGGGGAAGGGGAGGAGGATGTTGTATGTGCGGTTGGTTAGGAGGGAGCCTACGAGGACGTTGGGAAAGCAGCGGGAGGATGAAGAGGAGGGAGGAAGAGATGGAGGATGATAGAAGTTGTTTGTAGCTTTAGATATATATAAGAATAGATTTGTCCGACCATGATGTACTCCACGATATAGACGAACATGATCTGCATCTCTCTGTATACACTCGCCGTCATATCTCACCAACATCCTTTCCATCATGTCGCCGATAGCGCAAGTACGCAGCTACTCGGGTGGCTTACTGACCACCGTTTTGAGACGCTTCAGTCCCACCGTTCTGGGTCCCATCATCTGCCTCGGGGGTAGCGCATCCTTCGGCAGGGCCATTGCCAAATGCACGAGTGATGCCGTCCCTCTCGCTCTGCGTAAAGATATCAGGGTCCTCGTTGAAGATTTCCTCTCGGATAGAGGCGTTGGATTGGGTTTCAGAGCCAGGCATTGTTGTATGTGTGTCTGGGTTGATTGGTTGGTTCAAGATGTTGATGGGGAAGAGGGAGATAAGAATGAGGGTGGGTGTTTTATAGCTACTCGAGCTCGTTTGCCGGGAATGACTCCGAGGACTCGCTGACCGATGGTCAGTCGTGCGGCGTCGGCTCCGAGTTACGGCTCGCCGAGCATGGTGATTGACTCCCTCCTCGACACAGGCTAACTCTCAAAGGGTATGTCGATCTCTGACAAATCCCACCTTTTGCCTTTACCGGATCCTTTGTCCTTCCGCGGCCTACCATTATAGCAGCGGGCATGGCTGCTGGAATAGCAAGACCAAAACCGGGGATGTGTTAGGAGTGAAAGCGGGATACTCGGTCAGCGATGACTAGGTCATACGAGACAAAGAAAGGTCTTTTACGCTCGACCGTTGTCAGAGATTCTTATCATTTGGTCCTAACCTCGGGGAGGTTGTTGTTCCGTCTCAATCTTGGATTCCAACGTCCATAGGTATCGTTACCCCCGGCTCTGGCCCAATATTGACACTCAATAGCGGTAACGCTCGGGAATATGGAGGGTATCTGCGACTGCACATCGTATACGTCGATAGATAGCAGACTGAAGGACCTGTTTTGTTTGAATGCCATTTAAAAGTACTCTGGTACTCAAAGCCCCCCCCCGCGACCACGCATATCAACCCATTCTCTTAACGCTCCCCACGCCAGCGGTAATTTGTATCTAGACCTCGGCGGTCCACCTCATGTATCATGCAAGAGTATGTGGGTCGTTCAACATCTTCGCCCATCCGCCAAAGACGTGACCGTATAGGCGGCGGACCCCACCATGTGAGCGGGATCAAAAAGACGCGTCGCGAAGTCGCGAAACTCACCAACATCTCATCAAGTCGCGTTCAACCTGCTTTCAACAACATCAACTCTATTCATCTCTTTCCCTTCCCATCCCTCTCACCCCCACACCGATACCACAAATATCACGCACCATGGCCGACCTCTCAAGCCTATTCAACTCCCCCCCCCACTCTCCCCCTCCCCCTCCTCGCCCCCAGTCCCGGTCCCGGTCCACAACCCCCTCCACACCCCTCCGCCCCACCAGGCCCAGGCCAGAGCAAGAAGCCCTCTTCTTTTCCCCTTCCGCCTCCCAGTTCGGCTCTCCCTCCGCCTCCGCCTCCCAAGGTCAAAGATGGCAGCCGGCTCAAGAATCTAGCGATACCACGACCGCCGGCGCCGGCGCGGCCGGCGGAGGAAGGGACCAAGCGCGGCGCGTCGAAGGTCGCCGCGAAGACGGAGGGGGGATCGTAAGGGTGCGGCACGCAGTCAACGTAGTCGACTCCGTCGACCCCCTACCGAGGGATACTTCCTCTACTTCCCGCGGCGGCGGTGGAGGAGGAGGGGCGTTTGCTGGGGTTTATGGGGCTATCACAGATCCCTTAGCTGGTGCTTCCGGCGCCGGAGGAGATGGTGGGGATGAAGGGGAAGAGGAAGGAGGGGAGAAGAAGAGGAGGCCTGTTGCAAAGGTTGATGCTGATCGGTAAGTCTTTTCTTCTGCCTTTTTGCTTTCCGTACATGGCTGATTGATTGGGATGGCAGGCTGTTATCAGAGACTACTGGATTACCTGCTCTTATGCGCTCTGCTAAAAAGTTCAAGACGCATGGTAAAGGTCGCGAGGTTCGTTCCCTTCTCCCCTTTCCCTGCGTAAAGTGTATCGCTGACAGTGTGATAACAGAAAGACGACCTCCGAAACCTCCTACACATGTACCAAATGTGGGCACACGGCATGTTCCCGAAAGGATCCTTTGCGCAGACGATGGATCGGACTGAAAAGGTCTGCCGCACACGGCGGATGGAAGTGAGTTTTTGGGAGAATGTGTGTATGGGTGGGGAAGCTGATGAGACTAGTCGGCGATAGGGGGATTGAGCGATGCATTCCACGGTCGACGTTCTCCCTCGCCTCGCTTCTCGCCTGGTGCCTCACCCACCCGCTCAAGGTCGAGGTCAAGGTCAAAGTCGCCTTCTCGCGCGCGAGAAGCATCAACCCAAGAACCCCTGTTTGCAGAGACGGGTGGGGAAGACACGTGGGATGGGCCAGACATGTACGAGTTGATGGCGATGGAAGCGCAAGAAGCTCTAGAAGCGCAGCAAGGGCATCAGGCGGCAGTGGAAGAAGACGAGTTTGATGGGCTGTATGATTAGAGTTTTGGGTTTATGTAAATCTTGTAATCTTGTAATCCTCAATTACGAGTTTGTTATTCGGGAGGCCCGGGGCGCCCCGCGACGTCATGCGGGGGATTCCGCTTGCCGTTATATAAGAAGATCGACGTCGTACAAGGCTCGTCATCCCACCATGAGCGTCTTCAGCAGCGCATTCTCGTTCCAGCCCCCCAGCGACACAAACCAGCAGCAGCCTGCCCCCAGCCCCTCCCCCTTCACGACCCACCCCCCCACCTTTGACGCCGACCAGCCCCTCTCGCGCGCGCTCAGCACGGCCAGCATCCCCGAAGAAGACGAGGAGCACGACGAGGTGAGTTGCGATGCTCCGCCCCGTATGCACGCCCCTTTGTGCACCCTTGTGCCCCCAGCTGGCCAGGAAGGCTGGGTGCGCCACTCTCCGCCATCCCTTTCCCTGTCCCTTTCCTCTTACCACTATGTATCCCGCTGACATGCATCCCTCTGCCCTCGTCGACACCATCATTCGCTTCTACCCCCTCCACCACTCCACCCCCGCCCCTGCCACCCGCCGTCCTCGACCACTCATCACCTACTCCACCTCTCTCCCCTACTACCCCCCGCCCACATCCCCCTCCCGCTTCATCCCCATGCTCCCTCATCAACAGCCTGCCCCCCAGCCCCAGCCCACGTCGGCCCATTCCGCAAGCTCCCTCGCGCGCGGAGCCTCCCTCCCCCCCAGCCGCCGCGCAAGCCAAGACCACCTCCGCCAATCCCGCTCCCAGTCCGTGCGCAACATGCCAGCACACGACCCCGACCCGGGTCTCTTGACCCCTTCGCCTGCTGTCAACATCCGCGGCAACCACCCTTCGCCGTCTCGTCCCAAACGCGGTGCTTTGAGCCCGTTGCAGACGCTCTCCCCGCTCGAGCCGCTCAAGGCGTCGCCGCCCGTGCGCGTGACAGACACTGCAGGCGCCGGGCCGAGGCGCGCTTCGTTGACCAGGAGTCTAAGCAGGAGGGAGAGTATGGTCGAAAACGCTGCGGCGTGGAGGAGAGGCGAAGAAGTTGGGGGTGACGGGAGGGGTCTGTTCTCCAGGTTGACGTTGGTGAAAGCGCCCGCTGCTGAAAAGAAGGATGAGCGCAAGTAAGTCTTCTCCCCATTTCATAACCACCACTGACTCTTGCATAGACACACTCGAAGCAAATCCGGCTCATCCCTCATGCCATTCAACTCCTTCGCCTCCTACTCTGACGCCCCCGCCACCTCCGCATCTGGCCCCCGCCGTTCCTTCGCCGCCTCCTCCTTCGGCGCTTCCCCCTCTGCCCACTCGGCCGGCCTCCCTATGCCCGACGCCGTCAACAGAGGCTCCGCCCACCGCGTCGAATCCCGCTCCGGCAACGGCCGCAACGTCCAAAAAGACAAGCTCTTTTCTCCTGAACAAGTCGTCGAGCTCGCGCGGTCGATCAACTCGCCCAAGGCTGCTTTATCCCCTCTCCACTGCGCGAAATCTGCGCGCTCCCTCCGCTCTTTCGGCTCTTTCGACGGTTCGCCCGAAAGGCCACAGGCAGAGCTCGAGCCGGTAGAGTATATGCAGATGGAAGACGACGTGCTCCTCCCATTCATCGACCGTCCCTCCGAAGTCGCAGACTTGATCGCCCACCCCTCCAACACCAAGCTATTCGCCCTCCTCCGCGCTGCTTTCCCCAAAGAACCCGCCCGGCCCGAGTGGAAATCCCTCGACCCCGCCCAGTGGCGCTGGGACGAGTTCCTCCTGCACCTCACCCAAGTCCCTCGTTCCGAAGTGGACGACTATGACTGGGTGTTCAAAGACCGCCAAGCCGTCCGATCGCACAGCGTCGCGTTATGGGAGAAACTCGGCACTTGCCTCGGGTGCGACGAAGCCCTCCTCAACGCCGGCTCGGAGGACGGTTCGCCCAACACCTGGGCCGGCCTCGGGCTCGACGACGACGGCGAGCAAGACGCCCCGGATTCACACGTCTGGATCGAAGGCCTCGCCGCTGAAGACCAGACCGAACGCGCCCACGCCGAACGCCAGCTGCGCGATGCGTTCGGCGGGATCGTAGAGGATGAAGGGGAAGCGGCTGCCGCGGGTATGACGGCGCTCCTCGGGCCTATTGGTGAAGGGAATGGTCGGCAGGAGAAGGGGGGAGAGTTGACGCCGGCGCAGAGGGCGGGGCAGAAGGATAAAATTGATCCGATGGGTATGGGTTTGGGGCTGGGTGGGATTACAGAGTCCCCCGTCGACGCCACCTTTGGGCACCGCAAGAGCGAATCCTGCAGCCCGACCACCTCCACAGCCCCACGCCAAAGCCGTCCTTCCTTCGTCGGTCTACAAATCTGCACTTTACCCTCCAACGGCCACTCTTTCTCCCGCTCCCCCTCGCTCACCACCACCTCCCTCTCCGCCTCCGCCTCCGCCCATAACACCTCCCCTCCCTCTCCTTCTCTATCCACAACATCCCACCTCCCCCTCTACACTTACGACCGCGACCCGGGTAACCCGCTCTTCCCGTCCTCCTTCTCCAACCTCTCTCTCGAGCCCAACCTCGGCAGGCGGGCGAGCAGTACTGTCAACGGTGCGGCGGGAGGCATGTTTGGCAAGGGAGGAGGCGGGGCGGTGCCGATGAGGGAAGATGTCGTTGGCGAGCTTAGGAGGAAAGGCTTGGGCTTTGGGGGGAGGAAAGCTAGTCAGGCGGGGTTGAGTGAGAGTGAGTCATTCTTTTCCTTTCTTCCATTCTCCTGCTTGTGATTTGTGGGCGTGGACTGGAGCTGATGAGGTAATAGGTGCGATAACGTTTGCAAGTGAGAGCGATTTCAGCGCCCATTAGGCTGCTTTTTGCGTATCCCCATCAACCTCGTGTTCATCCACCTCGCCGCTCTTGTCCGACCATCTCGGCCAAATCGCATCACATCTCATCTCATCTTATCAAATCACAATCGCATTCTTAATTCCCCCACACTGTTTCAATATCAAAAATCGCACGCGCCTGTGCATCCATCTCTTTGTTTTGATATCTTTTTCTCGGAAACTCGAACGAAAAAATCTCAAAAAATAGCTTGTATCGATAGCTTTTCCTCTCTCATCTCTTGTTCTCTTATCTCGTTTATCTTGCCATCTTCTCTTGCTATCTTACTTTCTGTGCTGATTGCGATTTATCTCACGCCTTTACTTGATCTTGTTGATATTGTTATTTACGCTCTCTCTTCTTGTTTATTGCTTATTGTTTATTGATGCTTCCTTCTGTGATTATGAGCTGAATGAGCTGAAATGTATTTTCCGTGACGTCTGTATCAGGATTTGGGAAAGATACTCCACTTGGAGTCTTGGAGCGGTTGAGGCGGGTCGAGGACAAGACACTTTGTCAACAACGCGTGACGTCATCGGCAACTTGTGACTTTGCTTTTCACGGCATCTCGCTTTTCTTGCACTGGTTACAGAGATACATCGCTCCCCTCCCTTCCCGTCTTTCTCCTAGCCAGGATGGTCCTCGACATAGTAACAGCCACCACCCTCTGCCCCGCCATCATCGCCACCAAACTATCCATAGAAGGCGGTTCCCGGCGCAACTGGCGAGACGGCAACAAGAGCCTTCCTTTAGAGGTGTTTGTCAAGTTTCAGGGGTTGGGGGCGTATAAGCGCAAGTTTGAAGGGGCTAGGGTCGCTATGATGGATGGAAAAGTACTTTGTTTTCTCTTTGCGCTCTCGGAAGCTTGAAGAGGACAAACTGACGCTGGGGGTGTAGCTTTACATCGAGCATGCCGATTCGCAATTCGACCCCGAAACAATACAACCACTACTGGGACGGTTCCAGCCTTCACGGGAACATCAAGATGTATGGGACAAGACGGGGCATAAAGGTGATCTGTTCACATCCCCCGCGCCCACCTCTTCTTCTTCTTCTCCGCCCTCCCTTACCCCTTCCACATCCCCGGACCACCCTCCATCATACATCTACGTCGACCACAACACCCACGAACTAAAATACGGCCCCCCCTCCCTCTCATCCACCCACCTCCCCGGCCCATGGTCCACCACCCCCCTCGAAAAATGGCTCTTATTCGAAGGCTGGGAAGGCTGGGTCGTCGTCCAAGAAGACCCCGAGCGGGACTTGTGGGCGCTGTATTTTGATCGGAGCGATGATGGCTTGACGGGGGAGGGGAAAGTGGGGGATGTGGAGAGAGGGAGAGGGAAGGGGAGGAGGATGTTGTATGTGCGGTTGGTTAGGAGGGAGCCTGCGAGGACGTTGGGAAAGCAGCGGGAGGATGAAGAAGAAGGGAGGAGGAGGGAGGAAGAGATGGAAGATGATAGGAGTTGTTTGTAGCTTTAGATCTATAGAAGAATAGAATTGTCCGACCATGATGTATTTCACGATATAGACGAACATGATCTGCATCTCTTTGTATATAGTCGCCGTCATATCTCACCAACATCCCTCCCATCATGTCGCCGATAGCGCAAGAACGCAGCTACTCGGGTGGCTTACTGACCACCGTTCTGAGACGCCTCAGTTCCACCGTTCTGGGTGCCAGCGTCGGCCTCGGGGACAGCGCTTCCCTCGGCAGGACCATTGCCAAATGCACGAGTGATGCCGTCCCTCTCGCTCTGCGTAAAGATATTAGGGTCCTCGTTGAAGATTTCCTCTCGGATAGAGGCGTTGGATTGGGTTTCAGAGCCAGACATTGTTATATGTGTGTTTGAGTTGATTGGTTGGTTCAAGATGTTGATGGGGAAGAGGGAGAAGAGAATGAGGGTGGAAGTTTTATAGCCACCCGAGCTCGTTTGCCGGATGATATAGAGGACTCGCTGGCCGATGGTCAGTCGTGCGGCGTCGGCTCCGAGTTACGACTCGCCGAACATGTTGACTGACTCCCTCCTCGACACAGGCTAGCTCTCAAAGGGTAATCGACAGATCCCACCTTTGTCTTCAGCGGATCCTTTGTCCTTCCGCGGCATGCCGGCCGTCATAGCAGCGGGCATGGCTGCCGAGGCCGGCTTAGGGTAGCAAGACCAGAACCGAGGATGTGTTAGGAGTGAAAGCCGGGTACTCGGTCAGCAACGACAAATGGGCTAGGTCATACGAGACAAAGAAAGGCCTTTGACACTCGACCGTTGTCGTAGATTCTTATCATTTGGTCCTAACCTCGGGAGGTTGTTGTTCGTCAAGTTTGGTTTCCAACGTCTATATATATCGTTGCTTCCGGTTTTTACCCAATGGTGACACTTATTAGCGGTAGCGCTCGGGCATATGGAGTGTGTCTGCAGCTGCGCATTGTATACGTCGATAGAAAGCAGAGAAAGATAGAGACATGCCTTGCTTTGATCGAAACCAAGAAGAAGATGTCTAGTGCATTGCAGCGGATCCAACGACGAGACACTCTAGTTGACCTCAGCAATGACTACCCCTTTGCTTCCCGACTCGACAGCACCAACACCCATATCTGAAGTATCCCAACCATTTTCCTCCAAATACCGTCTAAATTCCATATCTTCATCTTCGAGCTGATCCCTACGATCGGGCACCAACGTCATCACCACTATCACACCCATGATGCAGATACCAGAGCCGATGAGAAAGATAGCTTGCTGTCCCTTGATAGTCGTCGAAAACCGGGTTTGGATGAGGGGGAATACTTGAGTACCGACGGCTGCGCCGGCTTTCCCGAAAGCAGCGGCGAGACCGAGAAATTGGCCACTACGACGGAAGAGGTCAGTTTTCAAAAGTCGGGCTGGGTAGAGTTGACTCACCGAATGGGGGTAGGGAATGATTCGGATGATACCAGAAAGTTGCAATTGCCAGGCCCGACAGAGAGGAAGCATTGGAAGAGACCGAACAGGACGACAAAGGCGGCAAAGGCGCCGGTACCGTTGTTTCGAAGCGGCTCCATAGCACCTGCAACGTTGTCAATTCGTCAAGTAAAGTAGTGCGATGAGTAGAATGAGCAGATACATACCTCCGATGGTGAACCCGAATATGGCAACCATACCGAGACCGAAAGCATAGGTCTTTCGAGGGCCGAGACGATCAATCAATAGACCTATGCTGGCGTCAGCGCCCCTCAATCAATACGCGCTTTGTACGTACTTCCAAAGATGGCACCAGGAAGAGCAAATGCGTTCACGAGGGCGCCCCATCCATTGGACTCGATGAGCGTTCGGTTATCGCTAAAGCCTGAGGCGATTGTGGGGGCCAGTAGATTGAAAGGGTAGACGACGGCGTCGTATAAAAACCATACCAAAGAGCAGCTGATATCTCAATTGAGTTTGATGAATATGGAGTAGAGAATAGACTAACCCTAGGAGAGGTTTCCAGTAACGTTTGAAAGCCAGCTTGTACGGGAACTTCGAACTTTTAATGCCGTGCTTTGAATAGAGAGACGAGTCGACCATGCGCATTCGAAGGAAGAAGATGGTCAAAGGCATCTATATTGTTTCAGGATCGCGAACGATCCGCAAGAACACAAATATACTCACAAAAATCCCAATACCGAAACAAATACGCCATACTCCCACATGCGCTGTACCTCCATAGGCGGCGAGGACGATGAGGAAGACGATAGCGGATCCAACAAAACCAGAAATGATGGCAACGTTGGTACTGGTAGCGACAAGAAGTCCTCTCTTTCTGCGTAGACTGACAAGCGTGTCAACGAGGAAATGAAATTGAAAAGTAGGCTTACGCGAGAGTCTCATCTGCAGCCTCGACAGCACTCGTAGTGCACACGGCGTATTCACCCCCAGCTCCAAGACCAGCGACCCCTCGTCCAACCACTATCATCCACAGCATGCCGGTCTCTGTTGAACCATGGGCGGCGGTAGCGAGAGTGACACCGAGTACCAAGAAGAATGTACAGCCGACAATACCCCATCTACGACCGAGGCGATCGGCACATAAGCCAAAGAGAATCATCTGCGCTGATGTCAGCCCTTCCCATCGTCAACGTTGTAGGAGTCAACTCACTCCGAAGATGTCGCCGATGAGGATGGAATTACTCAAGCGCGTCTTCATAGTCGTGTTCAGCGCTGAGGGATACAGCTTTGCCATGACGGTGTTGGTGTAACCTGTGGATAGGTCAGAGGGGACAAAAACAGTATGATACCCTACTCGCCCGTAATCTGAATATTGTAACCATCAGAGAAAAGAGCAACACCAGAAATCAAAACTGAAAGCGTCTGTAGCCAAGTCCTCGTCTTGGGGGCTTCGAGCTCTGCGAGTGCTGACGTATAGATGACATCCTGGTCCGGACGAATGTCTTCTTCGAGCTTCTCTTGTGATTCGATGGTCGACATGTCAAAAACGGTCGGTAGTATACTAGAGTAAAAAATAGTTTATCAGGCTCTTTACTCATCTTTTATACATTTCATGAACACCCGTAGACAGTACAGCAAAAAGTACTTCGGGTTTCGGAATCTATCCCACAAATGCGGCTGACTCGTCTTTGAGCTCAAAGCGCCATCCTCGACTGTCAGTTATCGAGCTTCCACAAGAGCACCTGATTGCAAACAAACGTGCGCGAAGTGTGAGGTAAAACAGCAACAAAACGGCGCGACCACCGGAGCGGAAGAGTTCTGCTGGAAGAACAGTCGTCGGTCGGACGCCATATCTTCAATGATCGTCTGTTTTCTAAAGATTGGACTGCATAGCACATCCTGCACACCCACAGTTTGCATATATATACCACCTGACCAGGGCTCTGATTAGTATATAAGAGTGGACTAAAGGAGAACAATAGGATGTCGAGCGATCAAACGTGCAATTGCGGCGCGCGTTTGAGACACGTTTCTTACCCAATCGGGTATTTGGTTCCCCCTCGGCAACATCTGTGGGCGCTCTGCTGTTCCGATACGGTATCGGCAGAACCGTGGTGCCCTTATTGCAGCATCCATAGTACTTTATCCAAAAGGAACGCACGAAGCCATTGTCTTCGGGCGCTAGGTGTCGGTCAGCACCGAGAGCGAATAAGTTGTTGCGCGAAGGGACATCTCTTCGTCGCTCATTCTCTCATTCCATTCTGGAATCTCAAAAGATTTGTTATGGTAGAGCTCTTCCTACGGATGGCGAGTCTTGCGGCGGGTGCAGCTTTGAAGTGGTATGCTTTTGTGTTTCTAAGGCTCGTGAGCAGGATCCTTTTCTGAGTCCCAACACGCACGTCCGTTAGGCTAATACGTGATGATCAGCTTCCACTGGGGCCGCAATACCTCCCACGCATTCTAAGCTGCTTCCTAATCTACGCTATATCGAACGCTCTTTTTATCGGCTTGCCCTATCGACACCGAATCGCTAAACAACACCTGCGTTCCTCTTGCATAGTGGTCCTACGGACATTACTAGGAGGGGTCTATTGCCATCGCCATAGATATCTCTCGGCCATCGGTATATCTCTCTCACTAGCCCCTCTATTGTTCAGCTACGATTATGTCTATCGAGCCTACTACCTACATCCTTCTGCCGATTTGTCTTTTGCCAGGATGGGATGGGTAGATGCGTCCAGTGCCAACATTCTCGTTCGCTCTGCCGCTGGTAGTCCGATTTCATTGTCGTATTGGCCCAACAGCACTTCGGTGACTTCGAGCATCGCCCTTGGCTTGCCTTCTGTCCACACCGATTTCACCCTGTCCGCCCACCTCCCCAATCTTCATCCCAACACCCTATACCTCTACAACACGACCGTTGGTCTCGAAGGGTCTTTCGTGACTCGGCGCGAGTCTCACAAGACGTCAAAGTTCACTTTGTTAAGTACGAGCTGCCAGAAGCCCAACTGGCCTTACAATCCTCTTCAGCATCCTCTTGCGATCAACGGCTGGGCGCATGTGGAGAAGGTGGCCGCGGGGATGAGTCTGAGGCCAGAAGCGATGCTCTTCCTTGGCGATTTCATCTGTAAGTCATTAGTACGATTCCGCCGGATCTGATCTGTGAATACAGACTCGGACCTCCCTTACGCCGTGGCCGAGTATACTTCATCCTACTACCGCCTTCTCTATCGCCAAATCTACGCCAGCCCCTCATGGTCTCCATTCCTCCGCTCGATCCCGTGGCTACACATGTTTGACGACCACGAAATCATCAACGACTACGCTCCTTCTCCCGCCTTATCAAACGTGTTCGAGGAAGCTATCGAGCCTTTCCTTCATTATCAGCAATCCGTCAATCCCCCTCCTCTCGTTCCTTCTCAGCCAACATACTTCTCGTTTGATCTTGGGAATGTTACATTCTTCACTCTCGACTGTCGATCTTGGCGTTCCCCTCAGCCACATCGAAGAGGGGACAATTCGACGGCGGGCTACGGCGCAAGGACCATGTTGGGAGAGAGACAACTGCTGGAAGTTGGCAAATGGGTAGAGCGAGGACGGGAGAAGGATATGTTGCTGGTTCTCGTATCAGGGGTACCCATGACGAGGAACTGGGCTTTGGGACGGGACGAAATGGATAGCTGGGGAGTGAGCCCCTCTTATTAATCTCGAACAACAAGTTTTAACAATGATACAGGGATATTTGGAAGAGCGAGAGGAGATACTCGAGATGTTATGGAGTTCCGGTGGCGCTGTTGTGATCTCTGGAGATAGGCATGAACATGGTACGTCCTTTTGTAAAGAAGACTTAGAGTCGACGCTGATGCCACGGAACAGCGACGACTCTGTTACCTCCTCCAGCGTCTTCCAATCACCCTTATTCATCATCCGTCATTGAATTCTCCACATCGCCTCTATCCTTCTTCCATCAGCCCTGGACTCGCGAATACATACCTCACCCACCTACCGATATAACTATCTACCATCAGTGGAAGGGAGATAGTCGTTTTGGTGTATTTGAGTTTAATACTGAGGGAGTTGGGAAGAAGGTTACTTTCAAGCTGGTAGTTGATGGCGAGTACGTTTGGGTTTACGAGTGGACGAAGGGACAGGAAGTCGAGGTTGTGGATAGGGGTATTTGATAAAGCAAAGCTGAAACCTACACGTACGGCTTTCCAGTGCAAAATTTATCTCAATAGACACCGCTGGACGGACAATGAAACAAAAACGAGGTTGAGGATCATCAAATTTCTCGTCAGCACGCAGACGTTAGTATGGGATTATGTGCTGCATCCTGCAAAGTTGAGCAGTTCACTCAACAATATATTCTTGATGAGAAAGGGGATGGGAGCATAGCAGCGGAAATGACGATTACATACGGTCCAAAAAGAGCAAAAAAAATCTCCCCGGTGCGAGTCGAACGCACGACTTTCAGATGTGAATATTGTAACCAATTACAGTCTGACGCTCTAAACCACACTAAACTACGGAGAGTTTGATAAACACAGAGCTTTTACGTCATTGTATTGCGAGCAAACCATCTTCGAAACATCGAGTACAGTGACTGTTATTTAGCTTTCTATGCTTGCTGAAACCACCAAAGAGCTGACAAGCCGATGACTACAGCAAGAGCATAGGTAGCCGAAAGTGTCAGAGGAATCACGGGGTGATTGGTTAAGCAAGGCGCTGTTGAATCAGCACCACAGATTGCTCTGGACTAGTGAAGACGGGGTCACACAACAGATTGCGAAGACGTGTCGGGTGCTACTACAACCCCAATTGATCACAACAATGGTCATTAGCAAGAGCACCTTTGAAGATCATTCGATCGTATCAGCCTCTGAAAAGAGCGTTTTCTTGATTCATCAAAAGAACGTCCTTCCAGCGGCAGCACTACGACGCAGATGGCCGACACGTCCATAGTCTACCTGAGACCAAACGAAAACGCTGGGACTCAATGCGGCACTATCTTCTCCACCCTTCCGTACATACTACACCAGTGTCGTCTTCAACATGATCCTTTCAGTGAGACAGGTCTTTTGAAGAGCGCGGATATCTGGCAAGTCTCAGTATCACGACCTTTCAGTGACTACTACTATCCTTTATAGACTCACACCTCTGTCTCGCCCACTGTCCGAGCTATATATACTGCATGGACTGACACTGATCACTATTGTTTGACAGAGCTCTCTCCCTCAAAGCAAATTCACATCAGCCCAACATTATGAGCAATCCTAGCGAACAAAATAGCAACAACGGTGGCTGGAGACTTACTCGCGAGGCCATCAAAGCCGCCCTCACTGAGTCCGATAGTTCTGATTCCGATGACGAGCAACAAGAAGATGAGGTGAACCAGGACCGGATCACCGAGTCTGGATTCCTGCCTGTACGTCCCTATGCCTTACGAATCACTTGAAGAACGATGACTGACCTGTTGACAGAGTCGCTTGTCGATCATTGAGGGCTACTCCGAGGCGATGCTCCAATCTGTGGCAGACATCACTATTACTACTCCTGTTGATCAAGCACCTCCAGGATTCCCTACTCAAACGTCAAACTTGGGGACTGGTATGTTGCTCTTGCTCTTCCTATCACTATTAGCGTTCTGATCGAGACTCTGTAGAGCGGGGTGTTGAGCTCGCTGCCCTTCGCTACAGCAAAGCCCAAAGCAACGCTGAGCGAACGAAAGCGGGAGAACGTCTCTCCTTTCATCGAGAGGCAGCTTTGACCAAGGAGGACATCGCGCTTGTCAACACCGTCGATTCTGTCCTTGACACCTCTACCAGAGTTCAACAGTTGAGAGCGAATATCAGAACCTCATGGGACAGCGGAGTGAATGAGACAGCGCAATTCGAAGGAACTTTGGACGAAAAGCAGCTTGGCAGCGGGTTCCCCAAAGAGGAGATGCGAGAGTATGCCAAGAGCAAGTTTGAAGATTACAAGATGTTGCAGAGTCTACCGGAGGAAACGGCCGAGCAGAAATATGAGAAGAAAATCACCCTTCGAGCATGGGCGGATAGCTTCGAGGAGCATTGGGCTTTGAGACGACTCGAGGAGTAGAAAGACCACATGGAGCATTTGGATTCGGATGCGGGTGGTTACCAGGGAGCAGTCATTATGGATGCATTGTGTACAGTATTTGTCACTGGTCTGTTAAATTATATGGCTTCGGATTCCTGCGATCTCCCTTTCGCACCATTTCTAGGAGCCAACAAAAGGCGAAGCGTAAGGTGGCCCGTCGGCTACAAGGACACTGCGAGGAAAGAGAATCATGATAAGCCAGAGACGTAAACGTTACAGGCGCATGATACGCAAGGCAGGAGGAATCTTGAAGTGCGTCGTCTCCACCGACAGGCAGCCTCAAGTCAATCTAACGGCGAGATTCAGCTGATGAAGACCGCCATTTCTGTTCCTGCCGAGTCTTATATCATAAAGGTACATTCTACTACTAGAACGTTGGTTCAAGTCATGAGATAGACTTCTTCCCCAGACAAAGATGGAAGGAGGTTGATACAAAGTATATCTATTGTATACAAGAAGGCAGAGCGTGCGAGCGATCGGAAAATGCGCAAAAGGAGATGCAATCTTATACAAGGGACTCGGCGGGTAGTTTCGAAAAACCTGCCACCATATTACAAGACAACTTGAACCTGGGATTGGCATCTACAGTGGTCGCAGTACTGAATTCTGACAAGCACACCGGGAGCGCAGAAGTAGGACCGAGTGTGCCTAGATAGCACATATCATCCTCCGAAGCCTCCGAGGTCTCCGACCTTCCGTTGGATTGATATGCGTGTTGAGCCGGGACATGTTCCCGATCCTCGATCTCTGACTCTCAACCTGTGCTTCATGCTATGCACACGACTCTGAAGTACATACATATACGGAAATGGGTTGCCTCAAAGGATGCCTTTGACTGAGCACTGCTCGCCAATATCAGAAAGTGCGGCCTCGTGCAGGGAGGACACGCCGCGGGCCTGACGGCGTTACTTCCTGAATAACATCATCCAAGCTCAAAACACTGAGCTTTGGTTACTTGCCCCCTGAACGACATCCCGGCTCTTCGTCTGGCGTCTAACAATCACTTATCAAGTATTCTCAGCTCCCGTTCGGTTGGTTGATATACCTGCAAGCCTCTCCTCCCCATGTCGAAAGGAAAGGGTAGACGACCTGCTTAATGGGCGTCAGCGTGGTAAGATTGCCCAAGCCGCCCACCCATCTACACAGCATGCACAGTCAGACTGTGGCGGCACTCTTCTGAAGTGCCTTTTCAGTAAGTTTTCAATCACACATGTATCGAACCCATCGTTACTGTTGCCCCCGATTCTAGTAAGGCCCCCAAGGAAGCTGTTATGATGATCACTGTCCTCGTGTCTTCCCCCCACTGTGCGTACGCCCTGAACTGCCGACCATTCCTCCTGTCTGATATAAGAGGTGCAGTATCAAGTATATCATCTCTATGACTCATCTCCTGTCGATCCGCCATCGTATCTATGGGCAGCTCTGGCTATGTCTCCACCCCACTCTCCGAAATCCGTGCAGACAGAAACCTCCGCCCTCCTTCCTACACCTCCTCTTCCCGCCAACCGCTCCCTCAACACCCCATCATGGTATTCTCCCATACGCCGCGTACTCTTCACCTCTTTGCTCCTGGCCATGACCTTCAGGCTCACTCAAACTACCGTCATCTACGCTTTCCGGGTCATGACCTGCGACGAATACTACAAGTCGCACGATTGGGTGGGGGAAAGGGGGGACGACAAATGTTCGCTACCAAAGATTGAAGCAGAGAGTGCTTCACATGTGGCGTTGATGAGCATGATGACAACGATGGGGAGTGGGTACATTCCACGTAGAACAGAGTTCCAAGCTGATGCTGGAGATAGCAATCGGCAACCTCTTCTACGCGACCTGGTTCATCAAAAGGCACGGATGCAAAGCTACCGTCTTTCAACAGACCCTTTGGATCGCCCTTCGTAATCTTGCCGATATATACGCAATCAACACAGGCGGTAGTCGGGGTATCAGAATCATCCAGGCGTCACAATTATTGAACTTTCTGGGTTCTCCCGGTGGGATCCAGATTGCTTGCAACATGTATATTGCAATCCTTGCAAAGGCGGAGGATCGGACGGCAAAGTTTGGCGTCCTGACTGGTATCGTATTCTTGGGGTCGTCAATCGGGTTTTCGGGTGAGCTCTTCTCACAATGTCACGCCGGCCGTGTGCTTACTATCCCAAGCTGGCGGTCTCCTTTTCTTCCCCTGGCTTGGCCTCATCGGCCCATTCTACGCCGCTTTCGGCTTCCTTTGCTTTACCACCCTCACCGGGTCTCTCTTTCTCCCCAATATACCTCCCGAGGACTCACAAGACCGTGACGTCAAAAAGAAGAAGAGATCTTTCCTCTCTCCACTCAAGATCTTCATTCCTACCAAACACCTCGTTCGAGGCGCGGCAAAGAGAGACTACAACCTGCTTTGGCTGGGACTCGGGGCGTTCTTCAGCGTACTCGCGACTGGTTATGTTCATATAGGTCTGCAGCTTGTGGGGACGAGTGTCTTTCGGTTCCTTCCTGGTCAGAATAGCATAATGCTTGTGGGTTCTGGTCCATTTATCAAGTAGCTTGACACTGATACCCGGTAGTCTCTCAATCTTATGGTCAAGGCACTCTTCCTTTCGATATGCTTCCCTCGCATCATCAAACACGGTCGCCGCTGGGTTTCTCGACGCCCCACTCTCTCTGCACCCCCTCCGAGATACTATCATCCCGAGGAAGCGTCCCAGGTGGAAGAGCCTGATCCAGCCAGCTTCCCTCAACGAGACCTCCCTGCCTCCCCTGCCGACAAACCGCACGGTTCGATCTTTGACCTCCATTTCCTCCGCTGGTCCATCTTTGTAGACGGGGTGCTCACAGCCCTGACAGCATTCAGTACCAACAACTGGCATCTGTACCTGGCGGCAGGAGTCTTACCCTTCGCGAGCGCGACAGGATCAGCTTGTAAGGGAGTTATGATGGACCTTCTTGTTGATCCAGAGCAGAGGACGGATGCGTTGAGCGCGATAGCACTGGTGGAGAAACTTGGTATGTACATTTCTTTCTTTCGACTGCATTCAGAGGACGGCATTGCCAACGTCGATTTAGCACAAGTGTCGACGATCTCAGTATTCGGCTTTGTATTCGCGGCCTTAAGCGAGAGAGGACACCCAGCTCTCGTCTTCTTCATCAACGGCGTGAGACTCCGCGTCCTTACCTGCTCACTTCAAGCTCCGCTGACACATCTGACAGTGTACGGCAATGGTAGCATTCATGTTCACCCTCTTTGTGCAAATGCGAACCACCGGAAAATGTACTTGATCGTCGCTCTTCCATAGACTATAGAATAGACTGTCGCATATTCTAGAAGAGCGAAGTTAGTCTGATAGTACCTTCTGTATCATGAAGCATTCCTTCGTCCTCTGCAATGACTGAACCCCTACTGTCTGCGCCAGCATGCACGAAGAACTGACGAGGAAAACCGCAGTCCGAATGATCGGCAACAAAGAAAATGTCGGCAATCTCCGCCCCCAGCTATCTCGTCGGATTTGACCGAGATGGTGCAAGTCTGATGAGTGCACCGAATTCACGATGTCCAGAGATCAACTTCTATAACTTCCTATATATGCTCCCCAGCTGACGTCCTCGCCGCCACCCCCCTACACCTCCTCCGCCATGTCCCGCCCCCACTCCCCAAAACTGGCGCCGACAGAGACCACCTCTCTCCTCCCTCCATCTCCAGGCGCCGACTCTCGCAGGAAGCCATGGTTCCCACCAGTCCCTCGAGTTCTCTTTACCTCCTTCCTCCTAGCCATGACATTCGCAGTCACCCAGACATCACTTATATATGCCTTTAGGGTCATGACTTGCGATGAGTACTACAAGACGCACGAGTGGGACGGAAGAGAGGGAGATCGATGCTCGGTGCCCAAGATTGAGGCGGATAGTGCATCACAGATTGCATTGATGAGTGTGATAACAACATCATGTAGTGAGTTCATTCTGCCCTGGTGATAGAAACGGACTGATACAGGTTGTAGCTATCGGCAACTTGTTCTTCACAAGCTGGTTCATGAAGAGATACGGCTGCAAAGCCGCCATGTTCCAGCAGACTTTCTGGGCCGCCCTGCGGAACCTCACTCAGATCTACGCTCTCAGTATCGGTGGCGGTACTGGTATGAAGATCATCCAGACGACCCAGCTCTTCAACATCATCGGTTCCGCCGGCGGGTATCAGATCGCAAGCAACATGTTTATCGCGACGCTCGTATCGGTGGAAGAGAGAACGGCAATGTTTGGGGTCTTGTCTGGCATCATTTTCATGGGGTCTTCTACGGGTTATTCTGGTTAGTTGTGACATCCTTAGAAGAAGATATACTGACAGCTTACCTAGTCGGCGGTCTTCTGTTCAACTGGTTCGGACTGCTCAGCCCATTTCAAGCCGCTTTCGGCCTCCTCTGCTTCTGCACCATCTTCGGCTCCCTTTTCCTCCCTTACATCCCCCCGGAAGACTCGGCCCATAGCGACGCTCCCGAAAAGAAAAGCAAATCGTTCCTCTCCCCGCTCAAGATATTCATCCCCGCCAAAAAGGAAATTGCCGGCAAGGCGAAGAGGGACTACAACCTGCTACTATTGGGCTGTGGAGCTTTCTTCAGTGTACTGGCCACAGGGTATGTGCATATGGCGCTGCAGCTTGTGGGAACGGACGTCTTTGGGTTCCAGCCCGGAGAGAGCGGTGTTATGCTCGTACGTATCTACTCCATCAAAGTCCTGTCGCTGACGTCCAATAGTCTCTCAATCTCATGGTCAAGGCCTTCTTCCTCTCCATCTGCTTCCCTCGTATCATCACCCACGGCCGCCGCTGGCTCTCCCATCGCCCATCACTACCTCCCTCCCCCCAAGCCTACGACCACCCCGAGAGTGCTTCCCAAGCCGAAGAGCCCGACTCCACCGGCTTCCCCCAGCAAGACCCCGCTCCAGCTCCTACCGACCCCAAACACGGCTCTCTCTTCGACCTCCATTTCCTCCGCTGGTCCATATTCGTCGATGGCGTCTTGACTTCAGCCACGACGCTGAGTACGAAAGGGTGGCATCTGTATGTAGCGGCCGGGGTGTTGCCGTTTGCTAGTGGGACGGGGAGTGCGTGTAAGGGGGTGACATTGGATTTTGTTGAGCCAGAGCTGAGGGCGGATGCGTTGAGTGCTATAGCGCTGGTGGAAAAGCTCGGTGCGTCTTACCCTTCCTTTTCACTGGGCGTCGTACTGACAAATAGTATAGCGCAAGTATCCACCATCTCAATATTCGGGTCCGTCTTTGCACTCTTGAGTGAGAGAGGCAATCCGACGCTCGTCTTCTTGCTCAACGGCGTGAGTCTTTTCTTCCCTCCCATCTCATTTGGGCAATGACTAACTCGACTGGTAGTGTACAGCCATGATAGCATTTATGTTTCTGCTATTTGTCCGAATGCCAAGGCCCGGGGAACCTCGCTTGGCGCTTGCATAGAGTAATAGACAGATTCAAAATAGAGAGAGAGTTTCGTCATTCGTGTTCGATGACTTGGTCAGTTGTATAGGTCAATTTATTTGCGTTTACGTTCTGTACTTTTGCCTTCGGGTGTATGTGCTTCTTCTATGATACCCTTATGCTCATGACCCTCTTCCACTAGACCCCAAAAGGTGTCAGAAATAAGATCAGCCATCTATGTACAGGCCGTCTATGACCACGGTTATGTAATCTCCACTTGGCCTCCACATTTGGGGTTATGCTTCTTTTCGGACGGCCGTTTCCACGCGATTCCAGCGGACGTATCGCTTCCTCGTGACGTTCCGTAAAGCCGTAAACGAAGATGCATGCAAGCATAGTAAGCCTCCACCCTCTCCACCGCTGTTGGCTTGAAGATGTGATTCTATCTTTGCAACTACAACATCATCACGAACAAGAAGAAAAGCACGATGTCCGCCTCCGCCCAGAAGACTATCCTCATCACCGGTGCCAACAGAGGGTACGCATATCTTCTCCATTCTGGCCTCACTCTCTTCCAGTCTTTGCCAAAATCTTGTCTTTGGAAGCTGGGCAAAGTTTTCCTGTATAACAAGCTGACCCTTCCTTCCCAGTGTCGGCTTGGAGATCGCCAAGCAGTACCTGAGCTTTGGATGGCGTGTCGTTGCCGGCGTGAGGGATGTGACCAAGATGCCCAGGCTGTCAGAGAAGGAAGGTGATGTCGTTGTTGTCAAGATCGACTCCAAGTCCACCACTGATGCTAAAGAGGTACGTATCCGCCCTCCGCTTCTCGTTACGTCGTTGGTTGTGTATCGAACCTAGAGCTGACATCATGTATAGGCCATCCAAGAGCTCAAGACCAAGTACAACATCACCCACCTCGACATCGTCCTCGCCAACGCCGGTATCGCCCCCATCGGCGACCTCATGTCCGAGGCCTCCGTCGAAGACCTCGACGAGGTCCTCAACGTCAACACCCGGGGACCTTTAGTGCTCTATCAGGCGACGAGGGAGCTGCTGAATGATGACGGGTGCTTTGCCGTGATCTCGAGTATGTTGGGGAGTATCACGCCGGATAGGTGGGCCAGGTTTGGGATTTACGGGACGAGCAAGGCCGCTGTCAACTTTATAGTACGTCTCTTTTTGGGATTCTGTGAGGCCGCCGCTGACCGGGGGTACAGATGAGGACTATCCACGCCGAGGAGCCTAAGCTGAAGGTACTCTCTATCCACCCGGGCTGGGTCGAGACGTGCGTTTCTACACCCTTCACTATACATTTCCACTGACGCGCCTCGATAGCGGTATGGGCGTCGAGAGCGCCACTGTTGCCAAGGTCGATGCTCCCCCTTACACTATGGCTGAGACTGTCCGTAAGTGCCACTCTCCATCCAATACATCCCTGCGTTGCTTGGCTTCGAGAAGAGGAAAGAGCTGATGAGTATGGGCGCAGCCGGTATCGTCAAGATCCTCAACAACGCTACCAAAGAAGATACTTCCGGCTGGATGTGGAACTTGTGAGTGTTTTCTTTCTCCTTAGAAGTGGTGTGATTAAGGTTGGTGTACATGGGCACGAGGAACAGAGTTAGGGTTGGGGTGCATGATCGGACCGACGGACCAGCGGACAGTATCATACATCGTACGAGTGCTGATCTATACCCAGCGATGGCACCAAGCTCCCTCTTTAAATACACCAAATCACAGCAATACACTAGACAAGGTTTTGTGTCGGTATGTCGGTATGCAGCTCTAAATGACTGATATCAACCATGATGCTGCGCTCAGCTGGCGAGAGAAGGGCCTGTCATCAGTGGCATGAGCAGTGTGACGTATAGATCTGATGCACGAGATGTCAAGCGTACAAATACGCCAGTGAAGAGATGCTCTCCAAGCATACAAGCAAAGCGTGCAGGCGACCTCTGATATGTGATTGTACTGCATCAAGTTTTACCGGAAGTTTTACCGAAAGATGGGGCTCAACTTTTTGTTTGGTTCCTTGATCGATAACTTTGTGCCTCAGCAGCGGTCACTCAACACAAGATGATTCCTCGTCTTATTTGCATGCTAGGACGTTGCTTAGAGCGCCAAACCGGGCGCCCTGTGGTAAGGTGGCCACCGTGGCTTGTGCCAGCGAAATTACGAGAACAAGAAGGAAAAGAAAATGCATGTAAACGGATAAACAAAGGGTAAACAGCTCAAAGCCGATTTCCAAATCCGTGAGGGCCGAGGAGACAGGACCGCGAGGGACTGCGAGATAAACGAGAACGAGAAAATCTGCCTGTCACAGTTTTCTCGTCCCCCATGCATGCTATAGGAACATGGAAAGTCCCATTGGATGCATATAGCAGCTCCCAGACATCTGAGCAGAAATAAAATTGTCGATGCATATAAACGGAATCAACTATCGCAGAAGAAGAATGAGATAAGTAACCGAATCTACCCGAGACTACCCGGAACAGACAAGAATTTCGAAGATTTCGATTCGCCCCGCGTGGGCGGTGGGTGAATTCCAAGTCCATTCAGCTGATCTGAATTTCTTTCTCATCTGATCATTCTCTTACTCCACCTTCATCGCCATGTCTGACATCGTCGGTACCCACTACGCTGCGCCCGTACAAGACAAGGACCTCTCCGAAGCTGAAAAGGGCGACACCTCCTCCTACCCTCCATCGTCAGCCATCAAAGCGAATGTCGCCGATGTGTCAGCAAACGCCTACGAGTACGACCCCTTCAGCGCCCAGGCGGAGGAGAACGCCGGGGACTTTGTAGACTTTAGATCAATGGGATGGGTGCAAGCTGGTCTTGTCGCTACCGCCGAGGTAAGCAAACAGGTTCGATCAACGAAAAAGGAGCGCTGACACTTTTGCGGTAGAACATTGCGGTCGGTGTCTTGTCCTTCCCTTCCGTCTTCCTTCGACTCGGTATTGTAGGCGGTCTTATCGCCACCATCGGCCTCGCCGTCCTGGCTTATATCACTTGCTGGATCATGATCGACTTCAAAATGAGACACATGGGTGTGATGCACTTTGGTGATGCTGGTGGTGTCCTCTTTGGCCCGTGGGCTAGAAGGCTCTTTGGTACCGGTATGGTCCTGAAGGTGAGTTTAATGCCGTTATTTCAGATTGAGCAGTGACTAACGCTCCTCTTTTTATAGAGTATCGGTCTCGCCGGATCTCACGTTCTCGTTGGCCGACAAGCTATCAACACGATTAGTTCTTATGCCATCTGCAGCGTCTGGTACGCGCTCATCATTGCCGCGGTCAGCGTTTTGGTGAGCCACTATGTCCTTGTAGTTAATTCTCAGTACTGACGACTCCTCCAGATGTCGTACTCGCGGGAATTTAGCAAGCTCGCCGTTCTCTCCTGGGTCTCCGTCTCGTCCATTTTGATCGCTTCCATGATCACCATCGTCGGCACTGGCGTGAGTAGATCCAGCCTCCCTTCCTTACCTTCTTACTGACTCTCATTCTAGGCCCAGGACGATAGCAACCTCATCGAGGACGGCGTCCCCATTGAGTGGCACGCTTTCCCCACCGACCCCTCCTTGATGAACGTCATTGGCGCCCTCACCAACATCGTCTTTGCTTACGGCGGTAACATGGCTGTCTTCAGTTTCTGCTCCGAGGTGTGTAGTCTTTTAGGGCCGGGGGTGTTCAGCCATACTAACGATACTGCTTAGATGCGGAACCCCAACGATTTCAAGAAATCTTTCGTCATCACCCAAGGTCTCGGCGCCGTCGTCTACTGCATCACCGGATCCCTCGTCTACGTTTTTGGCGGCCAATACGTCTCTTCCCCCGCCATCACCATGACCACCAGGCCCGTCCGAATCACCGGCTATTCCTTTGCCCTCGTCACCATCTTGATCTCCGGTGTCGTCGGCGCCAACGTCGGTGCCAAGTACCTCTACGTCAACACTTTCCGAAACTCGAAGCTCTTGACGTCTAACAACATTCGAGCCAAGCTTGGTTGGATTGGTATCGTCATCTTTATGTGGACCGCCGCGTTCATTTTGGCAGAGCTCATTCCTGTAAGTCCTCGCTAATCCTGTTAGTAACACCTTCTTTCAACGCTGACACCATCCCATAGTTCTTCAACCAGCTTTTGACTATTGTCAGCTCCCTTTTCAGTGTTTGGTTCTCTTTCGGTCTTTGTGGTGTCATCTGGTTCTACAACGTCCACCCGTACTTTGCCGGACCCGGAGAGGAGCGAAATCTCGATGGACCCTGGAAGAAGATTTTCTTCGGCTGTGCCGTACTATCCGTAAGTGGATCCACCATGTCATGCTTGGTAGTCTTTGCTAACTTCTCTTTTACGTAGATTATCCTCAGTATTGCCATCACACCTCTTGGTCTGTACAGTGCCATTGAGGGTATCAGAGACGGTGTAGGTTCCACATACATCAGTCGTCGCAAAGCAGTACTGATCCATTCGCATAGTACTCTGAGGGTACTTTCTCCCACCCATTCTCATGCTCATAAGCTGCGCAAGGCTAGAGCCATCACAAGTACAACATGTGCAACACATAATCATACCAGTCATTTCAAAATCATGCTTGCACTTCCAACACCATCTTCATATCGCGCCTCGGAACCACTTGACACCGCTATTTGTACTGTATGCTAGAGCGTCATGGTAGTAGAGATAGATTGTAAAAGTGTCAGAGTAAAAGTCACAGCATTATGCATCTTTGTAGGACTAAACATCCCATTCATCTCCACACCCATGGCACCCGCCGGTCTGTTTGGTTCCAAGATCGGGAATCTCCGATTGACGATCGAACAGGCGCTTGTTTGGCGCGCGTCTTCTTTTTCGCCGCGGGCCAGTCGCATCTCTCCTATATCCCGCCCATCTCCTCTCACATCTACCATCTCCATCATGGCCACCCCTGCAGCCGATATCCGCCTGTACAAGAACCGCGCCTCGTACTCGCTCCACGCAGCTCTGGCTATTCTGCGCCATTCCCCCGTCGCCCATGTCGCTTTTGTCCACCCTGGCGATGGCAAAGGCCGGCCGGAAACGCTCATGAACATACCGCTCATCACCGTGGCGGTGTGCGACGAAGATATGGATGAAGACGACAAGGACAGCTATGCTGTATATCTACATACGTGAGTCCTCACTCTAACAGCAAGATGGGAAATCGGCTGATTTTGTGCAGGCATAAACATTCCGGTCTCGTCGAAGCCGTATCCCAAGGGAACGGTACCCTCACAGCTTCCACCATCATGAGTAGGGCTTCCCTACTTTCTCCTCTTCATACAAAGCTTACTCTTGAGCATAGTCGACGGCATGGTCCTCTCCCCAACAGCGCACGATCACACCTTCAACTACCGCTCCGCCACCCTCCACCTCCACAACCCCACCGTTCTCCCCTCCCCCTCCTCCCCCGATACCCCACAACACGAAGAGAAACGTCACGCCCTCGCTGTCGTCACAGATACCTGTACGGGATACGATCGCACGTCTGCAGTAGGACAGCCGATGGACGCGAATGTATCGGGGACGACGGTGATCAAGTGCCGGATCGCTGCTATATCCTGTAAACAGCGGTATGGCGCTTTCAATGGAGGGCAGGAGCCGATTCTGAAGTCTGAAGAAGGAAGCGGAGGGGAAGGGGAGAAGGCGTTCCAAGGGGTGATACCGTGCTGGACACAGTTCGGCTCGTTGGTGGGCTTTGGAAAAGACAGGCAACAGGTGCAAGCTATCTTTGACGAGCGGTCAAATCAAGGCAGAGCCTTCTCACACTCGGCTGCTTGGGCGGATGAAAGTGCCGTGATAGAAGGTCTGGGAAAGAAGCGTCCAAAAAACCGTCATGAGGATATCTATTGATACATTGATGCAACACTCTATCCAAGTACACACAAGCAAGATGCGACGAAGGTCGTCTAAATATCAGATCAACAACACCCCCGCCTCCCACCCCATACGCCCCATAACCTCCCTCATCCCCACCCCCTTCCCATCCCCCTCGCCCACAACCATCCTCGTCCTCCAAACTTCCTCCATCAACTCCCTCGCCGGTCCCGTGTTCCCAAACGCCTTCGCCTCCTCTCCCAGCTTATCAAAGCACTCCCTAAAGAACGCCTTCTGGCTCTCGCTCTCACAATGACACCCGGCAATCGTCATGGGTAGTACGAGAGCGCGAAAGATGTCTTTGCCTGTGAATGTAATGTCGAGTCTGTTGAGAGCTTCCATGACGTCTTGCACGGCACAAGCTATATCCGGTACTATCCCGCTCATCAGCTTCACTTTCTTGAAAGACAGGAAAGAAGAAGACTCACCTCGAGGGAAGGGACCATTGATCACACTCGCCAACAAAACCTTCGCCGCCCCAAAAAAGACATCACTCATAACCCTCCTCATCTCATCCGCCTTCGCCGTCGCCTTCCCCTTCTCTCCCTCACTCCCACTCCCACCCCCACCCCCTCCCGAGCCTGAGCCCCACGCACTCCCAAACCCACCCGGCCTTGCCGCAGGGTGCGGCTCCGCACCCCTCGGCCTATCCAAATGACTCTCCCTCCACGCTCTCTCGTCCATCAACTTTTCTATCCCCTCTGCCCGGCGTAAGAGCTCTTTCATCGAGAGACAGCCGAGTTTCTCGACTCTATCTTTCCACTCCGACAGGGCGACGATCTCGGTGTATGCCAGTAACTGTCCTTTCATCAGCTTGTGCCCTTGCTCATACACCGACCGGAAGAGAGATAGAGGTGAATAGACAGAGAAGGCTTACAGTAGTACTATCACACCCCATAACCTGATCCATCAGAATCATCGGACTGCCCGGCGCAAAGCTCTCCGCTGGCATATGCAGCAAGATCCTCCTGTACGTCGATAGTAGCCTTGAAGATTTGTTGTAGGATACCGAGGCAATTACGTCTGCCCAGATCATGTGTTCTATCAGATGTCGATAACGCGACCATGGCGATCCATGTAGTGATGTCGACCTGTACACCACGGTCAGCACGACAAAAGTATGAGACAAGAGGAGGACGTACCTGGGATGTTCACCCAGCTCCGGACTACTAGCCACCGCAGCACTCAAACACCTCTGCGAAATCTCCACCATCTCCCTCAAATGCTTACTCGTCCCCCCCGAGAACAAATGATAACTCATCGCAAACAGCACGCTCACCACAACTTCCTCACTCGTCAAATCCGCCGGGCTCAAAAATCTCAACCTCTCTATCGACCTCTGATGGGAGGCGGTAGCGACGAGAGCTTCTTCGTCGTTTAGTTCGGTGATGGAGGCTGAGCCGACACGGAATGCGCCAGAGGCGGTGGTCACGATGGAAGGAGAGGAGGAGGATGGGGAGGAGGAGGAAGAGGCGAAGAGGCGGTTGCGGTTCTTGGTGCGTTTGGAGACGAGGTGTAGGGCGGCGAGAGATGATACGCTCGCGAGCACTTCCGGCCTCGAGATAGCTAAGGGCGCTACAAAGTCGCCCATAGCCACAGAGATACCCATGATCCGGTACTGGAGAGGAAGCACGACATTGAGATAGTGGTTGAGATAATTGATCTCTTTCGGGTTGCTTTGTGATGATGGCGGGAGGGGGGGGGTGAGAGCGAGGTCGGCAGAAGGGGAAGGCATGGCGTAGAATGGAGAAGCAGGGTGTGAAAGAAGAGCATTCGTCGCCCCGGGGACATTACCCCATGATGCTGGGAAAGTCGAGCCAAAGAGCGACGACCAAAGATCATTCAGCTCGCCCTCGGTCTCATCATCATCCTGATCTTGCCCAAACACCGATTGACCTCTGGAAGGTGGCACCGGGCCGAATGGTGTTGGAGCAGGATGTCGATTTCGAGGGACGAGGTAAGAAGGGACATGGCCTGCCTGGGGCGTCGAAGCTCCCGACCCTCTGCCCGCCATACTCCCTGACGCTTCATACCCCATCCCATCAAGTATCCCTCTAGTCCCAAAAGCAGGAGAAGGCATCCCCCACCCACCCATCATCCCACTACCCATCGCCTCCATGCTCTGATTCCAGCTAGCATCGACCATTGCCGCGTCTAGGCCCATACCGCCGAGTTCGAGCACATCCGAGCTGTTTTGCGCCGAGGTGATGGTGGTGCTGATGCTGTCTTCAGGGGAATCTCCACTGGTTTTTCGTTCGGGTACATGGCTTCTCTTCAATGTCGTCTGCTTTCTGCTCGGCCCCATCAGCACTCGCCAATCACAATCTGTATCCTCTTGCAGCCACTCACATTTGCTCCTTCGCCTTTTGCGCACTCTCCTTATCCCTCAGCCATCCCGGACGCTTGGTGCCGTAGCCCATACATTCTATTCCTAGTCTCTCGCAGGTGGCGCAGATGGGTTTAGCCTCGTCGCATCGTTTACGTCGCAGCCGACATGAATAGCAGCCAGTCTTGCCCCTTTCCACGCATGTCAGCTCCACGCCCTTCTCTACATTGCCCATCCAGAGATACACTCACCTGTGGATCTTCCTGCTTGCCTTGCCCGAAGACGGACTGGACGCTGCCGGCTCTTGATTATCCGGCACGGCTATCTGGTGGACTGGCGACGAGGATTCTCCCTGGGCGATGGCGGTGCCGAGTGAGGAGGTGGACCCCTCTGGCGAGTCCTCTGTCTGTTGCTGTTGAGCGATGGGGTCGAAGGCGTCCATGGTGTTATCAGATAAAGATACAGAAAGAAAATAAGTGACAGCAAGAGGACAGCAGCGGGGATTTCCGCCAAGCATTCCCCGCAGCCAAATGATAAATCTGTGTATTTCGGCTTTCACACCTCTCACCCGAACCACGTGCACAAAATGTTGGCTGACCTCACTGCCACAAACCCATCTATTGCATGCTGTATATATATTATTACCCCATCACAAACCCAGGCCCGCCCTTCAAGATCCTGCAAACACTCCTCCAGAACAAGCCCTCGGCCGTATCAATCTCTCCCTCCTGCCTGCTCAACCACCACCGCACCCTAAATACATCCCCTTCCCTCGTCCCCTCCTTCTCCTTCATGCGCTTCACCACCGTCTCCACCGCATCCTTCGCATTCCTCTTTGTCTCCACATCAATCGACTGCGTCGTGACCGCCCGGTGCCACCAGATACGGACAAGCAAGAGGACAGCCCGTTTGCCAGCTTCATCCGCCCGCCACGAATTCGTCCTCCGATCCGCCATCTCTGCCGCCTTCGTCCCTTCTATCAAGAACGACCACCCCACCTCCCTCGCAGCCCACGTCGTATACACCTCCGCCGTAACGAGGAACGTCTCCCTCCTCTCTGCCGCTACCGCCAATCTCGGCGAGAGACTCGCCATAAACAACGAAGCGTACGCGATACCGACGAGGGTCTCGTTTTTCGCCTTGGCGAGATCGGCGTTGGGGAGGGCGGAGGAGGAGAGGATGTTGAGGCTGATTTTGTATTGATGGACGGCGGATTCGAGGAGTTGCCAGGCGGAGCGGGCGAGGGCAGAGGAAGAGATGGAGGCTGAAGGAGACCCGTCATCCGAGCCGAGGGAGATGACAGACGCCCTGCGCGACCAGGCCGACTGCCCATCAGGCAAAACAAGCGATCCACCCGTCGACGATGCCCGCCGAGTCCTCTGGATATTGAGCCCATTCAGATGGTCCGCGTGCGGCTCGGGCGACAGCCCAGTATAGCTCTGCGAAAGGGGCGAGGCCAAGGACGACCGCCTCCTCTGCGCCCTATTCGAAGCTATATCCCCAGGCGAAGGGAGCCACGACCCCCTCCTCCCCGTAGCCGGTACACTCACACTCGACAAGAACCTGCCTCTATTCGGGAACGTCGACAGCTCCGCCCCCTCTGCTACCGCCCGCAACGCCGCACTCCCTTTCCTGGTCGACACCCCATCTGATCCGTTGGACGATGCGCTCTCCCTTCTCCCGGGGATACGCCAAGCAGCAGGCGCAGACGCAGGCCCAACGACCTTGAGCTGTCCTTCTTCAGGCTCGTCTTCTTCCCGGATCACATCAACTGAATCACGGATAGACGTCCGGCGGGTAGGCGTCCCGACTTTGCCAACACCCCCACTCCTCCTTCTAGGCTTCCTGTTCCTCCATACACCCCTCAGCAGATTGGCATAGAGCACCTCGGCATCACCGACCAGCTTGACCGACTCCCACGCCAACGTCGCCAGCGACCCAACCTTGCTTCCTCGCGCTTTCGCAACCCTCTCCCTACACTCAGTCGCCAACATCTCCATATCCGCCAACAGCGCCCTGAAATCTTCTTCATCCAGGGGCAGACCGAGCGTAAAGGTATGCCTCAGCCTCTCGAGCGATGATTTAGAGGAAGCATGTTGGACTCGGGCGATGAGGGTCGCGGTGGCGCTGGACGATTTGATCCTGGAAGTAGCAGCTACCGTCGCCATATTGCTCGCCTGGTCTAGCGCTTGCTCCGCCAGCTCGATATGCAATTCCACCCCTGGCAAGTCCATCGCAAAGGCCGAAACCTTGAGCGCCGCATCGCTCAGTTTGAGGAAGAGGTCCGCGGCGTCGGGCGAGAGCTGGGCAGCTTCGTTCGACGACATGGCGCGCATCTTGTCCATCCGGTCGGCAGCGACATCTTCCAGCATCGCCAGCGCCTCCCTCGCCAGCTCCCCAATCTCGCCCGACCATACCCGAGACTCATCCTCAATATAATCTTCCGTCTCATGCAAGATCGCAGACAATAGGCTACATCCCTCCGCCAACGTCTCTCGCGCCGTCAACGAGTGCGGCGCAAGCCCCACTAGTGTGCGCAACATGCCCACCGCATCTCTGAGGGACTCTGTGGCCACGCGAGGGGGCTGGTAGTTGTTCGCGAGCTGGATGAGGATACGCGATCGGCCGAGGAGGGCTTTCTTGTCGTTGCTGCGGAAATCCATGGCGAGGAGGAAGAGTTCGTTGGAGCGGTTGAGGTGGTGGTACGCTTTTTCGGTGCCGATTTTGTAGGTGGCGGCTTTGGTATCGTGGCCCAATGCACCTATACTCTATCAGCCAATACTCAAAAAAGGAAGTGCAGAAAAGACTCACCGTCCATACAAGACTCGTACGTATTATACCCCTTTCCCTTCCTCGCCTTCTCCCTCTCCGTCTCTTTCCTCTTCTCTCCCCTGTTGCCCGACAGCGACAGATCTTCCATCAACGTATCCATATGCGACATGCTCGCCTTCCCTCTCAGCCCCGGCCCCGCCCCATGCGCTAAACCTCTAGGCGACGCTGGCCCGCCAGCCCCAGGGGCTGTGGGAGAGCAAGGCGATGGTTCTGGGAAATAATTAGTCCTATGGCCAGGGGACCTAGTAGGCGTATATATCGCTTCCGTATTCGGCGAGATCATCGGCTCTTCCCCCCTCCTTCCTTCTTCCCCAGCTCCCACGGGTAGAGGCGGAGCCAGCTCCAGCCCTTTCGCATTCTCCCGCGAACCAGAGAACGACATCGGTATAGGCAGCGCTGTGGGTACTTGCCCTGGGTTGATGTTTGACGGGGATGCGGGGGAGGTGGGAGCGGTGGGGGAGTAGTCGTCGGGGAAGAAGGACGAAGAAGAGTGGGAGGTGGAGGATTTCCCAGATTTCGTCATGGGGTGGGAGACGGGGTCTGCCATTTTTGGCGTGTTCTGCTTCTTCAAGAAGAGAGTGGTGTCTTGCTTTGAGAAAAGAGATAGGTTTGAGACAAGTGACAAAGATTTATTGAAGCTCCGTGAAGTTTGCTCGATGAAGGAAGAGAGACAAGGGCCTTTTGGGTGATTGTCTCCTGGCGATCAAGGGACGAACCACAGACGGACAAGCCGGATTCTACTCGTTTGTAACCCTCTTCTTTTCCCGGCCCTCTTGCCTTTTCTAATGACAGTCAACGCCGTTTCTAATGACAGGGTTTAAATCCTATTGTCATCTCCGGTCCCAGCAGGATTGGACTGCGTTTGATTGGGCGAGCGTTCCCAGATTGGACGATAAGCTTCGGGGCTCAGTTCAGGGAGACGGACCGGGATGATGAAAGTCGAAGGCATCAACCCCGAGGCTTGCGGCAGCCGAGCAAGGCAGCGCGCAGTGAGAGAGTCCATACGTGCACACCTGTCCACTGCTCTCGTGCAGGGTCATGGCTGCCGTTGGGGTGCATCTCCAGTGTTCACTCGTGAAGTTTGACAAACAACGCACAGTTGAGTGTCTTACCCGGAAATGATCTGCAGGCACCCGAAACAAAATCGCCGCATCAGGCAATTCATGCTGGGCCGAAATCTCGTTTGTGGCGCTGCGACTTAAATAAATAGGCATGCGTTGTTCAAGGAGTAGATAGGCGCGGTGATCTCGGGAAGCCGCTGCCTGCCGGATGCCGAGTTCAGTTGTGCGACGAGTTTGGTAGTGGCGGTCATCGATGCTGCGATCCCGCAAATATTCATCATCTATTGCATTTGTATTCCCGTTGGAGAGAGACGTAGCAATATCACAACCAGCACTTTCAAAACACGCACATACCCCAAGTGTGTATCAAGCAATCCATCAGGCAACACAATTTGCCACTCGACATCGGTCCGCATCGGGCGAAATACAAACATCAATTACCGCCACTTTTCTTCCGCTATAGAACTTTTACAAAGATCATCATGGGCCCAGGACCTATTATCCTAGGCGGAATAGCTATCGTCGGCACGGGCTACGCATTCAAAAAGGTCAGTCCTCTTCTCCCTCCCATCATTTCTGGATCCGCATCAGCTGACGATCATTGACCAGTTTGTGTACGACCCCCACCTCGCACCTCTCATCGAAGCAGCCATAGAAGAAGCCCGCCATCGCTCTCGCAACCATCACTTCCCCTGGGAAACCCGCCCTCAGCCTCATGCCCAACATACGGAGCACGAAAGCGAGGCGATTGCGGTCCCAGTGTCAGCATCGACCACTGCCCTCTCTCCTGCGTACACGACCCTTCGAAGGCGGAGCGTGCAGAAGAATATAGACGGCTTTGAGATGGACTCTCGACCTCTTTCCCGTTCTATCTCGGGCCCGGGTTTGGAAAAGCAAGGTCCAAGCGATCGAAGAGGGTGGGATGGCGCAGAGCACGACCTCTTCCTCGATCCGCCTTCTAACGATACCGCCCGTATCTACCAAGAGAAATACCACCAGTCCTCTTCTTCTGCCTCTACGCCTCTCGGTGGTGCTGGGTTCGGTGCTCCAGAAAAGCCCTTGCCAGGAAGACCCGAATCAGCCCAAGACGCTGAAATCCGCTCTCTCCTCTTCGACGCACCTCATACCCCTTCTCACCCTGATCCTTCCCCTTTCCAGGGCCAAGAAGGAGTCCCATTCATGGCCATCTGCCCACCCCACCCCTCATCTTTTCTTCCCCACCACCCCAACCCCAACCCCAACCCCAGCTCGCCCTCCTACTCCTCCGCCGGCGCCGGCGTCCTCTCAGACGAAGGTACCGCCCCCAGCACGACATTCTCCTTCCTCTCCCTCTCTCCCTCCCAACTGCCTTCCCCCCAAACGCCAGCGAGGGCAATCCACGACCTTTCCTCCGCTTCTACCCCTACGCCCGTATCCCTCCTCTCACCTTCCACCTCCTCCCCTCCACCGTCCACATCCACCCTCGCAAACGACCTAGCACCCACCGACCTCGGCCTCACATTCATCCACCCCCACGTCCAAGCGCCTTCTTCCACTTTCTCATCCGCCTCCGACTCTGCGTTAGGTTCACTGAGAAGAGGGCCCATGAGTGTGGTTAGTATGAGCGAAGAGTCTGAAGGAGGGGAGGTTGGGGAAGGTGGGAGGGGTGATAGTGAGTGGGAGGAGGAGGATGGCTGGAGCGATGCTGGCCGGGTCTAAACCCTCTTCGTTCTTTTGGAAGTTGTTCCTCATATGGTGTATAGTCTATTTCTCATTTTGCTGCTGTATTTTACTCGTACTGTATCTCACAAGGGACTTACTTCCATGTCTCTATCCATTTCCTTGTATTGACATCCTTGTTCTTTTCTTTGCGCCGCACTACTTTTGTTGTCTATATACATGCTCATACCTTCCCCAAACATGTCATACACGTCCATCGCTCTCTCTTCCGTAAGCTCCTGCCGCCGTTCGTTGCAAGGCTTATCCTGCTCATCACGTCTCACGCCACCTGCGCCTCCGTGACCGAATGTTGACAAGCACTGACGGTGGAAAGTGAACGGGGATACCATGTTGTATTACATTCAATGTCAAGAGACTCTATAGATGACTCTGAAACCACAAAACCAAGGAGAGAGAAGTGATAACCAAAAGAACAGAAAAAAGAAAAGTCCGTGAAACCCTAGACACGAGAAGTACACCGGAAGGACAGAAACGAGATACAAATACACTTCTTCAACTATTCCATCTAGCCCCCTCATCTCTTTGAACACAACCTCACTCCCTTACCTGGGCACCGGCAAAAACTGCCCAATCACCACCGAAGGCAAATCAAACACATCCCTCCTTATCGTCAAACAACACGTACACCCTAACAACCCCATCCCGCCCGCTTCCTGATTCTGGTTGTAGTTGGGATTCGAATTGAACGAGGCAGAGGCATCAGGAGAGGTGGATAGGGAGATGGGCTGGAAAAAGTTTTGCGTCGTGTTCTCGAAGGCGTGGACTGAAAAGTTTTCCCAGTACGACACAACCCTATTGCCCAGCACGTCAGCCCCTGCTTTCACCGGCAATGAGAAGGGAAGGGAGACTCACGAAGGCTTATCAAACAACTCATAAATAAACTTGCCCTTCCCCACCAACTCGCCCTCCGACCTCTTGACCAAGCCCGCAAACTCGGGGTTCGCATAACATATCTCGCCCGTCCGCCTCCACACTGCCGTCGGGGTCGCAGAGTACGAAATGAGCTTTTCGAGCTCGAGGAGGGTGCGCTGGAAGGAACGTTCAAGGAAGACTTCGTCTTCTTCGGACATTGGCATTCTGCCGTGGGGCGTTAGTGGACTGGAATGGGAGTGTATAGAGGGAGGAGGCTTACTGGAGGGCGATGAGGGAGGGGCGGAAGGAGGCGAGAGATTGGACGACTCGAAGAACGTCGGGGGTTTCAAAGCTAGCGCTGGGTCAGCTATTGTCCGGATTGAAAGTGTCCGACTCACTGTTTGGCGAGATAATCCATCAAAACATGATACCCTTGCGTATAATCACTACCCAAAATCAGTCTCCTCCCTCATCCAAATCGAAGAAAAACTCACAAAGGCTTGATGACATTCCTGTAGATCTCCGAAGCCGTCCTCGGCCCCATCCCCATCCCCTGCCCCAACCGATTCTCCACCGCCCCCGGCCCCCTCATTTGGCCCAAATCGACCCCACTCCCGCACCCCACACCGCTCCCATCCAGCATAATCTGTCCCGCCGGTCCCGAGTCGGACCAACTCCCCCACGTCCCCGGCGACAGCCCACTTCCCGTCCCGCCGAATTCCGGCGAGATGCCATGTAAAGACGAGCCTGGGGGCGTTTGGAAAGTACCTTGGCTTTGCTGCGATTGGGGGGAAGGGTGCAGCCATGGTTGGTCGTACGTATTCTGTGAGAGGGTAGGGTTGGGGTGGGGGAGGGGCGTGTTGGCGAGGTCGAGAGGGTTGGAGTTGGCCAGAGAGTTGGAGCCGGAGAGGAGCTGTCGGCCGGCTTCGTCCAGGGGGTCGTTTAGCCCAGGGTAGACGGGGGAGAGGGAAGCAAACATGGCGTCCAGCATTTGATACTCATTGTTCGCGGCAGTACCGTTGATTCCGCCAGACGAAGCTGCTGATCGTCAACTATGAACACTATCAAGATCATAGACACTTACGGAACGAGCTTGGACCGAGATCTGTACCAGCCCAGATATCAGGCTGGGTGATATTGAGAGCAGTCGGCACATTGATCGGCTGTTGATCTCGGCCAACAGCGTTGGCAAGCCAGACGTCGTCGGATATTCGTGTAGGAGCGTCGTGCACAGTGTTGGAGAGTTGAGGAATTGCGGGAAGGGAAACAGTGGTTGACTGAGGAGTAGAGTGCATACTTGAAGCTTGGGACGGGCGGTTGGATACTGCGAAGGTCAGAAAAGGTTTTCAAAGGCCCAAAATAAGACATACCTCGCTCATCTCCTTCCATAAGATACTTGGCCTTCTTTCGTACACCCTCGACACACTTGTCTGCCATGCCCTTCTTGATACACCTCGTACACGGTCGTTCTAATCCTCATCAGCCCGGTCAAGCAAACTCGCAGAAAAACAGACTCACGTTCATCACAAGTCAAGTGACTCTTCTGACACGCCAAACAAGCCTTAGCCACCTTTTTTCTAGACTTTCTCTCCGACCCCAGCCCTTGCGGCTTTGCTTTCTGCAACTTGCTCTTCGGTCTTCCCAGTCCGGAATGGTTCTCAAAGATAGCCGGCAACATCGACTGATCAACAGACGCAATAGTCGGAGGCCTGCCCCCAAACGGATGACTCCCAGGGTGCATCCCCCCCGACACTCCAAACCCACTCGGGTTGACACTACTCCCCATGAACCCCGTATTCGCGTTCGCCCCTATCCGGCCCCCGGCACTGAGCCCAACACCAGCGGGTCCTTGGTGCGGCATAAAATTGAAAAGATGCGGGGAGCCGCCTTGGGATTGAGAGTGCGAGTGGGAGAGGGGGATGGAGGTGTAGGATTGGGGTGATTCGGCGGGGGATTGGGAGCCTGTTGGGTAGCCCCATTGGGCCTGACGTTCCTGCATCCGGGCGATGGCTTCGAGGTCTTGTGAATATGGAGACATGGTCGTTGTTTCGAGGCGGTTCGAAAGAGGAAAGGGAATCGAAAAGACGGGCGAATATATGGATGGGCGAGGTTTGATCGATGATCAGGCGGCAAGGACACAAAGACGATATGTCGAGGCGTCGTGGTCGTGGATCGTCCATGGCATCGACGTCAAAGCCGAGAATAGGAGATAGAGAAGAAGCCGAGTGCAATTGTCGGTCATTACGAGAATTCCAGCAGCCGGGAATAATTAGGGGCAAAGAAGTTGAGTTTGTGGAGGGTGATGGCAGGGAGAAGGGGGAGGGCAGGACATGGTCAACTTATTGTCCGCAGCAGGTGCTGGTAACGGCAACGCACCTGGCAAGAGAGGGGGTTGGCTAGCGAGAGCGGGGGCTGCTGGGTGTGATCGGCGAGTACGATCGGTGGGTGATGAAAAAAAAAAAACGCGTTTAGGCGGAGGACGCAAGAGCAAGAGAGCGCATTCGTTGCTTTTGGCTTCCGCTAATCACGCGCAGGCCATAGTCAAAATCGACGGGATCAAATGTTCCCTCGTCTCATGCCAACAGAGCCAGTTTCGTAAACAAAACGTAACACCATCATCGGTCTCCTCCATAGATCTCTGAACGAGCTCCGTAAGCGGCGAGCCAATGGATAGTGGCCGAAATCTGCCTATACAGCATATGCATCGTGCCACTGTTGGTAAAGCCAGATTCCAGAGATCTCACTGCCGGCAGTTGAACGCCGCGCCCCGCGCCGAACAACAACTCGATCAAAGATATCAAGATCTGCACCTGCTCAATATCATTGTCTCATGCTTAAAGGGAGAGATCTTCCTGGTGTTGAGGACACCGTGAGTCTCCTTTTCCAAATAACAGCTGTATCAGAGTAGAAGCATCGTCTGACAACGGCCGCCACATCATCGCTTGACACCTCGCACAGGTACACCTCTCTCGTCACCCCGTCCCAGGTGATAAAAAAATCAACGAGCTTATCCCGCTCGATAGGCACAGTCCGTCTATATTTCATTTGGTGCATCTGGGACCCTCCTTATCGAGATTGCAAAATTTGCCTCTTTGGAAAAGGAGTTCACAGAAACGATCTGCCTTTTCTCGTTGTCGGGCTTTGATTCGGTCGGCCTCCGATATCGGCTTTGACGTGCTCTTGCTGACGAAAACCAGTTCCATTATGTTGGGTGTGGCATGGACTGTTCATGGGGCCGGTACCCGGCATACGGCAAAGCGGAGAGTGTGGTCGTCTTCGCGCCATACTATAATAAGAGGCATGGTGAGATCTCATCGCTGAGCTACATACAGCCTTGCCATATACTTTTCGAGTACTCGTACCCGTACTTTTCGGGAAACGGAAACGGAAAAGTCAACAGCTCGATGAATGTCTTACACTCGCTCATCAAGGTTATCGTCCCGCTCCTTCCAGGCAATCTACCAGAGCTTCCATCTTCCCCCATAGGCAGTCACCACGGGAGACTCGGGACTAATCGACCAAGCTACCGACTTTCCTACCGACGTACCGATACTCCATTGCTCGCATGTCGTATGTCCAATACAAAAGAAAGAACCCGGCCGTATGGATAGCATATACCCGTATGATCATTGGATAACCGGCTGCCAGCTGGCCAGCGGCAACTCACTCGCCGTGTCCGTACAACTCTTTACTTTCTGGTCTCTCTGACACGTATTACAGGTAAAAACGTTATCGATCACGTTATAACTCCAAGGCACAGATAACGCTACATCTTTGGCCTTTGCGCTGCTGTGCTAAAGCATTCGGCACCTCCTTGCTCTTCAGAGATCGGTATTGGTATCTTATGTCTAAACTCGATCAAAGCAAGGGTGGGGTTCTATTTATCCGTCCATCCGTGGTCGGCTACCTACACATCAGCCAAGGTGCCGCAGAAGACAGCGAAAGAAAAAGAAGAGAGCGATCGTTATCTAAAGCCGAGTATTATCGAAGATCTCATGATCGGCGAAATCACCTGCTATGGCCTGTGGCCTGTGGCTGGGTGACTGACGCGGGATTCCAGCAACTGATATCATTCCAAGCTTTCGTAAGAGTCAGAATGTTATATCATGAATGCATCATCAAGAAAAGCTAGAAGACTGGACGAGGAGAGGAATGATGGAGAATTCCGAACAGGTCCCGTTTCCCCACAACACGTCTGATGGCACCCATGGCAATATCGCCAAGACGGCGGTGCCAGACGGCAATAGCTGAGCGCCGGCCAGTAGAAACAGTGGGCGCAATCACTGCAGGAAGAGCAGGAGTAGGCGGACGAGTGACTTCAAGAACCCAAGAGTTGGCGACGAGCTGGGCACGCAAAAGCGCAGGGTTGGAGGGAGGACCAATCACTCTAGTACCATCCTTGAGGGTCTGGCGATAGCCAAGAGCGTCGAAAGGGGTGGCCGACAAGAGGTTGAAGCCAAGCCCAGGGACCATGAAAACATTTTCCACAACAATAGGAACACCAAGGTTCCCAGACATATCACAACATCCTCTGCAAAGACCTTCCAACTGGACCAAATCGCTTCAAACTACCGTCGTCTTCCGACCCGAGGTCAAATGCATATACCGTTCATACTATCCGATCTATCTACGCTTCATAACCCACTCCAAGATCTCTCTACAGTATACTCATTCTCATTCTCTCCTCGCACAGCACAATGAAGCTAAGCGGAAGGCGCGCCAGGGACAGAAGTAGCCGCAGGAGCGGCACTGTCGGCAGCAGCAGCATCACGAGCCTTGGGTCGAGGGTCAATCTTCCTTGTGGGGTCTTGGAAGTACTGCAGGACTTCATCCGTCACCAACGCCCGGTTCTGCATAACCATCAGCATAGATTCCCAATACTCTCGGTGACGAGACGTATGAAAGAAGAACTCACCTTCTGGAACTCTGCCACAACCTCCTGAAGCTTCTCAATACAAGCCTCCTTCATCTGACTAGTACTCAGCGTACCCGCCCTATACTCATTCGCCAATCTCTCCATCTTCGCATCATCCTCCTCAAAGTACGTCAAATACTGATACGCGATATCCACATCCGGGTTGCCACCATCCCTCTCATGGATCTCCTTGCTCGCACCACCGCCAGAGAACGCGTGCGACTTGATCTTCTTGGCAATCTTTTTGGCGTCGTCGGTCATGAAGATGGCGGTGTGGTCCTTGGAGGCGGACATCTTGGTTCCGGCGCCTTGGAGGGCGGGGAGGAATTTGGAGTGGAGGAGGGCGGGCTTTTTGTAGCCCAGTCGGTCGGCGGAATCTCGGGTAAGGAGGAACTGCGGTGTGATGTCAGTCTGTGAACCAGATCGACAGAGAGGGGGCGCACGTAAGGGTCTTGGTCGATGGCACAAGGGATAAGAGCGGGGATGTCGTCACGAGTGCCAAAGATTTGAGGGAAAGAGTTGCAGAATGAGGGAGTGGCCTGGACGGCAGCAAAGTGGTACATGCCGACGTTGTCGCTGATACATGTCAGCTGTATGCCCAATAGTCGAGGGTCAACTTACGAGTCGGCGAAACCAAAGACGTTCTTGCTCTGACTGAGAGTGATAGTCTTGGAGATGAGCACAACATTTTCGTAGAAAGTGCCGCTACATCCAATCAGCTTCAGCCTCATCTCTGATACGAGCCACTCACCTGACATTGTTCAAATCCGAAAAGATAAAAGTCTTCTCGGGGATGACACCACAAGCAATGATATCCCTAATGTTCTCTTGCCCCATCTTCTTGTAGTGCCTCAACAGGTCGATAGGCTTCTTGATCTTGTTCTTCTTCATAAGATCGGCTTGCTTCTTGGCATCTCGCTCGAGGAGGTACTTTTCGTCATCGGTGACTTGAATCACGAGCGGTACGTTGAACACCCTCTGGAGGTACCTGCGCGGATGTCAGATACCGTAGAATTGAAGATTGATGCGACTCACGCAGTGAACATGAAGGGGACAAGGTGGCCCATGTGCATAGAGTCGGAACTGGGCCCTCGGCCAGTGTAAAGGTAGAACGGCTGGCCTTTCTCGTATCGGTCGAGAATGAGGTTGAAATCACTGTCCAGTACAGTCAGCGAGCGCCCCCTATAGCCTAATGAGACATACCGATGAGAGTAGAAAGTACCTCGCCTCATGAGAGGATGGGGCTTCTGGCCAGTAAGCCTCTCGAATCGCTCGAGCAAGTCTTGCTGGATGATGTTGGCGCCGAATCGCTTGGTGATCTTGTCATAGTCACTATACATCGTCAGTCAATGCGCCGTGAACCAGAACACAATACGTACATAGCCAGAAGCTTCCCTTCAGCATCAACACCGGCTTCAACGTCAAAAGGAGTGATCTTCTGCTCCTTGGCACCAGCAGCAGAAGGCTCGGGGGTCTCCTTGATAGTAGGCTCCTTGGGAGTTGAGGGCTCGCTAAACTTGAATCAGCAACATCCGGTACAGTAGAATAGGACTCACACTCTACTGCCATGTCTGGAGTGGGTCATCCTGGTAGGCTCCTTGACTGCCTCCGGTACCTCATCCGCCAGCTTGATCTTGTCCCAATCTTCTGCGCTCACCCCTGCCCTTCCACCATTGTGCTCCTGCGCAGACTGACTTCCTCCCTCATTCGGGCCAAAGATCCTCTCGGGCTGGGGAAACTTCATGTTGGAAAACTTTTCGGAAAGTTGCTCAGACATTGACTCTGATCGAGCCTTGTGACGAGCCTGGACGATAGCCTCAGGCTCGGGGCCAGAGATATCGCCAGTGTCGGTAGTGTCGGCGGACTGGGGAGAGAAAGGGTCGTTCTTGGGAGGAGGGAGGTTTTTGGTGTTGAGATGGAGGTGGGTGGGCGCGGGCAGGTCGAGCTTGGAAAGTTCGGACGCGATAGCGCCCGGGGTCATGGTACCCGACTGTGAGGGTCTGTCGGGGGCCTGCATCGGGGGAGTGTGTGGGGAGTTCTTGGGGATGAGGCGGGAAAGAGTTGTGGTAAAGGCCTTGAAGAGGCGTGGGGCTGGGAGCATGTACGTGTGAAAGAAACCAACAGCAGAAATCTCGCCGTCCAGAGTCGTGAGCCGTTTGCGGGCGCCCCACCAATAGAGATTGCTTCCGTTACTTATCGCTTCTGCAGTCAAATCAGGCTTCCGGGCTCTTGCAAGGCGTGTTGAATTCAAGATTGATGGGCATGATGATTTCCACCGTACATGTATGCGTCTATGGGCAGCTGTTTGAGATATCACGGGAGGTAGCAAAAAGAGCAAAAAGACAAGGACCGACAGGATTCGAACCCGTGACCGCAAGATGAAACTCCAGTTTTTAAGACCTCGAAGTCTTGAATGCTACCACTGCAACACAGTCCCTTGTTGATGTATGAGTGGTTTTAAGTAATTGACATACCATGATTATACAAAACCCACACCGCCGATCAATGGGAGAGATCCGATTTGTTTTGTTTCACAATATTTCTGAAATATTTGTTGACAACTCAAAGGCTTACACAGCGCCTCCCTCAACACATCGCAATGGTCCCCCAAGTGCACCGACTGCTACGACAAAACTCGCTCCTCTCTATCCGGCCCAGAACGACATCCATCTCCCCATCTACATCCCTCCTCCGCCGGTCAGTGGCCACCGAAAATAAGATCCACCAGCCAGTCCATCCAGAGCTCGACGATAGCTTCAAGGACCTCATCGAAAATGGCATGGCCATGGGTATGGGTTTGAAGGGGAAGGACAGGGTCTCATTGCCGCGGAGAATACTGGAGGAGCTGGAATATGCGGATGTTCGAGATTCAAACGGCGGCATGGAGCTTGAGGGGTCCTTGATTGAACTTTCAACACTTGGGGATGGGCTTGTGATAGATGAGCCACCATCAGACGTCAGGGCTAAAGCTGAGGAGAAGTATGATGCGTATGGGAGGGAGGAACGGAGAAGTCCAGCAGCTGTTCTGGGCAGCAAGAGACTAGGTATGGTCGTGCTTCCGGAGGAAATGCGCGATGGTATCCAGAGACAAATCAGCAGTGAGTGTCCTTGGTCCTTGTTGTCTCAATACTTATTTGGTATAGTGCTCGACAACCCACGGGACCTACGGAAATCATACCTCTCATTACCAGACATGCCCCTCCCCGCCAACGCCCCCAAACCAAACCCCCGCGAAAAGACCTTCCGAACCCCCGAAGGCGAGCTCGCCAAAGCCTCTGCAATTCTCCCCGGAGAGTACAGTACAGTCAAGAATGTCTTGGAGGAGATGGAGAGGCGGCTGGGCTCGGCGTGGACAAAGGGCGTGAAAGAAGGAGAGATTCTCGAGTTCTCTCCGGGGCTTGGGTCTGGGTTGTGGTAAGTCGTCGTGCCCTGGTGCCTATCAAGACTTACGGTTCTCTAGGGCATCTCTGGATACTTTTGGCGGACTTCATTCGACTCGCCGGCTGTCAGAACATGGCCAGCCGCCTTTGAAGTACCAATTCGTACACCCGTCTCGGCACGGTCTTGATCTGCTTCAGAAAATCACCGAAGGTGCGTCCCCACTACCCAGATACCCAAGGCAGTCATTGATAGCAACCCCTAAAGCGATTCCCAAAGAGAGCGCCAACATTCAATACAACCGCAAACACTCCCCCACCTCCACCCCCTCCCTCATCCTATCCACATTTCACCTCGCCTCCTTCCCCACCCCCCAAACCCAACAACTCTACCTCCGCCAACTCCTCTCTTTCGACTCTCCCTACATCATCATCATCGACCGCGCAACCCCCCAAGGGTGGGCTGCTATCTCCAAAGCCCGGTCTTACATTCTGCAACAGTCCACACCGGAAAATCCTTTGCATATCGCTGCGCCTTGTCCGCATGATTCGAAATGTCCTCTTCTCAATACGAGAGAAGTTTGTGGCTATACTCAACGCCTGCAACGACCGTCTTTCTTGCGAAAGACGAAACACTCTACTCGCGGGGAAGAACTGAAGGGGTACTGCTACCTCGTCGTCGCTAAAGGTGAACGACCCGTAGCCGGGGAAGTCCCCGAAAGTATCAAAGCCGCTGGCCGAATGGGCAAAGTCGGGAGAGAGGCCGCTGAGAAAGCACTCGCAAAGTCACAAGGAAGGGCGGTGCTGAGAGAGGTTGAAGGGCACGAAGCTATTCTCGAGGTGGTTCCAGAGTACGAAGCGGCGCCAGAGCAGAATGCCGCGGCTAAGGTGGACGAGGCAGAGTTGGAGATGAGGTTGAGGAAGGAAGCGTATAGCTGGCCGAGATTGGTGGCTTCGCCCTTGAAGAGGAAGGGGCATGTCACGATGGATGCTTGTACTGCTGAAGGTATGTCGAGTCTCCCATCTGACTATACTGAGGGCTAACTAGCAACTCAAGGTAATATTCAAAGAATCACATTCTCCAAATCCCTCTCGAAACAAAGCTACCACGATGCCCGTAAAGCCTCCTGGGGCGACCTTTTCCCTTACTCCCCCAAAGCCAAGCCTGTCATACGCGACCGGGGCATCAGGCGCCTGAACCAACCCGAGAACTCTGAGGATAGCGATGCTCTCATCGCGGAGCTCCTGGAAGCCAATGCTGAAGAGGAGATGGACGAGAGGAGCAGCTTGGAAGAGCTGGAGGCGATGGGAATCAAGTTGCCTCAAGCGGAAATTGTCCGGGAGACGCAGGGACCGTTTGCGAAAGGTCAGAGGCGAAGGTATACCACGGCCAGCCATCTTCGGCCGCTCTCCCGCCCTTCTGCCCCCTCGCAACGGCGCTCCATGTCTGCTCGACCCGCCGCCTCCCCTCAGACTATCCGAACCAAAAAGACTCTGGCGTCTCTTCTGACCCAGGCTCAATCGGGCGAGCCCATCACCTGTCTGACAGCGTACGACTACCCCACCGCCCTCCTATCCCAGACATGCGGCCTCGACATGTGTCTTGTCGGCGACTCTCTCTCCCAAGTATCTCTCGGACACGAAACGACCACATCCGTCACTCTCGACGACATCATCCACCACGCTCGCGCCGTCGTCCGCGGAGCTAAATCACCTTTCGTCTTTGCCGACATGCCCTTCGGTTCCTTCGAAGCCTCTATGGAGGAAGGTGTCCGGAATGCTTTGCGTATGATCAAGGAAGCAGGCGTGGACGGTATCAAGATTGAAGGCGGTCTCGAGATTGTCCCCCTCGTCCAGCGATTGACGTCAATCGGTATCCCCGTCATGCCTCATATCGGTCTTCAGCCCCAAAGAGCTGTCTCCCTCTCTGGCTATCTCGTCCAAGGCCGCACTGCTGCGTCTGCTTACGAGACGATTCAGACAGCGCGTGCTCTGGCAGATGCGGGAGCATTTGCTTTCCTTTTGGAGGCCATGCCGAGGGATCTGGGCAAGTTGATCACAGAGGAGATGGTGAAACGAGGGATATTTACTATCGGAATTGGGGCAGGGAAAGGGACGAGCGGTCAAGTTTTGGTGGTCACCGATGTTCTTGGCATCTATGCCGACGATCCCTTGGACTCTACACCTGCAGTGTCGCCGGAAACGACCACCGTACCAGCGTCTGCAGCAGAAATGGTCAAGCCTGCCTTTGCGCCGCGGTTCGTCAGGCAGTACGGTAATCTTGGGGCAGAGATGCGGAGAGCAGTGAGAGGGTATGTGGCTAGCGTGCGTGATGGGAGCTTTCCGTCGACCAAGGAAAGCTATGGGATGAAGAAGGAGGAGTGGGAAGGGTTTTTGAGGTTGTTGGAGATAGAGAAGGCGGAGAGGTGAGGAAAATGTTCAAACAAGGGTCCATCAGTAATTCATAATGAGCATCTCAAGCATCATCAATCATTTGTAACATTACCAAACAATGCATTTTGACACCCACTCATATACCCAAAACATGCTAGTATGTGCGGTCCGTCATTGTACAACATCTTAATTGTCGTCAGAGATCGTTTCATTCTACCGTCGTCCCCTTCCCCGGCCTCTCGCGTTTCCCCTCGAAGATGATCCTCCTCCTCCCGCGTCCGGATTGGGACATGCGCTCGCCCAATGTCCACCTTGCCCGCACTTGAAGCACTCTAAACACGTCCGTCAGAATCCGGCTGATCTGTCAAGAATGCTAAGGACTCACCGCCGATGACTCCGCTGCCTCCTCCGCCCCCTCTTGCGGGCGCTTTGCCCTTCTTCGCCCCGCCTCGCGACGATCCACCCCCTCTCGAGCCCCCGCCACCTCCCCATCCTGCTCCTCCTCCGCCACCCCCGCCATTCTTGGGTTGGGGGCACGCGCTGGACCAATGACCCGATTGACCACAGTTGAAACACTCTGTCCATCTTTGTCAGTCCCGCTTTCCGAAATGTGTATATGAATGCTTACCTCCAGCTTGACCACCACCACCCCCTCCATTGCCATACCCTCCTCCTCCCCCATCTTCGCGCGCCCCTCCTCGACCGCCTGCGTGCCCACTGCCACCTCCGCCTTCCATTTCGTCATCCCACGAGAAGAACTTGCATCTCGCCCGCGGATTATTGGGACATGACCTACCCCTTCCATCAGCCACTGCTTATCTCCGCACTGTGTCAGAGGACGTACCAAAACTTTCTACCCTTGTTCGGTCCTTCTTTGTTGACAGAATTACACACTGCCTCAAGCCCGCAATCGCACTTGACATCTCCATCTCCACCGCCGTTCCCATTACCATTTGAAGGCCCCGCGTTGTCTCGAGCCTAACAGGAACTTGTATCAGCCTCATGACCAAGTTGACAAGCGGTCGACTTACGTTGATGCGAGGTTTCTTAGAAGGTGGCGCTTGACCTCCGCCATCCTGGTCGGCCCATTCCTATCCAACTGTATCAGCCACAGAAAATTGCACCAGATGAGAATGACTCACAAAGAAACCACATTGATCTGCTTGGGGCTTGGAACAAGTCCAGAACGACCGTCCCTTGTGCGCCGAGTCCGCCTTTTGCACCACCCTCGATACAGCCTCTTGCCCGCAATTGCACATCTTGTCGTCTGCGTCTTGCTGTCGCGCTGCTACACCAGTATCAGCCCCACTTCAAAATATCACTAGAAAATAGGAGAGAGAAGAGAGACAGACCTGATGGTGATCTCGCCCGTCTCGCAGGCGCCACAGTCCCCGCACCCCTCCCCCTCCCTCTCGCCGCACCTCCCCTCCCCCTCCCACCGCCTCTCCCCGGCCCGGGATCACTATCCTCATCGCTATCCTCCTCATCATCCCTTCTTCCTCTTCCTCTCGGCGCACCCCCACCACCCCCAGCTCCACCCCCTCGTCCAGCCCCACCCCCACCCCCTCGCGCCCCGCGCCCCGCTCCTCCCCTCGCACCCCTCGCTTCCCCACGCGCCGCTCCCCTAGCGCCCCGAGCTGCGCCCCGACCGCGGTTCATAGCCCTCAACGCTTGCTGTGCTTCCCCTTGTCCAGTGAGATAACTTTGAACGCACTATCACACAATATCAGCACTCCCTCGAGCAGGTCCAAAAAGGGGAAGAGGGAAGAAGAGGAAGAGGGACGTACGTCGGTAATAGTCTGAAACTCTTGTCTAGCCCGCACAAAGATATCTTTATACTCATCAATCGTCTGCGCCAGGATCTGCCCCTTATTCCGTCCCTCGCAAATGAGCTTCATCCTATGTTCCGTCTTTCCTTCCATCAGCTTACCCCAAACTCCCCCAGGAGGAACAAGTGCAAGACTCACCTCTCTTCTCAAATGCGGTTTACTCAAACTCCTATCAAACCCAATCTCATTAAACCCCTCCACCAGCCCCACCCCAAGCGTCGAAGGCAAGAGATACTTGATACGCGCTTCTTGTTTTTCCGTGACGTATTCGCGTTCGATGATGGTGGCTATATGTTGTGCTATCGTCGCGTCCGTACCTATTCCATACCAATATATTAGCCTTGCATATCCAAGCCCGGGTGGAGGAAGACGAAGAAGGAGAAGAAGGAGAAGAAGGAGAAGGAGCGACGTACCGATCCCATTCTTATCCATCAACCCCACCAAATCCGCCTCCGTCAACAACTTTGGCCTCGTCGTCTCCCCCTCCTTCAACTCCACCACCCCCGGCCAAAACCGCTCCCCCTCCTCAAAATCAGGCAACCCCCGCCCCTCCCACCTCTCATACACATACACCTCCAAATACGCCTTATCCGCCACCACCAGCCCGCTCGTCGAAAAAAGTTCGCCGGCAATGTCGATGGTGACGGTGGTGGACCGGCCGGTGGCGTTGTGCGAGCAGGACGCGAGGAAACGGCGGGTGATCAGGGCGTAGACGGCGGCTTCTTGCGGGGAGAGGACGGTGGGGGAGGCGTGGGCGGTGGGGTGGATTGGGGGGTGGGCTTTATCGTTTTTGCGGCCGTTTCGGGGACGTTGGAATGCACCGTTCAGCAAGCTACACGCCGTTAATATCAGTCATGAAAAGGGGGTGGAGGTGTGGAGGGGAGGGCGAACGTACTTGCGAGAATAATCTCCCCACAGCTCACTGTGCGTCTGTTTCTCAATGAGCGAGTTGAAATCAAAACTCGGATCATATTGATCCGTCTCTGTCCTAGGGTACGAAACAAACCCTTTCTGATACAACTTCTCCGCATGCTAAAACCATATCGTCAGCTCCATCCTATCCTGCTTTTCAGGTGAGTGGAACGAGTGGAGGGCGAGAGGACTAACGTCGAGGATTTGTTTAGGAGTCATATGCAGGAGACGCGAACCGGACTGTTGAAGCTCGACAGTAGTCAATGGTAACGGTTTCCTACACCCCCCATCAGCACTCCTGTCTGTCCTCCAAGTAAAGCCAGACTGACCACTTGGTAGCAGGTTTACTCTCAACCTTGATAACCTCCGCCTCCGGATCTTCCGCACACCCCTCAAAGAGCATCACAGCCACTTCCAAATCAAACAGATGACCTCGCTTCCATTTGAACTCTACAATCTCTTCTTCCCCTGCTCCCCTTCCCCGTCCTCCTCTTCCTCTTCCCCTTCCCCTTCTTTCACCTTGCGCCTCTTGGACGGTATCATCGTCGAAAGCGTTATCGTTGTCGTTTTGGCGAGGAAGGGTAACGTGGATGTACCAAAACGCTTCAGGCGAGAACGCTTGTACGCGGGTATACTGATCCACCACAAACCCCAACGTCGGGAACTGACATGGCCCTATCAACCCATCAACCCATCAGCTTTCTTCCACCTCTCATTCTACATCAAAGCCGGATAGACGTAGGGGGCTCACCGTAAGAAATAACCTGATTACCAAACTCTGGTATCCTAGCTTGCAGCGTCATTGTCGTCAGACGCGTAAAGGCCGAGCCGATACGCAGGTCTAGAGCTATACGGGTTGCTACGGCGTCTGCCTGTCTTTGGTCTAGGTTGTCGGCGTTGCAGCATGCTCTATGTATTTGTCTATAGCTCTTTTAGCCTCTGTCCGGAGGTCTGAAGAGTGAAGAAGAAGGAGAAGGAATGGACGTACGGTGGAATGATAGCACTGAACCTCGCCCTCTTGACAACAATCCTCGGATTCCCCTTCTTACACGCCTCCACAACCTCAGCGCCTATATGTTCTCCTTCGCGATCACAATCTGTCCAGATCATGAGCATGTCGGCGTTGCGAGCTTCGTTTCTGAGATTGCGTTCGACTGATTTCAGTTTCTACTCCCAGCGTCCGTCAGTAAAGCGCCACGAGGGAGGCGTAAGAAGGAAAGGAGGGAGAGGTACCTGATCGACGTAGGTGATGATGGGGGCTTCGAAAAGGGCGAAGGCTTCGCAAGACCCCCATTTGCGGTGATCATCGTCAAAGTCCTATACCGCGTCAATTGCCGGTCCATCTTATCAAGATCCCAACTCACGCTCGAAGTGAGATGTCCTAATACGGCAGTCACAGTCATATCAACATCCCTGCCCTGCCCAAGTGGTGGCGGCAGCCTATAAGGAAAATCATAGTTTCTGATATAGTCATGCCCACTATTACGCTAAGAACCCCCAGTTCAGCTCTTGTCAACAAAACCCTCCAAAAGACAGGAAAAGACGAACGGTGTTCCAATGGCCGTTTGAGAGGATCTGTGTGATGCTCTTGGCTATGCTGGGTTTCTCTGCGACGCAAAGGACTCTCATGGCGTAGTGGTGCGCGGCATGCTTTGTGTTTCGGGTTGGGGGATGAGAAAGATGGAGATGCAAGATCAGACGCGTCGCATCCACGCGTCGGGTGATGTCAACCGCAGGATATATTGTCCGGGGCTGTGGCTGCTGGATGCACTCTGTCCTTGTCACTGTACCACTATGCATCGACCCCCTGTTGTCATTCAGGCTATACCCCGACGCCGTAGTAGATAGCCGTGGTTTTCCAATCTGGAATTGGAACCAGCGACGACATTTCCAAGAGCGGATCGCACCATGGGAATGTCACCGATGCATATATAGCCCCCTCCCGCCCCTCTTTCCCTCTTCCCCTCCCCTCCCCTCCCCCTCGTTCCACCATCCACTTCCACCAGTTCACCACCAAGCCCGTCGCCCCAACAGCCCGCCTTAAATCACCCCCGCACTCAATCGTCACCGTACCTGGCCACGATCACCACTCGCAAAAAAAGAAAGGACCGAAATCTTTTCTATTTTTTTCTCCATCGCTCCCATGCCCAGGCCTCTTCTCGCCGCTCTCCGCACATCCATCCGTCCAGCCGTCACCAGAAACTTCAGAATGTCCTCTTCCATCCCCGTCCCTCAGGATTTCGTACGTCCCGGCTCTGCCGCGTTACCGCTCTCTTTCGACTCGGCGCTGACATTTGCCCCAGAACGCTGCCCTCTACAAGCCCTTGGCTGAGGCTGACCCCGAGATCTCTTCTCTCATCGAGAAGGAGACCTGGAGACAGTTCTCTGGTCTCGAGCTCATCGCTTCCGAGGTACGTCCCCCATCTCCACAATCTGTCTTGATCGCTGACTCGATCGCCAGAACTTGACCTCTCTCGCCGTCATGGAGGCCAACGGTTCCATCCTCACCAACAAGTACTCTGAGGGTCTCCCCGGTGCCCGATACTACGGTGGTAACGAGTTTATCGATGTCATCGAGAACCTCACCAAGGAGCGTGCTTTGAAGGCGTTCAACCTCGACCCCAAGGTCTGGGGTGTCAACGTCCAGCCTTACTCTGGTTCCACCGCCAAGTAAGTAGCCTCTCTATCGTAAAGCACCACCATTGACACGTATACAGCTTTGCCGCCTTCACCGCCCTCATCAGCCCCCAGGACCGTATCATGGGTCTCGGTCTCCCCGACGGTGGTCACCTCACCCACGGCTACTACACCGCCAAGAAGAAGATCACCGCCTCTTCCATCTACTTCCAGTCCTTCCCCTACCGCGTCGACCCCAAGACCGGTATCATCGACTACCCCCAGCTCGAGACCAACGCCAACCTCTACAAGCCCCGTCTCGTCGTCTGCGGCGGTTCCGCCTACCCCCGTGACTGGGACTACGCCCGTCTCCGCAAGATCGCCGACGCCCAGGGCGCCTACCTCTTGTCCGACATGGCCCACATCTCCGGCCTCGTCGCCGCCGCCGAGCAGAACTCGCCCTTTGAGTACTGCGACGTCGTCACCACCACCACCCACAAGACCCTCCGTGGTCCCCGTGCCGGTCTCATCTTCTTCCGCAAGGACAAGGAGGCCGACCTCGAGGCGCGCGTCAATGCCGCCGTCTTCCCCGCGTGCCAGGGTGGGCCCCACAACAACACTATCGCCGGTATCGCCGTCGCCCTCAAGCAGGCTGCCGACCCCGCGTTCAAGGCCTACGCCAAGCAGGTCCGCGCCAACGCCGCGGCTATGGCTGCCGTCCTCTTCAAGCACGGCTACAACCTCCAGACCGACGGTACCGAGAACCATTTGATTCTCTGGGACCTCAGGCCCATCGGCTTGACTGGTTCCAAGGTCGAGAAGATCTGTGATGCCGCTCACATCACCTTGAACAAGAACGCCGTTGCCGGTGACAGTACGTCCCCCCCCCTTTCCCCCTCCCTTCTCCCTTTACTGACCTTGTGCAGCTTCCGCCCTCGTCCCCGGCGGTGTCCGAATCGGCACCTCCGCCCTCACCTCCCGCTCCATGGTCGAAGCCGACGTCGAACAAGTCGCCGAGTTCCTCCACCGCGTCGTCCAGATCGCGCTCAAGACCCAGCAAGAGGCCGGCAGCAAGCTCCTCAAGGACTTTGTCAAGGCTTACGAAGGCGAGGGTGAGGCGTCCAAGCTTATTGCAGAGTTGAAGGAGGATGTGGTCAAGTTTGCGACTTCGTTCCCTTTGCCTGGTGTGCCTGACACTGTGAGTTCCTCTTTTCGCTTTTTTGGAATGTGGGGGTGCAAAGCTGATGAGGGGAATAGTCCAAGATCGTCCGACCCGAGGGCGTCTCCGTCTAAGCTCCTCCCCATCTCGAGCAAGCTTGAACGTGCAGATAGGGGTGTATAGAAATTTGTGTAGCGCAAGTAAGAAAGTAGTACAAACCAAAACCAAAAAGCATAACATTATCTTCATTCTTATCATATAGGGAACGGAGAAAGACAAGCCATCTCATCATGGTTCTTTCCTACCGTCATTTTTCTCTTCATTCTTTTCTTATTGATCTTTTTGTATAACGCTCATGATTATGTCATTCATCTGATCCAAAATCCATTCGTGCTGCAGTGTTTTCCATCAGTGTTGTTTTTTCGTACGATCGGGCTGCAGCATCTTCGCAGTACTACTGGAGTATTGTACGAGTACACTTTCACAACCTCGTCAAACCGCTCGCGTCATCTTGCCAACACTGTATATCGTCTGGCCCATCCGGTGACGTAGGCACTGTACTTGTACTTGTACTACACGATTCTGATACATAAGGGTTAGACCGGCGTACAGGCATGCATAGCAGTACGTACTTGAATAGTTCGGGAAACTCCTCCAGGTTCTTCGGTCAGGTACAACGCCCGGACCGGGAAACGTCCCCAAAGTCCTATTGTTCGCCCCAGGAAACGATATGCACTGTCCTCTCATCTCTCAGGGCTACATCCAGCATATGGATGCTGGTGCCGTTCATCCCTGAAGAAAAGGTCAATGCATGAAGCTTGGGAAATGGTACATTTATGTATAAAGACGGAGCACATCAGGGGGTTAGTTGCCCCTCTTCTTTCTCTTCTTTCAGACTTGGACGGTCTATGTATGGTGTGCGCTATGCCACTGTAAGATAGACCAGGTCTCGTGAGTATCGGTCCTCCCTCTGCCGATTAATCATCCTTCACATAACTGTACTTCTCTACTTCCGTCACCACCTGTCCTCTCCTCTTTCAGCCGGTCTTCTTCTCTCCAGACCCCTTTTGCGATCCCTTGCCCCCCCTTCGGCTCCCCCATTCGGCTCCCCCCGGCCCCCTTTGCTCTCCCCCTGCCCCTCCCTGTCCCCCATGCTCTCCCCACCTCGTCATTCTCAACGTTTGGCGGCTGTAATCAGTACGAGTACGGGATAGTGTGCTTAACGCGTATCGCGCCGAGCTGGAGACTCTCAAGTCCTCCAGCGCCTCCCAAGCCAACAACCTTCTCCTCTCCGCTCAGCACCTTCACCTCCCTTATACCACCAACCCACCCCTCGCTCTCGATGGGGGCCCAGATTCACGACATCGACGACCAGGAAGGAATCACGAAAACCGTTCACAGCCCCCACCCCTTCCCATCAAGACCTCTGAAGACATCTTTTCTTCGTTTCAGAGACGGAAGTCGATCTTTGAATTCTACCGCGCGTCTGTCCTTTCACTTTACCTCGAATTACGTATATGGCATAAAACTGACGACATCTTACCAGCATTGTGCGCCCCCACAAGCATCCTGGCTCCTCTTCCAATCCCCGGACCCGCGGTAGGCTTCTCCGCCGCACAGTGGTTGGACCTACATCGCAACCGTCTTGCTTTCTCGCCTGTTTGGGCGCCCACTATTGCTACACCCCCTTCGCTCTGGCGTTTTTCCTATTCATCGGGGTCGGGGCCTCTCGGCGGAAGGGGCTCATGAAGCACTACAATTTCCTCATTTCTTATCGTTGAGAGAAAGAAGCCAAGTATAGTTTCTTCATGGGGCTTTTCCGGTGGGAGGCTCTGGCCCCGTTGGGAAAGAGTGCAGGTGGTCGATCAAGCCGGAGCGGAGGAGACGGAGGGGTGTTTGGTGGTGGTATCGGTATTGGTTAGAATGTACATTTGCGACGAATGCGTTTGATTGGATATGATGGGTTCATCTATACCTGCGTGATGCAGTCCCACTTTCCTGCTCGAGCACCAATGACTCGAGGACGGTCTCCGGAATGACGCACAAACCCGGCCCTCACTGCACCCGCTCACACCTTCCCTCGTCCTTCCCTCCCACCTTGACGTCTTCCAAAAGAGCAGAGCCAAAGGTGTACATGGGTATCGATATATGGTTACAACACGTTTCTGCCTTCTGCTTAAACACCTGCACTGGGAGAAAGGCTAAAGACGATAATCAAGGATGGGATGGATGGCTCTTAAGCAAAGTGGCTGAAAGGGACAGTCAGTATACAGCCGATGACGAATGGGTGGACTTACATGCCCTCAACGTTGAATGCAGCGAGCAACCTGCACAAATGTCAGCTTCCAAGCGGGACAAAGAAAGGGAAGAAAACGAGGAAGAGAGTGGATGAGAAGGCTCACTTCAAGAGATCATCAACGTCCATCTTTTGCGCACGGTTATCGGAGAAACCAGTGTCGATCAAGATCGCGTCGACCTTTTCTTTGATGTCAAACATGTCGTCGATGATCTTTGACCAGTCAGCTCTTCCTCTACAAAAACCCCCAAAAGAGAGAAGAAGGCTCACATTTCCGTTCTCGGCACACCACGTCCTATAATTCTTCTCCAACATCTCAAACACCCCCTTCGCCCTGAACCCCGCCCTCAACGTCTTATTCGCCCTACTAAATATAATCCTATTCAACCCATCAAACTCTTCAAACTTGACCGGCGGCGGCGGGTCCCTTGGCATGATCCTCACCACCGACGACTCCACCTGCGGGGGCGGGCGGAAATTGCCCTTGCCGACTTTCATGACGTGCTCGACGCGGGCGTAGAGCTGGACGTTGGCGGCGAGACGGCCCCAGAGTTTGGTGTTGGGTGTGGCGACGAGGCGGAGGGCGAATTCGCGTTGGAACATGAGGACGGCGCAGCGGGGGATGGGGCGTTGGGAGAGGAGTTTGAATACGAGGGGGGAGGAGATCTGCGGATCGTCAGATGAGGAAGATAAGGGAGGGGGAGGGGGAGGGGGACGTACTTGGTACGGAGTGTTGGAGATCAGGACGTCAAAGTAGGGCAGCTCGGCTTTGACGAAATCACCAAGAATGATTTCCAACTTTTTCTGTTCAGGCCTGCCTCCCATCAGCACCCCAACATAACCCTGTAGCGAACGAAGACACTCACTTTCCCAAGACACGTTTCTGCACTTCGGCAGCCATCCGCGGGTCCATCTCCACAGCTACCACCTTCCTGCATGACGGCAGGATCCTGACAGTCAGGTTACCAGTACCAGGACCGACTTCAAGCACGACGTCGGTGGGTTTCAAATTCGCCTTGTCCACAATTCTACACTCTTATCAGCACTGCCGATCACAACACACGATGGAGACATACCCCTGAGCGACAAGAGGGTTCGTCAAGATATGCTGCCCAAACCGAGCAGTATCAAACAGATGATTCCTGGCGCCTCCAGCCGCTGCGGCAGAAGCGTCCCCGCCGGTCTTTTTGGGGCGCTGGGAGGCGGAGGTGGGGGCGGCCTTGAAGGTGGAGGAAGTGGCCTTGGGCATGGTGGTTGTTATGTAGGGGACAGTGACGAGAGAGAACCAAATGTCGAGAGCTGTAACTTTTGCGGTGTCACGTGATTTTGACGCGTCGGGTCTCGCCGAAGTGGCACCGGGCTGTGAATGATCTCTTTGTTATGTCCACGCTGGTACTCTATGCATGGGGTGATACTGCCAGCATTCTCATTCATATCCTTTTCTCACCTTATCATACAGTATGCACTGATACCCGGCACAAGCAAGCCCCGGCAGCCATGGCTTGCCTTCGCCCGTCGCCAAGGTCAGTCCAGGATCGGCGCCACCCGCTATATTCTTGACGATCAACAGCTCATAGGATCCTAACACCTCTCTCTTTCTTACCTCCATCTCCTCGCGCTCGTGCCCAGCTGGTGGACTATGCCGCTCTCCTCGCAAGATGTTCCCCCTCCGACATCTCTCTCCCTTCTCTCCCGCCCTCTTTCCTCTTTCCCCTCCCGTCGTTCCGGCTGCCCCTCCTTCGGCTGTCCCTCCTCCGACTTCACCATCATCTCTCCAGCATACCCTTCCTCGCCCGACCATACCCCCGGCGCCCCCTCTGCCCGTACGTCACACTCGCTTTCCCCCGTATCTCGGTGTCCAGGTAGTGACTGACGTTATGCACCAGATCCCTCCCAGATGTTCCCATGGCTCAACCACCGCCCACTCCTGCGTCTGAGAGCCCTCCCCTGGCCTGGTACCATGTTACCTATGGACATTTCTTCACTCATGGATATCAGGCTTGCCCGATTGCAGCGCGGACGCTGGCGACCCGTCCCTGGACGTCGCTCTCCCCACTCGTCGAATCACAAACGCAGGCACCATCCAGCCCATGGACACTCTGATACCTCCTCGTCGACCAGCATCTGCAATACACTTGCGAATACGGCAAGTAAGTGCTCTGACCATCTCGGGGCGGCGTAGAAAGACACGGCGCCGCCTCCACCCGCGATTCCCGTCCGGCACACACCCAAAAGACGGGTGAGCAGGCCTGGGTGATGGGTGCGCGGAAAAGGGGGATGTCGGTAAGTCCTTCTCATATCTTGACTACCAGCCTGCGATCATCGCTAATGACCAGCAGCCGCTCATGTCGGACGAAAAGTGGTTGAAGAAGATGGTACAGCCATAAAAGGGCTACAGTACGTATTGGGCAAATGCCGGTTCCCAGGTAGGGCCATCCGGTATCAGCTGCAAGATTGTCTGGCTGACGCTATAATGTGTTGTTGTGGGAAGAATTCCACCTGCACAAGAGAGCCTCTGTTGTCATCTTGAGCTCTTACGAGCTGTTCATTCCTGTACAACGAGATCCACTCACCCCAAACGTGATTCGCGTCGGCCTACCCATCGGCAAGAATGGCCCCGTGACTGGGTACAGCAATGGCAAGTTGACATGTGCCGAGTTCGCGGTCGCCTGTGCCCTTCCCTTCCCTTCCCTTCCCTGCCCCGACCGACCCTATGCCCTTTACTCCATCCCCACCGCTCCCTAAGACCCCAAGATAAAGCTCGAAACAGGCAAACACCGGCACATCTACGTATTGCTCGCGCCTCCGGCAAGAAATCTTTGATTTGGCTATGTAGCAAGAAGACTGCCAAGCCGGAGACTGGCCACCAAGAAGGCTTTCCGTGCAGGATAAGCAAGGAAGTTCAGTTCCATGAAAGAGGCGGTGGCGGTGGGGGGCTTATCTTTTCCATCTCTTTTCTTTCTCTCTCTTTCAACCAACTCGATACCTCCCTCTCTTTCATCTTTTTTGTCGTCTTAGATTGATTGAACGGTTGTTGAACACTCCGCTGCGAAATCAGCACCTTTTTTGGATGTATGCACACCATAGCCATAGCCAGATATGCCAGAGACACGGGGGCGAATGAGGCAGAGGGAGCAAGCGTGCAAACGCATACGTCTTTTTCTACCGGCGACTGGCGAGTGTGGTACAATGTACATGCCAAAAGTGTGATGCCGGGTATCCTTGTAATCGGTACAATATCCTCCAACCCCTGCCTCCATCCCCTCCCTCCTTCTCTCTCTCTCTCGCTCACTCGCTCGCTTCTATACAAGCATTACAGCAGATCGAAATCATCCAACTACAACACCCATTAGCCCCCACCCCCAACCCACAAAACAACGTTCAAGAAAAAGAAAACTCACCTCATCATTATACTTCATAACAGTCCTCTTCCTAGCACTCGTATCCACCCAAGTGACGAAATCCTCCTGCCCCCTCGTAATCAGCATCGCCGGGTCCGTCACCGGCGCCGGGCCTACACGGATATGCCCCTGTTCGATCGTCTTGACGGCGTCGGAGACTGTTTCGGCCATTTTGAGGCGGGCGACGATGACGGCGAGGCGGCGGCGGGCGATGGAGGAGACTGTTACTTTGGTTTCGATTTCGGAGGGTTTGACGCCGATGTCTTGTGGGGCGGGTTAGCTTCAAGCCAAGCCAAAGCAAAACAAGCAAAAGCAAAAGGGAGGATGGATGGAGACGTACCGAGGATACCCATATCATACAGCTTATTCAACATCTCCGTCTCTCTCTGCTGCCTAAACGGATCTTGGGCGGGTAAGAGCGAGAGTTTGTGGATCAAAGACCGTAAAGAACCACACAGCTTGTTGTATCTTACGGCAAAATATCAGTGTCTGGCTTGCAACGAGGATGCGCAACGCTGCAGACAGACGGAGAAACGCACTTGTGATAGTCTTCTCGGTCTTGGATATGATACTTTCGCATCACTTTGATCTCCCGCTGGCTGGCATCTTGCTTCCACTGCAGTCCGTTACAAGTCAGCACCCCCTTGCCCGGATCCGAGGTCCATCTGGAGTGGTACGTACGTTCAGAAAGTCTACTTTTTTGAGGAGCTTCTTCTCGTGGTGCTTCAGCTGACGCATGGTGGCTCTCGTATAGTGGTGTAGGGGGTCTAATGGACAGTCCGGGGCGGTATACAAATTTTGAAATGCGGGCGATGGAAGTGGAGGTTAAGATGGCTCTTTATAACACCGCCAATCTCCGCGAGCGCTATTCGCCCACTGCCATCTTCCTCCCTCGCCCCCTGTATCTGCCCGCCCCCCCTTGCTGTCCCCAGCCTTGTCAACACGGCAGCGCCCCCTTCCTCAGAGTCGGAAATCCACAGAAGAAGTCGCATCAGCCTTTCCGTCTTGCCCACTGCCCAGCAGATAGTCCCCCGGCAACCGAACGCCAACTCTTCCTCCGCTTAAACTCAACCCGGGTGGCAAAGGATTCAAAGCAGAAGGGATCCATTGGAAAGCGTCTAGTCAGTGTGAGTGATTGGTTCTTGACGAGAGCGTGGTGGGAAGGGAGAGCCGGTGAGGTAGAAATGGGGTGGCTTCGCTGCGTGACCGCGAGGTTCTTGCGCCAGGCGGCGGTTCCGTAGCTCGACAGAAGCCTTCCCACTACGCCACTCGTGCACGACAAGGGAGGCTGACTCGATCCCAGGCATACATCCAAGTTTCTTTACGTCGCCCACCGCCGCTTGAGCCTCGACAAAAGTTTCAACCCGGTTCAAAGGTTTCCAAAGCGTGGAGATATCCCCGGGTCCCACATTTTCATTCGGAACCGGTATACCGCGTAGCGCTGCTCTCGGACAACGTGAGTCGAACTTCCCATTCATGGCAGTAATCATTGGGGGACGGGCATGGGCAGGTCCATTGTGGTGTGCGTGCGTGGTTGAAAAAGTTGGCCACCCCGAACAGCCGTCCCCATCGCCTCTACTCCTTTCACCGCTTCCCATAGCTCTTTTCTCATCCTCGCATCGGGTTTCCAAAACGCAAGCACTGTTGTGTCAGGTGCTTTGCTCACTGGGGCTACACAAAACCCCTTTTCCACCCCACCTCTCACTTCTTTCTTCGCACCTCCGCCTGTCTTCTTCTCCTTCAGCCTACTCTTACCAATCAACTGCTGACGCAATGCTCGCCCCCCAGTTATCCCCCTCCCACCCATCTCCCTCTTTCAACCCCAACCCCAACACCACCAACGCCCACAGCAGCATGTCTGGTAGCAACTCCACCTCGGTGTTCAACGCCCTCGGCTCTTATGCCGACCGTATTAAAGACGCCAACGGTAATCCCATCAAATCTTCTGCCCCTGCGCCCCCTGCTTCTTCTTCCGAAGTTGCCCCTACTTCTCCGGCTGTCGCTGCGTCGAGTCCTGCCGCGCCTCAGCAACAACCGAAAGAAAAATCCACTTCTTCCTTCAAGGAAAAGTCGTCAACGCCGTCTACTTCTACTTCTTCTACAACGCAGACGCAGGAGAAGCAGCAACAGCAGCAAGAAGACGACGGACCATGGGAAACCGTCCAATCCTCACGTCAGCGGAACCACTCTGCCCACACGCGTTCTGACGACCGTGACCGCCTCCCCGACCGCTCGGGCGAGGGAGGCAAGGAGGGTAAGGAGGGGAGGGAAGGGGCGCATGCGAAGAGGGGGAGTAGTTCGAAGAATTGGAGGGACCGGTCTGGCCGAGAGGGCGCTGGGGGTGGGGAAAAGGAGAGGGAGAGGGAGGAAGGGTCAAGTGGGGATAGGAAGAGGGATGGGAAGGAGCGGGTGAGGAAGGGCGATAAGGGCTCCAACTCCAACTCAAACTCGGGTGCTCCTTCGACAGCCGCAGTCGTCAGTGCAGAGAAGGAGAAGGAGAAGGGGACTGAGAAGGAACAGCCGGCCAAGGCTACGACCAAGAGCGCTTGGAACATCCCTTCACAAACCATCCCCACTCCCACTCCCTCTGCCTCCGCCCCCGCTCCCGCCAGCGCCGCTCAAGAAACCTCTTCTTCCTCAATAGCAACTCCCGTCACCGATGCTTCCAAACCAACACCCACGCCACCCAACGGCACCTCCGCCTCTGCCGGCCGTACACATTCGCCCAAAACGGTGGTTGAACAAGTGAAAGAAAAGGTCGAGGGGGAGCCTGTGGCGAAGCCCAAGGCTTCTGCGCCGGTGCCAAAAGTGAACGTATGGGATTTGCGTAAGAAACAGTCTACGAGTACCGTCCCCGCCCCCGCCCCCGCCCCTGCCCCTGCCCCTGCCTCGACCGGCAGCGGCAAGTCCACGGACAAGTCAATACCGAACGGTACTGCCTCAAGAGACGACTCTGCGCCCACGCCTAGCGCCGCCGCTTCCGCCTCCACAGCTGGAGCCGGGAAGAATGGGGGTAGTAAGAAAAAGTCTGCAGCTGCTGCTGTCGGCTCAACAGCGCCTCCTCTGGTGATTAACGATGCCCATCTCTGGCCTGATGTGGCGACAGCAGTGAAGGAGAAGGAGGAGAAGGAGAAGAAGGTGAGGAGCAAGGTTGAGAGTGAGACGGCTGGCATGGGTGAGGAGAATGTGAATGTGGCGGGGACGGCTACTGGTAGTGAGTCCCATGTTCCCTTGCCTGCCACTGGAGGTGAATATAGACCGGAGCTGATATTTTTGGTTTTCCAGAAAAGCCCAAATGGACGGCGATCCCGGCGCACGAGATGTTGGCTGCCGCCGACCAAGCTGCCGAGCAGAGCCGTCGTCAGAACAGGCTCGAGGCCAAGAAGAGGTCCGCCCGCGAAGGCGAGTCTAGCAGTGCCGTCCCTGGTAGTGGGAAAGCCACCAAGCCCAAGAAGGCTTCTGCTGTCGAGAGCGGTAGCGTGAATGGTGCGGGTAGTAAGAAGGCGGTGCGCGCAGCGAAGGAAGCTGCTGGGAGTGGTGTCTCCAAGGGTGAGGCTGAGGTTGGGAAAGTGAATGGTACTGGCGCTGGGGAGGGGAAAGGTAAAGAGCAGGAAGGGAAGGCAGGTACATCCCCCCAAGACGCTTCCCCCGCGCCTCCTACTGCCGCCTCCGAACTCAACCCCATACCCGAATCTTCCGCTGCTCAAGCCGACCGCCAACTCGCGTCAAAACCCATGCAAACCAGCCACACCGCGCCCATCCCTTCACACACATTCACCCACCCCACCCCCGGCGCTGCTGCCGCCGGTGGAGCCCGTCCGCCTAGAGGGCGGAACGACCCTGCCCGCGGCTCGTTCGGTGGACGAGGTAGGGGAGGGTTCAGGAGCAACTCTGCTATCGCGCATCACAAGGGCCACGGAGGGCCTTACACTTCCCCGCCTATGGGCGTCATGGGCCTTCCCATGGAAGGTATGCCCTACCCCTCCGCCAACGGTAACGCGCCCAACCTCTACCAACGAGGGTTCGGTATGGGCTTCCAGCCCTTCTACCCCGCCGCTTCTGCTTCTGCTGCCGGTGGTGCGAACGGTTCACAGGCGCAGGGGATCTACGACCCCATGCAGTATGCCAACGCCTACCGCGGGGCGAGCATGCCTCCCCCGCCGATGCCGCAGACGGTGGTACCGAACCTTGATCCGCTGAGGTTCTATGTGCTTGGGCAGGTGGAGTATTACTTCAGTATGCAGAATCTCGCTATGGACTTTTTCCTTCGTCAACAGGTAAGCCCCTCCCCCCTCCTTCTCTTGCAGTTGTAGGCAAAAAGCTGATGTGGGAGTAGATGGATTCGGAAGGATGGATCGATATCGGCATGATCGCCTCTTTCAACCGCATCAAATCCCTCACCCCCGACGTCGCTATCGTACGCGAAACCATGGCCCTCTCCAACTATCTCGAAGTGCGCGAAGACAAGGTCCGCCTGGCTGGTGCCGAATCGCATCGATGGGTATTGCCTGAAGCGAAACCGAGTACTATCAAGCCCGACCCCAGCCAAACTGCCGGGGGTAGTGCGGAAGAAGGAGGGAAGGAGGTGGTGGAAGGGTCTGAGGGTGTGGAAGGGAGTGGGAGCGGGGGCGAAGGTGCGGCGGCGGGGATGGGCGGGCAGAGGAGTCCGGCAAACCCGCAAAGAGGGTTTGTAGCTGCGGACGTGCAGAGCGCGTTGATGAAGAGCAGCTCGGCGAGGGAGGCTGCAAAGGATAAAGAGGCGGAGGCAGAGGCGAGCGCGAATACGAGTGTGGCGGATATGACGGTGACGCCTGCGACGTCGACGTCGGGCGATGTGGGGAAGGAGGAGAAGGAAGAAGAGTCCAAGGCTGAGCAATGAGTGAGTTTTCTTCTTTGTGTATGGTCGATGGCAGAGATTGATGTCATAGCAGGCTAGGTCTTGAAAGCGGTCGAGCATCGAAACAAAAAAAAAGTTCAAAACATAATACAACCAGCATGTGCATAGCCGGGGAAATGACCGCTCGACCCGCCCATATACCCACATCTCCTCCCCTCCAACCCCCTTGTATCGCCACCGACCGCCCGCGTGCCCCCTCCATATGCTTGCCTTTTCTCTATCATCAGCAAACCCAATCAACTGCGCACTTTCCATTCCAATTTTGCATCATCGGATTCATTCGTTCTCGAGTCCCATGCTTCCCGCTTCACCCATCCACACCTTCCTCCGCATGGCTCCTTTTTCATGTCTATAACGACGACACAACCTTCTCTACTTCTCCATTTGCCTTTCGCCCAAGTCGGTCTTGCCGTGTCAAGGCCGAGCGGAGCAAGTGCATTCTTTTTCCTCTCTACTATCACTCTCTATCCCGGGCTTATTCTTCTGTTTTCTCTTTCGTACTCCTATATCAAGTAGCCCAACAGTTTTTAACGGCTTCTACGTCAGACTCTTTTTCCTCTCATACACATTTCTCTTTTTCACCTCTTTCTCCTATCTACACTTTTCCTTTTCTTTCGTTTTCAAACTGCATATACATATAAATAGCTTCTCGCATGGTTTTTGGATGGATAAATCGTATGGAAGTGCGCAAACACCCTTCATCCTGGTTCGAGGCGAAAGAATGAAAGAGTTTTCGAGGGGAAAGAATGAAAGAGTTGAATGACAGTGCGCGCCTAGCAGGACGGATGGAAGAAGGCGCACGGTATTGTCGGCGATGACCGACGAGCCGGGTTGTAGCAAGCCCCGAGATCATCTTGGTCATTCCTTCAATTCACTCTCATCTCTTCTCCTTTTACGCCTGATCTGGTCATTTCCCCTCCCCCCACGCTGACCCCTCCCCGTTCTCCGTGCAGACCCGAAAAGAGACGCTCCAACAATGTCGGCAGGTCAGACTTACTACGAGTTTTACCGCAATTCCAGGTTCGTCTTCCCTTCCTCCCCTTCCCTCCTTCAACCCTTTTCACCTCCCTTTCCCTCCACCCCATTGCTACGGGAAGCTGATATGGTGGAACATTTGTAGCATTGGGACGGCTCTGACTGATGCGCTGGACGAGTTGATCACGCAGGGCGATATCCCGCCTCAATTGGCTATGCGAGTCTTGCAGCAAGTACGTCCCTCTTGCCGCTTTGTCTTCCTGCCTGCAATGCATTGGGGAGGGAATGTAAAAGCTGATGGATGGTCTACAGTTTGACAAGTCCGTAACGGACTCTTTGCAGCAAAAGGTGAAAGCCAAGACTACCATCAAAGTACGCTTCTTTCGCGACTCTGCGACCGAAGGGACGAGCAGCCATGGGGAAAGACATTCGACTGACCGGGGTATAGGGACATTTATCGACTTATAGACTTTGTGATGATGTGTGGACGTTTGTGGTAAAGGAACCGCAATTCAAGATGGAGGGTATCGGTGCTGGGTTCGTCTCCTCCTCTCTCTTCCTTGGGCGGGCGGGTACTGATACATTTTGTTAGATCGGAGATGGTGACCGGCCCCAAGATCAAGATCGTAGCGTGCAAGAGCGGCGATGCGGCTGACAACACGAAGAAGGGGAGTAAGGAGTAAGACCATCGAATGGGGACTGGGAAGAGGAATGAGGCGTGTGTAACTCTGGAGTCTGGAGCAAGCGTGGGCTAGAGATGCTGGGGAATCTGTATAATACGCTACGTCACTTATCTTGTATGCAACTCCTTAGTATGCTCATGCCTCTTCGGTGCTGTCGATCACCTTGTCACTCGCCTCGATGACTCCACTTTGCCTAGTCAAACAGCAGTCAGGCAAGATTGACAGGGTTTGCCACTCCCCCTATCGCATCTTCCTCTATTTAATGTGAAGCATTTTCTTTATCGTTGCATATCTCGACAATGGCCGATTTGATCTCTTCAGCACTTGAGCATCACAACACGCACCCCGATCAGAGCATAAAGTCGGTGGCAAGAGAGTTCGATGTCCCTTCCTCCACCCTCCACGACCGCATATCCGGCAAACACCCCTTCAACGCGGATAGCCAGCGCGGGAAGCTCTTTCAGATCCAGAAGGCGGAGCTGGTGGTGGAAATCAAAGCCTATGCCGAGCGGGGTACGAACCTTTGGGCCTGACACGTCCAACGGCTTGGGTAAGCATTGGCTGGCGAAGAGCTGGGAATGGACTGGGCGTCACGCGCTGGCTATCCGCGTTGGAGGGGTGTTTGCCGGATATGCGGCCGTGGAGGGCGGAGGAAGGGACATCGAACTCTCTCGTCACCGACTTTATGCTCTGATCGGGGTGCGTGTTGTGATGCTCAAATGCTGAAGAGATCAAATCGGCCATTGTCGAGATATGTAACGATAAAGATGATACATGACGTAGGTGAAAATGGGTGCAAATGTCGGACGAAGTGAACCGGCCGACGAACACGTGACCTCGAGTATGTACAATTCTTCTTCAAGAACCCCCGGTCCCTTCGGATCTCATATATACCTTTTCCGCTCGCGTCTGTCACTACGACTAGCCACAATGACAGATCGTCAGTACCACCAGAATTAGAGGAAGGAGCCAGCCAGGTGACAAACCCTGAGACTTGGTTCCCCAGCAATTCGACTTTCCGGCCCGGCCTCTCGTCAAATGATGACTCGTCCATCTTTCACTGTAAAATCTGCCTGTTGTTGTCGGTTATGAGCATGCATCATTGGCACTGAAAGGCAAAGAAGACTTGCGCAGCTCCATCCTAGACTTTTCAGTGTGGTGATATTGGTTTCGTGTGAGGCGAAGTAGGCTGGCAAGACGCCAATCGGCTGTGCTCGATGCTGCTGGCGAGCAATACGCCGAGCAGGGAAGAGGAACCTATGTTGGTTCCGTTCACGGATGGGGTGTGAGGGGTGATGCACTTTTTGGGTGATATATGGCTGTATTGAAGGAGAGGATCGTTCCAGTACACAGCATAGCCCTCAACCGGCAAAGGCAGATCAGCTCTGAAGACACCGCCTCCGGCCAGGAGGTGTTTTGGGATCGCTGATGCCTGCTTGGCGCGAAGAATGGCGACAGAGCTGTAGGTGATCAGGGATGAGATCATAGCTGTTCTGTTCAGGCAGCCACTGGTGATGCGTATACCAATACTCAGCCATGCAGACATGGTATGACCTTTGAAGGCGAACCAAACAATGGACTCGGTGCGCGCGCTTGATCGTCGGTGTTCCGGGGTGGCAGTGCTCGTAAGCCACCGCACCAGACACGCTGCACGTCAATGTTGAATCCCTTTCCTTCTTTGGCATCTCTTCATTCTTCACTTTATCGACCACTTGCCGCCGCACTCAAGCTACCATATACGAATACTCCCGCATCAAGACAGAAAATACCCTCCTAAGCTTCCTCGACAACACCCACCTCCGGACCGCCATGAACACGTCTTCAACTATCGACAAAGTAGGACCTATCGGCGTGTTCCCGGCATACTTTACCTCCCAAGAAACTACTCTAATCATCTTGGGAAAAAATGGATGGTCCAGTGTAAGCTATCTCCCTACTACCCTTCCGAGATCGCATAATCAAGATGCTGAGAGTCGACGGCAGGCAAGCTTTACCGTCCAAGATGAACAAGGCAAACTTTTGATGACGGGTCATCCGGGAAAATCCAAATTTTGGGGGCGCAAGTACGAGAGTACATCCCTCATCTCTCATCTGCTTATTGACTCGTCGCTGACGGCCTTCGGTGCATAGTTATGGTGACAGATGCAAACGGCAAACAGCTCTTCGACATCCACCGCCATGTCAAACTTTCGAAGAAAGTGTGTACCGTCTTAAACGAAGGTCAGGAGATTATGGAAGTGCATCAGAAGAACATCATGTCTTGTGAGTCCCGCCCCCTTCCTGCTCTTCCTGCTCTTCCTCGTCTTCTTCTTCCAGGCCTCTACAACCTCTGACGATCGATGCTCGCAGTCAAAAGGCGAATGACTGGAACATTCACAAACGCCGAAAGCGGAGTATCACACACTTTAGCGTTGGACGGGGATTGGAAAGGCAAAAACTTCAAGGTGAATTTAGAAGATGGGGAAGAGGTGGCGACGGTTAAGAGGAGTTATATGAAGAACTGGGGCAATCATGTACGTTCCCTTCTACTTTGTGGATAGTACAGTCGAGACCGGTACTGACCTATGGGGTTGCAGTACGCGCTCACTGTGGCTGAAAATGTCGATCTTGCTTTGATGAGTGCTTTGGGTATTTGTATAGTCGCTTCTATCATGGAGGATGAGATGGCAGCTGCAGTAGCGTAGAACGGTACAGTGGTCTTCTTTATATATATATATTGCCAGAGTCCTCGGTTCTTACTACTCTCCTAGTGCCTCATGATGTGACTATAGATCTTTGGCTTGGGGAACGAGTCGAAAGTGGCGGGGGAGGGGATGGTATTCTTCCGCTATATGATGATGTGGAAAGGGGAGGCCGGCAATAATGAGCGTGTATGCATTCACTGTCCAAACGCTGCCTTGTTGTTCCCGTGAGTCCAGATGCCCCACACTTTATAATTGTCACGCTTGGGGAGCGCCCTTGGCGTGCTGGAGAGAGTTTTGTTGTAAGGGGCAAAAACCTTTTCGTTATTGTCGCATACGAAGAACTATGAAAGAAGACTCTGACCTATATATACGGAGAACACGGTCCACTAAACACACAGCTGAAATACTTGAATGAACAAACTACACAGATAACCCTATTACCATGACAATGATTGAAGCGCTTCTAGCAGCAGGAAGGGCAACCGTAAGACGGGAGAGAAGCAGGGTGGGTGCATGCGCTGGACACCAGAACAACATGCATGTTCCGAGTACTTTTCATCTTACGATCTTACACAACATCATGCGCCGCGCGAGACCAAACGTCGCCTTCAACCTCCTACCGAACTTGCCACAGCCTCTTCGTCCTCCTTCGTCGATGCCACAAGACAGATACAAAGAGCACTGATGAGCGCCAAGTCCACCTCGGGAGCCACTTTGACCGCGTACTGCAAGTACTCGTCTATTAGCCTCGAGCGAAGGAGAAGAGCCAGGAGAAGAAGAGACGCACATAATTGCCCCAGCTCTTAAAGTAGCTCCGCTTCATATTCGCCACTTGTAGCCCATCGTCCAGTTTGATCGTATAATTTTTTCTCTTCCAGTCGCCCCCCAGCGTGTATATGTGTGTTCGCCTCCTTTTTTGGCGTCGGTGAACGTGGCAATCAACTTGACCTTGACTGCGGGTCTGGTCGGATCTCAAACGAAGGAGAAATGGAAGAGAGGAGGGAATACGTACAAGACATACAACCTTCTCTCACAGCCATAACTTCTTTCCCATCCCTCAAGATTGTACAGAGTTTCTTCGAGAACCCCTGTTGCCGGTAAATGACGTACAAACCTTCGTTTGTCGCATCTGTCACAATGACTGAATGTCCCGATCGCTCGTCAGTATCAGGACAAAAAACACAAGAGCAGATGCGTAGGCGTACTCTCAGATTTGGTTCCCCAGAAATTTGACTGGCCCGGATGACCCTTTATCAAGATCTCTCCCTGCTCATCTTTGACGGCAAAATCCTCCTATCATCATCAACTTTCAGCATGTTGTACCAGATGAGGCATGGAAGACTCACGCAGCGCCGCCCAACGGTTCCCATGACAGCTATATTCCTCCCCTCCGAAGTGTAGACGCCGGAAAGACCCCGCTCTGCACTGCTTGTGGTTCCAGCTCGGAAAGAGAAGCGTCGTCCTTGTTGTCCATGTTGAATATCGCCCAAGGATGGATGATGTCCTGTAGTGATGAGATAGATAAAAAGTGATCATATATAGGAAATCTGTTCTGAAAGATGGATAGCATTCAGGTGCACAGCTTGACGACAGCGTCGAAGGGGTGGCCAAGAAGCCAGCCATCCAGCCGATTCCGCGTGACACCGCCTCCGGCCGAGGACATGTTGAATGCTTCTTCAACACGAGGCGTGCGAAGCGTGTTCTGATGGTGACCTTGTAGCTCAAATGCATCGGTTGTTTGCTCATCTACATCAGTAACCATCCTTATATTGATACTTACACGAACGCTAAGATCATCCGGAAAAGCCTGAGTATGCTGAGCTTGCCTGCCGATGACGTCGTCCAGTCTCTTGATCTTTGACAGGTTACACTTTTCTGGATACATATACAATCTTACAATACTAGTCCCTAAGTGTATATGTGGCGGAACTTAGCTTCCCAGGTCAAACTCCACCGGCCAAACAGCGAGCAAATGGCTATACCGTTCGACAAACAACGTCTTGCCCCCACCGTACCGCACATCATGGACCCATAAAGCCGCGCGCGCCCATGTGGACCCCTCTTTTAGGTTCTGCCATCTGTCATCTTTCTGCCTTGTGGTAAACATACCCTAAAAACGACATACCTTGGCTCCTTCCAAAACAGCGAGAAGCATCAACCCCAGAATCACCTCTTCCTCCAGGTTATGGCTCTCATAGACCTTCCTCCCGAGCTGTTGTTCTTGTGCCGGGGTGGTGAGCGTTACGCCAGCATATTCGAGGAAGCGAATAAGCGCCTGCAATATCTCATCGTCAGCATCTATGCCCTTCTCATTCAGCTCTTCACACTTACCTCTGTAGCCTTTGCCCCCTGTCCCGCAATGAAGTAACTCCTCCCAATCCGATTATACACCCTCGCCAACTGCCCCTTCATACTCTGCCATCTCCCCACCGCATATGTCTCCTCAACCGCACTCGCCACCTTCCCCAGCTCCTCCGCTTTGCGCCTGTGCTTCTCTTTTGCTTGATCAGTCAACTTGCCGTCCGGGATTGCATCGGAAAAGAGCAATGGCAAGGCAGAGTCCATGATTCGAGCTCTTTTATTCGGGTCGTCCCGGGGGCAGCGGTCAGCGGTACAGAGGGTACACTTGCAGGTAAAGTCCCAGTTGGCGAGGGAAGAGAGTCGAGAGGGATAAGAGGGATCGTTGCTGACGTAAGACATGAACAGTTGTTCACCGCTGGAAATGTGTTTGCTGGCGCGTATAACCATCATCTATATCTTCGTTAGTCGGCACTCGTCTCTATGAGATGCAAGTAGACGCACATCACCATACCAGCACTCGGTCATATTGGGCCAACACGAATGATTCATCATGGATGGCATCCCATGGAGATAGATGACTGGACTCTTGTCCTTTGTGAGGCACAGCCGCTCATCCATAACCTCCTCGAAACCTGCACCTTTGGAAGGGACAGACCGGCCCGCATAGCAGTTTGTCTTGACGACCTGTCTAAAAGCGTTCAGGCTGAGGCTGGAAGCTACCGGCGCAAACAACAGCTTTAAACGAGCCTGTTCATCCAGAAGCTGGGGGAGATCTTCAGGAGACCGATTGTTCTCCGAAGAAAAGCCTTCATGAGCGACAAGCAGCGACGGATCATCATACACCTTGTGCATCATCCGATACACCCACATATACGTCGCATGAGGTACATGGCTCTGCGATTCGGCGTCAAAAACGTTTACATATACCTTTGGAGCGTCGAGCTTGGTGTGGGAAGGGGCGATGGCCTTGCTGACCATGATGAGTTCGCCGGGGACGATGTCGCGGGTGGAGATGACGCCTCGGCCACAGCCGGGGGCCTGGGTGACGCTGCAAGCGGGAGAGATGTAGTCGGGAATGTCCAACTCCGCCATTGGACTTGCCAACGAGTCGCGAAAGATGGCCAGCCAGTCGTATGTCCCAGATTGTTGCTCGGCTACCCTCATCTGCGTCCTTTTCTTCACCTCTCCGATGTCGTTGGAATGAGAAGCTCCAGGAGGAGCCTCCTCACAAGCTCGAAGGGATGTCTCGTAAAGACGCAGGCCAAGCGCGGCTTTGGCGAGTCGAAGCTGAAGACGTCCACGTTGATCTGTCGAGAGGGATATGCCATTGACAACCTCTTTCGCTCGATGAGCATCTCGATAGGCATGTCCGCATAGATCGACAGCGCGATAGGCTTCAGTGCGATTGAGGAGCAGGTCGAAAGTCTTGATAGGGTCGCGTTCAACCGCGGGGTCGGACAAAGCTAGCGTATAGAGGCGGAGAGCGACCTTGATAGTCTCGTCAGCACCAGTCTCCCTCTTCTGATATGGCAGCTTACCAAAGGGTTGCCATTCCTCATCTCTCCATTACCCGCATCTCTATACCTCTTCCAACCCTTGACCATCTCCTCCTTCAATCCATCCTGCCACTTGACGCCCTCCAATATCGAATGTGTCGGCCGCACTTCTTCAATCTCATAAGGCATGTCCACCTTGACGGCGAACGCACCTCTATCGTCGAAACCTATTCGAGGCGATTTGATAGCTAAGGTTGATCCGAGAGGGTAAAGCTTGGACAGTGTGTCGGGGAGGGAGAGGGAGAAATGGGGGATAGGAGTGGGGTAGTTGATGAGGACGGGAAAGACGGCCCCGGATGGGTCTTCGATGTTGCTATATCATCATTAGCGCGTCTCAAAATAGCAAGCTCGAGCTCACAAGCCGAGGCATAGCCCTGATCTGACATGTGTGATGACTTTGCCGATAATGATGCGGTCTGCCAAAGTCAGCAAATACACTACCGAAAGCTCCCAGAAACTCACCGTCTTGTGTCTTCCACATTGCGAGATCTTGCCTCCCAATGACCTGCAAATCCTCCATAGATTTCCGAAAACACCTCGCCCCATGCCAGACTGTCGAGAAGACCTTGGTCGTCTTAGACGACTTTTCGGTGTAAGAGTGAAAGACGTCTCCAGGGTTGGCAGCCTCCCACTCAAGAACGTGCTGTCGAGTCAGGAAGAGCGAAGGGGCTATCTCTCGTAACAGCCGACCAGATAGAAGTGTCTGTAACTGCTGCCCTCAGTACCCAAACCATCAAGGAGGGCAGGAGACAAGCGACTCACAACGTGTAGTTCATGCGCCTTCTTCAATTGCAGCACCATCTGGTCCTTGGCCCGTTCATCCATCATCGTATGATGACTGAGCCTGGCAGCTGCAACTTTGAGGCTGCTTGCTAATGTTTGATAGAAGTGAGATGGTATGGTGACTGTGAAGGTACCAGTGTCGAACACGTCGACAACGGAGGAGGCTTTTTCCATGGTGTTACAGGCGGCGTGAGAGTGCTATGCCCGTCCACGGGGCGAGTAGAGGCGTGGAAAGCGGTATGGCGTATAGAGGATATGACTGAGCGAAAGGTGAAGAGATGGAAAGTGAGGTGGCAGGGATCTAGAGTGGAGTGTCAGTAAAGGACGTTTTCGGTGGACTTCCGGTCTCTCACTCGCCGCAACCCGTCCGGCCTCACCCGTCTCTCCCCCGTGCTCGAAACCACGTTTGTTGACGGCTACAGACGCTCCCATACCCCATGGCGGTGATGCATGTATGCTTGCGAGACGTGCATATCATCCTCGAGAAATGGGCAAGATCCAGGCAAGATCCAGGCGAGATCCAGGCAAACACTCATCAATAATCATCATCCGTCAGCGGTCAACGCCGCGCCAATTGATTTCGGCCTCTGTGCGGTCAACAAACATATCTGGTTCAACGTGTCGGAGTGCATACGTCTCTCAAAGTGAAACTGCTGGATATGATGTGGGACGTACAGTATATACGCGATAAAGAATACAGTGATGATCAAGTGGGGCTTTGCTGTTGGGCACGATGTGTGGGCGTGTCACTTCGAGATTACCTTTCCTACACCACTACCGCAGCCTGTTCATCCTCCATCGACGAAACAACAAGACAAACGGCCAGCGCACTCATCAAAACCAGGTCGACACCTTCCGCCACTGTCAGCGCGTACTGCAGCGAGTCAGTATCCACGCGAGGCCATCAGAGGAGAAGAAGGAAAAGAGACGTACATGATAGCCCCAATGCTTCCTATAACTCCTCTTGACGCACGCCACTTCATCTCCATCCTCCGTCTTGATCCCAAAATTCTTGGCTTTCCAATCCCCCAATAACGACAGCGTCCGACTATCCCCTGCGATAGCGTCGGTGAATGTTGCCGTCATTCGCGTTTTGACTGCCCGTTTGATCAGCAATGAGCCTTCAGAGAGAGAAACAGAGTACGAATACACACAAGACATGTTCTTTTTCACCACCTCCATAATCTCCCTCCCAGCACTCGAGACTGTACATATCTTTCTCGAGAATCCCATTCGCCGATGGATCTCATACACCACTGTACCGTCCTCGCCCGTCACTACGACTATCACACAAACAGAGACCCCGTCAGCCTGGAGGACAGAGAGGCGATATGTGAATGGAGGGCATACTGCTAGACCTGCTCCCTCCCGGATGTCCCTGCATCACCTCCCTTCCTTGTTCATCTTGGACGGTAAAATTTGCCTGCGCTCGTCGGATCAGCCTGATTGCTGCTACCCCTCCCTTCGGCGCAAAGGTCAAAAAAGCGGCTAGTCACTCACGCAGTTCCACCCGAGGCTTCCCAAGATGATCAGAGTGGTTTCTCGTGTAGTGGCGTGCTCTAAGAAGACGCCTAGAGGGTGTACTTTCTGTAAACTCGAAGAAGAGTCCATGTCTTGGATTGTTGCTGTATCGGTCGTCGCGTGCCTTGCAAGGTGTAATGTCGATGTTCTGAGGTGATACCAGAGAGGAGTATAATGTGACGATGATTATGTGTGGTGGCAAGTGTATATAAGAAGAAAGAATGGATGAAGGTGGGATACCGTGGGAACGGGGCGGTGCGAACACTCTTTCGGGTGTCATGGGCCCGGGCATTGCCTCTTCGGAACGCCGAATCGCCCCAGGGGGTGCTTTATTACCGACTGTGTCTTTTTTGTATGATAGAGCGCAGGGACTGAGGATGTGAGGGTGAGCTTTGAAGACTCCCAGTCCAATGAAAACCTTTCAATATACATATTTCCCCCGCCCGCTTCTCCGATACCACTACTGCGACCACCTATTGTAGTACACCCCCATTCCCCACTTTCCATATCCCCTATTCCCAGACCATCCCCTCTCCCTCTTCTTCCTATTCATGAAAACTCTCCTACATATTTCAAGCGTCATCATGCCTCCGTGACAGCGACCTCTTCCTCCACAAAGGACGAAGCGAGGCAGATGACGATGGCGGTCACCAGCGCGATATCGACGCCTGGGGCGATCGTCACCGAGTACTATTCACGTCTGTCAGCCCTCTGTTCATTCAGATGCAACACCCATCGACCCCTCAGCCCAGGTTGCCCCCCTCATGACTATTAACTCCACAAGAACGAGCAGGAAGAGTGCCAAAGGGAAGGAGAACGAACGACAGAGAGAGAAAGAGAAAGAACCCACATGCTGCCCCCAACTCTGCATGACACCCCGATCAACCCTCGCCACCGCCGCCCCACTATCCAGCGTTATATCAAACGCCTTGCTCGTCCAGTTCCCCTTGACTTTGAGCTCGTGCGCGACGTTGTCAGAGGCGTTTGTAAAATGGGCGTCTATGCTTGTTTTAACTAGTCCCGGGGTTAGTCTTAGTGCTCGTGAAAAGAAGGGGGAGAAGGAGTAAAGAGTGGGGGGGGGAGGGAAGGGACATACCAGACTTGTGATTATGCCCCACCTTGATAATCTCCTCCCCTTTCGCATCCGTCACGATATATCGCTTGTGGAGCAACGACTTGTCTTTGGCGATTGTTAACAGTGGCTGGCCGTGTGTATCCGCAATGTCTACGTATCCCCATCAGCTCTCAGGTTCATGTAAGAGGGAGAGGAGACTTAGACATACGCTTGGCGCCTTTGACTACCGGATCAGGATCATCGTGCGATACGAATACCACCAGGCCTTCATCATCCACCACCGCGAAATCGCCCTAAACACCCCACCCAAATCCATCAGCTTTTCCCTCCACGAACACCAAAGAAGAGAGGAAGGGGCGTACCTTGGAACTAGCGATCTTGCCTTGCACAGTCAACTTGATCTCCCGCTGTGCTATATACGCTTCATAAAGCCCCAGGAGCGGGTGGTGAGGCTGGAGCGTCGGTACCTGGGCTTGGGCTTGGGGTTGCTGTTGCTCTTGGCCGTTTGTGCTCATCCTGTCTTTCTTTCTTTGTTCTTGTTGCAGAATTGCCGGCGGGACGTAGATGGCGAGGGAAGGATATATATGGGGGGAAAAGGAGCGGGGTAGAGTAGACCGAGGAAGGTGCACATGATTTCTCGGGTAATCGCATTGCCCGTCGGGCGGTCGGGCGGGACAGTTCCCGGTATTGTTTGGTTCCGGATACGTCATCCACCCCTGCGTGATCGGGTCACCGCTTGCAGGCTGTCCTATACGATACATATTCATATATACAACGTCCCCTTACATTTCTCTGCTACCCCCAGATATGAAATCGTAATCCTCCAAAGCTATGATACTAGGCAAGGGCTCGAACCTCTACATAGTGATTATCCCAATTCCTTCCTCCGTCTTTGCAGATGCCAAAGCAAATCACCATTCGCCCCCACCAGCACCAGGTCTATCCCTTCCACCACACAGTCACTTTGAAGTATCCCACATTTATCGGCTCATGCCTTCTTCACAACAACCACGGGCTTTCAGGCGAAAGCGAGAACCAAAATGGAAAGAATGAAGGAGAGGACTTGACATTCTGCCCCCCAATTCCACCACCACCTCCTCTTCACCCTTCCCACCACTGAGCCGTTATCGATCGTACACGTCTTTGCTGGGTAAAGTCCTGCGGATGATGATTTGCTGTTGCCTCCCCCCCGGTGGTGGTTTTGAAAGTACCTGTGACTTGGGTACGTACTACCTTCAAATCAGCTTTCTTTCTTCTCAACTTGCCTTGCCGAAGGGAAGGTGAAGGAAGGGAAGGGAAGGAGACATACCACAGGACCCATACTTTTGCACAAACACTCAAAAACCTCCCTCCCCTCCTTCCCTTCCGTTCCCCCTTCTTGTTCAGGGCGGTGCTGGGACATGGCTCGCTGCATGTTCTGCATCCAAAGAGATATGAACAACGGGCAAGTCATTCACGAGCTACTAGTACACCCCAGTGTTCATATGCAACCCCATGCTTCAGAAACGCCTGAAAAAGATGGCGATGGTGCGCGCAAAACGCGCCTCTATAAGCAGTTAATTTGACGCCACACGCATAGTTAACAAGTGATTTGTTGTAACGCCGAGCGCTGTGATTTATGGGCTGTCACGTGACTGTGCCTTGTTGGGTGACCCTGTCCACTCATTCATTGGGATTATTCGTGCAGGGTTCTTGCAAGTACACGCAGAATTACAACGGGGAGCATATCCCACCCCGCCGCCGTCCTCCTCGCCGCCTCCGACGCTCTCGACGCTCTCCACCCTATCCCCCAGCACCCGGGCCACAGGCGACAACCGACACATCCAACAACACGACACGACACGGCAACACGGTGGAGCCCTAGCCCCCCGTACCACACTCCACAATGCCCAGCGGTATCCCCGTGAGTCCCTACTCCTCTCCCCCCTAGTTGTGCGAGACGTGGTGCGCTGTGTAAGAAGAAGGGTGTGTTTCGGGCGATCGGACGCGAATGCGATGCCGGCGTATGGTTGGCTGCTTGGTGGTTGAGCGTGTTGGAACATGACGAAATTCGGGACGCGCGCCGGTGGCATGTCCTGGGTCGGGGACCACTTTCATTTCTGCGTGCCGTTATGCTTGTCAACTATGGCGCATAGTCAAGCAGTTGGAGAGGGGAGATGGGGAGCGATGCATACGCGCACGGACCTTGTCAGACGCGATGTTGTGTTTGACCCATCTCGCTATCGCGTCTACCCAAACATCCTGCTGACTCTCCCATGTGACAGACCCGACGCGCGCCCCGTCTCGCCGACGAGAACGCCCCCGTCCCCACCGCCCCCACCACCCGCACACGCTCCAAAGCTGCCATCTCCACCACCACCTCGCACGCCGTCAAGCCCACCACCTCCATTCCCGTCATCAAACGTACCCGCTCCACCGCTACCGCCTCTTCCCAGGGCAAGGAGGCTGAGAATGCCAAGCCTGCTCCTGCCGAGAGGCGTATGTTGGGCGAGGTCCGGAACGGAAAGGGTGCGGTGGAGAAGAAGGGTGTGGGGGTGGGGAAGGATGGGAAGAAGGGTGTGAGGGAGGATAGGAAGCCGCTCGCTACGACTCTCCAAGTCCAGCGCCCGACGCGCGCTGCGAGTGCCCAGCCGGCCGTAGCAGGCGACCGCGACCGCGTAACAGGCAAGCGCAAGGCGCCTGTCGTCAGCAGCAAGGTCGTCAGCCGTGCGCGTTCGACCGGTGCTGAGCCCCTCCAAGACGCGGGCACGAGGCCTGTCGTCAAGATCGAGCAGAAGCCGATAGTGGAGGATGAAGAGCCGCGGGCAAAGCGGAGAAAGACGTCGTCCCCCGTCTTGCAAGAGGTGGACGAGGAGCGGTATGAGGCCGAGGATGAGGGGCCAAAGGTTGAGGGAAAAGAGGTGCTGTTGTCGAGTGGGAGCAAGAATGCGGTGGGGCTGAGGTCGCCCAAGGCCAAGGCGAAGGATCATGGGTGGATGGACCTCGATGCGGAGGACGAGGGTGATCCCACGATGGTCAGCGAGTATGTCGTGGAGGCTTTCCAATACATGATGGATATCCAAGTACGTCCCCCTCCCTTCCCTCCGCACCCCGCTAATATCTCGCAGCCTCAAACCATGCCCCGCTCCGACTATATGGACAACCAAGCCGAGCTCGAATGGAAAATGCGCCAAATCCTCATGGACTGGATCATCGAGGTCCACTCCAAATTCCGTCTCTTGCCCGAAACCCTCTTTATCGCGACCAACCTCGTCGACCGCTTCCTCTCCAAACGCGTCATCTCACTCGTCAAATTCCAGCTCGTCGGCTTGACCGCCCTCTTCATCGCGAGCAAGTATGAAGAGGTGTGTTGCCCGGGGGTGGAACACTTTTTGAAAATGTCGGATGGGGGGTATACGTTGGAAGAGTTGTTGAAGGCGGAGAGGTATATGCTGTCGACCTTGTCTTTTGACATGTCGTACCCCAACCCTTTGAACTTTATTAGGAGGATCTCGAAGGCGGATGGGTATGATATCCAGACGAGGACCGTCGCCAAGTATCTCGTCGAGATCAGTTGCGTCGACGAGGCGTTGTTGGAGTATGAGCCGAGCATGTTGGCGGCTGCTAGTATGTGGCTCGGGAGACTTTGTTTGGAGAGGGGTACTTGGGTGAGTCTTCTTCTCGCCCTTTTTGCTTTCTCTGAAGGGGAAATGGAAGCTGATGAGAGGTGTAGGGACCGAACCTTGTGCATTACTCGACGTATTCGGAGGAAGAGATCCTTCCCTGTGCGCAGGCCATGTTGAACTATATCCTCGACCCCGAGTTTAGCGAGTCTACTACCTTTTACAAGAAAGTGAGCCCCCTTCCTCCTTCTCCTTCCTCCCTCCCTGTCGTTCGTCTAGCTGACAAGAAGTCGTAGTACGCGAGCAAGAAACACATGAAGGCTTCGGTGTATGTGAGGACGTGGGCCGTCAACCTGTGGCCAGAGTCGACGACTGGGGAGAGCGATATACAGGGGAGGGAGTTGGAGGTGTTGATTCGGGAGGAGAGGGAGAGGAGTGATAGGAGTAGCTCATAGAAGCTTGTCTCTTCTTCTCCCCGTTTTCACCCTCTTCACCATACCTCCACCGGCTATTGCATACTTTCCCACTCGCACCACCCCACCACCCCGCTACCCCAGTCCCCAAACACCCTGCATACCCAACCCTGACACATCATCCCATGTAAAGCCCAAACGCATCCCACCCCCCAAATACCCCAGCATACCCCATCCCATCCCATCCAACAAAAACACGCATGTTTGTTCCTTCCCCCCCGTCCCCTGCCCGTACCCCTTTCTCGTCCCCATACCCGTTTGCGTAGCGTAGGTTCATTCTTGTGTAGTCGTATACCATACCACCCACTTTCCAGTAGTCTAGTGCACCTTTTTTCTTTTCCTTCTCAACCTCGTATTTTGGCGTTTCTTTTGCATTCCTTTCTGTTTTCAGCAGAAAGAAGGACTAGGCATGGCAGGGGTTTTGTTGTTCACATTTTGGTGCTAGGAAAAGAGAAGGAGAGAGGGAGGAAGAGGGGAGAGCATTTTATATATAGATACCAAAGAGAGTTCCGTTTATGATTCTAGTTTCTGTTTTTTGCGGGCTCGGGACGAGTCTTATGATGAATATTGATGAATTGCATTACCAGCTATTAGTGTCTCTTGTGTCTGGGGATGTTTAGTTCGACGTTGGTTCGATTTTGAACTGGAAGTCTGGAGAGTTCGGCTTTGAAAGAAGAGGGCAGGGGGTAACTTCGCTTGATACCGCTTCTTGGAGTCGTAAACTTGCTAATGCATCGCTTTCCCACACGTTCAACCCAGCTATGCAGCATAAACATCTTTATCAAGCACATTCTCGTATACATCTCATTCGTTCATCCTTCTTTGCTATCCTACTCTTACACATTCCCCTCTATCTCTCCATCCCATCTCACTGAAAACAAAACGAAATCTACACCTTCTTCCCAGCCTTCTGCTTCTTCTTTCTAGCCTCCCCCAGCAGAACCTTGCCAAAGAACAGGCCTATCACCGATATACCCGTCAGCAGGACGAAGAGGGGTAGGCGGATAGCCCAATCGCGGGCGGGGAAGAGGGATTGGAGAGGTGAGTCGGAGGGGAGGAAGGGCTTTTTGTTCTGTTAGCTTGGGTTTTAAGAGGAGAAGGAAAGGGAGGAGGGAGGAGGGAGAAAGGGGAGGGTAAGAGGAAGAGGAAGAGGAAGCGGGGAAGAGGCGTACGGTAAAGAGAGCCCAGGTGGTATAGTACACAAAGACGAATGCTGCTACGAGGAGCATTGCTCCGCCGAGGAGTTTGTCTGATTGCGCCTGTAGGATCCATTCGTCAGTATCAGGACACATGGAAGAGGAAGGGGGGAGCGGACCATGATGAGCGACCGGGGGTGTTTTGGATGCGGGAGAAGAACGCTGGAGAGGAATAGGAGAGGAGGGTGGACAAAGGTGTCACGTCGATGGCTGCGACGCGTCGGGCGGCGATGTCCGCTTGGTGTTTTTGCCATGTTGGCCGACAGGCCGAGTGCTGCTGTGATCTACCTGAGCAACGTCGGGCCACTGGAGGGTGATAACCTTATCGGAGCGGTCTGAATAAGAACTATTAGGAAGGATGATAATTGGTGACAATGTTGAGGAGAGAGGCAATCATCTCAGGAAGCGGATGACCACCACATGAATACACTATCCTCACATTCTCCACTGTTAAACAGATTGATCATTCATCAAAGTTATCATATTGTTCTTCCTTCAGGAACCTACTTCAATCTTTCTTTCTTTCTAATTTAGTTGACTATATAACATTTGAATTGTCATTGATATAGTCCGTCTTGCGTATGCAATGCTACAAGCGCCTTTCAACGTCCATCCTCTTTCTCTCTCCCCTTCTCCTTCTCTTCCTCTTCCATCCTCTGCTTCTTCCCCTCCTCCTTCCTCTCCCTCTCTTCCCTCCAATTCCTCCCATACCGCACGACAGATAAAGGAAAAGGCATGAATACGACGACCAGGCCTGAGAGGAGGACGAATGTCCATCCCGCGTTGAGAGTTTCGTACATCATTTGACTGTGGAATTTCGTCAGTGGGGAATACTGAGGGTAAGTGGGAGGGTGATGAGCGAAATTATGGGAGAGGAAGCGTACATGGTAGCTGTGCCGATGGCTGCAAATGCACATCGGACGAGGTTAAACTATCATACCATTAGCGGTAAAACAAGATGGAAAAAGAACGTGGGGCGTACAGAGGCTGAGATGGCACCTCCCTTGTTTGGGCAGATATCTTGTGCGTACATCGTAGCTGATTCCCATCAGCCCCTTCCCCGTATCTACAACCTTCAAGGGGGAGAGAGGAAAAGGATGACTCACAAGTCGTAACAACCCCCATCCCAAGCCCCACAAAGAAATTCACAACAAGCAACGCCCCCAACGGCGCCCCCGCCTCCAAACACCACCCCTGCGCCGTCATCGCCACCAGCCCCACCACCGTATACGGTATAAAGCAGTAAAGCCTGCAGCGTTCGATGTTGAAGGTGTGGGGGTGGGAGTTGTAGTCGCCCCCGACGCGACGTTCTTCGCGGCGGAAGTAGTAGTCGAGTTGTTTGCCGTTGAGGATGGTGGAAAGGATTGTGCCGAAGCCGCATGGTCTGTGAAACCAGTCAACATGATGAAACGGGGGAAGAGGAGGGGAAGGGGAGAGGACGTACAGGTAGCAGAGACCGATCTTGATCTCTGAAAACCCATACTGGTCTTTCAAAGCCGTAGAGTACGGCGCAATACTGGCGTAATATTCCATGTAGATGAGAGAGCTCCAAAACTCCAAAAAAAGACCAGGATGATCTCGGGGATTAGCAAGAGCATTAATGAAGACAGGGGTTGATACTGCATGACAAGGTTAGTGTGGGCATATGAGTAGAAGGGAGGAGGGTGAACTTGCAGGTTTACGAGGTGGTCGCTCGACTTCTTTGGTGGCGAGACCAGCGGCGGCGCGGGCTTTTGATGTTTTGTGATTTTGATATACCTGGATGGGGGTCCTGTTTAATGGTGGGGGTGGGATCGAGCCGTCGCCCACGAGGGATCTCAGCGTCTCTGGTAGAAGGCTAGGTGCGTCATAAGTTCCCGAGATTGGTGTTAGAGAGGAGACGGGGCGTACAATATGAGAGGTACCAGGATGACGCCTGTAAGAATAACCAAGAACCAGAATATACTCCTCCACCCCAACGTTTGTGTCAATATTCCACCTAGCAGTCTATACACTGCGTCAGTGTACATCAGACAGTCTGTGGGGTGCACTTACGGCCCCAAAGTAGGTCCCAGGAGAGCGCCAGTCTGAAAGATGGCAGCAAACGTACCCCTCTCCCTCGGCTCGGCTACATCCGCCACACACCCATACCCTATAGCTACCACCGCGCTCCCCCCCGTCGACTGCACCGCCCTCAGCACAAGCAGCGCCGCATACCCACTCGTCGGTATCAGCGCCAACCCAATATTCGCCGCAAAGTAGATCACCAAGATCAAGATGTACAAAGGCCGCCTCCCGAACGAATCCGACATGGCGCCGAATAGGGAAGGGGTGGTGGCTTGGAAGACGAGGTAGATGGTGAGAGCTTGCGAGATGTCGGATTCGGAGCGGTGGAATTGGGAGGCGAGGGTGGGGATGGCGGGCACGAAGATGTTGGAGGAGATGGGGGAGAAGATGGCTGCTATGGCGCCGATGCCGACGATAAGGTATTTGGTGGATTGGCTGAAAGCAGAGTAGGGGAGTGGGTTGGGTTCTTCGGTGGTCTGGGGGCCGGCTTCTTCAGAGATGGAAGGTGAGCTGGAGGTGGATAGGTCTTGCTGGACGGGCCTTGGTACAGCGATGGACTCTGGGGTCTCGGGCCTATCCAGCGAAACATGGCGCTGATTAAGAGCAGATCCGCCTTTCTCCAAGCTACAATCTGGTACCGAGGACGACATGGCAATAGTTTTGTCGTATGCCGAGGACACGTCTAGAGTGGCCTACTAGCACGACGGCAAAAAGGAGAATGGACAGAAAGTCAAGGACGATGAAACAAGGGGGCGGGCATAGCTGAGACTACTGGTGGTCTTGCAGGCGAGGACGAATGAGCTTTGCTGTTCCAGGAGAGGTGTAGGGACTGGAGTTATGGGGCAGCTGTGATCTAGCGAGTATTTGTGGTTTTCATGGAGAGAACAGTATGCACAAAGTATACACTTGGTACAGACACCGACAGCGGAGTCCATTCCGTCGGCGGTCACCTCCGCCCCTTCTATAGATAGCGAGCGACGAGCAAGACGCTATTTTCTGTCCACAGTCCACTACACAATCTATTATGCCAATTCAGAAGGGCTAGTCATCTCCAGATAAGCATGAGCAGTTCTGTGCCTATGTAGGAGCTACAAAAGGCGAGCTGTCGTCGAGGCTATTGAACCTTCCGACGGTGGCCGCCTCAATCAACACGCAAACAGCAGCAGACTGCCCATCATCTACGCTAGGACCACAACATATTCATGCTCATATTTGTATGCGACATCAAACCTAACAGAGACTATTACACATCCTGCAACTGAGTCGCTACCAAGACCCTTCCGAAACCTTGTTCTTCCCCTCAATCCTTTCCCTCTCCTCTCTCAACAACATTTTCGAATACTTTGAATGACTCACAGGTATCCCGATGACGACAAGGGATTTTTTTGATACTTGCGAGGAGGAGAAGGTAGATAGTACATTCACTATAATTCTACTACAGTGCTTTTGTGCGCACAGTACGAATACAACCCTGTTGATAGCCTGAGAGAGATAAAGCGGGGCTGTTGATGGGTCTCAACATACTGATAAAGAACTGCGACAGTCGTCATCTTCGCTGTTGTTTCCACGATATTACAGTGTGCCGCGGGTTCTCGCATCATACATACTGTGAAGGGATCCCTAGTGAGCGATTATATGGGCCTCACGACGACCCCTTTCGCATCATGTTGCTGACTGGATGCACTAGCTGCAGCTTAGCGCATGTTGAGATACGGTCACGTGGGTCGTTAGGGTCCCGTAACAGTTACCTTTGTCCCGTTACCTTCACTACAGTACATCCTACCTATTTATATCTTTCTTTTCCGCTCTGTCTCACATATATATATATTCTCATAGCTTAGCTCCCTAGTTCCCCACCATTCTGACTCGGGAACTAGTTATGTATCACCATTCTGGTCATCTGTGTGTGTAGAAGTACACTGTTGACTGACTCGGGAACTAGGACCTTCATAGCGCAACGGCTGATAGATGACGACAGCTCCTTGTACTGACGTGTTCCATAACATACTTCATTCAGCAACATCCGTCGCCCACGTGTTTCTATTTCACCCAAAGCCATCCAAAACCTCCTTCTCCCTCTCGATCCTCTCCCTCTCCTCTTTCATTAACAGCTTGCTATACTTTGAATGACTCCGTATCACATTTCCTTTCCAGAACGCGATAAACGGTACCACAGACAGCACAAGTCCTACCATACCCCAGGTGAAGATCGTCCAGCGAGGGGTCATAGCGACGTATTGTTTTCGGATGAAAAGAACGAAGGCGCCGCCGAACATGTTGCGAAGGAAGGATTGAGCCGCGACGGCGGAAGATGCGTAAGAGCCATAGCATTCCGACAGGCTGTTTTGTGTTCGTCAGCAACTCATACGAGGCTGATAGGGAAGAGGGGATGATGATGAGTTTGCTTACTAAACGACACAACAAATGTAGAGCGTTAGAAGACTCGCGATGACAATAACGATGGCAAAGCACGGCGCCAGCCAATCAACTTCTTTCACCGCAGTGAACGCGAAAAAAAAGCAACCGACGGCGAACGTCAAGCCGGCGACCATGGGACCATAGAGCCGGGCCTCCATACCATCTTTGAATACTCGTCGGCGGTAAATAGCGTCTTGGATGAAGTTGAGCAGAAAGCCGACGAACGCGCCAATACTGCAAGAGCGTGAGGTGCCGTTTTAAGAAGAGGAGAGGAGGCCGGGGAGAGACGTACAAGATGCTGAGATAGACTAATCCAACTTCGTTGGTGGTGAAGTCGTGATTGGTTTTGAAGATGTACGATATTCCGCCGACTTGAGAGAATAAGACACCCCACTGAGGATACTCGTCAGATCGCAGGATAAAGAGGTGGGGGCTCGAACGTACGGCGACAGATACCCAAAGGCTGAAGAAAGTCACCACCGGTTCAACCAAGAGAAACACTGTATCATCTATCAATAGCCTTTCTCCACGAAAAGAGATACACCACTCACTGATAGGCCTTGTAGCACTGACACTCATAGCCTTCCAGAATTTCACTCTCTTGATTTCGCTCCTCGCTGTGAACCGTCCTCCAACATCTATGCCTGACCTCTCGAGTTCTTTGCGAAGATTATGCGCCCGGCGGCGTAGGATGACGGATTCACGCGTCTCGGGCAGAATGAGACAAATGAGTAGGATGAGGACTACTATCAACACTTGAACTGCTGTTAGGCTCGAGTCGATGGGTGATAGAGAGAGGAACACGGGACGAGGGACATACTGCACTGTATCCACCATATCCATCTCCACCTCAAGTTCGGATTACTCTCCACCCAAGCGTAGACGGCTGGACCAAGGCCGCTTCCGCCAGTCCCTGCCATTGCAAAGATGGAGCTCGGGAGGCCGCGACTAGTATGCCAATCACGAGTCACCTTTCGAGATATGTGAGGTAGCGAAAGTACTCACTCTGCAGGCATATATATGTCCGCAATAGTGCCCCCTACAAGTGTTGCTCCAACGCTTCCAGCACAACCTTGTACGATCCGAGCGACGAGCATGGTTGCCGTGTTCTTGGCCCTATCGTTGTCACCAGTCTCGTAGCTGTAAGTGGAGGAAGGAGATGGTGCTCACGCAGCTAGCATGATCCCGAACAAAAGAAAGATAATGACGGATATAATATATGTCCAGCGTCTGCCAAACTCCTCAGATAGAGGAGCGAGGACCATTGGGGTCACGGCGAACCCCTGGTCCCCAGTCAGCGTCCCTTCTTGCTCTTCGGTGGATGGAAGACTCACGAAACAGAAGATCCCTAAACCCACCGCCGCAGTTTGCTGCGAACACCCCAAATCTTCACACATACTCTCCTCCCCTATCGAAAATGCCCCGACATTCATGGCCGTCATGAGCGTAAAACACGTCGCTACGCCGACAATCGCCCGCTTGCGCCACGGCTTGAAGAAGAAGGGATTCTTGGGCGAATTTGGAGGGAAGGAGACGTATATGATACGTTGAGGGGAAGATGGAGTAGAGGTGGGATGAGGAGGGAGATCGTACTCGTCAAGGAGCTCCGGTGTTATTTCTGGACCCCATGAGCAGCCTGGGGGTAGGTCAGGCGTCGGCAGGCCTTCTTGCTTGTCCAAGTTACTCTCTTTCGATGCAAGTTCGCTTTCCTGGAGCTCTTTGCTGTTTGACAAGCAGGTGGCGGTGGTGGCAGTGGAAGGGATGATGGGATCGGCAGCGGCAGAGCTACTTTGGATGTCATTTTGCTGTTCGATGGAAGATGGTGGGTCGGAGGCATGGCTGTCGTCGTGCCGAGAGAAGAGAGGGAGGCCCTGCAGTCGCTCTACCATCCTCAGCCCAAGCAGTATGGCCAACAGCTAATCAATGTATGGACATGCAAATGATGAATAAGCATGACTGGCCCATTAGAGATTCCGGGCGGATTGAAGATATGGCGACCACGGTCCACGAGCGAGTTATCGTTATCGAATTGCAAATCTCGCCCCGGCATCCCGAGCTCGTCGGACATATCCGCAACGGTGCACGTCAAGGACGGTCAAGTTGATTGATATTCTTCTTGCTTCCGCAGGAGCCTACAAGAACTTTTGAACATGCGTTGCGATGATGAAGAGGACGATAATGAAGGCAATCAGGGAAACAGCCCGTGCGCCCTCTTCGAACGATCATTCATGTCAGCACGATGAGCACTAGAAGTGTATCGTACAACACTGACGACATGAGACAGTCCGAATAGGTACAGGATGTTGTTTATATACATGTTGTCCTATATATACAGGCGTAGATATACGTTGATTCAATGCAATGATATTAATGATACTAATGTCCATCAACAATACTCCCTCACCCAAAGCCATCCAAAACCTCCTTCTCCCTCTCAATCCTCTCCCTCTCCTCCTTCATCAACAACTTCGAATACTTCGAATGACTCCTGATCACCTCCCCCTTCCAAAATGCCACAAACGGCACCGCCGACAACACCAGTCCCACCATTCCCCACGTGAAGAGCGTCCAGCGAGGGGTCAAGGCGACGTATTGCTTGTGGATGAAGATGGAGAAGGCGCCGCCAAACATGTTTCGGAGGAAAGATTGGGCAGCGATGGCGGACGATGCGTAGGAGCCATAACATTCGGACAGGCTGCGCCGCACTCTTGTCAGTCTTGTCTCGAAGAGGGGCAGGAGAGCGGAGACTCACTAGACGAAACAGCAGATGTAGAGCGTCAAGATACTCGCGATGACAATGACGATCGCGAAACAGGGCACCAACCAATAAACCTCCTTCACTGCCGTAAACGCAAAGAATATACACCCACCGGCGAACGTAAGACCAGCGAGCATGGGCCCGTAGAGCCGGGCTTCCATACCGACTTTGGACACGCGTCGGCGGTAGATGGCGTCTTGCAGAAAGTTGAAGCCAAAGCCGAGGAAAGCGCCGATCCTACATTGTCGTGAGATGACATTCTGGAGAGTAGAGGAGAAAGGAGAGGAAATGTACAGGATGGTGAGATAGACTAGGCCGACCTCGTTCGTGGTGAAGCCGTGGATGTTCTTGAAGATGTATGTTATTCCGCCGATTTGTGAGTACAAGACACCCCACTGAGATGTTGGTCAGCTGCAATGTTTGGAAGTATAGGTGTGTTCTTAACGTACAGCGATGGATACCCAAAGAGCAAAGAAAGCCACAACAGGCTCGAACAACAAAAACACTGGAATCACCCATATCAGCCATTTGCTCTTCAAGAAAGCCTCACGCGCTGAAGCCACTCACTGATAGGTCTCGTAGCACTGACCCGCATAGCCGCCCAGAACTTCACTCTCCCAATCTCACTTCTCGCCGTATACCTCCCTCCAACATCCTTCTCAGACGTTTCTGCTTGTTTGCGAAGATGGTGCGCGCGGCGGCGGAGGATGACGGATTCACGGGTTTCAGGCAAGATCATGAAAATGAGGGGAAGGAGGGCTGCTATCAACACTGAAATGTTGTCAATCCTCGAGTCTGGAAGGGAAGCTCAATGAGGAGGAGGGACGTACTGCACTGTATCCACCATATCCATCTCCATCTCAACTCCGGATTACTCTCCACCCAGGCAAATATGACTGGCCCGAGACCGCTACCGCCTGTACCTGCCAGGGCAAAGATGGAACTTGGTAGGCCGCGGCTAGAGTTTTCGTCAATATCGTAATGGTGAAAGGGGAAGGATGGACGTACTCTGCAGGCATGTAAATATCTGCGATTGTCCCTCCTACGAGCGTTGACCCAACACTCCCAGCGCAGCCTTGGATGATCCGCGCAACGAGCACTGTACCCATATTCTTGGCCCTGCATGTTTCATCAGCTTCGTCACGCTCGCAGCGACCTGGGAAAGGAACTCACGCAGCGAGCATGATGTGGAATAATAGAAAGATGATGACGGAAACGACATATGTCCAGCGTCTGCCAAATTCTTCAGAGAGAGGAGCGAGAATCATGGGCGTTACTGCGAAGCCCTTCGCGTTCATTAGCTTCCATTGCTACTGATTTGATGGTAAACTCACAAAACAATAGATGCCCAGACCCACTGCCGCGGTCTGCTGCGAACACCCCAAATCTTCGCACATACTTTCCTCCCCTATTGAATACGCCGAAACATTGATACTCGTCAAAAGCGTGAAACCCGTCGCTACGCCAACGATGGCCTTCTTACGCCATGACTTGAAGAAGAACGGGTTCTTGGTAGAGGATGGTGGAAAGGATACGTATATGATGCGTTGGGGAGAGGAGGGAGTCGATGAGGGGTGGGGTGGGAGGCCATATTCGTCAAGGAGCTCCGGTGTTATTTCCGGACCCCAGGAGCAGCCTGGCGGTAGCTCCTTGTCAAACAGACCCTCACGATTTTGGCTACCCTCTCTCGATGGAAAGTCGTCCTGATATGATGCCCCTTCATCTGAGGCGCAGGTGGCAGTGGAAGGGATGATGGGGTCAGCTGCCGCTGAGGTGCTTTGGATGATGTTTTGTTGTCGGATGGAGAATGGTGGGTCGGAAGCTTGCGTGCTGTGCCGGGAGAGGGTCCATGTGAGGGGCTGCCCGTGCTGCCTTTCCTCCATCCTGGGCGAAAGCATTATAGCTGGTAGTTGAGCAAAGTGAAAATTGAGAATCTATAGAGATGCATGACCATCACGCAGAAATTGCCGAGTCGGGGCTGGCTGAACTGGGAAAAAAGGCGAACTCGAGTTATTTAACGTTATCGATTGCAAATCTCGCACCGGCATCCCGAACCAGTCGGCCACCTCCGAAGTTGATGAGTGACAGTCTTCTGCTTCAGCGATGGTATCGTATGGCTCTTCTGTGACTCATATCAAAAATGTTGGGTGAAGAGCAGGATATATTCTTCTTCTAACACTTCTCTTGACCTGGCAACCATCTTCTAACATGACCATTTGGACCCCCGCTTCTGAAATCGACTCCTTGCGTCCACATTTGCCCATCATTCCTTCCCACTCCCCCACCTTACCGTGCATCACAATGGCTATAAAAGTCTAGTCAATCTTCGCATCTGGGCCCCAAACCATTTTTCATGCATGCTGACTCGACCTGTATGAGCATCATCTCACTGGTGCGGAGATGTCCGTTGGATCGGCCGATTTTATTAACACGTCATGATTCTTGAGGCGTCGAGAAGTTGGTGATCATTATGGCAAGTAGATGGCAAAGTGTACATACGTAGCCTCCTGTAGACAAAACGCAAAGGTCAACAAAAGCTCTAGAGGATCTACCGAGAGATCAACTTGGTATAAATTCAACGACAAAAGAGCCAGCAAGAAGAACATATAGAGCTCAAAAAGGCGCCTCGACATTTCGATTTGACCCGACTGCCGCCCTCTCTTATCCCACCAAGATGGCTCCCCTTACAGCACTCCTTGCGGCTCCATTGCTAGCAGCAACAGTGCAAGCCGCCACTGTCGAATACTGGTGGAATATCAGCTATGCCAACGCCAACCCCAATGGCGTGAGTACTTTCTATACGATTTGACCAAATCTAACGAGTCTGTAGCTGTCAGAAAGAAGAGTCATCGGTGTCAACGGCTCTTGGCCGTACGTCAATTCCTCCTCTATTTTGGTCATACCTGACTGTATAAATCAGGCCACCTCCCCTCCTAGCAACCCAAGGCGACACCATCGTCATTCACGCCACCAACGGCCTCGAAGATCCGAATATCGGTACAGCCCTGCACACGCACGGCATGTTCTTCAACGGAACGAATTACTATGACGGTGCTGTTGGAATAACGCAGTGTAGTATACCTATGGGGAGATCGTTGGACTATGTGATTGAGACGGACAGACAGGTGAGTCATGATACTTTGACTGGAAAGGGATAGGAAGCGCTGACATTGCTTCAGGCTGGCACATTCTGGATGCACGGGCATTATCTTGGACAGTACATTGATGGTCTGCGTTCACGTACGTCCCCTTTTCACTCAACTCACTATCGATTTGACACTGGGATCTAGCACTGATAATCGAGCCTCAAAACGGGACTGGCCGATCGGACGACATAACCTGGGACGAAGATTACACTCTTGTAGTATCTGACTGGTAAATCAATCTCTCCATAACAAGACGATCGCTGACAAGAGCGTAGGTATCACCGCCAACACCTCGACCTACTCACAAACGAGTTCCTCTCCTGGGAGAATCCCACCGGCGCCGAACCCGTCCCCGACTCTGCTCTCGTCTACCTTGTGAAAGATGGCGAATACTATCCTTCCCCCGCTGCTGTCGCTTCCGGCGAGTCTACCAACAACAATCTCAATATCCCATTCGAGGCCGGAAAGAAGTACAAGATCAGAGTGATCAACATGGCTGCCCTTGCCAGTGCGTCCCCTTTCCTTCTACTGAGAGACATCAGCTGATAGAGAGCAGTGTTCTTTGTGGCTATCGATCAGCACGATATCCAGATCATCGAAGTTGACGGTGTCGAGGTCGAACCCTACTACGTGGACGCCCTGCCGATTAGTGTAGCGCAGAGGTACTCAATTTTGGTGGAAGCCAAGTCCGAGAGCGATACCAACTACGCCATGACCGTCATGCAAAGCGAGGAAATGTACGTCAACCTCTCCACCCCATCCTCCTACCCAACTAACGATATCAAAGGTACGACTACCTCCCGGACGAGCTCATCATGAACAACACCATCCAAATCTCCTACTCTCCTTCCAACTCCCCCGCCTCCGACGTAACCTACCCCGAAGAGTTCCCCGACTTGGACGACACCAAGCTCGTCCCCCTCCTCGCCTCTGCCATGGCTCCCGCCGATATCGAATACACTCTCCACGTCAACTTTGACACTTACGACGACGGCACCAACCGGGGTTCATTCAACAATATCACATTCCAAGAACCGCCCACGGCCTCCATCTTTACAGCTCTGACTATGGGCAACAACTCGTTCAACCCTGCTATCTACGGGGCGCAGACGCACGCGTTGACGTACCCGCATATGTCCAATATACAGTTGACAGTGTTCAACTGGGACTCTGGACCTCATCCGTTCCATTTCCATGGGCACGAATTCCAGGTTGTCCAAAAGTCTTTCGACGTGACTTCGGACGATGAAGAGGAGAACCCGAATGGTGGGGAGGTGACGGAAGGGCAGAGTAACCCGATGAGGAGGGATACGGTGACGATCCCCGGGACAGGCAAAGTGGTTCTGAGGTGGAGGGCTGATAACCCCGGCGCATGGTTCTTCCACTGTCACGTACGCCCTTCTTTCCCTTTTCTTCCCTACTGTCCTAGCCCCCCCGAAACTGACAATATATGTAGATCGACTGGCATCTCTCCTCCGGCCTCGCAGCAGTCTTCATCGAAGCCCCCGAAAAATTCCAAGAAAACACCGTCGTACCGCAGACGATCGTAGACCACTGTGAATACTGGGGTCTGCCCACGAGTGGGAACGTTGTTGGGCTCAACTCGACGACGGATTTCAAGGGCCAGCCTTGGGGACCTCTTCCTCTTGTCATCGTACGTTCCCTGGCATCTCCTTTTGGGGGTGCAAGCTGACAATCTTCAACAGGGCTGGACGAAAGAAGCAGTCTTCTCCCTCTTCCTTTGTATCGCCTCCGCCCTCATTGGTACGTATACCGTTTTGTGGTACAACCAAAACAAGATGGACCACCGGGATATGGAAGAGCAGATCAGGCGAAAGATGGAAGCAAAGAGGGCGAAGAAGGGACTGTTGAGGCGCGTGACTGGAAACTAGAATGTTATCATCAATTGGGGTCTGGGAGGATGTATAATTTGCTTTCATTATCGCCAAGTTGGTCCTATAGAGATATGCTCAAGGTGTTCATAAAGGTCGTGTATCAAAATGCTGCGTGATCCCTTCTCATTTCTTCTTTACGTTCGTTCCCCCGCACAAGCTAGTGCCCCTTTTACATGAACTTGGAAGCCTGACCAGCCTGTTAGCTCATTGACAACACCTTGCATGGGACGCTTAACTCACCAAACCAGCCAACTGGCCCAAACCACCCGAGTTGCTACCGCCCATCATACCAGAAACCTGGTTCTTCAACATCAACTTCATGATGACCTGACTGGCAGAGGTGACAGCGTCCTGCTTGTCACCAGAGACGTTGCCGCCGGACTGGTCAAAGAGCTTGGCAGCTTCAGACATGGCCATGCCGATGATCTACAGCATGTCAGCGTTTGCTTTCACTTCACAAGGGAAGGAAGGGAAGCGCACCTTGGTCTGCATACCGCCACCGGAAGAAGAGTTGTCCTTGGAGCCGGAAGCAGCATCGCTGTTACCAGAAGTGAAAGACTTGAGAGCCTGCAAAGCAGCAGCACTACATCCTTATCAGCTTATCCCTTTACCACGCTCAAAAGTACTCACGCGCCCAAAGAGCTAGAGGTCATACCAGAGGTGTTTCCGTTATAAGCCTGCTGGTGGTCCTTCTGCACCTTGTCCTCGTCAACGTCATTGTCGTCCTGGTTCATGTTGTTGAGGTAGCCGAGGGCGGTGGAGAAGAGGCTAGAGTTTTCGGAACCGTTAGAGTTGTGCTGGTTGGCGGCGTGAACGGCGTCATCGCTGGAGACTGCGCAAGAAGTCAGCTTTGCATAGAGAACAAGGGGGAGAAGACGTACTGTTGGGGCCGTTACCGCTGTTGCCATTGTTGTTGCTGTTGTATTGAGAACCGCCGGTCTGACCGTAGCCCTGATTTTGGTTCTGGTTCTGGTTGTAGCCCTGGTTCTGGTTGTTGCCTTGGTTCTGGTTGTAGCCCTGGTTGTTGTTGTTCTGGTTCTGGTTCTGGTTGCTGTTGTTGTTATCGCCGTTCACTGCACGCCAAGAGCATCAGCGTCTTGTGATCCTGCAACGTGGCACAGACTTACTAGCGTTCTCGAGCTGCTCAGAGGCCATCTTCTTGATAAAGTCCATTGTGTTTGCGTGTGTTGTTTTTGTGTGGTGGCGAGGGGTATAAAGGAGAAAATGAAAGTTGGGGGGAGAAGAGAAGAATGCTGTGAAGGCGGCCCCTTTTATAGAAGGCTGCAGAAAGAAGGGGACGGGACCAATTTGACGCGACCCGGCAACGAGGCTAAAGGAGGCGATGACGCGCTGGCTTACGTCAGGCACCTCCGCCTATCAGCGTCCATCATCCGCAGTTATGCATCGCACAGTTCCATGTTGAATGATGTCTGCGCAAAAGAGGAGGAGCTACTCCATGTCTCACACTCTGTATGCGTTGCGTCTCGACCTCCAGCGACAGTGATAGAGAAATGGTCGTTTGCTGCTTGGGTTGGTACCTTGATGGGCACAGACCGAGCAGCAAATATCACTATACTGTCCTGAAAGTATCCTGAAAAGGGTAGCCAGATTCGGAAACGCCCCCTGCATTACTCACAGGCTGACTTGTAAAGGAGAGTGCTCAGACAAATCGGGCGACAGCCTCCACAGCTCGCCCCTCGCTCTCTTTCAACCTTGCTGAGTTCTCGCTCACGTCACCATCCTTGTGTGCAAAGCAATGGCAAAGCAGTATCACCGACACCATACTTCTGGTCTCTCACCCTATGAGAAGCTACTAGAAGCTGCTTGACGCTTTGGCCTGCTGTGCTTGCTACATAATGAGCTGAGCACAGCTCGAGTATGACCTCTACCAACAAGGATGTAAGCCCCACATAGAGAGGCGGTGATCAGCGCAGCAGCCTTGATTGGTCCATCATTGTCTTTCAGCTGCGCCTATCCCTTTGTCAGACAGCCCTGAAGAGCTAGAGCTACATCGGGTGTCCGATTAGGAGCGTATAGAGATAGAAACAGCAGCGAAGATGTGATGGGAAGTGTCGCGTGGGAATTTTTGGGCAGACGGCATACATGCCGATGGCTTTACCATACTGTTCAGGTAAATGGGAAATGGTGCCAAGAAGCTTCACTTGGGTGAACCGTACGAAATCTGCCCGACTTCGCCATCAGCAAACTTGAAGGGAACAGATGTGTGCGGAAAAACCAAACAAATGACTGTACCTTGACTCTCGTAGTATTGATTGTTGTATTGTTCTGGCGGTATTTTGTTTGTCTTCCTCTATGATCAGGTGCACATGAGTAGAAGTAAATGATCTGAGAGCTCGATGTGAGTCAACAGTGCGTGAGCGCGTGGACCAGGTAGGTGGAGGTTGGGATGACGCCCCAAATGACGCCCCGCTTCGACAGAAAAGATCAACATGTCACGTGACCGTGTTTGTTTTTTGTGCCTGTTCTTGGATCTGTTCCTGAACACAACAATTGAAGCGGAACGCGTCGAAGACTCTCCCCTTTCTTCGTTTCTTTTCCTTTTACACAATCCTCTTTCCTTTTCCATTTCCTCATCATATATTATGGGTGATACCCAAGACTTCATTGACTACATGGAGAGGACACAAAGGTATTCCTCTCTGGTCGTCGCGCCGCCCTTTGTGCCGCCACGACGCGCTTCCTTGCTGACATCCTTCACCCCCAGCTCCCAGTCCGCGTCGCCCCGTCGTGGCCACCAGATAGCCGTCCAGCAACCGGGGACAGACGATAATGACCTCCCATCGTCTGATTCTGCGATGCTGCCTTCGCTCTCCGGCACCCACAGTGTACCCCCTTCCCCGCATTCACTGAAGGATCACGTCGCCGTCTTCGTAGCGACCGGGATAATGACGAGGACGACGATTTCGCGCAGCGTTGGATCCAAAGCCGCAAGAGGTTCAAGCTGGATGCTTCACCTCAGGAAACCCTCGCTCAATTGGAAAAAGTAAGTCTCCGCTTTGGGAGTCCTTGAGATGTCTAACTCAATAATGGCGCAGATGTCGCTTCGAGAGCTTTTAATGGTGTCAATCCTCGAATCTCTGGAAACGCGAAAAGAAACCCAGGCCTTGAAAGCCAAGATACGGGCGCTTACAGAGCATGTCGCCATTCCTCTCACCAAAGAGATCAAGGTGAGTCTCAATTATCTCAGCAAGCAGCATTACTGTGTGTATATCTCTTGACACTCCTCACAAGTTCGAGTCGGCTTCTCAACCGACATCATCTTCATCCGCTTATCCCAGTATCAACAATCACAGACCCGCTGAGGCGCCCATTCTTCAAAATGCGTCAGGTGTGTCCGTGCCAAAAGCATGATGTGTCATCAAATGATAGTTGTTGTGGTAGTGTAGATCCCGGCGTGAACTTGTAGTGGTGAAAATAGCCGAAGAAGGGAGATAGGTGCGCGAGAGTTTCTCTCGTAGGTCTTCATGTTATCGCCTAGTTATCGCGCACACACAGTTCTTCTTTATTGTTCTTCTTTATATGCAAACCAGATAGCCTAACCTTCCAACACCAGTCGCGTCGCGGCGCCTATTGGGTTGCCTATCCTTGCGAATGTGGCGCCGACATTGCGTAACAAGCTTCTCTCAGGCCTAGCAGACCATCGCGATGTCTTTGTAAAAGCTGATGTAGAGCAGATTGGAGCCCGCTCCCCCTAAATAGTCTGAAGCCCGCGGGCAACGAAATGTATATGGGAGAGCTGATGTAAAGCAGATCGGAGCCCTCTTCCTCTCAATCAGCTGGGATACGTGGGCAAGGAGCAGAGTTTCGGGCTCGGACGCTTGAGAGGTCGTAGGGAGACTTAGTAAACCATAAGCGAGTGATGGAACAGACACTATGATACATACAGTGCACTCCACTATAGGCGACATGCAGCAAGACATCAAACTTTCTCCTCTTCCCTAGTCCTCTTCCCATCTTGCCCTACTCTAGACTCCCCATCATCACCACCACCGTCACCGTCACGTTTCCTGATCCTCTCCCTAGCCTCCTTGTGCTCCTCTTCCAAGCTCTTCGGCGTCTTGTAGAACCCCACATATATCCCGGCCAGTACGATGGTATAGCCGATGAGAAAATAGCACACTTTCGCGCCGGATTGCATGAATGTTGATGGGTTGGTTGACTCTAAGCCCGACATGACAGCTAGGGTGAGAGCTCCGCCGACTTGGAACTACAGCTTTCTCATCAGCTTCCATATGTACGGGTTTGGGTAACGGGAGAAGGAAAAGAGATAGGACGCACAAGGACAGATATCCAAGCTGCCGCCACCCCGCCCATCTCTGGCGGACACATCTGCACCAGATTGATCTGGCTCGCAAAGATGACAATCATCCCCCCAGCGCTGCCGAGGACGAACGCGGGAAAGATGAAACGCCAGTAGTCTGTACCATGCCCGCCTTCGGATTTGAGCTGGAGGACCTCGGCGATTACGATCACTGAAAGACAGTCAGATCTAGAAGAGAGGGATACGGAAGAAATGGGACGTACGGATCGAGCCGATTGGGATGGACCAACGAGGCTTCTCGATGATCGCTGGTACAAATTGCACCATCCCGCCTATGATCAGAGTCATTACACCCTGGGGCAAACAGGCCACCGCAACATGGACTATGTAATCGTCAGCACCTAGCCTCTCATATGTCTCCCCTCTTCCAGGCCGAGCAAGACGCAAAGAGATATAAACGTACGGGGACTCCATCCGTAGACAGTCTGCCAATAATTGGCGTACATCAACTGAGACGTGCCCCAAAACCCCATAGGGATGAGCACGGCGAGAGAGGCGATGATGGAATTTGTGATGCTCCAGACCGAGTTGGGGAGAATGGCTGTCTTCTGGGATATCTTTGCCTCTATCGGTGCGTCAGCGGCGCTCGACGAGAGGAAGTGAAGGACAATACGTACCCCAGAAGAAGAAGCCAACTACGCATGGCCAACAGATCACGAAAGGCACGATGAAGCTTACCGCTCCCCATCCATCGATCGGCCCCTTTACAGATGTCAGCTTGTTGTTTCACAGTGCGACGTCGCATGCTTACCTGCGTCAACGACAAGATGAAGCATGTGAGGAACCCCATCATCAACACCACCCCCGGGGCATCCAACATCCGCCACCTCGGAATGCTCTCCTTCCCTTCCTTCTTCTCTTTCGAGTAGGTCGAAGAAAGGCTAAAGGGGAGGAGCCAGATGGCGACGGCCGTAGAGAGAAGGCAGAGGATGGCGATAAGACGGAAGAACCACTTGTAGGAGGCTCTCATACAGAGACCTGCCAGCACCCTATGTTTCCTTCATTAGAGCTTGTCCGAGAGATATGAAAGTCGAGAGAGTAGAAAACGTACAGGCCAAAAACATTGCCGAGGCCCGCCGCAAGCCCTAGCAGAGATAGTTTGGAAGCTTGCTCCTTCGTTTCGGGATACATATGGATGACCAGGTGACTGTATACGTGGTTCAGCTATGCTCCTGGACGATGGTATGGTACCGGTTGGCTTACTAAGCCGATGGTATAGCTGTAGATCCCGGAATGGGAAATCAGCAAGGATCAAGCTGCTTCCATTATCTTGGACTCACACAGAGACCCAGTGATACCAGCTAGTCCTCTGAGAATCAAGAACCCATATCTATATTGTATCAGATATGGAGCTCCAACATAGGATAGCGAGAGACCGTGCACATGAAACGACTCACTTGTTACTCGTGACAAAAGACGTGACCAAGCTCAAGACCCCCAGCAACGCGAATCCTACTTCGAACACTATGCCAGCCGGGAAGAGATCCGCCAATCGACCAGAGAGAAGCAAGAATGCCGAGAAACCAATGCTATATGAGGTTATGATCTGCCAATAAGTCATTGATGGTCAGTGCTCGCCTCAAAAGTCTTTCAAGAACTCACCCAAATGCCTTGGCTTGAATGCAAAGAAATGTCGGTCGTAATGTCGGCCACAGCGACGGCAACACCAGAGACATTTGCGATATCTAGGAAGTCCGCCAGACCAAAAATGAATAGGAGTACGCTCTTTTTGAGTGTGGAGAAAGCTGCGCAAGGGGATGCTGTGTGTCTGGTGATTCGCTCTCTTGGGTAGTGACGTTTGTGTTGTCTCCTGCGACGTTCGATATAGAGAGGGAGGCTGGCGAGCTCTTGAGAGAGACCAAAGAGCGTGATTGACGAAGCTCAGGTGTTTCCAAGCTGGAGGGCATGATGGTTCGGTCCGGGTTCACGGTGCCGGCGGGGTAGGATGATCGAATTGCGGTTCTTCGTCGCTATCTGTTAATCCCACACTCAGACATAATCAGCCCAAAGTCGGAGGGTGCCCTGGTAGAAAATTGATCAGAAAGAAAGAAGAAAAGAACAGCAAGATGCCAACACATGTCGATCATCCCGGGGATTGATAGGAACAATAGGAACGGTCAAACCTGAGGAACTTGGCGTTGTTGTTGGTGGTGGGCGCATCGTCCTCCGGAAGTATCGCACTGTATGTACCACGGCTTAGCCTGCCTCTGAGAGACTTGTTGTGTCGTGCTGTGTGGAATTAGGGGGATCTTTGGCAGATTGTAGACATGCATCGAAACCATCCAAAAGTGGATGGCCGGAAGCGGTCGGCTCCGAACTCGGTCCTCCGGCGCGAGACCGAAGGCCCGGAGGAACTCAGCCAGTGTCCGGTTGGCAGCGGTCCATAACCAAATCTTGTCTCCGCTCTTTCAGCTTTGCTTCCTTCTTCGTGCGACGAATGGCTTGCATTCTAGCGCACATACGTGGTCGGCAGCGCGCGACGTTCGACTGCAAGGTTCTTTTGGCACCTCCTCAATTATTGGATTCCAGTGTTCGTCTGTATCGGCCGCATACGCCGTATGATACGATGATACGATACATGTTGCGCCGTTGTTTGACATCAGTTTCTACAGACACTATACATCAAACGATACACTTCCCCGTCATCTTAGCACAGAGGCAACGGTCCGGTACGTCGACCGACCCGTCTCTGCATGGAGAGTAGACAGAGACCACGAGCCTGAGCCTCAAAGAGAAGCCTTGTTGCCATTGCTATTGAGCTCTACATCAGCCTCGCCTTTGTTAGCCACAAAATAACACATACTACTCCCACATCCATCCTGAATGTTCTTCTTTGGTGGCAGTCTCCAACAGTCTGATGATTCCCGCTGTGATTCACATATCATCAGTCTTCATCCCAATGACCAACAAGCTCTCGAAATAGAGACAACTCACGAACGGTGTCTTCCAATCTCTGAGGAGTGGTGCCATTCATGTTCGCATTGTTGGACGCATTGATGCCCATTTCGCTAGACACGCAGCCGGTCAGCTCCACTACATTCACTATTTGGTATGAGGGGGACGCACGTTTCAACCCATCCAGGGTGAATGGCAAAAGCTTTCAGCTTTGGCTCTTCGAAATGGATAGCGCGCACCTACACCATCACAGTCAGCCATCCCCTCACAGTCGGAAGAGGGCAATCAAAATGTACCAAGTAATTGGCAGCAGCCTTCGAACACCCATAAACTCCAAATCCGATCCTCTTTGGCGTTGAGATTGACCCTCCCTTTGAGCTGACTACCGCAAACGTATTTCCCTCACCATCACCGAGCATATCCCTGAAAGCCTGGTAGAGCAACAAAGGGCCGCGGGTGTTGATCTGTATAGACTGGTCGAATGAAGCGATGGGGGTCTGGGCCAGCGGGGGGCCCATGATACCTACGCCCGCGTTGGCGAGGAGGATGTTGAGGTCGCGGACGTTGTGTTTGGTGCGAAGCTCTTGTGCAGCCTTGAACTCCCATCAGTGTCGGTCCACGGAGAGAGGTGATAGTAGCAGACCGACCTCTTCAGCATCGGTGAGAGACGCAGCATCAATCTTGACGACTAGCAGATCCCCTTCGAGCTTTGGCATCTTGCCAACATCCCTCACGGCTGCCACCACCTTCCACCCCTTCTCCAAATACGACTTTGCAATCTCAAGTCCGATCCTACAAGAGGGTCAGCGGGTTGCATCTGTTTAAGGTAGGAGATGAAGTACCCGCGATTAGCACCAGTGACGAGGATGGTTTTGACTCCCGATGACATTTTGCGAGTATGATGCGCTCCGTATGGAAAGGGATGGTGATGAGTGGACATGCTCCTCTGAGCGGCTACTTATACTGCCCATATGTATCATGGAGGCCTCGGCTTCGGTCTCGGCTTCGGCCTCCATGATTGCCCGAGCCTGTCCTACTCCGAGCGTCACCATCGGCGATCACCGCACGGGAGAAAACAGACTCAATCATCGTAGTATTATTGTGCGTAAGTAAGGCGGAAGAGTTTAGGAGACGAATGTAGCCACGGAGGGCCGTGGGTGCATCGTCGTGAAGCGTGGATTGAGGAGGTGGCCTGTTGGTATATGGTACTCGTACTGATCGTGCAAGTTGCCTTTGTTGCGCTGCGTCAATGAACTGATCTATCTCTACGCGCAGAATCTCTTTTCTCCCCTTGATCAGCGATCCTCTGGCTTACTGTACCCCCTCCCCGAAGTCGGGCGGCCTCAGCTCGCTTGACGTCGCCTTAGCATTACTCCAAGGCACTCGACAGCACCTCCCTCGGCGCTCCTTAAGTGATACCGGTTCTTTCGCTGATGACCTCCCTTTCGTTCCTTCCACATTCTTGTTCGTCGACTTTGCCCACGGTGGCCCCAATATGGGTTATCAAGCGTCGAAATGGGATTTCGCTAATCGCTTCATGCAGGTTGTGACAGACGTCCGCCAAAGAAGCAGCAGGTAGCGTCATACGACAAGGGCTGTATGCATGTCGAACGCCGACTGTAGGCTTGGCGTTCTGTATCTGAGCGGTTCTTGTATGATAGTCCCATAGTACGATCAGTAATGAGCTTGGCACGAGGTCATATCATCTGCAGCGGCTGAACCAGATTGAAAGCCGAAACTACGATGCGGAAACTACCCGGCTCTGGGGTCAAAGAGGTACTTGTATCCACAATGTTCTAGGATTATCATAGCATAACCACTCAACCACTTACTCTGGATTGCATCGCGCAACAACCCAGTACAGTCAACGAACCAAAAACAACCTTGAAACAACCGCGCGAGGCCCAGCCAAAACCTCACGGTGATCTAAGGCACGTGCCGTAAAACGCGATCGTTCCTGACCTTATCAGCGTTTTTATCAGTGGGCAGATTTGATCCGGGGCCACGTGTTGCTGACGTAAACCCGGTCAAACAATATTCCGAATCAATTTTTCATGCATGTCGTTTATCTTGTCGCTTTTGCCGAAAAAATATGGTATGGGAGGGTATTTATTGGTGGTGCACGATCAAGTCAGCTAGAAGAAGCTGGAGAGTGAAAAAAGAATGGATGATACAAAGCTCATGCATGAGACAACCGTGAAAAAACACCAAAGGGAAAGAAAGACGGCTCGTCATAAGTGTACAAGATCTGTAGAATCATAAGAGGGAAAAAAAGAAGGCGTCACGCAAGAGGAAAGATATGAGAGATCAAGACAAAATGATGTGAAGACAGTCATAGAAGATATGGGGTGGGTCGTTACAAATGATGTGATATCTATAGAGAAAGAGAGAGAAGGGGTCCACGGATGTGACTGATCCTTTCTGTGAACAGTCGTACAAGATGCTAGCTGGGCTTGTGGTGGAATGGGGTCATGATGGGATGTGTTTGGCAGTGAATGTGAAGAAGTGGAGAAAGAGGTCGTGGATGGAGGGTAGACCTGCTTATGAAATGTCAGTTCAATGCCCTTATCCAGCCTGCTCGAAAGATACTCACCTATTCCGTATCCATCCTCCCATACCTCTCTCTCCTCTCCTCCTCCCTTGCCGCCTCCTCATCCACAATCAGACTGCTCCTAAGCCTACTAGGCTTCCTCTGTCCCCCCGCGCCCCTGTTCATACCCCTCCCAAAGCCAAGTTTCAACACATTCCCAAGCTCCGCCCCCAAATCCTCTACATCCCTCCAAAAAGCTTTCGACTTTGTCACCTGCGCAGCGGCGATGATGACTTCCGCATCTTCTCGAGGAGACACAGGGAGGGGGAGCGGGACAGAGAGGGGGAGGTCGAGCTGGGGGGCAGCGGGGGAAGATGGGGTAGGTGGGGAGAGGGTGGGGGACATGACGGGGGCGGTAGCCAGCGGTGAAGGGATGTATGAGAATATCTGAGGCGGTCTCGTCGGAGGCCGAGCAGGCAGAGGCATTGTCGCATCCACAGGAGCTTCCGGACTCGTACTAGGCGACGAAGGCGTCTTCCCTTCAAACAGCACTCCAGTCAGACCCGGCATAGATGACGTCGACGATGTGGAGGACGACCTTTGCCTGGCGCGCTTCGCAGCAGGCTCGGGGCTATCAGGTGATATAGTACGTGCAAGCTCAAGGGAAGTGGAGGAAGAGCTGCTGAGAGTCTCCACCTTCTTCAACTTGACTTTGCTTGAACGCGCCCGAACCAGAGGCCTTGCCGCTGGTATTGACAGCCTCCTGCCCTTCTTCCGCAGCCCATCATCTTCCCAGAGCCCATCGTCCTCCACCTCCATCCCATCATCAATCGAAACCGAGCGCCGCAAGACATCGTCTTCATCCCCAGCAGTGCCAGAAAACGTGTCGACGTCCTCCGACCTGGCGCGCTTGGACTTGCGCGACGAAGATCCCCAGCGCTTGAATGTAAACAGAGGCGGGAGGGGAGAAGAGGCTGGGGGCGTCATGGGTGTCGCTGGGATGGGGCTCGGGGCGGGGGTGGGGGAGGTGGTAGGCGTCTCGGTGGGGATCATCGCCGATGGTTGTTGTGGTGTATCAGGAGCACGGGAAGGAACAAGGTATTGCGGCAAATTAAATACCGGGAAGGCTGTGGAAAAAAGGTGTTGTTCGACTAAATCGCATCAGCTCCTGCTCAAGCTTGGAGTGGACAGTGACAGGAAGAAGCAAGATGGGGGAATGCTTACGTGCAACGAGGCGACGGAACGTCAGAGCAGTTGATGCGAGAACGCGCCTTGATTGACTCGTGCCGGGCTTGCCGAGGTGGGGAGGATGAGTGGCGGAATGCACAACCTGCTGCAAGTGGAGCATGCTAAGTCAGCCATGGTCCTGGAGGAGTAAGAGGTGACAGGATGCTAGGGAAGAGAAGGAAAGAACGACGCGTGTCACATACCTGTCCGAAAGGCCGGCTGCGGTGAAGGGAAGGATGTTTGGCGTCCAGGCAGCGTGCTTGCAGCTGTCTCTGTCGCTTGTCCTGGCCCACCGGCGGGGTCTAGGGGGCGCGATAGATGGGACGAAGAAGGAAGAAGAATGGGACGCAGCAAGAGAATACGAGTTGGAGGTAGAAAACAAAAGGAGCGGGATGAATTGCGCTGCTTGAAAGCCGGCTGTCGGGTTAAAACGACTCTTCGGTTCGGCCAAAGAGGACGGCATCAGATTAATCTCTGGATCTTTGATTGAGTCAGGCCTGAGTACGCACTTCTTATGCGAATATCTCCAGTATCATTCGGGCCCCCTCATACCGGAGACACTTGAACGGAGGGCCAAAAGCATAGACAGCAAAAACCTTGTACCCCACTCGTAAGGCAAAAAGACAAGGACCGACAGGATTCGAACCCGTGACCGCAAGATGAAACTCCAGTTTTTAAGACCTCGAAGTCTTGAATGCTACCACTGCAACACAGTCCCTTGTTGATGTTTGAGTGTTTTTGGCTGTCCCCAGATCCGTGCACTACCCAAAGCTTTACATCGTCTAGTTATTGATGGGCACTACTAGATAGCGGCTTTACGTAGCCGAAGTCCCATGGATTCAACATTAAGATACGTAGCCGAAGTCCCATGGATTCAACATTAAGAGTCAGACTTCTACGAGTACATATCCATGCAAAGTTTTTACGTATTTCTTCGAATGTCACCTTCTTAATCATCTCCGCCCATCTCAGCATCTCACTCAACGATTACCTACTCCACCCCTCTATGCGTGGATGTCTTCAGCGTTGAATCCCTCATTTCTGTGGCCTAGGTCAGCATAATATCTTGGCACTTCTCAATAGAAGAGTGTTCTCAATAGAAGGGAGACGTACTTTTTCAGGATCACCAAACCCTCCAACACACTCTGGTAAGGGAAGAACTCGTTCGTGCCCAACTCCGCTCTCTCTGTAGTCGCGATGCGTACTGGTGATTGATGAGTTTGGAACTATACCCCATGTAAGCTTCATATCCAACATCCACAATGAGAGTAAAAAGGACACGTACACCACTGATACCGTGTCGTGTACCGGCCTGGGCAACAGTGTTGACAGCCTGGCCGACGCGGACGGTGACGGGGACCTCTTCCAGTTCTTCGTTGAGGGTGATGAGGAACTGGGGATACATGGCGGGGACGAGCCAGTAGAGCATCCAGTGAGAGTTACTCAAGACGACTGTCCTAACATCAGCAAATTTTCCAAATTCATGAAAGGGGATTACTTACACTTCCTGGCGTCGGTGAAAGAAACGAGGACGGAAAGAAGGCCGGCAACAGCAGTCTTGCTCATGACTTGACGGTCATTGTAGTAAGGGTTGATACCAATCGTACCCTTGCCCATGTGCACAAAGCCCTGAGCGATCCTAACCATAAACAAACAGTCCGCCTCCTTGGCATAATACACCGCCAACCCTCTCAACATCTGCGCCAATCTAGCATTGTTCGTACCAGCACCCACAAGGCCCATCGCCAAGATAGCATTAATCGCCACATCGAGATCAGAGTCGTGAGAGTACTTCGAGAGGGTATCGAGGATAGGCAGTTGGGGGTTGGAGGCCGAGATAAGACCCAAAGCGAGAGGAACGGTCTTGCGGATGATGGGGTCGCCATAAGTCATCAAGTGCTGGAATTGCCGTAAAGCCATATCCGAACCGACCTCCTCGCCCATAGCGATCAAAGCGATACCGATGGTAGCGAATGCTTGGTACTTGAGCTCAGTAGCAGGCTTGGCCTCCTTGCCCTCCTCGGCGGCACCTTCGGCAGCAGGCTGGGCCTCACCGTCGGCTTGACCACCCTCAGCAGGAGCGTCAGACATGGTCACGTCCCCTTGAGCATCAGTGGGAGCACCGGCCGGCTGAGGCTCAGCGGGTTGAGCAGCCACGGGAAGAGGTCCAGGGACCTCGGTGGCAGATGCAGATCCCTCCCCTTCGCCAGCGACGGCCGCGGCCTCTTCCTTCTTCTCCTCCTTCTTGGCAGCGTGCTCGCCGCAGATGTAGAGAAGCTCTTGGATCTTGAGGACGTTGCCGGTACCAGCGTCGGCACAGACTTCGACGATTGTTTGGGCGATCTGGGCGATGGGGTGTTCGATGGCTTTGAGAGTGGCAAGGGTGGGTTCTGATTCTTCCTGAGCGGCTGCAAACGATGTAAGTAAGGACCTTTAACGTGAATGAAAACGTACAAAGATACAGCAAACCGAGACCCAAACAAGCAAAGACGGTCCACTCAGACGCCAACTGACTCTCCTCCCTCTCCATCAAAGTCTGCAAGATCTCACTCGCCAGATCACCATTGGACGATCCGACAAACACGAAACCAAGCGCCAAGATAGCTTGAGAGGTCACCTCCATGGGTGTCGCCTCGTCCTGGACATACGGCAAGAGCTTGTCGGCAATGTCTTGCCTCTGAGACCCAGCGTACGCGATGGCAAGGCCGTTGATGGCGCTTACCTTGAGCTCGATGCTCTTGCTGTCTACGTGTTCTTCGAGAAGGGCGTAGGCAATGTCGGTCTCGGATCGGATACCGGCGTGGACGATACCAGTGGCGAGGAAAGCACCGGCCTTGATGTGCTCTTCGGCCGAGTAAGAGTACTTGTCGATATGGTCGATACCGTTCTCAGAATCCCAAAGCAAGCTCAAACCGATGGAAGCAGTAGCACTCTTCATACCGTGCTCCTTGTTCTTGTAGATCCAGCTCTGGCCTTCGGGGGCGTTCACCATGAGCTTGTCGTTACCGAAACCGGCGTTGACAAAGGCATTGACAAACGTAGATGCAAGGTTTTGACGGGCAGAGTCGGGGAGGGTGGTGTTGCGGCTGGAAGGTTCGAGGTGGGTCTTGTAGATGTCATCGACAGACTTGGGCTCCTCGACACCGACGGCCTTGCCAAAGTTCTTGAAGTGGGTGGCAAGTTTGACGTTGCCAAGGCACTCGAGAACCTCGTCTGATAACGTGGGAATGGACTCGTCACCCTCGGCGTCTTCAGCTCGGTGGACCCAGTGAAGAGGTATTTGGGCGCGAGCGAGGAAGTATGAAAGTTGCTTTTTCATGACGCTACGGGTCTATGAGTACGCATTTCGCGGAGACGTGAATGGACTTACGGATTTTGAGGAGCCTCGTAGTACTTGCGGATCAACTCGGGGTTGTTGAGTCGCACAGCAAGGGCCAACGCCTCGGGATATCGGTCGTACTTGGAGTAGATGATGGAAGCAGTCTCAAGGAAAGCAATGTTGTCCGGGGCGACAAGCAACGGCACACAGCTGACCATATATCTGCAGACCCTCTCAAACGTTTTGTCGTCCACAAACTCTGTGATCGCAGAAATGCTCTCCACCTCCAACAAGATATCCACCGCATCCGCCTCCGCGTTGTGTTGCAAGAAGAATTGGATGAGCTCGAGAGCGAGGTCCTTCAATTGCTGAGTGGTGTATTTGGAGTTGGGCTCGGCAATGTCGGCATCCTCTGCCAGGGCAGCGAATGTAGCAGCATACTCTTCTCCGAGTTCAGCAGCGAGGTGTCGGACGTATTCGTGGCCCCAGAGACCAGGTTCTTCTGTAGAGCCAGACTGGACACGGAACCAGAGGGTTTCGCGCTTGCCGCTGTCCGAGTAGGTCATAGCGAGGACGGAAAGAATAGAGGCGAGAAGGGACTGTCACGGTGTCAGACTTGTTCTTCATCTTTTTAATCAGAAGACGCACCTTCTGCTCCGTCAAATCATCGCTCCAGCCTTCCCTGATCGTCGCCATCTCCTCGTAGAACGGTCTCAAGAACTTGAGGGGCTTAGGCACGGAGGTCATGGAGCTAGTGGATGTTCGAATAAGTGTTCTGAGAGACTCCAAGGCTGGTTGGTAAAGACCGGTGTCGGATTCCTGTCACGTCGTGAGCAACTGTTTTTGACCCATCAATGACAGCCGACTCACTCTTAAACGCTGGACGAGCATCTCCAGCTCCGCCTTCAGCTGTTGGTCCTCCTCACTCTGTTGACTCATCAGCTTATACCCCAACGAAAACCTAGCATGCTACGCACCATCTCAGTCTCTTCCTTGCCGTCATCCTTGCCCTTGCCCTTGTCGCCAGCGTTCTTGGGCTTGTCGGCGTCTTTTGGCTCGGGGTCTTGAGAAGTGACGGCAATTTCAGAGGTAGGGCGTTCTTCCTCGGGCATGTTGGGTGGTGTAGGGGAGGAAAGGGGAAGAGAAGGAGTATAGACGTGGTTTGGTTGTAATCTGCAAGTGACGATGATGGAGACGCGCGTTGTATCGAACGACGCCTATTTCTTGAAAAGGCGCGCGCCGCCCATACCTTCTTTCTTTTCGTTCCTTCGTTCTCGCTTTTTCTTGTTCTCCATCATCTTCCATTCCCACTTATCACATCCAGAGGCGCTGCTACTTTTACTCCCTTTTCATATCGCGATCAAGCACGACCCGACCCGTATGACTCAGCCCCAAGCCTATCAGAAAGGAAGTGCAGCCGACGGTCGCTTGTGCGATGAGGGATTCGTTCTCCCCGAGATCCTCAAGTTATGAGCCTCGAATCTCACCACAAAAGAACAATCCACTATGGCACTTTTTTTCTTCATGAGTGTGGGTCACCCGCTTGTCATGGTGGATTGTGCTTTTGTGGAGAGATCCGAGGCTCATAACCTGTTGGTCTTGGCGAAAGCGGAACCGCCATCTCAACAAGTAAGCTGTCAGTATTTTGGACCAGACGGTATGTAGTACTTGTGAGAGGCTATGGCCGTTCATCTCAGCTTCTACTCTTCAGCGCAGGTATATTAAGGAGGGTATCCACAAGTGCTGTGCCGGGGGCTGAGGTCGGCGATCCTACTCAGATGTTGTAAATTGAAGCTGAAACAAACCCATCCGCGCGAGTATGGAATGAGTCATGTCAATCGATATCGTCCACAATTCATAGGCTCTTCCCATCTAATCTGTATGTTCATTTTGGTCTTGGGGATTCCCATCTATACACAACGTTATTATCACAAATGAGAGTAATATAGCTACACACAGCCCGAATATAATAAGTGCCGTAACTACAAGCAAGAAGAGGTAACAGGTCTATTGATGTACCGACCTAAAAAGATAAGAATGTAGCAAATGTCCATAAGAAACGTCTCGACCGAGCCTCTAGGGCCGATCAAACAACTCCCTAGCTTCCTCCCCATCAACTTCCTCCAAAACGCCCAGCCCGGACCTGTACTCTCTCAATTGCTTACTCCCCCTCCTTACATTCCTTCCCTTGCCCGGCGGCTGCAAGACCTGCATCACCTGCTGCTGGCCGTTCACCATCGTCACAGCCACAGTGTACAACTGGGTTTGGGGGTGGCCATGGCCGAGAGCTGTCTGGGAGGAAGCGGCGGGGAAGGGGTTGGAGGGGAATGTATGCGAGCCGGCGAGTTTTTCAGGGTATGTCGGAGGGGTATGAGTAGGGAGTAGAGAAGGGGATGAAGGGAACCTTCAGCGGTGGTCAGCTTTCAATCTTTCACTTGCTTTTGGTAGACGTACGGCCATTGGAGCAAGACCAGACAGGCGAGAAAGATGACCACCAGCAGCGATAACGGCAGCTACTCCAGGATCAGTGGAGTACGACAGACAAGGAAGAGAGAATGACTCACTGTATCCAAAGCCTTCACCGTCGCTATCCCCAAAAACTTGAACGTAGACATAATCCCAGAAGTCGTTCCAGCGACGCTCATACGTTTCGGTATCTATCCCAAGCTGATATCGTCGAGAGAGCGTGGGGGGGACGTCAAGACCAGCCGACGTGTCAAAAGTGACGGAAAGAAGGGGGTGATGGCGTATGTGCTTGGTTGATTATATACTTGTATATATGCACAGCCGCAAGCAACTTCCACAGGGAAAATTCGGCGTTTGAGGAGGACAATAAGAAAGGCCTTTTGTGTGTGATTGTCACTCAAAACAATGTGCCGAGGTGTTGTTGTTTGTGTCGCGCACGGGGCGTTTGAGCGGTCTGAAACTTGGCCAGGGGGTAGGACAGTGAGTTTTGGTGGATACAACACGTCGAAGTGGTGTTGCAGAAAGGAGTGGATTAACTATGAAAGAGGGTGGCGTGTCGATTATAGGGCAAGTGACGATAGGGGTCGGTTGGGTTTTGGAAAGAACTGTAGGAAAAGACCGGGGGTCCGAATTCAGCGTCACACTTATTTTCATCATGTCACCGCGCTACTCACTAGACTCTTTTGGGCAATCTAGTCTGGATTGTCGACCACGGCCGAAAGACTAGGAATGACCCGGAAGAGTGGGAAAGACTTCGGACGAGCTTGCAAGTGGGGAGTGATCGGTGGATGGTGAATGAATGAGCAAAATTGGAGAAAGATAAGGAAAAAGGTGGTTGTTGTCGACTATCGACGCGGTCAGCACACCTCTAGATACGTCTGGTACACTCACTGAACCAATACACAAGAGGAGTGAAGAGTCTTGAGAAGTATAGATGAGAGAGAATATGGTGGGGGAAGCAGAGTTGGCTCTGACTCCGAGTAGCACGTTCAGGTCCCACGGAGAGCCTGTTTTGGAAAGTCGCGACAACTCACGTCGTGGATAATCGCCGGTCTCCACAGCGATTAGACTTCAGGCGTCCGAGATTAAGTATAAGCTCCCGTTTGATTGCGTACGCTTCCGTCTCGTGCCCTCGCTGTCTGTGGCTGCTGTGACGAGCGACAGCTGCAAGGCGCAGGAGTCCGCTCTCTCCTCCGCCTGTCGGCTTGAAAGAAGCCAGTCTTGCTCCCGACCGTCGTCCGACTGATGGAGCTTATAGAGCTGATCGCATATAGGGTTCTAGATAAGAGAGAGCCTGGACTATGATATGAGGATGAAAGAAAGTGAATGAAGAGGATTGAAAAGCTACGCCAGATGTATGTGAATGTCGGTCATGGCGAGGGGCCACTATGCGGCTATTCTCCACGGTTTGCGGCGCCATGTCGTTCGCATGCCAGCATTTTTGAACAGCTTGGACAGCGTGCAGTGCAGCCTGAGGGCTTGGAGATTCCCATGATGAGCTCTCGCCGGCAGTCTTACGTTGAGTAATTGCTTACTCTTCAGGGCAGTCACCGCTAGTGAATGACGCGAGAGGCGGTCTAGGCCGTCGGGGTGATCGATATCCATCTCCGACCGACTGTCAACCTGTATTTTATTGTACTTAACTCTAGCAAAGCTGCACTAATCCGCACCATGATAAAGACCCACTTGTTGAGATGATCATGACTTCATAAATCATCTCTTCACGAAAGCTTGCTCCGATTGATTGATATGGCCTTTCCTACTTTGGCTCCCATCTCACTTTTCAGGATCCAGGACCGAGTCATGCTCCACGCATTCGCACGCCTGATAGAGTGATAGGCAAATAAGCAAAGTTTCTTGTCGTCGGACAACACCGGATCATGCCGTACCCAACCGACCCCTCAGCAGCGTCGTACTCGATGTCCTCGCACGTATGTTGACCCAGCCGTGCACGTTCCAAAGCAGTCATTACTGAGTGCATCATCACTGACAGCCTCGCCCTACTTTCCCTTCCAAGCGATCTCCCTCAACCTCTCATACCCAACATCCCAATCTTCCTCAAACTTCCTCTCCGAGAACTTCTCCACCGCCAGCTGTCTTGCCGCTTTGCGCATCTTCAAGCTCTCTTTCGGGGAGAGAGACAAGGCAGCATGGATAGCTTCGGCGAACGAGGCGGCGTCTGTCGCGTGGAAACCTAGATACGAGTCAGATGTGCGATAAGGCAGATAGGAGATGCGGGATATCGCACCTGTACGTTGTCCATTGTACGGGACCACAATGTCCATCAGAGGCCCCGCCGACGCATGCACCACCGGTATCAGACCAGCGGCCTGGCGTCTCTATCAGCAATGCCCATGTCCGAGATGGTCGGAAAGACTCACCATGAACTCTACAACGTTGATACCAAAGTGCTCATCCATCATCGTGTTCATCCCCAAGGACGCCTGACCGAGCCTCTTCACTATCTCCGGGTACGGCGCACTGACCACAAATTCTACATTCTCCTGTCATTCTCCATCAGCCTCGCTCCATGTGATCATTCGTGTGCTTATCGGATAAGGACATAGATAACAGAAAAGAGTGAAGACATACGTCAATCTCTAGCTTCTTTGCTAGCGTCTTCAAACCATCCAAACGAGCTTGATCGCCCGCATCCCTTACACCGCCCATGAGTGTCAACGTGACCCCTTGAGACCCGTGTCGGTACTGAGGATACTTTTCAAACATCGCTGATAACGCATACAACTGTTTGGCATGGTCTTTCTCAGGCCTTATCAAACCCGTGTCAGTGAAACACACATACTGATAACGATTATAACGATTAACGCACCTAAACTGAGCTAGCGACACGATCTTCCTCTTCCTACTCTCCAACCCTCCCAACCTCGCTAACTCTGTCGTATCCGTCGGTGGATACACGACCCCACACTCCAACCCTTCCCCTTCAGCCAGCTCGCCCCTCTCTTTTTGCTTTTGTACCGAGACGTCGTCTTTGAGCAAAATGGAGGCGAGGAAGGAGGATCGAGCAGAAGTGAGTAGTGATTGGATATGGGCTTGAGTCCAGGAAGAGTTGGTCATAATGTGTTGGGCGTAGAGAAGGGAGACCGAGTAGATTGATGTGAAGATGTAGTAATATCTGCCAGGTGATCAGCGGGTTATCCTACGGGGTTGCAAGAGGGGAGACGTACATGAGCTTGATTTGAGTCTTGATCCAGCTCTTGGAAGCACCAGCATTCTCCACACCATACACCCGTTCCTTTACCCGTTTCACCATGTTGGCGCTCACAGTAGGGTAGTGAGTGTACGATCCGATGGAGATATCGGGGCCGGCAATCAGTCGGACAGTGGGATAAGTCAGACCGTAGCCCATGGAATCTGCGACCAAGTCAGCATCTCAGATATTCCACTGGGCGATAACTTACCGATGAAGATATCTCCCCATAGACCGTCTTTGCCACAGAGCCCCTCCCAAGCCAGGAGGACGCTTCCGAGCGATTGGCTCAGGAGCGTGAAATGTTTCCAGTACCCATCTGATACGAGGTATCGCGATCGGAGAGGGATGAAGTGCAATCTTGAAGGGTCGAGATTGATCGAGAATCTCTCCTACAAAGCACGTCAGCATATGAAACATCCAGCTTGGGGCCGGGAACGCACCTTAACTTTCCTAATGATCTCTTCCTTGGAAGCCTCAGGGTAGTCGCCAGAGTACACCAGAACCATCGTCTCCTTGTCCGTCTTCTGAATATGCCTGATAGCAACCCACAACACTCTTTCTCCCCCGCCACCAGCATTACAGAATGGATGCCAAAATCCAACCACCGTCTTCTTACTGCTAAACCCCGGCGGCTTGCTGCCCGTACCTTGGACGAGCGTACCATCAGGCATGCCCATGGAATCCATCAACGACTGACGTTTGTAGAGGTTCGTTCGGCGAAGGTTTTGGATGTAGAGGGTGGCGCCACCGGCGGAGAGGAGGAAGAAGATGGGGATGATACTGGCGATGAGTGTCCAGTTGACACCGAGGTATCGAGCAGTGAATAGCGCGCCGACGATACCGACCAGAGCTGCCTTGGCGATACGCAAGGCAGTAGGTCCGGTGACGACAAACCACGACGTCACTATCGATGCGACCCAGACGACATCGAGCGATACCGAAGCCTGGGCGGGGTGGGAAAAGAGGACTTGAAGGAGGTGGGAGGAGAAGGTGCGAGAGGTGGGGAGGCGGAGGAAGAGTTCTTGGGTTGCGGGAATGTGGATGACGCCCATCAGTCCGACAATCACCGGGTAAAGCAGAGACAGAGGAACACCATTACTCTCCACCTGTCCATCGGGTCCAGACTTGGCAGGGCTGATAAGAGGTAGCAGTAGCGCACCATGGAGCCACAGAAGCGAGTTCATGAAACTCTCCGTGCCCACATGTTGCGGCAGCAGCCATGCCGGGACAAATGCCAGCGTGAGGGGGATGGCGATGATGAAGGGAATCTTGCGGGGGTTGGAGCTCGTGCGCGGGTGAAGGGAGAGGGCGGCGAGAAAGAGGGCGGTAGCGACGGACATGGCAACGAGTTGGCCGAGGAGCATGTACGCGTAAGGATATTTGATACCGCGTCTACCGCCTGTAATGTGTCAGCTCATCCTTTTGGGAATGAGAGATGCTCACTCTCAGACCAGACGATGGCAGTGAACAAGATGGTCCAGGTGCAGATCCAACTTGACCACCACCAATTGCCAGCACCCTTGCAGACTATCGTCCAAGCTTGCTCAAAGAGCGCCGTGTTGACAAGCCACTGGCCGAAGGTAGCGCCACCTATCAATGTTCTTGATGCCTTGAAGTCTTCATACGACCACTACACAGCATGTCAGTCAAGCATCGCCTGGTACGTCGAGCAGCTTGCATTCATGAACTGGATCATGTCTGGGCTAATTAGCTCTAACTCTCATCCCACATCAGGCGACTCACAGTACCATGTACACAGAAGAGCCCCAAATGCAGACCTCAAGAACCAGAAAGCCCTTCCCTCCCACAACCTTGAGGTCTCTGTACCCGCGATGATAGACCTAGAGACCAAGGCGAAAGAGAGACCGATGAGACCGAAATAGGCGATGAGAATGCCTATCGCGATTGCTTCCTGTCCGTCCATGATGCAGGATTGTTCCCACTTGACCTGGGTGTGATGGTGATAATTATTGTTGACCGAGAAGAGTATTCTGCCGAAAAGTACAGACAAATTACAGACGTGGAGGACCGGAGTTCCGAAAAGAAACGGACATCGCCGCTTCCCCTCGCCACAACAAATCCATCGCTCTCGCACTTTAGACACTCTCAACGTCTTTCTTCCCGGCAAAGCACCCAAGAAAAAGCTATCCACGATGGGGCACAACTCCGACAAGATGTACGTGACTCACGCCGAGCACTCGGCGGGGAGTCACACCGCCTCGAGCTACGGCAAAAGAGCAGCGACTGGAAAGTCGGAATTTCAGAGATTGCCCTTGTGAGTCCCTTCATTGCGATTCTGCTCACGACTGTCCTGATAATATCCTTAGCGATTGCTGTGCCCTCTCACTACAGCCCTTCAAGAACCCGGTAGCAGTTGTCGCCCAGCCGAAGGAAGGAGAAGCTCCTCGGGCGGACGTCTTTGACCTGCTCAATATCGTCCCGTACATCCGCAAGTACAAGACCAGTACGTCCTCGGTCCCTTTCCCTCTCATACGTCAAACTAATATATGTCCAGATCCTGTCTCTGGCAAGCCCCTCGAAACTTCCCAGCTCATCAAGCTCAACTTCTTCCGCAACGCCGAAGGCAATCTCCACGACCCCATCACCTACAAAGTCTTCTCCCCTCACATCCACATCGTCTTTCTCAAAAACACTGGCAACGTCTTTGACATGTCTTCTCTTCAATTGCTGGCTATCAAGCCTAAGACTTGGAGGGATCTGGTGAATGATGAGCCGTTCAAGAGGGAGGATATCGTGACGATCCAGGACCCGGAGAACCTTGGAGCCAGGGATTTGAGAGAGTATGATTATGTGAAGAATGAGTTGAAGGTCAATGGTGAGTGTGGAATCTTCATAGTGGCAGAAATGGGCTGATAGATATCTCAGATGATGATATGGCCGGGGATCCTCTAAAAGGTATCAACGTCGATGCCGCTGGAGGTGCCAGCAAAGTCCTCAAAATGATCGCTGAAAAGGTCAGCCCACACCCCAAGTCGATTTCTGCCTTCACTAACAGTTATACAGACCAGAGCCGAACAAGCAGCCGAAATGCCTCCACCAGCAGTTACAGAAGGCAAGAAGAAGGAAGGAGTCGTAGCCAAGAAGAGGCAGGTCGAACAGCTTGCTTGTACGTCTAGGCCCTGATCCCGCGATCTGCATCACGAATGCTGATTTGGTTTATAGACAACGCGTCAAATTACAGTTCCGGTCGGGCAGCGGCATCTCTGACGAGTACAGCCCTCACCCCTCAACTCAAATCCGAACGCGCAATGTTTGACGAAGAAGAATGTACGCCCCCACTTCCATTCCCTTGCCGTCCTCAGCTGACAGAACTACTCCAGACATGTTTGACGAGTTCCAAAAAGTCGTCAAAGACAAAGACCGCCAAGCCTGCAAAGCCTACGCCACCATCCTCACCAACCTCGGCGGGCTCAACGTCGAGCTCCACGGCGACCGCGCGCCCAAGACAGTGTACAACTTTGTCCAGCTCGCAAAGCAGGGCAAGTACGATAATGTCGTTTTCCACAGGTTGATACCTGGCTTCATGGTGCAGGGTGGTGATCCGACGGGGACGGGGAGTGGGGGGCAGTCGTTTTGGGGGGAGCCGTTTAGAGATGAGTATAGTGAGAAGGGGGCGTTCAAGCATGATGGTCGGGGAGTCATGGTGAGTCATCTCTAACCCACTTTGATCTAGTATCTGACGCCTTTATAGTCTATGGCCAACTCTGGACCTCGCACAAATACTTCCCAATTCTTCTTCACCTTCCGCGAAACACCGCACCTTGACGGTAAACATACCGTCTTTGGAAAACTCGTCGGCGGGGAGGACGTCTTGGATAAGATTGAGAGAATACCTGTACTGTCCAGTAACAGGCCTGTCAAGGATCTTGTCATTCTCGGTGTCAATGTGTAAGCTTTTATCTCTCGTAACGACTTCAGTAACTGAAAGGCGTGATAGGCTTCAAGACCCATTCAAATCATACAAAGAACGCCTCCAAGCCAAACTCGCCCGCCAAGACCAATCCGCCGAAACTCTCGCCAAGCGCGCTGCTAAACAAGCCGAACGCGAGAAAGACCGAACCACCTGGCTCGGAACCGACCTCGGTGAAAAAGGGGAGAGCAAAGCAGTCAAGGAGAAGCGGAAAGCGGAGGAAGCAGAGGGCGGGGTGGGCAAGTATTTGAAGGCTGCTGTTGTGCGAAGCGTAGGGACAGGAGCGGGCGCTGGGAAGGTGGGGGCGAAGGCTGGGGGGAAGGTACCGGAAGTCATGGACTTTGGGGCGGAGAAGAAGAAGAAGAAGACTGGCGGGTTTGGCAACTTTTCCGGCTGGTGAACCTTGTCTGTCATCATCAGCAATGTATCTGCTTGTAAGCTCTCTCAGGATCGTTCCGCGGTACTGACTGCATACAATCATATCTGACTATTCCTACTTCCCTTTCTGATTGGTAGAGCTAATATACAACAAGCTGCGCGAAATTACGTCTGATTACTGATGAAAAGAAGGCTTGGAATAGTAGTCGAGGACCTTGACCTCTTGCTGCGAAAACACCCCAACCCACTGGCCAGTCTTCAACCACCCCTCCATCGTCTCAAATTTGATCTCCCCTTTCTCGCTTTCCTCTTCTACCATCGCATCTCCCACGTCCCCCTTCACATGTCTGTCCCTGCTCCCCGCCATCTCAAAGTTCTCGGGTGAAACAGGAAGGTTAACAACAAGGATAGACATACCCCTCTTCAACGCCAGAGGAGCTACCCTATCACGAATATCCTTCACAGTATTCTCCCCTTCAAACGGTAGCGCCGGATCTTTGAGATCATCCACCACAACCACAATTCGCTCCACCTTCTCCCCTAGCATCTCCCAAAAACAATTGTTCCCATTCACACCCCACATCCCTCCCCCTACCCTCAACCTCACCACCACCTCTCTCACGTCCTCCCATACCCCGCACCCCTTCCTGAACGGCGTCGGACTGGCCAGGCCTCGGATTTGACTGATGACGAGCCGGCGGGGTCGGAGGATTTCGAGTAAGGGGCAAGGGAGGGTAGCAGGGTAGATTGGGTATGGCTCACGGTTTGAGGGGGCGCAGAAGGATCAGCCGACGGGGGAGGAGGGATGGATGGTGAGGTGGAGAGTGTTGAGGTTTGGGAGTGGGTTGGTGTGGGGTTCACTGCTAGAGGGTGGGGAGTGGACGTGGGAGCAGGGGGGGGCGTTGGTGTGTGCGAGGAGAGTGAGGTGTCGGACGTATGGTGCTGGCGAGGTGCTCCATCCATCTCCCTGTACTTCACTCCGACTTCCCGGGACGAGAGCTTTCACCAGCGGATGACTTTCTCCCTCTTTGCTTAGATCCAGCTCGACGTCCCTCCACAATAACGGGGAGCAAAGCCGATAGAAGTTCTTGGAGGCGAGCAGGCTTGTAGCGAGAGAGGATGTTGGGAGGAGAGCGAGGGTGTGGTAGAGGATGTCGGTGTTGAGGGTGGCTGACGACATTGTGTAGCTTCGAGGTTGTCAGGTTGGGAGTACAGCACACTGAGGAGAGGCTCACCTCAGCTGTAGACCTGGCCGATGAGGTGAAACGAGCTTGAGCGGATGCTATAAGGATGTATAGAGATTGTTGGGCTGGGTGCGAGTAGGAGACGAAAAGAGTCGTTGTTGTATAAAGTAGGTGTGAGGGCGACTCTCGCTCCGATCAGATGGTGATAGACTTAATTAGAGAGCTAGCAGAGAAGACTGTCGTCTTAATATACTTTTCCTCCGAGCAGCTGGTGAGAATGAACCGGCTCTTCCTCCCGCAACATGTGCGTACTACTCGTAAGCGCTTGAATGCATTGCGGAAAGATAGGAGCATGGAGGTAGTCGATACAGTGGTAGATCCGGTATTCTGGGACAAGGTTGGATTGCAAGAACATTCGACTTGCTTCTTCGAAGCGTGTAGTCTTCTGCGGAAGGAGCCACGCCTGAACTGAAGTCACCATATGCTCGACTCAAAACAGATATGGCATGGATGCATGTATATCAGGGATGTCACCAGCACCAATTAGCTTGATCCGACCGTTGACGATGGTGTGTGGTCAAACAAACAACCAGGCCGCAATATGATCACTCCCTACATGCGCCTCCATCACTCGATCACACTGTGCAATTGATGGCTGATGAGAGGCCGCGAGGAGCGGATGCTTTACGCGTGGCAACAATGGGTATACGATGAGGGGGCAGAGAAGTCATGGGAGCGGAAAAATGATGTTGCTTCCCACAGTGTTGACAAGGGCAGCGTGATGGATCGTCAGGGATGATTTACAAGTACCGACAGTCGGTACAACATACAGCATCACCATGGTTTTGGATGCTCTTGACACTTCAGTCTTCCATTTCAGAACATTCCCATAGATTCCCGCACTCAGCAGTGCCTTCTTATTCCCACTCCTATCTCGCCGTATGATGACGACTGTCCTTCATCTTTGCGCCGGGCAAGACCCGGTGACAGGTCGAAAGATAATGGCGCTCATATGGGCGGCACCTCCTGTTCTCTGAGCCCCTGCTTCTCACGCTTAGGCGACAGATGGTTCCCCGTGTAGCGGATCAATTTACATGCAGTATGTGTACGCAAGGTGCCCTCCAGAACGCGCCCAAGAGACGCCACGACGGACGAAAGGACCAAAGGTAACCCAACATTACAGACGGCAAGGTCCGCCGTGCCTCAGCTGCGTGCTTATCGCGAGATTCCCATCGCCTCAATGTTTGTCTCCTCTACTCAGATCACGCGTCCGCCAAAAGTCATCCGTCATGGCCCTCCTCGCACACTTGACAGACATCGTCACCGAGCAAGCATCCCGCCTCGCCCCTCTCACCCTCATTGCCCCCTCCCCATCCGCCTCCATCTTGCAGCTCTCCGACTTTGTCCACCACCTCACTACCACTCCCATCCATCCTGTATATTTCCCATATCTCCGCTTTGGGGCAATTCATGCGGCGAGGGTGACGACAGTATGGGCGGCGCAGACTAAGGGGCGGAAAGGCAGGGTTGGCACCTTGCAAGATCTGTTCGGGTATCTTGTGATGGCTTGTAGGTTCTTGCATCATCTCTCTTGACCATTCGCTGATATATATTCAGGGGGTGGAAGCACCGTCGTATCTCTACTACTCGGCCAGCCTCCTTCCTGGCTCACATCCTCCGCTCCCTGGATCATCTACCCCTCCATTTACCTCCTCCTCGTCCCCACCGGCCTCTCCGCCTACATCGTCCAAACCACCCCCGCTCTCCTGTTCAACGTCTTCACAGCCTACGTCGACGGTATGACCAGGGGAACGACCCTCTCCGCCCTCCCTGCGCTGGTGTCCCAGAGCTCTACAGGCGTAGGGGCTACAGCAAACCTTACTACCTACGCTCTTCTCTCTTCCCTCGCCATCACCTCTGGCGGGCTCTTTGTCGGGCTCTTCGGTCTTGCCGGAGACAGCTGGTCTATCGGTGTTCCTTCTCTACTCAAGGGCGGTCTGCTCGGTACGCTAGACGCATGGGGCGCAGCGTTGGTTAGTATCGTCTACCTCGCTCTAGCGGGCCATCTCCCCGTCCTCGCACCTCTCACCAACGCCCTCCTCCCCATCCTCCCTTCGGAATTCATCGTATCCTCCTCTTCCCCCGAATCGTCACCTTCCATCGACCCCCTCCACAACCGAGCTATCGCAATCCTCCTATTCGGCACCCTCCTCGCCTTCCGTGCTGTTATCACAGCATTCACTGCCCCTTCTACGAAGGTGGCAGGAAAGGGAAAGAAGGTGGAGAAGAAGGACGAGTTTGATTTGATGTTGGAGAAGGAGTTGAGTGAGGTTGTCAAGACGCCGACAAAGACGAGGGCGGGTGGAAATGGGAAGGCGACGCCGAGGAAGAGTGCGCGGATCAAGTCGAGGGGGTCTACGCCGGCTCAGCAATGAAGCGGTTGTGGGACTAGATGGGTAGAGACCGTTGTTTGTTTTGGTATAGATATAGTACATGGTGGTAATGTGAACAACTACAGATGAGCCTCGAGCACTACTGCACGACGCGTTTCTGATCTATGCGGGTACTGAGGTCGAGGGTGGTTTTTTGCAGCTAGATGCGGGCAAATCAGCTTCCTCACGTAGCGAGCATCGTCAGGCTTGCCGTACCTCCTCGATGGCGCGCTGGTTCTCAAACAGCATCCGGCTTTCAAGATCATCGTATAGGCCCATGTTCTGGGTACGCTGGCATGTGAGTCGTACGGTTGATCAGGTACTGGGAGGAGATTATCAGCATAAATGTCTTCCGAATCTGGTTCGGAATTTCGGTCGCGCCGACGCGCGCGTTATTTGGTTCCTGTGGTTGGTTACGTATCGCGTTTCTCATGAAGAAGGGCAAAGCTAAGACCAGCACCAGTTGCCAGCAGTGAAAAGTGGCAGAAGAGGAAGCGTGAGGGATCCCGTCCAGATGTACAAGCCATCATAAAAGTCGGAAGGGGATATATAAGACCAAAGCACTGCCTTTCTAGCTGCTGGCCATGGACACATTGATGTCTTCTTGGCTCTGGTGGCTCATCTCCCTTCCCTTGCACATCTGATCAACACCCTCCACCTTGTGGTCCCTCAAGAGTTCATGTGGACACCATCTCCCGGTTCCCTTTACACGGCAGGACTAACATAACCCTCTCATCAAGCAGGCTCCTCTAGAGGCTCTTCGTTGGCACATGGTCTGGGATCGTGCGAAAGAGCATAAAACTGGTATGCAGTTCGGGTTGATATCGATACGTTGACGGCGAATAGCAAAAGACAAGGCTCCATGTACTGCGCGCCCTGGTCGGCTAGGAATGATCATCGTGTGTCAGCCTTGGCTCTGTGTCAAGAACGGACTCACGTATCAGTCACTGAGAAGAGGTCGAAGCTCATCTAAGCAAGACCCGAATACCTTCCCCCGGAAAGTCTGCTCATCTCGAGACATCGCTTTACCAAGATACTGATCGTGAAAGGCCCTCATCACCTCTAGCCTTCCTATGACCTCTGCCAGTTTCGTCCTCTCACGCAGTCCGAGTCCACATATGCCATCCACCAATATTTCTGACAGTTTTGATTTGACATGAATAGCAGTCGGGTCGTCTTTCAAGACCGGGGTATCGATCATGCCAAAGACCACATAAAACGCATTATAGAGTTTCGTATTGGCTTCGATGGTCTTGACCTTACCGGCAGAGGAAGAGAGTGTGCGGATTTCTTCGCGAACGGCGTCCATCTGGGTGATAAGCTGGAGGTTGGTGGTTCTCAGCTAGACAACTGGTCAGCGTCGGATAGGCTCAATCCCCGAGACATACTTCATCCATGGCGCGCTGTTGATCCTGGCTAGCAGATCCCCCAGAGGGGTTGTTCTTTGAGCTCATGTCGTCCTCGGGACCAAGGCTATCTTGATGTTTGCGCTTCACGGTGAGAAGTCAACTGGGTGGGTGGGGAATGAAGAGTGATGATCAACACTTTCCTCAGATTTGCTCAGATCGATCGCGCTGGAATCCGCGCGTCGCGTCGGGGTCCGGGGCTCCGGGTCTCTCTGGCGGATTGGCCTTGACAACGACGACGACGACGGCAGGAGTAGCAGCAACAAAGAACGTTTCCTCATTCTCACATCACATCGAATCATGACTCTTCAACTCAGCGAGAACCGCGATCCTGGCTAGTATCCGAACGACAGGCGACACCCTATCAACCAAGGCCGGCGTCACAAAGTTCGACCAGCGACGTCTCTATGTTTCCCTCTCCGCCTGCCTTCTGTTGACGCCGCGCTGAGTCTCGCTCGACATGATCAGGCTCCACGCTATCTCATGCTCGATTATGAATCGACCAAGAGCCACCGCGGAACCCTGATCAGCCTTATCGCCCTCTCATTTGGCGAAGAAAGCGTCGCGAATTCTCATCTATCTTGATCGAGGCAGACACAGCGCAGCTTAGTTTGCGAGTTCTTTCCTACCAGCGCTTTGTCATGGTAAGGGCAGGCATCCTCCCATGCCTCTTGTAAGCTAACAAGTCTTGCAGATATCAAAAGCTGACCTACTCGAGGATACATATCACCACTTGGCGCGACTCCGCTCAGATCTCCACCGTGAACAATGTTTGCTTCGTCTCATGTCAAGATGTATCAGAAGAGACAGGGCTCACGTGTGCATGAGCTCAAGAGGAATTTGACGCTGTCGGCTTGGTGACGGTCAGTCGAGAGCCAAATAGTGAAACTTTACGTGACACCGCTGACAGCCAACAGGGTCGTCCTCTTCGTGCAACATCAACGATCGTCTCATACCCTGCCCTTCCGCACATGGTCAAACCCCTTTGCATACGGTAAAAAGTATTCCGATCCTTGGCTCAACAGAGACAACGCCTCGACCTTTTCTCAGGCCGAATGCTGAACCCGCAATGACTCCCACCGTATACCTCTGCGTCATCGACTCGCCATGTATAGCCCTCCACTCCGTCCCCCACTCATGCTCGTCGAGGCCGACCCTACGTGCGTACGAACCCTTGCGACGTAATTTCCTGGTTGAGGGGGTCCTTTCAAGCTCTATTGGAAACGACAGGTACCCCGCTGGTGCACGCGCGCGTGACGTGAGACTTCCGCCATTTCTTGGTTTCTCGCTTTTTGCTCTCTTGTAAACTTCTACAGTACTACTCGTATCGACATGGGAGCTGCACTAGCATACGGCCACAGTCGTTCCGCGTATGATGGTACAAAACTCAATACGCATCGATAAGTAGATGCATGCGCATGGTCGCGAGACGAGATCCCTCTGTCCTGCGCGCCAAATTTGCGTGCGAGTTGAGGCGATGCTCAGGACGGCGAGCGATCCCCGCTCCATATCTCCTGGGAATTGCCACCCCCCATTTCTCTTTCTCTTTTACACAACCCACCCTCAACCATCGTGAGAACACCCCAAAACCCACAACCACAGACATCACTCAACCCTCACCCCACCCCAAAACAAATCCACAGCTCAGGATGTCTGACAACAGCGGGTTCGTCCGCCTCAATCCCGCTTCCCAGGCTCTTGCTGACCGTCTCCTCTCCTCCAGTGCCCTCCCCGGCTTCCCCAGCCCTTCCCCCATCACCTACACCACCACCAACAGCACCACCAGTGGTGCCAACAACGCTCTCGGTCTCCTGCTGTTTGGCCATAGCGGGTTCGTCCGCCCCAGTCCCGCATCCCGTGCCGTTACTGACGACTTCTTACTCGCTATAGTGTTTTCCCCGCCTCCTCTACTCCGTCTGCTACCACCTACACCCCCATCACCGGTGACGGCAACGTTCTCCTCGGTCACCCGCTTTCTGCCCCGACCCCCTCTCCCACCCGTAGTGGCGACAAGCGCAAACCCAAGCGCAAGGCGAGGTCTTCTGCACACGCCTCCAACACCAGGGGCATCAAGGCGAGCGCAGCCGACAAGAAAAGACACCCTGAGAACTACATCCGTATGCCCGCCTCATGCGAGCACTGCAGGCAGCAACGAAAGAAGGTAAGCACGCTTTCTCCTCTCCTTCCCGCCAAAGGTCTGAGACTGAATCAAATTTGCAGTGCCAACGAAACAGGCTTGACGCCTGCATCCAGTGTACCGACGATGATTGCGAGTGCATATTTGTGGTCAAGGGCAAGCCAGGCGCGAAGAAGACTTCTAGAAAGCTCGTCGCTTTGGCACGTATGTTCTCTGAGAACGTCATTGCCGGCATGCCGTCTACCCCGTCTCTTGCCTCGTCTTCCAGAGCGCCCTCTATGAGTTCTATCACTCCCATCACCCCGGCCAGGTCCAACGTCTAGCTGAGCTCCCGTCCCTCCTCTGCCAGCGTCTCTACCGGCCTCATTTCTGGCTTTGCCACCCCACACATGTTCATGCCCTTCGTCCCACCCCCACCCGCCAAGGTCGTCGTGGCTCCCACTCCCAACTTTGCCACCTCCAACCGCTTTATGCCTTTCGTCCCACCCACTAAGCATGTCATCGTGGCTCCCACTTTCAAATTTGCCACCTCCAACCTCTTTAAGCCTTTCGTCCCACCCACCCAGCAGGTCGCCGTGGCTGTCCCACCCACTCGCGTCATCGTGGCTCCCACTATCGCCACCTCCCACGGCTTCATGCCCTTCGTCCCACCCACCCGGAGCGTGATTCTGGCCACCCGACGTCCTGCCGCTGTCGACACCAACGGCATGTTGACGGGAAGCCAGCTTGCCGCACGGCAACAGGTGTTGTTCGACAAGGTCGATTCATGGTGCTCGGCCGTGACTGCTGCTCATGCCAGCGAGTCTGTTCCCTACCAACCTCCTACCCCTCGCACCACCCCGGTCAAGCCGACCTACGTGCACCCTGCTGACGTCTTTCCCGCGGAGGCTCCGCACTTCTCACTCAAGAACGAACCGGTGCCCTCTGCCATGCCTTCTGTGGGCGTCTCTCAGCCCGAGTTTCCTGCTGTCATGAATGAAGGTCTTTCTGAGAGCGACAGGCGGGACTTTGACGAGTTGGTGATGGAGTTTAAGGATTTCGGTGATGATATCGTCTCCGCTCCATCCGAGGCTCCCTGCAGCAGCGCTCTCGCTGCTCTCCTCCCAACTCCAGACACTACACCAGTCAATCCTACAGTCGAAATGTCTGCTAACAGCGACTCTGCCGACACTGCCTCTATCAGCTACTCCTACGCCGACTTCTTGGGGCCCCAACCCGCCATTTGGTTCGATGCGCCTGAGAACCAGGTCGAGGACAAGAACCTTGGCTGGGGCATGTGTAGTACGGTGATGGGCATGGGCATGGACGATATGGGATTGGCGGGACCCATCGAGTCCCCCTTCAACATCACACCCTTCGGCAAGTCTTTTAACCCGCTCATTAATGAGTCGTTTTGAAGGGGGTAGTGCGGGAGTGTGGACTTGGGAGTACATGGTAGGAAAGGACAATCGGTCGAGCGGTGTATACCGTCTCTTCCACGGATATTCATGTAGATATAAAGGACATTGGTTCGATTCCTTAGCATAGTCAAGAGCAGTCTATAGATTTGAGATAGTGTTGTGATATAGCATAGTTGCGTAGAAGTATGGACAATGGTTCCGGTCGTGGTTGTCGATTTTGATCTTTTCGAGTTGTTCGTCACCATTAATAGAATTGTGATTATATATCCCCATGGATCGTCTTTATATCGATTGTGGTGATTAGCAGTAAATTTCTGTGCGTGACGCTTCTGAAGGCTTTGACATACCGGCGAGCCTGGTGGTGGTACGAGTATCAGATGAAGCGAACAGAGAAAAGCTGTCCTTGTAATCCTACAGTCGAAATGTCTGCTAACAGCGACTCTGCCGACACTGCCTCTATCAGCTACTCCTACGCCGACTTCTTGGGGCCCCAACCCGCCATTTGGTTCGATGCGCCTGAGAACCAGGTCGAGGACAAGAACCTTGGCTGGGGCATGTGTAGTACGGTGATGGGCATGGGCATGGACGATATGGGATTGGCGGGACCCATCGAGTCCCCCTTCAACATCACACCCTTCGGCAAGTCTTTTAACCCGCTCATTAATGAGTCGTTTTGAAGGGGGTAGTGCGGGAGTGTGGACTTGGGAGTACATGGTAGGAAAGGACAATCGGTCGAGCGGTGTATACCGTCTCTTCCACGGATATTCATGTAGATATAAAGGACATTGGTTCGATTCCTTAGCATAGTCAAGAGCAGTCTATAGATTTGAGATAGTGTTGTGATATAGCATAGTTGCGTAGAAGTATGGACAATGGTTCCGGTCGTGGTTGTCGATTTTGATCTTTTCGAGTTGTTCGTCACCATTAATAGAATTGTGATTATATATCCCCATGGATCGTCTTTATATCGATTGTGGTGATTAGCAGTAAATTTCTGTGCGTGACGCTTCTGAAGGCTTTGACATACCGGCGAGCCTGGTGGTGGTACGAGTATCAGATGAAGCGAACAGAGAAAAGCTGTCCTTGTGTTTGGCGTGTATTGTGCCTCATCACTTTTGGTCTCGATGCAGGTGACCCGTCGCACAAGTAGCCCCCACTAGACAAGGGAAATGAAGCCTACTGAGCGGACCGCTGTCGCCTCCACTACTGGGTATCAACAAGCATCTATGAGCCCAACGTCTAGACTGCAGTAATGCAGACAGCATTATCGTAGCAGTGGTCACTAGGCGTTTTCTTTCTCTGTAATGTATCGTTGCAGTACCTCTCGTATAGTCTCTTGGCGACTCACTCTTACTCTCACATTGCTGGGTAATGAAGTTGACAGAAGATCCAGCCGCTGAGACCATACATCTCAACATGATTGTATCGTCTGTCACCGTGTAAGGGACTGGTACAGACTGGCTAGTAGGAGGAGATGTGGTGACGTGTACTATGGAACGCAGGGTATGGTGACTAGGGTTGCCGCTATGGTCTCAGGGATGCGTAGGCGGGATTGCGAGATGAGGTTCCCATATATACATCGTGCCGCATCTCCGTATCCTTTTCCCTACCGATGTATTCTCGACGTAGTATCCTCATCACCTATATCCATCCTTCATCCATCCAGCCTATTCAAGTTTGACATCTGGCGCCCCTAGTCAGATCCACCACGTAGCCGCTCCTAGGTTACGCCACCTATCCTTCCTCCTTCCTTTACACACCGCTACTTCAGAGGTTCGTTCTCTGGAACAATTCTTGCCAGCTCACCATATGAGACCTAAGGGCAACACGCACAGCCATCCCTTGCTTGAAGTATCCTATTCGAGGCAACATACCGTCTCCTTCTTCGACTGCAGTCACGTGATCTATCGTTCAACGAGACACTGCTCGAACAGGAAAGAACGACGACCTTGACAACAGCGACAGCAACAGCAAAATGAGGCTCATTTGCATGTATTCCATCCACACCTCATCTCGGACAATGTCGCTTCAACGAAACAAGAGCGGCGACCCCTGAGTTGTGTGCAGCAAGCGAAGAAGAAGCGTTGTGGCGGAGACTGCATCTGCATTACGGTACGCCACAAGAGACTCACGAATGCGCTCCTATCAGCCTGATGACATAGTAAGACCCGACTGTCTTGCTTCATCCTATACTGACGTACTACTCAGCTATCGACGGATCTTGCTCGCTAGACACCTCCGCGAGCCATATACTGCTGCTGCCTGAGCCCCTCCTCGGTCCTTCGTTCATCATCCCTATGAGACGCGACGACGATTGCCTTCCCAAGACCGCCCCCCCCCATCACCATCTGCTCCACCTCTCCGCAGTTGAAGAAGCGATACGTGGCATAACAACTTTATGCCAAACCGAGAGCAACACACTCGAGGATATACTTGTATACCACCACCTGGCGTGACCCCACCCTCCCCTCATGAATGACGCCTGTTGCTCTGTATTAATTTGCATGGTGTATGCGGCAGTTATCATCAGGTACTTGTACGGGAGGAACTCGCTGCATACTTGACCACATCGAGTCGTAAGCTAGGTGAGCCCGTTGCTAGACTTCACGACGTGACCTTGCTCACATCCTACAGGGCTACCGTCGCTTCCCACTGTGCCAATCATCTATCATACCTTCCCTTTCGCCTATGATGGAGCTGATGGCAGTGCTTGATTTCATGAGTCGGACGATCATCCAGCCAGCCACGATCTTGACATCCTCCCGGCCCGTAATTGATCCCGCAAGCAACTCTACCTTCCCGCGCGGCACCCTCATCGCCTCGCCGTACACCCTCGGTCGCCGAGGCTGGCTCTACGTACGTACGCGGTCTTGTGGGGCCAATTGGTTTGTTTAGGGGGTTCATTGACCGTAAATTTGCAGGAATGGTCAGGTCCCATCAATTCGCACGCGCGCGTGAGATTTCTGCCGTTTCTTGGTCTCTCGCGCTTGCCTCTCTTTGCGACTTTCGCAGTAATGGTATATCGAGATGCAGCTTGGTACAGTATACGACCACACAGATACAGCACTCGATGACACCAGAAACAACTCTCTAGGTTCAGTAGATGCACGTCCATTGCTAGCAAGCGGCTTTTGGGACGTTCTGCGCTAGGGCCGCCTGCGTGCGAGTTAGTGCCGAGGCGAAGCTCCAGTACGGTGGAGGAATTTCGGCATGTGGCTGGAAGTTTTCGCCCCCCTATTTCTCTTTCTTCTCTTTCCAACCCACTCTCATTCGCAGCGACAAGCCTCTAACCTCCCTACCAGAGACATCACTCAACCCATCTCACACTGCCACACTCCACGATGTCTCCCAGCGAAGAGGTCATCGTTCACCCTCCCCCAGACGAGACTATTGTACGCTCCCACACTCCTCATACGCCCTACGTCCCTTCCGCTTCGACTCCCATCGTCAACACCGACTCCACCACCAATCCAAACGTCCTCGGCCTGCATATCTATGCAACACCCTCTCCCTCCTCTTCTCCTCCCTCTAATAGTCCACAGCCTCAATGTGAGAATACTAGCGACAGGGGCAAGACCAAAGCTAGATCCTCCGCTCACACCATAAAGACGGATAACCCCAAGGCAGGCAGTAGGGAGGATTGGGCTTTGGCGGTGGCGAAGAGAGCGAGGAAGCACGCCGAGGATCCCACGCACACTGATCTATCTTGTGAGCGATGCAGAGAGCAGGGACAAACGAGAGTCAGTATCTTACACTTCATAACCCTCAGGGAGAGGCTGACTCTCGACTTGCCAGTGCGACCGCGACGACTTCAACATTTGTACTCGCTGCCGCGTAGCCGACGCTCATTGTCGTTACTACGCCCCGGTGAGGAAGCGAGGGTCAAATATGACTCCCACCAGGAAGCTCCTTGTCCAGGGGCGTCCCAGCATGAGCAGACTTACTACCGGCACCCCTTCCACCCGGTCCCTTGCTCCATCTTCAGCCATGTCTTCCTTGACTTCGATTATCGCCCCCGCTACCACTACGGCCAAGAAGATGCCTTCCGTCGAGCCTAGGGTCCAGTCTGCCACCGCCAGCGCTTCCAGGCCCGAGAATCGCTCGCCCGCTCGCATCACCATAGTGAACAAGGCCAAGGCGAGCGACGGGAAGGATTCGGCCTCGAAGAAACACGCGAGAGATTACACCGCGGATTGCACGCAAAACAGTACCTCTTGTGAGCGTTGCATACAAAGACGAACGAGAGTAAGCATACCTGGTCCCTCTCCATGATCTCCAGACACTGACTCGACTTGTTCTAGTGCGTTTGCGACGACTTCAACAGCTGCGCCAACTGCCTCAAAGCCCAAGCCGAATGTCAATATGAAATCACGTCGGAGGGCAAGCAATGGTCGAAGCAGGCTTCCAGGGAACTCTCCGCTATGGAGCGTCTCAGCATCGACAACAATGCCATCGGCGCCCCGCCCGCCCCGTCCTTTGCCTCGTCTTCCACCAACATGTCTTCGTTGACGTCTATCACCTCCACTGCCACCCCGACCACGCAGGAGCCTTTCGTCGAGCCTACTCGCACGGTCGACTTTACGGGCGATCCCACCGCTGGTACTCCGAATTCCAATGATCATCAGTCTTCCGCTCCCATCACCAAGACCAATAGCACCAGAGCGAGCGGCGGAGAGAATACAGCTTCGCCGGAGAAGAAAGGGAGGAAGAAGCACGCCCCAGGTTATACCCGCCATTTTCTTTCTTGTGAGCGCTGCAGACAGCAACGTAGGCAGGTAAGCATTTCGGTCTCTCTTCAAAACAGTCATAGTAGACTGATACGACCCTTGCAGTGCGAACATGACGGCTTCAACACTTGTAATCGCTGCCTCTTGGCCCGCGCCGAATGCCTCTACCATGTCCCGACTGGCAAGCGAGGGTCGCAGATAGCTTTGGCTAGGGAGCGCCTTGCTATGGGGCGTCTCAGCATGAGCGACATTATCGTCGGCACCCCACCCACCCCGGCTTTTGCCTCTTCATCCAGAATGACTTCCTTGACTCCTACCGTCCCCACCACTCCTACTAAGAATTCGTCCGGCGTCAGGCTTACCATCGAGTCTACCGTCAAGCCTACTACGGTCAAGCCTACTACCGACAGGCCTGCCGTTGAGTCTGCCGTCGATTCTACAGTTCAGTCTGCCGTCGAGTCTGCGGTCAACCCTCCTGTAGAGCCTGACGTGGAACCGACCATTGAGCCTTCTGTCGAGCCCTATGTCGAGCCCTATGTCGAGCCTTCTGTCGGACAGACCCAGACGTCAAGCCCACCATCAAGGCTGAGGTAGAGTCTCCTGTCGAGCCTAGCCCTAATCCCGCTGTCGCATCCGCCGCTGCCCCCTTTCCCGGAGACGTCTCTGCTGGCTTCCCTCCCTCTTTCGCCACTCCAAACATCTTTGCGGTCTTCACTATGCCTTCTTGGTTCGAGCCTCACACTATGCTACCTCCGGCTTTTGGTGCCGCAGGTCAAGTCGGTGACGAGTGGGAATACAAGAAGCTCAAGAACATGGACGGGGAGATGAGCCACATGTTCTCTTACCCGCCCGTGAAGCCGCCCCTGAAGTCCACCTTTGAGCCCCCTGTCCACTTCTTGGCCGGCCTCGAGCCAAGCTTCTGTCTCAACGACATCTCGGCGCCTTCCACCCCTGCTTCTTTGGAGGCGTCTCAGATTCCGCTCCCTGCCTTCGAGGTCCAAGGTCTCTATGGGAGTGAGAAGGGTTATCACTATAAGATATTGGGCTTTGACATGGAAGAGATCTTCACCACACCCCTCGACGCTTCCCGCCACAAGGCTCATGTTACGCCTATCACTCTCCTCGTCCCCCCGGTAAAGCCCACCCTGAGACATTCTGCCAGCGAGCCCGCTTTATCCACTCCGCCCATCCTCTTCTTCAACGACAACTCCTTGGTGCCGCGGACCCCACCTTCGCTGCCCGTACCTCGAACAATTCCGCTTCCTGAAGTCGAGGGCGATGTCGTTGCTGAGAGCGAGCACGTCGGCTGGGACACGCAGGGCATGGAGATGGAAATGAGCGACGTGGACTCTACCTTTCCTCCTACTTCTTCATTCAACATCTTTGGCTTTTTCACGCCGGCCGTTGATGAGGTGGTTGATGAGGTGGCTGAAGGCGTTATGAAGGTCGAGTAGTAGGAATGAGTCAAAAAGCGATATGGAGGTCTAGTAGGACTGAGTACAGAACCTATAGATGGACCATCGGGTGAGCAGTGTATACATAGTGTTTCTTCAACGTATATTTGAAAAGAGTGATCGATCATCTCTAGTTGTTTGTTCTCACTAGTATCCTGTGGATATGTATACTCGTGGCATTTTCATATTATGGCTGAACGATTCACGATCTTCGCTTCAGAATGGATAGCATGTCGGAACTGGTTGTGAAAGGCTATGAAGAACTGAGTCGGCGCAAGAGGGCGAAATTGGCAAAGGTTATTGGAAGGTCTCAGGCAGCAAGGGATTATTATGCTGCGCAGGTCGATACGAAGATCAGTCCCGACACTCAGGCATTGCGGGCGACCATTTTTGGGTAGTGTGCTAAGAATCTTCGGAGCCTACTTGGAGGCTGAATTGTGAGCTCTTTACTCTGAGATGCAGAGTCGAAGCTGACGCTTGACGTCTAGGCATCTCCTACATTTTGCAGGTTCGACGCAACGTAGCTATGCGGATGTGGAAGGTCCACCCTTCTGTCCTGGTCTTGGACAGATCCTCTCGATATACTATTTGCCATTCTGTGCATACATATGAAAAAGAAGGGTCTTCTTTTCAACGACCGTGTCCGTGCGTGTGATACGTAATCATTCAGGCTCGGCAGGTGGACAGCTGCAGGGTCAGGAACCAAACAAGCAGCAGAGCGGCGCCGGGCCAAATTCTCGCGCACATCTCACAATCTACATACACTCAGCACCAGACCAATACTTTTCCCATGGGGCCCAAATATCATCAGTCTCTTGCTCCACAAGACAGCATGAGCTCTTATGGAATGCTCTCCGACAACCTTACTATCCAAGATCAGAAGCGCGACATCGCCGAGGTATTTCTTTCGCATCTGTCGCGTGCCATACAGTAGGACTGACGGTCTCCATTCAGTTGAAAACTACCTCTCAGTATATCCTCTCTCAGGTGGGGACTATCAACTCTTCACTTCGCAAGAGCCCTGCCTCTTCCCCCCACCGCGATACCATCAAGATCAATGCTAGAGTTCGCGACGTGCTTAACGTGGTCTTGGGCCGTATCGAGACACCCCTTATCAGGGACAGTTTGAGCGCACAGTATGCTCGACCAATCTTGGAGAGTATCGCGAAGAAGTACGGAGAATTGAGTGAGGTGGATCGGGCAAACTTGGCGAGAGTCATTGGGCGGTTTGAGGTAACGAGGGAATATTATACCGCGGGGATCGAGGAGAAGCAATCTTACAGGGGACCCATTTTCGCGTTGTGCGTCGAGGAATTGCGAGGTCTTTTGGGTTTTTGAGCTGTGAGTTACTTTCATTGAGATGCATAGCCCTGGCTGACATTTGATCATCATTCAGATCCCACTTCACGGCACGCCTTGTCGGATTGAGCGGAGGAAGTCTTGTGCCTTCTTTTGGCAGGCTGCTGTAAGCGACACGCATACTTTGCGAGATACAGCTTCTGTCAGTTCGATGATGACTCATCACTATATCTATAGAGAGGTATATACTTCATGCTATGCACTGAAAATTCACATATGTGAAGGCGCCTTTCGAACGACCGTATATGTATGAACTGCGGCAGAAGGGCGGGAGTAGCGCACAGGATTTTGGATGACATTTCGTAAAGTGCGAGTACTTCCTAGGCCACTGCACTGGCAATGTTTGGCGTTGAAAGGATCAAGAAGATCTGGGTCCACAGCAGACTGGCGCTGTTGACCAACAAGTAAGAAGAAGAAGAGTTTTGGGATTGAATTTTTTAGTAGGGACGCTATTATTCTGTGCATGGACATGGCCGAGGTATGTATAGATATCAACCCAAATTTTCTGTTCAACCCCATAGTTCTCCCTCGTCGTCGTCGAGGTCTGCCATTGAGCATAGAAATCCAGTCACCAGCAACTCAACATTGCGATCTTTCCTCTTTGGGCAGGTTGATCGATCAAGGTGGTTTGTTGAAGAACTGAGTAAAATGAGCTAGTTTGGAACAGGGCTGCTGAACATAATGGCCGAGCTTGCCAAACGATCTACGGGATTCATATCCACAATTGTATCATCAATGATGACGAACGATTAAAAAGATGAAAATTCGAAAACCACGACGCGAACCAGACTACTCTCTATACTATCACGCAACCACAGTCCATACTACGCTATGCTATTTCACAAGCCCTCTTATATAGGCAAATTACTCGATAATGTGCTAAATGTGGAATCAATGCCCTCTCTCCCACCGCTCGACCAATAGTCCGTTCCTACTACTCTCTTCAATTCAACCGCTCGCCGTCCTCGAAATTACCTTCCGTCGATTTCTAAACGAGCGGAGTGAAGAATTCGCCGAAGGGTGTGGTGTTTAAGGGCGACTCGATGGGCCCCAAAGCACAGTCATCGCCCATCTCCATCTCCCCCATGCAACACATGCCCCAGTCAAAGCTCTTGTCTTCCGGAGCAGCCTCGTCTTCAACTTGGGTCTGAGGTGCGCCGAACCAAGGTGTGGGTTGGGGGCCCAGGGAGTCGGCGTGGGAGTAGTTGTCCGCAGAGTCGCTGATAGCAGATATGTCGACTGTAGGACTGACTGGTGTAGTGTCTGGAGTTGGGAGGAGAGCAGCGAGAGCGCTGCTGCAGGGAGCCTCGGATGGAGCGGAGACGATATCATCACCGAAATCCTTAAACTCCATCACCAACTCGTCAAAGTCCCGCCTGTCGCTCTCAGAAAGACCTTCATTCATGACAGCAGGAAACTCGGGCTGAGAGACGCCCACAGAAGGCATGGCAGAGGGCACCGGTTCGTTCTTGAGTGAGAAGTGCGGAGCCTCCGCGGGAAAGACGTCAGCAGGGTGCACGTAGGTCGGCTTGACCGGGGTGGTGCGAGGGGTAGGAGGTTGGTAGGGAACAGACTCGCTGGCATGAGCAGCAGTCACGGCCGAGCACCATGAATCGACCTTGTCGAACAACACCTGTTGCCGTGCGGCAAGCTGGCTTCCCGTCAACATGCCGTTGGTGTCGACAGCGGCAGGACGTCGGGTGGCCAGAATCACGCTCCGGGTGGGTGGGACGAAGGGCATGAAGCCGTGGGAGGTGGCGATAGTGGGAGCCACGATGACGCGAGTGGGTGGGACAGCCACGGCGACCTGCTGGGTGGGTGGGACGAAAGGCTTAAAGAGGTTGGAGGTGGCAAATTTGAAAGTGGGAGCCACGATGACATGCTTAGTGGGTGGGACGAAAGGCATAAAGCGGTTGGAGGTGGCAAAGTTGGGAGTGGGAGCCACGACGACCTTGGCGGGTGGGGGTGGCACGAAGGGCTTGAAGATGTGAGGGGTGGCGAAGCCGGAAGTGAGGCCGGCAGAGACGCTGGCACAGGAGGAACCGGAGCTGAGCTCGACGGTGGACCTGGCCGGTGTAATGGGGGTGATAGAACTCATAGAGGGCGCTCTGGAAGACGAGGCAAGAGACGGGGTAGACGGCATGCCGGCAATGACGCTGTCCGAGAACATACGTGCCAAAGCGACGAGCTCCCTAGAAGTCTTCTTCGCGCCTGGCTTGCCCTTGACCACAAATATGCACTCGCAATCATCGTCGGTACACTGGATACAGGCGTTGAGCCTGTTTCGTTGGCACTGCAAATTTGATTCAGTCTCAGACCTTTGGCGGGAAGGAGAGGAGAAAGCGTGCTTACCTTCTTTCGTTGCTGCCTGCAGTGCTCGCATGAGGCGGGCATACGGATGTAGTTCTCAGGGTGTCTGTTCTTATCGGCTGCGCTCGCCTTGATGCCCCTGGTGTTGGAGGCGTGTGCAGAAGACCTCGCCTTGCGCTTGGGTTTGCGCTTGTCGCCACTACGGGTGGGAGAGGGGGTCGGGGCAGAAAGCGGGTGACCGAGGAGAACGTTGCCGTCACCGGTGATGGGGGTGTAGGTGGTAGCAGACGGAGTAGAGGAGGCGGGGAAAACACTATAGCGAGTAAGAAGTCGTCAGTAACGGCACGGGATGCGGGACTGGGGCGGACGAACCCGCTATGGCCAAACAGCAGGAGACCGAGAGCGTTGTTGGCACCACTGGTGGTGCTGTTGATGGTGGTGTAGGTGATGGGGGAAGGGCTGGGGAAGCCGGGGAGGGCACTGGAGAGGAGGAGACGGTCAGCAAGAGCCTGGGAAACGGGATTGAGGCGGACGAACCCGCTGTTGTCAGACATCCTGAGCTGTGGATATGTTTTGGGGTGGGGTGAGGGTTGAGTGATGTCTGTGGTTGTGGGTTCTGTGGTGTTCTCACGGTAGATGAGGGTGGGATGTGAGAAGAGAAAGAGAAATGGGGGATGGGAATTCCCAGGAGATATGGGGCGGGGATCGCTCGCCGTCCTGAGCATCGCCTCAACTCGCACGCAAATTTGGCGCGCAGGACAGAGGGATCTCGTCTCGCGACCATGCGCATGCATCTACTTATCGATGCGTATTGAGTTTTGTACCATCATACGCGGAACGACTGTGGCCGTATGCTAGTGCAGCTCCCATGTCGATACGAGAAGTACTGTATAAGTTTACAAGAGAGCAGAAAGCGAGAAACCAAGAAATGGCGGAAGTCTCACGTCACGCGCGCGTGCATCAGCGGGGTACCTGAGGGTCCCAAGAGATGAAAGGACCTCCTCAACCAGTGAGTTTCGTCATAAGAGAACGTACGTACTTAGGGTCGGCCTCGGCGAGCATGAGTGGAGAACGGGGCGGGGGGCGATGCATGCCCAGTCGATGACGCAAAAGTGTGCGGGATCAACCTCTTTTTTAGGCAGGGGAGGAGATGTCGAGTCCGTGGCTGGGTGTACCACCGTCTGGCTTCCGTTGACCGAAAGTGTCAATGTGCGCTAGACTGCAAATGGAGGGTAAGAGGATAGGTGGATGATTGATGCTGCATGAAGGAGGTGAACCTGGTGGCTATCAGCGTTGTCACGCAAGTGTGTATGGTCTTCTGATGACGCGTATGTGGCTCGCAACTCACATCCATCAAGCCGACAAAGACCCTTCAGTATCCCATCCCCTCGATAGCAGAGCAATTTGAGACGCTTATCGACATTAGCCGAGAGGAACCATGTCTGGTAGTGGGAGGGCGGAGTCGCTCAACTCGGTCATATGCCGAGTTTTCTGCCTGCGGTCGGGCAAGGGCATGACATAAGACCTCATTGCTCGGATGTAGGAGGCGACATGGAGGAGAGCGCAAGAGGTGATCTCTGATTTCTGGAAAGACAAAAAACGCCTCGAGTTGGTGACAGGCAACAAGTGGATCCAATGGGTCCAAAGATCGAGTGCATAGCATGCATGGATGTCTGGCGACCAAGATCAACTTTGATTGCAAGACCCGTTATCGCATACCACTCACGGGAGGATGCTCTTACTTTCTGGTAGAAAAGAACCCGCAGACGAGGCTGCTGGAAGTTCCTGGCTTGATGCAGGTAGATGAAAGTCCGAATTCTCCTTGGCCAGACGAAAAAAGGATGGATCGGATCATGGCATAGAGATGGCTCTTGGCCAAATGATAACAATGGTGGAGAGAGGGTAGAACGTGATCGTGTCCAGCGAGATGACTAGGCGCGGCGTCGACGATAGGCAGGCGGAGAGGGGGTTATATGGACGTCGCTCGTCGAGTGTCGAAGACGTTAGCCTTGATTGATGAGAGGTCGTCTCCGGTTCGGATATACTGGCCATGATTGCCGTGCTCGGTTCGTCGTATTGTCATTATTCGACGTAAAGTGAAATAATGAAACGCTCTGCTGCTGCTGGTGCTGTCGTCATCGTCGTCGTTGTCAAGGTCGATCTTTCCTCTTCGGGCAAATATCACGCACGTGACTGCGGTGACTTGTTGAAGAACAACGGATCTCTTGAAAGCCATGTACGGAGCACGCGAGCAGTCAGTCAAAGGCGTCAAGCCCTATAAGGGTATGAGGAAGAACTGTTCAATAAAACGCGAGATTTTCAAACGAGCTACGAGATCCATATTCAAGGTACTATATAATGATGGCGAACAACTAGAAGAGATCAAAATTCAAAACCACGACGCGAACCAAAGTCCTTTCTACTGCGCTATGCTATGCTGAAACACAAACACTATCTCAAATGGGTAGACTACTCTTGACTATAAAAAGGACGCGAAACCAATGTACTCTATCTCTAAATGAATATCTGTGGAAGAGGGTGTATACGCCGCTCGACCGATTGTCCTTTCGGAATGCCTGCCCTCAGTCCCACAATCCCCGCATACCGCAGTCGGCAGCCTCATCCGCAACCGGGGTAAATGAGTCACCGAAGGGCGTGGCGTTGAAAGGAGACTCGATAGCTCCCCAAGAACCAGCATCGCTCATCTCCATCTCCTCCGTACCACACATGCCCCAGCCAACGTTCTCGTTCCCCCCAACAGCCTCGTTTCCGACCTGGGTTTGAGGTGCGCTAAATCGAGGTGTGTTGTCGGGGGCGAAGAACCCGGCGTAGGAGAAGTTGAAAGAGGTGGGGTCGGCAGAGTCGCTGACAGCAGACATCTCGACGGTAGGCTTCACCGGGGTAGTGTCTGGAGTGGGGAGAGCAGCAACGGTAGCGGCGCTGCAGAAATCCTCGGCGGGAGCGGAGAAGATATTATCACCCAGATCCAAGTCCATGACCAGCTCGTCAAACGCAAGTCTCTCGCTCTCAGAAAGACCTTGGCCCGTGACAGCAGGGATCTGGGGCTGAGAGGCGACCACGGGGGGAAGAGTATAAAGTACCGAGGTGTTGTTGAGTGAGAAGTGTGGAGCCTGGACGGGGGAGACGTCGACAGGTCGCACGTATGTAGGCTTGACTGGGGTCGTACGCGGAGTAGGAGGGTGGTAAGGAGCTGCAGACTCGCTGGCAGGAGCAGCAGCAAGGACCGAGCAGCATGAATCGAAGTGGGTGTCGAACAACGCCTGTTGCATCTCGACAACGCGGTGGTCCTTCATCATGCCGTTGGCGCCAACAGGAAGAGGAGTCTGGGTGGGCGGGACGAAGGGCATGAAGATATGGGGAGTGGCGTAGCCAGAAGTGTGGCCGGCAGAGACGCTGGCAGGAGAGGGACAGGAGCTGAGCTCGACGAAGGACCTGGCCGGGGTGGTCGGGGTGATAGGGCTCATAGAAGACATGCCGGAAGACGAGGCAAGAGATGAGGTTGAGGGAGTACCGATGATGATGCCGTCGGCGGAAGGGGTACGTCCCATAGCGGCGAGCTTCTTCAAAGCCTTCTGGGAGCCTCGCTTTCCCTTGGCGAGGACGTATGTGCACTCGCTGCCATCCCAGGTACAGCGGGTGCAGGCGTTGAAATCGGTCCCGTCGCACTGCAAAGTCGAATCAGCCTCTGGCGGTGATAGGAGCACGAAATCACTTACCTCCTTTCGTCTCTGTCTGCAGTGCTCACAAGACAGGCTCTTACGCTTGTAGCCCTCGGCGTGCTTCTTCTTCTCCTTGCCGCTCGCCTTGATATTGTTAGCGCTGGTGGCATGCGCGGAAGACCTCGCCTTGGGCTTGGCCTTGTCGCCACTGCTCCTGGGAGATGGGGTGACGGTAGAGACGTGGAGACCGAGGGCGTTGTCGTCGCTGTGGGTGTTGGTAGCGTTATAGGTGATGGGAGAAGAAATGAGGGAGGTGGCGAAGAGACTGAGGGGGAGAGACGGTCAGTAAAAGCCTGGTAAACGGGGCTGGGGAAGACGAACCCGCTATTGTCAAACAGCTGGGCGCCGAGGGCGTTGTTGGCGTCACTGGTAGTAGTGGTGTGGGTGATGGGAGAAGGGCTGGGGAAGCCAGGGAGGGCACTGGAGAGGATGAGACGGTCAGCAGGAGCCTGGAAAAAAGAATCGAGGCGGACGAACCCGCAGTTGTCAGACATCGTGAAGTGTGGGTTTGGTTTGGGGTGGGGTGGGGGTTGAGTGATGTCTGTGGCTGTGGGTTTTGGGGTGTTCTCACGATAGATGAGGGTGGGATGAGTAAAAGAGTAAGAGAAATGGGGGATGGGGGTTCCCAGTAGATATGGGGCGGGCATCGTTTGCCGTACTGGAGCATCGCCTCAACTCGCACGCAAAAACTTGGCGTGCAGAACTGGGGTATGGCGTCACGCGACCGTGCGCATGCATCTACTTATCGAAGGTTACCCAATGTTGTACCATCCGGCGCGTAATGACCTTGGCCGTATGCTAGTACGGCTTCCATGGCGATATGATATGCACAGAAGAAGTTGTCAAGACTGCCACAAGCAAGAAACCAAGGATTGGCGGAAGTCTCACGCGCGTCCAATTTGGTTCCCCCCCAGGAACACGCTGATGGTACCTGAGGATTCCTACAAATTTACGGTCAGGGACAATTCAAACCAGGCAATTGTCGTGGCATAGAGCGTACGTATGTATGACGAGCATCGGCCAGCGAGGGTGGGAACGGGGTGAAGAGTATGTCCGTCATCTGTTCGCGCTGTATAGGGCTCTCTCTCTTCTCGTCAACCTGCTCTGTCGTATGCCTCCGTACGAGCTGCCCCCTCTCGTCTTCCTCATCACGGAGCATGGGTGTCAAGCGAGAGGGATGTTTTTGACCGGCGAGTCTCAGTGATAAGTCTGCTGGCGAGCGGACCATCTGATCTGCTCTTCTTCACTGGCCGGTGCAGCCCACCAGTGAGCTGTTGGACTCGCCACACTTGTGCATTCGTGGGAGAGAAACCGTTTCAGATAATTGACCTGAGTCACCCGCCTTGATGGCAAGCAAAAACCGTATCAATTGCTCTCCAATCGCCCCAACGCACCAAACAACTCGCATACGCGGAAGCCCGAGGATCACGTTATAGACGGCCCTCGCCGCCGATGCTCAGCGAAGATCCACCGCCAATCCACCGCCTACAACCAGCACCGTCTATGGACCGTTCATCTACAGCATTATCGTGTGCAACCGCGCGATGATCCACCTAGACCGAACCAAACACGCACCTATATAGGAGCGTATCTACCATGCCTACCATGTCCGCCAGCGCCGGATTCTGCGGCGATACACCATACGAGGACGCCCCGACGGTGTCTAGTCGCCTCCTTAATAGTCGTATGAGGAAGGATATCAGGAAGACTTTTGGGGCTATCAGGCCCAGATCCGTAGGTCATCTCCATTTCCAGCAGTTCGGCATACTCATTCGGTTTCAGGGCACATCCACTCCCATCACCCGCCCCTCTACACCTGAATGGGCCCCAGTCTTTCCTCAAGAGATACTCGAGCAGATCCTTGCTGACTCATCACACGACCACGACACCCTCCGCGCCCTAGCTCTCACCTGCAAATCCCTCTCCCCCCTCGCCCTCGCGCCTCTATGGTACCGAGTCCCCGTCGGCCTCGAGTCCCGCTCCCCCATGCGCACCCACTATTTCGGCCCCACCACCCGCGAAATCATCAGCCTCGGCCTGCTCAAGCCGCCTACCCTCTCTAGCTTTTCTGCCGAAGTCCGCAGCTTGACGCGCATCATCGACTTTTACTTTCGGCATTTCGCTTGGGCACTCGCCCTCTATCGGCGAGAACACCGTTTCCTCGAGCTGTTCACGCAAGTCAAGGTGATCCGTATACACCTCGATTCGCTGTGCGGGTTCATCTCCTCTGGCGGTGCGCCTTTAAAGTACAAGAATGAAGACGCCGCCTACGAAAACTATGTCGGTCGCCTGCCCGCTTGTGAGAAGGCAGTCTTTATCGGGCCTTGTCATATGTCCTATCACGAACGGTGGTACGCGCACTGGAAAGAGCGCACAGAATACGAGTCCAAAGCCCCCCAAAAACTCGTCCTGCTCCTCAAAGCCAACGAGCACCCCATCTCCTTCAAATTCGGCTCTTTCCCCTATTCCATCCTCTCCAACGCCAACATCCCCACCTCCCGCCTCTCAGATATCACCATCATCTTCTACCAAGGCCCCCTCCGGCACAAATCGCTCAAGTCGCTGACGGACGACCCGTGGCGCAAAGTCCGGGAAGACTTGGTCGATGTCTTGAAGATGTTGCGGCGCAAATACCCGAGGACGCGGGTGACGCTGGTCAACACGGGGTGTTTCAAGTTGACTTGGCTGGGGTTTGATAGGGGGGTGAAAGAAGGGGAGGTGCAGGAGAGGGTGAAGCAGGGGTTGAAGAAGGTTGGAGTTGCTAAAGGAGTGAGGTTGTTTGGGACTTTTGGGGGAGAGGTGGAGTGGAAGAGTCGGGAAGATGAGGCGTCTTCAGCACCGTCTTCAGTCGCATCTGGGTCTGAGGGGTCCGTGTCGGACGACGGGCTACCAATGAAGGAGCAGATGAATGCTGGAAAGGAGACGGAGAGGCTCATCACATTGGACGAGTACCTGCAAACAGAAGACTGGGAAGGAGAGTTTGATGAGGAAGAGGTGCAGCCCTGGCTTCACCGTTAGCGCATAAACGAGCATATGATCAGGTTGTATCAGTAGACTTTTGTTGTAAATATATATAAAACGCATCGATGGATAAGTTCAGAGCCGTAAGGATCGTAGCGCAGACATTGACAAGACTTGTCGCTCGTATGGACGCGACGATTTTTGCCTTTGAGAAGCATGCTATTGAATGCATGAATTCTGATAACAATCTGGTTGATAGATATGTCGAGTCAACATCTGGACCGACCTTAGTTGTCAGCCATGACCCAAGGCTGTACGGCATTGTCAGCGGTCGATCTTTGTCAATAGGCTCCGAAGAGGCGAATACACTTACCCAAGCAATGGGCTATACGTAAGGGACGACAATTGATCAGCATACGACCAACAAGCCAAGTCGGCTAGACATACCTCGTAGTCGGAGAGCTCCTCCTGGGCGAACCAGAGACCGATCTCCTTGGTAGCAGAGTCGAACGCGTCCTACACGAGTCCACCTCACATCAGTCTCAAGTCCGGTCACCGAGTTGTGGACGTACAGAAGCATGGATAAGGTTCCTACCGACAGAAACAGCGTACTGTCCTCGGACCGATCCGGGGTCGGCGTCCTGGGGGTTGGTAGCACCTACAATTCGACGCTACCGTACCATCTCTCCATCAGCTCAATTCCCCTTAACCCCACCGTCGATTCAAGGAGAAGTAAACTTACACCTTGCTTGATGACATCCTTACCCTCCCAGACCATGGCGACGACGGGAGTACCGGAGGTGATATACTTGACGAGGGAGCCGTAGAAGGGTCGGGCGGAGAGGTCGGCGTAGTGCTCTTTGGCGAGAGCGGGGGAGGGGGTGAGGGACTTGATGCTGAAGGATGGTAAGCTACAGCTCGAGGGATATGGGGTGAGAGAGACAACGTACGCGACAAGCTTGTAGCCACGCTCTGCGTAGGAAGATCGTTAGTTCAGGCTCCACCTATATCCTATGGGACCGACCACGTACCCTCAAATCGAGAGACGATCTATAGCATGAAGTCAGTACTGTCCTGATCATTCTAAAAAATGCCGGAAAGCTCACCTTGCCGACAAGCTGCCTAGAGACACCATCGGGCTTAATCTACCATTCCCCATCAGTACCACTCCATCCCCACCTCAAGGTGACAGGCTCACCATGACGAAAGACCTCTCAGAGGCGGTACCCTTCTCACCAGCGATAGTCTTGGGACCCTCAAGGAGGACAGGAGACCTGGTGCCTGTTGCTACATCAGCTCCATTCCTCTCGACCCCTCGAGTTCAGAGTGTGGGGGTAAAGATGAGAAGGACGTACTCTCGTAGAAGGCGTACCCAGCGACAGCAGCACCAGCAGCGAGACCAGCACCGATGTTGGCCCTGGGGGCAGCCCTGGCAGGGAGGGTAGAGAACGCTCGGGCTTTGGGAGGTGTTAGTGAAGAATCTGTTTGGTCGTTGGGGATACTTGCCAGAAGAGCGAGAAGCGGTTCGGAGGCCTGTGGTGGGTGTCAGCTTGAGCTATCTAGCACACGGTGGGGGAAGATACGTACCCTGTCGGAGAGAGTTGGCGAACATTGTATGGTCTTTGTGTGAGTGGGGAGTGAAAGATAGAGAAGAGTAGCGCATTGCGCAATTGAGGACTGTCGGCGTCCGGTGGAGGCAGACCGCTAAATCCGAAATCTATCTCCTCTTGCATTCTCCATCTTTTCGCGACATCCCGAGCTGCCAGAGATCCCCCCGAACTGTGAAGACGAAGGATGAGAAGGATATGAGCTCTTCTGCGCCTTCTTCGCCTGATTCTCTCTTCTCAGAGCTCTCAGAAGCGCCGAGCAGTCCTGAACAGGTGTCATGCCCAGCCGCCAGCCGAAGTCGCCCGCCCATCCCTGGGCTCTATGTCTTTCCAAGTCTAATCCCTGAGAGCATATCTCGTATGTCATTTTCACCAATCCTCAACTCTGACCGCTGACATTCCACTAGAGCGAGCTCTACAAGCCATCGGAGATGACGACCTCTTCCACGGCGGAGTCCGAGACCAAGTCATGCTATTCGAACCTCCCACCTCTCAAACCACTCGCAAACCTCTCCCATCCTACATGACATCACTCTTATCCTCCCTCCGCAACCTCATATCAAACTCTATACCACCTCAAGTCGGCTCTGTCGTCTTCAAACAAGACCTCGCGCGGCAGGTGATCGTCAACCTCTACGCTCCCGGCCAAGGCATCTCGTCGCATATCGACTTGCCGAATAGGTACGCGGATGGTATAATCGGCTGTTCGCTTATCGGGGGATGCGTCATGTCATTCTCCCGGCCCGTGCCCGACTCTGACTGTGCCTCTGAGCTTGAGGTTTACAGGGTGTATCTCCCGCCTCGGTCTATCTATATCCTCTCGGGTGCCGCGAGGTGGGAGTGGGCGCATGGGATTGCGGGATCGCTGGAGGATGTCGTAGAGAGGGAGGATGGGGAGGGGGAGGATACGCTGCTAAGGGATTTGAGAGTGAGCGTTACGTTTAGGTGGATGAAGGATGGAGCGGATGTCCTGTCGTAGTAGACGCAATGTCATGTACATGTCTATCGATGGAATGGTTTGCAAATAATGCATTACTGCATCAACAGCAAGGGTTCCAATTTGCATTGGCTTATCGCACTATCGCTGCACCTTCTGTCCCACTGTCCCACTGTCCCACTGTCCCACAGCAGGCGGTCGTTGGTGCTCGATGACTCGGCCACTAGCTTTGTGACGACCTCTCGGGGCCTGGCCGTGTAGCTTCATCATTGTCGGGCGCTGCACCGAAGCTGCCCAAGAGAGCAAGCCGAGAGTCTCTTCAATACCCTCAAAGACAACTTTAACCCCTAAACCTCCCTTCCAACTCTCTCAACCTCGCCTCAAGCCTCTCCACACCCTCCTCCCCAACCTTCTCATCCTTCCCAACTCCCCCTCCTCCACCCATCATCTCCAAACTTTTCTCCAACCCCTCCATATCCCTCTGATCATTCACATCCAACTCGAACGCTTCCTGTCCCTCTCCATGCTCCTCTTCCTCGTGCTGCTTTCGCTCCTCGTCTTCGGGCAATACGGCGTCTCTTCGTACGGACGAGAGATCGCGGATGAGCACGCGGAGATCTTCCACCAGGTTTTCAGGGGCGGGAGGGGATAGGGAGGTGGCGAATGCGAGGAGGGCGGCGGCTCGGCCGCGGAGTGAGCCTACACGGCGAGAGAGCGGGACGGCTTGGGCGAACGCTTGGTCGAAGCCTTCTTGAAGGGTGGCAAGTTTACCGTCGGTGATACCTTCTCTATATCCCGCCTGTCATACTATCAGCACATGTTGTGTATCGATTCAGGAGGGACGCACGTCAGAGTAGACGGTAGAGATTCGAGTGTACTCTTTATCCACAAGCGGGTCTTTGGCGCCCCCTTGAGTGGGGGGTTCGAGCCAGTCATCGTCGTCGATGATACCCTGTGTGTCTGGGAGGGGATAGGTCATCTTGACGTGTATAATGTGCCGTGGGGAGTGTTCAGAGCTCGATAACGGACGGGATGGAGAGCAGGAACAAAAACAACAACAAATATTTCGAGCAATTACAAAATATCTGGGCGACGAACAGAAAGCTTCGTAATCGATGTTTACGTATAATTAGAGTGCCTGGGTCTCTATTTTCGCAGAATTTTCCAAATGCTCGACGTCTCTCGCATCTCTTGCTTCCAAGACCATCTCCATCTCCTCCGTCTTTCCCTCTCCACCTCCCCTCCCCCACCACCCTCAGCCATCATGCTTCCCCGTCTTGCTCTTGCCAGAGCCCCCGTGTCTCTTCTCTCGAGGAGCGCCGTCCTTTCCAGGAGTGTCATCCGCGCTCCCATCCTCTCTAGGTCTGTACCCCAAGTTCAGAGCCTTTCTAGTGAGTCTATTATCCAATCATGAGATCACACACTGACATCCCACTAGGCATTCTTGGCGCTCGAGGCTACTCTGCTGCCGCTCAAGGAAAGCCCGAAGATGACTTCTTCGCCTCTGAGGGCGATGCCCCCGCCCCCATTTCTCTCCGACAAGACTCCAAACCCATTGAAGCCGAAGAAGTAGACGACACCGCTTCTTTCACTTCCCTCAAAGGCCGCATGAACCACGACACTCTCAAATCCCTTACCTTCAAGCCCTTCAAGTTTGTCACCATGAGCGAGGTGCAGAAGCGTGTCTTGGGACTGTTGCCCGAGCTGGCGGGCGGCAAGTTGAGGGGTCCGGCGAAAGAGGCTGCGGAAGAACAGGGGGAGCCGTTGATCGATGAGACGAGGTTGAGGGAGGATTTGTTGGTCAAGGCCAAGACTGGTACTGGAAAAACTATTGTATGTCTCTTCCCTTTCGCTACCAATATATTACTGACTGTTCGCAGGCCTTCCTTGTCCCTGCTATCGACTCTCGTATCAACAAACTTGAAGAGCTCTCTAAGGCTGTTCAGGCGGACGGTACGATTCCCGACAAGCACGCTCAAGGCCGGATCTACCGCGAAGTCTCTCGCTCCCACGCCGGTGCCCTCATCATCTCGCCCACCCGAGAACTCGCTACCCAGATCGCCGCCGAAGCTCAAAAGCTCATGACATGGCACAAGGAGATGGAGGTCCACACTTTTGTTGGCGGCGAGTCTAGGATCAAGCAATTGCGTCAGTTCTCGAGAAACAGAAAGGATATCGTCGTTGCCACTCCTGGCCGACTGAGGGATCTGCTCAGCGAGAGTAACGTCAAGGAGGCCTTGTCAAAGGTCGACACTCTCGTTCTTGATGAAGCCGATACGCTTCTTGACATGGGTTTCTCGGCCGACCTCGAGTTCATTATCGACCACCTCCCCAAAGAGCGTCAGACTCTCTTCTTCTCTGCCACAGTTTCCAAGGAAATCAAGAACATTGCGCGTAAATCTTTGCGACCGGGCCACAAAGTCATCGACTGTGTCCCCGCCAACGAGAGCAACACCCACCTCCACATCCCCCAATACTGCACCGTCCTTCCCTCTGCTGCCGACCAGCTCCCCCATCTTCTCCGCCTCATCGCCCACGACCAGCTCATCCACCCCAAAGACAGCAAGGTCGTCGTCTTCTTGAACACCACCAAGCAGACCATGCTCACTTCGACACTTGTGCGCCAGCTCAAGGGATCGCTCCCCCAGAACACTTGGACTTATGAGATCCACTCCAAACTCAGCCAGAACCAGCGTACCCGCGCTTCCGACAGGTTCAGGGCGGAGAAGGGTCCCAGTGTCCTCATCACCTCCGACGTCTCTGCCCGAGGTGTCGACTACCCCGGTGTCACCCGTGTCATCCAAGTCGGTATCCCTTCCAATGCTGAGCAGTACGTCCACCGTGTTGGACGTACTGGCCGAGCCGGCAAGCAAGGCCGAGGTGACATTGTCCTCCTCCCCTTTGAAGCCGGTTTCCTCAACCAGCTGAACGAAGTTCCCATCAAGGCTATCGAAAGCCGCGACCTCGCTGCTGAAGTCCACGAACTTGCCACTTCCCAGAAAGCCAACGCCGCCAAGCTCGCCGCCATCCCCGAACGCGTCTCCGAGCTCCTCCCCACCCTCGATGCTGATGCCGTCGAAGAAGTCTTCATGTCCATGCTCGGCTACTATGTCGGCAAGGGCTCTCAGATCGGCATGCCCAGCCAAGGTATCTTGGAGGGCTTGAAGGAGTGGACGACGGAAGGTGCGGGGTTGGTCGAGCCGCCTTATGTGTCGGAGATGTTCTTGAAAAAGCTGGGTATGGGCCCGAGGAAGGAGAAGAGGAGTTTCGGCGCCGGTGGTAGAGGGGGCGCCGGTGGTGGAAGGGGTGGCCGATCGTTTGGTGACCGAGGATTCAAGGACCGAGGAGAGGGCGGTGGTGGTGGGTTCGGTAGCCGGGGCGGAAGCGGCGGTTTCGGTGCACGAGGAGGTGACAGAGGGGATCGGGGCGGTAGCCGTGGAGGATTCGGTGGAGGATTTGGCGGACGAGGTGGCGACCGTGGCGACAGACGGTCAAGGGACTTTTAAACAGGTTTCTTTCTCACTTCAACGCGGTCTCACTGTAAAAAATAGATATATTACACTCAACCTACCATTCAACCTGCTCCAATCTTAGAATTTCGTCTCATTATCTGATTACAATAGTACATTGTTGTATGATACGTATATGTTCGTCTTCACCACCATTCAAAATGCATACTATCACGATCACAAGGTCTCTTTGACATCCCTACACAACTCATGCCAGCTCTTCGTCTTGGCTTTGTATGAAATGACCTCGAAGTCCAGCGTCAAAGTGAGCTTTCTGAGGCTTGACGAAGGGAAAGAAAGTTTCCAAGGGGAGCGTTCAAATTCCTCCTTGATGTTTTTACTTCCCAGATATATCACAACAGGTTGACGGACAGGTGACTGAGGCCAGACTGAGGCAACAGGACCGACGGCGGTGGACAAACATAGCCAATTGCTCCCGTTAGATTACGTAAAAACGTTCTCGTGCCATGAACTCACCACCACCGGCCACCGCACGAACCCGAATTTATCTCCTCTTTCATTTCCATCTTATTCCTCAACAGCCATGTCCCTCTCCCCCCCAACCCACGAATCATACCTTGTCGTCGGCGGCTGCGGCTTCCTCGGACGGCACATTGTGGAACAGCTCTTGGCCCGAGGCGAGAGCCAGGTCTCTGTCTTTGATATCGTGCAGAGGCACTTTGACAGGTGAGTCTTGAGCGACGGCAGCGAGATATGGGCAATCAAACCTGGACTGAAGCTGACCTATATCCAGCAATGTGACTTTCTTCATTGGCGATCTGTCCAAGCGGGAGGACGTCGAGAACGCTCTCATTAAAGTATGTTTCGGTCTTTTGCTGTTGCACTGAAATTGAGCTGAGCATATGTACCAGTCCCAAGCCACAGTCATCATTGACACTGCTTCCCCCACCCACGGTCTCGGTCGCGCCATCTACGAGCTCGTCAACATCACCGGTACCCGCACCCTCCTCGACGCTGCCCTCTCTCCTTCCTCCCTCGTCACCAAAATCGTCTACACCTCTTCCGGAGGCGTCATCTACTCTGGCAAGGAAGACATTTGTAACGCAGATGAGAGGATCAGTTACCCTGCGAAGCCGTTGGACGCCTACAATGAGACAAAGGTTGCTGCGGAAAAGATGGTACTCGAGGCGAACGGGCAAGAAAAGGCTGGCGGCGGTATACTTTCCACCTGTGCTATCCGCCCCGCCGGTATCTTTGGTCCTGGCGATAGGCAGATGATCTCCGGGTTCTACGGTGTCGTCAAGAACGGCCAGACCAAGTGGCAGATCGGCGACAACACCAACCTCGGCGATTTTACCTACGTCGGCAACGTCGCGCACGCCCACCTGCTCGCTGCCGACAAGCTCACCACCGTCTACCCTTACTCTGCTCTGCGTGAACCCCTCGCGCCCATCAACCTCTCCCTCGGCTCGCACCGCGTGCCCACCTCGGCCGCCAAGCCTATCGGGCCGAATACCAACCCCTCCAAGGCCGACTTGCTCGCAGCCGAGCGTTTCGAGCAAGGGCTCATCGAAGAGTCTGATCTCAGACCGGTGTTGAGAAACAAGATGGATGTGTACTATGACGCCGCCAGCCTGGATGATATCGAGCACCCCGAAGCTGGTTTGCCCATTGCCGGTCAGGCGTACTTTATCACCAACGGTGAACCCATCTTTTTCTGGGACTTTGCGCGAACCATCTGGCGCCAGCTCGGCCACGTTCCCCCGTACACTATCGTCCTCGCCACCGCCCTTGGTCTCGTCCTCGCTACCCTTGCCGAAGCGTTCTCCAAGCTCTCTGGCAAGGAGCCAGGATTCACGAGGTTTAGGGTGTCGCAAGCGACGCAGCAGAGATTTTACGATATCGAGAAGGCTAGGAGGCTGCTGGGTTACAGCCCGGTGGTGGGATTGGATGAGGGGATGAAGACTTGGACGACCTGGTACAGGGGAGAGTTGGACAAGCAGGCGTTGGCCGGGGAGACGGACAAGACAAAGTAAAAAACAAGCACCGTCTCGGAGGCTTCAAGGTTGTTTCTTTTCATAGGCTTATATTCGGACGATCTGCATGTAACTGTATGATACGATTACCAACAGGGTTCATGGTATTATACATACATATATACAGCTTTCCAGATATTATACAATCCGCATTTCCTAGCACCCATTGACTAGACGATGCAACAAGGGACGGGCAGAGCCACCGGGAGCCGTAGCCTCGACCGACGGGGCACCGGGAGGAAGTAGGCAAACTGTGGTAGTCGGGATTGCGAGCTGGCTGAAAGAATGTCAGTCTTGGCAATTTCTTGGGCACGAAGAATGCTTACCGACATTGATGATCGATCTTGCTCATCGTCTATTTTTATTCGTGTGTCAGCCAGCGGACAATCCTCCCATGATGATACTTGATAAGCGGAAAGTGACTCACGCGTGCCAAATAGACATGTGGGGCACTTGACGGTAGATCGAGATGGCTATGGCTATTAGTCGGCAATAATGTCCCGAAAAAAGCTTGGTATCAGCCGAAAGTAAGAGCTGGCTGGGCCTTTGCCACCTTGACTCCTGGGCTCCAAACGCCCACCCCTATGGTATCTTTGAGTATGTGATTGATTCATCCCCGAGGGTGCGATTGCTAATAATCTTTCCAGGTTCGGAGATGTCAGTGAAGACTAGGCGTCAGTGTCTGCAGCAAGATCAAAAAATAGTAAAGGAAGTCTCGATTACAAAGCATGAGCATTCTTTTCGCATCTTTTCCATTCAGCATAGCATTTGCATAGGTATGGGATGCATAGAATCAAATCACATCTGTCCAATCAGATATGAAATGTTTATGTGCTGATGATCGTGTACGAGAAGCCATATCAAAGTCTTCTCCTCCGGGGCCCATCCTGTTGCTTCAGCTAGACATCATCGTCCCGTTTCTTGGGAGGCCTTCCCCTCTTCCTCTTGGGAGGCGCCGTCTCTTGCTGTTGCGTGCTGCTTCCGCTATCAGGCAAAGGGCGATTGCGGGAGGGAGAAGACGCGGGTCGTCCAGAATTATTAAGCAGTACACTGGTGGTGAGGGGTCTGTCCCCTTCCTGGTCAGCGATCACGCGAGTAATCCTTCTGGTTTGGCAACGTCGGCAGGGTGGATCGCCTTCACACTGTTCGAGGTGCGTGAGCTGAAAGTCACAAAAAAAAAAGACTGATGGAGACTTACTCGGACATGTCGTTGCTGGCAACACGTACAAGCTACCGGGCGTCTGGTCCAGCCTCCTTTGCCACCCTGACTCTTGGGTTCCAAACGACACCCCTTGAGCCTCTTTTGCCGCCACCTCGTCTTCCCCTTCCACCTCTGCTCCCTGGACCACCTCAGACTTTTGAGAGTGAACCAGGAGGGCGGCGTCGGCCTCGACCCCTTCCACGACCACGTCCACGGGTGGAGGAGCTCGATCCTCGACGTCCACATTCGAAATCACTCCCTTCAGAATCATGCTCGTGCTCGTATGCCTCTGGCATGATATCTCTATCAGTCTTCTCCGCGTTCCGCTCATTCTGAAAGGAGCGATCATAGATATCCGAGGTGAAAGGCAGATTCTCGTCATCATCGTAGACTGGACTGTCGTTGTCCCTTCCAGTGTGAAGGAGGGAAGTGAAGGCCGAAGAAGCGGAAGAAGATCCTGGCCCAAAGTCTCTTGCGTCTTGCAAAGCTCTGGACACTTCCTCGCCTGAGGTCGGAAGTGGGTCCTCTCATATCATACATGGGAGCCGCCCATGCACCATGCAAAGCCGTGGGAGACACGGTGTGATTTCCAGCGTAGCCGTAAGTGTGCTGCAAGGCGGCAGCAGCGGCGGGATCAAGCATGCTGGTGGTGTTGATGGTGAGGCCGTGGGTCATGCTGGTAGTACTGAAGGAAGCGGAAGTTGCTGCGCCAATCGAGAATACCTTTCAAAGCCATTCAGTAACTACACATGTCCAGAAGGTTCGACAGAAGCCATACTTACGGTTGTTCATGGATATTTCCGTGGTGCCACTCTCCCCCTGCACATCGCCTCCACACTCTGCCCCCCCCGCACACCCATCTCAGCGTTTTCGTCCTCTTGATTGCCCTGACCCTTCTGATCGTCCTGCTCTTCTGGACCGTCCTGCCCACCACCAGACGTTGCCAGTCATACAGTCCATTCTGTGCTTCGAGAGAGGGCATATCCTTTCTTCAAAGATCCGAAGCGAACAAACAGCTCTTGATAGCCTCCTACCACAAAAACGGCTAGTGGAGATGAGTGGCGAGTGACGCAAAGCCTTCTTCCGTGCTTCATATCGCCCAACGTGGATAGCCCTAATAATACGTCAGCTCACTTCGACACAGCTGGCACTTCGATAGGGACACCAGGAAGGCAAAACAAACTCACCTGAGATAGAATCCAGGCATCACAATTCTCGGCAGAGAACCTTTTCCTTCGACTCGCATCGCCCCCCGCGAGGCCGCGATCCGTTCGTCCGCCGCGTAGAAGTCCACACCCGGGCTTGGAAGCGGGGTCAATAGCGACAGGAACACCATGAAGAGTGGATGTGGCAGTCGCAGGGGAATCGGGAAAGGGGACTTTTGCAAAGTCCATCGGGAAGAGTGCGGTCAATAGCCAACGGCGAGAGATCGAGCACGACTCTGACGTAGAGGACGTTAGCAACGCAGTCCACTCCTCTCCACAGACACTGACCTCTTGAGGCAAGACAATAGGAAGAGCTGCCTGTTCACTTGAATCTTGATTAAAAGCTTATTCGACCTCTGGAAGAACAGAATGCACAGTTTGACTGGCAAAGTCTGGTGGGAGGCAGGGCGGCTCAGGCGAAGAGCTCTCGTCCGCCTGGCGTCGGCGGGGCTGTGAGTAGAGTGGTACAGTCGACGGCGGTAGCGATGAGGGGCTATTTGAAGTTACAGGAGAGAGAGCGGCCAACAAACACATGTCGCAGGGGTGCCGTAGAGGGAGTACGGCGAGATGGGGCAGTGGCTTGCGCGCTTGTGGTTGTGCTTGCCCGCCCTCCCCTGCCTCTTTCTCCTGGCAGGAGCCGAGTCTCGAAGATCAAGGCAGTGAAACGTCTTGATAGTTTGAGGATGATGAAGAGACGAAAAAAGAAAGCTATCTTCTGTCAAGAAGCGTCGTGTTGGCAACCAGGAGTGTGTGTTTCTACACTCACACCCAATTGCTCCCGTTTCATTCAACCATACGTATCACTACCGGCCACTATCCTGTATCATAAAGGAGCCAGTATCTCCCTCCACCAACGGCTATCTCGTCCAGTTATAATATGCAGATACATACAGAACAGTCCCAACGTTCCAGACGCTCGTTCGTATAAGGCTGACGCCAGCCCGCGACGCGCCGCGCGTGTAGAACATTTCTCACCTCTGATTGCGCCGTCCATACAAGTATGCTCAAAACTGTTATGAGGTGTACGTTATACAGCCAATGATACTTGCTTATGGTTCACAGCGTACTCGAAATCTTCTTGGTTCAGACAATCGATGGTCAGCACGCAGAAACGAGAAAGCAAAGCCAAAAAACCTCGCGTCATGATGATTTCGCAAGCCCAACGTCAACGTGGCTCTCGGGACTGTCTCTTCACATCAATCTATAACATGATCTGCATGTATCCAACTGTATGATACAATTATAAACAAAGTCTAGTGTATCGTCTATATCTATATACAACTGTGTTTGTTTTCTCAAACCAAAAAATATAATTCTATCGCTCTAATACTCCTCACTATCATCACTACTCCCATAATCCCCACCCCCAAGCTCCCCCCACTTTTCCAAGTCCCACCCTTCCACCACCCCCTCCCCCTCCCCCTCCAACCACTCCCCCAGGTTCCTAAACCTCACCCTCCTCAACCGATCCTTTACGTCCCCCTTCATACCCTCCGCATACCACTTGGTCTCGATCCTGCTCCTCAGCCGATCCTGCATCACCTTCCCAACCCTGCCCGTGCGCATCGTGTTGAGCCCCATATTGAGGAGCTCGCCGTCCATCGTCTCGGTCCCGACGATCTCTATCTCGGTGCGGAAGGGTACTGCGAGGCATGTACCTGCGACGTCGTCGACGAGCGACACGTACGAGGTGGAGGAGCCGTCTTTGCGGGCATTGTAGAATGCGATCTGCCACGGCCTGCCGATCTTGGGCGGGGCGTAAAAGACGAGCACGAGCCGCTCGAGCGTGAGGAGCGTCTTTTTATGACGAAAGCAGTGAGAGTACGGCTGGTAGTCTTTTGCGTCGTAAGACAGGCCGGTGGGCATGACGATCGTCAGGTCTTGGCACGGCGGCAGGCGGGGCGAGTGGGTGGAGGTGGTAGCAGGGGGCGAAGGGAGCGGGAGGGAGGAGAGTGATTTCGGGAGGGACGTGTTGCGGGCGTGGCCGTTTTTGATCTTGGGCAAGACTTGGGCGGGGGGTGCGAGGGAGGCAGTGCGCGTATGGTGTTGTTTGCCCATGGGCGGGAAGAAGGAATGGGCAGGAAGGAACGAGTTGGCCGACGCGCGGTAGAGCGCAGAGACGTTGGATGGGTTGGCGTTGGGCACGAGCAAAAGCGGATCGTTCGCGAGGTGGTCGTCCTCCCCTTCACCCTCTGTCACAGCGATCAACGGCGTACGCGGCGACGCCGTCCCCGCCGAGCCTGTACCCACCGACCCGGGGGTCGTCGGCGTGCCGGGCGCGTTGTAATACTTGTGCGGGAAGGCGAGGGGGAGGACAGGCATAGGCGAGCGGGCACCGAGTATGACGAGTTTTTCGACGACGAGGTCGCGGAACATGGGGCACGTCGGTGGGTAGCGCGGGCAGAATGTCATATGGTAGTCGAACGCCTCCCCGAGCACGATCCGCAAGCTATCGAGCTTTGGCAAGAGATAGTTGAGAGCTACAGGCGGGCAGCATGGAGGGGACGGCTCGTCGTCGTCGTCGTCCTCCCCATGGCTCCAGATGGTAACCTCGCTCACGTGCTTGAGCAGCCTGTCCTTGAACCGTTTCCTGCCGCCGGCAACCATGCCTGTTGTCGCCTCGTGCACGATCACCGACCCGGTGAGCACATCCTGCATCGATTTCGGGTGCAGCTCAATCTCGGCGTAGAGCAGGTGGCCGGCGAGGTGGAAGATGAGGCGGGAGACGGTGAGGCATGCACGGAGCGTGGGGGTATCGCAGTAGGAGAGGATACGTTTGAGGATGGGGGTGGGAAAGTGTCCGCTGGCATTCTTTCTCGGTCGGATATTGGCTACAGGTCAGTTTATCAGTTGAAGCCTGTGAAGATGGGAAAAGTGCGTACCGGTGTGGCGCAGCTCGAGGGATGTCTCTGGGTACAGCGATAGAGACGACTTTGCTCGTGGGAGAGAGAGGGTGAGGGCGGGAGGGGTCACTGCGCCTGGTTGCTTTTTACCAAACTTGAGCGCATCCTGGGTGGGGTCGTCAGCACCAGGATCATGGGAGTGCGGGTGCGAGACGCAGGTGGTCGCCCTCCACCCGTCATACCCTGAGAGGGCTACTTACCGCAATGTCGGCAAAGCTGGCCGACTTGAACACCATGGTCTTGAGCGGGGGGCATGTACAATGGGGATGGAAGAAAGAGGATGCAAGATACGTATTTTGTCTCAGGCCACGCAATTTTGTCATCGCTCATCGCCCGGCGGCCTGCGTCATGAGCCTGGACTTTGTTGACACTGGCGGCGAGAACGGATCTCCCTCCAAGGGGGGACCCTTGGAAGTTGGCACAGCATATCCATCCATACAAGATACCAGTACAACTAAATCTCCCCGTCCCCCCCTTCCCCCGCCCCGCCCCCCACACTCGGCGCCATCCTCCACACCTTCATCACCAGCCAAAACACCACAACCCCCACCACTATATACGCTATCGTCCTGTACTGCCGCAGCGTCGAGTTGGCAGCGATCGACCGCGAGTGGTGCCGGGACGTCGAGAAGAGGCTCGACGCGAAGGACGAGAAGGTGTTGGTCTAGTATGCGACTAGGGCGTAAGCATGGGACTCGGATGCTGCGATGAAGAACGTACAGTGCGGTCGAGCTATAAATAAGGGGGCGTATCGTCAGTGTACGTTGGCCTAGTCTGCGACCCCATGCATCTAGCGTCGGCGTCGACGTTATCGCAACGTTTACGACGACAACACTATCGCATGGAGCTCCATACCCTAGCACCGCAGACTCACCTGGTCATTCTGTCTGTTCGCATCGTCCAGTATATCTATTGTCACCTGCCCTCGTTCATCAGCTCTATCCCTCTGCCCTCTGCCCTCTGCCCTCTGCCCTCTGCCCTCTGCCCTCTGCCCTCTGCCCTCTGCCCTCTGCCCTCTGCCCTCTGCCCTCTGCCCTCTGCCCTCTGCCCTCTGCCCTCTGCCCTCTGCCCTCTCCCTGAGCCCGAACCTGAGCCTTGGCACCAACCCCAAAAGGAAGGAAGAGAGATCCTCACCGAGCGCAAACTCCTGATCTTGTTATGCAACGAATTCAACTCCTCTTCATTCTGGTTCTCCAGCGTCTGGTCTGAAGCGCTACAAGTACATCCAGGGGCCAGGCCTTTCCATCAGCTCTCTTTGCTTTTGATTTTGCCACATGCCTTCAGGGAGGGGGCGGGGGAAGGGGAAGAGGGAAGGGGAGGTGGGACTGACCTAGGCATGATGGCTGTGGAAGTAGACTCAGGGCCCTAGGTGTCGATCCAGGTGAGAGCAGATGAACTGAGGGGGCGGAGGGGCGGAGGGGGCGGAGGGGCGGAGGGGGCGCGACGGGTATGCGGACCGAGCGTGTTCTGGGTGAGTGTCTGGAATTCTTGTCGCTGTGGCGTTGTGGGTCTCCAGTCGGATCAGCGGGCGAGGGAGGGTAAGCGATGGGCGATGGGGGAAATAAAGTGTCGTAAGAGCAGCAGCTAGTGGATGAAGGAATAGAACGAGAACAAGAACTCGAGGAATGCCGGAATGGTGGGCCCCGCACAAACAAGCTCCACGCGTTCTGGACTTGTATCATCTCTTTCTTCCAGTCTCTTTTCAGTGTTCTCTTCATTTGTCCATACGTCAACCACAGCTCAAGTCTACGGCGGCTGGACCGTCTTCTCTGTCGTGGTATGCACATGCGCGGGCCTTCATATACATGGGACAATAGCTCTTCGTATATGCCATTACCACACATCTAAAGATGCAAAAACACCTATCGATAATCGACCACAGTCATCTATAACTGCAATTCACGACCCCAATTTGCCCAAAGTCTCAGACCAAACGACTCGCCATTCGTCAACATGACAAACTACCCGACCCAGGCATATCGACGGCGTCGTCCTTCTCGATGGCAACGGGTTATCGCCGTTCGATTCTCTCGCTGCACAGGTAGACGATACGCTGGCCGTCCTTGCCAGTCTTGCCTCCCATAAGTCTCTCCAGGCTGCTCGTCCTCGAACTGCGAGGAGAAAGAAACCAAATATGTTGCTTTGAGCTTTTGAGGGAAGGACGAAAAGAGTGTACAAGTACACCCCTTTCTGCCAGGCAGGCAGTGTAGACGCCCACTGAAGGTTGCGCGTATGGGCGCCGGGGAAAAATGCAGTCCCACCAAGTGAGTACGAGTACAGTCTCTACCTTTCTATCTCTCCCGTTCCTGCTGGAACCCCTCTATAGCTGTATATAATCCCAACCGCATTCTTCACCCGAAACAGAAGCTCAAGGCTCGAGGCCCGCGGTTCTCCCAAGGGGCTTCCGCAACCCACGGCCAACTGTACGACTGAAGTCACGGCGCGCCTCCTCCGTGTTCGTGACAAACGACCAATGGATTGCATAGTATATTCATATTTTCCACAAGCTCGAGCACATACACAGCTTTAACAACTCGTATGTCTTTTGTTTCTCTTATATATTTTCCACAACGGCTACGTACAAATGAAGGAAAAGAAATTCCGATTAATGAACAGACATGGTTTTTTGTTTGAATAGACAAAAGTAATGAAATGTCGTCGGCGGTTCATGAAAAGAGGGAAGAGAATCTTTTGATGATTTCAAAATGCAATAAAGGAAAGAAAATGATTGTTCCAATAACCAGACGGGATGAATGGGGAGGGGGGGGCGGCTAATGCCCATTGACCTGGCTCAATACCTGATCAGCCCTCTCCAAATCCTTCTCCGACAGCCTCCTCCCGCCCGCAGGGGTAGCAGTGCCCGAAATCGCGCTCGCAAGCGAGTCGGAGCGGTTTCGCGGCTTCATCACGAGCGGGAACGGATAGTGGTTCTCATCGTCGTCATCATTGATTCCACGCCAGCCTAAACCACCTCATCAGCATTCGTCCACTGCAAGAGAAATGAGAGGGGGACTCACTCTTGGCACCCATGTAATCCTGCGTAGTGAGATGCTCCATCTCCTCCGTCAACGTCGCATAGTCCCCAGGCGTCATCAACCCCGACACCCCCGCGCCCCTCATCCTCGGACTCGCCGGCGCACTCAACGGCACCCTCTGCACCCCCGTAAAGTCCGGCTCATCATCCGCAAACGCATCCGGATACGCCCGCCTCAACGCCAGCTGCCGCGCCTTGACATACTCGAGCCCGAGCGACTTCCAGTCCAACAGCTCCGACAGGCGCTCGGTGCGGTTGCGCTGGTTGATGCGCTGGCGCCGGGATTTGGTGGAGAAGGCCAGGAGCTGGTCGGTGAGTTGGTTGACGGATTCTTCGACGCCTTGGGAGCGGCGGTCGACAATGTAGCAGCCATAGTCTTCGGGGGACTCGAGGAGGTCTTCCATGAAGCAGCCGAAACCGGAGAGGTTGGTGGTGATGTTGGGGATACCCATGACGGTGCATTCCGCTGGAGTGTAGCCGAAGGGCTCGTCTATTCCTCATCAGCACCCCTCTATATCAAAGGGCAAAGGACTCACAGTAGGAAGGGAAGACACCCAAATGACAACCCCTCACAAACTCTTCATAATCCAACCCCAAAATCGGATTGTTGCTGTTCAGAAACTCGGGATGGAAGATCACCTTGACCCGATCCTCCGGCCTATTAAACATCTGCACCCTCCTCAACTGGTTCAAAATCGGGTCCGCCGCATCGTCCGCCATATTGTGCGTCACAATCGGCGGCAACGTCGTCCTCTTGAGCGCAAACACGCGCCTCTTCAGCAAGACCCTGTCTTCGTTCGACAAGAGGTCTTCGGCGTTGGGCACTTCGGTGCCGTGTTCGCCGGAATAACGGGCGGCGTGCTCGAATATGCGTTTACCGATGCGGGAGGTGACTTGGTCGACGCAGTCTTTGAGTTGTTGGGTCACGGCTTGGCCCTTGAGGGCTTCGATGGTGTAAGAGTTGGTAGCGGCGGGCATGATGATGAATGCGACGACGGTGGTCTTGGAACCCATAGCCTTCAGGCGCGCATTGAGTCCTGCTCATGTCAGCTTTGCCCCGCTTCACAAAGGTAGATAGGACTTACGAGCAAGACCCTCAATAAACATATCAACACCCTTGTTCCTAAACTCGTATCGACCAGCGGTAAACATGTAGATCGTATTCTCCAAGTCAAAGTCGTAATGGCCGTAGAAATGACCACGGATAAACTCGTTGATCTTTTCCTTGGACTGGACGTGCAGGTTCTGGAACTCGTGCATGGCAGCAAACTTGACGACGTTGAGACCGTTGGGGAGGACACCGTCTGCTTACGCGTCAGCTCAATCTCAAGAGTATATGGGGGAGACGTACCGGGCTTGCGCTTCAGCAAGTGCTCCGACTCGAAAGCAGTGATATGACTAACAGTCGTAAACACATCCGCACAATGCGCCGACGACCTCTCAATACAATATCGATGATAGATCCCCCTCTTGCCCGCTTCATGATCGACATCAAAGTACTGCAAGTTGTTGTAGAAATCAACACTGCCCGCACAGAGATACCTGCCCAGCAACGTCGCGTGGGTGGTGAAGATGGTGGTGACGTCGATATGCCTCTTGCGGCAGAGGGGGATTGCGAGACCGGCTTGCCATTCGTGGAAATGGGCGATGAGGGCGGTGGACGTTTCGCGGGCTGCGAATTCACCGAGGAACCAGGCTACCATGTAGCCAAAGACGATGGTCTCGTTGGTTTCGTGGTCGTTGGGAGGGGAGGGGATACCGGCGAGGTTCCAAAGATCAGTCTTCCACTCGTCGAGACTGGGGACGTCAGTGGGGCTCTTGAGGGCAAGGAGAGGACGTTACCGGTTGTAGCAAGATCCAGTGTCAAAGAGCAAGACTCGGGGAGCACCTTCAATAAGCCATCGACCGTAGAGAAGCTTGACACCACGCTCCTGCATAGACTTGAGCGTATCGGCAAAAGGTCCCGGCTCGCTGCAGCATCGTCAGGACAGCCCACGTGGCGTACAGAAGGACGTACGGCTCTTCGGCTTCGACCTCGACAGGAGCCGACTTGTAGGAGAGGGGACCGATGAGGCATAACCTGTGGGATGTCAGCGTATGTCGGCGACTGCGAACATCTCTGTCGGCGAGTCGACCCGGTCTGGGTGCTGTGGAGGGCAACGTGGCGAGGGGGAGTACACGTGAATCAGAGCAAATTACGACCGGGTTATCCGGCTACTCCGTCCACCAATGACCTGGTACCCCTCGCCAGACATTGCTCGGCTGCCCACCAACCAGCACCCACTTGGAGTCCAGCCAGACAAGAAATTACTCACCGATCACCATACTCTCGCACAGTCACAGGGACCTTGGTCTTGATGACAGTATAAATACCGCCGACCTTGTTTGCTACCTCCCAGGCACACTCAAAGAGGAGGGGGTTGTGGACGGAACGGGCTACGGGCTGGGATGCTGGTGGCATGCTTGTGGTGGAGGAAGAGCTGTTGGGGTTGAAGATGGTCAGCTCGGAGTGCAGGAGAAGATGTGTAGGGAAGAGGGGGAAGGAGAGAAACAGGTGGATCCTTTTGTAGGCAAGGGGTGGAGGAAGAAGCAGGTGATCGCAGATGGAGCACAGACTGATTCTGGGACCTGAACGAACCGGGTAACCAAAGGCTGCTGTGTGCAGAGTGTTGAAAGGCTGGCGCGCTGACCAGAGGAGTGGGAGATGGATGGCAGGGATGGAAGAGAAGAGTGAAAAGAAAGGGCCGAATGGGGAACAGGGAGCGGGACGAGACCTTCCTGATTGGGATGCGGGGAGGGTGGAGGTGGGACGGGGTGGAAGGGCACTTACTCTGGATACACCCTGATGGAGATGGGGAAGAGGACACGCAGAGATGGATGCATATAAGAGGCCCCGCTGCCCCGCTCGGCTGTGCCCCAATCCGGCAATATCTCCACAGGGGCACCGTACGTCATCAACTCCCGGAGCGGACACCGCCGCGTCACCCGAGCATGACACTGTGGCGTTCATCTGGCCCGTATTTTCTACAGGGGACCAGGGATGCATGAGTCTACCAGCTGCCCACAAACGGTATACTCCTCCACCCCTTCTTCTCCTCTTGCACCTCTTCCACCTTCGCCTCGCGCTCCTCTACCACCTCAACCTCTTCAACCCCTTCCTCCACTTTCATCTCCTCCAACTCCTCCCTATCCCACTCCCTCCCCAGCACCTGCTCAACCTCCCACTTCAACCCCTCCTCGCTCCTCCTCCAATTCATATCAACCACCCATCCCAGGCCTTTATACCGCAAGTCAATGTAACCCTTCGGCAAAGGCGCGGCCGGCGTCGACGGTAGACTTTTGCGCTTCTCCACCGTCTTGGATCGGAAATCGACCCACTCGAACGGCGCCCTCCAGTCAGACGCACTCTCCCTCCACTCTCCCAACCCTTCATACCCCTCCCCCCTCCTAAACGCCCACTCTACATTTCTCCACCGCTTCAAACTCTCCACCCCCTCCTCCCACATCCCGCCCAACCTCACCTCTCTCCCCGTCTTGAAAACCTCATCAGCATGCTCAGCAAGATACTTGCGTTCCTGCGCCAAGGCGGCGGAGAGGGCGGAATACCCGATGAGGAGGGGGTCCCATACGTTTGTGGGGGGTGCGAGCCACGAGCGGGAGGGGAGGGGAAGGGAGAGGGGGAGGGTGGTGTTGGTTAGGTATACTGGGCTTGAGGATGGGGATGTGAGGAGGGAGGGCGAGGGGCGGGCGAGGAAGGGGGAGGAAGGGGAAGTGGAGAAGAATAGGATCGTTGCCTTGTTCGCATTTATCAGCTTTCTTCTCCTTTCCCTTTCTCATAAGTAGAAAGGACATACCAAAGTCATGCAATATCCACAAGGCCGGATCTTCAAAAACGACCCCAGCGCCAAGAGAGCAAGTATCAATGACGGCGAAGACTGCATCAGAACTCGAGTCAGCTTTGCGCTCAAGACCAGCATGAGTATGGGAAGATGGGGCTTACGGCTAGGGGAAAGACGAGGACGTAGAGGAGCATATGCTTTATGCACATCATCTTGGACGGATGGTCAAACTGGGGTTAGAGGTGTGCTGGGATAGGTAGGTGTTGAAGGCTGTTTAAATGGGCGTTTTCGTCCTTTAGAACGGTTCTGCAATGTTCTTGGCGTTGGGACCTTTTTGGTGTATTCTCTGATGCAGGTAGATTGCGGTAGTGTAGCAGGAGCGGCGTCCAGGAAGGGGGGTGGGGTCAGAATATGTGACGTGATGAAGAACAAAAGAAGAATTGTGAAATGATGGAAATTGAAGAGGCGCGGACGAAGCAGAACGTTCGTGGGCGCGGTTTCGGTCATCGCCGCCATCGTTCAGGACTTGCAAGTTGAACGACCATATCATGATTCACTGCATGTCAGGGTGTGGCCAACCAGCACCGTGACCCATAACGCAAAAAAAGTAAAGCAAAGATGGCAAATCCATGGTATGCACCTCAACTTTCTATCATTGGACACTACAAGCATCACAGTGTCAATACATGTCGATGAGGATGCAGACGGTACGGGTAATGCTCACATTGATAATAACGTTAATTGTTCAGACGCGACTGGGAATACAAAGTAGAACACGGACATTGAGGGTGGAGTGTGTAAGCGCAAGAAGATGCGGGGAGGGTGCGGACTCACTCTTTTCTCACAAGCGCGAGCGCGGGGTTCGGCATCGTCACGGCTCACGGGCACCACGACAGCCATTCGCGTTGGAGAAAGATGTCCGAGGAAGAGTGTCGCAGGAGGCCAGAAGGACGACGGCAAAAGTATATGTATACCTGTGCTATTCATGACTCGTGTACTGCTGTATTGATACCACTTCATCTTTGGTCTCTGTCTTATGTATCTATCTACTCCAACCTCGCCCTTTCGGACTTTCCCCATAGCCAGCATGGCGAGGCTCTCCGGCGTCTCCATGCACAGCTGAACAGTGTCCTCTGACTCCTTTAACATGGCTCGCATGACCTCCCGGTCAGACAAAGACTTGGAGGTCTTGGTGAAGATCCTCGACAGAGTGCGCTGAAAGTCGTCGTGCTCGATGTACTGATCCTCAAAAGAGAACGAGTACTCGGCATCCTCCATCACCTCCTGGAACCACAGCCCACAGAAGTCGTCCGTGGTGAGGCTCACCGGTTCCTGCCCTTCCCCCCCATCTGGGGTGCCCCTGCTGCGTCCATCCGGGCCGACCTGCCGCTCTCTCGAGGGGAGCCAAGCTGAGCTTCCTCGTCCTCAAACGGCACACCAGTGAAGATGTCCCGCAAGATGTCGGTGAGGGTATTCGCCTGATAGTTCTTTTCGAGGACAGGATCGGGCTGAGCAGAGAGAGGGATTGATTGCTGCTTGCGCAACTCGATGCTCTCCGCCTTCTGCTTGCCACCCTGTGCCACCGCCTGCTTTCTAGCATTCGGTAACAACACTGCAACAGCAGGTAAAGTATGGAAAACAGATTTGGCAGGGAGGCCAGGGAACCAAGTACAGCCAATGGAGCGGCTGCTCTTCCTCAACGGCTCAGGACCCCGGAAATGTCGCTTGAGCCGGAAGCGGAAGAGTTACCGGTGGAGTTAATCGTCGATAGCCAAGTCCGACTGGCTAATGAGGGCACCCGCAGTGGGCAACGCAGTGTCGCGGTGGGCAAGCTCCATGTCGCTGATAGCGATTTGGAGATGGTCGAATGAAAGGGATGCAGAGGTGGCCCAGAGTTGATTGCACCAGGCATGGTGGCGCGTAGGCAGGGCATACAAGAGTTGGAAGACGAGCATCTTCTCCCAGTCCATCTCGAGCTGACTGAGACGGTCATGTTTCTGCCAAAGAGTCTCCATGTGGTCGAGGAGATCACCAGACTCGGAGGGGAGGAAAGAGATAAAATCCCGGACCTGCAAGTGCAGGTACTGGGGCCCAGTGGTCCCATAAACTCCGTGGAGGGCAGAGTAAATGCGGTATGTTTTGTGGGAGGTCTTGTCATCGACGATATGGGCATAGCTCTCATTCCGGGAGCGGGAGAGACACTGAGAGACACTGGAGGATGGCGGCAGAGTCCGAAGATGGAGTCGGCATGCTAGAACCTGGTTACATTGTCATGTCAGATATGATAGCAGAAGACGATAGTTTCGGCGAGAAACAGACTCACCCTTGGCCTTCTTGTCAGTTTTGTAATGACCGGAGCTCCCTCTTTCCCCCCTTCATCCTCGCGCTCTAGCTCAGAGGTGATTTCTGGGATCTCTTCGGGCCTGTCAGCAGCGACAAGGGCAGCAGACGTGGAGAAAGGTATCGCACACTGGTGGAGGTCGCCCACGAGGGGCGCGTCAAGGACTACGTGGTGATTGTGGGTACGAAGCTGGGCAAGAGCGGAGGTAATGACCCAGGGGCAGTCGACCGGAACCTTGTTAACAGCGAACAGATTGCGGCTAAGCCGGGGGACAACCATGACGTTCGGGAAAGTTATTCCTCCCAGAGACAGATTTTGGTACAAGGTGGATGCCCCAGGTTCTCGCGTGCTCCTCCTCCGAGGCAGGAGAGTCTCTCGGGATTGTAGGGCCAGAGAGGATGGGGACGACAGGGGTACGACGAGTCTGAATGCGGTGCGTGCCGAACTGGGGATGGGAAGGTAGGAACTCTGCTGCCTTCTGTGGCCCCTTCTTCCTGGCACTCTTGGGTACGGCTGTTAAAGAACGCCATGTCTTCCTCGGGACAGTTGGCGTAGCGCAGTCTGTTGAGTGCATCGACGTGGATAGCCCTGCCGGAGAGGGCAAAAATGGTCAGCGAGGCAAGTCATGCAGGACGAGATATGGTTCGACTCACTTTCAATGTTGAAGTCTACCGAGGAGGGTACGTCGTCGGGAAGATATTGCAGAGAGTGGAAGCTCGCCTCGTAGTGGGCTTCCTCGTCTTCTGACAGCGGGTCCAGGCTGGGGCCACGGACGACAACTTTAGGCCAAGGGCGACGAAGGTGCCCCGTGCCGTCCAGGATGGCAGGGACGACGAGCTCCCCGAGGTCGGAGCCCGGGGGGAAGGTTTCGCCAGCATACTGTTGGCCAGAAGTGGTCAATTAGTTGGACGGAAGAACATACGTTGTGAACTCACATCACTCCCACGGTTCGCAAACATGAATACTTTCGATCGGAACTCCAACTTGTTCCCGTAGACACTAATGCCGTTGAACGTATGATTGATCTTCCCACGTGTCTGACAGCTTGGGTATGGTTTGCAGTGATCTGTCTCTCTTGCCTGATGGCTTTCTGATCGTTGGTGGTGCATCCTACGGTGATGAAATCATGCTGGACATTGATGCCGAACTCGATCCTCTTTGAATCTTATCAGTGATTCAATATGATGATGGCTGCTGGAACTTACTGTGATCTCGTAGGGCGAGGGGGCGCCGTCGTTGACCTCTGCCGCAAAGGCGTCGAGGACCGATCTGTATGCCTTGACGAGGTTGTCAAGGCCAGTGGGGTTGGAACAAACCGCGAGGGAACAAACCGCGAGGGAACATGTCGCGGCGGCGATGCTGCGAGGCCAGCGGCCGATGTAAAAGGACAGGGAAGCGTGGGGTCAACATGAGGGCGAGTGATATGAAGACTCCCCTGGGCCGCCATCATTGTTGCAAGGTTGTATAGGTAAGAGTGTCCAAGAACCACCGGTCGAAGTCGTACCCGGCAGCCTTGATCTCCGCGAACCTCTGCTTGCGGGACGCCATGAATTCGGTGACAGGATTAGAGCCCTGGGCTGAGAGTGGAGGGCCTGGACAGACTTCCACAGGTCGTAGGATGATCGAGTACCGTAATCGGCCTCAAGCTTGAGCCAGAGGGTGCGGGCGGCTCGGGAAGGGTGGTCGACGATGATAGACTCGAATAGAGAGGCGAGATTGGGGCTAAGTGAGCCCACGAGAGCAAGAGCAAGGGTGGCATCGAGGTGGCTCCAGATCTCTACAGAGAGGGATGTGGCGGGGAGAGTGGTGCCCAAGAGGTGGGAGGTAGAGTTCTCTCGACCAGGGGAGAAAGTTGGAGGCGCCGGTGAGAGGGGGCACCGAGGAGACGGCATCCCTAAGGTGGGTGGCCCACCGATCACAGGCGTTCCAGGTGGATAGGAGAGAGGCGAAAGAAGACGTATGGAAATCTACTATGGAATACTCGGCGGGGGCAATCCAGCCTCCAGCGTGGACGTCCGGAGGCCATCTCCGCAATCCTTTCTTCCACAGCAATCATCGAGACTTTGCCGCATGATGCGATTTGCTCCCGTCCGGTTTGTTTACAAAAACAACAACGATGCGGAGGTGCCCGCCGATGAGAGCGAGTAGACCGAGAGTTCGGGCTCGGAGATGGATGTGTTTGCGCGATTTTTCGAGTTGGCGGTGGAGGGGGGTGTCGGTGGCGGGTAGGCATCGCCGAGGTGGAGAGGGAGCGGCAAGGGAGCCGAGGGGAAGTAGCGATGTATGCCGCCGATGCACCACCGAACAGTAACACTAACGCCGCCGCCGGCAGCGCTTGGATTGCTCAGCCGATGACACAGACCCAGACTCATTTATCATCCATTTCTCATCCACTTCTCATCTTCTGTTTGCTTTATAATCAGCCTTTTTCTTGTGTTTTGCCCCTCTCCCATCTGCATGTCCACCCCTCCCTCAACCACACCCACCGCAAACAACTCTGCTCCCATCTCACGCACCCCCAGCCTCGCAGCTCCCATGGCCACAAACACCTACCCCGCAGGGCCCTCCGCCCCGGAACCGTACGCACCCAACTCGGAAGAGTATGCCGAGGAAGAGCGCATTCGCTCGCGCGCTGGTACAGGCCAGAGCGCATCAGGGCGCACGCTCAATAATAGCTCGGCGGAGGGGTCGTCAGGGGAGAAGATTGCTTATGGATCGAGCAAGGCAGAGGCTGCAAACAATTCAGGGCCGGCGAATGGCGCTGGTGCGCCAGGTGGGAAGGGACCCAGAAAGTTTGCGCACAACTGTGAGTCTTGTCTGGCTCGCCCCTGTATGGGGTTCCGCTGACATTCCCAGTCTGGGACCCCGAAATGGCAAAATTCAGAGGTATCGCCTTCAAGATTCTCGGCATGACTGTTGTCATAACAACACTCGTGGTCTGGCTATGTCTGCCCGTCTATTGGGGTTCTTGTAAGTATCTCTTGACGCTAGAGCGTACACTCCCTGACTTGTTATAGTGTGGAAGGCAAACAAGTACACCGACAAGCTCACCGTTCGTATCATCAATCGCGACTCCGGCACCGTCGGCAGCAACATCACCGACACCCTCCTCGCCCAAAAGAACCTCCGCTACTTTGAGACCTCCGCCTCTGAATTCCCCACGAACGATCTTGTCGCAAACGATGTCGTCGAAGAAGGTGTCTGGGCGGCGATCGTCATTAGTGAAGGAGTGTCTGACGGGCTTGTGTCGGCGAGGGAGAATGGGCTGGCGAGCTGGAATGGGTCGAATGCGATCGAGGTGTTTTATGCGCAAGGCCGACAGGAGATGGCGATCAATACCTACATGCTGCCCTATATCCAGGCGTCCCTCTCCCAGATCTGTTCTCAGATGAACGCTCAAGACACTGCTGCATAGTAAGTCCCTTGATCATACGAAAGATCCTACATTAACAGGTGTATAGCTTGCAAGCCAACGCAAACAATGCCACCGCTATCGGACTCCTCGCTCAGGCCCCGACTACACTCACCAACGGCGTCTGGTACACCCTCAACAACCTGCGTCCATACAACCAGCCCGTCGCTACCGCCATCACCTTGGTCGGCCTTATCTACATGCTCATCTTGTCCTTCATCATGACCATGACCAACAATGCCGTCCGTGAAATTATGTACGCCCCTCCATCTCCTGCCCATCCCAAGCTAATGCCATGTCAGCGCGCCCTTCCTCAAGACCCGGTCGTACATCATGTACCGCCTCATCACCCCCCTCTGCCTCTACCTCGTCATCTCCTTCTTCTTCGTGATGGTCAACCTTCCTTTCAAAGTCCACTTTGACGCCCACTACACCTACGCCGGTGGCTTCTTCCTTTGGTGGTTCTCCTTATACCTTGGCATGTGTTCTGTCGGGCTCGCGACGGAGGCTGCCATCACGGTGCTGGGGCCAAAATTTATGGCATTCTTCTTGATCCCGATTATTATCGTGAATGTGTCGGTGTGCTCGTTGCCGCATGAGCTGCAGCCTTGGATTTATAGGTATGGCGTTGCTATGCCTTTCTACAACTGCAACCGTATCGTCCGAACTGTGAGCCCCCCCTTTTCCCTTCGACTTCGATGAAAGACCCAATTCTGACATGCAAAAAAAAACAGATCATCTTCAACACCAAAAACGACATCGGCATGAACCTCGGTATCCTCATCGCCTGGATCGTCGTTTCCTTCATCACCATCTCTCTCGGGACGTGGCTGTTCAGGAGACGGTCTGTGAATCAGCATAATAAGGAACTGGGTGAGAGTGAGTTTGATTAGGGGATGTTTTGATCTGATTTCTTGAGGGGTATCTTTTCATAGATTGTAGGGAGAGAGAGGAGGGAGGAGCTTTTGTACTGCTCGTACGGTGCAGTACGTTAATATCTATGGCTTTATAGAGTGTTTATAATGAGTATCCAGTTGGTATGGATGATCAAATAATTTGGTATCTTCCTGTAATAGCGGTATATGGTTGAGCCAGGTATATAGTGACCGTTTTACCTCCCCAGCCCAAACAGTAACATGTGTATATGTGGTATTTGTGACTATCGATCAACTACGGCGATACGATGAGTGTACTACTATAACAGGATCCAGCCATCAGTCCCCGCTTTGCATGTACTCGTATCTCGTCCTGCGAGACCGATTCTGACCGAAAGACACTTCGCCAACGATGCCGCCCACGTTTTGGCTGATGATAGGCCCATCGTCGGAACCCCGAGCACCGAGGTGTTTTACTTTGTTCTCGGGCTTTCCCGTAGAGTACGAGTACAGCTGGCTCTTCTGTTGTGGACACTCGGACTTGGGTGGAATGGCGTGGATGGTGGTCCTTTGGGGTCTTGTGCTGGCAAAGGGCTGACAAGAATGGACTTTTGGCGATGAACAGCTATGCAACTGATGGGACAGCTACAGATAGGCCAACAAAAAATGCTGATGCGATACCCCTGCTTTTTTGCAGCCGAAGCATACTTCGCAAGTCCTTTCTATACATCCAGTTTGCCTCAGCAGCCCCCATACTCGGTTTGAGTGATTAATATAACATGTAGCATGCAAGGGCGCGTGCATACAGATAACGTTATAAGCGACACGAGGACAGCGAGACTTCGGTCTTGTGGGGTGCTAACTTGTTGAGGCTCTCTTGTCGTTTCTTCGGTCCTGGTTGACGCCAAACCTTGTGGCCTACCTTCTCCATCTGTTCCCTCATATATAGTCTTACACCACTGGCCGACAATTCCACCCTCTTCGATCCACGCACATACCGCCATTACCACTCCACCTCCGTCATGGCGTCATCCACCACAAACAACGGCTATCCCATGCCCGTCTCTTCCCTCGAACCATACGTCCCAAACACCCAAGGAGGACACGGTGCAGACGATCAGTCCCACTCCATTGACGGGATAGAACAAAGTGATTCGGGGCGTACTTTGCATCACAACTCGAGGGGAGGGTTCTCCGACGAGAATGAACTTGGCGTCTTTGAATCAAGCAGAGCGGGCGACTTTCAATCCCCAGAGGGCAGGGCTGCCAATAGCCTGGAGTCTGCGGAGGGTACGGCTGCTGCTGCTGCCCCACAAGGACAGAAACCAATGAAGAAGTTTGTGCACAGTTGTGAGCCAGTTTTCGTCTGACGCGTACGAAGCGCTGCCGAGAGTCGAGACTGACTTCTGCCAGTCTGGGATCCCGAGATGGCTCACTTGAGAAAGATTGCGTTCAAAATCCTAGGTGGCACCGTTGTCATCACAGTAATTGTCATTTGGTTATGTCTGCCTGTTTACTGGGGTTCTTGTGAGTATCGCGCAACACATTCGTCCTGATCTGACCTATCGGCATAGTGTGGAAAGCCAACAAGTACACCGACAAGCTCACGGTCCGTATCGTCAATCGTGACTCGGGCACTGTGGGAACCACCGTCACCAGCACTCTCCTCAACCTCACCAACCTGAACTACTTTACCACTCCCGCCTCCGAGTTTGTCACCGATGAAGATGTGGCGAATGATGTGATCGAGGAAGGTGTCTGGGCCGCCATCGTCATTAATGAGGGTGTCTCTGACCGGCTCGTATCGGCGAGACAGAATGGATTGTCCACCTGGAACGGGTCAGATGCGATTAAGGTGTACTATGCGCAAGGACGTCAGGAGACAGCGATTGGCAGCTACATGTTGCCCTACATCCAGTCCACTCTGACCCAGCTCTGTGCCAAGATGAACGCACAGAGCAGTGCTCAATAGTGAGGGACTCTTTCCTAGAGAAGACGGTGATTGACTTGAGACATAGCTTTCAAGCAAACGCGAACAATGCCACTGCTATCAGTCTAGTTGCCCAAGCCCCAGCTACACTCACCAACGGCGTGTGGTTCACCCTCAACAACCTGCGTCCATATAACCAGCCCGTCGCTACCGCCATCACCTTGGTCGGCCTCATCTACATGCTCATCTTGTCCTTCATCATGACCATGACCAACAATGCCGTTCGAGAGATCATGCAAGTCTCTCATCTCTTTCTCGCTCTGGAAACTGACACAGTCACAGCGCACCCTTCCTCAAGACCCGCTCTTACATCATCTACCGCCTCGTCACCCCTATCTGCCTCTACCTCTACATCTCGTTCATCTTTGTGATGGTCAACCTTCCTTTCAAGGTCCATTTCGACGCCCATTTCACCTATTCCGGTGGCTTCTTTCTTTGGTGGATTGCCTTCTTCCTCGGCATGTGCTCGGTCGGGTTGGCGGCCGAGGCTGCCATCACCGTCTTGGGGCCACAATTTATGGCCTTCTTCTTAGTCCCTCTCATCGTTGTCAATGTGTCGGTCTGTTCGCTACCGCATGAGCTGCAGCCTTGGATATTCAAGTATGGTCTCGCCATGCCGTTCTACAACTGCAATCGTATCGTACGAACTGTAAGTATCTACCAACTATCCTTGCTCGCGGAAAGCTCATATATGGGGTGATAGATCATTTTCAACACCAAGAATGATATCGGGATGAACATTGGCATCCTCATCGCCTGGACGGCTGTCTCATTTCTTACCATCACGCTGGGAACGTGGGTGTATAGAAGAAAGTCGGTGAATCAGCACAACAAGGAAGTGGGCGAGAATGAGACGAATGGTTTGACCCAGGCCTAGAGAGCGTCTCGCGGGGGGTGTGGGGAAGGAATGAGTGTCGTCTGACCGCCATATAATTCGCATATTACCTGTCTAGCCCAGAGAGTTCGATCCTGCGTCAGTCGCCGTTAACAGTCGTGGTACAATCAATGCACTGAGCGATGTCTCTATACAACTCGTAACAACTCTGCCCCAGGCCGATAGGGTGATGCACAATGCCCATATTCATGATATCATATTTACATGTCGACTTTCCTCATCTTGTACCCTACTGAAGAGGGCTTTCTATTCTCCCTGAACAAGGACGAACCCGCCGACGATGGCGAGGACGGCGTACTTTAGTTGCGGGAAATCGTTCTACGCACGCAATCGTCAGCTTCTATACATCTCATACATATCCCTATCACTCCCTTCTCCACAGCCTTCGCAAAGAACGGAAAGGGACATACCATAGCAATAGTCACATACCCCACATACGGCAAGAACCCCCTCACCTTCCCTACGATCTGCTCCCTCTCAATCCACTCTGCTCCATTGTAGAGCACGATATCGTCTGATGGATTGTTGTCGCCTTTGGTGAGCAGGCGTTGGGTGGTGTTGGTGGAATGTGATTCGATAACGCGGTGGACGATGGGGATGTCTGCTCCTGGTCTACGATTGGTTGGGAGTGTCAGTTGGGGAACTATCGATAATTGGGGAGGGGGGGACGTACATTTTGTAGACAGTGATATCCCCTACTTCATACGGCACGTCCTCGGGATTGGTCAGAAACAAGATATCGCCACGGTAGAATGCAGGTTCCATTGATCCCCTGGGCAACAAACACATTAGCACGTGTCTCTACTTTCTGCCCCCCCTCCTCGGTTCTTCTTTCTTCGTTTCCCCGACAGCAAGATCGAGGAGAGACTGGCAATCGCTGTACTCACGATAATACCACGACGATAGGACTCTCCGAATTCGTAAACAGACACAAAGACTTCCACATCATCAACCCCGAGGCAACGACATTGAGGAGTGTGAGGGCTTGGAACAGGGCCTGGTGACGGAACAAAAGTGGTTATGGAATGATAATGAGGAACATATAGTCAGCTAGGGTTGTCTAGGTGGTAGAAGAAGCAAAGACGTACCCCTTGCACACCCAATTTCCGGATCTTTGCAATCTCCGCGCTAAACATGTCTGTCCCTTCTTCCTGCTTGGTTCTTCCTGTCGAATGGAGGATATGCAGAGATATATGGGGCGATTGGTGCACCGAGAGCGGGTTCTTGCGAGGTAGACGTTGTGGAGAGATACGAAAAAGTGAACGACAGGGATGCAAGAGGTGACGCCGGTTGTCGCGGTGGCCTGCAAAGCCGACGGTTAAATTTGATCCCGTCTTCTTCCTTTCCCCATGCGATCTTGCCCGTGCTTGATGACCAACGTGCATTTGACAGGCCATCAACTAATCCAGAAGATGTAGAGTACTATACGCGACACCAATGCCACCACCGGCTAGATGTCCTCTCTCGCACGTTGGCTCGACAACCCCGGTCTATCCCTAATCGTCCTCTCCACGCGTATGTACGTGTATGCAGTACCACTTCACAATCAAAGCAAAATGATATCTGACATCGAAAAGGGCAAAAGCGAGGGGATTTTACATATATGAGGAGATAAAATCAAAACACACCAAACGCTCTTTCTCTCTCGCTCTTCAATAAACTCGATAAACTCGATAAACTCGACCCCGTGTCAATCCCAGATAGAACTCTCAGTCCTTCGCGATGTCTTTTGTTTTCCCTTGCCGTTTCCCCCTGCTCTGCTCCTCAACAATCTGAAATGTCGATCTTACATGCCCTCACTAGCGAGCTTTTCCCTCTCCGCCTCAACCCTCTACATAAACCTCCATCAGCATTCCACCCCTCTTACCCACATCAATCAAAACACAAAACAAGAAAAAGACTCACACTGTACAAGAGCGTAATGGCGCTCTGGATATTCTCAGGGTACCCCGTGATCACCACCAGCCTTTCTTCGGGGTTTGCAGGAGGACCGTCTGGCAGGGTAGATCCTGGGTCGGTGACGCGGATTTGGCAGGCGGATTGGGTTCGGATTTCGTTGATTTTGGCTCCCGCCCGGCCGATGACTACCTTACGTCAGCCAAGGACATCGAAGAAAGGAGAAGGAGAAGGAGAAGGAGAAGGAGAAGGAGAAGGAGAAGGAGAAGGAGAAGGAGAAGGAGAAGGAGAAGGAGAAGGAGAAGGAGAAGGAGAAGGAGAAGGAGAAGGAGAAGGTGGGAATAAAGATCTGCTGTTGCTGCATCCCCGGAGGAGGCGGCGCACAAGGAGAAGGAGAAGGAGAAGGAGAAGGAGAAGGAGAGGAGAAGGAGAAGGAGAAGGAGAAGGAGAAGGAGAAGGAGAAGGAGAAGGAGAAGGAGAAGGAGAAGGAGAAGGAGAAGGAGAAGGAGAAGGAGAAGGAGAAGGAGAAGGAGAAGGAGAAGGAGAAGGAGAAGGAGAAGGACGTACTGGCACCGACAAAGGCGTTGGGAATAAAGATCTGCTGTTGCTGCATCCCCGGAGGAGGCGGCGCACTCGGGCTAAACGCCGGGGGCGGTCCCCTCCGTTCCCGCTCGCCCCCACTCGACTGTCGATACGACCCCCCGCCCTGCGCGGGAAACTTTTCCTGATACTCCAACAAGATCGTGCCGATATAGTACACCGCGATATGCACCGCATCCGCCACCCCGCTCACCGACAAGACCCGCTCCGTGCTCCCCGGCAACATCGCTTCAGAAGCGTTCAGACGCGCGCCCGAGGCTTCTTGGATTTCCTTGATTTTGGACCCGCCTTTGCCGATGACGGAGCCCATGCGCGAGTTGGGGATGATGAATTTGATGGTGACGGCGCGGGAGCCGGGGACGGAGGGGACGTCGAAGGGTTCGTCGTTGATGCGGCGGACGATGAGGCCGAAGGCTTTGGCGACGGCGTCGAGGGGGCCAGATACGTTCAGGATGCGTTCGGGGTTGCCGGGGATGGATTCGGAGACGGTCACTCGGGCAGAGGACTTGTCCTGTTTTGCGTCAGCCATACAATCCTTTCTTTTTGTGGGGATAAGCTTACCCGGATTTCGTTGACGTGAGCACCTCCGCGGCCGATGATGATACTAGCATCCTGCGTCACGATGAGGGAACGCATAGAGATTTGTTGGGGGCCGGGGTCGGCCTTGGAAGAGGAGGAGGGGGCGGGGAGGGAGGATTCGGAAGTGGGTTGGGTGGATCTGGGATGGCGTCAGCGCTGGATCCCTTTGTACACCTTCCGTCCGCTTTACATGACCACGGGCAGGGCACAGGCAGGGCATGTTTGCGCAAAAGCGGTACGTTTGTTTGTGTGGTGATCCACGCTCCACGCTGCTCGCTGCCCGGCTCCGCCCGTTCCACCACACCTCGCTCTTTGCCCGCGTGAACCATGATACACGCCGCGAACGCAGGGAATTGGCCATACGCGTACAGCCAATTCCCAAGCCCCGCGGCATCTGGCTCACACTATCCACCCGCCCCTCCTGATTCCAATACTCACTCCATATCAACGTCAGACATCTTGCCGTTCTCTCTGGTCTCTCGTGATCGTTCTGTGCCTTCGTCCGTCTTGACTCTCTTCGAGTCTGTGTGCTGGTCCTGGTGTGCTGGGGAGGCGGGGCGCTTTGCGTTTGCGGTGGCTGCTGCTGCTGAGGGGGATGCTTCGGCTGGTATTTGAGGCGCGGGGGTTGTCTCGCGGGAGGGGTTGGTTGACATTTGCTGTGGTGGTGGGGAGCTGAAAGGAGCGGGCATCAACAAGGGGAAGAGTAGGCGGCGATATGCGGCGATAGCCGTGTGGCAGGCGCGTGTCATCTCGCGTAGGGGGCAGTATTGCATGCATCTGGGAGTGTTGAGCGCTATGCATCCCCCGCCCAGCCCAGTCCATAGCATGCCCCGTACTCGCCCGCCCCATGCATCCTCTGCCCCCTCGCTGCCCGCCGCCCGGTGCCCCGGTGCCCCCCCTGCGCTGTCCCCCTGGTAGGTATCCCCTATGAATGCTTCCGCAGAGCCCTCCATCCCCTCCCGAGCCAGTCCACGCGTCGCTCCGTTCCTCTTTCTTTCCCATCCCCATCTCTTTCTACCCCGTGCACCCTCCCCCCACGGCAGAAAGAGCATCCCCCCGCCTGCCACTGTCCTATATCCTCTATATCCCCACTCCCTCCGCCCACCAGCCTGCATCCCCCGACCCCCGCCTACTTATCTTGCCATTTTTTTCCTCCCGCGCCACCCCGTTTCTCCATCCGCCCCTCCATCCATCCGCCTTCCCCCATCCCTTGGCCGCTATCACTCAACATTACCTTCCAGCCTGATTCCCTCCACATATTTTTTGTGAACCACCATGCCTCTCCTCAAACGCAAACCCGTCCACCTCCCCCCGCTCCCCTCCCTCTCCGCAGTCCTCCAACCGATCCCCAACCCGGCTTACCCCGTGCCCGACCCCCTCGCCCTCCCCGACCCCACCCATCCCCTTCCACCACCCATGCCCAGCCTGACGCAAGACCAGCTGCAAGCCTACATCCCCGGCGACGCGTCCGAAGAGCGCGAGCAGCTCGAAAAGCTCACGGCCGTATTCCGTGGCGAGTTTACAGGCGGCACGGTCAACATGGGGAATAAAGCCAAGAAGGGTAAGGCGGCGGCGGAGAAGGCGCAGGCTGTTTATGCTGGGATGCCGGGGGTGCCGAGGCAGGATGTGAATGGGCAGGTGCCGGAGCAGGATAGGATGTCGTTTGTGGCGTGGAAGATACATGATAGAGATACCTTCTATATTGAAGAAACTGGAGAAATCTTTACAGACTACGAGTATGTCCCCTTTCTCTCTCTTGGGGCTGATGCTGACTCTTGGACAGATCGTATGCCGCTCGAAGAGCATTCTACGACCAACCGATATTCGTAGACGAAGGTCCGTACACCCCCTACTCGTCCTTTCCCCCCTGCTCACTCGTGCAGTCACCGGCAAATCATCCATGGGCTACCTCGAAGCACTCCGCTCCGAGCAAAAAGAGATCCGCCAACTCCACTCTCGTTTCCCCAAACAGCTCAAACGCGCCATTTTGCAGGCTGTGCAGTTTAGGGTCGAAGGCAAGTTGGAGGTGTTGGCTGATAAGATCTTTGAGCGGTTCCAGAACAGATTCTTTTTGAATGAACGTGAGTCCTTCTCATCTCTAGGTGGGATGGAGGCTGATGGGTGTAGGCCTGTTTGTGGATCTCGAGAACGAAAAGTACCTCGCCAGGATCATCCAAGTCCACCCTCCCCCCTTTCAGTCCGAATCCGAATCCGAACCCACCGACCCGCACGCCCACGCTACCAACCTCTCCACAGAGCAGGACGAGCTCATCCAGCAAGACGACCCTGCGCGGTACTTGTACACTGTCAAGCTTGTGGGGATGGACGAGTTTGAGGGTCGGCCTGGGACGGCGGAGGAGATTGTCCTCAGGGTTGGAGCTGATCGGCTTTCGTAAGTTTCTTTTTTCTTTTCCATCCACGGTTGGTTGGGGTGAGGAGCTGATGAGAGGATAGACGTGATAGGGTGAATTACTCGAGGGCGATCTTGAAACGATTCATACGCGACTGCGTCGAACGCGACCCCGCCGTCTACTCCCCCTGGACCCTCAAACCCACCATGGCCCAGCGCTACAGCATCTCCACCGAAATGCCCGAATCCACCCGGCTCGCCATCCATGCGTATAGAGAACAGCAAATGGGGAAGAGGAAGCGGGAGAGGGAGGAGAGGTTGGGGTTGAGTAATGGGGAAGGGATCTTGATGGATGGAGAGGAGGAGGATGAGAGGCCAAAGACGAAGAAGGAGAAGAAGGAGGAGGAGAAGAGGATGAAGGATGAGAAGAAGAGGGAGGATGATAAGAGGAGCAAGGAGGAGGAGGAGGAGAGGAAGAAGAAGAAGAACTTCAAGTTTCCCAATGAAGGTGAGTGTCCTCTGTGTTTTTTGATATGGTGAAGCTGATGGGAGTAGATTACCTGGTGGATCTATGGGAAGAAAAGGAACCGAGACTTCGCCCGGTCCCAAACAAAGACCTCCCCTTCGCCGACCAATTCGAAAAGTTCCTCACGTCCTGGTCTTTCCTCAACGTCATGGGCACCCCTCTCAACCTTTCCCCGTTCACCATCGACGAGTTTGAGAACGCCCTCAACCAGACCGACGGCCCGGCCCCCACGCTGCTCGCCGAGATCCACGCGTGTCTTTTAAATTTGCTCGTCAAAGACCGGCTCGCGGGCAACTTTACAAAGCCGCTTTCGGCTACGGGCAGGGTGATGGAGGATGACCGTGATTACTGGGAAGGTTTCAAGGGCGCTACAACAGAGCTTCTTGCGCCTGTTTGTAAAGACTTTGTGGACCAGTGGCGTTTGAGCGAGATTCCTTTGACGAAAGAAGGGAGGAAGGGATGGGAGACGGCGCTGGTGGGGGCGCTTTGGGAGAGGGCGAGTTTGGAGAGGTTGCCGCATTTCTTGGACGATATCCTTCAATTGACCTTTGAACCCAAGCCGGCGCCTACGAGGCCGACGTGGTCCACCGCCCCGTCGTCTTCTACCGGCACTTCCTCCTCTGCAGCGCTCATCGCCATCCCCATCCCCAAACTCACCGCGCCCTCCACCTCGCGCTACCCCTCCCTCGACCCGCGGCACAAACTCGACATTATCCACTTTTTCATCGAGCTCGCCGGGCAGACAGATAGAGTCCGCAGCTTCATGGAAGACTCGATTGCAGAGTTGACAGAGGTGAGGAAGGAGCAGGTGGATGTGAAGCGGGAGTGGAAGGGGGTGAGGGCGGAGAAGGATGGGCTGGAGCCGAAGGGCGAGGCTGGGGCGGAGGTTGGGGGTGGAAGTGGGGAGGCGATGGAGGTGGATGAAAAGCCCAATGGTACCAATGGGCATCTTGCCAGTGTGAACGGGGAAGAAGACCGGGATGAGCTGGAAGACGACACTTTGCCCGACGCCGACGTTGACCCCTCGCGTTCGTCCTCCGTCTCTCCTTCCGACCCGGGGCACCATGCGACGACGTCTTCTCGCCGGCTGGCTATGGCTGCCGCCAAGCAGTCCCGCGATGTGGAAGAAGCGGCGAAAAAGGAAAAGGTCAAGAAGGAAAAGGAGGAAATCCGTCTTTCCAAGGAAAAGGCCATTGAGAAGAAGCGGCTCGAGACGGAAGAGGAGGATCTTGCGCTCAAGCTCAAAAAGCTCGATTACGAGTTCCGCCGACATATCTGGTCCCTCCGTGCCAAGCCGTTAGGTATGGACCGATTCGGTAACCGTGTCTGGTGGCTTGATGCCCAAGGTTCCGCGCCGATGCTCGGGCCGGATGACAAGGTCCAGTATGGTACCGGAAGGCTCTATCTGCAGGGCGTCGAAGAGTTGGATGAAGAGTACTTTTTGAGGAATGCGAATGCTGTCCTCGAGACGGCTGGGTTGGGGACGAAGGAGGGGGTGACGAAAGTGGCTGTGGAGAGGAGGAGGAAGGATGAGGAGGGCGAGGGCCGGTTGAACAAGGGAGAATGGGGATGCTTTGATACTGTCGAGCAGGTAAGTCACCCGTGCTTGATTTTGGTTTTGCGTTGCTGATGAGGCTGGTAGGTCGAAGAATTGATGAGCTGGCTCAACCCCAAGGGTATCCGTGAAAAGGATCTCCTGAAAGCGTTGACGTTCTGGCGACCCGAGTTGGAAGCGGGCATCACCAAGCGAAGGGTCGTCCTCGGTCTCGTACGTCATATCTCATTACCCATTCTCGACTCTTGTTGACCCATGCTGCAGGAAGCCCCCGCTCAAGAAGAAGACTCGACGCCCCCTGACGAGGTCACCGTCGCCTCCGCTACCGCCCGCAACAAGCGATCTACGCGCCGAACGGCCGGCAGTGTCGTGGGGGATGAAGACGGCTCTGTGGAGGGGCAAGGGCATGGGAAGGATGCGTATTTGGGGTGGAAGAATAGGAGGGTTGGTGCTTAATCTGGTAGCCATCTTGGATTCTTGGCCCTAGCCTCTCATCTTATCCAGAGTTGGATGCCTCTTTGGGCGAGGCGATCGCAAAAGTGAAGCTTGACAGCATGAGCACGTTTCTCTCTCCTTTCTCTACCATTATATTTTTTTCTCTCGTCGTTACAGTATCTTTTATACAATGTTGAAGACTCGTGCCTCTTTTTGGAGGAGCTGATGAATAACTGGTCTCGCATTGAGTACTCGTAATGTTGACGCAAAGTTGAAGAAGGGTGCCGCAGACTTGGCAATATCGTCCGGCACTACTGTAGAGAGCTGCTTTCTGGAAAGATTGGTTCTGCGTTGCAGGGCGCGAGGGTGCAGCATACACAGCCCACTTGGACCATAGTGATGCTAGTTCACGAGAGAAGAAAGATGCATGCATATCATCGTGATGCAGTCACGTGATTGATCATACAACAGCAGCGACAGGTGAGCAAAGATGAATTCTTATTCACATCTCATTCCGATAACGTTGATACGATCAATCGAAAACGGCAATCCTAGGTACTGTCTGAGCCGGCCTCCCCATCCCAGCCCCGTCAATCTTCGAGGACTCCGCGGTTCCCTATACGCTGCATGCTGGGCCTGCCTGTCGACGGGAGTCTCACTTGACCTGGTTTGTCTCACCTGTCTCTAAACACAGGATCTCCAAACGACTGAGAGCCCTCGCTCTGGCAGGGTTCGCCCCATCTATCGTGACTTGGGCGTAGAAGGGTCGCGACGACGGATCCTCGTCTGCATCGCGCACCAAGTATCTTTGCTGGCGGTTTCTTTCCTCCCCGCGCTATGACAGAGTGAGCGGACTCTATCGTCTTTGACATAAGCTAATGAGTCTTGCAGCTATCTCTCGCTGGACATCTATGCAAGCCATGTAGTCCCCGGATCCAATGAGCCTTTGTCCATCATATCCCCTGTACGGATCGGCTTTCTGAGAATCGTTCACCACCATTCGCACCTTCATATCACGATCTTATCTCAGCATCTGATAATTGAATAGTCCGATGGTATCCTCTTGTCAGACGGGGCACAAGGAAACTCGAGAATCGACATGAGTACCGCTTTGCGCAACTTCGCTCTCGCCCTACACATGAGCCACCTCGCCTCATATCAATGTACATGGCAGATGCGACAGCCATCAAGAGGGTGCTAGCTATCATGGGGCTGAGCTACAGAAAAACAGTATCGCTCAATGACGGTGAGTTGCGAGTCACAATCGCCCAAGGCCATAAGTATCTACGTGACACCGCTGACAGCCGTCCCGCCTCCTCATGTAGTAGCGCCATCGCCTCACACCCTTCGCCTTTACATATGGCAGATATACATCAGCGCCTGGCACAGCCTGGAAGTTGGGACGGTGGTACACCGAGCTACGTTCTCGTCGACGAGGTCTTTCATCCACCCCTGCGTAATCGTCGTCGACTCGGCATGCATCGCCCTCCACTCCGCCCCCTACCCATGCTCGCCGAGGCCTGCCCTACGTGCGTACGCTCTCTGACGACAAAGTACCCTGGTTGAGGGGGTCCTTTCATCTATTGGAAGCGTCAGGTACCGCTGCTGGTGCACGCGCGCGTGACGTGAGACTTCCGCCATTTCTTGGTTTCTTGCTTGTGGCACTCTCGACAGCTTCTGCTATGCATCTCGCATCGACATGGGACTTGTACCAGCATACGGCCACAGTCATTCCGCACCTGATGGTACCAAAATCGACATGCATCGATCAGTAGGTGCATGAGCATGGCCGCAAACCGACATCCCTCTGTTCGGCGTGTGAGTTTTTGCGTGCTAGTTGAGGCGATGCTCAGGACGGCGAGCGATGCCCGCCCCATATCTCCTGGGAATTCCCATCCCCCATTTCTCTTTCTCTTTTACACAACCCACCCTCATCTATAGTGAGAACACCCCAGAACCCACAACCACAGACATCACTCAACCCCCACTCAACTCCCACCCCACCCCAAAACAAATCCACACCTCAGGATGTCTGACAACAGCGGGTTTGTCCGCCTCAATCCCGTTTCCAGGCTCTTGCTGACCGTCTCCTCCTCTCTAGTTCCCTCCCTGGCTTCCCCGGCCCTTCTCCCATTACCTACACCACTACTACCAGTGATGCCAACAACGCCCTCGGTCTCCAGCTGTTTGACAATAGCAGGTTCGTATTCCCCAGTGCCGTTTCCCAGACTCTTACTGATCGTCTCTTTCCCCAGTCTCCTCACCACCTCCTTCATCCCTTCTCCCATCATCTACAATACCACCAACAACACCCCCAGCGACGACAACGCCCTCGGTCTCAGGGTCTCTACTGTCACCTCATCTCTCAGTAGCAGTGGCGACAAGGCCAAGGCTAAGGCCAGGTCTTCCGCGCATGCCACCAACACCGACGACATCAAGGCGAGCAGCGAGGAGAAGAAGAAGCATGCCGAGGGCTTCAAGCGAAAGAGCTTGTCTTGCGAGTACTGCAAAAAGCGTCAGAGGAAGGTAAGCATTCTCGTCCCCATATCACCGTCAGAGACTGATTCAAATCTGCAGTGCGATGGAGGCGATTTCAACGCCTGCACCCTCTGTACCTACAATGGCATCGAGTGCAAGTACGTCCTCGCCAAGGGAAAGCGAGGATCCCTGAAGGCTCTGAAGAAGCTCGCCGCTATGGGTCGTGCTCCCTCCGCCGACGGCATCATCATCGGTACTCCCTCGACTTCATCTCTTGCCTCGTCTTCCGGCACGTCCTCCGTGAGCCCTGTCACCCCGATCACCCCGGCCAGGTCCACCGTCGAGCTCAGCTCCGGTCCCTCTCCTGCCAGCGTCTCCGGCGGCCTCACTTCTGGCTTCGCCACTCCCCGCATCTTCATGCCCTTCGTCCCGCCCACCCAGGCCGCGGCTCCCACCACCCAGCTTCCTGTTTCTGTTGGCGGCATCGGCATGCTGAAGGACCACCACGTTGTCGAGATGCAGCAGGCGTCATTCGACAACGAGTTCGATTCATGCTGCTCTGTCCTTGCTGCTGCTCCTGCCAGCGAGTCAACAGCTCCTTACCACCCTCCTACTCCGCGTACCACCCCAGTCAAGCCTACCTACATACCACCTGTCGACGTCTCCCCCGTCCAGGCTCCACACTTCTCACTCAACAACACCTTGGTGCCCTCTGCCCTGCCCCCGGTGGTCGCCTCTCAGCCCCAGCTTCCTACTGTCACGGGCCAATGTCTTTCTGAGAGTGAGAGGCTTGCGTTTGACGAGCTGGTCATGGAATTGGATCTGGGTGATGATATCTTCTTCGCTCCCGTCGAAGTTCCCTGCAGCGTCGCTACCATTGCCCCTCTCCCCACTCCAGACACTACCCCGGTGATGCCTACCGTTGAGATGTCTGCCGTCAGCGACCCTGCCGACCTCACCCCTATCAACTTCGCCTACTCCGGCTTCTTGGCCCCCGACAACGCACCTTGGTTTGGCGCACCTCAAACCCAGGTCGGAAACGAGGCTGTTGTGGGGAACGAGAGCGTTGGCTGGGGCATGTGTGGTACGGAGGAGATGGAGATGAGCGATGCGGGTTCTTGGGGAGCTATCGAGTCTCCATTCAACACCACGCCCTTCGGTGACTCTTTCACCCCGGTGGCGGATGAGGTTGCAGACAGCGGTACGCGGGGATTGTGGAACTGAGAGTAGGATTTCTGAAGGAACAATCGGTCGAGCAGCGTATACACTGCTTCTTCCACGAACATCCATTTAGAGATAAAGGACATTGGTTTGCGTCATTATTATAATCAAGATAAGAGTAGTCTAGCCATTTGAGATAGTGTTTGTGATGTAGCATAGCATAGCGTAGTAGTAAGGACTATGGTTCGCGTCGTGGGCTTCGATTTTGATCTCTTCCAGTTGTTCGTCATCATTAATACAATTGTGGATATGAATCCCGTAACTCGATACCCTCACATGGCCTCACTCCCCGCTTCCCCAGCCCCCAGGCTTTCATGCCCTCTGTCCGGACTACCCAGGTTCAGCCTCCTGTCAGCCAGCTCCCTTCTGCTGTCGACTCCAACGGCCTGTTACTAGGCTGGCAGAGGGGCCGGTCGATGCTTCTCAAACTCTGCTGCTGCCCCTGCTGGGAGCGAGTTTGTCCCATACTAGCCTCTTACGCCCCCCACCACCCCGGTCAAGCCTACCTGTGTCTACGTCCGTCCTACCGACGTCTCCCCCGTCCAGGCTCCTCCCGCCTTTTCACTTCCCAACGCCTCGGTGCCGGTGCCGTCTACCCTGCCTGCTGCCATGGTCATGGACGTCACTCAACCTCATCCCCAGCTGCTTGCTTTCGACCCCCAAACGCTCTCTGAGAGCCAGAGGGTGGAATTGGAACAGCTCGCGATGGAGATGGTGTTTGGTAAAGGGTCTTTCTCTGCGGCCCCCAAGGCACTTGCTCCCCTTCCGACTCCAGACACTACCCCAGTCAAGTCTACCGTCGAGATGTCTGTCATCACCCACCCCGCCGACCCTACTACTATCAACTTGTCCTACGCCGACTTCTCGGAGGCCCAACCCACCCTTTGGGTCAGCGCACCTCAGAACCAGGTCGAGGACGGGGCTGTCGCAGAGGATGAGGAGGATGTTGACTGGGGGATGTATGTCAATATGGAGGAGATGGAGGAGGTGGTGTAGACGCCCTCTTCCATAGATATTCATTGATTTAGAGATAGAGGACATTGGTTTCGAGTTGAGAGTAGTCTGACCTATTTGAGATAGTGTTGTGATATAGCATAGAGTACTCTGGACTATGGCTCGTGATAGCATAGAGTACTCTGGTCCGCGTCGTGGTTTCCGATTTTGATCTCTTTCTAGTTGTCCATCATCATTAATATAATTGTGGATATGAATCCCCGAAACTCGTTCTGCCAAAACATCAGTGTTGATCGGTATCCTCGGCGTGCGCGGACGATGGTCAGCCGTCCAGCTACTCTCGAGATAAATGAGGATGTGCGAGGCTGCCTTTCTGTGATGTTTTCGTCCAGCAGAGCTGATATGCCCGTCTGAGCTCATAACAAAAGTGTTCCCACCAGCACGATCTTTACCACCAGCCTCCACCGCTCCAACATACACGCCTACCACTCGGATCCAACACTTCCAAAAGCCTGCGTCTGGCATATGAATACAGACAATCCATGCCAGAATGTATATTTAGTCCTTTATCCCTTAATCCATCCTTGCGTAATCTCCTGGTGCCCACATGTCGGATGCACCATCCCTTCGTCCCCCATCCCGTCATCCCGAAAATTCCTTATTCCTCGTCCTCCTCGGCATCGGCACCAGCACCAGCAGGCTGCTGCTTTTTGAAGAATGATTGCCGGATCTCTTCTCTTTGTGGGCGAGGAAGCCATTTACGGTCCACCCCAGTGAACGACTATTCCAACCATCAGCTCCATTCAACCCAAATTCAAACTCTGCCCGCGCGTAACGCGTGAAAATGGACCAAAACTCACCCCACCAGCAGCACTAAAAGTCCCCAGAAGCGCCGCCATACCCGCACAAGCTCCGACAGCTACCGGCAAGCTCTTGTGCTGCACGCCGGCTATGAAGCCGGCTGCACATCCGCCGGCGGCTGCGTTGAGGGCGTCGTCGGTTTCGCGCTGGTTGGCGGTGAAGGAGGTAAAGTAGGAGTATGAGAAACCCATGGTAGCTAGCAGAGGGCATGTTTTAGTGGGCGAATGGGGGATATAGAGTAAGGAGGCGTACCGAAGAGGGTGATGGTGCTTCCTGTTCGGGTAAAGACACCGAGGGCACCAGCGTTGTGTCTAGATGCTTATCAGCTCCCGCTCGTCCATACAGACCTTCTCTCTTCCAGCTCGAGTACATCCCCCTACTCACTTTTGCAAAGCATTCTGTACGGCACTGACTAACAGACCGACACCCGCACTCTGGAGGGTGACCTTGGTAGCAGACGCGAGAGCCGGGTGGGGGTGGAAGGTGTGTTCCTCATGGACGGAGGGGACGAAGTATGCGCTGGATATTGAGCGGGCGGGGAGCGGGGGCAGGAGGGGGTGGGCTGAGGAGGACATGGCGGGTGCTGGAGGGTCTCTGCTGTACTAATGGCCCTTGCTGTATTGGCTGAGCTGCAAGAGGAGGGCGGGAATAAAAACGGCGAAGGATGTGTGGCAGTGGCGGTCGCCGGGTGGAGGTGTTACATAACGGGACTGACGCACGAAGATGCAACGACGGCGGGTGGTCGCGAACCGGAGCGTGCAGTCTGAGGAGTATCAAGGTATAGCACGTTCACAGAGTCAGTATACCGCCACAGACACTCTGCAATCCATCTCCAACTTGACCCACTGCCTCGCCCCAATTGCATCCCACAATGAGGCAAGTCCACCATGGCCCGACCGGTCTCTGATTACACGTATTCTCAGGCTGACTTGGGATTCGCCGCTGTAGCTCCCCAAAGCGCCGTGTTGATACAGATGTCATGAAACTGTAAGCAGCCATCGTTCTGAGCGCTCGAGACTGCCCTACAACCCCAAAGAAACCACTCTGACGACTTGCCATTTGCCACCTTGCGCCCCGCTGTTGCCAATCTCCAGCCTCATGTCCGACTACGAAGTCACCCTAGTCAACAACAAGATGTCTGAATTCTATGTCCTCTTCCACGGCCCCACAGAAAGTACGCCCCCCTCCCTCCGCCGCATGAGCAACATCATGCTGCTCCTCTTGCCACCCGATTCACCGTGCCCCGGCTAACTTGTACGCGCAGCTCCGTTCGAAGGCGGGGTCTGGAAGATCCACGTAGAGCTCCCCGAACAGTTCCCGTACAAGTCGCCCAGTATCGGGTTTATGAACAAGATCTTTCATCCTAATATTGATGAGATGTGGGTGGGCTGGATGACCGTCGGCCCCAATAGACCGATAGGCGCAGAGCTGATCTTGGTGTAGGAGTGGAAGTGTTTGTCTGGATGTGATTAACCAAACGTGGTCGCCGATGTTTGGTAAGCCACCACACATTCTCTACCCCGTGCGCGACCAACTCTTTTTGCAGAACTCATCAACATTTTTGAAATCTTCCTTCCCCAACTCCTTCGCTACCCGAACGCCGCCGATCCCCTCAACGGCGAAGCCGCCTCCCTCCTAATGCGCGACCCCAAAGGCTATGCCCGTAAAGTCGAATCCTACGTCGAACGCTACGCTTCGGCCCAAGACGCCGATGAAGCTGGGGAAGAAGATTCGGAAGATGAGGATGAGGGTCTACCGCGGCCGAAAGCCAAGGCGAATGGGACGGATGGAACAGCTGGGTCGGGGACGGGGACGAATGGGCATGCGAATGGGAAGGGGGGTGGGAATGCGGAGGAGGAGGAGGAGGAAGAGGATGATGATGACAAGATGAGTGATATGGGAGAGTTTAGTGAGGACGAAGATGATATTATGGGCAAGATGGACAGCGACTAGATGACTAGACTCCCATCCCTCTTCCCTTCCCTTCCTCACAGATCTTTGTCCTATAGCATATCCCCCTCAACATCATCTTCACCCGCCAGCTTCATTCCCTGTCCCCTTTGGCATATACCCTTAGTCTGGCATCTGCCCAGAAGTAATCCTCCAAATGTTGTATGAATTGGTCAGTAACACATTTCACCCCTCGGCCTCGGGTCCGGGTACCCTCATGGAAGACGGAAAGTACACATGACCGAGTCTGCCTTTGCCACCAGTGTGAATTAATCAATACTCGTGAGCGCCACTCCACCCCTCCTCTCCGGTCCTCTGATCTACTGGCAAAGCTGACTTTTGCGCGGTTAGCGAAGTGTAATCGACGTACAGCCTCCCTCCTCCCCAAGTCACACTCCATTGTCGCCACCTGCTCACAAAACCACCCTTTCAGGGTAGTCCACATCCCTACCCAAAGGCACTTTGGCAACTATTCTCGCGTCAAAGGATAGTACTTCTTTCTGCGGCAGGCGGATGGCCGAATGCAGGCGGCTTACAGTGGATAGGGAAGGCTGACAAAGGATCGATCGTTCTGCCTCTCTCGATGTGCTGATGGGGGTGGAGGGTGGCTTTGGAGGATGGAGCGGGGTTATGGTGATGGGAATTTGATCTTGGATTGTCTCGTCATTCATCTTTCGGGCCTTTTCATCGTTGGAGGTTTCTTGGACCTCGATTTTAGTTATTCTTTACTCACCCCACAACTTGACCACCACTCGCTTCTCCGACAGCCTCCCATTCTCCTTTTATCAGCGCTCATCACTAATCCCACGAATCGCCATGCCGGCTCAATTCTTCATCCCCGACACTGCTCCCATTTACGCATACTCTCCTTCTTCTTCTTCGTCATCTTTATCTTCATCTTTATCGGGGTCTTCCAATTCGTCAGCCAGCTGGGTGGCGGCGTACAGCCCGAGAGGGGATGGGTATGATCAGACTTTCCATTTGGCTGCCGGCGATGCTAGCGTGGGGATCAACATCACTGGTAAGACCCCCACCACCCGTCTTTCCAACACCAGCTAATGTAACGTTTTCGTAACAGCTTCAGCACTCTCATTCTCCCTCTCTTCTTCCAACAAATCCTCCACCGCCTGTCCTGCAGAGTACAGAATAAACGCATCATCATGGTCCTCCGCCTGTCCTTCCCTCAACCAAGACTTTGTCGTAGAAGACCTTCCTGCGGGTCTGCATCAGGTTGAGCTGCGGGCTGTAGAGGGCGAGGGGCAGTTGGAGTTTATGGGTCTTGGGGGGGAGCTTGATTTGGCTGATGGGTGAGTTGCGAGCACGAAAAGGGGTCCTTTTAGATTGGTGGGGAGTTGGGAGTGTGCTAATAAAGGGATAGCTTGGGGAATTTGACTATTGATGATACTTCGCCGTCTTTTGTCTACTCGCCTTCTTCATCTTGGACTTTTTCGTCCTCTTCTTCTTCTTCTTCTTCGACGACGACGAGTACATCGAACGCGACATTATCGGCCGACGATCTCCATAACAGCTTCAACTCTTCCGCGCATTCGACCCTTTCCACAGGGGCAAAGGTGGAGCTGACTTTCCAAGGGGAGGCGTTGTATGTCTATGGGATGGGGTTGGAAGATGGGGGACGGGGGGAGGTGAGGGTGGATGGGGTGTTGCAGGCCGTTATCGATACCAGCGTACGTCCATGGTTTTTCCGAGGTCGGAAAGGTAGCTAACGAAGGCAAAGGGCGCCTGGACGACGTATTCTTCTTTACTCTACATGGGGAGTGGCTTTTCAGCCGGTGCCCACACGCTGTCAATCACATCCACTTCTTCCAATGCGTTGATCATCGACTATGCCCTCCTCACCACTCGAAGCTCGTCATCGTCATCGTCGACCAACCTCGGTCTTATCGTCGGTGTCACCATCGGCGTTTCGGCATTCTTGATCATCCTCGGAGCGTCCGCATATGTCTGGCTGGTGCAAAGACAGTCGACGAAGAAGGGTGGGGCGAGGTACCCTTTTGCGGGGTATGGCAAGAATGCCGCTGCGACGTATTCCAACTTTGGTTCCCTCGCTTCCAAAGATTCTGGCTGGGATCATCCCGACAAGCATTATCTTCAAAGAAGCCAGAGTACGCTGGCTTTGGGTACGTCAGGGATGAGGTTGGGCACGACGACGGTTTATTCGGATTATCTGCCTTATCGGGGACCTATTGAACCCCCGCCTTCCCACCTCCCCGAAGGACAAGGACACCACATCGTCCAAACCGGCTCAAGGGAAGAAGTCCTAGCCTATGGGGGTATGAAATCATCCCACGGCAGTGCGAGCTCCAGCGGCATGAGCACACCCCCGCTCATCTCCGGCGCCAACCCCAGCGCCACCGGCTGGCTCCGAGGCGCAAGAGAATGGGTCGATTCGCCCACTTCGAGCACGAGTTTTGGCTCGGCGTCGTTCTCCGCTGGGACGGGGTATACGGGCTCGAGGAGCGGGTCGCAGAGGTCTGCCGGGTCGGGGGTTGGGGGGAGGAGGAGCCCGCTTGATAGGGCTACGCCGGGTGCGAGGGAGCAGATACCACTGGACCTCTATCAGCCGGCGCTTTCGCCGCCGCCGTTTTCGTCTATCCCTTCGTCGCGATCATCGCCCCCACGCACGGCGTCGACCCCCCTGTCGCCTTCGTCTTCGCTCTCGACGCCGTCTACTTTGGGTCTGGGGATGGGAGAGCAGGTGCAGCAGGCTGTGAGGATGCCAGCGCCTGCTAGGAGTGTAGCGAGACTGTGGCCTACGAGGGACGCTGAACCGAGCTCGTACAGGACGGAAAGCGTCATGCAAGGCGCGGGGGTCGGCATCGACGACCGTCGGGCAGGATACTCCAGTTCATCTCTTGCCCTCAACGCTTCCACATCCGTCGACGCTCTCTCTTCCCAAGGTCCCGCTCCTACTACTCCTACCGCAAACTCTGCGATGTCGCTGAGAAGGGGCGTGAGTATCAAAAGTGTCAAGAGTATCAAGACTATGCGGTCGTTCTTTTCGGGCATGATCTTTGTCCCGCCGACTGCTGCTTCTTTACCGCACCTTACTCGAAGTGGAGGGGAAGGGGAAGGGGAACCGCAGACGCCTGCTGTACCGTGGACGGCGGCGAGGCCGGATAGTGGGATCTTTCCTGGGCTGGAAAGGGGGTTGTCTCAAAGGTTTGGGAGTCGGAGACGAAGGGAGAGGGAGAAGGAGAAGGAGAAGGTGGTGGCGTCGGTGCCCGCGAAATCGCCTATGACGGGGATGGTCACTCGGTCACCCCTCTCCCTCGCTCGGGCTCTTCCCTCGCATTCCCGCAACCCAAGCGCGGACCAGATGGGAGATGTCGAAGAAGGGATATTGGTACCAAACCGCTCTGCAGGTCACGTCGCGCGAGACGCACGGGGGCGAGAAGAGGAGAAGGAGGAGGAGGAGGAAGGGGCATCGCCAAAATTATTCATCGAGCTGGATCCGAGTAGCCCGGTAGAGAGCAGCAGGCCTGCCAGTCAGTGGACGAGGTATACGAGGGGGAGTGAGGGTATGCATGGGAGGTGGGAAGTGTGAGTCGGTTGGAGAAGAGGGCTGAAGGGAGGTCATTGGGTGGTCTGGGGATCTCTTGAGACGAGCTTTGTCATGTATTGAATTGAGCTGCTATGCATTCGCAGTATCCTTGCTGCAGCTACAGCTATGGCATTATGGAATTTGCTCATGCACTGGCAAAGTCGGCTATGGATAAGAACAGCGGACGCTATCACAGAATTCATACAGCGACAGAGTCACCGCCACCGATCATTCAACCTGTTCAGCGCTACGCGCTGCCTTGCCCCACCACCATCAAACGAGCGAACAGCTGTCATCGGAGTCGGAGAAAGGTCGGAGACGTGGAGAGTGCTAGCAATTCGCTCTGAGTGTAGTCTGATTGAGATCACTGATAATTCGTATGGAGCTGAGCGAGCTTCGTCAAAAGAGATGACGGTGTCAACCGGCGATCGGAAGAGAATATAGCGCACATTCATGGTAGGACGAGGCGCCACACACAGCAGAAACACACAACGGTGATGCGCAATCCCTGCTGAACAACAATTGAGCAGCCTGAGAAAACTCTCAAGATCCTCAAGACCGAGCTATAGGCAGCTGCGAGCCAGCAGGTATCTCATCAGAGAAGCCTCGAGATGCATAACCAAGGGAAGTATGTTGAGTCAATAGCACAAACCCACTGCATATGGAAGTGTCGGCGTTGGTTCACCCAGAGATTGTATGCATTACGTAAGGCATAGGCGCAGGCGTGCCGGAGAATTTGATGTCTGCAAGCCATGACCAGTGCCTTGTCAGTGCCTATAGCACAAAGAGCCTGATGGTGTTGTGTTGTCTTGTACACTGTCACCCTTCACCGTCTCATCAAGCACTCTCGCCATGTCAATTGTTCTTCTTCATTCATACTCCTTGCCTCTCTCAGCAGCAGTCACCAGCGGCCAGCATGTCCGACATTGTCCAGCCAAGATCTTGCTCACGCTGCAGCCGCGTCCTCCCCCCTGACTGCACTACTCGTCAGTGTGATCGCTGCAAGGAGATGGGTAAGGCTTCCCGAAACGCTCAGTATGCCACAATCAAAAAGAAACCTGAAGCACCTCTCGTATGTCGCCTGCAATTCTTTACGCATATCATGACTGACCCTATAACTATTAGATACAATAGGCTCTTGGGAGGACCTCCGGAAGGGTTTTCTAGAGGAAGTAGAGAAACATGCCTATCAGCAACCTGCAGAGCGTAATCCCATCGAGAGCCTCCATTTCCATGGTCAATGCAATCTAGATGACGGCCTCCGGCCTGAGAGTAACGACCACGAGATAGGAAAGACTTGCTTGCGCCGACTGGGAGTTTTTCTGGCGGGTGTAGACTCTGGTTCAATCTATCGCTTTGGGTGAGCTCCTTAATCGCACTGAGGCTCCATTCAACAGTGAAGCTCACGAGCAGCAATAGGTATCATGACATACAACCCTCTAAGGATCACCTGAGTGCTCTTTTCCGTTGCTGTCAGGATGAGCGACAAGCCAACCGACATGCCCCCGCTTCTTCAGGAGATCCTGCAGACCGCGTCAAGAAACGTCGACCTGGGCGACGAGGGATGGACAGGTTCCACTGTGGGTCTTCCTTAGTCATCAAACTATCTTCCCAAGGTCGAATTGAGGTAGAAAGCCAAACATGCCGCACCTCACGTCAACTATTCTCGAGTCGACGTACCAGAAGAAGCCGACGATTTCATTGTCAAGGAGGCGGCCGCGGGAACCAGCAACGCCTTCATGTTGAGGCAGAAATTGGCAAAAAAGAAGCCCCATCTCAAAAGGTTGACAACTTCAGCAATCCGCCGCCGTTTGACCCAACTTCTTGCTGAACCTTTACCCTTGATCGAGATCCTTTTACGTCTGCTCAGAAGGTTCTACAGCGTGCGGTTGAACGCGATGAAGCGATACTGTTACCAATGCCGGACGATCTGCAACCTCGCTGTATAGCTTTTGGGTTAAGCCCTATCCTTGAGGCGTTGAGGGAGCAGGAGATGGTGGTGGAGGAAATCTCCCTTGACTCAACGTGTAAGCACCACTTCATATATCTAGATCGCTTCCTGTCATTCTAATGCCAGCATTAGTCGGTACCAATGCTCAACAAATGGAGCTTTATGCCCTTGTGTTGGACACTGGGGAAGGCATCCCGGCCTGTTATATGTTTCTTGAAAAGGGAACGACAGCGCTGGATATCTCATCCAGCCCTTTCCAGGTATGTAAGATTGGAACGTCTACTCCCAAACGCTGATAGTCGGTCTCAGAAAACGTATGCAGTACGGTCATTCCTTTCAGCTGCGAAGGACGTCTTCAGCCTTGACCCGAAAGTCATTCATATCGACAAAGACGCTGCTGAGATTCTCGCCTGCCGCGATGTGTACGCTTGATAGGCTGAGGTGGGGAGGAAGCAGGCGGGGATGGCAGCTGTGCTTCGGGCGACTCTCTTACACGCTTGATAGGCTGAGGTGTAGGAGGAGGAGAGTCTTCCTCTTCAACGTGGAACTTGCGTTTCACTCCAGATAAAGTCTGCAACAACGAGCATAAGCATACTGAGATGGATGTGCAACAGAACAGAGACCTACTTGCTCATGTAGAGGACTTCCAGGTGAATTGGGTGAAGTTGTCGATGTCATGGTTGATCAGGGGAGGGGGCGAGTGCTCAAGCTTGTCAGTCAGAGTAAGTTCGATATCGGAGTCCAAGAAGGAGAGGAATGTTGTCCATATTTATAGAGAGCTCTGTCCATTCGAATGAGTATCAAGGGGCAACTTGAACAATGAGAAGAATGAGAACAATGAGAACAAGGAGTACAATGTGAGCACATGATTTTGAAACAATGTGAACAATGTGAACAATGTGAACAATGTGAACAATGGGAAGATGAGCTTGAATAACAATGAGAAATTCGATGGAGCAAAGTCTTTCTGACAAGAACATATGCGTTCGTAAAAACATCATGATCGATCATGATTGCAATCAAAAGGGGCAGTTGTGTTGATGGGACGAACTACGGACAAGTCGGCGATTAACGTCAGTCAGGGTGCACAACGCGTGCCTACATGTCGGCGCGTACCATCATCGTTACGTAATGCGAACATTTTCTGGGTGAACCACCGCCGTGTATATGGAAGACGACCCGGCGCAGAAGGAAGGGTGGAGGCGCGACACTTTTCTCACGCGTCACGCTTGTTCCCTCAATACGTAGGTTGCCCTATACTCGACCAACCTCCTGCGCTCTATCCCTTGCGTCTCCCTCGCGCCGCCATTCTCCGCCTCTGCGCCCTCGACAAAACAGGGTGCCCACACAGACACACCCAACACCTCCTTTCGCGCCAGGATCGCTGCTTTACCACCATCAACGCAGATTCGCCCGGCAAGAAGGGGAATTAAATAATATGACACCGCTGCCATTTGTATCTCTGCTTTACATTCTGCCTCTCTACCTTCTCCCCCTCAGCCCTCCCCCCCTCTCGTGCACTGAGCTAAATGGCCCCCAAGCTTGCTGTGAGTCCCCGTCACCCTCCACTCCCCCAAACACGTCAACCGTCACCCCATCGCCCTCTTCCCGCCTACCTTGGCGCTGCAGCTGACCATGACATAGCCCAAGGGCGACATCGCCGCGGACTTTGCCAATCTCAGCATTGGCGAGCTGCCCCGAGGTATGCAGGAGACTCTTGACGGTGAGTCGGCGCCAGACGTACCATGGCACACTCTTCACGACGGGATGGTGCTGACCATACCCCTTCCTTCCCTACTTCTCGCGCACCCTCTACAGGATGTCCTCCTCGACCCGGTGAGTAGTCTTGCGTTTCACGCGCGCTGGCCCTGGTGGTCCCGGATTGTCTTGGATGCGGCTGACTCCATGACAGGCTATGGTTCTGCTGGAAAGGAAATCAAGGTGAACGCGAACATGTACATGGCTCGCTTCAAGAACCAGGGTATCTCTGTCAAGTGAGCTCAACATCTCAAAAGCGGGAGGTGTAGCTGACTGGCTTCTCAGCCACTACGACATTGAGATCAATCATGTGGTCAAGAACACCAAGGACAGCAAGTGGGTTCTCCTCGTCCTCTCTCACAATGGTGGCTGATACCATGTGCAGGAAGCCCCGTCCCCTTCTCCAGAAGATCTGGAATCAGATGGTCGAGGAGGCCACTGGTGACGTCAAGGTCGCCCTTGAGGGCGCGGCTTACGACCAGCAGAAGTCGTTTTACACTCCTCACGAAGTCTCTCTCGGAGCGGATGGTAAGCTTGAGATCATCATTGGTCTCAAGGAAGACGGTGTCGTCCCTACCGACGACAAGCGCCGCTTTAAGGCTGTGATCCAGGCCGCCGACCACATGAAGATTGACCTCGACCGTATCATGGACTACTGCAAGGGCGACACCCAGACCGAGCAGGCTCATGACACCATGCTCCGAACCATCATGGCCATGAACGTTCTCATGCGACAGGATCCTGCTCAGAGATTTGCATGTCTGGTTCTGCCGGCCGAAAGTTCTTCACTTCTGGTGCGTCCTCGTAATACGCTCTTTCTAGTGCTGACTCTTCTGCAGAGGACCCCACCCCTCTCTCCAACGGTGCCGTCCTTTACGAGGGTTTCCAGCAGTCCTTCCGATGGACCTCTGCTGGTTATCCCGCCGTCCAGATCGACACTGCTTACTCTGCCTTTGTCGAGCCCGGCATGCTCATCGTGAGTACCTTGTACAATCCTTGGCGGTGTCTGACGAGATCGTAGGACGTTGCCCCCAAGCTTCTCGGTCTTGCCGGTGGCGGTGGCCGTGGTGGTCGAGGCGGCCGAGGTGGCTTCCAAGGCGGTCCTCCCCCTGGCGCTGCTCGTGCCCTTCAAGAGCTCAACCCTCCTCAGACCAGGCGTCTTAATGACATTCTCCGAGGCGCCAAGTTTACTGTCACCCACCGAAACACTGAGCGAGTGTTTGGCATCATCAAGCTCACCGCTCAACCTGCCGACGCTATCAAGTTCACCCTCAACGGCAAGGACGGTCAGCCCGACCGAACCGTCTCTGTCGCGCAGTACTTCCAAGAGCAGTACAATGTCCGCGTTACCCGCCCTCGTCTCCCTTGTGTTCAGTACGGCAAGAACTTCATCCCCATGGAGTTTGTCAAGCTTCAGCCCTTTAACTCTATCCCCATGATGAGGATCACCGCGGACCAGACTGCCGAGATCATCAAGGACGCTGCCAAGCCTCCTCCCATGAGGCAGGGTGCTATCGGCAACTGGCGAGCCAAGCTCAACTACTCCAACTTGCCCAAGCTCAAGGCTTGGAATGTCGAGGTCAATCAGAACATGATGACTGTCCCTGCCCGAGTGCTTCCCGGTCCTTCCGTCTTCTATAACGGTAACAAGGCTATCAGGGCCAACTTTGGGTGCGTCTTTCGTTCTCTTTATGTGATGGTGCTGATGATAGTACAGTGGATGGAACATGAAGGGTGTGAGATTTACTCAGCCTGGTGTGCCCCTCAAGTCTTGGGCTGTCGTCTCGTTCGACCAGCGATGTACCGTTCCGGATCTTCGTAAGTTAATGCTTTTCTTTCAGGAATGACGCTGAAGCCTTTGCAGAAAAGTTTGTCACCTACTTCTGCCAAGTCCTCAACCAGTACGGCTGTCCCGTCGTCAACCAGAGGCCTTCTTGCTTCCAGTACAACCCCGACGCGGGTGGCTCCAACATGGGTGTCAAGGCCGCTCTCCAGCAGGCCGCCAAGAACGCTTATATCGACTCCAAGGTCAACCCACAGATCATCTTCTGTATCCTCCCCGTACGTCGCCTCGTAGACGTTGGGCGTGGCTGACATCATATGCAGAGGAAGGACCCGTCTATCTACCAGGCCATCAAGGCCGTCTCGTGCGAGCAACTCTTCAAGCCCGTCCCTACCCAGTGTCTTCAGTCCGCCAAGATCAAATCCGACCGAGGTATCGACCAGTACTGCGGTAACGTCGCCATGAAGGTGCACTCCAAGCTTGGTGGTGTTACTCACCAGGTCCAGCACCAAATCCCCAAGACCACCATGATGGTCGGTGCCGACGTGAGTACCTTTACGTCTCGGTCTTGAAGACACGCTGACGAGGGTAGACTGGTCACACCCCCGCTCGAGGTGGTTGTGTTCCTCCTTCGGTTGCTGTCACTGTTGCTGCGATCAACAACGAAAACACCAAGTTTGTCCCTGGTATCCGACTCCAGGCAGGCCGAGTGTGAGTCCCGTATTCGATTCGCAGGGCATTGCTGACCAATTCGATAGGGAGATCATCCAGGAGTTGGAGGCGATGATGTACACTCACATTCAGCAATTCGAACAGGCCACCAAAGCCAAGCCCACCTCTATCCTCTTCTTCCGAGACGGTGTCTCCGAGGGTCAATACGCCCACTGTGTTTACCAGGAGCTTGCGTCCATCAAGAAGGCTGCTCAGCGATTCGGCGGCGGCTACAACCCCAAGGTCACTTTCGTCATCTGCGCCAAGCGACACGCCATGCGATTCTTTGCCACCTCTGACCAGGACAAGGACAGGACTGGCAACTTGCCTCCTGGAACTATCGTCGACTCGATGGTCACTTCGCCCATCATCCACGACTTCTACTTGCAGGCCCACGCCGGTCTTCAGGGCACTGCCCGACCCACTCACTAGTGAGTTGTTTCTTACCGCGGGAGGCGACTCGCTGACTTCTTTCAGCGTCGTTGTCGCAGACGAAAACAAGTACACTGCGGACAAGCTCCAGGGCCTTGTCAACACTCTCTGTTACTCGTTCGCCCGAGCCACTCGATCTGTCTCTGTACGTCTTTTCCCTTGCACGTTGTATGGCGCTGACGTCTACACAGATGGTTCCTGTCGCCTACTACGCCGACATTGTCGCCGAGAAGGTCAGGTACATGATCTCTGACGATGAGTCTGACACTGCGACCATCCCGTCGACCACTTCTGGCTCCAAGATTGAGCAGATGACCTTTGATGCTACCCGTGTGTCGAAGCGATTCGAGGCCAACCCCGAGTTCAACAAGGTTGCTTGGGTAAGTCGCTTCCTCTTTTCGTGTATTGGCCAGACGCTGATAGAGATTGCAGTACATGTAAGCGACTGCTACGCGCATGCTGCCCACCACCGTTTTGAAAAGTTGATTTTAGCGATCGGTTAGTATGACGACGACTTGTTTACGAAATGTATATGAATACGTCAAGAAGTCCATTGCTCCTTCTGCCTTTGCACTCCCGCCAGAAACAAATCATACGACCTGATCTCTTGCAGCACGTTGATTTTTGCTGCTTATCGGACTTGCAATGAGCTGAATGAAGTTTCTTATGAAGGCAAAGCGTTCGCAATTAACATCGACGGCCATAGCCTCCTCAAAGTACCGCGTCCCGTCTGATCCGCGAAGTCAACTAGGAGAGCGCTCGGTTAGTACCAGGGTGGGGGACCACCTGGGAATCCTGGGTGCCGTCGTTTTTGTTTTTTGCGTTCTCAACGGAGGACATCCACATACCACGCGCTCTCACACTCAAAGCTTGATCATGGCGCTGGTATGTATTTTTCTTTATTGAGTAGCACCGGTGACTTCCTTTGTCCCTTCAACTGAACACACATCGCCTCAAAGGCTGTTATTTTGCGTATAATACGCTGCAGTATGAACCCTTCTCTATTCTCATCGCAACAGTCTTGCTTTTTGCTACCCTCAGTCAGATCAAGATGTCTCTCCCCATACCATTCCAGCCCTCTGTGATCCTCACACCCCAGCCCTCGTCCACTCCAACGCCAGCAGCACTGCGCGCCCTTCTTCCGCTCGCCAAGGACATTCTCAAAAACGATGTAGTCTACTCTGTCACCTTTTCAAAGATGCTCTGCCCGGAGGGCAAGAACTACTTGTTCACTTTGAAGCCTTACTACTGGGAGGTCGCACCTGGTGTATGGAGTGAGTCATTCTGTTTGGCGGTTTGGGACTTTACTAACAATGACGGATAGAACGCCGAGACGGTCAGAGAAACCCATACTGCGATCTTCCAGGCGGTCAAATCCAGCTCCAAGGCATGGCCACCAGCGTCCATACCCTTGCACTCGCTGCTTTACATTTAGGGGACGAGGTTGACGATGCAGGCAATCCGCTCAAGGTACAGTGTCTGGGGCATATAGAGAGACTCTTGAGAGTCTTCTTCCTGGACGAGGCGACGAGGATGGTGCCAGAGGTCTGGTACAGCCAGTGCATTCCGGGGTGGAACCCTTTGAAAGGAGATTATGCGTTTGCGATTGCTGTGAGTACTGCTCGCCAGATGGGGAATGGAGTTGACAAGGTATTAGATTCGGTATCTTATTCTCGTATCTCAAGCACTCGTCATGGTGTCTCCCATGATCCCGGGTGATGTGGTTGACGGGATGCGATCATGGCTTGGCGTGCAGGTGGAATGGATGAAGACGTCCGAGCAAGGGGAGTGGGCAAAGAACTATGGTGATAACAAAACCCTCTGGTATCATGCTATTGTAAACGCGCCATTTTCCGACCGTATAACGCTGACGATCGTACAGATCGCGTCCCACTTATCTGTGACAGAGGCTGAGGAAGGTGCCAAGAGATATGCCGACGAACTTGTTGGCCAGTGGCGAGCCCAGTACCCTACTGCAGAAACGTTCTTCGCCCGAGATCTCAGGCGCACCCGACCCCGCCACTATGCCCTATTTGCTCTTCAGCCCCTGTTCATCCTTGCTCGGCTGACCGGCCAATCGTCTTCACCCACTTACTCTCCAACTCTCCTTCAGTATCTGACCGAGTTGGTAGACTTGCTTTCCCATATCGAGCCAGGAGCGATGGAGCGCCCGTTGGAGGATGAAGGAGGCCGCTACGAGGCTGTTTCGGCGTGGTATCAGAAGATGCTGAGCAGTATGAAGGGTCACGGGGAGGGATGGGAAGATGAGCCTGATGGAAATGGGTGGGAAGGTGGGTGGCAGGAGAGGGCGAAAGTCTCTTGGGGATTTGTATAGCCTCTCGTCATCGTCTGTTGTACAGGGGTGCTCTTTATGCGAGGCGCAGAGCAATATCTCGTATGCAGTCTGATACCAGCCGTCTAGCTGGTCGACATGCCCATGCATGCGAGTCACTTCCCAGAGAATTGTCTCTGTCCACCGTGGACGCTGCCTCCACTTGAAGCAGACACGTCAACCGCCAATTCTCATCCTCGCCTTCTCTTTTCCTGTCGCTATATCTGAGCTCAAGCGAGTCTCCAGCACCATGTCGGACCCCATTCCCTCCCCCGCTTCTGTGCCAGCGCCCACACCCCTCACCTCGACAGGTTTCATCACCTACCGCCGCCAGCTCCTCTCATACCTCGCCGCTCACGCCCCCGACCTCTTCTACCACCTCTACCCATCTCCTGCTCTTGAGCCATACCGCAAGACACCGTCCTCTCTCGTACACCTCGTGGAGATGGCCCTGTTCCGGCCCTGGGGCCAGTTTGCCGGAGATCATCCGCCTTGCGCGATGGTGAGCGTCACAGGCTTGCGGCTGTCGGAAGAGCAGTTTCTCGAATGGGCCGAATGGGCGAGATGTGAGCGATCTCTCCGAAAAGTCTTCCGAAAGACATTCTCACCGGATATGTGGGAGGGTATGGGGAACATGTGGAGCACCAAAGATATCTGGGAGACTCTCGAGGCCGAATACATCCCTTCTCCTGTCGAGCGCCAATCACACATCATCTATTGCCTTCGGTCTACACGACTCCCGCCCCAAGCATCTCTTCGCGACATCTTCAAGCTGTGGGATACTTTCAACCTTCTAGTCATCGAAGCTAGGGACGCTGGCCTGTTCATCCTCGAGGAAGAAGTGGTGGATAGGTATCTGGGAGCTATCGGGAAAGGCGACGCGGGAAAGCTCGTAAGGGCGACGTATGGAAGCATGAGCCAGGACGAGCCTCTGAAGGGTACTTGGAGAGGAGTAAGGAGAGTGGTTCGTATGTGTATCAAAAAGCAATTCGACGATCACCAGCTCGCCATTTCCGGCCACCCTTTCCCTATCGCCAAAAGCTCGACGCTCATGGCCCCGACCCCAGAGTATGATGTGCCACCCAGCAATACTGCGCCCGACCTACCTCCTACTCCTGAACCGACTCCCAGACCAACTACGCTTCCCATCGCCCCGCACACATACACCATCGTGGATCGCGTCAAAGACCGCAGAAGAGGTAGTACGCGGACTGCTCTAAGTGAGAAGGACAGCAACGCTCTCGCAAGCCCAGTGCTGCCCAAGAAGATGAGGAGGGAGATTGAAAAGCCGAAGAAAGATGGAGGCGACGCGAGGCATAGGGGGGGAGAGAGCCCGACGCGGGGTGAGATGAGGGAGGTTGCTGCTTCTCGTTAATTGGTGAGTCTCTATACTGCAAGTGGCACAGTAGCTGACATTTGAAGAAGAGGACATTCTATGGAACAGCTCGACTTGCGCCACCCACTATCCTCGGATACCCCTATAAACATGCCCTACGACCTACACCCCTCTACTTTCCCGCAATGCTTCAATCTTCGACCTCTCACACGTCTTCAAACTCCCGCGTCGTCATACCTCTCAACCATCTTCTCTCCTGTGACCCTCTGGGTTCCATCACTCCTACTTTTCCTCAGCTGCTCGGACTCCCCAAGGACTATCAAACTTCAACGACGACCAAATATTTCTCTTACTGCATCCGGGTGATGTTGTCGGATGTGTAGCAGGCGGCGGGTGGTTGAGATGGGAATCAGACGAGCGTAGAACGTCACCTATACGGACAAAATGGATTATTATAGCTCTCATGATTATTCAGTACGTATTAGTAAATCAGATATCGCTTATGTTGTAGAGGAAGAGGGAACGCGTATGTCGAGAACACTTGTAGTTTCTGTTGAACGATGTCACTTCCTATATCTGTCACTCTATGGACTTTATTCTATGTATCTCTTAACGGAGCTGAGCACTCTGACGGACTGTGCAGCTTTGACAGACATCGGAATGGGGCGCGTCGGAATGGTCACAGTGGGCACTTGTGGCAATGACTTTTTATTGATCGTTTGCATTCTTGAACGACAGGTCTCGAAGGGGTGTGTGGAGTAGCTCCCAATTCTATATTCACTCCTAAGCATTTGCAAGCCTTTTAGAATATCCATCAAGTACGTTGACTGGAAAAGGCCTTCGGACGAGAGCAACACCAGGTCATATTGCGCTTCAAGGCTTTGTAGTATACAACAACGGCGTAATTCAGAGGAAGAATGCGAGGCTCATAACGAGATTATGTAATTATTACATAAGATCAAGATACCTCGAAGTCACATGATCGAAACATGTCGCCGTTATCAATTCTTTTTGAATTTTGCTTTTTCTTTTTCGGTCATTATCATTATATCACTCTCCTTAGTTTACCCCTCCTCTCCTGACAAGCATGCGTTGGAACTCTGGCTCAACATGACCGGCAAAGAGGATAAGAAGAATGCGTGGGAGGAGTGGAGGCGAAAAGAGAACAATGCCAAGGTGTGATAATGCAGACGGTGAACGAGGACCTGTACTTGGACCTCGGTGATATGATGTCAGCCGCTGCGATGTGGAGTAGCAGGAAAGAGGGATACGTTGTGGACGTGGGGTTGAGCGAGGATGGAGAGTTGTTGGTGTCGGGGGAGATGCCCAAGAAGATATGAACGCCGTATAACGTTGAGATCAATCGCGCTGGTCCACTGCATGATTTGGTCGCGGAAGACACCATCGACAAGTTGCATCAACTACTCTAGGGCCTGAGCTTGGCCTGCAACTCCTCCGTAACAATCTTCTTGTACGACTCGACATCACCCAAGAACTTGGTGACCTTTCCATCCGCACACACCCAGAGCTGGTTCGAAGTGTTGGTGATGAATCGCTCGTCGTGCGAGATACTGATAACACCACCCTTGAACACCTTGATAGCTTCGATGAGGGCGTCGATACCTTCGATATCCAAGTGATTGGAAGGCTATATGTTGTTAGCTTGACCCCAAGATAGCAAAGAGGACTCACCTCATCCAAAAGCAAGATGTGAGGCTTGCTCATCGACAAAACCGCAAACGCCACTCTCGCCTTCTGACCACCAGAAAGCGTGTCGATCTTTTGCATCCCCGTCAACCCCGTGATACCGAACGATCCCAAATGACTCCTATACTCTTGCTCCGTCTTGCCCGGGAACTTGGCCTGCAAGAACGCCACGGGGCTGACAGTCATATCAAGCTGGTTGACAAAGTGCTGCGTAAAGTAGGCGATCCGGCAACGCGAGTTGTGCGTCGCACGACCAGTGATGGGCTGGAGGTCGCCCGTGAGGAGCTTGATCATGGTAGATTTACCAGCACCGTTAGGACCGATAACAGCGATACGCGAGTCGAGCTGGACATCGATGTTGACGTTTTGGAGGATGAGCTTGGCGGGCGTGTAGCCAAAGGTGGCTTCGTCGAGCTGGAGCAGGGGGGGAGAGATCTTTTCCGGGTCGGGGAATTTGAAGGTCTCGGAATCGTCTTCCTCGGGCGGTTCGAGCTCGGGAAGTTTTTCCAGGATCTTGATCTTGGACTGAGCCTGTGCAGCTGCTCTGCGTCAGTTATGCTCCATCACTACGATAAAGAGACGCACCTCGGTTGGCATTGTACCTCCATCGGTCGATGTACGCCTGCAAGTGCTGCCTGTACGTCAACTGTGTCTCGTACTCCTTCTTCTGATTCTTCGCTCTGTCCGTCTTGGTCGCGTAGAATTGCGAGAAGTTTCCTTTGTAGTAATCGAGACGCTGATTGTGCTGGTGCACGATATCGGTGGCGACGTGGTCGAGGAAAGCTCTGTCGTGGGAAACGACGAGGATGGTGGAGGGCCAGGTCTGGAGGTACTCTTCCAGCCAGGCGATGGCGTTCAGATCTAACATATTGGAAGGTTCGTCCAACATCAAGAGCTGTATACTGTCAGCGCTGTCCCCAAACTGATAGAAACACTCACATCGGGCTTGACAAACAAGGCTCGGGCGAGAGCCAATCTCATCCTCCAACCTCCCGAGAATGCCGAAGTCATCTTCTTCTGATCCTCGTCCGAGAAACCCAGACCGTTCAACAACTGACCAGCCCTCGCCGGTCCCGACTCGGCATCCATATCTATCAACGTCTTTTGTACCTCTCCGAGCCTCGTCAATGCCTCCTCCTTCTCCGTCTCGATCCTGACCTTGTCCTCGCCCAGCAAACCGCCTTGGAGTCCCTCCTTTTCGAGCGCCTCGATCTTGACGTTGAGCTCGCGCTCTTCGGTGACGTACTTGTGACGCCACACGTCGGCTTGCAGGACGGAGTCAAGGGCGCTGGTGGAGTCACCGGCGATTTCTTGTTCGACATAGAGGACGGAGATGTGGGAGGGGATGGGGACTTCTCGGAGGGCGAGGTGGCGCAGAAGGGTAGACTTTCCGATACCGTTACGACCGATAAGACTGTATCACATTAGCTTTGCACCAAAAAAAGGTTTGGGACGTACCCATATCGTCGACCATGAGCCATAGTAAGCTGAGCACCAGACAGAATCCTATTACTTCCAAAGGACACATCGATGCTCGGCAAGTTGATATCCTTCGACTTGCCCTTGGCCGCGCCGCTCACGTCGAGAGGGTTCACCTTCATAAACATCTCCTCGTAGCTCTCCTGCTTGTTCTGCATCTCGATAAGCTTCGAACCCTGGTACAGGTTGTCCTTCTTGGCCCTCTTTTGGATCTTGGCCTGAAGCTTGGCCTCGGCCTTAGCGAGTTTGCCCAAGTCGACCCTAGACGCCTGACCTTTGGTGTTGGACTCGAGGTCAACCTTGCCCGACATGGCAATAGTAGCCGACATGGCCTGGGAGCGCATGTGGATGGTCTTGTCGAGCTTGGTGGCGGTGGTAGACTTGTGCACACGTTTGGTCGACTGGGAGTCGAGATACTCGAGGAGCCGGCTCATGAAGTCGTCGAGGTTCTTGGTGGTGTCCTCGCTAGAGGGGCCACCGGAGAGCATACCCTTGGTCATGTCGACAATGTCCTCCACTTCTTCTTCTTCATCGTCGACCAGGCCGGCAATGTAGGAGACGACGACCTCGTCGGTACGGGGAAAGGTGCGTCGCTAAAGACTGGTCAGCCCATGGTAAGGGCAGGGGGGTTGTAGCAGGATACATGGGACTCACGATGTCGGATGCAATTTTGGCCATGCTGGACAGGTCTTGCGCAAAAAAGGAATGGTCAGGATCATAAAAGTCGTGAAATGCAAGAGGTGGTAAGCGGGCGGCACTCGCCGCAGTAAATTCGAAACCGACGGAAAAGCTCGTCTGGAAAGGGCAAAATGCTCTGTGGTATTTCATATGCATGATCGTCTCTATACTCTCTTAAGACATGTACGTGGGGTGGTGCATTCAAAAGACCAGATGGCGTACGTGCTTCCACCCTGTCTCCTATCAAACACTGCTCTCATTCGCCGGCTGCGATTCATTAACTATGTCTTGTCGACGCCTTCAAACGATTCTGGAGGCTCACCTTCTTCTCAAAATCTGTCAGCAGTACCGTCCGGTCGCAACTACACCTGGGAACCTTCGTCGGGCTCATCTTCCTTTCCAGTCATTGTATTCCAGAAGCTCGCCGCGCGACTCAAGGTTCTCTCAGGGCTAAAATTAGCTAGAGACCTGACCAAAGTTAAGGCTGCCGGCTCAGAGGAGTATCGCCTGTTGATTCCGGTGGCATGGGAGGCGAGCCTACACACAGCTGTGGGCCTCAAGGGCAAAAAGCCTTCGTCGAATAGTTCGGGCGTTACAAGCTGAGCTCGTGCCCGGCGCTTGGCTTCCGGCAGATTCTTCTCTTTCTCCTCGACCTTCGTTTTTGCTTCTCCCCATAACAGGTTGGAAAGCTCCGAGGGCGAGAAACCTTCGTAGCGCTCTTGGAAGGTTCCCGATGAAGGCGCGCCGAGGTTTGTTGTCTCGAGGTCATCTGCCGGGGCAGAGTCGGTCGTGGGGACTGGAGTTGGTGGCTGATCATTCGCTTCCTCGCCATGATGAAGTATCTTGATACTCCCCGTCGTACCCTGGCTGACGCCTCCCACACAGCTATGCGCATACATCCCCCAATACTTCTTCTCTGCTTCTGCAAAATCCGGCTCCTCCTTCAGCATGCTCACCGGGAAATCTTCCATCGTGCACCTCTTTACCCTACCACTTCTCAAGACGGAATCGAGTAGAACGTATCGTCGCTGGTTCTCGGTACGAGTAGAAGCTGGAAGTTTTGAGAATTCTTCAGGATAAGGTCGGGACAAAGTATACTTGTAAGTATGGTCGTTCGGGTCATATAGGTTGACAGAGGTGGCGAGTGAGATTGTCTTGCCTTTCGTCATATCATCGGGCTCTTCAGGAGGGGCAAAGGCTGAGAGAGGCACATCTGTGCGATCGCCTTGAGAAGGGCCGGCAGGCTCATTCGTATCGTTACTGCTCATGCTGCGCTATCAAGGATATGTGTATGCCTCGAGTGTGTACTGAATGTGACTGCTTTTTGTACTTGAATGCATCACCGGAGGATCCCCTTAGAGCTGCTTTGGAGCACAAAAGACGCAGATTCTTGCAACCCCGATCAAGAGATCTCCGACAATTCAGAATCGTCACGGTCAAAGAACTTTCTTGAGCGAACCGCCTCCTTTCTCCCATTGTGAGTACCTACGCGGTCCAGCCAAGATACTGGCAGTCATCGCGAAAGAGAACGTGCCCTGGGATTCCGGCTGAGACTGATGGCTAGTAGGAAAGTTCTGGCATTCAAACATGATATAAAGCAAGGTATAAAGCAAGGTATGGCAAAACGATTCGTCATCAAGATGAACCAGATACATCTCCAGATCTCAGGTTGTCGAGCGCAAATACAAGTCGATCAACGGCTTCCTCGACCTTCTTGGCAGTAGATTTTGTCCCGACTGTGTATTGTCAGCGCTTAAAGTATATCGGTCAATGATGAAAGACTCGCGTTCATGCCCGGCATCCGCGTAGATACGTCCGAGTATAGGACCAGGGTTGCGAGGTTTTTGGGCTATTCCTATCGTCAATCTTCCACCCCCATCTCTGATGAATCAAGAAGAGCAGTTCACCTTGAAGCTCCGCTATAAACTTCAACGAGTGTCCGGGCATGACACGATTGTCGTGGTCGCCAGTCGTGATGAGCATAGCTGGATATTCGACGGAAGGGTCGGGGTTAACGTTGTGTAGAGGAGAGGTGGCGAGGAGGATCGAAAAGTCGTTGCTATCGTCGGGAGAGCCGTACTCGTCCATCCACATTCGCCCCAGGCCCTATATTTGCGTCAGCTTGGAGTGTAGATGACCTCGGGGATGAGGAGTCAACCTACAAACTTGTGATACCTCACAAGGTCAGTCAACGCCACATCGACAAACACCACTTCGAAGAGTTCCGGGTGCCGTATCGTCGAAGCAGACATGAGTAATCCTCCGTTGGAGCTACCATAGATGGCAGTGAGGGATGGAGTAGTGAGACCGATGAATTGCAGGTGGATGGCGGCAGAGGCAAAATCGTCCCAGCCGACAGAGCGCTGGACGCCGATAGCGGCTTGATGCCAGGCGGTGCCGTACTCACCTCCGCCACGAATACCAGCAATTGCCACACTAGCCAAGGTCAGCAGATGACTCCACAGGTCGAAGGAAATACTCACATTCCTCGCACGTTGCGCATGAAAGTTGCAAACATAGGATCATAGTGTGGCAGGACAGGCGCACAAAATCCGCCGTAGGCATGCAGAAGGAGAGGATGCGGCTTGGAAAGGTCGAGGTCTTGGGAATGACAGATAAACATTGGAATCCTGGTACCGTCATGAGAGTCGTAGAAAACTTGACAGCTTATCAACGTCTCGTGTGGCGCAGCGTCATCGACGGGGCTGACATTGCTGATATCAACCTCCAACGAGCCCGCTTTGTTCTTGATGATCGCCCCTTTGAGAACGTATGAGGGAGCGACCCAAGTATCGACAGTAAAGTAGAAATCAGAGGCATATGGGCGGGCAGAGACGGAGGTGATAGCGCCGTGCTCGGGGATGACCACAGTGCCCTCGGACGCTCTGCTGATCTCATTCTCCGGGACGGGAATTTGCGTGTCGGGTGCAGCAACAACCTCGCCGTGTGTACCCTCGGCATCGGCAGCACCAAGACGTTTTCCAGTGCGAGCATCTACAAACACGACAGAGGCACAGGCGTGCTTGAGATAGATGAGGGCGATGACTTGGTCTCCAATAACATGTGCGCTTTGAAGCTGATAACCAGAGGGATCATCGGGGATAATTTCTTGCAGTGGCACATTGCCGCCATCGGGGGTAGTCTCCCATTCGGCGCTGTCGAAGGCGATAATACGGCCGGTAGAGTGGCCGTCGGTGAAGGAGGTGAAGAAGTGTCGGCCGGATGATAGAGATCCGATATCTGGGGCACTGATCAGCAAGACAGAGTTTTTAGAAGATGTGCTCACAACGGGTCTCGCCAGTGAATCCTCTCGATAACCACTTGCCCTCTTTGACGACCAGCTCTGCTATAGTAGAACCCACAGGATTTGCAGTTCCACCTGGGAGCTCAATCACAAGCAGCTCAGTCTCGGGACTTGTATTTCGATAAACATCAAGGGCGAGCCAAGCACGCTCCCCGCTACCCTCTTGTTCATTGACAGAGATGACCTTGGTTTTGCCGATGTACTGAAAAACGCCGTTGGGAGGACTCCATATGAGCACGTCGGTGGATTGGGGCTGGCCAACGGCATGATAGAACATGCCGAAGGCGCCGTCGATGCCGTCGTAGCCGTCATTGGAAGGATCGTATATCACGGAGCGCTTGTAGATGAAGCCCTGGGCGAGGATCAGTTCTGTCCCCTGGCAAGCAGACGGCAATCACCTTTTCACCAACCCAGGTAACGCCAAAAGTGAATTTGGAGCCACCGAGATCTCTTTCGAGCACCTCTTTCGTTCGAGTGTCAATGATTCGAAGTCTTTGCCAGTCGCTCCTACTGAAATGTCAGCACACCACTTTGGTGAGAAGAAGGGGAACCGACCCAGAGTATTGTAATACAGCACACCAAAGTCGGCCACTGGGCGAGAAACTGTGGGCATACAAAGACACCTTCTCCTCCTCGTTCAAGTCGTAGAACAAATCTGGACCCTCGCTTCCAGGAGCTTTGCCAAAGTGCTCAGACAAATCTTTAGACCTCACAATGACGTCGCGAGGTGCAGTGCCAGGATTGAACCTCCAGTAGTAATACCCATTGCCCTGGAGCTCAGGATTGCTCATCTGCGCGTGGTTGTAGCATGCTGCGACGGCCGCTTCGAGCGGCTTTCGAAGGGGATGCTTGCTGAGCCGAGGGATGGAGAGCTGCAACACGCGGTCAGTACAGAACCTCGAAGGTAAGAAGTTTGCATACCTCATTTTGGGCCTTTACGAAAGCTTTTGTTTCATCAGACTCCAGATCCTCCAGAGCTCTCCAGGGGTCTTTCACTTCAATACCAAAGATGGTCTCTGTGATACCACCAGCTTGGGGAGGATGTGGGTACTGGACTGTCGAAGATGGGGATCTCGTCCAATCTTCGGGTTTAACGGTGAAACCTGAGGCAGAGACACTCTTCACAGGGCTGCGCGAAGAGGTCTTGTTGCGAGTATGAGGGAGCTGGCTTGCTGAAAGGCCCATTATATGCTGTTCTAGCTGTACAGTTGATATTGGCGGAGAGAGAGAACGAGGGAGCGAGGCAGGATAGAGCAGCGGGAACTCCGATTGCTTTATCTGTTATCAGATAGCGGGCGGGTCGAGTCGTAGCCTTCGTAAAGTAGTTTTGCCTAGTCGTGTGACCTTGAGCATGCCCACGGACTGTGGCGCCTCTGCTGGATCTGCTGGTGGGTGATCAAGAATGGCGCGCATGGTATCGAGGAGTAATGGTGGATATTGGCGCGCGTCTCCTTGAAATCGATAGCGCCTCTCAGGGGCGATGGACATTTCCTCTTGCCAACAAGTGAAAAGAGACCCTGCAGGGACGCGGTCGGTGAGCCGGAAGATAACGCAGATTTCGGTCGAATCCGTCCGGAAGCAAATTGTTGAGTCGGTACGTTGACAGTCAATTGACAGTCATCCTGCCATGATGCCATGAGGAACGTGTGGCAAGCTGGTCAGTTCTGGCTGCTGCACAGTGGCTTCCGGTCAGTGGTCAAGTCATGTTTACATACGGTCATATCATAAAAGTCATGATAGGAAAAAAACAACAACATTTGGTAGTCATACAAGCTACGTACAATTCAAACACAGTACGGGCCACGTCGAAAGATCTCAAGATGACTGTATACTACACTGAGCATCTTAAGCACAATCAGATCAATAGAATCCCATTCTCCCACCCCAGCTTCACCATCGTCTTCCGCCAACACACCGCCTCATCCGGCTTGCTCACCATACGCAATCTCCAAACCTCCTTCATCAGCTCCAACGCAGATCCCGTATTCCCAAACGCCATCGCCTCCACACTCAAGCACTCGAACGATGATCGGAAAAAGGCCTGCTGTGCAGCGGTTTGGCAGTGACAGCCGGCGATGGTGATCGGCATGACTAGAGCGCGGTGCATGTTGGGGTCCGAGTGTTCGATGTTGAGCCTCGTGAGAGCTTCTGATGTGTCTTGGACGGCTTGCGCTACCTCGGGTACTGTGAACAAATGTCAGCTGGAAAGACATGTGATAAGTTGACTTACCACGAGGAAAAGGACCGTTGATGGCGACCGCCAGTAGCACCTTCGCTGCACCGAAAAAGATGTCTCTCAACACAGACCTAAGCCCGTCATCCTCTCCCTTCTTCCCCCGGCTCTGATCAGGCATCTGGAGCAAGTCCTCCCTCCACGTCCTCTCATCCAGCAGTTGTCGGATTTGGCCAGCCCTGTCAACTAGCTCGATATATGAGAGGCAGCCAGCTCGCAGATTGTTCTCTTTCCACTCTTCCAGCGCCGATATTTCTGCAAAAGCTAGGAGCTGCCCGATGGATCAGTGAATGCCACATGGCACAAGCAGAGACGTACCGTTGTGCTGTCACATCCCATCACCCTGTCCATCTCCAGCAACGGCTTCGAGACTCCGGATATAATGTCTGTCGGCAAGGACCTGAGTATTCTACGATACGTCGGTAGAATACGCGAACCCTTTCCTGAGTTGACAGACGCAAAGATATCGATCCAAATCATATGCTGTATCAGAGGACGGTATCGCGACCACGGGCTCTTTTTTGGTAATATTACACTATGGGCAAGTCAGCAGGGTGCACCACGATATGTACTTTAGACGGAGACGCGATCTCACCGAGAGACAGCATCGTCGGCAAACTCGTGCGACATGGACAGAGCAGCCGACAGACATCTTTGATTGATCGAAACGACTTCGGGTAGCCGCTTTGACGTCCCCCCGGAGAAGAGATGGTAGGAGATGGCGAAAAGCGCGCAGAGGATAGTCTCTTCGGTAGTCAGATCTTGTGGAGAGAGGAAGCGGAGTCGTTCCATAGACTTCTCGTGCGAAGAGACTGCTACGAGCGCGTCCTCGTTCTCAATCTCGCTGATGCTCCCCAAACCCATCGGACCTCTCTCATGCGCATCATGCACTACCAGGAGGCGAGACGCATAGTCTGCAGCCGTCACATCTGTCCGGTTGGTATTGCGCCTCGACACCATATGCAGAGCAGCCAGCGAAGAAACACTCTCAAACACTTCGGACGCCCTTAGAGCTAAAGGCGCCACGAGCTCGCTCATAGATACAGAGATTGGGAGCAGGCGATATTGGAGAGGGAGGACGATGTTGAGGTAGTGGTGGACGTACTTCATCTTGCCGATATCGTGTGGGAGAGGACCGGTGGTAGGTGATGGGATGTAGATAAAGGGCGTAGGGCTGGGAGTACGGAGTTTCGTCTGAACCAAGCCGGTGTTTTCCCAAAGTGAAGAGTCGGCAGACTCGAGTAGATTCGACCAGAAAACATCAACCTCCTCATTATGCAAGCTTTCGAAGTTGGAAGAAGTGAGAGCGAGAGAGGAAGTAGATGCTTGTGGGAAATTGAGCGCCTCGGAATTGAGCAAGGAAGGATTCAAAGTAGCGGTCATCGAGTCTGCGGTCAGATACGGATCTGGTTCAGCCGGGATGGAGACCCCATTGACAATGTCTCCGGAGCTGGCCAGGTATGAGGTGCTGCCGATATTGCTCTGACCGGTCTGCTCTTGAGCAACGTGCGGCTGTCTTGGGCGCTTACGCTTTCGCGTCGACTCTTCCCCATCAATGGCGTTCGGCGGTACATTTCCCAGAACGGAATGCCGCAGGTCCGCAGAAGGTAGAGAAGTGTCGTGCGACTCGTCTGCGGTTGCTGAGTGGGCTTCTACGGCGAGAGTCGAGTCGAGTTTTGGTTTCTTGAAGCGATGAGACATGACTACTTCTTTGCTATCGATTTGATTGTCAGTCAAGCCAGCCCATACGTCCCATGGCACCCAGCTCACATCTGTTTCTTTGCCTCCCGCGCATTTGCCTTTTCCCTCAGCCAATCTGGACGCTTATCGCCATATCCCAAACACTCGATACCCAATCTTTGACATGTCGCGCAAGCTGGTTTCGTCTCGTCGCATCTCTATGATCCGGGTGAGAGGGCTTCTATATGTGAAGGAGACACCGCGAGCTTGCCTTCTTGCGCAGTCTACAAGTGATACATCCAGTCTTGGTTCTTTTGGAGGATCCCGAGTTACAAGTATCTGGCGTCGAAGTGGCCTCAGTCTGCTGCGTTTGTCAGTGACAGCCCCGAAAGTCAAACAGTAACCAGTATCTCACTTACGTCCATAGGTATTGTCAGGAAGGGAGTAGGGGTATACACAGAGATGACCTTGCAAGTCGAAAAGGGAGACACAAGAATGAGGAGATGGGAGTTTCCTAAAAGGGCAATCGAAGTGGCGGCCCCGACGGGGTTCCTGGTCGGAAACCGCCGAATCCCGATTGTTCGGGTGGATTTGTTCGTTGTGGGCTCTCGCTGGAACCAATCTAGTATGTTACTTGTGGACTACTTGGGGTACATAGCAGAAGAGCGTAAGGCATTGACCTTAATCATGAGCCATCTTGCAGCATCAGTAGATGAATGAGTCGACAACGTCGCGCATGCTGGCACTTTGGTGGTCTGCAACAGATAGAGTGGCATTACGATACCGATTGGAGCCAAAGCATACACATCAGAGCCAAAGCATACACATCAACAGCATAAATGAGAGACGAAGTACTCGAGTACTGTATAAAATCACAAAAGCGGCACAACATGACAAAGACTACAACTGAAGAGCAAGTCTCAGAAAGATCAAGATACTCGCAAACCGAACGCCTGATCAGACATATTCACCCGGCTATCGTCAAACAGTATTGTCAACGCAGCAAGCAGAGCATGTATGGGAAGAACTTACACCAGGACCAAAGTATCCCACATCCGGCAAATCAAGCAGCGGACACCCAAGCGCGTCGCACCCATTCGCATAGACCGTATTGCCCCACCAAGCGGGCATCACACCCCCTGGATAAGTCACGCAGAAGAAGATGACAACGCCGGATACGGCACAGCCGATTGTAGCACCGATAGACATGACGTACACGTACTTGGCCCACCAAGCCGGGAAGCGGCGATAGACGTGGGACATGAAGAACCAGGCGAGAGGGACACCAGCCCAGACGTATGAGATGTTGTACGGCGCAAAGTACATCATACCTGGGTGATATAGGTCAGTCGCGGTCAAGAATGATTGGAGTGTCCGAAATGCGACTCACCAAAGATGATGACAGGAACATTAACAGCTTTGGTGTATCGATTTGGCCACACCTTCTTGATACCAAACGCTGCCACAGTAGCAACCGCACCAGCCAAGAAGGCAAACAGAGTCCATTTGTAGAGGCCGTGAGCACCATACATCCTCTCCGGACCGACTACACCAAACATGAGCGCGGAAGAGTAGAATGTGGTCTATCAAGAGCCATAAGTATTCTTCTTCGGATGAGCTCGCTCGGACATTGGGCTCACATAGTATGGACACGTCATGAGATCTTTCTGACCAGGTTCACACAGGTCTGGGATAGCATTGAACTGCCAAGACATCACGCCAATAGAGACGATACTGCTGACCAGCACGCCCCAGATCTGAGTGCGGAATGTTGAACGAGGTGGGATGTGGAGGTAGTGCGCGAGCTTCTGGTCTTGGACGTACAGAAGCGCCATGACCAGAGCGACCCAGCCTATCCCAAAGTCAGAGCCGAACCTCATGACATGTCACGGAAGAGACATACCGTAGAGCTTGAAGAGCATGTTGGCATAAGGTCGTCCTGGAAGTGCGACGCCGGGGATGATTTCGGCCAGGATGACCAGCGAAACCTGCATCCCTGTCAGCAAGAGCTCTTTGCACCCCCATTGGACAAATGGACCCACCTGCATGTTGCTCAGAGCCTGAATAATCCCACCCGGAATCAGAAACACAAAAGCCAACAACAGACAGAGGAAGATGCCCCAGACCGGCATTGTGGTCTTGTAAACCTCCACCATAACGATGCCCGTGACCACCGAGAAGACGAGGATGAGCAAGTACCAAAATTGAGGTACTTCTTTGTATTTGTGCATGATGGCGTAGTGAATGTCGTATTGAGGACGGTCGTGAGATTCTTCGGAGGCCCTGCCGCGTTGGACGAGAGAGATGGCATTCTTGAAGGCGGTCATGATGCCATGCTACAACATGGGTGAGCAGATGGACGCAGTACGAGGAGTCAGAGGTCCAGTGGCTCACCTTGAGCTGTGAGCCATGTTCCAAAACAGCATACGTCAAAACGGCAGAATAACTCGCAAAGTAGGCAATGAGGACCAGATTGTATCCCGCCCCAAAGTAGATCGGCGAGTATGCATGGTACGCCTCTACATCAAGGGTCTTGTCCGGGGTAAGCACAGCGGTGACATTGTAGTAGGCGCCAAAGCGGTCAAAAGCTTGGTTGGAGTTTGGGAGGAGGTAGCTGGAATACCAGGTGTTGGACCAGTATGTGCCGATGATAACGAAAAGGCCAATGATTGATCCGATCAGGGTCTGAAGTGTGGCCCACCAGCTGGTGACTTGGGGTCAGTTAAATATCATCAAAAGGGAGAGCTGCGTACGGGGTGATGAGAGGTGTGAGACCGGCACCGCTAATGTACTGTTGATAGGGGCGTCAGGAAAATGACAGAATGTTCATATATGCAATGCAGCTCACTGTCCAGTCACTGCAGAGTGTCAGCTGAGTTAAAGAGCGAATGGAATTTGATGACGCACAATGTAGGTATAGGATTGAGCCCCAGGCCCGTCATGCTTCCCATGATTATGGCAAGCTACCCTAAATCAATATCTTTTCTATCACGCTAAGCAAAATCGCGCCTCACCTTCTTGTTATTGGGAGCGATCCACGTCGGCCAATTGAAGTACGTCAAAGACGGAAAGATGTAAGAGGTGAACCAGAACCACACAAAACTCGCAATAGTAGCAGTCAGGCAGAAGCGAAACATGGATATCTTCCAGCCATTGACGGGTGGATCGGTCTCTTCGGGATCTTCGCCGTGGTGATGCTCGACGACTTGCACAACCCCGTCCTCGTTGACTTTGCGCTTATGGAGAGCGTTGAATAGCGAGAGCTGAATGGGCGTGAGCAGTTGTTTGGCGTGAAAGGGTAGACATGAGCTCACCTTGGCAAGATTCAAAGGCCAGGTCATATTGGATGGGTATACAAGATACTCTCGCGAAAGGCCGGCAAGAGATAGACCCAGGAATTGAGTAGACAAGACCACAAGCCACCGAAATCCTTGACTGTTACCGAGATCCGAGTCGTTGAAGAAGATTGGCTGTCGTACGGCAATGACAATGTCGATGGCAGTCGCAGTTGGAAACGAGACAGTGGCCATCATTGTCACGATAGCGTGCTCTTTCACGGTCCAAGGTCCGGGATTGAAGGACCATGTCTTTCCTCGAAGGTGGAAGACTCTTTTGGGAAGGAATTTTGCAAGAGCGACGCCAACAGGATGTGAGAAGAATTGGGCGAGGAAAGGCGAGATGTAGATTCCAGGCTGCCGAGCGCCGAACCACACATTCAGCCCTGATATACAAGATTAGCATCATGCGAGGTGGCTGGCGATAATGACATACCGGTACCAACAACGGCAACAGCCGTACCAAGAACATACGCTCTAATAGTTTCACAAGACTCATCCGCGTCGTCGACTTCCACGGCAACAGCTCGCACTTCCTTCTGTGTTTCTCCGACGGTGATGTGAATACCTTCTCCAGTCGAGTAGTAATCCACCTCGGCTATATGAGTGTCGATATCATGGGAGCCTCTCCTATCGATCCCCAGATATTTCTCATCTTGAGTCGCCATGTGGGGCTTGGATATATCCGACATGATAAGTGGTGAAGAGTGTGTCAGCCTAGGTGGCGAAAAGACGATCGCCCGTCCAGATGGTCCCGGTCATCCGATAGTGGCTGGATGTTCTTATAAATACGGTAAGCATGACTTTGCGGCTTATCGTGTCTCGTCTCAAGCTCAAGAGGCGCCAGTGAAATGTGAACGGTCGAAGGCGCCAATTGAAATAACAAGCGCACGTGGCCGACGGAATCTTGCGCGACTGATACGTCCGAGATAAGAGACAGAATCAGGCGCCTTGAAGATCAACGCATTCATTGATTGGTTTCGTACGTTTCCCCAGGTAAGATGGAGATAGCAAAATTTTCACATGGAGGCATTATTGTCGCCGTTCATGATTGACGATGAATCATAAGATCGGTGGAGGAGTCTTCGTTCGTAAAGCGCCCTTGCCTTGTCATCAGGTGTTTGCCTGCCACATCTCGTGGGCAATGCTGTCAACAGATCAAGGTATCAATCATGAAATTGAGCAGAGCGATCAGGAAGAGATCCAGGGGCGGGGGCAGACTACGTTCACAGTACATCACTTGATTGTTTTTCTCTTTACAACATGACATTAACCCTTCCGCTGGCTTCTGATTCGCGTCGCTCTAGAAAAAACCCGTTATAATACTATACTATAATACACAATCCCAGAAGGTAAGATCTCTGCACCAGTACAAGACCCATAACTCCTCCATCAAGCTGGACAACCCATCATCAGCCCCGCCCAAAACAAAATATCGACCCCGAGAGCCATCGTGACTTACCAACATATCGAAAGTGCCCATTCTCCTTGTCCGTGAGATCCTCAAATACCTGGACCGCCGGGTCATACTCTTCATCCCCTTCATCAAACTTCTGGTTCCTCTTCTTATTGGGAACCACAAAGCAAAGACGGAGGAGGAGGATGACGATGATTTCGGCGGCACGAGAACACATGCAGACGATCGTTCCAGTCTTGTAGATAGGCGCTTCGGAGGAGAGGAATGAGTATGCTAGACGAGACGTCAGATTGAAATCGGACGATAGACTTGAAGGAGATGTGACTTACGACCGACGATGTTGCCCAAAGCAACACCCAAGAAGATCGCAGCCGAGCTCAGAACTTTCTTCGTCGTCCCCCCGACATTGCCCGATACTAGCGACAGTGCCAACACAAAGACCGCATTACTCGACCCCGTAAGATAGTACCCGATCAGCCTCGACGCAGTGGCTGTCGTAAACGCCATCAGCGCAAAGCCCACCACTGTCATGATAGTGACGGTAGCCATAAGGTAGGTACGGATGTTCAGGTGGTGGGTTTTGTGGTTGATGTAGATGGCGAGGTAGATCATCAGGGCGATGAAAGTGCCGTAGGGGATCTGGAGGAGGGTAGTTTGCATTGTGCTGTGAGGGAGCGTCATTATCAGTGATGAACCGACTGTGATTGAGACGGAGCCTACGAGAAGTTAAGGCCTTTAATGACCAGCGTCCCGAAGTTGCTCGTCGCCCCTGATCCCCACATTCAGTCAGCTCCTCAACCCGATCGTGCTACTCTCATAGACTCACCATTGGGAACATTGGCAAAGAACCCCAAAAAGAAGTACAAATAACTCTTCGGGTCCGTCAACGTCTCCACAATCTGGCCCATCTTCAACTGCCGCTTCTCGACAGTGTGATAGTCGTTTCGTTTACGCGACATGACAACGACGGCTTCGCGACGGGTGAACCAGCGGGAGCTGTGGGGAGAGTCGGGGATGAGGATGGCCATGACGATTGCCCAGCCGGAACAGAGGGCGCTGATTGTCGCGTCAGCCTCTGGAATGAGGAGAGGGGGAAGGACGCTTACCCGATGATAATGAATTCGTATCTCCACGAGGCAAGGTTGCCTTTGATATGACCTATGCCATAGCCGAACAGCCCGCTGTATCACCCGATAAGCGACCAGACATCTTCAGGGCGCGAGAAAAAGTACTCACCCGATGGCAATACCAACACCATTGAAACTGTACCAAAGACCGATGATCGTAGGCTGTTGTTTTCGCGTAAACCACATTCCGGTGATGGCGACTGGAAAAGAGTCAGCAATGATCTTTGCTCAATCAATCGGAGGGGGCTCGAGGCTTACCAAAGCACGGGTCTGCAACAGCTTCGAACATACCCGAAACGAATCGGAAAGCTACCATATCCCCGTAATCCTTCGAAGCACCTTGGACCATGAGGAAGACGCCCCATAGGAAGATCTGACAAAAAGTCAATGGCTTGTGGAGATGTGTGATGAGAACACTCACGTTGACAGACAAGTATTTGGCGAGAGGGAACTTTGCGAGCAGGAGGTTGCCGGGTATGGCCCAGATTATCCAGCCGACGTAGAAGATGGATGAGAGGTTGGAGTAGTCGGTACCAGAAAGGTTGAGATCTGACTTGAAATCGAAGAGCTGCTTGACGTCAACAAAGTCCATCCAGCATCTAATGGTGTCGGAAACTTACAGCCGCATAACCTGCGTAATGGTGTCGTCAGAAAAGAGACAACTGCATGGGACTGTTCTGACTTACTAAGTGTTGTCTTGTCGATGTAGTAGAAGGCATAGTCAATGGCAAGGGCAGGGACAATAAGCCACCATATCTTTCGCTCAACCTATGCGCCTGTCAGCTTGCCATTTGTCGACCATGGGAACACAACTCACCCTCTTCACCTCTCCAGGGTCGAGCTCAGTCTCATTCGCCAGCGCAACGTCCTGAATAAACTCGACGGAAGGGTTTCGCCTCAAGAGCTTCCTCAAGCCAGTCCGGGGTTTGGTGGTGTCCTCTTGAGCATCATACTGGACTATTTCCCGAGCTTCGTCCTTGATAGAAGCGTTCTCGACGTGCTCGGTGGTACCCTTATTGGCTTCAATGTCCTTGAGCTGCGAGATGGGAGCTAGGGCGGAGGGCACAAAGTCTGTGGCGTCTGCTGAGGGCATGGTGCGGGATCAATCGTCGTCTGGGCTTTCGTCTGGGCATACAGCAGCATGGGGCATCTTATATACCAATGCTCATTGTCTTATTCGTGCTAATTTTCACGCGCCGTATGACTGGAGAGGCCGTACTTCCTCCACCTTGCGATCGAATGATCATCTGACCATGTTCGGTGTCTCACCAACTTTCCAATTGCCGAGGCTGATCATCATACCCCTCAAAGACTGCGATAACAAGCCCCCAGGTGCGTGTGGGGCTCTGTGGGGTCCCTCCGGATCGTAGGGCCCGTGAGTGGCCCGCCCAGGCCCGCTGAGGTCCGGCCGGGCCGTGAGAGACGGTAGTGACATAAACCCCGATTGACCTCCGATAAGGCGCTAATCAGAGATAAGATGGGAGGTGGATACTTGCAGATGGATATCTTTACTAATTCAAGCTTGCCAGCCTTCGTCATGTGCCCAATCACCACAGAAAAACAGTCCCAAATCGGAGGCGGAGGCTACTTTCGCGGGCGGCAACTTTTTGCAGCCGATTGCCTGGAACGGCGGCGAGGATCAGAGAGAGACTGGGCGTACCACATAGAAATTCTAGAGGGTGCTCTTGGCATATCGCGCCGGTGTACACCCTTCATTGCATGGAGGATAGGCGAATACAGACTGTTCTGGTGGCAAAAAGCAAGAGGTCATAGGCGGGTGCCTGCGGGGTTGTCCGCAAATCTCGGCATTCCGGTCCGTAAGGTGTCGTGATGGCGGTATGTGGCGGCATGATGATGGTGCATCTCCTCGTTCTGTGCAAGATGTCTTACCCCACAATCCCCCGAATGTCTTATCTGATTCTCAGGTGGATACCCAGCAGATCCACCTGATCACAACAATTCCTCTTCCTTATAAGTCCAGTGCGACTTCTCGCTCTTTCATCATACCCAGCAGTCTCTACAATGCCCGTCCCTCTATTCTCTGCCCAATCTGTGACAGAGCTCATCGCTCTGAGAGCTCGTGAGTCCCCTCGAAGACCAACAAGACCATGATCTGATTGGCTTCTCAGAGACTCAGCCAGATGACTCTGCTGTCCATACTGGCGCCGCCGAATTCGGCGAGCAGCTCATGACCCTGACGTGCGTACACCTCATTCACTCTCTTGACACCCCTCTGACTGTCGAATGTAGCTACACAGATATCGCCAAAGCTGTCGACCGTCTCGCAGCCCACTACACTGCCCTCAACATCCAGCCCAGCGTCGCCGAAGATGAACTGCCAGCGGAACGTATCATCGCTGTCCTCACTTCCACAGCTATCGACGAGACCCTTCTTGAGATTGCTCTATCCAAGATGGGTCTTGCTTCGCTTTTGCTGTCGGTTAACAATTCAACGGCTGCTGTGGCTCATCTTTGCAAGGCCACAAAGAGCGCGTTCTTGATCTATGGGCCGAAATACGCCAAGACTGCCAAAGACGTACAAGAACTCCTGGAGGAGGAAGGCATTGAGATCAGGGTGGGTAGTTTCTGTGGAGTAATTCACGCATACTGACCACATTCTAGATCATTCCCGAAACCCGTTATCCTCTCTGGGGACCCGACGGTGCTCGGGAGTCGAAGATCATGCCCTACCAGGCTCGCCTCACTCCGGAACAAGAGAGCAAGCGCACCTGCGTCGTCCTCCACTCTTCCGGCTCCACTGGCTTCCCGAAACCAGTGTTCATTAGCCACTACGGCTTGGTCGCCAACGCTGCTCAATCTATTCCCAAGACTGGCTTCTCTGCCTTACCTCTCTTCCACGGCTTCGGGCATTTCTCAGTGTACGCCCTTCTTTACAAAAGACCAGAAAAAGACTGACGAGCAACAGATTTAGGTGTATCTATCACGGCAAGACATTCACCCTCATGCCCCCAAACATCCCTCTCACCTCATCGAACATCTGCCGTATCATTCGCGCCTCTCCCACACCTCCCGTGCAACATTTTGCCGTGCCCTACGTACTCAAATTGCTGGGCGAGACGGAGGAAGGAATGAAGACGTTGGCAGAATTTGAAGATGTGAGCTTTGCGGGGGCTGCGGTGCCGGATGATCTTGGAGATAGGTTGGTGAAAGCTGGGGTGAACTTGATTTCATTCTACGGTACTACCGGTAAGTCCCCTCTTTGCCCAATCTGAGCGACACTCACGCGTCTACAGAAACCGGCGCACTTATGACATCCCGCCGTTCCAACCCAGAATCAGATAAAGCTTGGAACTGGCTCCGCGCCTCCGGCCCCATCGCCCAATACCTCGAGCTCATCCCCCAAGGGTCCGACACTTTCGAAGTCGTCGTCAAAGACGGTTGGCCCGCCAAGATCATGAGCAACCGTGACGACGGGGCTTATTGTACCAAAGACTTGGTACTGAGGCATCCGAAGGAGAAGACGTGGTTCAAGTACATTGGGAGGTTGGATGATACGCTCACACAGACGTTGGGGGAGAAGACGAACCCGGTTCCCATTGAACTTGCTATTGTGAGCATCTTCCTTATTGGGTCATTTTGTCAAGCTGATGGCAAATAGCGTGGTAACTCACCCTTGGTGCAAGAGTGTATTGTGTTCGGGGACAGCAAGCCTCAAGTTGGGGCTCTTATTCTCCCTTCCGAACAAGGTGCCGAGCTCAGCAAAGACAAGAAAGCGTATATCGACGCCGTATGGCCCGTCATTTCCGATGCCAACGCCAATGCGCCAACCCACTCTCGTATCTTGCCAGAGATGATCGACGTTCTGCCTTATGGGACCGAGATCCCTGTTGTAAGTGACTCGGAAATTTTACGTTGGATAGGAGCTGATGTTCCAAACAGGCTACAAAGATGTCCATCCTCCGCCCAGCATGCTACAAGAAGTTTGCACCTATCATCGACGCCATATACGACCGCTTTGAGCGTGGCACCGGCGAGCCCAAACTCCACCTGACCTCCAAAACCGAGCTCATCAGCTTCCTCACATCCACCATCCTCACCGCCCTCGGCGAAAAGGGCTCTTCCTCTACTCTTACACCGTCTACCGACTTGTTTGAGTATGGCGTGGATTCCCTGCAGGCGACGAGGGCGAGGAATGTGATCACCAAGTCGCTTGACCTTGGAGAGGGGGCCAAGATTGGGCAGAATATCGTTTACGAGTATCCGAGTATCGAGAGGCTCTCAGAGTATCTGCTTGAAGTCCAGGAAGGTGGACAAGGGGATGATGGACCGGAGAAGGCACACAAGATGATGTGGGACATGGTCGACCTTTACACGTCCCAGCTCATCAAAGCACCTCTCTCCACCTCTCTTGCCGAGCCTCCTGTCACGCAGGGGCAAGTGGTAGCTCTCACAGGCGCCACTGGATCCCTCGGTGCCCACCTCCTCGACCGACTCACTCGCTTGCCCTCCGTCTCCAAAGTCATCTGCCTCTCCCGCGCCAAATCCCACGCCGACTCGCTCCAACGTATCCATGGATCCCTCACCCAACGTCTTCGCATTCTCTCCCCTGAGGCTCTGGATAAGATTGTCTCTTATGCTGCGGATGTGAACAGGCCGGATCTGGGCTTGACGGAAGAAGAGTATGACGGGTTGAGGAATGAGGTGACGGGGGTGATACACAATGCCTGGCCGGTCAACTTTGTGCTGTCTCTCCCCTCTTACGCGCCACACATTGCCGGGGCAACTAACCTCATCAACCTCACTCTCCGCTCTCCTCACCCCACGAAGCCCGCCTTCTTCTTCTCCTCATCCGTTGGCACGAGGCAAGGCCAACAGGACGGCGTGGTCAAGGAAGACTTCGCAGCAGGGCCGGAGAGTGCAACGGGAATGGGGTATGGGAGGAGTAAGTGGGTGGTGGAGAAGATCATGGAGAGGGCTGGGAAAGAGACGGTGGCGAGGTGCGGGGTGTTGAGAATTGGGCAGCTGGCTGGCGATACCGAAAAGTAAGCTTGATCGTCCGATTATGGATTTGTGTACTGACTTTGGTGATAGTGGGGTATGGAACGAGACGGAAGCTTGGCCTTTGATGTTCAAGTCCATCGACACCATTCACGCTCTTCCCATGCTCGAAGAGGTGTGTCCGTATTCCAACAAACATGATCGCAAACTGACTTATGTTCCAGCAACCCTCATGGCTCCCAGTAGACCAAGCAGCCTCCACAATCACTCAAATCGTCTTGTCTTCTATCTCTACCTCCACACCATCATCCGCACAGGTGTACCACATCCTTAATGCCCACCTCGCCTCCTGGTCTTCCATCCTTAAGGGCCTCGCTTCAGCCGGTCTCCAGTTCAAAACCGTATCTCGGCATGAATGGCTTAACCTCCTGAGCTCATCCAACCCCGACGTCACTGTCAATCCGACTTACAAGCTCCTGGGATTTTACCAGAATAGGATCGGGAAGGAGAGAGAGAAGGGACTGACGTTTGAGGTGGAGAAGACGGAGAAGGAAAGTGAGACGTTGAGGGAGGAGGTGAAGGCTGTCGAGGAAAATTTGATCGCGCTTTGGGCGAATAGGTGGAGACAGTCTGGCTTTATGAATTGAGGGTAGATTTGCCGTTGAGATGGAATTGTTGAGAGTACGAAGACTTGCTGAACATGTATGCCTGTTGTGTTGCAATGTGTCGTAGATTGAGGCACCCCAATCAGCAAGATAGACCGCCATGTCGCTGATCTGATGTGTACACTCCATCTTGTAGACACCGGTTATTGCTTAGAACGGTGAGGCCCGTCCGTGCTTGACACCGGAATGGTGTGGTCGACTTTGCAACAACATGCATCGGTCCATCAAGACCAGTTATCTCAAGATCGTCGACGTCTTTGGAAAAGGATTTGTCTTGCCCAACACCACGATTTGCTTTTCGTGCGATATATACCCCTTGATATATCCCTGCCCCTCTGTCAGCTCCACCACCCCGCAACACAAGTAGAAGGCAACTCACACGGTAGATCATATTCGCCACCATACACTCTACTTCCTCTCCTTCCACCACCGCCCCACTCAGCCTCAACGCCATTTGGAAAGTCCCAATCGGTACCCTGCTCTCTTTGCCCATCGCTACCCACGCCTGTTTGAACAAGACCCTCAAACAAACTTCTCTCGCTCTTTCCATTGTCAGGAAGATGTTCATGCTTACAAGCCGGACTTGGCCCCAGGTAAGGGCGTTGTCGTAGGCGGATAGGTTGCCGGATCGGAGGGCGGTGATGAACGGAGTGAAGAGGGTTTGGAGGCGGGGGTGGAGGCCGAGGAGTTGGGGAGAGGGGAGAATGCCTTGGAGAAGACGTAGTGGGATCAAGTACGAGAGAATCAGTCTAAAAACGCGTCAGCCTGTAAAGCCCAGGTAGATAAACGCGAATGGCCTCACTCTGTATTCCGTACAGCCCCCGCCGGACAATGTTCCAGCGCCCACTCGAGCTCTTCCCCCGCCTTCTTCTCATCCCCATTTAAGAACGCCAGCATACCCAGATAATACTTCCACGTAACCTGATCGCCTATCGGTGCTGTGGATACCGAGGGCGTTTTCGGATCCGACACGACGGCGCGGATGATGTTTTTGCAGAGGTTGGGTTTGGAGACTTTGAAGTAGCATTTCAGAGCGAGGGTGGCGGTGTGGTAGATGCCTTGACGCCGAGACTCAGAGCCCTTGAATGTCCTAGAAGGGGAGTGAGTTTGCTATCGAACTGGGAAGGTGGATGGACTGACCGGTCGGTTGCGCACATGGAGAAGGCTTTGCTTACTGTTCGGGTACAGATTTCGAGGGAAGGCATTTTGCCTGTAGAGTTATATATAGGAGCATCGGCCTGGAAGATATCAGTCTCGGTCTTTGGAGCTCTACGGCAGACGCACCCTTTCAGCAAGATACCGCAGGTCTACTAGCATCGTGTACAGCACTGGCAGGACCCATGATGACTGATCCGGGAGCCAGCGGTAGAACAGCGTCAATTTGGTGTTTTGATGTTCGAAGCTATACACATTGAAATCACTGTCAGACAGGTCACGGTGATAATAGAGGACGCACGCTTGAGCAAAGTTTTGTAGTTTATACTGTGCGTGAACGCAAGCGCAGTGGCGAGCAGCAATCTCGCTCCATGGTTCTTCCAGCGTGATTCCAGGATTCTTCAGTTGCCTTTCCTACACATCCAGTCAGCCAGGAACGCGGACCGAACGCGCGAGTTGTAGTTGTACGAACTGTAAGTTCCCCGACAGTCTCTGACAGCCCTCTAGAAGTCCTTGAATGTATTGATAACAGACGGTCGAGAGCAGTCGCGTCTTGGTGCTGAAGTGGTTGCGAGAATGCGGAGATGTACTGCGAGAGCTTCATGATGTCTAGGGAAGAGGGATATTTGGGCGGGAAATGATAGAGGAGATGGGCGGAGCTGGTGATGCTGGAGGATGTGGGTTTGGAGTGGCCCCCCACTTTAAAAGTTGACGTTTTCAAGAATTCCTTCTTCGCACGGCACCGGATCCGGAATATACTTCTCAGCGATACATATAAAGCTATTTTCCTTGATTGTGGATAACAAACTCCCATTCATCCGCCCATTCATCAACAGTAAACCCTGCAAGCCAAAATTTACATAGGAAACTTAAATACAGTCAGATTCATCCACCATGGCCGTCCGTAAGTCATTCCTATCCACCGTCTCTTTCCATCTGACTCTTCTGCAGGTACTCAATTTGAAAACTCCACCGACATCGGTGTCTTCTCGAAGCTCACAAACTCGTATGCCCTCCTACGTTCATCGCAAAATTCAAACCTGACAAGCCCCAAGCTACTGCCTCACCGCCCTCGCCTCATCTACAAACTTCTACTCTGTCTTCGAGTCTGAACTTTCCGATGTGATTCCCATTATCCACACCACCATCGGTGGTACCCGTATCATCGGCCGTCTTACCGCAGGTAACCGACACGGTCTCCTCGTCCCCTCCACCACCACCGACCAAGAACTCCAGCACCTCCGAAACTCCCTCCCTCCTACCGTCGCCATCCAGCGTGTCGAAGAACGTCTGTCTGCCCTCGGCAACGTCATTGCGTGTAACGATTACGTGGCGCTTGTCCACCCCGACATAGATCGAGAGACTGAGGAGATCATCGCGGACACCCTCAAGGTCGAGGTTTTCAGGCAGACGATCGCGTCCAACGTCCTTGTGGGATCCTACTGTTCTTTGAGCAACCAGGGTGGTTTGGTACACCCCAAGACGTCGAGGTCCGAGTTGGACGAGCTGTCGTCGTTGTTGCAAGTGCCGCTTGTGGCTGGTACGGTGAACCGAGGAAGTGAGGTGATTGGTGCCGGGTTGGTCGTCAACGATTGGTGTGCGTTCACTGGTTTGGACACTACCGCTACCGAGGTCAGCGTTATTGAGGCTACTTTCCGTGAGTCAACTGTATGTCGTGTTCAGGACGGTGCTGATATACGACAACAGGATTGCAAGGACAGACCTCTGCCGCCGTCATCAATGAAATGCGAGACTCCCTCATCGACCACTACGCCTAAGCTTTTTCCGCATACCTATACCTATTCTTATTCTATTCTTCTGCGCCTCTTAACCTCTACATCTTTTCTATCCCTATGTTGGTATAATAGAGCGTAAATTGGGTGGTACTTCGTGGAGTGGTCTCAGAGAAGAAGTCGGGGATGTAACGATAGAGTGGAATATGTGCAGCCAGCTCTTCTAGCCTTTCATATCACAATGTACATTCGCATGACCTTGGCAATGATCCTACTGTACTCGGATGGGCTACTGGAGTACGCATGTGTACGGCAAGCAACGCGCGAGTCGGGCGGCGGCCGGCGAGCGCACTATGACGCTTAGGCTGCTTCTACGATTCCCCTACATATAAGTCCCCGCCCGCTTTAGCATCTCTCCCTACTCAGCCACCATGACACTCAATATCCCCAACAAGCCCTCCGAGATCATCACCCCCTTTCCCGTCTCGCCCAACGGCCCATCCAAGAACGCCCTTAAGGTCCTGGGCCAGATCGTCCGCAAGACCACCGAGGCCAACGAGGTGTACAGCGTCACTTTCTCAGAAGTACTCTGTCCCGAGGGCAAGAATCATCTCTTCAGCTTGAAGCCTTACTTTTGGGAGGTTGCTCCTGGCAAGTGGGGTGAGTACATCTTCGGTTTCGGAAGCAAAGAGGACAGCGGCTGACCTGTGTCCGGGCTCGTAGAGCGAAGGGATGGGAAGCGCAACCCATACTGTGATAAGCCTCAAGGTCAGAAGCAACTGGACACCGCTGCGGCCCAGATTCACAGCCTTGCCCTCGGTATTATTCATCTGCCCGAGTACCGCGATGCTGCCATCAAAAGAATTCAGAAGCTCTTGACCGTGTTCTTCATCGACTCTGAGACCAAGTAAGCTGCCTATAAGCTGCCTCTCTTCTGTTCAAGTTGTTGGTATGCTGACGTTGCAAAGGATGAACCCGGAAGTCCGCTATGCCCAGTGTAACCCAGCCACATCCCCTCTCAAGGGCGAGAACTCCTTCGTCATTGCCCTTCGAAACATCATTCTCATCTCTCAAGCCCTTACTCTGGTCCAGCAGTACCTTGACAAGGGTCTTGTCAGCAAGCTGAAAGAGTGGGTGGCTCATCAAGTCAAATGGATGCAAGAGTCAGAGCAAGGGAAGGATGTGCAGAGGTACGAGGATAACAAGATCATTTGGTACCACGCCATCGTACGTCTATCTTCCTTTCGTTCCCGCTTTGTCGTGGTCTGACACGTAAGAATCAGATTGCCTCCCACCTCGCCTTCATCAACCCCCAAGAGTCTCAAAAATACGCCCTCAATTTCTTCCAGACTTACGGCGCCTCCCACACTCCCCAAGCGTACTTTGAGGAAGACCTCAAACGTACCCGTCCCCGACACTATACCCTGTTTGCCCTCGAACCCCTTGTAGTCCTGGCCAAACTTACCGCCTCGCTCGATGCTCAGCCCGAGTCCAAAGCAGCGGCCTACGCTCGAAACCTCCTTGAATTCGCCAAGACCGTCCAACCCGGCCAGCTGGAGAAGCCTCTCGAAGAAGGGGGTCGCTATGAGGGACAGTGGCAGTGGTATGAGCATATCATTTCTGGGTGGACAGGCCAGGGAAAGAGGGGCGGAGATGAACCAGATGGAGGGGCTTGGGAGGGTGGATGGACACAGAGGATGAGGATGCTCTGGGGGTTCTTTTAAGATCCTGATGCGAGCAGGTGCAATACCAGGAAAGACGAGGAAAAAACTTATATTGTAGCGATTATGATCAACGTACACGAGAAGGGCACGAATGCACTACCAAGGAACATGAGGAATAGTCCATTAACGGCCTACCTATGGTGCAGCTTTCTGACCAGCTGCTTGCTCTATTGCGATATCATCACTCAATGGCTATACTCGTATACGTATACTATCTGAATGTCCCCTGCATAGACTAATACGTCAGATAGCTCATTTCTTGCTCTGATGGCAGTTCCGACTTCTCGTCGTCTGCAGTCCCCTTTTCGTCCTCTTCATCAAGCCCGCTGGTCAGATCCTCCATGCGCCTTGGCCGAAGCTCCTCAAGATTGGAAGGCGCATCGACAGAATTTTCCTTCACGAGTCGGACAGTCAGTTGACTCCAATCAACGGTCCTCTCATCAGGAGCCATTCCATTTTGTCGGAAGAACTGCATGTCGGGATTGTTGGATATGGAAGCGGTGAGCTGATCAACCCCTTTGAAGAGGGATAACCTGGCATCATCGATCTTCGAAAAGACTCCTGACCTCTTGTAGGGGAATTTTCTGGTATTGCTGCGGAGGGCAGGTAGTATATCTTGTGCTTCGGGGTGTTGCGACCCGTCGTTCGACATAAAGATGCTGCTGAGACCTTCGATGGTCTGGGACAGCGGCTGGAACTCCATATATGTCTTCATGCTTGGAGCGTCGAGTAAGTATTCATTCATCGCGCGTGCCCCCTCCCGGAAGGCTGTCGGTATCATTCAGATCCTCCGGAGCCGCTTCTCCATATATTCCCTGGTAGAAGCTTTCCTTTGCTTCCATTTCCATTCGCAACCCCTCCTTGGCCACTTCCAAAGATGCCATGTTGAGAGATTCGCCTGTCACAGAATGTTCCCCTATGACCTCGCCTGAGAGATGGCCGACCAGCTCTGTATTCTCAGCCCACACAGCCAGCTTCTCCCACATTGATCGATCCTGTTTTGGAGTGGCGAAACCGGACATTCTATCGAGCTGCCTCTCCAGGTCCTCTATCGACATGTCTTTGCAAGAGTCCTCAAACTCCACAAGTGCACTCCCATAGTCTTGCAGAAGTGTATTGCGTAGCTTGTCTCCGACGATCTCGTTCATTACATGGGCCGGCGAAAGTGAATCGTTCAACCCCAAAGATGCATTCCAAACGACGTTCTGTTGACCTTCTTCGATTACGGAAGTCGTAAAGTCGACCAGCCACTTCTGGGGGTCCTCTTGTCCTTCAGCAAATACAGATGATATTTCAATCTGCATTGGCGTCCTGATGTTTCCCAAGCTGTCTTGCGTGACTGGCTCTTCGGCAGTGTACCTGATTCTGCTGCCAATACGTTTTTCAGTTCCCTTGAAGAATGCTCGCTTGATGAGCTCGCTTCTTTGAACCTTTTCGTATTCTTCATCAGGGGTGTCTTCCGGCAATTTGGATAAGGGCGTATCCTGGGCCAGCAATGAAAGACGATGAGCACGAGAGGTAAAACCCCAAATCTCCTTCAGCTGGTCTACGTCTGGTCCACATGGGACTGGACGTCTTCCTGTGAGAGAGTGTTGGAAGGGGGGGCCGAGGACATGACGCTACTGAGTTTCGAGTTGTTGCTTGGCAATGTACTTGATGGTATTGTGTATATGGCCAGGCAGGACCTTTATATACATTTCGACGCCGCCTGTGTGCTGATGTAAGAATGGAGTATAATGCACTATCCATGGCGAAATATCTCCAGAAATAGAGTTGGTAGATTGTTTGAGCTTTTCTCAACCCACCGACAGTAGATCACAGGTGCTGTATATATCTGAGAACAACAAGTCGTTCAGAACAACCATTCAGGGCACAAGCAGTAATCCATTGTAGGAAGCTTCAGTCATGTTGTACTTTATACATAGACATGGTTATAGTTTGCAGCAGAGGCTGCTAAAAAGGGAAAGGCAACATGGGCATCATGACAGCAGACATACTTGTAGTAGCACCTGTGCACCTGTAATGTTGAGCGACTGTGTCTAGCGAGCTCTAGCTCGAGTGTTGCCAGCATTCTTCTTCAAGGCCTGTGGCGTCGCGTGATGAGCTTGGTCCGCTTGTACATGGTGCAAGACTTACCGCAGAGAACTCTTTAGCCATTTTCGAACCAGAAAAATCTTGCTTCTCTCCTCCTTTCTTCGCCTTCCCAGTAGTGTTCACCGAGGCCGATCTGTCTTTTTTGAGGTTCTCTTTGGCGCCGGTCTTCTTCTCCACTTCTTTTGTACGACCGTTCTTCGCAATACTTTTCTTCACGCTCCCGATTTTGACCTTTGCTACCTTTGGCGACGGTTCCTCGCGTCCATCGTCGGACGAAGTGGCCGAGCTTTCGATCGGATCAAGCTCAAAACCAGAGTCAGGAATAGAGTCGGAAGATTCGAGGGACAATGAAGGAATGCGTTTGCGCTTGGGGGATGATTTGAATGACCTCTTGGTCACGGCGGATGACTTGATCGATCTTCGAGGGGCAACACCCCTTGCAGTTTCAGCATCTGACGCCCAGGCTTTGATCGTTGTCGCCGGATGATTTTCCTCTTCCGCATTTAAGTCCTCGAACGAGATGTCTGTGTCCTTCTTCTGGATGTCATTCGAAGCGCTGCCATCGGCTTCGTCTTCTTCGGATGCCGTGATGAGGTCAAGTGTCGGTTCCCTTGTATGGGATACCCGGCGAGATGAACGACGGGTCTTATCGGCGACCGAAGGAACGGTGGCATCAACCTTCGAAGTAGTGGAAGCTCGGGGACGTGGTTTCTTGTCGAGAGTTGCCTTGGCCCTTTGCTTGGTCTTGGGTTTTAGAGTAGAACTTTCATCTTTGTTGCCTTCTTCCATTGTTGGCTCGTTCACCACCTCCTCTCTGATCTTCTTCCCCTTTTTCGGCGGTGCTTCCACTTCCTCGTCCGACGATTCGATGCGGCGTTTGGTACGAGGCGAAACGTCTCCAATATCGCTCGAACTGCCCTCATCAGGATCGGCTCGAGGATAATCCTGGGGGATGCTCCTCTTGGACCTCCGAGGGTTTGGGGATATAGATGGTGCTTCAGCTTCGGTTTCGGACGTGGGCGAGTCGGCAATCTGCGGCTTGACACTGGACTTGGAGCGGCGGGTTTTGGCCAGCGGCGCCTCTGCCTCCGACTCTGACTCCTCGAGGGCGGCCACTTTCGTCTTTCTTTTCTTGCTCTTGACAATCCCAGCTTTCACGGCAGACGGGGAAGCCTCATCAGTCCCAGCTGACTGCAGAGTCTTGGGTCGAGCAGTGGGGATAGATGGGGATTTCTCGTTTTCGCCGGACGAATCGCCGTCGTCGTGTTCGGTATCGACGGATGAAGACGCAGCCTTCTTAGACTTCTCAGAGACCACAGTAGACTGTAGTAACGTCATCAGCAACCAGCGCAAGGAATAGGATGGGATACCAAGACTCACTTTCGCTTTCGGCGTCCTGCCGACCTGCTTGTCTGTATGACTCTCCACACTACCGTCTCTCAAAGACCCCGGCGTGGCCTCTCTCCCGATCTTGATCTCCCCCGCCAAAGTTGAGGACTTGGCCTTGAGTCGCCTCGTCTGCTGCGACTCCTTTTCGCCGCCAGGTGTCAATGTGGGTAAGGTGAATGACTTCTTTGTTGATTTCATCACCTTGGGAGCTCGCTTGTCTGGTGTAGCAGTGATGGCGCCGGACTTGGGAGATGGATCATCCAAGATGGGCGATTTGACAAGCATCGGTCGGCGGGAAGAAGGTTTACTGCCATCTACCACCCCGTCAGCCATCTTAGTCCGACGAGAGATCATGATGAGCGAGCTTACAAGTCTTTGCGATAGCGTTTTTAGGGGTGCTCGAGATGAATCTGAGATTGACAAAGATTTCATCTTCGGACTCGGAGTCTTCTTGTTCTTCGGACTTGAAAGGGACGGGCACTTTCTCCTTCTTGGGCTCAGCCTGTTTCTCAACCTTGTATCTAACACCCTGAGCATCCTTCTCACCCCCGGACAAACTTGAAACAGGTGCCACTCTATTGCCCTTCGGCATCGGACCATCCTCGACCCCCGAGAACACATCCTCCGCATCCGACGTGATCGTCGTCCCTCCCCGCGCCCCTCCCATAGAAGAGAATAGCTGCTTGCGTTTCATCTCTTCCACCTTCTTTGCTGGCGCGATAATCTTTCCAGACTTGACAGACTTTGGATAAGGCTTAACGAGGTCTTTTACTGCTGCTGAGGGCGTCTCAGCTGGATCGGGGGTAGAAATGCGGCGGGGGGCGCAAAGGTCGATATGAGATTTGAGAGCGGCAGAAGGGGACTTGAATTTGATGGTGGTGGTATCGCCAAGGAGTGAAGTTGCTATGAGCTCGTGTGCTGAAAAGTGCATCAGCGACCGTCGTATGAAGAGCGAATGAAGACTCACTGGCTGACTCCTTGTCATAAGTAGAGATATTGGCAGATCGGACGTCTTGATGAGAATAACTAAAGCAGACGTCTGACCCAAGCTTGCCTCCCAACTAATTACCCCTCGTCAACACCATAACCAGCGCTTCTTCATGTTTCAGTCACTCACCTCGAATCTCCAGCCCCAGGAATCGATGTAAAGAAGCATATTGCCTTTGTCAAACGCTTCAATCGCGTCATCTTCTGCCGCCTGATCGTCCCCATCGATAGACATGCTTGTCAAAGTAAACGCGACAGGACGGACGAGCGAACTTTCTTTTGAGAAGATGTTAATAAGCTTTGCCAAGTGCTGCTAAGAGATAAGCCTTGATTACATCAGACGCACAGTTAGAAGAAACGCACCCGAGGCTCAAGATCTTTCTCCATCCTCCCAATGGCCACCAGTCCTTCTTTCGCCACCTCCAAACTCCAGCCTTGTTTGACGATGACTTCTTTGCAGCACTTGGCCCGTGCGGATGCTTTGCCGGAACCTTTAATGTGCTCTGGGAGGAGACTGTGGATGAGGCGAAGGAGGGAGGATGAGAGAGTGGATGCTGTATACAGGGCTTAGCAGTGGCTGACGATGATGAGGGGGGGCTGGGGCTTACACTGGGAGGTGAAAAGAAGTTGACCGAGCTTTGTGCTGGAATACGTGAGCGCCCCATTCTTGAGCTGTGTACTGTGGAAGAGACTCACAAGCCCAAAGTATTCTGGTCTGTCAATAGTTGGCGACATGCGTCGTTGTCAGACAGTTGAAGAAGAAGTTCTCCGATCTAGCGGGTTATCATCGTTGACCCCGGAGAAAGCCGTGTAAGACTTACGTAGAGATGCAAGAGTGGTCCTGCGAAACGACCTTCGGCGCCCAGTTACAGAACAGAGCAGAGAAGTTGAGTGACGTTTGCAAGCTTGGCGGGTTGACCTCTGCCGTCGAGTAGATCCTCCGTCTGTGACAAGTCGTCAATCAGGCGGCAAGAGTAAGGGGCGGGGCGTGTACTCACAAGGATACTATGATTTGATTAGCAGGATTCTGTATGTCTAGATGACACTCACAAGCTAGTGAGACCGGTCATCAACCTCTCTGCGCGTTTCAGCACCCCCAGAGGTCCGCGGGCATCTTCGGCGGTGAGTAACAGAGCTTGAGGTTTGGTCTTGGAAGGGTCGACGGTACTAATAGCGGCGAGGACCTGGTCCATGACAGAGTGAGACCAGGTCAGCTTGAGTGATGCAGGTATGGCTGCAGTCGCCAATGGAAGCTTTTGAAGGTCTGAGCGCAGATCTCTGAGTGGCGGGGTGGCACTCACGTCATCCTCGATCCATTCCGCCAGCTCCAGCGTCTTCTCAGAGGGCAGAGGATCCACGGATTGCTGTCCCAACCATCAGCTGATGTATATGACAGCAACATAAGCTATCTACCAGACTGTCGTCAACCAGCTTGCGTCCTTTGGTCCACTTGAGAAGCCGCTTCTGGCCAGGAGCAGTTCTGTCTTTGGCCAGGTGGCTTTTGATCTTGTCAGAAGAGACCTGGATGCTCTCCAGAGTGGCGGAGGGCATTTCTAGTACGATGTACGTGCCGATGGAAGCGGGAGATGAGAGGCAGATGAGGAATGGGAGATGAAAGTTGACATCACCTCCCAGCAGATCAATCAACGCGACGCGCTGCATTACGTAACTCCATCTTACCCGATCCGGCTATAAGCCGGCCGCGTCATCATTGGTCCCGTCCTCTGATAGCACACCATCCCATCCCATTCCTATCTCACTTTCTCATCTGCATCTCCATCTTCTCTGCCCCCCATGCGCTTCACCGCCGCCTTCCTCCTCCTGCCTCTGGCCGCCATCGCCAGCCCCATCGCACATCCTGACCTCGCTCCCCTCCAGGCAGCTCCCGAGGGCAACCACCTTGACGACTCGTACATCGTCGTCTTCAAGAAGGGCGTCAACCCCAGCCAGATCGCGCTCCATCTCGACGATGTCGAGCGGATTCATGGCGCCAACGTGAGTCCTTATCTTCTCTTGCTGCCTTCCGCATTTCAACCCGCCACTCGCGTGCTTGCTTTGTGGCGACCTGCCCGGTCTGGATCGTTCGCTGACCCTTCAGTAGCCTCTCGACTCTTTCACTGCCGATGGCGATGTCGAGGAGGGCGGTTTGAGGCATGTCTACTCTCCCCCCAGCCACAAGGCCGAGTCCGGTTTCTTTGGCTACGGTGCGTCGCACGATCCCGATAAGCCTGTTCCTAGCTGATTTGCCACTCTTCCCTATCACAGCCGGCAAGTTCTCTCTTGACACTCTCCAAGCTATCCGCTCTGCCCCCGAGGTTGCCTATGTTGAGCGTGACCAGATCATGACCACCCTCGAGGTCCCCCGCGGTGTCGACGACGTCGAGGAGGTCTCGGGATCTTCCGCCGGTATCACCACTGAGCGCGGTGCCCCTTGGGGTCTCGCCCGTCTCTCCCACCGCGAGCAGCTCCACCTTTCCACCTTTACCAAGTACCTCTACTACTCTGAGGGTGGTGAGGGTGTGACCGCCTACGTTATTGATACTGGTATCAACGTCGACCACGTCGAGTTTGAGGGCCGAGCCAGGTGGGGCAAGACCATCCCCAAGAACGACGTCGACAAGGACGGGAACGGTCACGGTACTCACTGTGCTGGTACTATCGCTTCCAAGAAGTACGGTGTCGCCAAGGCTGCCGAGGTTGTCGCTGTCAAGGTCTTGGGTTCTAACGGTTCTGGTACTATGGCCGATGTCGTCGCTGGTGTTCTGTAAGTTCTGATTCATGTCTGTTGGACCATACTGACTCGTGTATGTAGCTGGGCTGCTGAGCAGGCTGCCAAGGACGCCGAGATTGCCGCCCACGAGCTCGCCACCACCGGCAAGACCAAGCGCAAGGGTTCCGTTGCCAACATGTCTCTTGGTGGTGGTAAGGCTCAGTCTCTCGATGACGCCGTCAACGCTGCTGTCGAGGCTGGTCTTCACTTTGCCGTTGCCGCCGGCAAGTAAGTGTCTTCTCTTTGTGTATCTTGACCGCGCTGACCATCTCCTAGCGACAACAAGGACGCCTGTAGCTACTCTCCCGCTGCTGCCCAGAAGGCCGTCACCGTCGGTGCCTCTACCCTCGGCGACGACCGTGCCTACTTCTCCAACCACGGCAAGTGCGTCGACATCTTTGCCCCCGGCCTCAACATTCTCTCCACCTGGACTGGCGGCAACGAGACCACCAACACCATCTCTGGTACCTCCATGGCTTCTCCCCACATCTGCGGTCTCCTCGCCTACCTTCTTTCCATCCACGGTACCGAGACTTTTACCCTCCTCGAGTCTGACCTCGAGTCGGAGTCTACCTCTGGTATCTACGCCAAGGCTTATGCCCAGGCTTGGAGCCTCCTTCCCGGTCTTGCGCAGAGCATCCTCCCCGCGCCCGAGACTGAGCTCTTGAGGCCCGTCCCCAAGGAGGACTTGACCCCCGCTCAGCTCAAGAAGGCTCTCATCAAGCTCGCCACCCCTGGTGTCTTGAGCGACTTGCCTTCTGGCAGCCCCAACCTCTTGGCTTTCAACAACGCTACCTTGCCCAAGAGCAAGTAAAGCATCGTTGCGCCCTGAGCCCTGCGGGGACGTGTACGAGAATCGAGAAGAGATGAGGGATAGGATGTGAAGCATTCTTGTCATTCTTTCCGTCCTTCTTGGATTCCTTATACATCAACAGTTGGACGTGTAGCATCTGGAATGGAATGAGGCTGGTTTGTATATCATAGAAAGAAATGAGTTGAACATGCATGTATGAATATGTTGCCTTGACCAGCCGAAATCTTGGACCAGACTTCGCCGTCATGAGTCAGCCACGTCTCGGTCACACAAATGGAACTTACCAGCATGGCGACCCTCCCGAGTACCAGAGAAGTACGCTGGCTTCCCGCAGGCAGGATATCAGCCGCTAGAGAAATAAAGTTGGTCTTCTTGTCGATTGACCCCTTGATCTAAAGGCTATATATTAGTCACTGAAGATACATACATTATATGCCTTACCGAACTCAAGACATTAAACCTTCGAGCGGTTAGCCTTTTGCCTATTGCCTTCAGCACCTCAGCGTAAGCGGTGGTCGCGACAGCAGGGATGGTGTTAGGGTTGAATCTTTCAATCATGTCCTGGACGGTTGTAAGTCGTTCCTCTGCATGGCATGGAACCTGTCGGGACGAGATAACTTACACTGATATATGTCTGAAGTTTCCTGTCCTTGTACTAGGCAGGAAGAATAAGATTCGCCATCACTTCATCGACATATATAGGGACAAGATCCTGTTGTTTGTCAGTAAAGTGAAGCATTACAACGACGAGACCACTCACAGTGGCCTCCTGTGCCTGCTGGTTTCCTTCATCTCTATGCAAAGACGCATGCTGCATGACGTAGATCTCGAGCAGCTGGCGTCTCACATCGAACTGACAATGCAAACATTAGGGCGACCCACATATAAAACCCACTAATAGATACTTGACAGAACATCTTCATCTGCTCCTGTCTCTCTTCTCCCAGAGATTGGTAGGTCTGGTAGAATGCACCTTCCCAGAAGGTCCCTCCAGATTCGTCTGCCCGGTCATCCACGTCCACCTCGTCTTCATCTCCAGCCGGGTCACCGTAGTCAACCTCCAGTAGAGTGCGCGGGCAAGGGCGCGTCTCCAGTAATTCTATGAGCTTCCGGTTGTACTCGTCCTCGGGCGCATTGCCCCGCAAGACAGCAAGCACCTGAATGTCCTCATCGTCGAGGCAAGGCGGCTTCTCCAGGTGTCGGCAAAGGACGTCATAGAGCGCGCGGTGATTCTGCTTGAGGTAATCCTTCAAAGTCGGCAAAGAGGTGTCAAATGGAGGGGCTTCCGGTATGCGGTCCAGGTCGGGCAAACAGTGTTGAAGTTCTGGAGGGCAAGCCCTCACCACCTCTTCATCTACCATCGGCGAAAAACAACTAACTGCCCTCTGGTCAGCCAGAGTACCTTTTCCTCTGGATCGGTTTGTCCTGCTGCCATTGTCACTTGGAAGTCGGAAATGGATCGCGAAGGAGGTTTTTGCCCATGGCAGGATGAATGCCAGGCTGGGGACCTGGAATCTGGAAGCGCGACAGTGATCACGATACCACTCGATGGCGGTCCATACAAGCCAGCGGGTCTGCAATGGTATGTAAGCAAGGATATAGATTGTTGACGATACTCACAGTTTCGGACCACCACCAGGGTTCCATGGCCACATACAACCCTTCACTGCTGCGTGCCCGAACAGAGATCGCGGTAGGCGTCAAATTCTTCCTCACTCAGACCATGGAGGCCCTCGTTTCTCTTAATGAAGAAGAGGGTGTTGAAGGTTAAATCTGACGTCACGAACGCCGGCTTCAACGCGACGCCCTCTCGACAGCGGCCCAAGGGTGAGTCGTCGTAGTGGTCTTGGTAGAATTTTTTGACCTAGCAGCTGTCAGTCGAGATTCAACATCAAAGAAACGACGCACACTATCAAGTCTCTTCTCGACCCGCTTGACGACGTTCGCCCTCTCGTGCAAATCACCATCACCCAGGAAAGGGAGAGGATTGGCCCCAAGTGGAACGCGTGTCCACCACAGCGTTGAGTAGAGTTGGCTGATGCGGTTGCCAATTGTTTGAGAGTACAGGGTGTACAGCTCATCCCACAACATTTTCGGGTTTGGCTTGAAGACATCTTGCGCCTCAGCCGAGACTGCGTTCTTGACAGCTTCCGAAAGGGACTGAAGAAGAATGCCCAGCCCTTCGTTTTGTTTCGCTAGTCGAATCTGCTCAAGGGGAGTGAGCGGCGTGGGGATGGTAGAGGGATCTGAGGGATCCATCGTGTCGAAATAGAAAGACGGGTCCTCAAAGGGCTCGGACCTTAGGCAAAATAAGGCCTGCTTCCTGAGAAGCAATGAAGACACACTTGGACAAGCCAGGTAGTCAATGGGCGTACGTAGCTTCCGATTCTTTCGCATACCAGTCCGGGCGCCATAGACGCTGTCCATCTGGACCGTCGAGGAAGGGTGTGCCATCGTCGTTGGGCTCGAGCCATTTGTCAATACCAAGATCGCTTTTAGACTTGGCGTCTCCCAGACCAACGAGTCTGAGGACAGCCTGCAGAGCCGAATTCTACCGTCGAGGTCAGCAAAGCAAAGGAGGTAGAGGAGATAAAAGTACCGCCACTGACTCTCGCTTTTGTAGGCTCCGCTTTCGCTTGCTCCCGTGCCCACCTGTGTGACGAGACGCCGTCTGCAGACTAGCCATCGCCTTCTGCTCCTGCAGCTCCTTCTCGAGAGCCTGCACTCTCTATGAGAGCCGCCTCGACAGCCATGCGAGGGCCTTCCGTCGCCAGGAAAACCCCAGCGGACGTGACCGCCTCTGGCGTCTTGACAAGGAATGGGATTTGCTTCCGTCGTCAGCAGGTCAAACGACCACCCATGTCGCGCTCATCATCTCTTTCCTTTAACGCGTCGCCCCTCGCCATGATAATCCCCACCCCTGCACACGGAAGCACCTCCTACCGCCTAGTCCGCGGCACAAAACTCGCAGTAAGCGCCCCCATCTCCCCTCCCCACCCACAGCCCAGATCACCTCCTGACACCTTCTCCAGGACATCCCTCCCCAGCCACCCCTTCCCCCAGTCCCACCCCTCTCCGACCTCGACGGACCATTTCAGCTCGCAGAGTATCTCTCGCTCAAGGTCAGGCATGACCCACACGACGTCAAGGGGCTGGTCGAAGTGCCTGGAGGAGACGAAAGTGTAGGAGGCAAGGGACCTGATCGAAATGTTGTGAGTCTTTCTGCTTGCGTCTGTCGAAATCGTAGCTGATGTTGGGGTAGTGGATATACGAGCATCTTCGCCGGATTCCCATAGACTTGACTCCCCTCATCACCGCTCTCCTCCCTGTCTGCAATCGTGACACTTGCGGCCCTGAAATGCGAGGACAAGACTTTACCTACTTTTGTGTCGCCCACGGGAACGGCACGAGAGAGTGTTCCAGTTTGGACTATATCTTGCATACGCTGGACTGGACTGTGGCTCTTCTAAACAACCCTACCCACTTTCCTTCTCGGTAAGTCTCCAAAACCTTGACATGAACCGAGCTGATGTGAAACAGGATGCAAATACCCTCAGCCTCCCTATCCCACTTCCCCTCCATGTTCCGACGTCTCTCCCGCATCTTCTCCCACGCCTACTTTTATCACCGCGAAGCCTTCGAACTCGCCGAATCTGAAAACTCACTTTACGCTAGATTCGCCGGCCTTTGCGAGGCGTACGAGCTCGTAGGGAAGGATCTCTTGCAGATCCCCAACCCAAATGAACATATCGGCAAGCCCTCAGCGGATGAAGAAAAGGAAGAGGAGGAGGAGAAGGATATGAGGGGAGATGGGAAGAAGGAAAGGAAGTTGTTTGAATTTGGGTCCGAGCCGGAGAAGGAGAAGGCCGAGGAGATTGAAGAGTCTGAAGATTTCCGACATCCCTCGCCGTTCACCCCTAGCTCTTCGCCTCTTCCGCCGAAGAAGAAGCTCACTACCCGCGGTACGCTTTCGCGCGGTAAAGCGCCGCGTACGAGTATGCTCTGGGCGCACGACGCTCCAGAAGCTGAAGCCAGCTCTACGTCGATACCCGACACGCCCATACCCGAACCTACAGATGGGCAGGAGGCGTCGAGAAAGAGAAGTGATAGTCTGGGAAGCACGACGAGCGTCGTCACAGCAGTGCAGGATACCGAGTCCGAACACCCCTCAGAAGAAATCGTCGAAGCTGCCGAGACGCCTGCCGATACTCCCATCGAAACGCCCGCAGCAGCCGTGGACCCTTCCGGCCCTAGCGAACCTGTATCCCTCCCCGATCCTGCCGACCTTAATGTCAACGAAACCACTCCTCCTGCCCTGACAGAGCAGGAAGACCCGATTGACGAGGAAGCGCCGAAGGATGAGATTGATCTGCTTGAAGAGACTGGCGAGCTTCCTCGTGCTGAAAGCTCTGTTGCGCCGCTGCCACCTCCAACCAAGAGCGAAGAGGAGGAGCGAGCGCCAACCCCGGTCAAACAGGGACACATGGAGGCGTCGGACGAGAGTGGACAGCTGGTCGATGAGGAGAGCGGAGAGAAGGTGGAGGATGATGAAGGGATGGAGGATGTTGTGTTGGATGACGAAAAGAAGGAGCTGGAAGATGACGTGAAGGCTAAAGTTGAAGGTGAGGAAAAGAGCGAAGAGGCAGAAGATGAGAAGGTTGAGCCAGCGACGGTGACACCGCCCCCAGAGCCAGTGGGCGACCTCATCACCAGGGAAGTCGGCCCCGAAGACGTCCCCGAACCCGCACCTGAACCCAAGAACGACACCACCGAGCCCGAACCCGAGCCCACTGCCTCTCTCGCGCTCGGATCATCCGAAGAAGTGTCGCCCCCCCTCACCCCAAACTCTGAAGGTTCCGAAGAGAGCGACCGTCAGGACGCTACCTCCTCTGGGTCTGGTTCCGGCGCTGAGGGCGACAAGAAGGGTTCTGTAAGCAAAAAGACGAAGAAGAAGGCTGCGCAGAAGGCTAGGCAGAAGAAGAGGGCTGCGGAAGCTGCTGCTGGTGGCGCAGTGTCTACGGAATAGGGAAGTGGGAGGTAGTTTCGGTCAGAAGAGGCGTTGAGGCGTGAGATCAGAAATCTGTAGCATAGTCTTTTAGTGGTCGAAAAAGCGCTGGGCGTCAGGGTTGAGAGTAGATTTTAGGACAATCAAGAATAGGTTGTTTGCGGTCAGTCTATGTTACGCTTGTGCATACATGCGCGAAGAACAGAGTGCTCCTATCGAACATCGTACACGAGAAACGAAAAAATTACGGGACCGCGGCGTCTGGCAGGTCATACTCTCTGCATCTTGTTGGTAGCTGCTGACCACTCAACCATGTCAGATAGACGAGCCACGGAATACATATCCACAGTTCTTATTAATGATGCCGAACAACTAGAAAGAATAAAGAAATCGAAATCACGACGGGAAACAAACTACTCTATCACGAACCATGGTCCATTCTACGCTATATCATAGAATCTCTCAATTGGGTAGACTACTCAATAAATATTATGCTGATGACTCAAACCAATGTCCTGTATCTCTAATCAATGATCATGGAAGAGGGTATGAACACCGCTCATCCCAGTGTCCTTTTGTTTCTTCTCTCAGTAGTTCCACCAGTCGCCCATCATGTCATCGCCCACCGACGCATCAACGAGAGGAATAGAAGAGCCAAATGACACAGTGTTGAAGGGAGACTCGATGGACCCCGAAGAGCCGGCATCGTCCATCCCCATGTCCATACCACACATACCCCAGCCGACCCTCTGGCTCTCCGGAACGACATCGTTCTCGAGAATGGGGAGAGGAGCGCTCAGGCAAGGAGGGTTTTGCCGCATGACCAAGTACTCGCTGAAGGGGAACTCGGGAGCAGTCGAGCTGGCAGACTCGATGACGGGAGACATCTCGACGGTGGCCTCCACGGGAGTGGTGTCTTGAGTTAGAGAATAGACAGGAGCGATGTTGCAAGAAGCATCGAGGGGTGCGGAGAAGAATACGTCACCCGACTCCAGGCACTTGGAGACCTCGTCGATGTACGCGTTGTCGCTCTCAGAGAGACCCTGGGACTCAGAAGCAGGCAGCTGAAGTTGAGAGATGCCCAATGAGGGCTGGGTAGAGGGAGCCGAGATGACGTTGTTGAGTGAGAAGCTGGGAGCGGGGCCGGCAGAGATGCTAGCAGAGACCTCGTAGGAGGGCTTCACCGGGGTAGTGCGTGGAGTAGGGAGAGTGTAAAAAGGAGCAACGCCGAAAGCGGCCGCGACGGACGGGCGGATGATTCCATCACACAACCTTGCGAGGCCTTCATTCACCTCTGTACCCATACCCGGCATCTGGCAGTCCTCAACGGTGGAAGGACGCTGGAGGATGGTAGGCCTGATCGGGGTGAATGGGCTGAAGGGCATGAGAGTGTTGGGGGTGGCGAAGCCAAAAGTGTGGCCGGCAGAGACGCTGGCAGGAGAGGGACCGGAGCTGAGCTCGACGGTGGACCTGTCCGGGGTGATCGGGGTGATAGGGCTCATAGAGGACGTGCAGGAAGACGAGGCAAGAGATGAGGTTGAGGGAGTAGCGATGATGATGCCGTCGGCGGAGGGAGCACGACCCATAGCGGCGAGCTTTTCCAAAGCCTTCTGGGAGCCTCGCTTTCCCTTGGCGAGGACGTATATGCACTCGATGCCATCCCTGGTACAGCGGGAGCAGGCTTTGAAGTCGGTTCCGTCGCACTGGACAGTCGAATCAGCCTCTGACGGTGCTAGGAGGACGAGATTGCTTACTGGCTTTCGTCTCTGTCTGCAGTGCTCACAAGACAAGCTCTTACGCTTGTAGCCCTGGGCATGCTTCTTCTTCTCCTTGCCACTCACTTTGATGCTGTTGTTATTGGTGACATGAGCGGAAGACCTGGCCTTGGGCTTGGCCTTGTCGCCACTGCTGGCGGGAGAGGGGGCGGCAGCAGTAAACTTGACACCGAGGCCGTTGAGGTCGCCGGGGGTGTTGTTGGTGGTGTAGGTGATGAGGGAAGGATTGAGGGACGCGGGGAAGACACTGAGGGAGAGACACGGTCAGCATGAGCCTGGGAAACGGGATTGAGTCGGACGAACCCACTATTGTCATACAGCTGTACACCGGAGGCGTTCCCGTCATTGTAGGTGTTGTTGGTGGTGGTGGTGTAGGTGATGGGAGAAGGGCTGGGGATGCCAGGGAGGGCACTGGAGAGGAAGAGACGGTCAGAAATAGCCTGGGAAACGGGATTCAGGCGGACGAACCCGCTGTTGTCAGACATCCTGAGGCGTGGGTTTGGTTTGGGGTAGGGTGGGGGTTGAGTGATGTTTGTGGTTGTGGGTTTTGGGGTGTTCTCACGATAGATGAGGGTGGGTTGTGTAAAAGAGAGAGAGAAATGGGGGATGGGAATTCCAAGGAGATATGGGGTGGGCATCGCTCGCCGTCCTGAGCATCGCCTCCACTCGCACGCAAAAAACTCGCACGCCGAACAGAGGGATGTCGGTGTGCGACCATGCGCATGCATCTACGAATCGATGGGTAGCGATTTTTGTACCATCAGGCACGGAATGAATGTGGCCGTATGCTGGTACAAGTCGCAAGTCTATACGAGAAACACAGCAGAAGTCGTCGAGAGTGCCACAAGCAAAAGACCAAGAATTGGCGGAAGTCTCACGTCACGCGCGCGTGCACCAGCAGCGGTACCTGACGCTTCCAATAGATGAAAGGACCCCCTCAACCAGGAAATTGTCGTTGCAAGAGTGCGTAAGCACGTACAGCCAGCATCGGCGAGCGAGAGTCGGTGATGGGGTGGGGCGCGATGCATGGTGAGTCGATGACGGTTACGCGGGGATGGATGAATATTTATATTGCGGGATTAAATCTGGCTGGGAAAACGTCGAGACGGTAGGTATCTGCTTCGTTGTTCGAATTGTTGAGTCGAGCAGTGATAGGTGGCTGAGTATTAATGAAAGGGATATTAATGAAAGGGAGAAGCACAGTATACGGGGCGATGGTTTATAGAAGGCGGCGACTCTGTTGGTCCGTCAGCAGCGCACGTGAAGCCCGGCGATGCGGTTGTATGGCTAGCGACTCACCGTAGGCAATGATTCAATGCACCGATTGTATGCACCAGGTAGAAGCAGCACCCTCTGAGAAATGCTGGGTCGATCTTGTGTGCCCATCGACAAGAGGGGGCTGGTACCAGTTTGTAGTCGTCGTGCGAAGTAATGCTAGGTCCTCGACAAGTTTGTTGCCATTCTGGCAAAGTTTTGGCGACAGTGTCTTGTTTGTCGGCCGGGGAAAGGGGTACGTATGACGATGTTAGGTGCAGTTGGTGTTCGGAAAAGCGAGAACCGTCTCGGATGATGGTGGGTAAAAGACCAACGGGTTCAGGGAGTGCACGTCTAACATGATGCTTGCTTAGCGAGCGAACTTTTGCTCTCCTTCATACACTACATGGCTGGTCAGTGTGTAGTCTAGTGCGATAGAGCGCTCTTACTATGCCACAGCATTGGTAGGAAGGAGCCGCAAGAAGCCGAAGTAATCTGTCTTGATGCAATTATTTGGCGGTCCCCGATGGCTCCTTCACAGTGCACGGAACGATTGGGCAGTGATGCTCGTTCGGTAGATTTGAGTTATTTCGACACCGTGATGATGAACAGGATACAAGAAGCTATCCGTTCAAGCGAGACATACGCTGACAATCAGGCGGAGACAGCGCCACCCAGACGTCGCGGAATATTGATCAAGAAGGTGGTGGGTGGAAGATCGTCTGAAAACTGGGCCCGGGCCGTCGTTTCCGCTCCGTCGAAGAAGTGTTATGAGAGATGAAGTGTGATTGTAGAAATACATTCAGATGAGCCTCACATTGCTGCTGTTGTCGTCGTCGTCAAGGGGAACAATCTTTCCTCTTTGGCATTTCCCTTCAGTTGAGTCACGTGACGACGGTCCTCTTCCTTCTCAAATGCGGCATGGTTCACAGTGGCCTACACCCTGATGAAGAAGATATCCAAGGTGGTTACCTTAAATGTGATTACCGTAGATATCCATTGACAGTAGTGATGTGCGGGTTCCTTATGGTGAGATGGTCCGCGGGCAGTGCTGTATCGCGCGTACGTCAACAGCCTCTCTTTCCCTTTATTTCCTTCCCATTGGTACCTCTGATGCCATGTCATGTCTACGGTATTACCGGGCAAATGTGTGCACTCGAGTATCTCCTAGTGTCGATACAGGAGACGCAGGGCGGATGTAAATACGACCAAACGAATAATACATCATCGATCATACACCAAACAGTAACGACCGAAATACGACAGATACCTGCCTACTCTCCCAGTACTTCTATGATACTAAGGATCTGATACCAATATGAGCCAAAAACCACCATACACCACCGCCGATTCTACAGAGCAAACCTGAAATCAAGTCTAGAACGGAGAGTCAGCATCTCTCGCTCCAATCGATAATGTTAGCAGACTCACCTCTTGTTCCCCTTATCCTCCGTTGTCGCCAAATACTCCTTGCGACTTTCCTCACTCATGGCATCCCACACCTTTGCCTTCTGCCCATTCCTCCACTTGTAGTAAAGGTATGTACCGGGGTAGAGGACGACACAGTTAAAAACAATGATGCCGATGAGGATCTTGTTTGCTTTGTAGTAGCGGGGTTTGTCTTTGGCTTGGTATACTTTGGAGATGTGTTAGCAGAGTAATATGGGGCAAAGAATGTAGAGAAGGGGCGTACCATTGGCGCCAATCATGGCCGAGACTTGAACGAACATGTTGTAAAGCGACGCTGAGACGGTACGCATCTCTACCGACCCGGAGTTTCGACTACACCAAGCTACTTGAATCGCGTGTGTGCTACAGACACTAATTAGCGCCCTCCCAGTAACAATAAAGAACGGAAACCTACTATGGATACGAAAGCAGCACCGTCGCAACTGCAAAGTACGACCACGGATTGACCGGCTCAGCCAGCGTAACTAACGCAACGAAGCACGGCAGCAACCACAAATCTTCCGCACTCGCCACAAACGACCGATTGTTCACCAGCTCGCTCAACACCGTGATACCCAACTGTGTCAACAAACCACACACCGTACTTGGGATTGTCAACAGATTCGTTTCGATGACGTTGAAGCCGAGCTGGCGGAGTGAGAGGGACAGGTATTGCGCGACGGGGTATTTGGGAATACCGAACATGAGACCGAGGGCGTAGAGAGGGTAGAGGTCGTAGTCGAGGCAGCAGCGCCAGATGGATTTGATGGAGAGGGGTTGGCGGTTGTGCATGGAAGCCTTACCGGGGTCGTCTCGAATCACTGCTAATCCGTCAGCCAAACTTCATGATGGAAAGGGCGTAGGGGACATACCGCTGTTGACAATAATCTTGACTTGCTTGTCGGTAAAATATCCTTTGGGGTGATGCCACGACTTCGTCTTGGCCGGAGCAGTGGGCATGAGGAAGAATGAGGCGATACCGATGAGGAGTGTGAAAAGGCCTTCAATCAAGAACAGCCACCTCCACCCGGCATAGCCCAGCACACCTCTCATCTTGAGTAGACCGACAGCGCAGAACCCCACAAAGATGTCCACTGTTTCAAATCAGCCGTATCTCCTGTAAGGCTGATAGAAGAGCGAGGGAAGGGAACATACCGAAGCTGGAAGACATCCAGTAGAAAGCCAGTCGGATAGGCAAAGGTCGAGAAGGGTAAAAGTATGACAAGTACAGGATCGTGTCGGGGATGAAACCACCCTGAAAGACCGCACTGTATCTCTATAAGCTTCAGAGCCACCAAGAAAGGGGAAGGAGGGAGCTTACATCAAGAACCTCAAAGCCAAGAACGACGCTCGGCCGTTGAGCCAGAATTGCGCGCCAGAGAGGATACTGAAGATGATGATTTGGATGGGGATCCAGACGTCCGGTCCAAGTCTGTTGGGCAAGTCAGTGATCGGGTAAGAAGACGGGGTGGGATGGAGGGGACGAACCGTTTGGAGATGAGCTGAGAAGGAAGTTCGGCGATCAAGAATCCGACTTTGGATATCGTCACACCCAGATTCTGACGACACCCCATTAGAGATCCGCCTGCAGAGAAATCAAGGGAGACGTACATAGTCGTCAGTGGAAATGTTTAGGTCATCAAGGATATTATCCGAAGTCGCATTCGACAGGTTCCCTCGATCGATGTTGAGTGCTGAAAACATGATACACACCCACAGCTACTCTTTTATCAGCCTTCTTCTTCCGTGAGAGATATAGAGGAGGAGACGTACCATGATCTTCCAATCCACTGCTCGTCTCGTCTGTTTCTCTTCTTTGATCGTCCACCTGAAACTCGGGTCAAAAGCTTCAATGTTCTCCCAGTCATCTCGGATGTAGAGTTTCTTGTATTCTTCGACCTTGTCGGAATCCCAGAGCTCGCTGTATTGCGTTGCGATCTGTCCTTCATCAGCTTACATATTGACAAGTAAAGAAGCAAACTCACAGCATCAGGATGATCTTCCGGCAGCCTCTTCCTCACCCCCAAAAACCGCAAGATCGCATCACCCATAGCAGCTTCCGGTCTCTGCTGTGGCTTTTCGAGATCACTCCCGCTGTTCGGGAGGTGGTCCTTGGCATCAGGGGCAGGTTGGTGAGAGGTAAGTGTGTTGACGGGGTATTGATCGGTGTGTTTGCGTTCGACGTCATAGTCTTCGTCAGAGGGGAGGGCGGAGAGGGATTTGATAGAGTTGTCGCGTGAGGTGATGGGCGTCTCTTCTTTTGCGTGTGGTGAGACCATGGTGGGAACGAGTTGATGGTATTCGTGGAGCAAGAAATTCACACGAGGAAGTACATATATTCACCTACAGTCCGACTGTCTCGCAGCTTTTTTTCCCGTGCGTCACCTAAACGAGAAGCATGAGAGGGAAAATATGATGAATCAGCAAGCTCGAGAGGAAACCAAAAGGCCTCATCTGGTGTCACCCAACCAATGTTGCAAGAATCACAAGTCACGTAATGATGGTACAAGTGCTTCGGTGGAATAACAAGCCCTAGTCTAGACCGCTATGGTGATGAATTGATAGACGAAAGTGCCAAGTGAACAGATGATTCCGAATATGGCGTATCGCTCGCTATCAGGTGTCTCGGCTCACGGGATAACATAATGGCATTAGCCTCTTTGTGACGCAATATCTTATGAGATGGAGTGGTATGACCTACGACACACCTCGCGTGGAAGTTCGGGTCGGTGAATCACGTTTTACGTTATCCAATCTTCTAGATGTTCAAAGGTGTCTTTGGTTCTGGCTTTTGCAAAAGCTGCTGCCGCCTATCGCTTCTTGTCTTGTGAGTCCTGTATACTCGTCTTGACGCTCAACGACATTTGATATGCACGTGAGAGGAAAGGCGAAAGTCACGGACGGCAGAGCAAAACACCGAGCGTTCTCCACGCCAGCAGTCGCCATCTATGCACTCATAATGGCTCATACATAGGTATAGATATCCACCTCCCTCCCTCTCCTTCCCACCCTTCTCTTTACGCTTCGACGCATCTCTTGCCCCAAACGCATCACCTCAAGCGCACGCCATCCCAACAGGCGATCCCGTTCCCGTACTAGCCCTTATCGGCAACCCAAAGATATGATAAGCTCCCAGGCACGGAAGCGGTAATGGCCGATCTTTGCCATCACGCCATCGCACAACAAAACCGATTGCGTTGACTCTCTTCTTCTCATTCTCGGTTCTGCTGCAATGGGGAGGAAGGATGATTACAGTACGTACGTCATGGATAGTAGCCGATGGATAAGAGATGAGGTGTGAAGACGTGCTGCCAGACACCTACTGAGCGGCCGAGGAGGGCATTTGCACTGGGCTTTGAAAAGGGATGCATTGGAATTGTTTGGACGTCATGCTCGGCCATGTCCGATTCCTTGCCAGCGACATAAAACCCCACAGCCTAGAGATCGTCTTTGGCTCTTGAAGAACAGCAAAAAGATGTCCGCTACGGTACTCGAGACTGCCACCGGCCTTGAAACGCCCACTGCCACACTCTCCCTCCGCGGTGGGCCAGACCCCGCCCCCGCCCCCTCCCCTGCCGCCGAGGCCAAGCAAAAGGCTGAGCCAGCCCAGCGCCGCTCCAACTTCCTCCCCGCCCCCGGCCCAGACTACAAATACGCCCGTTTCCTCCCCTCTTACGACCACGACCTCCATCTCCCTCCCCTCGAGCCTTTCGAGCACGTCGACCCCGGGCACGCTGCTTTGAAGCACGAGAACCCGAGAGAGTTTTTGAAAGGGGAGGGGAAGAGGGAGGTGAGGTTGACGCCGAAGATTGGGAGTGAGGTGCATGGGGTGCAGTTGAGTCAGTTGGATGAGCGCGCCAAGAGGTGGGTTTTCAAAGTGTGGCAGAGGATAGAGGCTGATGAAGAGTTAGCCAGCTCGCGCTCTTTGTAGCCCAACGCGGCGTGGTCGTCTTCCGGGACCAAGACTTTATCGACCAAGACCCTGAATGGCAACTCCACTCCTGGGGATCCACCTTCGGCCGTCTGCACATTCACCCCACCTCTGGCCAACCCGCCGAATTCCCTGAATTCCACCTCGTTTACAGAGAAGCCAGCGCCAAAAAGACCTTCATCTCTTACTATGCCGACCGACTGTCGACGACGGGGTGGCATAGTGATGTGACGTACGAGCTCCAGCCGCCGGGACTGACGACGCTGTTTTTGTATGATTCGCCGGATACGGGGGGCGATACGGTTTACGTTTCTCAGACTGGCACGTTCTTTTTTCTTTCTGAGAGATGAGAGTTGACAGAAAGCAGAGGCATACAACCGCCTCTCTCCCTCCTTCCGCGCCTACCTCGAGACACTCACCGTCATCCACTCTGGTGTGGAACAAGCCGAATTCTCGCGCCGTGGTAACCGTGGCGGTGTCGTCAAACGTGAGCCTGTCGAGACGGAGCACCCACTCGTGAGGAGACATCCGGTGACGGGCGAGAAGGCGTTGTTTGTGAACAAGCAGTTTTCGACAAGGATTGTGGGGTTAAAGTATGAAGAGTCGGAAGCGATTTTGAACTTGTTGTAGTGAGTCTTCTTCTCCTTGCAGGAAGCGGCGATGAGTACTGATGATTGATTAGCACGCATATCGCCCAAGGCCAAGATTTCCAGGTCCGCGCGAAATGGGAACCCAGGACCGTCGTCCTCTGGGACAGTAAGTCTCCCTTTTTCCTCCTGGTATGCACGGCAGCTGACATGCCGTATCAGACCGAGTGACAGCACACTCTGCCACGGGCGACTACGACCCCAACAATGACGGTTTCCGACATGGTACGCGTATCACGCCCCAGGCTGAGAGGCCTTTCATATAAGAGTCGTCTCTTGTTGTTGTGTTTGAGAGGAAAGGGGGGAAGAAGAAGAAGAAAATGAAAGAAGGGCTTGTAGTTATTGTGTTTGATCTCTTGTTTTGAATGGGCTTTATATATGCACTTGTATCGGCGTGGATGGAAGGGTTTGTGGACGTGTTTGATTCATTTGTGGGCCTGCAAGTCACCCGGTGTTGTTAGATGGATGTTCCTTTTCAGCCGGTTCCGAACTCACTGTATGTAGTCTAGGGCATGGCGAGGCAGTGAACGGGGCAGCACTTGACGGAAGAGCAGAGCTAAAGCCGAGCCAAACACTGGAGGCAATGACGATTGAATGACGACGGAAGCAAAGGGACGCATCAGGAAAGTGGCCCAGGCACAGGCACGTCCCGCTGCTGTCGAGTTGTTTGGATGTTTGCTGTGGGTGACTGTTTTTCTCTTTCTGTCTCACTCCACCGCCCATCTCCTCTGACGTCGCCGCCTCCCCTCTCCCTGTACTTCCTCCAGCTTCACCCACATTCTCTTCACTTCACGACCGCTTGACGACCCCACGCTCTTTACATCAATCACCGTCACCCCGTACCCTGTTGGGACGCACACAGCTACGACAGCAACCGCCCTGCCCCTGCTCCTTTGGTCGAGAGCCTCTCCTCTCTCCTCGCCTCCCTCTCCCTGAGCCGCTACACGTTATCGTGTCTGTTGCTGTTTATCCCTGTTTTTCGGCGATTCCAGGACAATTCTCTTGGGGATACCCATTCCTGATCAAAGAGAGCGCTCGGACACACAGCCCCTCCCCGCCCATCGCTATATAACGCTCCTATAAAACACCCCGCCTCTCTCTGCTATTCCATGCCGTTATAGACAAAGACGTACATACACCTCGACCCGGCCCACACTCTTTCATAACCCACGCTCTTTACCAACAACCCGACTCCTACCGACGACGATCTTGATCTCGTGCTTCTCCGCCCCGACCTATCACGCATACCGCATACCGTGCATCCATTCGCACTCTTCCATCCCGCATTCAACCAGCATACAAAAAACATATCACAACAAACCATAATCGCAATCATGTCTTTTGAAAAGCCTCGTGAGTTGCACCCAGCGATCGCAGTGTGCCAGACCACGATGCTAATGTCGCGGTTTGTTCTTCCCTCTTTATTTAGGTCTTCACCTCGACTTCAACTCTCCCTCTTACCCTCCTCTCACCTACTCTCCCAACGCCAGTTCCGCCTCCTCCCCTCATACCGCCCCGCCGAGCACGGCGCCTTTCAGCGGCTTTGCGTCAAAGCAGTACGCTTCGCCCTTCTCCCCTACCCGGCGGTCTTTGGCCACGTCCCCTCCTTCTCCGTCGAGCCCTACAATGTCTGAAAGGAGTGAAAAGAGTATAAGGACGCCCCCGAGGATTGTGATGGGCGCGATGGTTAGTACGTCGCCGAAGAGTGACTATGAAGAGGAAAGTTCGTTGGAAGTACCGGGCATCGTCTTAAGTGAGTACCCATGTCTCCTTATCTCCCCTCATGAGCCCTAAGGCTGACGCGTGGTAGCCGAACCATCCCATGTCGACCCCCGCCCCCGTCCTCCCCCCAAACAAACCGTCCTCCTCGCCCCCACCTCCCTTCCCCTCCCTCCGCCCGGCTCTTCCCCATACGGCCACTCGTCCCAATCATCCATCTCGTCTAAATCAAAACACCAATTTTCCCCCGCTTTCCTCTCATTCCTCAACGGCGGCGCCCCTTCTTCTTCGTCCACGCTCTACGCGCCCGGGCCTGGGATGGGTCAGAGCGGGAGCGTCAGTGGGAGCCAGAGGAAGAGCAGGATGAAGGCGCTGGTGTTGTTGGGCGTTGTGGTGCTTGGTGGATGGCATTTGTGGAGTAGTATGATGGAGGGAGACTTTGGAGGACTTGTGGAAGAGGCAGGAGAGTTGCTCTAAACATCTTTCTTCTTCCATTCACGCCATCTTGATATTCTCCTTGTCACGACTATCCCTACCGCTCCTCAGACATAACTTTATCCCTCTCAGTCTGAGGTTTGAAGAAGACAATTGTCCCATTTGTATATGACGCCCTTACCGTGGCTTGTTTGATTTTTTGCTCTGACTTTTCTTGCTCTCTTGATGGTTAATGAACGCTCTATACCTCATCTTCTATACTCTACACGCTTTACGACTTATGCGATGAACATGACGACCTCTCCTTCTGATCAAGTGCTCCACTGCTTGAGGACTATATTGACGAGAAGACTGCAAGGGAAGGGGTGGTACGAGAGGACTGCAAGAGGGTGGTACCGGGTTGGGTAATGGGACCAAATCTCGAGGGCGCAAGTGGGTGACGTGTGGCAGCAAAACACCGTCATCCAGAAATGCAATTCATCTTTCATCCTTGATGGGGCGTGGGCCGATGTCTGTCAGGATTCAGCGAGAACACAGAGACGAATCTCAATCCCGTCTTTGCCCTCGAGCACCTCCCCCCAAACCCGACCGAACGGTGGCAAGCAACTCTCGAGCCCCCGTCCACCTCGATTGGACCGACCCAATGTCCGTGTATTCTTCGACTTCCTGATATGCTGCTTTGGGGAGGGCGTCCTGGCCTCCTCCTCCTAATCCGTCACCCCCAGCGCCTGTGTACAAGTATGTTTGGAGCTGCTGCGCCGAAGACCGCAGATGGGCATTGCGTACTTTCGGTCAACACGCTCAGCGGCTACCATGGAACTGTTGGACTGAGGCATGTGTTTGTGGGCGATGCGGACTGGTTGGTCTCTCTTGGGAAGGGGGAATAATACATGCCGGCGAGGTGTGCGAGCATCCATTCATGAAAAGATTTATTGTATAGGTTGAGTGATGGAGAATGTGTAGTGGGCGTGAAGAAGACGATGCCGCGATTGATAATCGATGTCAGTATCCCAAGATCTAAGAGCACGACGTTTCGCGGAGAAACGAGTGTTCACCCAAGGAGGATCCTCGGAAAGATCAATATGCATAATGTGCCGAGCTCTTATGTACATAGGGAGGGACGCATGGATTGGAAAAAGACCAGAAATAAAACATAATGCGCATCCAGCTATTCTGAGACGATGGCTAATAGGGCAGTGGTGGACCTTCTATTATGATTTATGCAGGGAAGGATACAAGCAAGACACCTTTGATTCACAGAAGGCCATGAACAACCCCCGAAGGCCATGAACAACCCCCGAAGGCCATGAACAACCCCCGAAGGCCATGAACAACCCCCGAAGGCCTTGAACAACCCAGCCTGATGACAGGATGGTGTACCAATATAGATCAGAAGATCTCTGGTTTCAAGCCAGCACGCTGAGGCAGTTCCATCATCCGCTGTAGGTCTTAACGGGTCGATCTTGCCAGCATATATAAACACCACGGCTGCTGTCTTGTCCTGACATACATTGAAATTGGACGACAACGCCGTTCATAATATCGAAAGATGTCTTACTATCAGAGTACGGTATCTCGCCTGAAAGACTTTTTGAGTCTCTCCGGCGGTTCATCACCATCGAAGACAACACCGCCGACTCGCAAAGACTGGAAGGTACTTGAGATCTCGGGAAAAGACATGTACACACCGATAGATCGTGGTGTAGGCCGGTTCGCCCCATCCAGCAACGCCCCTCACACAGACGACGTGTTAACGAACGTCGAGTGGAAGGTGCTCCTTGAAGAGGCTCCAACGGGAGATGACGGAGTAACGTCCCGGCCCCACAGCGCGTCCATCAAGGAATTCAACGAGACGAAACAGCACCTGCTCTCTTCTCCGTCATTTGCGTCTCGGGTGGGAGAAATCCGAAACATGCTCGACGTCCTCTCGCAGGGCGACGAGCCTTCCTTCAAAAACTTTTTCACTTTTTGGGATGGAGAGTATAGGATTTATGGTGCGAGGAGCGGTTTCGGGGATGGGCAGCGAGGGGATGGAAATGGGGATGGTGAGGATGTTGATGATGAGCCTACAAGATGGATCGTCACGGCTAGTAAGACCGCAAATATGGATCTTATATTCAACAGTGGCAGGGCACCCATGCTGCGCAGGCTGGAAGCGATTCGCCGGAATGGTGTGCCCAGTCCCAGGGCCCAAGGCACAGCGCCGCAAAGCACTTTGGACGATGCTTCAGCGGACGACAAGAACAGGCTGCCGATGGAGGGTGCATCAACAGATTTGGATGTACAGCCCTTCTTCAGCAAGGATTCCAAACATGTCAATCAACACACGGCCTGCTTCCTCCCGAACTTCGCTATGGAATATCAGAAGCACCTGTTACCTGTTACAGAAGCAGTTTGGGTATTGACGATGATCACGCCTTCAAAATAACCAAATCAGACAAAGCATCGAAAGGCCAACCCTTGAACGAACAGATCCTTGGAACGCAGCCAGAGGATGGCTACGTTGAGGCTCTGACGGCAGCATCCCAGCTGGTGGATGCTGCGCCGAAGACTGCAGATGGGCATTGTGTATTCTCGTTCAACACGCCTAGCGGTTACCATGGAACTGTTGGAAAGAGGCATGTATCTGTGGGTGATGCGGACTAGTTGGTCTCTCTCTCTCTTGGTAAAAAGGAACACTAACTTCAACATGCCGGTGAGGTTCGTTTACTGGATGTAGGATGAGTGATCAGGATAGGCGTGGGTATGACAATGGTGTAATGGACAATGAATATCAGTATCCTAAATGATGTATTAGTATCTCCATAACCACGGAGCGGAGAGTAATATCTGAGATCGGAGGACCACTGGCGTCGACGACCCATACCCCAACAATTTGGAACAGAAGCAGGATGATGATGGGACGCCAAGACATGATCATTGCATGGCCTTGCCTTTCTGCATAGCGCTCCCATCCATGTGGTAGCTCATCCACGCAGTTTTAGTATCACTGGCCTGTCCATTCTACTTATCTACTGGCGAGAAACTGACGAGAAGCATGCTGCCACCAAAGCTGCCAGGGCCAGCTCAGAGAGATTCCAGGTACGTGCTTTTTATCATTGTTGTTCAGGCGGCGTCGTCCGAGCCGTTCGGCCTGCCCGACCATCTCCACTTGCCTTCACTCTTTCCTCTTCTCCACCATCCAGGATGACTACTGCGGATCCCCTCTACAAGGGCCTTGAGAATCTAGACGGTACGTCCCACCCACCGCCTGCCCGTAGTCCCCTGCTGACCCCGTTCTCAGGCTGCCCCGCTCGTCCCGGTATGTCCCTTCACCTGTCACTCACTACCATATACGGCGTCATCCCGCCTTTTCCCGCCCTCGCAATATCATCATGAGGCCCTTTTCATCAAACTATAAGCATATAGCTGACTCTGACTTTCTCTTGTAGGTTACGGGACTAGTGGCAAGGCCATCAATGTGCAGGCCAATATGTTTCCCGTCACGTTGACGGGTGTCAAAAGCACCAAGTGAGCCTGGCCTCCATTTTCATCAGTGGGTGAGGGCATCGAGAGGGCAATCGTCTGTCGGGTGTATGGATGAGAGATGGATACGGAATGGTGCGAGATGGACGCGTGATGGTGTGAGAGATGGGCATGACGACGGTCGGGAAGCACGATGCATGTCTCGAGAGCGGACGCTGACCCCAAACACAGCCAATATGATGTCGAAATCAACCCTCTCGTCAAGGGCAAGGACGACAAGTAAGTCAATTCGTTCGTTGCCGTTTCTTCTACTGATCCCGCCGTAGGAATCCCCGTCCTCTTCTCCAGAAGGTCTGGGATCAAGCGGTCTACGAGGCTCAGGGCGAAGTCAAGGCTGCCCTCGCTGCCGGCGCCTACGACCAGCAAAAGTCTCTCTACACCCCCAATGGATTGCCCTCGAAGGCGGCAAGCTCGAGATCGTCGTCGGTCTTATTGAAGACGGTGTCTTTCCCACAGACGACAAGCGACGATGGAAGATTGTCATCAAGCCTGCCGACCACACCCAGATCGGCTCGACGCAGTCGACAAGACTCTGGTGGCGACAAGCAAGCTACCAAGTATGATGATGCCATGTTGAGGGGTATCGGCGCCGTCAATGTCTTGTTTAAACAGGATTTGGCTCAAAAGTACCACATGGCTGGTGCCGCCGGCAGAAAGTTCTTCTCTGAGCGTGAGTCCTCGTTGAGCTTCGTTGTACACATGCTAACCCCTCCTCAGATAACTCCTCTCTCCTCCCTTCTGGGGGTGTCCTCTACCAAGGTTTCCAGCAATCGTACCGCTACACCTCCTCCGGGACTGGTGCTCTCCAGCTCGACACTGCCTACTCTGCCTTCTTCCAGCCGGGTCTTCTCGTCGAAGTCGCTCCTCGCATTCTCGGCCTTGATGGTGCTCCCGGCGGTGGTAGGGGTGGTGCTCGAGGAGGCCGAGGCGGTCCTCGAGGCGGCTTTGGCGGCGCCCCCGGTCCTGCTCGACCCTTACAGGAGCTCACGCCAATCAATGTCCACAGACTCAACGATCTTCTCCGTGGCGCCAAGTTTACCGTCACCCACCGCAAGACCGAGCGGATCTTCTCCGTCATCAAGCTGACGACCCAGCCCGCCGAGAATCTCAAATTTACCTTGAACGGCAAGGACGGCAAGCCTGACCGAACTGTATCTGTCCCCCAGTACTTTTCCGAGCAGTACAACGTCAAGGTCACTCGACCCCGCCTGCCTTGTGTCCAGTACGGCAAAAACTATATCCCCATGGAGTTTGTCAAGCTTTTGCCATACAACTCTATCCCTTTTACCAGGCAGACTCCAGACCAGACTGCCGAGATAATCAAGGTCACCGCCAAGCCTCCTCAACAGAGAAGGGACGCCATCATGGCGTGGAGGCAGAAGCTTGATTATGACAACTTGCCCAAGCTCAAGGCGTGGGGCGTGCAGGTGGCGCGGGAGATGATGACGGTGCAGGCGAGGGTGTTGAATGCGCCGAGTGTGCTGTATGGGGGTAACAAGAACTTGAGGGTTGCTTTCGGGTGAGTTGGATGTTTTGTGGTATATCGCGCTGACCTGTATATAGTTCTTGGAACATGAAGAGCGTCAAGTTTACCAAGCCCGGAAAGCCTCTCGAGTCTTGGGCTGTGGTGTCTCTCGACCAGCGATGCACCATCCAGGACTGTCAAGCATTTGTCCGAACGTACGTATCACTTTTCCTCCAATCTCTCGAGACTAATATCGTGGTAGCTTTACGGGTCATCTCTCGTCCTACGGCGTTTCCGTCAAGACCACCCAGCCGCCAATCTCACACGCCAACCCCCACGCCGGTGGGAACAACTTTGGCGTCAAGAACGCTCTTTCAACCGCAGCCAAGTCGGCATACATGATCGCCAAGAAGGACCCCCAGTTGATCCTCGTCATTCTCCCCGTAAGTTTTCGCTGTGCATACTTGTAAAAATAAAGCTAAATCTGCCGCAGAGCCGAGACACTGCTCTTTACGAATCCATCAAGACTTGCGCCACCGAAGAGCTCCACAAACCCGTCGTCACCCAATGCCTCCAGTCGGCCAGGATCAAGTCGCCCCGCCGCCTCGACCAGTACTGCGGCAACGTCGCTATGAAGGTGCAAGCCAAGGTCGGCGGTCTGACCCATCAAGTCGACCACAAGATCGACAAGACCACCATGATGATTGGCGCGGACGTCACGCATCCTCCTGTCAAGGGCGGTGCCATCCCGCCTAGTATTGCTGTTTCTGTCGCCGCCGTGGATGGGAATAATAACAAGTTTAAGCCGGCGTTGAGGTTGCAGAGTGGTCGGGTGGAGATTATTCAGGACTTTGAGAATATGATTACGGAGCATATCAAGACATTTGAGAAGAATAGTGGTGCTAAACCGCAAGGCATTTTGTTCTTCCGAGATGGTGTATCCGAGGGCCAGTACTCGCACTGTCTCAACTATGAGCTGCGGGCTATCAAGACGGCGGCGTCCAAGTTCCCCAACTACAAGCCGAAAGTTACTTTCGTCATTTGCGGCAAGAGGCATGCTATGAGGTTCTTTGCGACGAGCGACCAGGATAAGGATAGGACGGGCAATTTGCCGCCTGGTACTGTGGTTGACAAGGGCGTTACGTCGCCTGCCTTGTTTGACTTTTACTTGCAGGCGCATGCCGGTTTGCGGGGCACAGCGAAGCCTACCCACTAGTACGTCGTTTTGCTCTATATGTGATGAGGGTGGTGCTGATCTTGTTGTAGCGTTGTGGTTGCGGACGAGATCGGCTACTCTGCCGATAAACTCCAAAACCTCGTCAACGTGCTGTGCTACTCTTACGCCCGTGCTACCCGATCCGTCTCTGTACGTCCCTCCTCCCCTTCTGACTTTCCCTTGGATAACATGTATTTACCCCCCTGATAGCTCGTGCCGGTCGCATACTATGCCGACCTCATCGCCGAAAAAGCACGCTCATGGATCTACAATGACGACTCTGAAACTGCTACCGTGCCGTCGACTTCTTCGGGCAGCAAGGTGCAGCTTGCAGACTTTGATGAGTACAGAATCGCCAAGAGGTTTGCTAGTGCGCCAGAGTTTGAGAATGTTGCTTGGGTGAGTTTTTTCTTTGTTGTAATGGTGGGAGTTGAGCTGATTGTGGGGGTAGTACATGTAAAGCACCGTCTCTGGCGTGATATTCGGCAAGAGCTCTTCATATCGATTATTAGTATCCTGTCTCTTTTTCCCTTCCCTTTCTTCCTTTCTTTTATTCTGTCCAACTCTGATTTTTCCGGTGGCTGTTTTCAAGTCTGTTCGAAAAGCGATCCTTGTAAAAGTAGCTTGAACTTCATAAGACAAACTCCCAAAAAAAGAGGATGTTGATAGGGAAAGGTGAGATAAGAAAATTGAATGTATAAAACGTGGATAAACATGCTGCAGGCGTGTGGTAAATGCTTTTCCTCGTTCATACCGCCACGTTCCAAGTGCCATAACGGTACGAGGTACGGGCGGGCGCGGCGGGGTCAAATGAGGAACGGGTAGTTACGTAAAGATGTCCGATCGCCGAAGTTGCTGAGAAAGAGGAGCTGCCGAGGGGCTTTGTCAACCTCGGCAGGGGGGTGGCGACGGGCGGTGGCGACGGGGGGAGGGGTACGCATGGGGTGTGCAGTGGTGGGGAGCAGATGCATGGGGGGGGGATAGACGGGGCAATGAGCTATGCATGCATACGATGGTGGACGCACTGGAAGGTGGAATGCGATGGAAGGCAGGCCGAAGGGCAACGGACGACGGTTGACTGGGTTCGCTGTTCGCCGTTGTCATCGCGATCCCTGAGAACGTTTGGATCTCTTCTCTCCATTGCATCTCCATCTGCTACACCCCTCCCACCCCCTCCCCGCACCGCCCCCTGCCCCCCTGCACACCCCAAACACACCGTAAGTGCACTCCCACCCTCCACACACGCACAGGCCATCCCCCAAACAACATATATCCCCTCATCCCTATTTCTCTCTTCTTCCTCCCCGCTGACACTATGCACAGCTACTACTTTGACCCCATGGCCGACATCGACATGGCCATCCCCCAGGGTGCCCCAGTCGACAACTTTGAAGAGCTCTTCAATTTTGACGAGTTTGAGTCTGCCGGCGAGTCTTCTGTACGTTCCCTTGACCCCTCCCTGCCCGTCCTTTGCTGACTCGCCTCGCGTAGACCCACGGCAACTCTCCCTCGACTGCTTCTCCCAATGCCACCCCCTCTCCCATCTTTGGCCACGAGCCGCAGCTCCGCAATGACGGTGGCAACAGCTACGGGTTCGACCAAGACCTCCTCGATCCCGCTCTCGATCCCGACTACCCTGTCGGCCTTTCACTAGGCGAGACCAAAGTCCAGCCACCGGCGGCGGCGCTCGACCTGGGTCTCGATCAGGTCAAGCAAGAACCCCTTGACTTTTCCATGCTTGATAACGGACCATCTCCCTCTACGTCAGCCCCACTTGCGCCTCTTACCACGCCCGTGGCTTTCCCCGGCTTTCCTGCCGACCAGCAAGCTGCGCTTCAGCAGTTGATGGAGAGCATGATTGCGTACCAGAAGAGATTCCCTGGTGCGGCGAGCGGGTCGAGCGAGACATTGACGGTGGAGCCGTCGATGCTCAATGCGCCATCACCCGCATCCGACAGTCAGCTTGCGAGCCAGCCGGCTCAGCAGGTAGCAGTCGCTGGTCCGAGTTCTGCGCCTGCTACAGTGCAAACGTCTCCTGCGCCTACCTCTGCGCCAAGTTCCGCCCCGCTTCCCACCACTCAGAACCCTCCCCACTCCCCGCTTCGCTCCCTCTCACCTATCCCCGAATCTCGCAACGCCCGCGCAACATCCACACAATCCGCTTCCACCTCTTACGAATCGCTCTCTATCGATTCGCGCATTGACGCCCTTCCTCCTCTTTCTGCCATCTTCTCCGCAGGAAAAGGCAAGGGCGGAAAGAAGGGCGGTGGTCTGTCGAGTGTCGTGAGAGAAGATGGGGAGGATATGGATGATGATGACAGCTGGAGGCCGAGTCCGGAAGAGTACAAAAAGTTGTCGAGTAAGGAGAAGAGGCAGTTGCGGAACAAGCTTAGTGCGAGAGCGTTTAGGACGAGGAGGAAGGATTACATTGGGACGTTGGAGGGGCATATCAAGGACAGGGATATGGTGATTGATGATATCAGGAGCGAGTTGACGACTGCCAAGAATGAGAACCAGGACCTCAGGTAAGCTTCCATATCTGGAGCAGGTGGGCGATGCTGATGAGGTCATAGGCGTGAATTGGAAGCTCTCAAGGCCAGCACTATGGCCATCCTCCACCCCGAGACTGCCACTCCAGCTCCCGCTCCTCCACCTCTTGTCCGCCGCCCAACTTCCAACCAGATCAACACTTACAACCCCCGCAAAGATCTGCCTCCGTCCCTCAAGAAGGGCGGGTGGAACAACGACAATATGTTTGGCGGCGGCCCTACGGTCTGCCATACCATGTTTACCCCCGACTTGGTCTTGCCTCCAGCCGAGACAAGCACCAATGTCAACAACCCGAAGAAGCTGAGGTCGTTTGCGGATATCCCGAGGACAAACATGAACCCTCTCCTCAACTCGCCTCCTTCCTCTCCAAAGTTGCGCCCTCTCCCCGCGCACCAGACCCAAACGCCCTTCCCTCAACCTCTCTCCCACCCCGCTCCATCTCTTCCCTCATCCACATCTACCTCGCTCCCCTTCCCCGACTGGGCCGACCAAACCCCATACAACGCCCGCGTCACCGACCTTTACCGCATGCAGCTCTGGAGCCGCCTCACTCGCGAAGCTGCTATGGACAAACAAGGTCTCGACAAGGGTCTCCGACCCAAATTCTGGGTCGAAGGGCCCAAAAAGGAGGCAAAGAAGGAAGATGTGGAAAAGGTTGCTATGGCGGCGCAGAACCATATCACGTCGAAACTTGCTACCAGCTTCTGGTCGGCCTTTTCTTCTGGGCCGTTAGGAGGGTTGGATAGTGACAAGTTGTCGGCTGTGGTGACTGGTGAAGCTAGACTCAGCGTCATCCCCATCGCCTCTGAATCTCCCTCTTCATCCTCGCCGTCGTCTCCCAAATCAGCACTCTCATCGCTGACGTCAGAAGATGATAGTCTGGCGAGTTTGATGGGCGGGTTGAAGATGCAGTCTGGGCCCGGTTTGGCTGGGGCGGGCGCAGGTGCAGCGGGCGCGAGGGGCGATCCGTTAGGGACTCTTTGTGGCTTTTTGAGCCTGAGGGGAGGGTGTCGGCCTACACGGGTCTGATCAACCCCATCTCTCTCAACCCTACTCGACCTCGGCCTGAGGGTTCCAACAACATCCATCTGTACTTTTCCCAAGCATTCACTTCATCCTTCGCATTTACACCATTTCTCGGAATTTGTTGATATCCCACCATACCCTTCTCTTTTAAGTTTTACGTTTTCCGTCTTCTTTGTATATCTCGTATAGTTTACCACCTACCCACTATCACCCTCGACTCGAATCGATCCCCACATATCCCATATCCCAAACGCGCTTTTCGATTATACAAACCCAACCCATACCTTCCCCACTCGCTCCCACGCTCTATCTAGCTTGTGTGTCTTTCTAATCAGATCTATATATCTAAACAAGTGGATTCTCTTTTCTATGTCTAGCTTCTTCCTCTTTCTCGCTGTTTTGATTACTGGTATCTGGGACAGTTTATGTGAATGAAAGAAGTTGGAACAGAAAAGGAATGAATAGGAAATTCTATCTCGAAATGTGTACTCGCTCAGTCCATACATATTGCAAAGTGGAAATTGTACGAGAGAGCAGGGGCATTGGCTTTCACAAGCCAGTAGGGCCTTGGCCACCACCAGCGTCATCTGGGGCTGCATACATGGAAGGATTTGCGTCTGATTACTTCTGAACAAAGGGAAGCTCGACATAGTATACCCGAATACGCGTCGTGCAATGGAGGTAGAGTACATCCGTTGAACAACGCAACAAGTCCGATCAAGTAATCACCTTCATGGTTTGTTCATAGCCAAGAAAAGGAAGAACGCTACAGCGGTGCTTCGACGGGAGAAATGCCAGCATCTCATACTTGCTTCCGAGAACGGAGGTCTACAAGCTGGTGTGTGTTGTTGCAACACAAGGGAAGTTGTAGAGAAGGTATAAAAGCCACCATTAAAGAATCTCCACATCACCGCTCAGAAGTGCAAATCACAATACTAGAGAAGATGTCTCAAATCACAGTCCAAGCATGGGAAACCAATTGAGCCGACTCTGCTATCCCCCAGAGCACCAATAACGATATCACCGAAACAGTCAACGGTATCGTAGAATACGACCCGCCCAACGCAGAAACGAGTCATCCATCGTCAACTCTGCCCGGGCAGCGATACGGCTCGTTCACTATATGGAGCCATTTACGCCATGATCTTGAGAAGTCAAAGATCTTGAGGGGATCCTTCGTATCAGGCAATGCACTCCCCGGGGCGGCTCTAACCACGTCGGAGGTTGATGTTGACAATGCTAGTGTAGCGAACGAACTTTTGAGCAAGATTGCTGCTACACTCCACGAAGATGGAGGATGGTTGGACGATTGCTGCACTCAGCAGAGCGCAAGTCCACTGAAAGAAAAAGAAGAAAGTGTCTATCACGACTTGGTCAACGAGGACCCAGACCGTTATCGCAACATCGGCTTCGGCCGCACTGATCGAGATACGGCCCAAGATGTCGCGATTTGCCAATACATGTCTACCAACGCTACGCATCATCTCAGTCATGGCGGAGTGGATCAGCGGGTGTTATGGCTGTCGCCTGATGATGAGACAAAGTCATATGTGTACTTGCCTGGGTCTATGGTCGTTCCAGAAGGTACTACTGGACATGATGGGCGAGGAAGCGGGTCGGTCATCTATCGCGAGATATCGACTACGGCTGGGGAAGGCGCATAAGGCGTCCATGATTATATTGATTTCACGAGCACTGACGGGGAGGAAGATTAGCAGCATTATGTACTAGCATGCATCCTACCCGGGGAGTTGGTACAGCGCGAGCATCTCGCCATACCGCTCATGGTTCCTTGGCGCCAGACAGATGACGAGATGCCCCAACGAAATGTAAGCGTTTATTGATCACATGTCTAAGCGTCTTTCTGGCCCTGTAAAAGTATACGGTGTACTGACTGAGATGATTCAGTATAATATTTAACCCTTCATATGCATAGGTATATACTGACAAGCCCCCGAGCTATTGAGAAACGAAGCGAAATCATACACTCCCTGCGGCCATCGGCCCTTGTCCATCACCTCCCTACTAGACGGCTTTTGCCTTTCCGAAAATCAGCTATCAATACTATATGCATTTCGAATCTTATTGTACTTCTTCCATCTATACACATGTTGTCCGAGGACCTCCTGAAACAACTTCTCTTTTCGCTCCTTCACTCGTACTATAACCCGACACTTATTCCTCCTCCTTGGTCTCCTCCGCAATCATATGCCTCCACTTCTTCTGGATCTGCACCGACTCCCTGAAAATCTTGTACTTGACATCCAACAACCTCTTCTCCGCAGCCCCAAACTCATCATTCCTCGGCTCCACCGCCTTGCCCTCCTGGGTCATCTCCACCATCACATCCCACAGCTTGTTGCCGCCCTTCTCCTTGGCCTCGTCGGCTTCGGCCTGGTTGGTAATGGGTGCGGATTGGCGTTCGGTGGTGAGGTTGTAGGCGTATCGGCCGAGCATGGCGGCGCCGAGGACGACAGCGGCGGAAGGCTGGGGAGGGATGATAACGGGCATTTGGGTGACGGTGGCGAGGAGGCGCATGAGGGGACCGTTCTTGGCTTGCGAGCCTTTTCGGAATGTCAGCATCCACCTTCTCTCGCCAAAGTAGTCACGCACCACTCATGTAGATGGAATCAATCTTGTGTCCTCGCTCGTTCATCTCGTCGACAATGTGTCTAGTCTGCAAAGCAATAGCTTCGAGGGTAACGTTGAACTTGGCAGCGAGGTCGTTGAGACCATCGTCGAGGACGAGGCCAGTGATCATACCTCGCATACGAGAGTCTGCGAGAGGCGATCGGTTGCCGTGGAGGTCGGGGTAGAAATGCAAGTCCTTGGTGAGGTGGGCTGCCAGGAGTCAGTTTGTGGATCCTTTAGCAAGAGGTGTACGCACTCAGAGTCTTGGCACCCTTCTCCTGCTGCAGCTTCTCCAAGCGCTCGCCCAACAATTCAAAGATGTTCTTGCCAGTCTTCTTGGAGAGATCCTGAAGCTTGGAGTAGGCAGGGTGCGTTTGGATCATAAAGTCGATAAGCTAGAACAGGTCAGCGACGATCAATGGCGAAGGAAAGCGACTCACCTGTCCAGTAGACGACTGACCGCCCTCGTTCATCCAGAGACCAGGGAAGACAGCGTCTCGGTAAGGACCCCAGACACCGGGTACGAGTATACCGTCCTTGCTCTGGGCGATGTGGCAGGTACTGGTGCCAGCGATAGCAGCAAGTCGGGAGCCCGCGTCTTCGAGGCTGGGCTGAGGGTGGCCCTCGCCAGCGGCGGCAGCGACGGTACCGATCCATCCGGCATAGCTGTCATCAAGTCAGTAATGGCTTGGTTGAGGTCTAGAAAAAGGGCTTACGCGTCAATGACACCAGAACCGACAGCAGTGCCCTCAGTCAAACCAAAGTCCGCAGCAGCCTTCTTGCTCAAACCCTTACCGACCGGCTGACCAGCCGTGAGGACCAAACCGTTCTTGCCGGGGATACCACCCAACGACTCAAAGTCTTCCTTGACCAGATTGTCAAGACCTACTTGAACATCAGCACGTGTTCAAAAAAGAAGGGGAAGCGACTCACCAATCTTCTCAAAGAACCTCGGCTGCCATCCGTACTTGCTGACCTCCTCATTTCCGCCATCGCACTCGTGCTTCATGGTAGCACCAATGGGAACGAAGGAGCACTTGCACGTGAGCGAGCATGCTGATCGGGCAATATCGCTGGTGGCTTGGTAGGTCAGGAAGTCAGGGAGGCTGCAGGCGCTGGTCAGATGGGGTACCTTTGGTGGTCATGTGCCAGGGTGCTCACTCGAAAAGCATGCAGTCCTTGAATTTTTCTTTGTTCATGTGCTTGTTGAGCCAGAGGGTCTTGGGGATCTCCATCTCGAGCTAGGAAGGAATGAGCGCAAGTCGCCAAAGGAGCCGGTACACGTACACTCATAGTCTTACCAACAAACTCAAGCACACCCTCCCCAGTGGAGTTGATCTTCTCCGCTTCCTCCTCCGCTCGGTGGTCTGCCCACAGGATGACATTCCACTCGCCCTCCTTGCCAAGGTTTTCGTCGCTCTCCTCGTCCTCCGTAGCACCGGTCCTAGAGACGCTCACGGGTTGTCCCCGCTTGTTGACGACGGTGAGCGAGCAGGTAGCGTCGAATCCGATACCCTTGACCTGTTTGGGATCGATACCAGATTCGGCAATGACCTTTTTGCTGCAGGTAGCGAGGGACTTCCAGATGTTCGTGGAGGATTGCTCAAAGATCCGAGCGTCGGTTGGGGAGCGGTGGGTCTGGGTGGCCTCTGGGGTAGAGTGGGTCAGTGATGACTCTAGAGCGTAAATCAGACTCACCAGCATGCTCTGCGATGAGTTTTCCCTTGCTGTCGACAAGGCCAGCTCTGCCTGAGCCGGTTCCACTGTGCGACGTGGTCAGTACGCACCCCACGGCCGGCCGCTCCACTTACACGTCAAAGCCAATGAAGTATTCCATGGTGTTGTGGGTATTGGTGATAGTATGCAATGGAATTGATGGAAAGAAGTAGAAAAAGATAGAGATGCAAGATTTGCAGCAGAAGAGCCTTTTACCAGTGTCATCATAGGGCAGGGCCCCGTCGGATATCCCCGCAGAGGCCCCGCATTCACAACCTTCTTTCTATTCTTCTCTTGTTTTGGTTCCCTCGCGCCTCATGGCAGCCGTTTGCTTCTATAGATCAGAAGCACACGTCCTGGTATTGAAGGGGGGCATTGTATGCGCATTTCCGCTACAAAGTACTACAGACAACGGGGGCAAAATAATAAAGTGGCTATACTTTTTGAATAGCGAAATACAAAATCCACTACCGACCATTTAAGCCTCCAGAACAGTAACGTTCCCATCCTGGCTCTTCTTCTTTTCCGCCCCCTCAAACCTCTCCACACCTCCTTCCTCCCATTCCCCTTCCCCGCGCATCTTCCCTTCAAGCTTCTGGTCCACCCTCAATTCACCCGCACTCTCATCAACCTCCTCAAAGTGCATGTTCATACCAGGAGGAGGGAAAAAGTAGCAGGCGAGGAAGTAGACGGCGCCGGAGATACCGGTACCGGTAAGCCAGGAGAGGTAGTAGACGCGTTGGAACTGTTCGGCAGGCAGTCAGTAGGGTAGATGGTGGAGTACAGGAAGAGGACTAACGCCAACAGGGACGATAATATCGGGTCGGAGGGCATTGATGAATCCTGGAGCGTTAAAGGCGAAGCCGCTGCAGAGCTGTCAGTATTGTCCTCGTATGAGTGAAAATCGACTTACACAAAGTACGCCAAGTATCCTCGCCAGTTGACTCCCATACTGTACCAATACCACCCATCCTCCTCTCCACTATACAGGTCGTTCACCCTGATATGTCCCCTCCTCACGAGCCAGTAGTCCGTCACCATAGGTCCCGCAATACATGACAACAACACCCCATACGCTCCCAAATAGTTGCTGAAAGTCGCAGAAGACTTGTACAACAACCAAGGATTCATACAGATCCCCACAATCGCTGCGACATACCCGCCCCGACGGATGGAGAGGTAGCGCGGGAAGAGGGCGGTGAGGTCACATCCTGCAGAGATGGAGTTGGCGGCGACGTTGAGGAGGAGTTGGACGTAGACGAAGCCGGCGGCGATGAATACGAGACCGGCGCGGGTGGCGGAGGAGCCGTCGTCGAGCATGGCATCCATGATCTGGTCCGACGTCAGCTCACAGTCTGTTACTTGAAATATATAAGACTCACCTTGACCACGTCCCAGATCTGCTCACCAAACTGAGGCGCACTGGCAGAAGCAATCACAATACCCAAGAAGCTCGTAATCGAGAACCCAATAGGCATCGCAATGATCTGAGGCCAGACAGCTGCACTTGGCTTTTTCGCGCGACTGGCAAAGTCGCAAGAGTTGGTGACGAGAGTGAACATGTTGTTGAAGCACGACGAGATGGAAATGATCATCTGCCAGCCGAGCGCACTACCAGAAAGTGTCGCTTTCTGCGAGAAGACGGGACCGATGCCGCCTGCTCGAGTAATGGACCAGCCAAACAAGGTGAAGCCAACAATGGGACCGACGATAGCTTTGCCAAGGAAGAGCCACCGCAGCTTGTGGATTGGCACCCAGATAGTCGGCAAGGAGAGTATCCAGTAGAGGATGAAGGCTACGATGTAGGCGGTGGTGGTTTCGGTAGACTCGGGCATGGAGTTGTGGATTCTCGCAAAGGACGGCCATATGGCGCGCACTAGGACGTACATGCACTCTCCACCGAGCCATCTATCGAGGGATCAGCTCGAGACAAAGATAGCCAAAAAGAACGTACGATTGAACACCCCACCAGATACAAGCCATCGCCGCTCGGTTGAAAACGGGCCAGAGCGAACCAAATACTCCAAAGGTTGTACGACAAGCAGCGGGGAAGACGATACCGTGCATTGCTCCCTACTTCTGGTCAGCTTGAAACAATCGGAAGATAGGGGAGGCATACTGGACGAGCGTTCAGAACGAGAAGAGGGCCGACCAGACTATATCCCACAATGACACATACCAAAGCTGCTCCGGATATCAGCGACAACCTTTGAAGATGTTGCGAAACTCACACTGCCACCAATTCAATCCGGAACTCATCATCGAACTCGCAATCGTAAAAGTATTCAAGTTGAAACTGTCTGCTACCCAGAACATCGCCTAAAGCACCCATCATCAGCGATCCGCCCCAAGATCGTCAAGATGATAGCAGACCCACAAAGTTCCATGAATCCCATGTCTTCTTGTCTTCGGTGACCGGTAACAGATCCTCCGTAGCGAGGAACATTTCTTTTCTAGAAAGGCCTTCCGCATGGTTGCTTTCGAGTTTTTTGAGCAGTGTTCCGGCGCGCAGCGGCATGGTGGTCGATGTGTTGGATTGTTGAAGGATCTTCTGGAGGAGGAGTCTGTATCGTATGCGGTGCGCTATCAGACCGTTTTTGAGCTACTCTGCTAGGGCACACAACGTTGTGGAAAGGGTGGGGTCATAAATTTGGACCGACAGTCTTATATGAATAGCCCATCACACCTATCTCTGCGTCGCACTCCTAGCCTCCCTCATCCGACCCTTCCCCGTGCATACCTGCGCTGTGAGATTCGTTGATCGACGTTAATTTTTTATCCCTTGCTATCTCCCATCGAAGCAGCCAATCATGTTCAAGATCGGAATGAAACAGAGGCGCCGGGAGATCGGGGTTCAAGAAAACCTTGATAAGGAGATTGGCTGGACTGAACACGTCATAGGTCCACATGGTCCTCTGACTTCGGCAAAGTGATCTTCCGGTGTGTGATGCATGGGGCTGCATTCTTCATAGAGCGCTGGCCGAAACACAGCGGCAGAACAAATAGGGTTCTTCAGCTGTGATAGGTACCAGCAGCCCCAACCAACAACATGCACTGCCGGCAGCCACAGACTAGATACGCCCCAAGATAATGGCTGGAAAGACACGGAATACTGACCGTGGCTCGTCTACAGATGGGTAATTGGCATAGCCGCTCGAACTCGGCCAATGGCAAGACTCGGAGGCCCATGAAAAGATAAGAGAAAGACGCCGCTAACTCGCTTGCTTGTTTGCGTTATCAGGGCGCTAGCGTAAACGTACGTAGGCGATCGCCGCCCCACTGGAGAACGTTGAGCGATGTGCCGTCTTCAACGATTGCTGCTATGTCTCTTGCATATATACGCCTCAAAGAACCAGTATTCAATGGAAGGTAACTGCTCAAAAATCCAGATCAGTGACGGTACGACACGTCCGCACCTTGCTTTACGGGCGGTAGTCAATTTTGACCTTTTGGGTATATGTCCTTGACTTTCTGTGGTCAAGCGAGGCTTTACTAGCATCTATCACGAGTCAGGGGAGCCATGTCAATCAACTGGAATATTTAGACAAATCCTCCCTACCAGCCAATTAAGATCGTCGAGAGATTGACCGTCATTTCTGTGAAGTCCGATACAACGGACATTTGAATTCATTATGAAGAGGTGAGATGTTCTAATATACCCGGGTGTCAAAATATCTGTTCTACTATGCCCGGGTGTGCATGTCTGTAGATCTAGAGTCCCCGGGTGTTTGGTATCCGCCCCATCTCGATATCAGTTCCATCTTACGAATGGCTGACCTGTTACTCGTGTCTTGATGTCGCGTCATCCGGGTACCGGTTTGTGGAAGCGATGGTCAGTACGCGCCTCATATACTATTCTCGGGTACTTATAGTCAATTGCGGCCTCAAAAGTTCTGTACTGTTGGGGGTACTGGCACAGCCAGAGATATGGTGAAGGACGTCGCCAGAGCGACGGGCATAGTCCTTTCTCTTCAAGCTATCAGCAAAGCACAACGGGGTATCATGCTGGGAAAGCATGAGATGCAGAAGGACGTCCCATTAGCAGGCCATACTCCAGCGCCCAAACAAAGCACGCAGAAGGTCGCCGCCGTTACTCGTACCACAGGGACATAGGTGAAGGCGAAGGGCAGAAAGTCTGAAAGGTGCAATGTTTGTGGAAAACCAGGGCACGACGACTCCACCTGCTCCATCAATGTGGAGTCATTGAAAAGGCAGAGACAAGCAAAGGCAGAAGGCGAGGCGGCTATACAGGTCAGGCAAGAGGAATGGCGGCGGAGCGGGGCCGATAATTGGCCTGAATGGTAGGAGTAGGCATGGGAGATGGAGTTTGAGGTGTAGCTTGTGCATGTCGTTTGAGCTTGTTGGTCAGTATCGATACGGCTGTGGGTCGGTCTCGGACAAGTCTCGGGTGGCTTGTGTCGAGCCAGCGCAGAAGACGGACATGGCCGCAAACGCTGAAACGCGCCAAGAAAGAGGACGCGTTTGTCCGGTGCCTCGTCTGATCCTTTTGATCTCTTCCTTTGCTTTCTTATTGTTCAGCAAGGTCGTCTCTGGTTAGCCTGGAGGCTATCGCAGCCAGAATGGTTGTCCATCTCGCTGAAATTCAAGGCAAAAGAGACGCACCAGGCAGCTTGACCTATCAGCTAGCTGCAGCGTGACAAGCTCGCGTTCTGGGGTCATGCTGTTGTCACCAATAGTTAGTGTCGATTCATTGGGTTTGAGGCTCCACTTTCTTGGTGCATCCACAATCCTCATGGGCCTCATGTATACTGCCACGTTGAATTATGATGGGAGCTGTCTCCAATGTATGCATTTTGCGCAGCACAGTGGCTGCCTACACTTGCCGACATGGAAGAACGCTGTGGTCGTCTCTCATCCAACATCGCTTTCTCCTCTCTTGACCGACGACCCGACGACTCTGACGACCGACTCAATTGGTGCCTCATTAAGAAAACCATTGTTCCCCATCTCTATCAATTGCTGGGCAGGGCAGGGCAGGCAGGGTATGGGCGGGGTAGTGTTGTCTGGCACGAAGGAGGTTTGTAACTGTTGCAGGAAGGGATGTGCACAGACCATGTCCTCCAGCCAAGCGATGATGTATACAACGTCTCATTGTGTAATCGAGAACACTTTGCTTTTTCATCTCTACATTCCCATTCTTCTCTTTCTTTCCAACGACTGGGCAGAGGACGTCTGCTTTGTCTATATACAAGCACGCCTCTGCATAGCCAGCCACCACGGGCAGTACCACACGCCCCCATCGGCACCCACGCTCCCTTAATTCAACTGCCTCGCTTCACTCGGTGTACTCCCCAGCATCACCCATCCCATCACCGCAGTCGCCCATTTCCTCCCGCCAGCAGCTGTACCAGCAACGCCCCCTCTCTTCTCTCTTGCATGCCCTTGCATACATATCGCACAACAGACCTCGGGAATCAGGAGGCCAGGACCCAGCATAACGGCCCCACCCTGCATTAGGGCAGTTTTCCCTGAAAGACGCGTCAAAAGTCAAAGTCAAATCCTGCAGCACTGCCTTCTCGCCCGCGCCGCGATCACGCCAAGGCGATCTTTGATTGAGCAAAAGCGCGTTCGGGATTGTTCATCTTTCTCGTGGGTTTTGTTTTGTACATATCTCTTTAGCCCCCTCTTCGCCTCGACCATCCCCCACCTCCTGGCCGGCCCAGTCACTGACCTTGTTGATCAAGCTCGTCTCTCGTCCCGCGTCAAGATTCTCCTCGCCCCTCGCCTCGCAGCTCTCGACACACCGTTCTCTGGTTAGAACGATATATACATCAAAGTAGAACCGCTACCGGCTAGCATTCTCATCCCCCGATCTGTTATCCCTCGGCTGTTCTGTATAGATCTTTTTGAAAAAGAGAAAATCCTTTGAGTGAGTCCCGGTTCCGCTCCTTTGATAAGAGCCTTTCGCGCTTTTCTAGCTCAGCTACCTCGGTATCGATGAGCTGTGAGATCTTGAGAGATTCAAGGGAAAGAAGAAGCGCAGTTTGCTAATGCTGAAACGCTATAGGAGGTTGATCCTTTCTGATTAACGACTGTGAGTCTTGTCGATGACGCCGGGCTCGCCTCGTCCGCTCTCAAGAGGACTCCTCAATTGACTCACCGCTGACTGTTGGCCATCTCATAGAGTATAGACGCGCATCTCTCCTATATCTTTCAAAAGAGCCGGTCGGCTCATCCAAAATCACACCTCCTACCCCTACTCCACAAGTCGAGAACGATGCTCGCCTCCATTCTCCTCCTCGCCCTCCCTCTGGCCCTCGCCAACCCCGTCCCCACCTCTGCCCCCGCCCCATCGCCTAGCTCCACCTCTGGCGGTTTCTCCGCCGGGCTCTCACACGGCCAAGGCGCCATCGCCCGCTCCAACTCTTACGCCAACGCCAAGCGCGGCCTCGTCGCGCGCGACGACGATGAGGGACTGCCGCCGAGTTGGCTGTTGTGGGCTGGGGCGAGGTTGGATGCCAAGTACAATGGCGCGAATGGGTTCAAGGAGGCGTATGCGAAGGAGATCACGAAGCGGGCTGATAACGGTGAAATCTCGTGCGTCTTCACATGGAAAAGGGGAGATGGGACTGACAGAGACATAGGTTGACAGACCACAACCTCGACACTTCCTACTCTGCCTCCCTCTCCGTCGGTACCCCCGCGCAGACATTCGACATTGTCCTCGACACCGGCTCCTCCGACCTGTGGCTCGCCTCGGAAAAGTGCTCCACCACCGCCTGCTCATCCATGGACGAATACTCTCTCTCCAACTCGTCCACCGCCGTCAACCTGTCGACTTCATTCTCAATTGAGTATGGGAGTGGGAAAGCGAGTGGAGCGTTGGTGCAGGATTTGGTGACCCTGGGCGGTTATTCGGTCGCGAGTCAGACGTTTGCGGCTTGCGATAGTGTTAGTACGGGACTGCTGAGTACGGGGGTCAGTGGGATTATGGGGCTTTCGTGGCAGGCTTTGGCTTATTCCAAAGGTGAGTTTGAACACGAGCGTTGATGGGGAAGAGCTGATAAGTGTAGCGACGCCATGGTGGATCACCCTTGCAAAAAGCTCGACCTGGAGCCAACCCCTCTTTGCTTTTTACCTCGCGCGATACCGCAACGTCGCCGGCGCCACTGCCAAAGAGACTGACGGCGGTACCGCCACTTTCGGCTACCTCGACTCTTCCCTCTACTCTGGCGACGTGACCTACGTCGACGTGGAGGATGACGCGGAGTATTGGCAGATTGAAATGGCCTCTGCTACCATCCAAGGCTCTTCCATCTCGCTCAACTCGTCGTACAACATGGTCGCGATTGATACCGGCACAACCCTCATCGGTGGGCCCGAGTCCATCGTCGCAGAGATCTACTCCAAAATCGACGGTGCCCAGCGCATGACAGGTTCTTATGCTTCCTACTACGAGTACCCCTGCAACACTTCTGTCGAGCTCGACTTGACGTTTGGAGGGTACACGATCGAGATTACCGACCAGGATTTCAACCTTGGGAGGTACTCTTCGGATACTTCCATGTGTACCGGGGCGGTGTATGTGCAGTCGTTGTCTTCGTCGTCGCCAGTGCAGTGGATTGTGGGGGATGCGGCGATCAAGAATACGTATACCGTGTTCCGATACAATCCCGCGGCGGTGGGCTTTGCTGCTCTTGCTGGATCGGTGACCTCTAGTGAGGCCGCGCAGTCTACGACCATTGCGGACATCTCGTCTGTGCTGGCTGCTGCTTCCAGCTCGGCTACTGCTTCCACTACTCCCGCTTCCTCGTCTTCTGCTGCTACCTCGTCTACCGCTACTTCTTCAGGGGCAAGCGCTACCAGCAAGGCAGCGTCCGTCTCGTCCGGAGTGCCGCACGTCGTCAGTGTTGGGTCATCAAGTACCGAGACTATCGGCAGTGCTACAGCTTCTGAATCGGATAGCGCTGCGGCAGCTTCAGCTACGAGCGGGGCTTTGCCTCTATTCAGTTCCAGTCGATGGGTTGTAGCGCTATTGAGCGCTGCTGTGGGCGTGTTGTTGCTGTAAGATTTGTCACCTTTTTTGCATTTTTTTGGAGCTCTTTTACAAGATATAGTCATCCTGCATTTGTTTGTTTATTAGTACCTAGTCAAACCATCTCTTCCTTTCAATTCATCATACATCCAAATCAACTGGAAACGATCATTTTTTACGTACCATCTTGCTTATGATCTCAACGTCTCTCGTTCATGCTATGCTCTGCTTTCTGCATTGGTCCTCTAGCCTCTGGGAATGTTTCAAGGCATATGCACTCTTTTGTGTACTCTTCTCGAGCAAGCACAGGAAAAGAAATCACCCTCGTCACTGGCTCCTCTTTGCTCCCGCCATTTGCCCCGGCCTCGGCGGGACGGAACTCGGGGACGCGTTGCTGCGGACAATCAGTCGCTCTGTTTCACGTGTGGTCGCCAACGACCTGCCTCTGCCGCGCCCCCTGTGCGCCTTGTTCACAACCTAGACGACAGCCCCCAAACGAAAAACCCGTCCTGCTCGGGAATCACCGTGATCACCAAAGCCCAGACATCCGCCCTGCGCCCCCCTCCTGTGGACCTCAAAGATGTGGTGAGACTCACAACCCCCTTGCCTCTACCTTGACTCGTTGTTCTTGATCAAACCATACACCAGGGGTCTTTCTGATGGTTGATGCTGTAGAGCCGAAAGGGCCGGGGTGGGGGATCAGTCATCAGAGTAACTCAATTGTTGTGCGATCCTCCACTTTCGTACTATATGTAATGGCCGGGGCGGGACATCGACCAAAGGCCCCAGTTTGGCCGTGATGGCTCACGCTATGTGTTTGATCGGAGCTTTATGTATCTGTGGGAATTCTCCTTGTTGTGCCGCTAAATGCTGACGCTATCCATGGCAGCGATGGATCCTGCAATAAGGCTTCCCTTCTCGTACGAGGCGCAATGCTCACGCCACCTCCATCTCAGCTTTCAGATATCCAGCATGTACCCTTTGCTACGATATGGCGGTGTACATTCGGCCTTTGCCCACAATCTTGCTTGGGCGCCTGGTTGGTCACCGCAGAGGGCGTACGTGCTGTAACTTTTTTCTTTTTCGAATTACATAGTGTACTGCAAACGACACCTTTCGAGCCACACGCTTTCGGTTCCAGGCTTTCGGATACCGGACACGAACGCTGCGAAGCATCAGGCAGCAGAGCACACTGCGGCAAGAATGGCGATGGGGGGTGGCCAGAGAGATCATCAGTTCCCAGGCAGGCTTCACGCGGAAAGAGAGGCATATGGCGCAGAGTGGAGGAGTGGAGGAAGGCCGCAGGATACGGGGGCAGGTGGCAGGTACACAGCAGGGCCGGGACGGGAAAGGAGTGCAAGAGATCGCATCAATGCTGACTCCAGAGTGACTTCCAGGACCGCCAACAAGAATTCCAGCATCAGCCGGTCAGGGGGCGTAGGTGGGGTAATTGCAAAACTGCTGCCGTACTTATACCTCGCTGCTCTCATCACGTCTCCCCCATCCCCTAGCACATCGGTGCCGCGACGAGCATCACCACGCACGTCCTTGCCCTATCCACCGCGGTTGCTGACACGATTGCCTGATCAAAGCGCTGAGCGTGCCGTCTATTGATCTCGCACCATGCCATTCTCATCGGCTGCTCCACCCACCCGTATATCTTCTACCACCCCTCTCGCCTCATCCACCTCGCCCACTCTCCCCCTTCTCCTCACTCGCCCGCTCCACACGGAGCACCGCTGGCAGCCAAGGAAAAACAACATGAGCGTCAGCCTTCATTCCCTCGCAGACGCTGCTCTCGCCGACGCCTCAGAGCGCCCCTCTGGCCACTCTCGCTCGCGTTCGTCGTTTGCGCTGCCTCCCATCGCTGCTCTGCTCAACCCTATTACCGACTCCCAGAGCAGAGTTGCTCGTTCGCGCCCACAGACGCCCACTCAACAGCCTCTGGTCAAGGGGTGGTCTCCTACTACGCCGTCGTCACAGCCTCGCCCTTCCCAGGCCCCCGCCGAGCAACCTGTGAGCACACTCCTTGATTGAAATCTGATACATTCTCATTAACCCTATCTACAGGTCCAAGCGGCCCCTATCCAGGTCCCGGTTGAACAGGCCCAAGTGTCGTTCGAATACAACGTCCGCCGGTACAAGCGCGGTGAGCGCCCAAGCCAGCCCCCTGCCCAGACGACTCGCCGTCACACGGCCCCTGTCGTTCCTACCACTGCCACTTGCCGTACCGATGTGTCATGCAACGATACAGCCCAGAACCGCGGCCCATCGTCAGCAAAAGGAAAAGAGTATCATCCCCTTCAAGGTGTACAGCTCGACAAGCATCACCCAGAGCTCTCTATCCATGGCTGGCACGAAGACGCTCGACGTCTGCTCCAGCCCCCCCGGGCATTTTCGCCTTCGTACCCCCAGCGTGGCCCGTCCGAGAACGCTGTGCAAAGGTCAGTGAGCCAGGGTCCGTATCCTTCCACACCTGTCGAATCTGGTGTGCAAGTCCATGTACAGCATCCTCGCCCTTGTTGGCCCGAGCCGCTTCCTCAGCTCCCCTACACGTACGTCCCGTACCACCCATATCAACAAATGCCTCACCATGTCCCCATCATTGCCGAGCCGCAACCACGCCACCGTCAGAGGTCGTACAGGTTCATATCGCAAAACGAAGAGCTGGCCAATGCTGCGAGGGCGGGGCATCTGCAGGCGTCTGCTTCCCAGTCATGTTTTGGTATTGAAGGGCCAGCCAAGAGACAGGACCAAAGGAAGAAAGTATCGGCGTCTGCTCCCGTCAGCCCAAGGAGCAAGGAGCGGCCTCCCTTGGCTACTGCAGCTTCTAGTGTCCCTATCACGCCCGTCTCGAGCCATGAGCAGCGGAGCAACAGGTGGACGAGGCACGCAAGCCCTCGCAACAGCTACCCCATTCGCCCCGTCTCTCCTGCCCAGTCTACCTTGTCCAACGCTAGCACCATCCTTCCCATTGACGGGGAGCCTGGGCTTGACATGTCCTCCGCCACTTCTTCCTCGGGCAGTGAGCCTTTCGATGGTACGGACATGGACCATGAAGAGTCGGATAGTGATGACGACAGTGATGCGAGGGATATGGGAGGCAAGCGAAAGCGTGCATTGCAGAAGATGACTTCGCCTACCGACTCTACTTTCTCCTCGCCTGCCAAGCGCCTGCTTGACTCGTCCCAGCAGGGGTCCACCCCCACCTCGTCAACGTTCCAAGACTGTTCGCCCGAGAGCCTGGCCAAGCGCCAGCGTACGTCGAGGACTGGTCACTTGTATGGTGGCGCGATGGGGACCGATGGGAAACCTGTCAAGAGGTCGCAGGGGAGGAACAAGGAGAAGAGGAGGGAGCAGAACGCCGTGGCGCAGAAAAAGTTCAGGTGGAAAAAGAAGCAGTTGACTGAAAAAGTACGTCCCAGCTGCTACCTGTTGATATATACTGACCGTACTGCAGATGGCCACAGACTTGGAAAGTGCCAATGCTACGATCAAAGACCTCGAGCAGCGCTTGGAAGATTCGCAAGGTCTTGTCAATAAACTCCAGTCAGAGCTTCACGTCTCTCAAAAAACAGCCGAGGGGTGCGCGTAGGCTGCTCATCATATACATCCATAGCACTTGTTTCGATTTGTACTTTATACTGACGAACATTACGAAAGAAAAGGAGGCAAGTTTGTATACCAGCACAGAGGACCCTGTTGAGTAACACATTTCTTGCTCCCCCCTGCGAGATTGCATATATACATCTCACGTCCATACATCCCCCGGATAGCATCCATAGACATCTATTCTCTTGCATCATCCATGAATTCTAGTTGATACGTTTGCATTATACAATGGCTGTCCCAAAAGTTGTGACAAGTGCCACATGGAGATAACGGCGGATAATCCCGCCACCACTCTGTGATCTGCGCGTCTTGATACAAGTCAACCAACCTATAAACGCCCAAAAACTCGTCCAGACAGGGGCCTCCACGACTCGGACAATGTCCCATCTACTACCCCCCAACCTGCTCCGACTGTTCGCCCCCCGCCCGCACCCGCCGTTCCTCAAACCACTCACCAGAGACGAACGCAGCCGCGGCCCCAACAAGCTCTCGGGCGTTGCGCACCTGGCGCAGAGGATCAAGGAGGAAGCCGAAGATGCGGAAGTAAAGCTGGGGATGGAGGTTGCTGAAAAGGAGAAGGCTGCGCAGGCGAGCGAGGATGTCAAGCCGGACGTGGCTGATGCTGTAAAGGAGGAAGGGGAAGATGGAGAAGTCAAGGAGGTGGTAGAGGAGTCGGGAAAGAAGAGGAAGAAGGCCAAGGACAAGATTGCCGAGATGGGTGTTATCGGAGAGGAAGCTGTCAAGATGAGAAAGGAGCTGAGAAAGAAGAGGCAAGAAGAGTACAAGAAGAATGCGGAAAAGACTTGTGAGTGTGATGGATCGTGTTGGCGGGCAATACTGACCAACCTAGACAAACCGCAAGACGACCCTTCAGCTATCGGCGACCCATATAAAACCCTCTTCATCGCCCGATTAGTAAGACTATAGCGTGACTCCTGCCATGTATATACTGACCATGTTGTAGTCGAAAAAGGCCACTGAAACCGATCTTCAGCGAGAGTTTGAAATGTACGGCCCTATCGAGAGAATACGCATTGTTCGCGACAGGAAGGGAAAGAGCACCGGCTATGCTTTTATCGTGTATGAGCGGGAACGAGACATGAAGGGTAGGTCGCATCTATATTGCAAAAATCCACGAGACTGACTATCTGTTAGCCGCCTATAAGGACGCCGAAGGCATCCCGGTCCACCACAAAAAGATCCTTGTAGATGTTGAGAGAGGACGTACAGTCAAAGGCTGGAAGCCCCAGCGACTCGGAGGTGGTCTCGGCGGTCGACCCAAACCCATACCCGTAGAAGCTACTCCTGTCCTGGCGCCGTCTGGTGGATTCAGAGGAGGTCGAGGTGGATTCCGCGGTGGTGCTCGCGGTGGTGGGTTCCGTGGCGGATTCCAGGGAGGAAATCGTGGAGGCTTTGGCGGGGGAGATCGCGGTTTCAACGGAGGCGGTGACAGGGGTGGATTCGGAGGGAGGGGAGGATTCCGAGGAGGATTCCAAGGAAACAGGGGCGGATTTGGAGGCGACCGTGGGGGCTTTGGGGGTGGAGACCGAGGAGGGTTCCAAGGCGGACGAGGTGGATATGGAGCAAATCAAGGAGGGGTTCCTGGTGGATTTGGAGGCGACAGTGGCTACGGGTGAGTCGTCATTCTCTTCCATCTCTTTTCAGTCATACTGACATGAACTAGCGGGGGCGGCGGTTTCCAACAACAAAATAATGGTTATCAAGGAGGAGGAAACTTTGGCGGGCAGGGCGGTGGATTTAAGCGCGACTTTGACAATGCTGGTGGCCCAGGAGGATACCAGGGGGGAGGAGGAGGCTTTGGAGGGAGCGCTGGAGGAGGAGGTTACCAGGACCGAGATCCCAAGAGGATGCGGTATTGAGGTATTTACTTTTAACGTCATTTCTGGTTGTCTGTCGTCTGTGGCCTAGGGAAGGGCAAGTGGCACAGGTCAAGTATGTAAAAACAAGGTATAGCATTTCCCAGTGCTGTTTACGAGGGCATCTTATCAAGCAGGTTGCTTCTACATGGGAAGAAGACATGGTATCAACTGAACAAGAGTGGGTATGGTAGGTGCTCGTGCGCCTTTATATGCCCCAATTGCGCAACAGTGCATGTCACTCATGATCCGAGACATACTCTTCAGCCAGGAATCGTATTGTACAAACTATATTATGGAGTGCTTGGCGCCCCAGAGCAAGCCGGTGTTTGATCGCACGTGAGCTATGACAGATACGGACCCCTGATGTTCTCTGTTTTCCCCCGATCTATGCATGCTCTACATGCTTGATAAGCATAGCCCTGCATAGTTTGATGCTTCATACGCCGTAGCGTGACACGACTCACGAGGATACATACGAGTAGCAAACACCGAGATTGGAGATTGTGCCTGCTACGTGGGCGGCATGCGGTCTGGCTGTTACCGGAAGAACACCCGGAAGCAACCCGGCATTTGAACTGGACGCCAGTACCCCTCCCCTGCAGCACTGTACATACGTTCCAGCCCCCCCGCATGCATACGGCCATACGATTTGGTCATGGGCGGAAGCGGACGGAGCCCCAGCACGGTGGAGGCTGGGTGACGTTCGGCAACTGAAGAGGACGCGTATGACGTGCGATGGTCGACGAATGGCTGCAGTGGGGAGGACGTCGCCGGGTCATGCCATCGCTTGCCATCCCACCATATATAACGGCCCCGCTTCTGCCTGCTTCCCATCCACCCACCCGTCGCTCTACGCCTCGCATCAATCACAAAACAACAAATTCAGCCCACAATGTCTGGTTCTCTTCGTACGTCACTTCCAGACTTCCGCGATTTTCATTGACATTCTCCCAGAGCTCTACGAATTCTCCGGTTCCGTCTGGTCCAACGCCCCCAAGATCGCCATCGAGGAGGGCGGCTTCAAGAAGGGTCAGGACTATGACTACATCACCATCAACCTTGCCGAGGTATGTCTCTCTTTGCACTTTGCCTGTGTACAGTGTATGGTGGCTGACATGGCGTACAGGGTGCCAACTTTGACCCCTCTTACCTCAAGATCAACCCCGCCGGTACTGTCCCCACTTTGATCGTCGGCAAGGACACTTTCACCGACTCTATTGTATGTACCCCTGTCCAGAGCTTTTCAGATAAACCTGACGCATGTCGTAGAGCGCGGTCGCCGAGATCAACAAGCTCGCTCCCAACAAGCCCAAGGGCAAGGTCAGCGGTGGTGTGAGCCTCATCGAGGAGGTAAGTGTACCAGCGCACGGGCATATTGTAGAGCTGACATTGTGGTCCCAGATCCATGGTGCTGCCATTGACCCCAACGCTACCCTTTTGCTCGCTACCGACGACAAGGACAGGGAGGTCAAGGCTAACGGGCTTCCAAAGGCCTTCTTGGCCGGCAGGCAGAAGGCTCTGAATCAGTGAGTGATAGTGACACGCCTTGCAAGGCAAAGCTGATCGACTTCTCAGATTCTCTCAGAGCCCTCCCGCAGAATTCAAGGACTTTTTGAACAAGAAGCGTGAGGACAACCTCCAGCTTTTGGACTTTTACTCTGGTGCCCCTGACGTGAGTCATACCTTCCATCAATAGACGTATACTAACTGAAGGACAGGAGCAAACCCGCAAGGCGCACTACGCCCAAGGCCAGCAGCTCTGGTCTTCTGTCGGTGCCGCTCTCCAGGGTTTCGTCGCCGACGCCCTCACCAAGAACCACCAGGGCCCATACGTCGGCGGCTCCGAGCCCTCTGAGGCCGACTGTGCGTGCTGTCTTCCATGTGGATCAACACCCAACAGCTGACGTGTCTATAGTCCACTTGATCACCTGGCTCGCGAGGACCATTACCAACGCCGGCGTCGAGCCCGGAACCAACGCCGACGACGCCATTAAGCAGCTGCAGGCCAAGACTGGTGCTTCTTCTTTCGACGACTCTATCAAGCTCTACTGGGAGACTTGGACCGCTAGGGACAGCTTCAAGAATGCTGGTGTCCACTAGGCGAGAGGTGTCTTTGTATATATAGGCGAGAAGTCGCAAGAAGTGAAAGCTATCAATACGTCGTTATCTCATGTATCATAATTTGTCGCTTTATTTTGTTCATTGTACTAGTCAGGCAGTAAGCAGCTCCAGCCACATACCCCTCCTTGTGTTGTTTGACCACGAAATATTGCCCACACAGTATGGACAAGACGAGCTGCGCTGCAAAGCAAACATCAATGGAGTAGTGCGACAGTGGTTACTCGGTTCGATTAGAATTTTGTAATTCCTTTATCGAATGCCGTCAGGCGCGCAGGTTCGAGTCCTGCCTGCTCCTATTTTTTTGCCTTTTTTGCCTCATGTTGCCTCTTTTTGCCCTTCTCATGCAGCGTATGCATAGCAATTAGCAGCACTGCGCTGCGCCCACAATCCCTGGGCACTGTCGTAACCAAGCGTCAAAGATGATAGGCAGACTGACGACATTGGACAAGCTCCACCAGCGGCCATTTACCGAGGCCATTTGCCGAGCATCGTACTCGCCAGTATATTATCGCGTCGTCAAGCTTTAATGTTCTCTGTACAACTCGGTTCCTCAATCATATCAACTGTTCAGAAACGCCCTGTCTTTGTACTAATCACAAATGTCTCTGGTCAAAACTGTGACTCTTGCTGGTAGACAAGTACCTCCCATGGCCATCGGCGAGTCTCCTCCTCTTGCCAAAACACGACACTGATAGATAGCAGGCACATGGGCCTGGGGAGATTCTACCTGGCAGTATACACCCAAAGATCTAGAGAACATCAAGGATGCTTGGCGGGCTTGTTTGAAGGCTGGGTTGGTGTTCTTTGATACTGCGTGAGTTTACAGGTGTCTCGCTCCACCAGTGGATCGAACGATCGCAGTTGCTGATCTCTCGTATCTGTCAGTGAAATCTATGGAGCTGGAGAATCGGAGAGGATTATCGGACGTCTGATTAAGGAAGAGACTTCGGAAGAAGACAAGTCGAAGATCTTTATTGCCACGAAATGTAAGTTGTCGACATCTACGTAGCGACATTGATCTCATCGTGGTAACCATCTACAGTCCTCCCGGTACCCCATCCCAAGACCGGCCTATTCTTCTTCAGTCCTCCTATTGTGGAACGCTTGAAGGCATCCCTCCAACGTCTGGGGCTCGATTCAGTCCCTCTTTACCAGCTCCATTCCTCCATCTCGTTACACTCCCACGAGACTCTGGCGGCCGGGCTTGCAGAATGCGTCAAGCTCGGTCTAGCAAAGGCGGTCGGAGTGTCAAACTTCAGTAAAGATGAGCTGTGAGCGACTCATCCGGAGGTATCCACCCATGATATACACTGATACGCCTTGTAGAATCAAAATGGACGAGCTCCTCAAGAAGCATGGAGTGACGTTGGCTTCCAACCAGATCGAGTTCAACCTTCTCCGTCAGCTTCCGGACCAGAATGGACTTCTGGAAGAGATGAAGAAGAGGGACATTGCTTGTCTTGCTTGTACGTTTTCGGTCGTCTGTAGACAGACATGACTGCTAAAACGTCTGCCTAGACTCTCCTTTGGCCATGGGGAGGCTCACCGGAAAGTACAATGCTTCTAACCCTGTCCCAAGCGGACGAAAGTGAGTGTCTATTCCGTCCGGTTCTGTCATGAATAAAGGTCTGACCCATCTCGGCAGGTTTAGCGCCCAGTACTCCTGGGAGCAGCTCGAGCCCCTCATCACCGAACTTGGCCGTATCGCCGACAAGTATGGCGTCAAGCACTCGGCGATCGCTCTGAACTGGGTCATGGCTAAAGGTGCTATCCCTCTTGGAGGAGCCAGGAATGGGTCGCAGGCGGAGCAGAACGCCCAAGCGACTACCTTTGAGCTTACGCCAGAAGAAGTCGACAGTCTTTCAAAACTCGGCTTTTCCGGAAAGAAGTGAGTTGTTCCTCTTGGCTTAGCGTTCCAGGTCTGACCATCACTCTCTTAGCTCTTGGGTCTGGCAGCGGGGATAGAATACACGAGGAAATAGCCATATGTTATCAGCTGTTGTTGTTTTGCTTGCTGCTAGTGTATGCACTCTTTAGATGTCGTTTTGAATTCCCGTTTGGCCTTCTGGCATCGCCTCAATCAGTATATGTCGTTGTAACCCGCTTATAGACCCCATGTACTGTATACTCAGCTGTATAACCCTTCCGAAAAGAACGTGAGACAATCAGCGTGTAGCGCTTCTAATTTGAATGTATGTAGCTCAACTGTGATAGATGTACATGGCCGTTGCCTAAAATCATGGTCCTAACAATCCGCGTCCTTGGCCTCTTTATCCCACTCCTTGACCTACTGCACAACATCACTCCAGTCCTTGACCCTATGAAGCCCATGATCCTTGCCCGTGAGGATCTCATTGAAAGGAAGCGGGAGCCCTTGCGCAATCCTCTCCTCATAGTCCATGAGCTCTACCGGCGAGGAGAGGCTGCTGCGCGAACGGTTCCATCCATAAGTGCCGAAAAGAAGGCACGGGATGGGCGGATCAGCTTGGATGATGGGCTCGAGGTTGCCGTGGTGGTCGTCAATGAATAGCGAGGCGTCTATCTGACGGAGGATTCGAAGTTTGCCCAACCCCGACTTTCCAGAGGTCACTCCATCTTTCCAGATCTGTCTGAGCTTGTCATTCGTCTCCTTATCCCTATCTACGGCGCTTGCGGTGTCGCCCTTTGCTGGGAGGTCGGGGTATGCAGACGAATACGAGCCGCAGAACCAGGCAGCTTTGATAACGTGCTCGGGTCCCGCGCCGATCGTTATATTCTGCTGCGCCAGCCATTCGGCGACGACTTGTCGGTCAGACTCTGGTCGGGAGGTGACGATGTGGATAGGGTGCCCTAGAGAGTGCAAGACACGGAGCGAGTCGTCAAAGCCTGGGATGGGAGCTGTCTTTGGGAGGAGTTGGTTGAGCGATTTGACCTTGCGCGTGCAATCTTGCAAGATGCGGTCAGCATATGCCATGGGAGGTATATGGACATGTGCTCACCAGCGGGAGAACCCCAGCCTTTGTTCTGCCAGAACACATAGCTTTCAAGGTCGTCACTGTAACGCACAGATCAGCCAGGGCCATCGTCTAGCCAAGTTACTTACAGTGTCAAGTCGGTCCCGTACTGCACATTGTGCTCGGTGATGATGGCAAGCATATTTTGCGTACATACATCATCAAAGTCTATCGCAATGATTCGGCCATTACGCACAGGCTCGGGAGAGACAGAACCGTCTTCAGTGTCGAGACACGCACTGAAAGCAGCTCCTTTGACAGAGTCTGCTGTGGCGTCGCGGTCCTTCTTTCGCTGGGAAGCTTCCCAGTCAGCTTGGTGCTGTTGGTCGTTGTTCTTGGGGAAAGGGGTGCTGACGACCGAGCCATGCATGGCTACCATCGACCCTGTGGGAGACAGCAAGTCGGGCGTATCGGCACCAAAGCTCGTCCCGAGAGGAGAGAACACGGCCTCGCTGGCTCCCTTGGTTGGCAGTTGCCCGACTTGGTCTTGGGACCGTGTGTGGCGATTGGCAGAAGATTCTTGGTCCTGGGCTGATATATCAGAGCCCGTGTCCTTTCTGTGGCTGGTGATCAAGTTGCTTGGGGTGGCAGAACCTGTATCAGGCTGCGTCTGGATGGGTGGGGCCTGAGGTCGTATCATAGTTAGAGGTTGTGTGGTCGAGCGAGAGGATGATCAGTGGGGAGAATATATGTCAAAAAAAGCGTAATGGAATTTGGAACAGTCATGCGAGGGTGGCAATGGTAAACCTTTGTCCACCGAGCGCCCGACCTTTGTACGTCTCTCCGGGGCCTTCTGCACTCGAGTCTTTGCGGCGATGGTCCATTCGAAGAGATGCATGGGTCGATGATTATATAGAGTGATGTCTGCAAAGGGGTGGTGATACTGGGGGATGTCAGGACAAGTGACAATGATTTGCGGAGATACCTTACCATGAGCGATTGTGTCTCTCACATGCCCGCTACTCGACTCTTCTAGGGTTTGGCATGTCGATCTTCTCCCCCTCCTTGCCCGACCTCATAAACAAACTGGACGAAGTGTTGACGGGCCTGATACCCTTCGCTTCGTTGTCCTGTTGCCTCTTCTCTGCGAGGCCGAAGAATGCGAGAGAACTGGCGACGACCATGCCGAGGAAGAAGAGCGGGTTTGGGCCCTTTCGGGAGGGGATCCTGGGTCCTGATCCGAGGCTAGGATCTGGCATTTGGGTGTAGATGGAGATGTAAGAACAGCCACGAACGCGAAGAAAGCTGAGATCTGGATCGTTTGGTCCCGGAGCCCCGCAGTAGCCCGTGCATTTGTTTTGTTTCTAGTTCTGTTTCTAGCGGTCGTTAGTCGTAGTCTTGCACAGGATCTCTATCTTCCTCTCTTTCTCTCTCTTTCTTGTTGACCATCTGCCAGCGGACAGCCACGCAGTGTACTACAGCCCCGACCATGCTCGCCCTACTGTCATGGCGGTACGGCCGCTTCCTGCCCCTCGCCGTCCTCATCTTTCTCGCCAGCATATTCCTCCTCATCGACAGCTCGGCTTCCTCAGAATCCACCCTGCCCAGAGCATCAATATACGACTACACATCTCCTGCCACCCACTGCTTCTGGCCCGCCGACAACGCCAGTAGCGCAGGTGCTGCGAGTGCGCAGTTGAAAGGGGTAGCAGGGAAAGGGACCGTCGGAAAGGTGAAGCAGTGGATGGGCTGGCAAGATGGAGACGAGGTGGACGAGGACGTGGCAGAGATGGAGGATACGCCAGAGGGACATGGGTTTGCCTGGGACGGCCAATTACCGGATGTCGTGCCCGTCAGCGGCATCGAACGGTACATGATTGCCCATATCGAGGAGCTTCAAAGTGGCTACGATGCGGAGCACGACTTCAAAGAATACGGGCTGAAGCTTGGGAATATCTCTCTATCAGCGTATACTTCCGAGCTCTTGCAGATATATAGAGAATTCCTGGTTCCTCCTGGTACACCGCCCCCAGTCCCGCCCCCGGCCTTCCTCCCTGCGGTGCTTTCCCGTTTGTCCCTCAGACCTCCTATTGCGCCTCTGCCTCCCAGGCCAAACCATGTCATGACCACTGAAAAGTCGGTCGACGATCTTCCTTGGCAGTTCAACAGGTGGAAGGAGATCATGCCAGACTGGGAGATCAAGTATTTCGACGACAAGGCTCTGAAAGATTGGGTCAATGGGATGTTTGGTAATACCAAGGCTTCAAAGATCTGGGAGACCCTTCCGAGGCAGGTCCTCAAAACAGACGTTTTCAGATACATGGTGAGCTGTCATCCATCTGCCAATATTCATCTCCTGACGAACGATTCAGGCCATGTTGGTTGAAGGAGGCATTTATACAGACAGGTAAGTCGCGCCCCGGGCAGGTGTCATGATACTAACAAGTCTATAGTGACAGTATGTCCATCTTACTGATGTCTACTTGCCAAATACTGACTTTCTTGCTAGCTGCTCCCATCATCCATGCCGACCAATGGGGCCACCCATACAACCACAAGACGTCCCCGCTCCTCACCCACCTCGCCCGTATACTATCCATCTCCACCTCCCCCCACCTCCCCTCGTCTCACCCTCTTTCGTCCTTCTCTCCCGAGCACGCTAGTGAAAATGTCGACGAAGAACTCGGCGCAAACCTGCCCAGCGGCAAGTCGGCCATCTACGACGGTCCTCTTGTCGATGATGGCGCTGAGCTCGGTCCTCCTTCTTTGGTCGTCAGTGTTGAATCAGACGCCGTTGAATTTGGATGGAAGAACTGGGTACGTCCTTCTCTATGTACATTCACATAGACGCTAACACACCCTTCCTAGCGAGAGGTCGGTTTGAGCCGAGCTGTGCAGATCACTCAGTGGACATTCATGGCGCGCCCGGGACATCCCGTCTTTCTCGATGCCTTGGGTCGGACCCTACGCAAGTCTGAGGAGATGGCTGCCAAGGTGGCGGAAGCAAAGAAGACGGGTGAAGAGTTTATCCCAGAGACAGCTGTGAGTACCCTCCTGCGCAATTGTACGAGGGTCGGGTTGCTGACATTTGTACAAGCTCGAGTGGACAGGACCAGGAGTCTTGTGAGTCATCCGCCAACTGAGTCAAGAGTGAAAGCTGACCCAGTCCAGCTCTGACTGTGTGTACCGCTACTTGATATCCAGATACGGCTTCAAACCGGACGATCTCATCCACACAAAAGATCCCATACGCGTTGGAGATGTCTTGATCTTACCGGCTGGGTCATATTCCAGTGTCAGTCCTTTCGGCGACGAGACGCAGAGGAATTGGGCTGCAAGCTGGCACGGCTTTTTCGGTATGTCCCTCGCTTGCGATTAGATCGGCACTGACCCCTTGATGTCATTAGGTCGATGGCGAGGAGCTGATCCAGCGGTTCAAGAGTTTGAAAGACTCAAAAAGCTAAAGAAGGAGGCCGAAGAAGCGGAGAAGAAGGCCAAGGAACAAGTAGAAGAAGCGGAGAAGAAGGCGCAGGAAGCGACGGATAGGGCAAAGGCTGTCAAGGCCGAAGAACAGACCGCCAAGGAAGTTGTGAGCGAGGGCGACGGGCAAGTAGATCAGGAGAGTTCGGAGATGAAGAAGGAAGAGGAGATGTTGGCGAAAGAAAGCTCGAGAAGCGTCCGGGACGATTGAGAGACATAGACGACAGACGCCTTGAACGTAGTAACGTACTCACGTATCTCAATAGACGACTTGCATGTACTGTAGCATAGCTTGTAGCATAAGAAGTATTGAACAGTGCTATGGCGGCGCTCCTCCTGCTGTTTTGTCACTTGTCTGTTTCAGCGCATCAACGACTTTGGATTTGGCTGCTTCATCTTTGGCAATACGCTCCTCCCCTGTATCAATTAGACCAGCTAAAGTATCAAGTTGTGTGGGCGGATACGTACAAGTGAGTTTCTCTAGAGACCTTGTGCCCTTGAGCTGTGCGTCCCGACGGCGTCCATCGATCTCCTTCTTTGCCCAATAGAAGCTGACCCCAGCAGCAACTACGAGGACCTATGATGGCCGACGAGGCATCAGTACGAGAACAAGTGCTTGTGGACCACGAAAGTGGAGGTGACTCACACCCCAGCCGTAAGCCTACAGATGCAGAGGTCAGCTGGAGACAAGATGGACTGGCAGAGTACCCACGACAGATCCAGCAGTGTTCATGGTGTGTATGAGAGAGTGTGTGTTATGAGAGTATGTAAAGATGGAAGAGCATGTGAATGCCCGACCAGTGAGTGACCTTGGTGCGTGATTTGTATTTGCGCGGAATTTGTATAAGCTTAATCGCCCAATGGTACTCGAGTATGCCATCCAGTCGTCTATCGATGCATCTCTTCCCTCTTGCCCAAACGATGCCCCCTGCCAAGGGCAACGACACTGCGCCCCCTCCCCACTGGCCTTCCAACGTCATCTACCTCACCAAGCCCCGCCTTTCCCCTCGCTTCCCTCCAGCCCTTCTACCCCTTCTCGCCCCTTCATCCTCTTTCGCCCCTCGTCCAGCAAAACAATTAGCTTCCGTCCAGATCAAAGTCATTACGCAGGCCGGCCATCCAGCGAACGGCCAATTCGGGCTGTTTGCAAAACAAAAGATCAAAGAGAACGAGCTCGTCCTGCCCTACTTGGGTGTGATCCACGTCACATACACGCCGGAGGATGGGAGCGAATCGTTGGTCACGGATGACCATTCAGACAGCGACTATGATCTTTCGTTGCTGCGGATATCGGCTTCCGATCCTCGAAACCCTTTCCCCGGGCAACACATTTCCATAGGCGTGGATGCCGCCCACGCGGGCAACGGAGGGCGTTTTGTCAACGATTTCCGGGGCGTCAAGCCTTCCGGCCCCAATGCCGAATTCAGAGTTGGGAAGGGTGAAGCAGGGGAGCTGAGGATGGAAATTTGGAGCTTGAAAGGCGGCATAGGAAAGGGCGAAGAGCTTCTGGTCAGTTATGGGAAAGGGTGGTGGGGCGCCAGGCAGGGGTAGGCATGAGGGTGCATCACGTCCATGTCCACTGCCAGCCGCCTTGCAGCTCTTTATTGTCTATATCTCCCCCTGACCAGAGACCACCTTCACATAATCTACGTGTCAGCTGGAAAGGTTCCTCGACACCGTCCATGGACAGCACATAGTCGTTTTGGTCTTGCGACATAGCTGCTACGATATAGGTGAGTGCAGCTCCCCAGTTAAATGAAGATTGAGACCAACTCACATTCTGTTACAGTACCAATAGACGACCACCCAAAGACGCGCCTGACTCCATTGAGTATGGGAACCTTCTTCTCCTCCCATGTCTTTCTAGCTGTGGCTTCCTCGTCGCAGCTTTTGCCGGTCAAGTCGTGGATGGGCATTGCTGCTGTTTGATCCAAGCGGGGCTCCAACATCACCAGACGTGCAGCTTCCCCACTTCATCCCAACGTCAGCTACCTACGGTATAGTGGACAACGGGAAGGACTGACGATGGGTCGCTAGAGGAGAAATGGTGGGCAGTCGCTCTAGCAGCAGCGAGCAAGTTGAGGTAGTCGTGTATGCATACGCTAGCACATATGATTAGCAAGGTGCTGCAAGGGATGGATATGCCTACGTACCCGGGCTTGAATTGCCACTTGCCCTGACGACGATCTTGCTCCATAGCGCTCTCGCTATCATCTGGCTCCTCGTCCACCAGCCTTTCTTCCAGAAACATCGCCGCTGCATCGTACACAATGATCAAACTCGGGGCTTTCTCGAGCTGATGACATTCTTGTGGGTCTCGTGATCTGCCGAAGGAGCTCGATACCATCGTCAAGTATAGTTGAAGATGCTCAGGGGTTGGACAGTACCTATCTTTCGGGTGAGCGCGCGTCGTCATAAAATAGACCCTAGACTCACCTCATATCCACCCTCTTGAGCCTATGCATGACGTCGAATATGCCACCATAATCACGGATCCACCGTTCGTTTTCGCGCTCTATACAGTCCTGAAAGTCCCCTTTCGTACCCGTCAGGATCAATACCCTCGAAGGAGCGACGATCGGTTCTGATGGAAGAGACGCAGTGGCCTTCTCTTTGCCTTTGCGGCTGGGTGCGGGTGGAGAGGGCGCGCGGGCTTGACTGTCCTCGAAAGCGAGATGGTTGAGCGCGAGGTGGAGTGGTGTCGTAGGAGGGAGAGGTCCGATGATATATGCTGGGGACGGGAGAGGATGGGATGGGCCGGGGGCGGATGGGGAGGGAGGAAGAAGGGCGAAAAGGGGAAGGGCGTGGGGTGCGTTCATACCACTGATCTGGATGTATTCTATAGGGGGAAACAAATTCGGTTGTCGAGATGCAATGGAGTTGTAGAAAGGATGGAAAGGATGCAGAATGTGATGACCGTCGGACACGCGACGCGTCGCGTCGGGATATATCTGCACCCCGTAGAAATGTATGGTCGCTGCAACCTCTGGGCGACATGCTCTTTCAGGTGGTGAGATGTTTTCTTGATTCTATACATAGTTTATCTTCGCTATTCTATGGGTCTACAAAGGCTGTCTATGGGCTCGTTGATGAGACACAAGCCTTCTACTTTGATTCTTGCGCCTCCTGACCCTGCGTCTCCGTGACACCGTGCCTCTTGGAAGTGCTATCATGCGCGTCCTTCTTAACCAACAACCTCGTCCAAGCCCTAGTGTAGCCATCCAAAGTCAGCATCAACATGCCCTCTGCCTAGTGGGGTATGACACGCACCTTTCGTACTGGATAGCAGGCGCAACGGCAGCCCCCAGCTCAAGTGCGGCTTCGAGGGGCCAGTCCAAGTCTCGCAGGAGCTGGCGACCGATGAAGATTATGTCCGCTTTGCCTTCCTCCAGAATATCGTTGGCCTGCTTGGCCTCGGTGATGGCGCCAACAGTGCCAATGAGGAGGTCGGGGTACGTCTTCTTGAGGTGTTCCGCAAAGGGAAGCTCTGGATAACCGTCAGTACACAGACGTCTGGGGGCATGGACAAGAGGATTACGGTAAGAAGGCTTGGCGTCGATTTTCTGACGCAAGTCGTTGCCTCCGGAAGAAACGTCGACGAGGTCAACGCCGGCCTCGGCCAGCTTGCTCACAAACAGAGTAGTCTGTTCAATGCCCCTACGATTATTGTCAGCTCCCTTCTATCTTTATGCCTGGAGTACGTACCACCAGGCCCAGTCGCCATTGGCGTCCTTTTCCTTACCAAGCGCCTCTTCGAGCCAATCGGTAGCACTGAGTCTGTAGAACAGAGGCTTGTCCCATTTCTGACGGACAATCTCGGTAATCTCCAGAGGAAGACGCAACCTGTTCTCCAAAGAGCCGCCATATTTGTCGGTACGAGTGTTGGAGATGGGGTCGACAAACTCTGATAAAGCGCGTTAGATTGAAGTGTACCTGATTACTGACATCACCAACCGTGGAGGAAATAGCCTGTATCTTGTCAGTGCCGAGGTCATCATGAGACGGGACGACCCACCGTGAGCACCGTGGATCTCGATAAAGTCAAAACCGATCTGGTTGCATCGGTCGACAGTGTCACCATAAGCCTTCTTCAAGTTCTCCAAGTAGCTGGTGGAAGCCTCAAGAGGGTCGGGGTAATCACCGTCGTGGAAGGAGATGGCGGAAGGAGCGACGACTGGTCATACGCTATAAGCTCAAGCCACCTTAAACCGGCGACCACTTACCTTTGCTTGGCCATCCGCCCTGCTCCTCGGGGACGGTCGAGCCGTCGTGGAACCCAGCTTCGTTGGCCAATCTCTCGTTCCACGGAGCAGGTGTGGATGCTTTGCGACCTGCATGAGCGATCTGGATACCAATCAGACCTTTGTTGGCATGAACATATCTGACGATGCGCTGCAGCTCGGTGATATGCGAGTCATCCCAGAGACCCTAGAGGGCTGTAAGCGAATCGCGGTACGTAGTGACTCTTGCTCCGGCTTACCATGTCTTCGGGTGAGATGCGGCCCTCTGGGACGACAGCAGTGGCTTCAACCATGATACTGCCCCAGCCTCTGAGGGCCATACTTCCAAGATGCACGAAATGGTGATCGGTGGCGTGACCATCGTCAGAGGAGTCTAGATGGAGACAAGCGTCAACATCGGCGCGCAGCATTGTTGGACATCAGTACTCACACTGGCACATAGGAGCAACCCAGGCCCTGTTGTGAAAGGTCACACCACGGATAGTGATGGGTTTGAAGAGCTTGGGAGGGTTCTGGTTCTGCTTGTACTGGTCGGCATCGAGCAGGGAGCCGATGGGCACTGGCTGTTCTGGCAAGAAGGTGGGGTATCCCTCGACCTTGCGAGGAGGGAAGGGGAATACGTTGGAGGATTCAGCGGACATATCGAGAGAAGTCGGGCGTGTAAGAGGACAGAAGAATGGTTTATGTACTGGCGATGGATCATGTCGTGCGTGACCAAGCAGGTCGACCTCCACTCCTGCCTCCACTTCAAGATACGTAAGCCCGGATCCGGGCCCCACTTCACGCCATCGTATATAGAGGCTTTGCGACTTGTGGACCTCTGGCGACTCAACTGACAGGACACGTTGTGGGCTACATTCTACTCTCTACAATGTATGATTGGTATGCTATATGCTGTTATCGTCATCTCGTATACGTTTCATCGTGCTCTCTCATGGCGCCCCGGCATCTTCCTCATCCTCCGGCTCAAATTCCTCGTACCCTTCTCTACTGAGCTCTTCCTCTCTCCTGCGGGCCTCTCCTTCTTGGGCTGCCTCGTCCCTTTTCCGCGCTTCTTCCTTCTCCCTCATGGCCTCCTCCCTCCTCTGACTCTTCGCCCTACGCTTCCTCTCCTCTTCCAAGTTCTTTTCGGCCTGCTCGACAACCAGTGAGGTGGCCCTGCAAATGCCCAGCTGGTCCCTCTGAGGGTCATTGTACTCGCTCAGCTTGAGGCCTGCGTGGAAAAATTTGACTCTGTTGGCATTATTCGTCTGCTTCCAAATGTCACTGTCTTCTCGCGAAGCCGGATCGATCCTCATTTGCCTCATCAAGACATCCCTCAACAGCTCCAAAGAGAACCTCTGGGCTTCGTCATGGCAGGCTACCACTGCAGCCTCCACAGACTCTGAAAGGATGGTCAAGAGTTCATGGTCGGCAGAGTGGATCAAGAACCAGAAGCCGTCAAGGTATGAGAGGTTGGCCAAGGAGTAATCTCGGCCAGAGACGTTTGGCGGTCGGGGTGGTATGTCGTTCAGTATGACGACGAGAGCCCGGTAAAAGGCATCGACGAGGATAGGCGGTAGAGCTTCTATGCTGACGGGGAATTGGGGAGTGATGCCGACAGATGCGAGGAAGCCGCGATAATACTCTCGAGTCTTCGCCTCTTCAACAGTAGATAGGGTGAAGTAGGTTGCTGCGAAGAGAGCAAGCTTGAACGGAAGCCTTTCCTGAACTGCCTTTGGCGGTGGAGGAAGGAGGTTCAAAATCCACTTTTACGACAGTCAGTCCCATGCTTGAATTCGAGAGATAGACTGTACTCACAGCCTCCAGCGTCGTATAGGCAGTCTGATACCTCGTACAACTCTGCTTCAACTCTTGGACTTCCTTCTGCAATTCCTCCAAGACTCTAGCTCGTTCCTCGGCGTCAGGTTCAGGCGCCGACTGTTGACCGATAACATCCGGAAACGGATAGCCTTCCACAGGCTTCTTCTCAGCCTTGGCGTCAAGGACACTGGGCGACATGGGACCCAACGGATCATCAAGTCTTGGCCTTCGCAAAGACGGGTTGGAGGACAATGAGATTCTCCTGCCCCGCGCGCCCAAGTGCGCGGTGGACGAAGGTTTCCTGCCACCCGGCTGAGCTTTGTCTATCATCTGCACCAAGTCACTGTGGCTTTTGCGCCTGCCAGACGGGACACGATGGTCTGTTTTGGACGGGGATGTGGGAGATGGCGACCGGTAGACAGCAGTCATCTGCAGAGCTCGCGAGCTCTGCTTGGCGACGATGCTGGACCGAAGGGGCGAGGGGGCAGAGGAGGATGTGGGTGTGTGAGACCGCGCCGACTTGGGTGGGTCGTAATTGCGCTCTTCGAGCTCCGGGTCAAAGGATGCTGCGGTGGTGGCCTCGTGCTGGCGTGGCGTAGCGGTGGCGAGGGAGAGGGGTGGCGGCGGCGGCTGGCGGGAGGACGGGCCCGGCAGGGGTTGCGTGGATGGCATGCGAGATGGAAAGGCAGAAGAGAAATGAGATGCATCAACAATGGGTTTAGGCGAGCTGCACGAAGACGTCTGGATCAAGGAAAAACAACGAGCACCCTGAACCAACACAACCTATGACGTGTCTCTCGGCCACCCGCTCCATTTGCTCCCTTTGTTTTCTTCTTTTGTTCTTCTTTCTTGCACAGTTCTTGCAATATCATACTTGTACATGTCACGCTACAGGCGTTTGTATCACAGCAACCTAGAAACCTCTATAGTACACAAGAAAACTCGGCCAGGAAATACGATCACAACGTTGCTGCCCTATTCTATTCCAAAGTCCATACACCGTTCCTCTTCTCCGACGCCCTACTCTGTCTCTGGTGTCTCCTCTTCTCCGCTCACATGGCTCCTTCCCGTCCCACTCCTGCGCCGGCTAGTCCCACTTGCGCTTGGCCGCCTTTCATTCTCTTCCGGTGTCGTCTGGATCCCCTTGTACGCCTTGTACTGTGACTCGCTCATCGCGGATCCATCGGGATTACACGGTAGGGGGTGGGAGATGGCGCACTCTTGTCCTTGTTCAGATTTATCTAAGCGCAATCAGCATCTACAGCCATGCTTGTCAATAGGACTTACGATGCCGTGTCAGTGCATCGAGTCGAGCAAATTTCTTCCCACAAGCGTCACATTCAAACAGCCGCAGCCCTTCATGCAAAAGCATGTGCCGCTTGCAGTCGTGCTGCCGAGCAAACCCAATGGTAGCTGACATCATGTCAGTGAAGTCCAATGACAGGACATTTCTTGCTCACCCTTGGGGCAGCCTTCGTACAAGCACTTGTACGGCCGTTCATCGTTATGCGATCTCAAATGACCTTTGAGGTTGAAATGCCGCGTAAATGTGCTTCCACAGCCGGGTACTATTAACGACTGTTAGCTTTTGCAGGTTCTGGGATCGTTTGTAGACGCACCTGGGCACATGAAAAGACCATCTTGTGTCCGTCTCGTCTCACTAGCCACCTTTGTCGCCGCACTCGTCACCTTCATTTTTTTCGGATGGTTATCCTCATACAGCTGGGGTACTTGAAGCGATGGCTGATACCCTGCATACCCAGGCAGCTGCATGCCATCCATCATTTCCATGCGGGGAGAGTGGTGGGAGAAGGATGAGCCCTGCGAGGAGATGGACAAAGCTGGCGATGCCGATCGAACTGATGATGCGGATGAATGGCGGGAATGAGACATGGATCGTCCTCGGCTGGTGGGCGGTAAGAGTGACCCGTCGTCTCCTGTTATACTCTGTAGAAACTCGGCGCTGTGTAAATGGTAGAGAAGAAAGTGCACCGCTTCAGCATAGCTCTCTGTAGAAAAGACACTCCGTCGGTCGTCAGGTTCCTGGATACGCGCCAAACAGCGGTCACGGAACCAGACTAACGGATCAGGATACACGAGATAATTGAGCGACTCACGTTGAACCACCAGTGCCCACCCCCCAACCTGTACCGCCTTTCCCGAAATCCTCGCTCTTCGCCAACCGCTTGTGCATGCTTGACCCTCGGACCGGTCCAGGCCTGGCATTCAGCTGAGGAGAAAACTCGACACCGTAACCAGGTGTGCCAGCGCCCACGGCAGGATGCTCTCCGCCCCCAAACGAGCTTCGCCGGCCCTTGGGATGACTGGGCGCAAGAAAGTACTGCTGATATGGTCCTGCCGTGGCAGGATGTGTATACCCGGGCGTCGTATTGCCAAAGGTAGTTTGCGTCCATGGCGCAGATACTGTCCCTGAAAGATGAGGCGCGTTGTGAGGATGGAGACCTAAGGACTGGTAAAACACCATTGACGTGGGCGAAATCTCGCCAGAGCTCGGCTTGACGGGGGGAGGATTCGTATTCAGAGGATAAAGCCGTTCGCGCTGAGCTTGCAATTCTTGCAGCTGATGCTGCTGGCTCTGGTCCAGTTGTGGTGGCTGTCCGGTCTGTTGCTGGATGAGCAATTGTTGATAGATGGCGTCGGTGTCGTCTTGACCAGGCAGTAACCGCGGGTCGAGTGTTGGACCCGATTGTCCGCCCTCATTCCCTGCTACACCCATTTTCCACGCATTCACCGAATTTCTCCACTGTTCCGCCGCATCGCTCGACATCCCCTGGTCCTGCTGGATTTCGACATTCTGTTGCAGTGCTGGCACCGCGACGTCATTCGCCCCGATGAAGGAGAGGAATGCTTGTCGATCGAACGAGTCAGCCGTAGGCGAAGGTATGATGGAATCAGATTTGGCACGCGGCCGTGTCTGCCCAGCCACTCGCAGATTGTCGCCCCCCCCGGCGGCGGATAGCCATCCATGCTGCCCATACTGGCCCATAGTTGCAGCAAAGTCCATCCTCTGGCTTCCCGCACCCTCCCCTTCTTGCCCAGTGACCTGCTCTGCTGATGACGAATTTGGGAGAGTTTGAGTTTGGCATGACGAAGCATGAAAATCTTGAGACTGTATATCTTTTCCATCGCCCGAGTACTGGCCCTTTTGAGCTTGGGCCTGTTGGTTGGCTTTGGCGATACGAAGAGCAGCATCAAATAGCCCTCGGCCCTCTTTGAGCCCGCTGATGGGCGTACTGGGCTGGATGCGGATCATGGGCCCATCAGCGTTGGGTGCGATGGGGCTGATACCAGCCATCCCGCCCAGGTGCTCGAGCGCCGGGTTGGCGGGAGGGAATAAACCACCTGAACCCGAGCCCGAGCTTACACTCTGCCGGATTTGGGGATGCCCCAGCCCATGCCCAGTATACGATTGATTACCGGTGACTTGCGGCCCGGTAACGAGGGGCGGCAGTGCGGGAGAAGCTGTGGCGTTGGGAATTTTCAATGCAGGAGGCGATTGGGGTTTGTTGAAGAATGGAGAATTGGGGTTGGTATGAGGAGATGAGGATGCTCTGGGGTAGGAAGGGTGTTGGTTTGCCAGTGGCGGAGACATGACGTTCATGGGTACGTCGGGCGTTTGCGAGGGCGCAAGTGGGCTGGGCGACCGCGACGCCGAAAGCGATGCCGTTCTTGAATGGCTGTTCAGAGGTGTGGGGGCTGTTTCTGGCGGAGCAAACTGTTGCTGTGGGTACGGTGATGATGTTCTAGAAGGATAAGAAGAGTGATGAGAGTGGTTTGAGATGCTGAAACGAATTACTTGTCAGTTCCGCGCATGATCTCCTTTGAAGGGGGCCCAAATCCTTGATCTTCACCCCTGGCCTGCACCGCAACCTTTGTCTCATGGAAGACCCCGCAACAAATACTCAACTCACATTCTCTGTAATCCAGCTCCGTTCTCTTCATTGTGTCCATCCGTAAGTCCCTGCTTGACATCCACCTGCTGCTGTCCGTAAAGTCCCTGCTCATCCCCCAAAAAGTCTTGTCCCCACTCTCCTTGCACTTGTTGATGTTGTGCACCATGTACATCTTCCATGGAAGCCCTGTGATCGAGATACGCCCCCAGTTGGTCAGACATCACAGAGTCTCCCATAGAGCTCGCGGTGGACGGAGGTTGCATGAAATCGATGCCAGCAGTGGAGGGCGTTGGCTGTGGTGACTGGAAGGGGCTGAAATGTTGTTGTTGAATAGCACCATACGGCAGTGACTGCCTGGACAGACCGCCCCCCATTGCCCACGATTGTGGCTGCTGTTGCTCGGCCTGCTGATGCGGGTTGTGAAGTGACTGCTGGGGACCAAACATAATGTCGCCAATGGGCGGGGACGAATAGCCGTTAGAGAAGGCAGCGCCCTCATCACGCTTCGACGCGGTAGCAATCAGAGTCGAGTCTGTCTGTGGATTGAACGGCAGCGACTCTTTTCTGAGAGACTCGCGCCGTTTGCCGTTGACCACGTTATAGCCGCCTGACATGATCTCTGGGTGTCTGGACTCTGTGTCCTCCCTGCTATGATCTCTGCTGGTGGAGGCGGATGGTTTGTGGAAGTTTTCTTGGAGATCTTGTGGCTCGTCTGAGACTTGCTGGCGGGAGGGGAAGAAGGCGGGGTCGGCGGTGTAGTGTGAGAAGGAGTTGGTGGAGTTGGTGGAGTCGTTGCGGCGGGGTGCCTGTGCGAAGATGGCGTCGAAGGAGGGCGTGGAGGGGTCGCCCATGGTGAGTCGCAGCGGTCAGTAGTAAATAAAGAGCAACCACAGCATGAGAGACCGCAAGGAGGCGCTGCAGCAACAACACTAATCTTACGTAAATACGGCTCTAAACGAACAACAATAATAATAAGGCGGGAGGCGATGAAAGCGTAATACTCGAAGGCAATTGAGAGGCTGCCGCTTGTCCATCCCGCACCCAGGTCTCCCAGGGGGATAGGGGACTGCACCGGGGGGCTGGTGGATGTGGCCGGCTCACCTCTTCCTGGTAGCCCTGTGGCCTGTGGCCTATGGCGAACAGAGCTTAACTGGGAATTACTCAAAAGGGCGAATTCTCAGGTGAGACATGCGGAAGCCGATGCGGCCTCTTCTCACCCTCCATACACCTGCTCCTCAGTGCAAGGAGACCGGGGGAAGGAAACCAGCGGCCGCCACAGCGGGAGCTGCCACATCCCAAACTGCAGGGGCAAAGATGACCCTACTCAATCTGCCGCACGAAATGACTAGGCAGTACGCATGTATCCCTTCCGACCTCGTGAAGGGAGAACTCACCTCGCATGGCCAGAGTGAGGGATCCTTCCTCAAAGACGTATAGTAGCAAGCTGATGTGATGGTGGTGTAGGGGCGTATGAGGACTGCGAATCCTGGCAAATTCAGTCAGAATTATCCTGCAGCCATAGCCAAGGTGCGTCTTGCGCTCTCACTTGTCGCAGTGACACTTTCTGATCTCGATTTCAAAGCTGTTACGCCTGAAGTTCGATCGCGGCGCAGTTTTCCTCCTCTACATTGCAGAGCAGGCCGCGGTCTATGGTGTTCGAAGCATCGTATGATCTTGAGTCTGCGGCCAACCTTTTTCCAGTGGTGATCTCCCTGTACGTTGATCCCAACGAAACCAACCCCCCGTATCCGGTCGACGAGGGCCGTCGGCGTCACTTGGGGCTCCATAGTCCATGACGGCAAACCCCAATGTGCCATCCGTGTGTGCCCCGCGGAAATGGAGAGGTTCACGTCTTGGGCCCAACCTGATAGTGTGTCACCCCTTTTCTCTCCGATGATGTTCTGAAGCTGACACTCTGACTAGGCGACGCATACTACGGTATGGTTCCAATCCATCGTCCCCTCGTGATCAGCGTCCATGGTATGGTGGAGTCCGAGCCCGTTGACAGGGAGTTCGTTGTCGAGGGCCGCTTGATCGTAAGTGCTTCGTCTGCCGCCTCGAAAACTGGCCATTAGTTCGATTGGAAACCAGATGCTGATAACGTTTCGCCATACGTCAGGTCTGTTGCATTTCGAGCTTGCCAATGATGGCCAGATGGTCAAGCATTACAACGGCGAGCATCCCCATACGAACAAGAACGACCTACACCATATCGCTGTCTTGATATCGGAAAAGGGTCTAAAGTCAATTTTCGATTCGAAACCAGTGCCCGATGTGGCCCTCGATCTTGTTGCGAGGTCAGGTCTCCCTTCACGAGGTCGGTAGGGACACATGCGTACTGCCTAGTCATTTCGTGCGGCAGATTGAGTAGGGTCTTCTTTGCCCCTGCAGTTTGGGATGTGGCAGTCCCCCACAAGACTCCCGGCTCGGCCAAGGGCAAAGCAGCAGCGCCCGACTCGCTTTCTGTCCGACAAAGAACACATAATCAAACTCAATAGAAGCAAGTGTACGATGAAGACGTTCGAGGAGATCAGAGGGGAAGGGATGGAGATGCTAGGGACTATGGTGGGTTCTCCCGCTTCGTCCTCCAAAGCAGGAGGTGAGGACGCTGATGTGAAACCTCAGGTCGAGTCGGAGACCCCTCGGGAAGTTGAAGCCCGACACCAAAAGGCCGCTGGGTCCACGCGAGACATCAGCGACAATCTCGGAGGTTCAATCTCACATTTGACGGCTGGAGCTCCTCACAGATGACTTCATACCTCGGGGCCACAGTTCATTATATTGACGAGAACTGGGCCCTCCACTCCGATGTGCTTGGCTTTGAACCTATTGATGGTAGCCATAATGGGACTAACCAGGCAGTCCTATGCGTCTGTCTTCAAGCTTTCCGCAAGGTTTTGCCTGCCTTTTGTGTCGTATAGGACAGCTTCCTCTGTGGCGTGACGTACCTTCGAATGGCCTACCTGATCATCTCTCGTTGCGCAGACTCCTAGAGTCTCCCATCTCAGACTCCTCGAGTCTCCCATTCTCAGACTCCTCGAGTCTCCCATTCTCAGACTCCTCGAGTCTCCCATTCTCAGACTCCTCGAGTCTCCTCTACCCAGCTGTCTTCTTTCATGGAGGCGGCGACCCAGCCCGAGCGCAAGCACCTCGTCGAAAAACCGTCGAAGATTGGGCGATCCTGGCTCCGCCAAGTCCCCTACTTAGAAACTCTCCGCCTCTCCAACCACGAGATCGCCGCCGGCCTCCACTACCGCCTCCTCACCCCGCCTACTCCCCTATCTGCTCCGCCTGCACCCAAGAGGGTGGTTTGAACTGGATCTAGGACCCAGGCTAGCTGCTGAAGCCAATGATATCTTTCGTGAGATAGTAACTCATATTTCCCTTTTGTAACCTCCATCAAACTCTTGCTGATGTTGCACAACAGTATGACGAATTTGCTATCGCAAAGCGCTCGACCCATACATCTGACGATTGTGAATCATGTCCTCAAGCCCGTTATTATACCTCTTTCCTCGCCGAAGCCCATTACACTGGGTGGAACGAGACAGCTCTGGTCGAGCAATTCAAGGACGGATTGAAGCCGGACATTCTCCATGCTGTCAACATGTCCCAGGGAGGACTTTTCCCGGATACTGTCTCCTCTTTCGCTGCTGTGGAAACACCCCTGACAGAGACGCAACGCAAGATCAAAGAGCTGCAAAAGGCATCTTTGGCCTCCAGAGGTAGTGGGAAGCTTTCGGATGAGTTTGACCGCTATAGAAGCTTTTTCGAAGAGGATGATTCCCTTTCCCTTCTAGCAGCTACGCCAGGGAAGATCGAGCCTGACTTTGTCCTTCAATGGTGGAAGGTAAGTCGTACGTTTGTCCTTGAATGTTGCTGCAAGACTAATAACTGTCACAGCGCAACGAGTTCGCATTTCCCATCATATCAGGGATTGCGAGAGACTTTCTAGCTATACCGGCTTCATCTGTACCGTCCGAACGTCTCTTTTTATATGCCAAACTGGCAGACACTGAGAAGCGTCGTTGCATGTCCCAAAACGCCGCGACTTTCCAGCAGAGCATGGCGAAGGTGACGGCGTTGACGCGTGAGATGAGCTACCTAGAGGCCGTTAGGACTTTAAAGGCTGGCTCAATCCCTCAGGACTTCGAGGGTCTGGTAGCTGGCTGTTATAAATGCATGTGCATACAAAGCTCTCGCTCATAACGTTGCATTCTACACTATCACACCTCGCTTCTCAATCCTCCTCTTCCTCCTCCCCCTTCTCCTCCAGCTCCAGCTCGCGCTGTCGTTACTCTCTCTCCCTACGCCTCTCCAGCTCCTGCATCTGCCTCATGACCCTCTCCCTCAATTCTTCCCCTCCCGGCGCCTCGTCCATAACCGCGATCTCCTGGATCAGCAACTTTCTCACTGCCCTCTGACGCTCCTTCTTCTCGGCCTGTTCCAAGCTCTTCTCAATCTCGTCTGGCTCCGGATGTGTGAACCAGTCCCCAGAGTCCACGAACAGATTGTGCAGGACCACGCAAGCGCGGATCCAGCACGAGGCTATTCCTTCCTCACTGCGATTGCGCAGTGGAGAAGGTAGAGCTTGAAGAGACCCCCAACGATACTTGAGGATGTCGAAGGTATTCTCGATGAGGACACGCGCAGGAGAGCAGGCTTGGTTGAACTTGCGCTGCAGAAAGCATCAAGTCAGAATGATTCTCAACGAGCGACGATCAGGCGCAAACTCACCTTGTCACCAGGCAAGGTTGCCTCCCCACGAGCATGCGGAAATAGAGGTACACAGTTGAGCCCGACGCTAAAGGTGGAGTCGGCAAGAACCCATTGGCCGGGGGAGAAGAGTTGCTGGGGCGCCCTGTTGAGCTCGCTGTGATTGTAGACTTGCGAGTCATGAGACGCCCCAGGGAACCCGTACTGAGCAAAGCGGATGCGCTTGCTCGTGTCGCAAACAAAGGCGACGTTGAAGCCGTAGCGGCCTTTGTGGGAGTAAAACTTGGTGAAGTCTTCGCGCGCAGGGCGACGGGCAGTAGGAATGAAGCAGCCATCTACGACTCCCACACAACCTCCAGGAATGCCATACTCCTCTTCGAAAACCGTTTCAAGCAGTGCTCTACGGTCGGCATCGGGCCACTTGACCACATCAGCCTCATGGTTGAGCAAAGCAAGGATGACTCGGCAAGTCCATCTTTGCACACTTCCCTCTAAGATCCGGTCCCCAGTCAGCTGGACTGTTCTGCAACGACAAGTACACGGCAAAAATCATGCTCACCTGATAGGCCAAAATTGATAGCGATCTTGCGATAGCCACAGGCAGTTCCCGAGTGACCGAAACGCCAAAGTGCAACCGCTAATTGGTATTCGACGGGAGCCTGCGCACGAGGCCCATTCGAGACGAACACGGGGTCCCCTTTGATGAGATCCACCAGGTAGAGGAACTGCGTCCTGTCTACACGGAAGAACCTTTTAAAGTCGTCCCCTCTCAACGCAAGGTACTGGCCCACTTACTCAATCCAGCTCCTCACTCGCCTGACGCCATACTTGGCGGGGCGATCAAGGTATCGCGCGCGAGCGAGGGCGGTGGCACACAAGAGGAAGTGTCGCTTCAGAGTGGAGTCGCCGATAACGAGGGAGTTGAAGTACTGGGTACGTCCCAGTCTTGTCTCCTGGGCCTTCTTGGTATAGCGGACCATGGGGTGAAAAGATGGGATGGGGCGAAGAGGAGAGGAGCGACTGTCTGTCTATCTGTGCGTGGCGATGAGCGAGCGGCCGCCGAGAGTGACTTGGCGCCGAGATGCCTCCACAGCGACAAGATGTGGCGTGGGGTCTTTAAAGATGCAAAGTCTCGTACGAAAATAGGGACAGCATACGAGAAAATGAGTCGGGTGCATGGGAGAAGCAGGCAGAAGTTGCTCGACGTTGCTCGACGCTCCTTATCGCATCTGGCGGTGCCTGGATGGTGAAAACGAAATCAAAATCGGTGCATACAATAATAAGCCACGTAGCCGGTCAGGTACGACCCTCTCTGCTGTTCCTCAGTCATAAGTTGCAGAGAGTCAAGCTGACGCGGAGGGTAGGCTGGCTCGGCGCAAGCCCTTTGCTCGTCCACTCGTCCACTGCGGCACCCCCGCACCCAGGTGTCCCAGAGTGGAAGGGGACTGCACCGGGGGGCTGGTGGATGTGGCCGGCTCACCTCTTCCTGGTAGCCCTGTGGCCTGTGGCGAAAAGAGCTTAACTGGGAATTACTCAAAAGGGCGAAATCTCCAGGTGAGACATGCGGATGCCGATGCGGCCTCTGCTCATCCTCCGAAACCCTTCTCAGGCCTCCGCCCGTGCCCTGGCTCGACACAAGCCCTTCCTACCCCGTGCCTACGTTATAAATGGTCTGTATTTACAGTACGTACGTTAAAAAGACGTACAGGTCTCTTCAAATAGCAAGCGAGATACGTAGATGCGAATGAAATCCAGCCACCGTTGTATCACAAAGTATCTTTGCTCACATCTCATTCTGTCGACACCTTCTTCTCGACCAACTTCACTCCACCATGCCCCCGCCGGAAATTCCCTGGGTGCTCTCACACCCCATCATACTACACACTCTTTCCATTCCCGCCATCGGTGTGGCATGCTTCCACTCGCTCAATGTCGGTCCCTTTCCGTTGAAGTCTATTCAACCAATAACCAGTCTCTTGTCTAGGTTTGGCGAGCTGTCTCTGTATTATCAGCCCGAGATGCCTCTCCTCATAGAGTCTCCTCGCCCAGACCAGCAGCCACGGAGACTGCTTACCAGAAATGGCGCGCTCAGCCCCTCAGAGCAAAGGGCAAAACGATGCTCGCTTTCGCCTCGGGACTCGCCATTTGGGTCTTAATCAACTTTACAATCATTTATCTCGTCCCCAAAATCAAGTCTCAATCAATAAAAGACACCATAGTGTCCGTAGTTTTGAGTTTGTGTTGCGCTCCCTCTATCTATGCGGTGAGTGATGGACGGCTCGTCAACTGTTGTCGAAGCGCCCTGTTTGACGTCTCCTTTTCAGTTGATCGGCTTTATCAAGCCCCTGCCCATGCACGTTCGCTACACTTGCAAGTCTCCAAATGGTCCGACAAATCTCCTAGTATCACCAATGGGCGACCCCAAAGCTGGAGCTCGTCAACAACTACTGCGTGCAGGTCTCTCACTAGCCGCCGCCATTGACATAGCGATCTTGGCGGCTTGCGGCTTTACAGCCCATCTGCCGATCTTGGTGGCCATCATGACCTGGTCGTTCATTGCCAATACTCGCTCCCCTCGCATGAGCATCCGAGCCAGTATCTTTCTACCCCTGGGATTTTTGGTGCGTAAATCTTGTACTATCGTCAGCGTAATGGCTCACTGGATTATACAACACAGGTCTTCTCTTGTGTCTTCATTGGCGCCGTTGGTGTAATTGCAAATCATTATGCCCCAAGTGGTGACTCGCAGGACGAACCACCGCCGGATAGTACTGTCAACAGTGACTGGGTGCTGTACCTCGGTTTGACATTCAGTTCCCTAGCTCCAATGATCATCCCAGGCGTCATCGTGAGTAATCGGGGGACCATGTTACGCTAGTCCTGATCCTTGCTGTGTCAATAGACTGCCATGACGTTCCGTTTCGAATACTCCCAAGCTACCGAAGAGGTAGACCGTTCGGCACAGATATCTGGCGAAGCCCCAGTCCGTATCCCTTCCGATTACCCATCCTTCTCATTCCCTATCACCATCACTTCCCTCGTCTCCTTGTTCCTGAGCCTTGCTCTCATGGACATCGCATTGGCGCAGTACGGCGATAATGCTGTGATCGTGGCCGTCACGCCGATCCCTGTTATACTGACAGTACCGGTGGTGTCTTTGTGCACGGCTTTGGCAGCAGCTCAACAAGGCAAGCTGGGGCTGTGGTGGCGCTATCATGAATGGTAAATGTTTTGTTGAATGATCTGATATCCTTTGCAGAGTCAGCTAACGCAAAAGATAGCTGGATTCCACAGAAGAAGAGTGACGTCGAGCAGGCCCCAAAAAGCCACGAGGAGATCGAACAACAGGCTTTGTTGTCGTCGAACAACCCAGACGAACGAACCTAGATCATGGGTGCAGGAGTAGTGTATGTTTTTACGGTACGAGTATCGATGAACACAGTCTTGTATGCTACTTTTACGTGGAATGATTGCCCTTTGTTCTTGTGGATATATCCATAGCATATACGTACCCTCAACTTCAGCCCCTTCAGACCTCAGACTGGGCCTAGGCAGGCTTCATGTTTATGAAAGTGTATGAAGAATTCAAGAGGCGGAGTCAGCTGAGGTGGGGCTGCCCGACGGCCGCGGTTATCACCGGGAAAGTCCTGAGCACTGTGCCCTGGCATCCCTGAGGCAGTTGTACATATTTGAATGCCGAATTGAGAGGATTCGCAACTGGGCTTGAGGTGTTTCAGACCGTTTCATGTCTTTGCATCTTTACCCTACGATTCATGACATGGCTACGATTGAGTTGCCCTGGGTACTCGCTCCCCCTATACTGATACACGCTCTGGCTGTCCCGGCCATTGTTGTGGCCAGTTTCCAGTCTCTTAACGTATGTCCTTGTTGTCCCTGCGATGTCTTACCCTTCGCTGATGTTTGTCTGTGTTCAGTTTTGGCGTGCTGTCTCTGTCTTGTCAGCTCAAGATGCCTTCCCAGAAGAGACGCCGCCCGCTTGGTCAATCACGAAGACGTCTTTCAGCAACTGGCGCGCACAGCAGCCTCCGCTCGGTGCAACGACCAAAAAGGTCATTCTCTTTGCGGTCTGTTTTGCTTTGATCGTAGCTCTACAGTGTACAATCACAGTCATCAGTGTCAACAATATCACGATCCAAACAGTGCTGAAATGTGTTGTCTTCTTGATTCTAACTGTCGCTTGCGCACCCTCTATTTATTACGGCGTAGGTTCAAATCAACTTCGGAAGGGCAAATACTGATTTGATGTTGAACAGATATTGAACATCATAAAGCCCTTGACCATGCAGGTCCGCTACACCCGCAAAACTCCTGGTGCTCCCATTTGCCTCGAAAGAATACCGATTGGAGACGCCAAGGCTGGGGCCTACCAGGAGATGTTACGAGCGGGCTTCTCCTTTGTCGCATCCGTTGGTGCTATGGTCCTGACGGCCTATGGCTTTACCGCGCACTTGCCAATCGTGGCAGGCGCTTCGGTCGTGACATTTGTTGCCAATCACTATCACCCTCGCATGAGCATCCAAAGCGTTATCTTCGCTCTCTTCGGTTCCATAGTGCGTGCGGGGGGCTTAGTGCCGTATTTTGTGTATTGATCAGAACTGACCTGCAGCCTGCAGGCTTTTTGTGCCACCATGGTGGGCATTGGTCAGATGAGAGAGAGTTATTCTGGAAGTGAAGAGGCGGGAAAGGATACATCATCGGACGATGCCGCAAGCACCTGGCCAGTGGTTAACCTCATGTTCACGCTCCTGTCTGCGTCCGCAATCGTGATGCCAGGCGCACTTGTGAGTGAACTAACTGATGACACGCCATCGCTCTCCGCTCAATGCAACAATCACAGATTGCCATGACCCTTCGATTCGAACATTCCCAAGCTGCCGGGAGTGTTGAGCGCCCTTCAAACGTCTCCAGCGAAGCGCAACTCTGCGTGCCCTTCGACTATCCGAAATTCCCTTGCCCCATCTTTCTCACTTCCATCGCCTCTCTATTCCTCAGTCTTACTGCCATGGATATCGTCGTGGCTCAATACGGGGGTGATGCGGTGTTTGTGCCAATAACCCCGGCGGCCGCTGGTATAACAGTGCCTGTGGTTTCTGCGTGCACAGCATTAGCTGCTGCTCATCAAGGGGTACTGATACAGTGGTGGCGCTATAGTGAGACGTAAGTATCTGGAAGCAAGTTGCAGAGAGTCAAGCTGACGCGGAGGGTAGGTGGGTCCCGCAGAACAACGACGATATTGAGCAGGCGCCATAGGGAAAGAGGAGCTTCGTAACACGGACGTGACGAGGTTGGATAACGATGACCAGCGTCGACTCTGCTTGCAAATTCAAAGTGATTGCTTGCAGCAGAACTTCGCTCAAGAGGCACATGATTATGACCATACGAAGTACATGCCATAGACACAGAGAAGTACACGGAAACAGAGACGCGACATCCGCTTTAGAAGTATGTCTTCCTCTTTCGAGCAGTGTACTTGGAGTCTGTAGGTACACTACGCGGGATGTCAACCAAATTCTGTGGTCATAGATGATGTAAACGTACCCCTCTTTGCCTCTTGTTCTATACAGTTCCTTCTTCTTCATTACCCACTCCTTAGCCTTGAGATCCTTCTTGCCCTTCTTGGACTTTCTCCTCAATTCCCGACGTCTCTTGGCCTCATTCTTCACTTGCGCCCTTCTCTGCTCCATAGTCTCCTCATCCACATTCATGTCATCCCCATCGAGCGCCTTCGGAATCTCCTGCTGTCCCACCATCAGACACAAGTACATCTTCCTCACTTTTCTGGAGTTTGGATAGTCCACGACCAAACCACCTCCAAAACCTGCTCTTTGGGCTGCAGTGGTGATCATGGTCACCTGATCGTCGGAATTGGGGTAGAATTGAAAGACGGCACGTGAGGGATTACGGAGACAGGCGTGGAGGGTGGTGAAGAAGCGGTTGAGACGCTGAGGAGGAGAGTGGGAGGACGAGTCGGCGTTGAGGAGCCACTGAATGACAGAAATGCTGATGGCGCCGTCAAAAGTTCCTGGACGGAAGCCAAAGCCCTGTCCAATATCGTGCAGGAACAAGTCTCCTTCGACTTCACGTTCCAGCGCAACCTCTGCATGTGATGTTGGCAAAAAGCAAATGAGTAGCGTGATGCACTTACCGAGCATACTTGGAGCAATGTCCACACCGACCCAAACATGTCCATCTTCGTCCAAAAGCTCTCCACTCAACCCTGAGCCACATCCGATATCGAGAACATACGACGATTGGCCTTCGGGCAGAGCGAGGAGTTGGAGGGCACGATCAGTCATTTGGGATTGGACATTCTTGATACGGGTGTTGGCCGTGTACTTGGCGGCTTCCGTGTCCCCGTAGAACTGTTGAAGGGGTCAGCCATTGATCGCGATAGGAGACCATGCCGCTCACAAGTTCGGGCGGGGAGATTTCTTCTGGTCGCGACATTGGAAGAAGTTCAGAACAAGTAGAGAGGTGTGAGAAGAGTCGACTAGAGAGATGGTGCGCTGGACAGAGATGATGACAGCCTTGAAATAATTAGTTGCAGGGCAGAATCAAAGGGTGCGCAAGAGGAGATGAAGTTTTGAGCTCCTCAAAAGTGACGACGTGGAAGATTCTCAAAGTCGCGTAAAAGGCGGGACTCCTCCGACGCGCCCGATTTCGAGGACCAAACTTGTCAACAAACGCGCAACGAAATGGCGGCGCCAGCGAGCATGTTCCAGCTCGCGCAGCTCTCCTTGGAAGAACGGCACCTACCATCAGCCCTCCCAGTAATCGATCCTCAATTCTATCTCCCGGAATTGAACGAGTTCGCTTCTGGCACAGAACGACTGGTGGGCAGCCTCAGAGGAAGTTCTGGGTATGCGCTCCAAGACAGGACCAAAATTCCTCCTTGGGACCCATCGGAAACTGGAGAGTATCTCCCCGAGGAACTGCCATGTGCAGGCACCGAGAAAGATGGGGAAGAGGAGCTGTGGCAGAAACTCGCAGAGGAGCCTTTAGCCGAGTCCCAAGCGCTCCATGTACGTCGGTCGTTGAGTCAGGGTATCTTGAGAATTGATGTTTCCAATCACAGCCTCTGCGAACATGGGACCCATCAGAAGCAAACTTCCAGACCTCGTTCTTATCTGAAGGCTCGACGGCCACCTTCGACGGGGTGCTTACATCGTATGTCTATCAATCTGTACTCAAGCTGGACGCTGATCCATTGCGGAGACTGGAACCCCCGATACAATTCCCATCTCTCAAGTCTCCCCTCCCGCCCCCGGCTCACGATCCCGTTCACCTACTTGACTTGATGATGTGCGCCACCCTTGGCACCGTCACGACAGAACATCTGCTGTGGGACGCCAAAAGATCCAAATATGGATGGAAGGAAAGCGGGAGCCGCCCTGTTGGCATCGAACGAATCACATTCTCCAGGTCAGCTGAGTTTAGCAAGATGCTTGTGAGCTAGACTAAGTCATATTCAAAGAGTGGTGGAAGAGTTTCTCTCAATAGCGACGGCTATCCGGCGTCTGGAGCTCATCATCAACAGCCAAAATTTGCTGTGCGTATCGTGTTTGTTATTCTGGTTCTTCGCCTGACATGTAGCAGACCTCTTACGCCCACGCACCATGCTCTACTTCATGCTCTGTCAACCTATCTAACTTATATCAGAGAGCGATTGACGTTCGCCATCTCCCAGTGTGAGCACGAAGGCAAAGCGGACTGGAACAAGTGGATTTTGGCAACGAGGGACGTCAACATCTTGGCCCAAACTCTATGCGAGGTCATGAAATGGGTAGGCCACAGTTTTCATTCCGACGTTCTCTCTGACGGTGACAACAGCCCTTGACAAGCTCGAAAGCATCTGCTTTACCTACAAGAGCGTCATCCCTGCTTTCACATCTATACAGCCATCTCTTCTCGGCCCTTTCGGTCTGCCCCACGCCAACACATTCTATCCCCATATCATTGGCCTTTTTATTCTCGGAATCATCTGGGCCCTGGATGTCAACTCTACATGCGTGGCTGGGGCTTGTTCCCTCGGACGAAGAGGACGACGCGGATGCAAAGTCCCAACCTTGGGCTGACTTGGGCATCACTCGGGCGAAAGTCAATAACAGATGGCAGTACGATTTCTCATCAAAGCACATGCCGGTGTTTGTCCCCCGTGAAGCTAGGAGAGTATTGTTCGAAGCAGGGAAGAGCTTGCGGATTTTGAGAGAAGCCTCCAATGGCCAGCATCCTCTATGCTCGACAGAAAATTGGGACATCAATGTTCAGTGGGCCTGGGGGGATGACAATGAAAGGTGGGTGCTAGGCCGCTCAAAAGGGACATCAATCTTATAGCTTCACAGTGGCGTCAGTGATATCCGAGGCCATCTGAGAAGGGTAAAAAAAGAGGTTGAATACTGGAAACGATCCCAAAGAGGCAGTCTATCCGGTTCTCTCTCTGGAAGGAAGACATCTCGTAGAGAACGCAAAGGCATTCCCCTAGAATTTCGCGCACCACTCCCGACATCGCCTCCAGCTGGATCCTCAGAAAAAGCTGATCCGGAAAGCGAGATGGAACGGTTCTTTGCGTTGTTGGGCCAGGCGCCTGGATCCCACCTTTCTGCTCCGCCGAAAAACGAAGAGCCGGATCTGAATCTATGGGCACGAACGCCCCTTGAAACACTCCATCGGTTCATCTCTCGGCACTCTTCGCCCGACGACCCTCTCCTTCCCCAGTCATGTCCCACCCTTCCGATCTTTGTTTCCGACTATATCCTTGCTCCTTTAACCCAGCATGCCGGTATCGTATCAGCCTCATTGGTTTCGCTTTACCTCGACGACCTGCGGTTCCTCGACCATCTTGATGTACTTAGGGCCTTTTGGCTGGGAGGCGACGTGGACTTTATGGAACGTGCGGGAGGCGCGCTATTCGGTAAAGACAGTGCCGGCGCAGGCGAAGCTGCTGGTCTCGGCAAACGAGCCAGGACGAGAGCACGTCTGGGACTTGCCCCGGGGAACGACGCAGGAGAACGAAGTGCAGAGTGGGGCATAGGTCTTGGCATTGGACTGAGCGAGCGAAGCCGCTGGCCTCCTGGAGGTGCCGAGCTCGCTTACGCCTTGAGAACCACTTTGATGCACGACGACATTGGTGGGATGTTGGTCAAGAAAAACAGCTCAGTGTGGCAAGAGGTTGAAGATCGGGTATCTTTTGCTATCAAAGAGTTGCCCGAAGAGGGCGACACAGGCAGGCGAGCCAGATGGCTCAATCCACAGGCTATTGAAGCACTCGACTTTTTGTACCTCGCCTATTCGCCAGACCCCATCATCTCGACTCTGCTGCCGCCTTTGATCATGGCGAAATATCAGTCGGTTCACAATCTACTGTTGCGTCTGTCGCGAGTGGATCTGGTGTTGCGGACGATGTACTGGGATGTCGTACATCAGTCCGAGTCATTTGATGAGCCGCTCAAGATGGGCGTCGACTCGGGGATCAACAGACCGCCGAGGACCGCCCGGTTCGCTCGTCGGGAGCGTGTCGTCCATTCGTTATTCCCCAAAGGCTCTCAGACCGAGAGGCACTTGCAAAGCCTGAGGTTCAGGATGTCGCATTTCGTAAATACCTTTGGGCGTTACGTGATGGACAGCGCGATCTCTATCAAGTGGAACGCGATGAGAAAGAGGCTTGGGAAGCTTCAACAGAAGGTTCCCGGCAAGGATGAATCGCGGCCAGGATCACCTGTTGACGATGATGACGGGCTGGGATCAGTCGCAGAAGATGAAGGACAGACGGATGACGACGAGTTAGAAGACAACCCTGCCAGCTTGCGCCAACTCCAATCCATCCACTCTCTCGTTGTTTACCACAATCTTTCTCTCGACCGAATCCTCCGCGCATGCCTCCTAGGCCCCCAAGCCGGACAACAAGTCACTTATAAAGTTCTCACGACCCTATTTGGACTCATACTGGACCTGGGAAAGACGTTGAAAGAAGTGGAGAAGGGATCCATGGGATGGGAGGATGGGGCGGAGAAAGTTGAGGAGATCATGGGCGAATGGACAGAGAAGGAAGCTGTCTTTGTAAGTTCAGTGAAGCTTCTTGCCGGACGTAGCTGATACAATATCAGATGCATGCACTCGAGAGGCTGTCCCTTCGCACAACTTCCTCAAAGACGGACCATACGGAGGGAGGTGATCAGACAGAGCAAGATATGCTCTTGCTGGAAGGAGAGGGAGAAGGAGCTGGCGTCGAGAGTGAGGCAGATTACTGGGCCAAACTGGGTATGGGCGGAAACGATTTGCAAGAGCTTGTGCTTCGTCTACGGCTGAGAGGTAGTACGGAGGGGAAAGGCGGGCGTTGGAAGAAGGAAGATTTGTTGTAGATGCATTGGAAAATGCACAGATGAAGCATGGTTGCAGCGTCAGATGTGAATTGCCCAAAACGGCGCCTTCCAAGCCAAACCTTCGGCACTCCGCCTGTCCGCCAGGCCCAGCAGTCGAAACTGGCTGCACCATCAACAATTTGGTCCATCCATCCACCCAGCCACTCTTCTCTCTTTCATCACACCCTGCCCAACATCCACGCTTGCGCGGCCTGTGCGCAATGGGCATATAAGCATACATTCCCCTGGTCGAAAGACTAGGGGACATTCTTGGCCCTCTCGACAATCACCTTCTTCCCTTTCCGACCCGACACCCCCTCACGGGACGTAGCGGTCGGCCTACGACTGTCCTTTTATTCAACCAATCCAAAACAAAACATCTATACCGACGGCCAGTCGCTACACGAACTTCAGGGACGAGGGTCAAACATTGGTTGCTAGGTGACCACCAGTGCCCCTCGCTCTTATCAGATCCCGACCCGGCCACGCCAGTCACAACGAAATCAGTCGCCCATCTGGAACAGATCCATTGCTATTAGAAGGAAAGGAAAGAAGAGAATAGGGAGATTGGAGAGATCGAATAGACAAGCGACACTATGTGAGTAATCCCCGGTCTAGCTCGGTTTCGAGGTGGTCTGTGCGAGCACGGACTGTGCGCTGTGCCTCCATATCCTCCTTATCCCATCACGATATCCCATCCCTCTTTCTCTTTCGCATCTATCAGATCCCACCCCCGCGCCACCACCAGCACTGCTGTGCTATCTATCCCCACACCCTCTTGTGTGTGTATCTTCGAGACCGCGTCGGCTTCCATTCTTTTCATCTCACTACTATACTTTGCGCAACCTCTCAGTCAAGAGCACCACACCCACAGAGCCCGAGGTTGACCCTTGTCCTCACAGCTCTCCCTTACCTCACGTCGCTCCCTCAACTATTCCCACGCAGTTAGCCCCCTCCCATCATGTTGGCCGCTCGCCGCCAATCTATGGCCTCTCCAGGGCCCCTTTCACCTTCTAGTCTCCCCCGCCCTCACTCTTCTACTGGCCACCATAACTACGGCCAACCTCGTACTAGACTAAGCAGTGACGCAGCCAGCGTTGCTGCTGCTGCACTGAGTGACGTTCCAGAGACCCGTAATGTTAAAGTCGGTGAGTAGCTTAGCCCTATCATGTCCTGTGCGCCTGTTGACATTCCGTCCAGTGCTCCGAGTACGACCCTCGTATCCCGATGACGCCTCCATCCCCGCCAGATACCGTTCTGTGTTGGTTCATCCCACATCAGAGACTGAGATTCGCGTAGACGTCGACCCCGCGACTCTGGCGGGTCACGCTGGGACAGTCGGTTCCAGCAAGAAACACCCGACATTTACGTTCGACAATGTGCTGGGAGAGGACTCTGCGCAAACAGATTTGTACGATGTCACAGCAGGCGAGAATGTCGATGAGTTCATGAAAGGACACAACGTGACCTTCTTAGCGTGAGTGATTTTCTGTCAAGGCCACTGGACGAAATTGATCAATCTACAGGTACGGCCAGACAAGCTCAGGCAAGTCCTACTCTATGGGCACGACGGGCGAGGATACAGATTATTCGGGAACGGATTTCACACCCCGTACGGGTCTGATTCCGCGTACTGTGCAAATTATCCTGGAGCGTGCCGAGGAAAGCAAACAACAAGCTGGTCCAGGTGCTTCCTGGGAAGCCCGCATCAGCTTCCTCGAGCTTTACAACGAAGAGATCATCGACCTCCTTTCTGGCACTGGTATCTCCATCTCCATTCGCGAAGAGCGTGATGGCAGGATCGTCTGGTCTGGTGTGCGAGAAGCCAAAGTCAAATCTCTGGCCGAGGTAATGCAGCTGCTCCAAGAAGGTTCGGCTCGAAGGAAGACGTCCGAGACAAATATGAACTCGTCAAGTTCTCGATCTCACGCCATCTTCTCCTTGACGTTGGTGCAGAAGAGGATGGCAGGGCCCATGTCTTCGGCTGTTGCTTCTTCTCGCAGCGAAACACCCACTCGACAACTTCGTAGGCCATCTTCCATGATGGGCATTTCCAGTGCCGGCAGCGCTCGCTCCCCGACCCCAACCAGCGGCCGCGGTGGAGGGCCGCCCAGCAGCTTTGGTCGCATGACCCCATCGCGCCCGACGTCTGTCATTGGGACACCCACCGGGGCTGACGACTACATCATTGTCACCAGCAAATTCAACATGGTCGACTTGGCTGGTTCGGAGCGTCTCAAGCGTACCGCTGCTCAAGGCGACCGTATGAAGGAAGGGATCAGCATCAACAGTGGTCTCTTGGCCCTCGGCAATGTCATCTCGACCTTGTGCGACCCGGTCAAAGCTCGAGGTCATATTCCCTACCGAGACTCGAAGCTTACTAGGATGCTCCAAGACTCTATCGGTGGTAATGCTTTGACTACGATGATTGCCTGTGTTTCTCCCATCGAGGCCAACATCGGTGAGACTCTCAACACCATCAAGTATGCTTCCCGTGCTCGAAACATTCGTAACCAAACCAAAGTCAACGCTGTTGAAGCTGGCTGGGACGATGTCGAACATCTCCAAACTACCGTGCTCAAGCTCAGAAAGCAAATCTCAATGCTCGAGAGTGACAGCAAGGGAAGTGCTTCCGAAGGAAACTCGAAGCACAGCGAGAAGCTTATCCAAAGGCTCGCCGAGCTTCAACGAGAACACACCGAGCTATACGATCGTTATCTTGCCAAGTGCAGCGACAATATGCGTCTTGGGAGTGAGCTACGTAACCGGGGCCCTGGTGACGGTGATGCGCTGTCAAAGTTCAACGAGACTGTTGAGCCAGTCATCCTCGAGTATGTCATTCCTTTGCGGAAGGATGCCTTTGCTGACGGCGTTTCAGATACGAAAAGGTCGTCTCTGCCCTGAATCAGCAGCTTGACGAGCTTCGCGGCGAGATTGTGAGTGTCACTTGACATATAAGGTCATTGTGCTGATTTGCCACCCAGGTCATAATGAATGATCTGTCCGAGGAACACAACCGTCAACTCGAAGAAGCTCGAGAACGCCAACTGCAATCCGAATCCTACGTCACCGAGCTACGCAGTCGTCTTACCAAGTTGACCGAGCGAAACACCTCCAGCGAGGCCTATATCCAAGACCTCGAAGCCAAGCTCAAGATGTACGCCGACAAGGAAGAGTCTCATGCCGACGCCGTTGCCGAGCTCAAGAAGGACATTTCCAAGCTTCGCGAGGATAATGCGTCTTCCGTCTCCAATGCTCAAGAGCTTGAGGCCAAGCTGTCCAAGTCGGAGGCTGCCTCTAGCAAGCTTGTTGCTCAAGTGGAAAAGCAGGAAGAGGGCGCGCAAGTCCGAGAGTCGGCTTACCGAGAGCTCGAGGCTCATATCGTCCGCTTGGAAGCCCAATCCCTCGAGGACAGCAAGCGATTGCTCGGGGAGCTTTCTGACCGAGATGACAAGATCCTGGAGCTCGAGGAGGAGCTTGAAAAGCAGAGGCTCGACGGAAGCAGAGAGAAGGAGTTGTTGGAGGCCGTCAACGCCGAAAAAGCTGCCCAGCAAGAACTGCGTTCCAGACTTGCATCTATGCAAAAGTCTGCTAGCGGCGTTGTAACTCCCCCTTCGGAAGGCTCGACACCCGCCGGCTCTGTCATCAAAAACTCGGCCGCGAGCTCGAACGGTGGCGAAGGAGAACCGATCGGTGAACTGGAGCAACTTCGTGCCGCTTTCGAAAAGCTCGCGGCTGAACACGCCAAATCGGAATCTCACATCGCCGACTTGACCTCCCAGCTTCCGGAAGCCAAACTCGTCCAAGGCGAAATGGAGGACACAATGCCATTGTCTCCCTCGTCGCCTACTATCGACCATGACTCTCATTCTGATGATGAGCTGGAAGAGGTCGCTACGCCAGTGGACGACCTTTCCACACCAGCCAGATCGGCGCCTGGTAGCAGTCCCACCAAACGTCGGACTTCTAGCGCTTCCATGCGCCGTTCATCGCTGCCCTTATTGAACAATGGTGTGGCTGTCAAAACGGGTTTTCGCGGAGGGAGGGGATATTCAGACTCGACAAGGATCAGGCCGCAATCGCTTTCGCAGGAGCTCTCCTCTGCGCAGTCCTCGGTTTCATCGCCGCGCGCTACGTGGAGGGACCCGAATACTGAAAAGCTTCTTTCTTCGCCCAGTATGGTACCCAAGCCTTCTTCCAAGTCTTTACAGTCTTTGGAAGCAGAATTGAGGTTTGTGCATGGTGTGAGTCATCTTTCAATGAGGGTGGTCTAGACACTAACGGCGAATAGATCGTGGACGAACGAGACGAAGAACTTAGAGATCGCGAGGCCTATATCCGACAATTAGAAGAGCAACTGGAGTTATCCAAAACGCACGATATTCTCTCCCGCAAAAACCGTGCAAACCCCATAGATGTCACCACATCGGAAATCAAATCGATAGATACAGAATTTGTAGAGCTACCGCGAACACCAGAAACCCCTGGAATTCAGCTTCAGCCTTCAGACTTTCCTCTTCCGCCAAGTCCTGCCCCGATGACTCCTTTCAAGTCGCTCAAAGTGGAAGCGGGAGGCCAGGACGGAGACGACGAGGGGCTGAAGCCGCCCCCAGATGACGGAGAGAACGGAGGTCTGAGTCCGAGAAGTGTCAAGAGGTTCAGCCAATTGGCGGAGTCTCTGAGTAGGTTGGAGAGTAAAGAAGGCTCCAATGAGCAAGACATGATACAAGAACTGATGAGGTAAGCGCACATGACTGGCACGATGGGCTTGGTTGACGTTCAATAGAGAGATGGCCGAGAAAGAAGCCAGTCAGAGGAGGATCATTGAGCAACAATTCATACAGATTGCGGATCTGCAAAAATCCAACAACAAGTTGAAGGAAGAGTTGATCGGAGTTGTGAGTCGGTATTATATGGCAAAGATTAGACTAACGATCGAATAGGAACCTCAACTGTCTTCAATCCAGAAACTCCGCTCGGAACGCGACCTGTTAACCGCCGAGCAAGCTGCCACTTCACCTTTACCCTCCCCGGTCCCATCGCCGAGCAGGTCCATCCACTCTCTCGCGAGCAGTGCTGCCCTCGATCGCCTTCAGGAGGAGCACTCGGAAGACCTGCAGTCTCTAATCACTGGCCATTCTCAGACCATCAAGGTGATTCAGCAAGAGCACCAGGACGAGATTGCCAAGCTGCAAGCCATCATCGAGAAGAATGAAGCCGTGATTGAGGAGTGGGCAGCCAAGGTAGAAGGACTGAAACTCGAGCATCACGGTGCTCAGACCGCTCAAAGGCTTGATCAGGAGGCGAAAGAAGCTGCCCACCAGAAGCAGCTCGACTGGCTCAAAGCAGACCACGCTGAGATTCTTGCATCTCTCAAGGATGCCCACGCTCGTGCGCTGCAAGATCTCCAGTCGGAACAAGACCTCATTGCCCAGGAGATGGAGTCTTCCTTGTCTTCTTCCGAAGAGCAGCGTCGTCAACTCAAGATGAAGGCCGACCAAGCTCTGTTTGAGCTCTCCCGAGTCCGAGACGAGCATTCCCTGCAGCGGAACGGGGATGCCAAGCAGATATCCGAGCTTACCAAGGCCAACGCTCAGCTTGAAAAGGTCAAGACCGAGCTGGAGCATGCCACTGCCGAGCTCAAGACTCAGTGTGCCGACTTGAAGCACCAAATTGGCGAGCTGAAGAGCCAGAATGGTGATCTCAAAGTCCAGAGTGGGGAGCTCAGCAAGCGCGCCTCCGAGCTGGAGCAGAGGTTTAGTCGAAAGTTTGTCCCACCGCCCCAGGTCCCACCACCTACTACCGCGCTGCCCCCTCTTCCTCGAAGCCCTTCCGGACACGGCAATAGACTCGGCTCGGACGGTGCTAGTATCACTCCTTCCATGCCCCAGATCGGCGAAACGGTGGGTCAGGGCAGGAGGCAGAGTGAATCTTCTACAGGCCACTCTGATGGAACGGGCGAAGGCGGGAACCAGGCGGCACTGTATAGTGCTTTGGCGGAGAGAGACGGGTTGAGGGACGCTCTGGCCAAGGACAAGGAGAGGATCAAGGAGATTGCGAGTGCTATTTGTTTGTGGCAGGTTCGCGCTAATGCTTTGATTAGGAGCGCAAGTTGCAAGAAGAAAAGGTCAAGATCAGCAACCTTACGGTAGATCTCCGTGAAGCTCAAAAACAGGGTACGTCGAACTGTTGCGAAGGGATGGCCAGTACTGACATGTATACCAGCCAACACTATCCGATCGCACCTTGACGAGGCCCGCCAAGAGAACAAACGTTCCGCGCTATCGTGCCGCGAGCACACGTCCGAGCTTGAAGCGCGTCGAGAGCAGATGGCCAAGTTGGCGGACCAGGAGCGCAATCACCGCGAGTCGTTGCAGGCGGCTCAGGCGCAGGTGGCCAGTCTCAAATTACAGCTTGAGAGGGCGGTGGAGACCAAGGTGCAGAAGCGGGGATTTATGTGTTTCTAGTATGTGGTGGTGGTTCTACTTGGGCTTTTTTTCCGTGTTCTGTCTGTCTGGTTCGTCAAGTATATATATATATTTCGGCTGTCGTGTCAATCTGTCATTTCTTTCTTGTGGACAACTATCTTACTCGGTGGCCGTTTGATACGCGCCATTGTTCTATCTTATGCTATGCACCAGTGTTATATACTATGGACATCTATAGGATACATGTCTACTGGATCCAACCCTTCTCAACAGCAATCTCGGCATTGATGACGGAGGAAGTGGCAGCTCCCAACCTGACATTGTCGATCAAGCAGACAAACTTGACGTCAAAGACGTTGCACTCCCTGACCCTGCCGACGCTTACACAAGCACCGTTGTGGAGGTTCCTGTCCAATCTAGGCTGAGGCCTGTCGGGGGCATCGTGGAGGACGATAGCCTGAGCCGGCGCGGAAGGTGCCCCGAGCTCTTGGGCCTCGCACCTAAAGTCTCTGAAGGCCGCCTCAATCTCGGCCACAGAGGGCGCGGGCGACCTGGCAAACTTGACAGAGACGCAGGCAGTGTGGCCGTCAATGACGGGTACACGGGTACAGTGCGCAGAGACGTTGATCTGCTTGGGGGCATGCAGGTCGAACGACGTCTTGTCGTCTGAAAGACCACCGAGGATCTTGTTAGTCTCCCACTCGATCTTTTCCTCTTCACCGCCAATGTGGGGGACGACATTGTCCAAGATGTCCATGCTGCTCACGCCGGGGTAGCCGGAACCGGAAATGGCCTGGAGGGTGGTGACGAGGACAGTCTCGAGGGGGCCGAAAGCCTGTTCGAGGGCGGCGAGGGGGACGACGAGGCCGGTGGTGGAGCAGTTGGCGTTGGTGATGATGTAGCCCTTTTGGAGGCCGAGGGAGGCGCGCTGGTGGGGGATGATGTCAAAGTGGGAGGGGTTGACGAGGGGGACGACGAGCGGGCAGAGGGGGTCACGTCGGTAGTTTTTGGCGTTGGAATAGACGGCGAGCTCGGCGGCTCGGAACGCTTTTTCTGAGAGAGGGGTTAGTGAGTGATAAGAGATGCAGTAGCCAACGCACCAATGTCACCAGCAACGTCCTGGTCGAGACCACTGAAAACGACGCCACACTCGGCAAAGCCAGGGGCATCAGGCTTGCATTCTTCGACAGTCATGTTCTTGACGGCCTCAGGGATAGGGGAAGCGAGCTTCCACTTGGTGACCTTGGCATAGGGCTGGCCTGCTGAACGGGCAGAGGCCCCGAGGGCGTGGATCTTGAAGTAGGGGTGGGTGGCGAGGAGCTCGATGAAGCTGGTCTCGGGTCAGCACGGAGTTGGATGGGGTTGGCTGGGGGTACGCACCGCTGGCCGACGGTACCGGTGGCGCCGAGGATGCCGACGTTGATGGACCTCTGGTCGTTGGCGGGCATGGCTGTTGTGATTTTGCGGGCGGGGGTGAGGAAGCGGAGGATGTCGAGAATGAGGCTGGCGAACGACTTTTTCAGCGTCGAGTCTGAATGTCCTCCGAGCGGCTATGGCGCGTCCGGACATGAGCGCCCATCTCCTCTATCATCCGACATCCCGCATCGCTCATGCATCCACCCACCATGGTCGTCGCTGCCCCCGTATTCGACAAGTCGGAGCCCAAGTCGGACAAGTGAGTGCACTGCGATGCTGCGATACTGGGCGATGCTGGGCGATGCTGGCCACAGACGCTCACCTTTATACCCAGGCTGTTCTCATACCACCTGCCCAACTCGCCGGAATGGGACGAGTACAATGACTGGTACTCTCAGACCGCCATGACCTCTGCCGCCGCCGGCATGTTCATCAAGCAGCCCCTGTACGTGCCTCCCAGCGCTGCGTGTACGGCCAAGACGGGAACTGACACGCATCTGATGCCAGCATCGTGTGGGGTGCGTTTGCCCTGGCGGTGTTTGGGTATGTGAACCAGCAGCCGCTGCGCCAGGCCAAGGACGCAACGTCGCCGATACTCGTGCTGGGGTGAGTGGGGTGGTGTGCTGGGATCTCCGAGGGTGGCTGACGCTCTGCAGGATGGCGCTCGCTGGGGTGTTTGGGAGTGCGCTGCCCAAGATGATGCTTGCGCCGGCGCCGGCGCAGACTGCGTTGTAGACGACGAGGACAAGGGAAGCATGCATGGGATGGCTCGTGGCTGAACGCAACACACGTCCGCCCCTTTCACGCAGTACATATACGCTCACCCCTCCTTCTTATCTCCACCCACCATGGACGAGCTCTACCGCGGCCACCTCGCCCCCCAGCCCCCCTCGGCCACAAACATCACCCGCAGCATCCACCCAGACGCCGCACACCTCCCAGAGGAGGTCGTCGACCTGAACGCCCGCAACCACAACTACAGGGTCATCGCTTCCAACGACAACGCTCATTCACCCAGCCCAGGATCGGGCGCCTCGTTCGCTGCAAACATGGCCCCGCCACCGCCACCCCCACCGCCAGAGGTCACTGTCAATATCAACACCGACGACCATCCCCATCGATCCCAGCGAGGCGGCTGGTTCTGGATGCGATGGCCCAAGCCCCATCCCCTGTTGTGGATCATCCTCGCCATCAGCGTGCTGGCTCTCGTCCTCGAGGTCCCCAAGGGCTCCCTGCCCACCTTCAGTGGCCGCCACAAGGCGCTTCGAGTGAGTCGGTCCACAGAAAAGATCGCCGTTCCGTTCACAACATGCCTCGAGCCCCTTTTACACCATGAACATCCGCTGACTCGCTGCATACTCGTAGGCACAGGAAAAGGTCGTCCAAGAGAAACTCCAGCTTCTCACAAAGCTCTCCACCTTTCTCCCTCCGCCTCTCGCTGCTCTGGTCGCCCCCTTTGACCCTGCCAACCCTACTGCCACGTCTCTGCTTGCCTTGCCCGATTACCACCAGCTCGAGCTCCTCCGTCTGGCTCCGACCTTGCGTTTCTGGAACACTGGCCTTGCCCAGCCGTTCGGTGTGGGTGTGGGCAATGACGGCCAGCAGTGGTGGTCTGTCGAACAGCTTGGCGAGGGTGCTAGCGTGGTGAGGAGCAAGGGCGAAGGGCAGGACAGGGAAGTTTGGGTTCTTCGAATCCCCGGCGAGCTCAATGAGGGTCGGTCAACTCTTGCAAGTCTCTGAGGGACATGTTTGCTAACGTACTTTTATGCAAAGAAACCCCGCAAACTGCCGCCCTCACCCAGGCGCTCACACACTCGCTTCTCCTCCGAGGCCACCTCTCCACCGAGATCCACCAACTCAAATCCACCCCCTGCCCCGTCTGCCCCGCCCCGCCTCCTCCCCAGCTCAACCACCAGTACTCTCCATCCGGGCGCAGGTCTGCCGAGCACGAGTATCTCGTAGTCGTCGAAGAGGAAGAATTCGAAGCTGCTAGGCAGAGGGACGAGTGGGAAAAGTATGAGGAAAAGCGAAGGAGGGACAAGGAACGGGAGAAGGAGGTGGAGGAGAGGGAGCGAGAAGTTGCGAGGAGGGAGAAATGGGTCGTCGAGGAGATGCGCAAGATGAGCGACAAGATCCAGCAAGTTTGACACTGCCTCGCACATGTTGGCGCTGACTGGCCATAGCGCCCAAGCTGGTGAACTCACCCTCGAGGACCGCATCACTGAGCGACTCAAGGCCTATCAGCGCCAGCTCCGGGAGCACAACTCTGCCAACGGCGAATTCTAAGTCATATTCTTGGTTTGTCTATACATACAATAAGGAGGCGATTGTGCATAGGAAAAAGGCGGGAGATCTCGGGCCAGACCGAGGCTGATCTGCTTAATCATCTTTGAGAACTGTATATACTTAAAACTAGGGGTGGTCATGCATTGATTTACTTCTTACTTATGCTCTTCCTTACTTCTTACTCATCCTCTTCACCTCCTCAAAGCTCGCACTCTGCATCCCGTGCGTCCGCTTCCCTTCCTCCCTCTCCTGCTTCGGCCCTAAGTACTGCGGCAGGATCTCCTCCACACTTCTCAGTCCCGCATCTCCCGGCGGCGCACTACTAGGCGCCGAGCTCGGGAAAGCCTTCAACACTGCTTCAAAACTCTGCGAAAACATGGGTGGGACGGGAGACACGATATTGTCATCGCGCAACTGAGTGACTTGATCTCGCGTGAGGGTAAAGATGTTTTCGGGAAGTTTCTCAAGGAAGAACCCCTGGAGTGCGCCGAGAGCATAGGGGATGGAGAGGATGGGTCGTTGCAGGCCGCTAAAACGCAGGACGAGCTCCATGATCTCACGGTAAGTAAACACTGGAACAAGCAGATCAGACGGCTGGCAGTGAGATTGGCGAGAAGTGACTTGCCTTCAGGACCCCCGGCTTCGATGACTCGCCCTCCGACCTGCTTGGTCACTTCGGGATCGTCTCGACAGCAGATCTCGATGGCTCGCGCTACATCCCCCACGTAGACGGGCTGGAACCTGACGGCGCCGCCCCCAAATACAGGCAGAAAGGGGAGATACTTGGCCAACGTTGCAAACCTCTAGAATAATCGATCATCAGATGATTCCCCGATGAGGGTGAGCAGCACTTGCGGTGAAGAATGAGTCGCCTGGACCAAAGAGGATGGAAGGCCGTATAATCGTGGCTGACGGGTGATTCTCCCAGATCGCCTCTTCGCCCTTGCCCTTTGTCCGCCAACTATCTCAGTCAGCCCATGACCTGCCTTAACCTCTCAAAGGCAAAGACTCACTAAGCTGTAGCTCCCTTGGAGTGCGCCCCAATAGCACTAACCCCCACCACTCGCCCAACCCCTTCTTCCTTTGCTGCTTCCGCTACCCGCCTCACCCCGTCTTCTTGCAGCGCCTTCATTTGCGCTTCGGTACCAGTGAGCAGACCGCCCATGGAAACGACAGCCGCGGCACCAGACATTGTCTCGCGAAGGGCAGAAACGGAAGAGGGCGAGGTGATGTCGATAGGAGAGGGGGCGAGGATCTGGTTACCGAGGGTTTTGAGCTGGTTGTGGACTGGACAGAAGTCAGCCCGGCATGCAAGGGAGGGTAGAGCGACTTGCGTTTCTCGGGATGCCTAGAGACGATCTGGATCCTGTTACGAGGATCGGCTATGAGAGCTTTGGCGACATACGATCCTGTTGCAAGTCAGCTTGTCGCCGTAGTGGATGGAGTGAACGGGCTCACCGAGGAAGCCTGCGCCGACGAGGACGATCTTGCGGGGGGACTTGTGGGTCGGGGGCACGGAGACGGTGGATGCGAGTCTTCTGGGCAGCATGGCGGGTGGAGATGGGGACAGCAGCGCATAGAGGGATCCGATCGATGCCATCCAATTTCTCTGGGCGACTGGTGCGGTGACGTCAGACCGCGACGCGTCAGACGCGACTGTCCATTAATCACAAACGCTTCCTATGATACGGATACATTACAGATACCAAGTATACAACAGGTCTGTCAATGTCCATCCTACTTTCTGGCCAGTCGCGCGACCTCGTCCGCCTCTCCTCGCCTCCTCTCGGCTTTAAAGAGGTTGGCCTGCCCGCCTTGCGCCGCCGCGGCTTTGCCCAACTTGGCGAGTATCATGGCTAGTCTGAGTGGTTTGACCGAGGGATAAGAGACGGAGCGGACGGAGGGTTCCATATAGGCTTGGACAGCGTCAGAAAGGATGATGTTGATGGTCTGCTAGCCGGTCAGCGCTAGAGTTGTGTTTTAGCCCGCCAAATACTTGCGTGTTTCACTTCGTCAAAGACTCGATCCAGTTCTCGCTTCTCCAATCGCTTGATCTCGGTCTCAATGAAAGTGACGTCTGCCAAAACGCTTGCTAGCGCACTCTCGTTCAACCTCGGAACACTGGAACCCGTCAGAGTGTCCTATCGCCCCGTCAGCTCACGCATCTCTCTAGTCATTCGATGGCTCACCATTAGCCACTTGTTGATCCGTCCCAAAGCATTCGAGTATGCCCGCGTCTTGACTTCCTCACTCAACCCAATCAGTACCGAATCCACATACGCCGTCAAGAACGTAATCATCTCAAACACATAGGTGCTCGGTTCTTCCACCGTCGACTGGGGACGAGCGGGCGTCCAATCGTATTCTGCAAGCTCAAAGAATGACTCGAGTTTGGAGTTGACGACACTGTCGATGCGGGACTGGGCGATAGCGAGGGTGGAGGTGAAGGAAGCGCCTGCAGAGAGTTTGATGGGTCCGCCACGCTGAGAGGCTCTGTGAAGACGTCAGCTCTAGCCACTTGTCGGTAAACTACGCATACCGCAAGTTCATCAGCACCGATTCGAGCTCATCGCAAGCTGTCAAAAAGTGTTCGAGATTTATCACTATCTGGGCAATTTGGGACAGATTCGCCATGGACTGCAGTCTCTTGGCGATCTGCTTGCTAACATGGGTGGACAGCAGGCCATCGAGGGACTGTTGTGATGTCAACTTTTCACTCTAATCATTATAAAGATAGAAGCGTACTTTGCGAAGTACCTCGTCTATATCGAGATGTTGTTGAGCAACACCATCCGTGAATTGATAGAACTGGTCGACAAAGTTGCGGATATTGATGCAACACATGGGATAAGTCTGAGAGAAGGGCATTGCTTGCGGAAATCCTTGCCTGGTACTGAAGTCAGCTCGGTCCACTTGACATAGGCAAAACTCACATGGCAAGGGACTCGGCTTCTCCTGTTGCTAGCCAGCAGACTCCAGCAACCTGATCAAATTCTTCTTGATCGTTGACCATCATGGGCTGGTTGTCGTCGTCCGTCACAATCTGTTGGGCGTCAGTCGTGAAACTTGAATCCATACACTACACTTGCCTGTTCAAAGTCTGAACTAAACCTGTTTAGCAACAACTCAGAGTATCGCTCAAAGAGGGCGATGAGCAGCCCGTTCAGCTCAGAGATGTTATAGCCATAGACCTGAACAATGTCAGCACAGGTCGACTCTCAAAGCTCTTCGAAGACTCACTTCCAGAGTCTGAACAAAGAGCAGGACCTCCGATTTCGTACTCAAAAACACCTCTGGATCACTGCACCCCTTCAGCCCCTGGCCCATCACATCAACAATCTTCTTGCACATCTCGTCCCAAAGCTCGTCCACATCCCGCTGCGTCCTAAATTCTGGCATGGTCTCCAGCACATGAGATTCAATTACAAAGAACCCCACCAGCTCTTGCAACAACAGGGGAAGCGTCGTCACCAACGTTGCGGGGGTCGTAGCCATCCGGGAACTGAGGATGAGCGCGGCTTGGGTTTTGCGGTCTTCTTGGAACGTCCGCTGCAGCTCGGTCTTGGCTCCCAAAGCTTCGTAGATGTGGATACACTGATACAGTGGTTTAAAGTCGACGTGAATTTCGTCATTGTCCAGTGCATCGACTGAGAACGGTCAGCATGGTCCCATCCGGCGTCTCGACAGCCACTTACACTCAACTCTCTCATTGTGCACGAGCTCCAGCGAGCCACCTACTCTCGCCAGTCTATCCCCTCCCTCCTTTTCTCTCCTCGCTCTCCACTTTTTGATCCTCACAGACATCTGGTCCAACGCGACCTTGCCGACTTTGGCACTACTCTCTCGGACATCAAACAGCCATGACTTGGTAGACGCAGTGACAGCGTCTTTGATGGATAATCGGAGTGAAGGGAGAGAGGACATGACGTGGGCGTAGAATGGTGTTTGGGAGATCGATGCCGGGGGGAGATGGAGGAGGTCTTCTAGTGACCGTAAAGCTCCCCAGTATTTACCCTCACGGACCATGTCGCTGACGCGGTGGACGAGGTCAAGCAGTCGCAAGCACGCCTGCAGGGTCTCTATAGCATCGTCCATATTTCTTGCGACCTTTTTCTGCTCAAGAAGAGCTCGTTTCTGCGCTACGAGTCAGTACGGCTCTGAATCATGTTGCGATGGTGGGGACTCGCCTTCTCTCCGAGTGCTCTTCCGACATCGCCCATCTGTCCATCAAGCTCTCCTATTCGCCGTCTGAGGTGCCCGGTCCCTTGACGTATTGTGAGTAGATTGGAGACCGAAGACACAAAGTCCTGCCACAGGTCAACAAAGGTCATAGTCTGAGGAGGACACCCTACCTCGTAGTTGCCTGCGCATATCGCCTCAATCTCCTTCTCCTTCTCGTCAACGAAAGCATCAAGACTCTTCAGATACAGTTGCTCAGAGTCCGTGTCCTGTATTGACTTGATGAGGGGGGCGAGGGCCTCGAGGTTCTCGGTCGTGGAGGAGGTGGGGTCGAGGTTGATCTGTGGGGGGTGAGCATGGGAGGGGGGAGGGGAGGACATACCTGCTGGAGCTGCATTTCGAGCTCTGCATTGGTGAAGGTGGGGCGCTGTTTCCTGATCATTTTGGCCGTGCTGTATAGTCTATTATGTCAGTGCAGAGTTCGTTAACGCCAAGTTAACGCGGTCATCCACCGGTGGACATCTCCGACGCGACTGGGATTCTTTCGGGAGTATCGCATCTCTCGCCGACTAACGCTTATCATCCCCCCAAAGACCAGCAACCTACCACCATGTCCAGCGGAAAGAAGCCACAAGGCGCGGGCAACGACTATGTCCTCCTCGAATCATCAGACGGCTACACCTTTGTAGTGTCCCGTAAAATCGCATGCGCCAGTGGCATGCTGAAGAACATGCTTGATGAGGATGGCAAGTATTGAGAGGTTTACTGGATGATCTCGGCTGATCCTCGGTCTATAGCTGCATTCTCTGAGGCGACGAACAAGGCATGCAAGATTCAGCAAAGGTACGACCATCGCAAGAATCACCCAGGGGCACACTCTTGAAACGACATGGACCTGGGCAGCTGACGTATTTGATTCCAACAGAGGATGTATATTACTCAAAGTGATCGAGTATCTGGCATACAAGGTCCAGTACCAAGAGTTCAACGCGGAAGATGTCCAAGAAGATTTCCAAGATCGAATAGATCCGTACATTGCGCTGGAACTGTAAGCTGCCTTGGTCAGAGTTATAACATAGTACTACCCTTACTGATGCGTTTTAGCTTGACTGCTGCGGACTACTTGGATTGTTGAAAGTCGGTTCACATAGTTTACATGCCCCGCAATCTGTATAATCGTTGTCACCATGCACGCCCCCGACCCCATGGTCGGTCTTTGTATCCCGTACAACGTTGCTGCCTAACTAGCGCTACATTGTCGTCGAGCTGAAGAGTCGACAATCATCACAGTTGAAGACATATCATGGCTTGCCGCTTGCTCCCGTCCCTCCGCCACCACGCCACTTGGCCATACTCTCCTTGACGCCCTTTCCGGCCTCCAAATCCTTCTTCACATTGTCATCCACCTCTCTTCCTGTTACCGCCTTTTTCAGGACTTGCTCAACAAGCTCTGGCGGAATAGCTACACAGCCATCTTCGTCGCCCACTATAATATCCCCGGGGTTGACTGAGATCTTGTAATCGAATGCCGGGTCATACAGTTGCGTGATTTCTGGGGAGGAATAGCTGAGAGGAGACATGTCGACCGGGACAGACAATGCCGAAGGGCGTACGAATGACTTTTGACCAAGAGTTGTGTGATAGTTGGCAAATACCTGCGTTCCTTATGAGCTCCTGTCCATAGCAGCCAGAATCATACTTGCCGGGAAATTGATGTCTCTATGCTCTGCAAGGTCCCTGCAGCCACCTCGAATCAGAACGCCTTGGACGCCTTTGACTTTGGCTGCGGTAGACATGAGGCCGCCCCAACAACCCGCATTTCGAACTGTGAGATCCAAACGTCAGGCGCGATCTTTCAAGTCGAAGCTTTGTCGGTGATATCGTCCATGCATAGGAAAGAATGAACATACTGAAGGGGGCAGAGATGACCATGACACTCCCATTGGGACATGCATCAACCTGTAAACAGTGAGTTATCGATCGTCAGCACCGACTCCAGGCCCCGCTACGTAAACAACAGAAAATAGACTGAGGCGACTACTGCGCGTCTGCGCTCTGCGGAAAATACACTCTTCATTGTCCCCCTTCACAACAACAACAGGGCGTCTACTCACAAAGTGCTCTTTGGTTTTGGGAGGTTCTTCATCTCTCTTGACATTCTCAGCTACCATCTACAACGACTCCTCATCAGCACTGACCCAATCTTGTTCGCGCACGCGGCACGCCGACCCGACCCTCGCCCTTACCTGAACAGTGAACGCTGGTCCAACGACTTTCAGACTCTCTGTCTGCCGTGGGGAGAAGATGTGAAGGTCGGGAATGAAGCCGCCGGTGGTCAAGCCGAGCTTGATGAGGGCATCTGAAATCTACGGACAGTTGAGCGCAAGAGCAAGGGGGCTGGGATGGCTGAGACGCACCTCGCAAGTGGACAGCTTTCTGAGAGCGTTGAGTGTCTTTTGCGTCGCCATAGCGGGGTGATCAGTGAAGCTGGTGATTTGTGTAAGTTGTCAATATGTAAACTTGGAACCGTTGTATCTGATAACGATTACAGTCGTTGACCCAAGGAGGCGTCATCTTCGGCAATCCCCAACCGGCAAGAAGCCGAAACTCAAATCCGACTATCTCCTTCGACTTTTGACTTGACATTCGACAATACTTTCAACTCTTGAGGCAAGTGGGCTCGATCCATCAGACTCGCCTGTATCTCAAATTGGCTGGCTGTTGTACACAATCTCAGACTGCATTTAGTGACAATCTACCACAGAGCTCTCGCTCGCGCAAGCTCCAGCAGAGATCTCTTTCCACAAAGACCAAAAAGACAAGAAAAGGTCAGCAAGCAAAGCACGCAAAGGGTATCAAGAAGGGTATATTCGTATCGACCGAAAAAGGTCAAACAAAGATTACAGCGAGTCATGAATGTTTGATTGAATCATGATATCCAATCGTTTAATGGTATTTGCTGATAGCGGCGAGGTAAGTCTGGCCGGACTCGCTGTATGAAAGGTTAGCTGATGATATATCTCAAAGTCGGCAGACCTACCTCAGAGCGCCATCCTTCACCATGGCCCACGCATCAGACAAACCATCACCGTTACTACAGATCTAATCAGCGATCAAGCCACATATCTCCTACCGGTACGACTCACGAGTAGGCATAGCCGGCAATCCTGTAATCGTTCTCAAAGATGTCAACGGCAGTCTGGATAAAGGTGTTGATCTCGCTCTGGTCAGTGCAAGGAATGAACGAAGAAGAGTCGTCGACTATACGCTCCGGTCAGTGTCTCTTCCCTCACTATATCACGGACATACCGCAAGCAAATTCAGTGACCCAGATAGGAAGACCGTAAGTGTTCCAGTAGTGGTCCTGTTATTGTCAGCTGATTCGATGCTAGGAAGGCATTTATGGACTCACAATATCAGTGTTGATACCGGCGGCACTGTTCTTGTTGACGTGGATGTTCATAATGTCGGGCTTCCTGGTAACAGCGCTCAAGAAGGGGCTGAGCCACCCACTCTCGGCGGCCTGCTTGCACATGGAAGGCCCAACAAGGACAGAGCCCGCGTCACCATGAGGAGCCACAAGAGAGTCCCACAAGGCGATACCTGCGCACGGTCAGTTTTGGTACGGCTTTCGAACAACAATAAACCCACCAGTGGCAACGTCGAATCCGGAACTGCCGGATCCAGCATCACAGTCGGGCTCCTCGAATCCAATGATGTAGCTGGGTGTGCTGGTGATGGCGGAGAAGACGGACAAGCGAGAGGCGTCGGTGGAGTCGGCTGAGAGGAGAGAAGGACGTCAGCATCGTCTAGGCAACTGGGTAACAGCCATCTACCTTTACCGGAACCCCAAATACAAGGGATAGCTACAGCAGATCCACTGTCTCCTGAGGGATTGGCAGACCAGTCGTACCACCATCCAATGTGGTCTTTGACCTACAGTCTACGGGTCAGCTCTCCTCGCTTTTCCGCCACACGCTATCACCTACCCAAGGCAAGGCATCGCCGGCACTGAGACCGGCCTTGTTCCCGTTAGGGGTCAAGTTGGCATAGCTGACCACACTCGAGCCGGTGCTGGAGGAGGCAGAGGATGTAGAGGTAGCAGCGGCCGAAGTTGTGCTCGGGGCGGCAGCAACAGAGGAAGAAGTCGAAGTAGCGTCGTCGACCCAAACTTGCTGGTTGACGATGGTAGAAGACTGGGCATCCGTAGAGCTCGCCTGGGTGCTAGCAGGAGTCTCAACAGCCTCGCTCGAAGCTGGGGTGCTAGACACATCGGCCGTGCTCACAGCAGAACTGATGACCTCGGTAGAGGAAACAACAGTGCTCGAGGCCGAGAGCGTACTGCTGACGCCGGTAGGGGTGTAGCTTTCGCCCCTCTTTCGGCATTTTGTCCCATCAGCCGCTCTCTTGGCCAAGTTGGCCATGTCTTTACCGTCCCTCTTCCTGGCCATCTTCTCCTCAATGCTACCGGAAGCCGCCCTCTTCACAACAGAGTCGGAGGCTTGCCCGAGAGCAAAGGATGCGGCACGCGCATGGTTGAGACGACGGTGGGGGCTACGAGCGTCGAGGGGAGAGCTGTGGCTGGCGAGAGCAAGCGTGGGGAGGACGAGGAAGAGAGGAAGGAGGTTGATGGCCACCATGATGGGTGTTGTTGTGAGTGATTTGACGGGGATTTGTAATGAGCGTGGTGGTGGAAAGAGTGTGTGTTACTGGGCAGGTATAGTCAGAGGATTATAAAGGGGGCAAGAATGCAGCGAATGGCAGCAACAGGGAGATGAGAAGAGGAGGTGACAGAGATACGGACGTTTGAGGGAGACAAGACGAAACGGCCAAGGGTGCACGGATACTCGGATCTCGTTGTCGATTGCAGAAGGCCGCCTTTGACGCTGCCTGGTGCTCTGATGGAGAGGCGAAGAGGGATGGATGTAAGAATATACTCGACAGGATGCATGAGAAGAAGGACAACAGATTCGCCAGCAGCCGGGGCGACCCACCATTCGTCCTTGTTGCCCTGTTCGGGCGAATGTCGAATTTTTCGCCAAGCTTTAGATCTGGCTGGTCCTGCTGATGCACACCCACCGTCCTGCCCAGCATCCATGCTAATGTTTGGTCCCTGCCACTGTACCCCGGCGGCCCTCGCGACGCGGCCCCAGTGCATGCATGGGACACGCCGCACAGCCTGATCGGACCAAGCAAGGGGGGCCCGAAGAGGACAATGCTTTGATGTTTGGTTCAAAGCCAGACGCGTCAGGGAGCAGCATCAGGGCACAAACGCCCAGGTACGCGTTGTGATGTTCCCCTGTGCCCTATAATCCCGGGGTATTCTGTGGCATTCACAATCCCACAACCATGCATTTTACTTTGGACAACTTTATGAGACTACTACTGATACACAAGCTACTTGTACCCAAAGTAGACACCGCCGACACCACTTCCCTCTTCCGCCAAAGCCTCGTTCAGCACCTTGGCCAGTCGCAAACCCGCCATGGCCAGCAATCTCTCCACAATCTTCTGCCTCCCAATCTCTCCCAGATACTCATCCGTGTCGAGCTCAATCAACGCTTGTCCAGGCTCATCTGTAAAAGCAGCAGGCCACACAATGTCGCAGTTGAGCTGATGGATGCCAGATGTCCAGTGGAACGGGCAGGCAGGGAAAGACATGTTGACGCCCTTGGCCTTGAGGACCTTGGGAGTTAAGGCAAGCGCCTGGTCTTCGAATCCTTCAGTCTCTTTCAGAGGAAGACCATAATACAAGTCGGCCAGAGCGGCGAGTCGTCCCGGTATGAGCGACAAGGCCAAGGAGGACACTGAGCGGAAGTTGTCCTTGAGGAAGGTAGAGGCAGATGGTGGGACGGCGGCTTGGGAGGAGTGGGGGAAGGGGTCGCCGTCAGAGGGACACGAGAGCCATTCTTCGAGGTCATCACGCCACCACTGACGGATACCTTCCCAAACGATCCAACGGATATAGGGGTCGAAAATGGCGCCAGGCAGAGCGGATTCGATTTGTTTCCTGCACAACGTCAGAGCCTACAGCCTTTAACAAAGGGACTTACGAAGGCAGTGGAGAAGTATAGTTGGATAGTTCGCGAATATTCTTGGTGATTATACCGCCGTCCCATACCGAATGCAGATTCCTGTGTCTCCCTTCAAACAAGAACATTGCTGCACTTCTATGAGCCCCGCCCACGCAAAGCATTGCCGCTACTCACCTCCATTCCCACCCTTTAGTCTTCCCGCCAGGTGCAGAGGCTGATGAGCGTCTCCGATAAAGTGCACCAAGAACCTCAACGGAATGTCCACATCACGTCCACCCTTTCCATCTGTGATTGCGCGCGTGAAGTTCTGGATGGCGGTGACAACATTGACATCTTCATTCACCCAGCCATGCTCTCCAAATTCACAATGATCTTGGGGGTGGTCTCCCTTGCCTACAACACTATCAGCGAGGCTGGCCAACCAAGTCAATAGAGACGACCCACCATTGATGTAGTGCATCGGGGCAGTACCCCGGTATCTGTTCCGTATCTGGTCTGCCCACGCAGCAATCGGCGCAAGATGGCAGTTGGCTTCCGGTGGAAGGATCCTGCAGAGCTTCTCCTTTGTGGACGGGTGCAGGTGAATCTGTGCAATAGTGGCCACCATTTCATGGCCTGACACGTGCCAGAGAGCTGATAAGCGACGCAACAAGCAGTGTATAGCAGACGAGCTTACCTGCGGCTCCCCATGAAAGGGCAGTAGGGAGGGCAGTGGCAGCTGCGAGTGCTAGAGAGAGCAGCTTCATGTTGGCAGATGGGATGCGTTGAATGCAGTTGAATATGACTTCAATATGACTTCGCCGAAGGCCACTGCAGCCGATGACGTTGACCAAGTGATAAGAGCGGGATCAAATTAATCCCACATCATCCGCTTTTTCTCGTCCTCGCCGTCGAGGAGCAGACAGCATTACGCTTGCATGAAAAGTGCGCTCTATATAAGACTTCATACCCACCATGCCCCTTTCAGACGAGACCAAGGACCGATACAACGCCGTTCTCGGGTAAGTCATGTTTGAATCATTTCTGCCGTTCTTACTGACGACCCGTCTCAGCATCGCCAAGGTCAGCGCCGTCACGGATCCCACGGAATAACCACTCACATACTTTGTAGACTGTCTTCAGCGTCGGTTGGATCCCCTTCATCATCTACGTCGGCTACAAGAACTCTACCCCCCAGCCTTCCCTCATCAAGTTGGTCAAGATCAATGTCTCATGTCAAACTCAAGCTGACCTTTCTCTCAGGCTCATCACCCCATTAGCGTAAACTGCCCAATTAATCTTTGAGATAGTACAGTGGAAGGAAAGATCGAGGACTGGTATCTGTAGAACATGTGAGTGGATGGTGGATGATGCGGAGAGTTGGGCTGACCGATTATGCAGATGTATCAACACCTCCCTTCTCATGCATTACGATGAAAGCTTCTGGAACGATTCCTCCTTCACATCATCTCATTTGTCTTCAGTGAACAGATCGCTACGCCCGCGTCTTCATGCGCCGACCAAGCCAGTGAGGATGCAACCAACTCGAGGATTTGCGTCCGTTCATCGCGACGCCAGCACTTACCCATGTGCTGCGGCATCTCGGGCAAGGATGGTGCTGTAAGAGGCCAGGCTGAGCTGGCTTGGTTCGTACTACACAAGGGCGTGGCGAGCGATCATCTTCTTGTTGTTTGCTGGGTCGCAAGCTGAACGTTGCAGGTGCTCATGTCGTGGAGTCGGAGGCACCAAGGATACAAGGCGTCTCATGTCTTCTGAAAGGCCATTACTCTGCCATAAAAGACAGCAAACAAATACTATCGATGCACAATTTTGCATAGGCATCACCCTGCAACCCACTATATGAAGTGTACAAACATCATCAGACCAGGATCAAAGCCAGACAGCGTTAGCGAGTCTACTGCTTGGCCGGGCAGCTGGCGCAGCCGCACTCTCCAGGGGGACAAGAGCAGGCGACTCCAACGCCATCACAGCTATCTAAGGCGTCAGCATATCGACTTTGATTTTCCACCAACAAAAGCTCCCTCACCCCTCGCCCAAAACGCCCACGACGCCCGATCCTCAGCTGCCCCCAACGTTGGAAAACAGAAATTGACTCACCCGCAAGTAGTAGGCTTGCTGACAGGGGCCTCCTTGGCCTGAGCAGGGCAGCTAGCGCAGCCGCACTGGCCGGGAGCACAAGTGCAGGCAGCACCTTCGCCGCCGCAACCACAAGTCTGAGCCTTCACCTCCTTCTCACCACAGTTGGCACAGGCGCATTGGCCAGGGGGACAAGTGCAGGCAGCACCGGAACCACCACAGCTGCAGGTCTGAGCGGGCTTTTCACAGTTGGCACAAGCACATTGGCCGGGTGCGCAAGTGCAGGCAGCACCAGAGCCGTTACAGCCGCAGGTCTGGGTCTTCTCCTTCTTCTCTTCGCCACAGCTAGAATAACATGGTCAGCTAGACCAACAAGATGATGGAAAGGCATGACGCACTTGCAAGCACCGGAAGCCTCGGTCTTGCTGGACTTGGGGCAAGACTCGCATTGGCAGTTGCCAGGGGGGCAGGAGCACTTGGACTGGGTCTCGGCGGTACTGAATCGTTTGTCAGTCATAGAGTATGACGTTAAAGGGGCATGAGTACTCACCCACAGCAGTTGGGGGTTTGTTGAGAAGAGCAGCCGCAACTGTCAAGCATCAGCTCCAATCGCAAGTCTCAGTATAACGGCAGCTGAGATACTGTACTCACGACATGTTGTTGAGTTGATTTGTTCCGAAAAAGGTTGAGAGCAGGTAGCAAGGGCGAGGTGGTGTGGAACTTTTTTCTGACTTGGGCGGTGGTATATATATGTCGCCAAAAGATGTTCTGGAGTATTCTGAAACAGGATTGTTGCGGCAATTCAGCTCTGTGCTTGGCTCGGATCTCTACGTAGCCCTGGGCCTGGTGACGCCCAATCGGCATTCGAGATAACCAGCAGATATGACAAACGCGGAACCAAAAAGTTGAAATTAACAGCACAAGTCGCTCAACCTTGCGCGTAAAGCGCGCACAAGGCACGGTCAACAGCCAAAACAACGCACAATAGCCCAGCCATAAAGTGGCTGTGGCAGCAGAGTCTGATGCGAGCAATACCATGAGTCCATGACATGTACATACACACCCAAACTCCCCTGCTGACGTCCACGGGACCAAAGATATTGGCCGCGTCCCGCTGACGTCCGATTGGAGGTGGAGGACGTCTGGCTCGACACACGCCCTTCCCACCCCCCCACTTCCCCCCGGGGGAAGGGCTTGCGCCGAGCCAGGGCCGAGTGCCGGCAGTTGGCCGGCAGCGAGCACTGGGCGGGAGGAAAGGACAGAATGATACCACCTGCATGCATAACAAATCCACCCATGCGCCCTCCGCACGATGTACGCTCTGCCAACCGTCACCCAACCCCAACCCAGCCCTTACGTCTGCCCCGCCGCCTTCTTCGTCATGATGCGAGCTCGCTTCCCATTTTGCCCCACGATCTCGCGTGCACTCCTGCCCTCCTCAGTCTCCTTCTCCACTGCATCAAACTTGCTTACAGTCGGAGCAACCTTCCTCTTCTTTGGGACAGTGAGACTAAGGAGTTCCACCTCATCGCCTTTCACCTTGAACTTGGTGGGCATGATCAGCTGGGGGTGTTCAAGGTCATAGTGGCAGCGCATGTTGTACTTCCACATCACCTTGCCACATCCCTCGACCGGGCAGTGATAGGGGTGATTGGTGAATTCTGCCAATTCCTCGGCGTTCTTCCCGTGGTACGCAAAGAAGCGTTTGCACTGAGACGATGGTTAACCGTATTTCGAGTTTTTGTTATAGACAAGGTCGATGTTGCAGATGCCAGATTGGCCACAGAACCCGCAAGGATAACCCTGGGGGTCGACCTGATGATCCACCAACACGTTAGTTCCCAGGTTAAACAGCATTACGTGTGAAGGATGTGCTGGTCTTACCGGAGTGCCCCTCTTATCCAGATTCTCCTTCTGCCTAAGCATTGCGGCCATGATGTGTTTGCCCACATGTCTCCGCAAACCGGGGAGTAGGATGTGCTGACGGCACTGTTTGAACATAGATCAGTATCTTTCCGTGAGCTATTATGCAAGTATACAATATGCTACTACACACCTGTAAACATTCCGTCGACCACGTCTCCATCAGTCCCACAGCCGCATCCTCGCTGTTCAACACTTCGTCCCCTACACGCCGTCAAGCTTGTCAGCACATTGCCTGGTGTCTACAGCATATATCGAACAGTCAACTCACCAGCTCGATACGGGAAAAGAGGGCTAGTAAATGCGAACTGCTTGAAGTTCTTCACTTTGCTCGCCTCCACAATGGCTTTGGAGGCCGTAATGATGTCCGGACCATAAGAGGGGCCCACCACAGTACTTTCAAGCTGACAAAAAGTCAGCAACATGTTAATCTAGAATAGTTGTGACTTGCCGCCTTGTAGAATTTGCTCTTCACCCGGCGGTAGTAGCCGCGGATGCATTCAATCAACGCGGTGGGGGCTTGAGACCGCGGAGGCATATCCTGAACCGCCTGGTGGCGCATGATATCCTACACCCATCAGTCAGTGCCTATTACATAGCATTATTAGTGTGACTCACGACGATCAACACCGAAAACTATTTCCCGTCCCAGGAGGAATAGAAGGGGAGGAGAGGGGAAAGCAAGGCAGACTTGGTGATCGAATGAACCTCATTCTGTCATACGGAGTATGAAGAGATATACACTCAGTAATGCTGCTTGCTGAAGTAATCGAGACTCACCTTGATCTCTTTGGTAAGGGGAATGGCGACATGCTTGGTAAGCGCCCGCATCTCCGCTTTCAGCTCCTGGTTCTCTCTTCGCGCGTCCAAAGACTCGAGGATTGAGGACGCCAAAAGCTCTCGAAACGACATCTGCGCCATTATTGAGAATTAGACATCACAAGGACTGCCAAAGCGGATACTTACTTTTGCCAATTGGGCGAGGGTTGCCCGAGATGAAGCATCGAGCTTCAACCTCTTGCCGCTTTGCACCCACTGCATCGCTCCGCAAAATCGTCATCCTCGTCATCGTCTCAGTCGCTGCGAGAACGGAGACGCGATCTTTCAGTCAATGCCGGGGGTGAAGAGGGCATCAGACTCTCAGTGGTGGAGAGCGAAGGATGCATCGCAGGGTCAGACAAGGGGAAGTCATCATCGTTGGTCTCCGGTCGCTGGGCATGGCCACGACGGGGTGACTGGGGGTGAAAGAAGTCAGCAAGGAAGCGCGTCGTGACAGCACAGAGGGCGGCGCGACTGCCGGAGAGGAAGACGTCACCCCGTCGTGGCCACCAGATACAAGTAGCTGCCCAGCGACCGGGGACAAACGATGATGATCTCCCGTCGTCTGACCCTGCGATGCTGCCTTCGCTCCCCGACACCCACAGTATGCTCTCTTCACCCCCCGCGTTCACTGAAAGATCGCGTCTCCGTCTTTGTAGCGACGGGGATCATGACGAGGACGACATTTTTGCGCAGCGTTGGATTCAGAATGGCAAGAGATTGAAGCTGGCGTGGACGTCAAGGGAGTTTCCCGAGGCCAAAGGAACTTGAAAGGAACACTTGATGTTGGTGGTGGATGGTGGTGCCCCGCCGGAGCCCAATTGTCTTACGTAACCTCCAAAGTTTCGACCGTGTTTCTCAAAATTCGCATCTCCTCCTTTTCTTTTCTCCATATGCAAAAACCCATGCCCTGCAAATCAAGTCGCTCTTTCATCCGCCACAGAGCCTCTCACTGTTCAGGGAATGTTTGCTATAGTGAATGTCCAAGTTTGAGGGTCGCCGGTGGGCTTTTACGCCGACCTCCCATAGAGCGGACGTACATCCATCCAAAAATCCCACTCGTGTGTGTTTTTACTCAGCTTTCCGAGGCTGCTGCGATCTATGAAGACCTTTGTCAGATGCCTTACCTCGCAGTACCATTCTTTGCCGATCAATCTTGCTTGCTCCATTGGTGGTCTCCGTCTTAGGAAGCCCTCATTTCGGTCTTCACGTCAGATCCAATCAACAGTTCGAGCCTTCGGCATCCTACCTTTCAATAAACAACAGGTCTTCTGAGAGCTCTACCCCTGATCGGCCTCGAAGTAGTGCTGTTCCGTTGGAACCGGCCACCTCCCTTCATGCTATGACACCCGCATGTCAAGTCGAGCCCGTGGACAAAACTTGCTGGCAGACAGTATCACGCTCCCCACCCCCACTCTTGTCATTCAAACTCCGTTTTCAACATGCCATCATTATCCTGCCGCCTGTTCGGAGCGGAAGGGCTAGTATCGTGCTCGTTATGAACCCAAGTCGGTGGGCGGCTGTGAGAAAGGAGGTGCAGATCATCAACAAGCGCGCCTTCTTGACGAGACTGTATATAATTGTCTTGCACGAGACCAAGGGTGGGGTCGACTGCCTCATCTCTCACGTTCCCCAGTCTGCTCACTGTCCAGCCTGCTCTCAATCCCGGGATTGACACGCGCTTCCTTATAGCTGCTGAAGAGCCTCGTTGTTGCGAGAGGCAAAGTCAAAGTTCACAGGCAGCCTTGCTCGATCGAAGACGACGACGTCAGCCACTCACAAGTCTTCGGAACACATTTTCAGAAATCTTTAAAGGGAAAGAGGTCACGGTTCGGCTCTTTACCTCTTGCACGCATTTGATTGCCTTGCCACCTCACCCAATATCCTAGTCTGGCCCCATAACATTCTTCCAGGTAGCGTTTGCTCGCTCAGGTCACGCACGATTTGAGGCTCTCAACCTTACTTCAAAGACACTTTCCCAGAAAGACTACACACGGTACACTCCTCCACCCCACAGTTCCAGCCGGTGATACTACAAAACAATTCGCCATCATGTATCGTCGTCGCATGGGAATGTCACACCAGGCCCCGGTCTGGGCAGAACTGGCAAAGTTGAAAGCGCAACCTGTTCTGAATCCGCATTTCCGCATGGTTCAGGCATTGTGAGTACCGCTCTGAAGGAGTTTTGTCATTCTCCGGCCATCTCGAGAGCGACTGTTGACAAAGTTGGCCCAGCGTGAATCATCTCAATGGTCTAGCAGAGGTTACGGTACGAGTCGGCAACCTTCCTCGCTGGCTGATAGAGATTCAAGAACTCATCGGGAGGCTACAGGACAGGACCTATGCTCGCATACCGCTGTAAGTCAACCCGCCGGTGCCTGTCGATCCATATCTGATGGGCCGTGGATCGTGATGGGTCGTCCGTCGCGTGTTGCGGCTCTTGAACACGTGCTGATCAGTTTTCTTACGTAGAACGCCAGAGGAAAGAGTTTGTCTACTCACCTTTGTCAGTACCTGGCAGTGCAGGTGTGGCCCGCCTGTAAGTGATAAACCGTTCCAGCCCTTTCCCAGGTCATTATTTCGAGGGTTGCAGGGCTGACTGCATCCATGGGGATGACACAGTACCACATGGAACGGCCAGAGGCACAGCTTGTTTTGATTACTCTATTAGAGTTTGCCCAACGGTAGCATCAAGCTGCATCTCTCGCAACCTGCAATAACTCCCATCGGCATATTCATCAGCATCCGGCCGTCTCTCGCAAATAGACACCCTTCCATTATCATCCGCGTTATACCCGCTCTAAACCCTTATAATCACAACTATTCACTCGTCCACTAAGGATGACCCGACTCCATAGACTCTCCTTCCATTTCCCGAGACCAGGCAGGAAATGCCTAAAAATGTATGATCACCCTTTCCTTTGGACCTCGTGCTCGATCTCTGTGTGTGGTATATATACTACAGGGTGAAGGCGATGATACAGAGTTTCATGAGAGGGTGAGAAAGCTGCCACAACTCTAAAAGCTCGAGACTGGACGCCGCCATGTGCGCGCAAAGGTCGTTGATGACTAACACAGAATGAGGCGTTGGAGGGTCCTGACGTTGAGATCAAAAACTGTATCATATACCATGCAAAATGCTGTTTCTATATCTGCTGACATCCCCCGGGCTCGAGCTCTGAACTGTACGAAAGTATGATCCGGCCTGGGACATCCCTCAAAATCAACGTCCCTGGATTTTGATCAGCCTCCGATGGCCGAGGAGCTGGTGATGCGATTAGAGCATTGCACCCAACCTACGAAAGACAATGGTGCATCAGTCACGATTCCTCTTCTTCATTTTGTACCGGAAAGGGTGGATGAGGGGAACGAGGTGTATACAAGGCCGATAAGAACGGCCGATAACGTTGCGACGGTCGCGCCGCCGACTAGTGAAGAAGTAGACCAGCTGCCTTCGTTGGTCGTGCGGCGCTGCTTCCTACGGTACTTTTTCGGCTTGGGCGTCGAGGATGACCGTGCTGGTGTGGGGAAAGAGGAAGAAGATGAAGAAGATACTAACCCCATCTGCTTCAAACTGGAGATATGTCAGTGATGGACTCGCCGAGCAGACACAAAAGACCTACGCCTGAATATAGAAAGTGTTGAGCGCCTTTTCGACGTCGGATTCAGTGCCAGCAGGGACGCCGTCGAGAGTGAATGTGGCTTTTTCTGGTGTTAGAGCCTGTCGTATTCGGCATGAAGTACATACCGGAGGTGGTGCTAGAGCCTTGGTTCAAAGACAATGTCATGGTACCAAAATGATCTGCGATCAATGAGCTGGCTGAGAGACTACTCGTCAAGGGAAAACGTACCAGTTGGCCAGGCAGGGTGTCGCACTTGCCAAGATTGCACCAACTTCTTGGGCGCGTCGATCGAGATAACCTTGCCTCTGACGTTACCGTTGAACAACTCGTACTCTCCTTCGGGCTTCAACGGAAGCTGGCAGACCCATCAGCCCTCGTGCAATCCTTACTCTGCAGAGAGAAGACGACTCACTTTGGCAGCAGACCTGGACCACATGGGAATTTTGTTCTCGTCAGTCAACAAACCCCAGAGATCGTCGGCGCTCGCCTGGAGATCAGCCTTGACCTCTACCGCCACCGTCTTTCCAACTGAAGACTTGTCCTTCTTAGCAGCCGTCTCTTCCTTGACGGGAGGAGCAGAGGACTGCTTTGAGCCAGAAGCAACGGGGGCGGGAGCAGAAGTAGGAACAGGGGTGGAAGACTTGGAAGGAGCTGGGGAAGCAGAGTCGGACGGGTTACCGTGGGCAGCGACAAGAGCGGGGCGGAAGGAGTTGAACTTCTCAGAGAGGATGGCGGGGAAGCTCTTGCGAACGAACGCCAAAAGCTCCTGAGATGAAGCATTGGTGTTTCCAGTAACCTTGAACTCGTACTACACACGTATAAGCGGAAGGGCGATCAATGGGACAATGGGACTTACGACATAATCTGAGACGCCGTCAATGGCCTCGTGAGATACCTCGGGAACTCGGAGAGTGCCTGCAATCTCGGACCCATCTTTAGCCACTCCGTTCCAGCTTGCTTCTACTTCGAGGTCATAGATAGTCAAAAGTCTATCATTACATCATCAGCAAGAGGGGCGCCTCTCCCAAGTCGGCCAGGCTCACTTTCCCTTGCGCTGACCAAGATCACAATCTCCAGTGACGCTGGAGACCTTTTCGATCTCGGCAGTTTGCTGGCCGTCTTCTATCTTGAGGCCTGGAAGAGCGTTCTTGATCCAGTCGTAGGCGAAGGGGGCACAGTTCTTGTTCTGAAGTGGAGGCCGTCAGCGCCGAAGCCACGTAGATGCGATTGGTGACTGCTCACCCTCCAATGGTAGGTCTGCTGGTAGGCAGAGAGTTCCTTGGGTTCGACGTTGGTGATGATGTCGTTCATGGTGGGCGGGAGACTTTGCGGGTGACTTGAGAATGTGAGGACGCAATCAGTTAGGTCAGTTGTAGGGGCGTTTCCAGAAAGATCCCCTGCCGACCACGTGGCCCACGGCGATGTCCGCCTGTTTGTCTTGGCTGCTGCGCTCGTCGGCCCTCCGGAGGGTCAATGCAAAGCAATTTTCTGGACTGCTCGGTAGTGCCAGTCTCGAGTGTTAAATGCGCAGAGGTCTTTCAGCCACCCGCCATACACGATGCCCAGGTGGCTAAAGTCGCTCTCCAGCCTCGTCAGACGCGAACCCCCGGAGAATCCACTCAGCCCTTTTATCAAGCGCACAGTTCCTGGCAAGCCTCCTTTTGGGCTGCCAGAGGGACATCCCAACGTCGAGGCTTTCTATGATGATCACAAAGGCTACTACTTCAGGACATTTAGGACGGGAAAAGATTCGGACCCGAGAGTCTCGGTGGGTTGAGTTGCTTGCGTCACCAAGGGCTTTGCTAACGTCTTGGCGGCAGACGACTCGTATAGATATGGTTAAGGCCTGGGGTTACGCGACATATGTCGTGACTTTCTTCTGTGGGCTGATAGATGCTATGGAGAACGCGGAAGAGAAGATATACGAAGCTGAATTGAAGGAGGCTTGGAAGATTGTCGACTTGGTAAGTGGTCTGTCATACTGAGGCTGTCGGTACGCTGACGCTGGGATCGTAGTATCGTAGCTACCAGAGTGCGTGACGAGATGCTCGGAGACGATGTGTCTAACATGATCTATAGGCGAGCTCAGCTATACAATGGACGCGTTCCTCGACTTGGAATTAGGCCACGCTCTTCCTGAACGAACCTGGGCCCCAATCCCAGGTCCAGTCGATTACGACAGAATCCTCGAGGTTGAAGAATCGATTTTTCGCCCAACACAGCACAACAAAGGTCGCGATGTACCTCTCATCACTCCTCTCTTCATCTTCCTCACTCTACATATCCTCGGTTTGCAAGAAGAAGGATTTCCGCCCAAGTGGTTGTCGCTGTGGGATAGATTCAAGCCGGACAAGAAATTCTGCTATTCATTTCCCAATGATAAGCCGTTGAAACAGAAAGAGATTGCTATCAAGGACAAGGGTGGAGCGGTTTGGGTGCGAAGGTAAGTGGCAGCCTGTTCGAATGTGTGTGATGAAATTGACGTCCATGTAGTAGATCAAGCTCGGTGTACAAATAGATGGTGTACGTATGATATGAAGTCTCTTGACCAATGATTGAACCGCGCATTCACGACATATATGCCTCTACATCGGAACGATGTTCGATCCGATAGGGGCCTTGTCAGCTGGCCCCGCAAGTGTAGCATCGTCTGAGGTCCAGCCACCGTCTGATACAGCGGCAGCCACGAGTTGTGCCACAAGCTTTGAGTGCTCCTGGGCTACAGACCGCTATCAGCTTGGTCGGTTACTTCTGTGAGCCAAAACTTACTGAGGCAGAAAGCATGTGGAACCTGTTCGAGCATTTTTACCCTGCCACCTTCTGTCCCTCCTAGACAGTCTTGTACCAGAGGCCCATCTCTACCCACCCAACTATCTCCTTTTCCCGCCGCCCAGACTCCGAACAAACCCTTCTCAGAGCGTCCTAGATCCAGTCCTTGCGATTTGAACCATATCAAATCAAGTTCTTTGATTTCTTCCATTTCGTCGGAAGCTAGAGCCAGAACATCTTGTATGACCGGTGGAGACAGGAGGAAGGAGCGGCTGGTCGGTGGGAGGGGCATGAAGGAAATCAGAGGGCGCAAAAGTGGAGATACCAGGGGGAGTAGAGGTTTTATGGGGCGGTGAAAAATAGGCTACGAGTTTGGATGAGAATGGAAAGCAATGGGATGGTGTCGCATTGACGTACCCAAAGCATCCACCCATTCCAAGTGTCTGCGATCCAACCCAGAGTAGGGAAAAGAATGATTCCAGAGTCGATCACTCTTTCGTGTCTGAAGTTGACCCTTTTCATCACCTCGCAAGCCATATACGCCCCCACAGAGTGTCCCACCAAGGAGATCTCTGATTTTGAGCATTCTCTCTCTCTAGCCCAACCTGCCAAGTAAGCCTTGACGGACTGGACGAGCTCTACTTTGCTGTCGATTTGCTGTTTCAAGGTAAGTGGGATTGTGGGCCCGGGGACCGATAGGGAATGTCCTATGTATGATGTTGCAAGGATAGCGTGATTCGACGGCAGGAGAGAGTGGAGGTGTTTGAGGAAGGGTGGGTAGTAGTCGAGGAGACCCGGATTGCCTGATCATTATGTCATTAGCGTTCTCTTCCCGACGGTCTCTCCGCTTTTACCTGGGAGAAAGATGATGATCTTTTTGGGAGGCTCAAATCCACCAGCTTTGGCAGGCCAATATCTCAGCTCAATTTCGCATCTGGCGCCAGGCGTTTCATTCTCAAATGAGTACGTCTGTGGTGACGGCGGTGCTTCTGCTTGCCGTAGAAAAGCTAATCTCGAGTCCATCTTGCGTGATATGAGGGCGAATGTTCTCGTGAAAATGATGGGCGAGAGCCAGCGGCTGCTTGATCCTGATATGTTATTTGGAGATTGAAAATGAACATGGCTAGATGCACTGACATCAATGGCGGAATCAGAAAAGAACGACGCGTCCGTCGTGCGCGTCCGAGTGTGACCGGACATTACCAAAAAAACGCGTCAGCTGTAATGTGTGCATCTCTTTCCTTCCCCTTTACAGCCAACACCCGCGACACCCTGGACGATGGGCGAGCAACCCTCACCTGAAGCCCCCCCAAAGACATCCTCCCCTGGCCTCTTCTTTCCTCCCTCCGACTCTGAAGGCGAAGACTCGAGCTACACCCCGGCACGAGCGACTGTCGCCCCCAAAGCTGCCAGATCCTCCGAAAAATCCACGAACACTCGACCTAAGCCCATCAAACGTGGCTCCAGCTCTCAAATTCAGTCAGACGTTGTGGAAATCAGCGACGATGACGATGATATTGCCATCGTGAAGGCGCCATCATCGAGCAGCGGGGCCGCGTCCCGCAAGAGAAGTCGACGAGGATCACAATCTCGAGACCAGAACCATGTGCCAACTGCCGTGATCCCCTCGGGGTTCAAGAGCGGCTTTCTCGGAGAGTTTGTGTGCGAAGGATGGTCTCTGTCCAAGGGTCGAGGATACTGTTCTTCTGGCACCAAAATCATTATTGAGCGCAACAAACCCAAAGATTCCGACGCCGCCGAGTCAAGCAAGAAACCCAAAGGTGGGGAAACGGATACCGGGCGTGTGAGACTGGTGGGCGGGAAGGTTGTGGGCGGAAAAGCCAAGCCGAAGCAAACCACTCTGGCGTCGACTATGAATAAGAAGGCTGGCTTGCCTAATCGCGCCAAAGCTGCTACCGATCAGATAATTCGCTTCAGAAACGAGCGGGGGTTTGAAGGTAGGTGGTACATTGTACAGTCGGTCGCGCAAAGCTAACCCAGACATTCAAAGTCGGTCGCCTATCAGTGACCGAAGCCAACTTCCTCACCCACCTCCTCGATACCGGCATCATCAAACTCGGCGGCCATGTGATCGACTGCCCAGAGGTGCTCACCACTGGCTGCACCATCTTGCTCAACATAAAAGTCCATCTGACCCGGAAAGCTTTCCAAAATTTCAATAAATACGAAAGGACGGAACAGGGCACATTTTGGAAGGACCAACAGGAGACCGTTGTGGAGGAGGCTATGCGATTCAGAAAGGATTCCTTGGCAAAGTTATTTGGTCAGTACCTCAATGATGAGCTCCATGCGAAGCTAACTGCTGCTACAGAGAGGATCGGAGTCAAACCTATACAGACCAACGCCCTGTCTAGAGTGCCCCAAATAAACGGCGGCGGTGTCTCTGATGAGCCCAAAGCGAAGAAAGTGAAGGCTATCTCTGACGCCAAGGACATCAGCAAGGGTCGGGAACGAGATACTGGCGAAGACAGCGGAGATGAGGCGGAAGTGTTGAATGACAAGCAATTAAACGAGATCGATAACATCTATCGCAAGTGAGTCTGAGCCGCATTACCGTTCCCTCGCCTGACGCTCACTCTATTCGCAGAGCTCAACAGGGTGATACTCGGCTTGACGAAATGGACCCACCTGAGACCTTTCTGTATACGCTTCGTCCGTATCAGAAACAAGCTTTGACATGGATGAATGCCAGGGAAAGAGGTGATCAGAGTGTTCGGGAAGAAAGCCTTCATCCACTTTGGGAAGAGTCAGTCGTTCGCTTCTTTTGCTGAAACCACGACTTACCATATGCCTTAGATATCTTTTTCGAAAGGAGCTTCAGCCTGGAGAGCCCATTGAAATCTCAGACGACGAAGTCGGACCCGATCCGAGTCGCAAGTTTTACTGGAATCCTTACAGCGGTGAATTGGCCCTGCAATTCCCGACTTCGAAGAATCTCTCCCGAGGAGGTATCTTGGCAGACGCTATGGGGATGGGGAAAACCTGTATGATGGCTTCTCTCATACACACCAACCGGGAGACGGAAGACCTCGCGAAGGAGCAAGGCGCTGAGAAGCAAGAGGAAGAGGAGGTTGAGCCCGCCTCCAAAAGGACCAAATTCAAGCAAGTCACGCTGTCCAACCAATGGCGGGCGATACCTTCGGTCTCGAAACCTTCGCCAAGAGCTCGCGCGACCCTTGTCGTGTGCCCCGTGTCGCTCGCGGCACAGTGGCATGAAGAGCTGGGTAAGATGTCGAAGGAAGGCTCCATCAATAGCTTCATGTGGTATGGCAATGATCGGACTGATATAGAGACATTGCTTTCCGGAGAAGGCAAGGATAAAGTGGACGTCATCGTCACGTCGTATGGGACCGTCTCGAGCGAGTACCAACGGTGGGTCAAGATGAAGGACAAGACCAATTACGAGGGTGGTAGCCTCTATGATCGTAGGTCGAATGACCATTCCACCAATGAAAGTCTTGCTGATGACATCCAATCGAAGACGATTTCCTTCGTATCGTCCTTGACGAAGCCCACAACATCAAGAACCGTACCGCAATGGTTTCCAGGGCCTGCTACGAGCTTCAGGGGCAGAGGCGGTGGGCGCTCACCGGTACTCCAATCGTCAACAGACTGGAAGATCTCTACTCGCTACTGTATGTTCTCCGGCTCTACTGTTTGCATGGGTTCTAACTTTCATCAGACATTTCCTTCGCATCACGCCTTGGGGAGAGTACTCGTTCTTTAGGAGCTTTGTCACCGTTCCTTTCTTGAGCCAGGATCCAAAGGCGCTCAACGTCGTCCAGTATATCCTTGAGACTTGCCTGCTTCGTCGTGAAAAGACTATGCGAGATAAGGATGGACGGCTTATCGTTGATCTACCGCCCAAACACGTGAGTGCCTACGTCTGGAACTATCGATGAACGGGGATTGACAAGCCGGCCAGGTTGCAGTCAAAGTCCTCGAGTTTTCTCGGCCCGAGAGGCAGATATACAAATTCCTCGAAGAGCGTGCCAAGAAAAAGATCATCGAACTCGACGCAGATGGTCGTGCTTTGGCAAACTACACGTCCATCTTGGCAATGTTGATGAAGTGAGTCAAGGCTTCCAGTTCGATGATCGGAGCAAAGCTGACCATTAAGACTGCGTCAATGTGTCGATCATCCTCTCTTGGTCCTTGGCAAGTCAGGAGAGGACAGCGAGCTGGCAGAGCAGATCCTTGATTCGAGCTCGGCAGACTTGACTGACAGTCTGAGGAACATGATTGCCGCGTATGCCGGAGGCGCGCGAGCTGAAACTCCAGAAGATGTTGACCAAGCTTATGCGGCTCAGGTGTTGAAGGAGCTGGGTGAACAAGAGGAGACACCGATCTGCGAATTGTGCTCTAACGAGATGTTTGACGAGGTTTTGCTACCTTGTTACCATCGGAGGTGAGTGCCACGTCCCTCTTGAAGTCGCTGTGCTCACCAAGGTCGTAGTTGCCAGGACTGTATAGTTGAGTGGATAGGAACATGCGAGGACCAAGACAAGCCAGCCAACTGCCCTACATGCGACAAGGGCCCGATCAAACTCGCGGACCTCCGCTCAGTACAGCGGCGTCACAAGCGTGTCAATCCCATTACCGGCGCTCATCCTGATGAAGATGGGAAAGCGTCGACTAGTGGTTCGACAGCTATATCGTTGGGGAAAGTGGATCTTGTTGCCAGCACGAAGTTGAAAGCGCTGGCGCGCAGGCTTGCAGAAGTGAGACAGGAAGACCCGACTTACAAGGCCCTTGTCTTTTCCCAATTTACCTCCTTCTTGGGTAAGAGCGACCTGATTTGTGAAGGGTGTTTGAACTGATACCGTGTAGACTTGATCGAGACTACCCTCACAAAACAAGGTGTCAAATGGCTGTGAGTCTTGTCCGTCCTGGCAATTGTCGCCCGCTTGCTTACAGTGCCATAGACGGTTTGACGGTAGCATGAGTCAAGCACAACGAGCTGGGACTGTCACGGAATTCGGCAAGAAGAGCGCCGAGCCTGTTGTCATGCTCATCTCTCTGAAGGCCGGAGGTGTGGGACTCAACCTGACAATGGCTAACCGTATGTCGTATCCATCTTGCCAAACGGATCCGCTAATGACTTGAACAGATGTATTCATGATGGACACGTGGTGGAACGAGGCGACCGAGCAACAAGCCGTCGACCGCTGTCATCGACTAGGCCAGACAAAGCCAGTCTATGTTACGAGGTATATTATCAAAGGCACGGTTGAAAAGCGCATCATGAAGATTCGTAAGTCCATTGCTGGCTGTATCCTCATGTGCTGACAGGCTCGCTCAGAACGATCCAAAACGGCATTGGTCAATGCCTCTCTCCGTGGGGACGCTGCCAAAAGCAAAGAAACTTCGTTGGCCGATATCAAGAAGATATTCGGTCTCCTGGACGGCGAAGAAGACAGCGAAGAGGAGATATACTAGCACGGGGTCGCGGAAGACGCCTGAATCACGGATGTGTATCAATGTTACATGTATCATCTATGTATCGTATATACACAACTCTCTCAGACTCTTAAGGTTATCTGATGGAGCCTGGTGACTAGAGCAAGCAGCGCAACATTCTCGGAGCCGGCATTGTAGGTCACAGCGTCAAGGTGGAGCTGAACAGAAGATTACAGAAGATTAGCGGGTGCGGGCGTGAGGGACGGATGACTGACCTTGGCGTGGTGGTTGAAATTGATCTCGAATCTCGCGAGGGCCGACCATCGCGAGTCGCTCTTGACCGAATCAGACTCTGCCACTGGATCTGCAAGGAACTTGGTGAGGGCGCTGTTCAATGATGTCTGATAAGAGACAAAGACGGAAATCGTCGTCATGAGTTTCGCGTATATCTACACATCATCAGCTTTTGCTTTCGCGCCGTGTCGCGACTTACCCCGAGCAATTTGGATGTAGTCAACATGCACTGCTTGAGACACGTATCTAAAAAGTCCACATGGTCCCTCAACAGTTGATCCACTGTCTGCACTTTCGCCAGCTTCTCTTCCAACGCTTTCCAATTGGGGTCGAGCACCTCGCCCGTCGCAAATGCGAGCACTTGTCGGACAAAGGCAGCCATCCTTGTGCGGAGGGAGAAGATTCGCATCTTCCATCTTTCGATATCATCATTTCCAGAGTTATTCCGCCATGCCGGGGCCTTGTGTTCCAGCCACATGGCAGACAGTGACGATTCGAGGTGATGGAGATGGAGAAGGAAACGGAAGATGAGTTGGTATCGCGCGATGGTCTTTCGCGAGATGACGAGGGACAGAGGGAATTTGACCGAGTAATCAAACGCGAGCGCATCGATCGCTACGCACGTCAGCTTCAGTAACATGGGACAGTGTAAGACTCACCGATCAGCGGTCTCTTCTCGTCTCTCTTGCTGCCAGCCTCGTCATTGTCTCCCATAGCAAAGTCCAACTCTCCACCATCTCCCAAACTCCCTGTCTTGCTGACAATCTTCAAGAGCCAGTCATACAGTCCTTGAGACTGCATCACGACTTTGAGATCATCCTTGTAAGGATCGTTCGAGCTTGAACTAGCAGGATTGCGGACCGCAAGGTCCAAAAGGGATTGAAGCTTGACGATGGAGGCGCTCTTGGCTGGCTTGCGGAGTTCTGATCCGGCCAAGTCGAGAAAGTTGGTAAGAAAGTCGGATTGGTTGAGGAAAAAGAAGTGCTTCATAGATCTAGTGGAGATATCAGCAATGTCAACCCGCTGTTGACAAGCGCACTGACCTGAGATGTGGTATGAGCTCCTGTTCATCCACCATCAGCTTCAGTAGTGTCTTGTTGGCGTAGATGTAAGCATCTTCGATCTGCTTGTAGAACCTGTAGTGAATCAGCACCAAGTCCCTCGTCGTGGGATGATGGCCTTACTTGGGGTCGTTCATAGCAATCATTCCCTGCTCTTCCAAACGGACCTCCCCGGGCTTCTTCACTTCAATCCCACATTCCCGTATCACATTAAGATACTTGCCCGCAAGGAGGATTTTGTGCTTCCAAGGCTGCAGAAAGGCAGGAATGCAAGCACCACCTGGTAGTCGACCTGTACCCTGACGAGGTGGGGGCGCTGCAGCGGAGAAGGAAGGGGTGGCTTTGCCAGTGCTGATTTTGCCGGAACCGATCGAAGACCCATCACGAAGCTGAAGCGTCCAGTCAGCCCCAAACTATATGCTGATGACTCTGACTGACCGTGTATCTCCTTTCCCAGTACTCATCGGTATAGTCACTCTCCAGTACACCCTTGGTAATGTACCCGCTCTCCTTCACCATGAATTCGTCAAAAGGATCCGAAAGATGCCCAGTCGATATCCACTGCACCAGCAGTTTGCAATACGGCTGAGATGCGTGGAGCAACAGGGTCGAGTAGAGCGTAGACGCCGTGGGGTCACCGCTCATAGTCGACTCTTTTTCGCAAATGATACCCAACACCTCGCCCCCGATGACTTCACCCCCGCCCCCAATGAGTCCTTCCTGTGCTTTCAAGTTCTTCATCAATCCCTTCAGACCCGCACCTCCGAGACCAAGTTCGTCCGCCATACCGCCTAGCCCATCATCATCATCCGAGAGATCGCCCGATTCTTGGCCGGTGTCTTGTGTTTCGAGACTTTGGCAAAGTGATGCGAGGAGAGACATTGTGCGCAGCGTTGGGTGGAGATGAAAGTACAGCGTTTGTAGGGTGAAGGTGGGGGAAGAGAGGAATAAGGACTCGAGTTGTGCAGTCAATACATGGTACTCCTGATGACAGTGTGAGGTCGTTCAAAGCATCACGGATTGATACGCACCTTGAGCATTGCCCTGATGCCGCTGCACAAGGCATGGCTAACCATTCCAAACTCCTGAGTGGCTCTATTGGCACGTCAGCTTTTACAACGTTCACTCATACGATGTGTGAGCTCACCTGGACTCCATCGATGTGTCGACCACAGTAAAGAATGAAGCCAGAGGTAACAACCGATTGACTAGAGACACGAGCGAAGGGTCTAAGGATGTGGATCAGTAACAGGAAGTCCGTAAGACGCGATCCACTCACCGAGATCAGGGTGAACTGTCCACTTGGCACCTTGAAGCCTTTGCTCCGCATCCAAGGGATCATACGTCTCGTCGAAACGGATCAGAGTTCCTTCGATTCCCTAATGGCAGGTCAGAATACGAACACTAACCACCATCATTGACCTACCTGCAAGACAAAGAGTAGGTCTTCGCATATCCAAGCTTCTTGCACTTCCAGCGGCACTCCGTCCAAAAGCCGTTCTTCCTCGGCAATGGCCAGATTGCTCATTTGCGTCTCTGATTCGGGGACGGGGTCGGCGACTCTCTGGCGCTCCTTTCCCTTTCCTGATTCCCTCTGTCTTTCTCTTTCTTTTGCTTCATTGGGCGCAGGCAGTGTTGACTGAGACATCCTAGTACTTTGGGCTCGCCCCAATGAGGAAGGATTGTACTCGCGCTCTCGGCCATGCGCACGGCGAACGTCCCGGGTAGATGCTGAAGATGAGGGACGGGCTTGCAGTTGTGGTCTGTCATACTCGGTTTCTCGGGCAGATGACGGGCGAGGATGTCTTTCAGAATGGTTTGTATGTGTCTTTGAGGAGCCTGATCACCCAGACTGTCAGACCATGCTGCTGAGGAAGATGCTTGAACGTACTAGGTCGCGACAGTATCCCACTACCCTCACCCGAATGTTCGAGCTCTTCCAGTATGGAGCCCGGACGAACTTTTCTCACTGAAGCCATGGTTCCCGCAAACTGTAAACCTATCGTCAGCTTTGATGCAGATAGATTCGTGCATGGACAAACCTCTCTGAGCTCCCTGTCGGTGAACGCGAGGCGGCTTGAGCTTGTGCGCTTGCGGGGCTTGGGGGTGAATGGGACAGTGGACGCAGCCGAGGACGGGCGTGGTTCTGGCATCGTGGCGGTGGATTGTGAGTGCAAGAAAGCCATCTTCTCCTTGTTTGTGCAGCAGCTCAGCAGCGAGAACGCGTCGCGCGACACTTACGTAATGTCTCAACGTAGTCCGCTTCCTCCACTTCCTCCCATTCCTGCCATGCATAGGCCGACAGTGCGCGGCAGTCGTTGCCAGGGTGGGGAGCAACATGCATGCACTATATGCACTGCATGGGAAGCCCCCTCTCCGCTCGCTGCCACAGCATCCATCGGTGGGCCGAAAGACCGTATGGTCTCGCTTGTACGAAAGTGGGTGCGCATTTAGCGCTGGCAGTGTGCTCGGACCCCGGCATCCTCTTTAGCTTATTCGTCTTTTGCATCCTCCATCCATTCCTCCTCTCGTCATCCCACCCTCTCCAACCCCTCCCCTTCCCGACCCGACCCGTCTGGCCTCGCCTCTCGTTCACCCAACTCCCAACTCTACTTGTCCATCTCCTATCAACCTTGACCAGCCCTTTCAACCCTGTCCGTGTGATACGCATCGGAATCTCCTGTCATGTCCAAGGTGAGTCTCTTTTCTGTGTTCTTATCAGTCTGAAGTACCTGTGCTCACTCCGATTAGGCTCAATTCCTGCGCGAGTACAAGCTCGTCGTCGTCGGTGGTGGTGGTGAGTCCGTGCGCAATGATCTGGCGATCAATCAGCGGTCAGGCAGGGGGGGGTCAAAAGGCAGCACGTCAAGGACATATCCCATGTTGCTGCTCTCTTCCGACTGGCTCGGAAGTCGCAGTCATGACAGTCCAGCATTCGGCTCTGAATACCTTGCCGGTGTCAATCAGCGTGAAATGCTTCAATGGGCCGCCTGGGCCACCTTGATCGTTCAGATATGGTACCAGTCGTGGTGCTAACACAATTACAAGGTGTCGGAAAGTCTGCACTTACTATCCAGTTCATTCAATCACATGTGAGTCGGCCCTGCAATACGACGAAAGGATTTGAACTGATATAGTCGTGTTCCTAGTTTGTTGATGAGTGTGTATTCTTTCAGCCTTTCGATTTGCATCAGGGTCTAGTGCTGACGTTCTTCTCTTTTCCACAGATACGACCCCACCATTGGTGAGCATACACTGGTATATAATGAACACGGCTGACCTGAATTTGCAGAGGATTCCTACCGTAAACAGTGCATCATCGACGAAGAGGTCGCTCTGCTCGATGTTTTGGACACGGCCGGACAAGAAGAATACGGAGCTATGCGAGAACAGTATATGAGGACTGGTGAGTAGCCCTCATGACTTGTCTCTGTGCATAGGTGCCAACCGTATTTCAGGCGAAGGATTTTTGTTGGTCTACTCTATCACTTCCCGCAGCTCGTTCGAAGAAGTTTCCACATTTCATCAGCAAATCCTGCGAGTAAAAGACAAGGACTACTTTCCAGTAGTGGTGGTCGCCAACAAGTGCGATCTGGAGTATGAAAGACAGGTTCAGCCTCACGGTATGTCTTTGCTCGCATTTGCTTTTCTTAGGGGAGCTGATCATAGGCGGTGCAGAGGGTCGGGACCTGGCCAAGCGATTCAACGCTCAGTGTATCGAGACTTCTGCCAAGCAGAGAGTCAATGTCGACGAGGCTTTCATTGCCGTCGTCCGAGCCATCAGGAGATACCAGAAGGTACATTCTGCAGTGCATTGCACGCTGAAATCATACTGACATCTGCTCTAGGAGTCTGGCCCTCCCCAGGCCTCTGGTGCTCCTTCCAAGGCGCAAAGTGGAGGCGTTGGCGGACGTGCAAATGAGAAGGACGATCATGTGGACAAGGGGTGCTGCGGCGGGTGTGTCGTCCTCTGAGGGAAATGGATGGGCAGTGGAGGCTCTCCTTCTCTCTTTCAAATCTATTATCTGATCATAGTGTTACTATCTAATTGTATACAGCTATTTTACTTGTTAAGGGATTTTGGCAGCATAGAGTCATTAATCGTAGGATGCAATGGGCCTAGACGCGGTCGAAACATTCCCGATTTGTTTGCTATGCACCACAAATGATTGACTCCAGGGCAGGACCGGGGATACCGGGGTCACTGGCCATTTGATCATGCCTGAACTGCATGTAGATCTTGTTGAACCTTTGAAAACAGCCTTGGATAACGGGAGCAAACTCGGTCGCCTCCACTTTGCGCTTGTCGGTATTGTGTTCGCAATCCAAGTCTTGATGATACTGGCAACATCTCCATCTCTGACTTACGACTTTCCAAGTGCACATCGCTCTCAAATACGACCATGTCTCTCTACGGCGGTATCAAATTCACCGCTCCGACAGCGCCCCAGCAACAAGCTGAAGAGCAACCATCAGCATCCTCGACCCCGGCCTCCACCTCCGCCACGAGTGATGAATCACCCAGAACCACAGCCCCTGCTCAACAGGCCAAGACCAAGTCAGCGGTAGAGACTTCGACAGCGCTCAAATTCGCCCCCAGGATCAACAAGAAACCATCCCGTCCGGCTGTCCCTGCTTCGGCGCCGGTGGTGATTCCTCATATTGGGATATCCTCGAAGCCGGATATCGTTCGGGCAGCTGAGCCTGTCTTGACAAGAAGCGAATCATCGGAAAAAGTCAATAATGACAAGGAGGACGAGGTTGTATTGGGCCAAGATGGGGTTCCTCTAGCGCAAGCTCCCTCTATGACTCTGGATCCCAAAGGCCGGACTCAAGCTGGGGGCGGAGATAGGAAGAGGAAGAACAAGAAGGTCGGTCGAGATGGATCGTGGTGAGATTCGGGCGCTGATAGTCAATCCACAGCGGAAGAGTCAACAACAACCCCACTTGCCGACATTTGATCCAGATGAAGAGTACGATCCGGCGCGTCCCAACGACCTTGGAGAGTATCAAGATTATCGCGTCCGTGCCAAAGAAGAACGGCGGAGGCAGTTCATGGAGGCAAAGAAGAGAAAGGCGGACGGGCTGGACAGCGATGAGAGTAGCTATTATTCCGACAGCGATGAGGATTATGGACCGCGGAGAGATGGTGAGTCCTTTTTGCCAGTTCCGAGCTGCTATTGATATGGATCAGCTCCGAAGATGTTTGCTCCGCCCAAGATGTATTCTCCACCCTCTTCCAAAGCCCCTCTAGCACCACCGGAAAGTTCGGCCCCAGTAGCACCACCATCTGCTATTCCGCAATCAGCAGATGAGGCCTATGCCCGTCGAGTTGCCCTGTCGCAGCCCCGAGTTAGCTCGGGCGGCGACGACGGATATGACCAGAGACCTTCTTTCAATCAGCAACTCCCCACTGGCAGCGCAACATCGGGGGATGATGCGTTTGCGAGAAGGGTAGCCATGTCCCAGGGTCTGCCACAGAGCAATATGCCTTCTTTTGTGTCATCTTCCAGCTCTTTGCCCAACAATGCGCCGCCATCAAATCCGCCCAATGTCTTTGTGCCTCCAGCTCCGGCCCCTGCTCCTCCCAAACCTCTAGACCCACAAGCTGTTACTTCCGCCAATGATGGACCAAAGGACCAGAAGGATTTTGAGGCCATGCTTGCCGAAAGAAAGAAGGCTGCCGAAGCTATCGCGGCCAAATTCAAGAATCCGAAAGCATACTCTTGGGCAAACGCTTCGCCTGATGCTTCGTCCTCTGCCAATGTATCCTTGCAAGACGTGTAAGTGTTGTCTTTCTGCATTGTGTGTGCATATCTGACGTGTGACTACTATAGCGAGGGCGGAACATTTGCTGAGAAAAGTATATCAATCAGAGTGCATTTCGACCAGGAGCTGACCCCAATTATCTAGTGATGCGAAAAATGGGCCATGTGGAAGGATCAGGCCTCGGCGCTCGTGGAGAGGGTATCGTCCACGCTCTCACAGCTGAACATGTCGCCCCTCCCACGAATATCAACCAGCCTCTCTCCAAACGCGCCCTTGCAAAGCAAAAAGCCGCCGCGGCCAATACCAAGAATAAGAAATGGGTACAATCCGCTTCGTCTAGAGGAAAAATTGTAAACGCGAATGAGGCGAAGAGAGCTACAGAGGAGAGAGGGCAGAAGGGCGAAGAAGGCAGGGTGATATGTCTGCGGGGCATGGTCGGCAGTGAGGAGGAGATTGATGAAGACCTGGCGGATGAGATTGGCGAAGAGTGTTCGAAGCATGGGCAAGTCTATTAACAACGTCGGGAGTCCTGTCTGACGTGTCTCCAGTATTGTAGAACGTGTGCTGCTACACATGGTGGAACCGCCCCCTCCTGAACCCGAGGAATGCCTTCGAGTGTTTGTGGTGTTCTCTGGGATGGCCGGAGCGTGGAAAGCGCAGAAAGAGTTGGACGGGAGATTCTTTGCAGGTAGAACCATCGTGAGTGCCTCATATCAACGGGGAACTCGGCTGACTAGCAGTGTAGAAGGCGACATACTTTGACGAAGAGAGGTTCAACAGGGGAGAGAGGGATGGTCCTGTGCTGTAGATCAACATCATGTCAACAGCACCTTCACCAATACATTGTGCAACTATGTCTGTATCCTTCTATAATGGTATTGACCTCGACACTGGAGGAAATCTCGAAACATCAAACACACAGGGTATACTGACCGTCATGCTGGGACTATTCAGTGAGGTCTTTAGCCTTTCCCGCTATCACCTACAAGCCTTCTCACCGCTACTGGACTTGGTGTGAACAGAGCCGACGCCTGAAAGCTGCCCAACCTCACAGCATTAATGGCCCAGGCGGACTGCTGGGAATTGGCCATGAACGAGCGATATGCGACCTCTCCCGCTTGTCCTCCTCCCACCGCAGATATCTTGATGGGGACTGACTTGGTGACACCGACACCGCCTTTTCTTGACCTGCCATAAGGCGACGAAGCTGAGTGGACAGCGAAGGGGTCATGAGTAGGGCTTCTCTGTGGGCTCGCAAAGCTGGCGGTAGAGAGTCTATGTTGCTCTGTCTTGACCTTCTTTTTCAGGGCCTCCAACATGAGTGACCTCATCTCGAGATTGTCCTGCCCCACGTCCGCCAAGGAATCAGGCTGCCCTTCCACATGACCGTTTGGGGATTCAAGCTCCAGCAAAAGCGTAACAACAGATTCACAGGCAGCAAGGAAAGAGTCTTTAACGCTTGTGTAATCTCCGTTTCCACGGAGCATTTCAGTATGGGTTCGAAGTTTGATTCCCAGATGTTGCAGGGCGGCAATGACAGGTGCCAGGGTTGCCAGCAATTCCCCAGCCGAGTCTTCCTGGAAACCACCGGCATTTCCGCCAGGACCGCCCTGCCCCTCGCTCCCGACGAGAGTCATGTCAGAATCTGCCGAAGTATTGGAGTCATTCGACCCGCGACGGTGCACCTCATCCATGGCCTCCGTCTTGTACCTGCCCCGATTCCAGCGATTGGCGATATTTGCCCCTTTTGCAGACTTTTTGTTCGACATTTGAGCAAGAGCAGAGGCTAGGCGACCAAGACGGGATGGCTGAGGTTTCTGGACTATTGTACCCACGGAAGAAGCGGGGGAGATGGGAGGCTGTATAGACTTCACAGGGGAGGGGAGTAGGGAGGTGGAGAGGGCTTCGATGTCGATCTTGAGGGCTTTCAGATCATTTCTATCGATAAGGACGTCAGCTCATACTCTGCATAATCGTTGTTCTCGCATATACTCACTTGAGGTTATCTAACAGAGCCTCTTGTTGTATACGAGAATTTTTCATCATGACAGCTATAATGCTGACCTTTGGTGGCAGGAAATCAGGCTGACTCGCCGCCATTATAACGCCCGGTACAATGCCTAGCTTGATGACACCAAGGAAGAGGACACAAAGGATACGGTGCATCCTTTCTGACCGCATATTGCGGTTCCCAGATTGGGAGGCTCAGCTTCCCTATTCTCCTTTACGGGCCAATACCGCATACAACATCCGTTTCACCCGTTTTTCCATGTCTATGAGACTTATGACACTTTTTGCATTAGAGCTGTAATGAGATATAATATATGCCGTCCGAGTTCCCAAGAAGACTTGTAAGGGCGAATCAAGCATCGTCAGTCCAGCCGTCCGCATTTCGAAGGAGCTTGTAGAAGAATCTGGTGGTGTTCAAATGAGCGTTCAGGCTGATGCGCTATGATTCACGTTAGCCATGACTCGCCGCTGGCTGTTTGTGGGATCCACCAACCTCATCGACAGTGTGCTGATGCAGATTCTCAGAGTTGAGAGCAGGCGAGAAGCGGTAGATGTTCTTTGTCACCGGCCACATGTGCTTTGTGTCCGTGTTTGCTGAGGAAACATCAACACAAAGACTAAGCATCTAGAATAGACCCACCAAACATGCCCGAAGGCGCCACAATGGTGTCCTTGCCGAATACGTGCTTACAAGTGCCGGCCATCAGCTCAAAGCTTTTCGAGTCTGCAGACGTAATGGGGGCAGACTCAAAGCCACCTGGAGCATCAAGTGTTATGTGCGAAGACGACGCCTTTTGTGACGAGTCTCCGAATGCAGAGATGGTAAAGTTCAAAGACTCAGCAAGGGGCACGACGATGTCAAGGTAGTGTTGAAGGGTCTCGTTGACAGTGGACGTGAAGGCGATTCGGTGGTTGACAGTTGCTGTTTGTCATGATCAGCGGGCTATGCTCGAATAAAGACCTAGAAAGACTAACCCTGGACAAATTCAGGCAAAGCGTTGACCTTGACACCTCCGTTGATCAGATCAATAGCGAGTGTAGTGGAAAGGAAACTGTTAATGGTCCTGTCGCCAGCAGCAAGCTCATGCGCAAGTTTGTCCCACTTTCTGGGGTTCTTGACTTGGGATTTGAGAGACTTGGGGACGTCAGGAGCAAAGTCGGTGATGCAGGAGAGGTACTTGAGGTATGGCGCCGCAGGGTCGAGAGAAGGTTCAAACGGGTTCCTTTCGAGCTCGGCGAGTATGAGAGCCATGATCCCGACTGCATCATCGAGTCAGTTTATGTATGGTCGATGGGGTAGCACGTACTACCGGTATGAGGAGGAGGTACACTCGAGTGACCACCGAGGGTCTCGACCTTGATGTTGACGTTGACGGACCCTTTCTCAGCCATACCGAGGCTAGCCACAGTTGCTCCGTACTCTTCGGTGACCCCGGTGAATCCTTCGTCTACGAGGAAAGCGATACCATGGTGCCCGTATCTCTCTTGCAGCAATTTAGCCGAAGCGCCAGAACCACGAAGACCGCCAATCTATCGGACATCAGCTTCCCTTCTGCCTGCACACCAACAATCTCACCTCTTCGTCAAATCCATTGGAGATGATGATGGTCCGTTCGGGCTTGTAGCCCTCGCTGACAAGTCTCTCCACGGCGCCATAGATGCCCAAGAGAGAATTCTTGCAGTCACTGGACCCTCGACCCCAGATCCAAGTACCAGGCGAATCCGCGGTGCCATCCGTTGTAATGGACCCTCCAAACGGGGGGTATCTCCACTGGTCCAGAGTCTCGGGGAGGACGGGGACAGTATCAGTATGCGCCATGAGGAGAATAGGCTTCAAGTCAGGGTTGCTACCCTCCCACGTGAAGAGGTGTCCGTGGACATTGACACTTTCGTGCTTCAAGCTTTGGTACAACTTGGGATACTCTGTCTCGATAAAGTGCGCGAATGCAAAGTGCTTGTCGAATTTGGGGTCCGAGGCATTGAGGGGAAGATCGTCGAAAGAGACGGTGTCGATCTGGACGGCCTTGGAGAGTCTCTTGGCGGCGAGTTCGCCGTAGACAGTGTCTGTCAGGGGGTTCCAATCTTCACCCACGTTCAGGGGGGCAGGTTGGGCTGGGCATTTGGCAGCTGCCACCAGGTCGTGATGGGCGTGGCTGCAGCCGGGAAGTGTCAAGAAATGCGAGTTTTGGATGAGGAGGAAGGCGAGGACGCCGACGAGGGGGAGGAGTGCTCTGTATGCCCTGGAGCGGGGAGCAGGCTGGGGCTGGGCAGGAGGCTGAGTGGTGGGGAGGGCCGCCTTTTCGTTGGACATGGTGGTACAGATGCAAGAGAGAGATACCTACCGAGCATCTCAAGTCCTGTGATCGGAGATGGCCGATGGTTAAGCGCGCGGACCGAAATGGCGAAATGACCGAGAAGTCGCCCACGCTGCAGTGATATCACGACTTGTGCCTATCTCCTCTTGCATTGTACTTCATCAGCACCGGAGGTACAACAATGCTTGCCCCACAGCACGGCACTATGCTACCCGACTACGAGAAGCAGGAGCCGCTCCAAGAGCAACAGCGGACACCAGATGCTCCCTCCAACCATCAACGCGCCGCCACAAGACGGGGCTATGTCCTCCTCATAGGTGGATTCGTCTACCTTCTCTGGCGCGCCTTTGGCTCTGCTAGCGGAGACTTTAATGAAAGTGCTCTGATCGAGGTGAACGAGGACCAGTATCTTCGAGGCCTCATGAACAAGGGGGCAGAGTGGGCAGCAGCCGACAACCGAGAGCAGACTGGCCTGACCGGCGGATCCTGGCTCAGTCCTGAGGCAGCCGAGAAGCTCTACCTGGAAGTGCCCAACAACAGCAGCGTAGCCGCGTGAGTGGACAGGTCCTGATTGCGATTCAAGGCTGACATTGCATAGCGCCTCTCGTCGATACACTTCCTACGCACACCCAGCAGGCTCTGGATGGGACCTCGTCTCTGCCCTCAATCTCAAGAACGAGTGGGAGAAGGAGTTGGGTCTCAGATCATCTGGTCCAGAAGAATTCATCTACGATGCTGGCAGCACAGAGAGCCAAGCTCGTATCAAGGGTGGTATGGACAAGCTGGGGGTCTGGGTCGATACCGTACGTTGCCTTGAGCCTGGTGGATCGTCGCTGACTCCTCATGCTTGTAGTATTATCCCGTGATGAACACGCCTGTGCATGTTTCGGCAACTCTCCTGACCGATCCTCCCGTCTCCGCCAAACTGCAAGAAGACATTATCGAAGGCGATACCGACTCTCAGCTCCGAGACGAGGTCCCAGTCTTCCACGGCCTCTCTGTCAGCGGTGATGTCACGGGCAAATACGTATATGTGGGATATGGGAGAAAGCAGGACTTCGATCTGTTGCAAGAAAAAGGTGAAGATCACAAGTGGTCAAGGCGCACATCAGCTGACACGAGGCAGGGATCGACTTTAAGGACAAAATTGTCCTTACCAAGTACGGAGGTTGCTTCCGAGGACTCAAGATCAAGGGTGATTGTGCTTCCATGAATGACTTGTGATGTGTCTCTGACCTTTTACTGTAGCCGCTCAGGAAGCTGGAGCGGTCGGCGTCATCATCTTCACCGACCCAGGAGACGACGGTGAAATCACCGGGGAGAATGGCTACAAGGCCTACCCGGATGGCCCTGCTAGACAAGTAAGTCGCTCAACGAGTGGGATGTACATATGAGCTAATATACTCTCCGCGTAACAGCCAAGCAGTATCCAGAGAGGCAGTGTACAATTTGTGAGCACGAGTGGCATTAAAACCTTCGGAAACCTGACAACAGTCTGTTCAGATCTCCAAGTACCCCGGCGACCCCACCACCCCAGGAGAGCCCGCCTACAAGAACGCTTCCCGTCTCGAAGGCGGGAATCAGCCCTCCATCCCATCGTGCGCTAGCGTCTCAGGTCATGCAATCACAGAGCCCATAGCTTACACTTGACCCAGCATCCCCATGTCATACCAGGATGTTATCCCCTTCCTCAAAGCCCTTCAAGGCAAAGGTATCCACGCTAAAGACCTTGGGCCTGATTGGGTTGGCGGCCTCGGCTTCTACGGGGTTGACTACTTTGTGGGGCCTAGTGATGTGGATTTGCATCTTGTCAATGAGGTCAACACTCGAGTCATGCCTATTTGGAGTGAGCAATATCGTTGAGCGAAGATTGTGTGATGCTGATCTTGATAGACACCATGGCTGTCATCCCGGGCCACATTACCGATGAGGTTGTCATCTTTGGTAACCACAGGGACGGTGAGCTCTTCATCTTCTCCCAGTCGCTTGTGTCGCTCAACTTCTATAGCCTGGGTGCTCGGTGGCTCCGACCCAAACTCTGGCACCGCCTCCCAATACGAAACCGTCCGCGGACTCGGTGCTCTCCTCAAGAAAGGCTGGAAACCCCTCCGCACTATCGTCCTCGCGAGCTGGGATGCCGAAGAATATGGGTTGATTGGGAGTACAGAGTGGGCAGAAGATTTCGGAGATTGGTTGCAAGAGAATGGTAAGGTCATTGTCACGGTGGGAAGTAGAAGGCTGACCAGCATGTTAGTGGCTGTCTACGTCAACATGGACAGTTCGGCCTCTGGTGGAAACTTTGACGCTGCTGCTTCACCTGTGAGTTTCCTCTTTCGTGTCAACAGCCGTATTGAACCTGCAGAGGCTGACTACCACAGTCTCTGGCCCACGTCATCCGGACTGCTGCTGAGGAAGTCGAGTCAAGCCTGGATCCTACTCGCTCCGTCTTCTCCACCAGGAATGATGCCGGCAGTTGGGAAGCTTACAACAGGGATAAATGGGCTCTTGAAGTCGAAGGCGACGTCTCGATTGCTGAGGATGGTGACTATGAAATCGGTCCTCTTGGGTAAGTCGAACAAGCAGAATCCTCGGACGATCTTGATCACTGACCTACTATGCAGCTCGGGCTCTGACTTTACACCCTTCCTCCAGCGATACGGCGTACGCCCAATCCCGCTCTGCCACACAAAGATCCGAACTGACCCTTATCCAGATCGCCTCCGGAAACCTGGGCTACACCGGTGGACCCAAGGACCCTGTCTATCACTACCACAGTATTTACGACTCTCACTATTGGCAGGCCAAGTACGTATCCGTCTCCTGTGTTTAGTGCCAAGCCAAAAATTTGAGGTCGCTGATGTCAACTTTTAGATTCGGTGACGTTGGTTTCCATAGACACACCGATGCTGCCAAGGTAGTCGGGCTCATCTGTAAGTTGCAACCGGAGTCACATTGGCGAGAGCTAATGTCTTCTGCAGTATTGCGCTTGGCAGACAGTCTCATTCTTCCTATGAACACCACCAAGTACACGGAAGATCTGTCTCTATACTTGCACAAGTAAGCAAACCCCCAGTCAATCAAGGGGCTTCATTGACTCGGAATGACAGAGTTGAGAACGTCGCGAAGTCAAGCTCCCTCTCTTCAAAGATTGACTTTGCCCCTCTCACTTCGGCCATCAAATCTGCCCAGCATGCATCTACGGGGCTCGACAAGGACAGACACGACGCCCTGAAAAAGCTTCAAAAGCTCCTCGGAGAAGGGAAACACACTTCTAGCTCGATGTTGTCTCGGGCAGCTCACAGGTGCGGATGGCAGGCGACGCCCGGCACGGAGCTCCAGCACATGCCCACCTGGGACGACGAGAGTGAGAGTGGTTTCCCCCACCCGCGCTTGCCCTTCCCCCTGCCCACCCCTGGCCGGATTCACAAAATCAAAGAGGTGCTTGAGGAGATCAGGGTGATCAACAAAAAGCTGCAATACTTTGAGCTCGACTTTATCTCTGAGAACGGAATCAAAGTATGTGGAAGAGGGTATAAGAGTGAGGCTCGGAGGCTGATGATGAGCTTGAAGGAACGCGAATGGTATCGACACAAGGGGACGGCACCCGGTCTTTGGTTGGGCTACGGGGCCACTACTGTGAGTTATGCGCGCACACCCGAGAGCTTACGAGGCTGATCATGACTTCCTTTCCAGTTCCCGGCTTTGACTGAAGGTGAGTAGTATGCTGCCCCAACTTGAGCGGAGCTGATAGATATCTAGCTATCACCATCGACCATTCCGCCAAGCTTGCTCAGAAAGAGGCGGATGAGCTGACGCAGATCATCACAAAGATTGCAAAGCATCTCTCTGCTTGAATGTGTCGAGGTCGCGTGGCGAAGAAAGTGAATGCACTCGCATGCAAGAAGAATGAAAGCACATAAATCATACCGGGACTTTATACTATACAACTCGACATCAAACGTCGTTCTTCAGTTCTCAACATTGACCCCGCGCTCATTGCTCCCCCGCGACGGCGCTATAGGCTTTCTTGGCCATAGCGGTCGCTGCGGTGACCAGTCCAGCTAATTTCAGGTATCAGCACAATGTGAATATCCGTCTGCGGAATGACATACGGTCACTAGCAATCTTGTCTTCACCCAGAGGTGCTAATTCACTCCCTTCAATGACACCTTCCTTGCCCTCGATCACATCTCGCGGCGGGCCAGTGGACTTGACGTAGGTTTCGGCGGGCTCAGAAGGCTCAATGACATTCTGGACACCAGGATAGGCCCCTTGGACACCCTGGGGGGACATGCTGGTGCTGTAGAATGAAGGGGTCAGATATTGTGCGGGATCTTTGGCTAGAGACAGACTCGTTGAGATTCGTAGCGGTGTTGGCCATGTTGGCGTGAGTTCCGGTGCTGTGGGTTGAGAGCTGAAGGCTGTCTGCCCAATCTTCCATCCCTTATATAGCATCGTATCTGCAGCTCTAGAGGCACACGATGACGCTATCCACTTGGTATCTCCAGCCATACGCAGACCGTTCCTCTTATCTTTCCCAACAACGTCATTCCTTGATCCATTGATGCGAAGCGGACACCGCCGCCATTTTCGAGTGCTCGTTACGTAACAGATCTTCACGTCGAACGATGCGCACAGACAAAAGTCGCGCTATGTTTTTGTTGTCGCAGATATTTATCCCACTCTCTCCGCCACAATGTCCACCGCCGTCCAGACAGAGACATCCACCGTCCCCGCCACCCTTCAGCTCGCTGATGTTAGTCTCGACACATACGATGAGGAGCAGGTCAGGCTCATGGAAGAGAGGTGTATTCTCGTCACCCCAGACGATGTCGTCTATGGCGACTCGAGCAAGAAAGTCTGTGAGTGGTGTGCAGGCCTTAGCTGGCATCGCGTCGCTAACAACCTCACAGGCCACCTCATGACCAATATCAACAAGGGTCTTCTCCACCGTGCATTTTCAGTCTTCCTCTTCCGGCCTTCCGATGGACGACTGTTGCTCCAGAAGCGTGCAGACGAAAAGATCACTTTCCCCAGCATGTGGACCAACACGTGTTGCTCTCACCCCCTCAGCATCAAGTCGGAGCTCATTGAGGAGGACCAAGCGGGTGAGTGGGGGAATTTGAGTTTACCATGTGGCGAAGCTGACAACCATCATCAGGCGCCAAGAATGCTGCCATCAGAAAACTTCCCCAGGAGCTCGGCATCCCCGAAAGTCAATTGAAGTATGAAGACTTCGTCTTCCTCACCCGGATACATTACTTGGCTCCCAGTGATGGAATCTGGGGCGAGCACGAGAGTCAGTAATAATGAGGGCACACCTTTGGCACCAAAGCTTATATTCAGTGTAGTTGACTACATTCTCTTCTCCACCATCAACGTCGACCACGAGGCCAACCCTAACGAAGTCAGCGATACTCGCTACGTCTCTAAATCCGAGCTGGAAGAGATGTTTGCCGACCCTTGTGCGCCTCTTTCTATTCTTGCCGGTCTCAGCTAATAACCTGTAGCCAACTCCTTCACTCCCTGGTTTCGACTCATCGCCCGAGATCTGCTCTTCCCTTGGTGGGACGAGATGGTTGCCAAGTCCAAGGCGGCTGGCTGGGATGCTGAGAAGGGTGTTGGAGAGGTCAGGGCTGACCACTTGGCCAGTGGGCCCAAGGTCAACGAGCTCATCAGGATGCTCTAAGCCGGCCGTCTTCCCTCAGAAGATTTGAGAGGCGGTTGACTGTATCAGGTGTTCAGGGTATTGTACTCACCTGGACAGCCTTGTATCTCATTTGTGTTTACGTTCGAGTCACTTAGATATTTCATCGATTCATTGGGTTTTACGATATGCATGGTATTATTCGATCGTGATGCCTACTAGGCTGTCAAGCGAAAGGTTTCGCTGGTGAAAAGCTGGCCTTCAATGGACGCGAATGTATACGAAGGTTGCACGAGGCGTGAGCGCACATGCTCGCCGTTCTTCATATCCGAAGCGTCAACTGGAAGCAACGTAAGCACAGGTAGATGCATGGTCTTGATCAAGACACATACCTCTAGCTTCGCATTTCTCTCGAGTATCGACGATACCCGCCGCCAAGTTTCTATCCACAAGTCGTTTCCTCGCTACATCTTCTTCAACGTCCACCCAGATCCTTACATCCATCATGTCGGCGCATTCCCTCCAGCCAGGCTCATCGAGCATGGTGTAGAGCCCTTCTATCACGATGATTCGGTGGCGGGGTAATATCGGCTGCGGAGAGATTGCGGGGTCTTTGAGGGCGTGGTCAAAGGTCGGGAACGGTATAGCTGCCGGGGGCTCGGGGGTCAACGGCACTCGAAGCTGCGATAGGAAAGCCTGGTACGATGCACGATTGAATGTGAAAGCAGCGCCCTGGCCATAGCGAGTCAGCATAAATCTACGAGGAGCGAGAAGATGCGACACGTACCCGACGCCAATGAGCCTCAACAGGGTCAGGGAAAGCATCGAGCTCCGCCCGTGTATGGTGCCAGCCATCAAGCCCCACAGCGATAGCGACCTCGTCCCCTTGGCCATGTTGGTCGCTGCTTTCGGCGAGGAGGTTGGAAGCGGGCTCTTCGAGGTGAGACGGGTTGGGAGGAGGGTGGTGAAGGATAAGGGCGTTGAGGGCGTCTGTGAGAGGGTAGGCGAGCGTCGACTTTCCTGAGCCTGGAGGACTTGATGCAACTATTGTCAGCTTCAATGATGGAGAATACAGGTTATATGTACCCTCCGACAGCGATAAGAAGCCTCTTGTTCTTCGGCAACCTTGGAGACGATGATCAGCTGTCGCCCTCATGCTGCAATGGGCGACTTACTCCTTGTACAGGTCGACGATGTGGCGAACGAGGAGTTGGGGTGTGACTTCCATATCCGTCTGTTTTTGGATGATATTGTTATGACTGTACACAGACTGTACACCGAATTATATTACGTCGGTCGCTGGGCAGCCTCCACTTTCGCGACGGCCACCGTCCGCGATTCTCCTTCTTTCTTCCGGTCCTGTCTTGTCATTTTGATCTCTAACAGCCACGGGGCCACGGCGCCGCCATGAACACCCCTCCATCCTCGTTCCATCATGACCACTCGCCCTCGCAGCAAGAAATGTCTATCCAGCACAATGACGACGAAGAGATGATCTGGGAGCCAATCATTTCGGTACGTTCTGACCGACTTGAAGGTCGAAGAGTGATGCTAAGATGGGAGCGGTAAAGTCACGCGCACAGATCTGCTACTTGGGTCTGGACACCAACATCCTCATCAAGCATCTCAATATCCTCAGGACATTGCATGCTATCCTAGCCGCTCTCGAGCCGCAAGAAGTGCTCATACTCGTCCCATCAAAAGTCATCCAAGGTTGGTCGTATCAGGGCAATGGAAATGCTCAGAAATTGACGAGTACCGACAGAAATAGACGGTCTGAAGCATTCGACCGCCTTGCCAGATATCCACTCACCTGAGGACGTGGGCACTTTGGCACGAACAGCCAACAATTGGCTCCTCGAGACGCATCGAGCTAGGAGAGAAGGCGAACGCTCGGCTCTGAGATGCCAGAGCTTGAAGGAGAGACGCAGTCGAGGAGTTGTGGTAGGTACTGTTGATGCTAACGTCGAGACTTGCTGAACGGGCCACAGGGGGAAAATGCCGACGACGAGATCCTAGACTGCTGCTTATACTTTGAAGAGATGGGTGGAAAGGTGGCTTTATGGACAAACGACAAGAACCTTGGGGTCAAAGTATGTTTCCCAATGACCATTGAGCTATAGCTGATGACGCCCACAGGCCGAGATCAACCACGTCCCAACAATAGGAGGACAGCACATTTCCCTCTCAACGATCTTGTTTGCAACAGGAGTCAACTTTCCGAAAGAGCTGTGGGAACAAGTCTATGAGTTGGAGGGTCATCCTCAACCTGCAAACAGCGTGGCTGATGGCGATGTCCATATGGGTGCCGAGAGTATACAACATGTATGTGTCCATACCCCCTTCAGTCTGATACTGACATCTGGAGTAACAGACGTCTTCGCATCGGCCAATACAGCCTATCTCAACGGCCCCAAAATACTTCCAAGATCTGCCTCCTATCTTCCTACCTGGAAGTTCTGAAGTGCAACACGTACATACAAGTCCTCAGCCTGCTGGCGGGGTACATAATTATCCTTTATTACACGGAGGCGTGCAAGAGTACATAGCAGGAGGAAACGAAGAAGGGATGGCGATTGATGAAATGCTAACCACAGATCCAATATACTCGACTGCCCGCTTAGGGTCCACATCCTCTTCGACATCTCCGCCACCATCGGCAGTACCCAACAGGTACACCAACCCCCCGCCGCCAGCTGGGCCCCGTCCGTCCAAGCTCATGCTCACCTCCTTACGACTCGCCCTCCTCCCCCCGACATTGGCTCTGCTGTCAAACCCTACTTATGCGCCGCATCTGAAGGTGTCGCCCCCTCCCCCGACCACTCTTCCCACAGACAAGATCCTCACTACCTTGTTTGACGCCTTCTCCACCTTGGACAAGTACTGTTCGTCCAAGGGGTTCGAGATGGATGATCCAACGCGGCTGCAGCTTATACAAGCTACCAGCTCGATCAAGGTGGTGCAGATTTATGTGGCTTGCCATGAGATGGGGCTTGGCGGGGTCAGGAGGGTGAAGACGGGGGATATGGTGTATGCGCTGGGGGAGCTGAAGAGGATCATGGAAGGGTTGGGAGTGGGGTGGAAGGGCGATCTGGAAGATGTGTTGGACGACTTTAGAGGATACGAATAGTTTACGTTAGCATTTCAGTAGCACATGTCAATACCAATTCACTGGAACCATGATATACCATGCATATACACCGGGAATACAAGAGTGGATGGCAACCTAATGATCTGTTCGTAACAGACGTTTTGGGGGTAAAAGAAAAAGGCAGATGGTGCGACACCGCAAGGCGCGCTTTTGATGCTGAATGTGCTTTTTGAGACCACGAAAAGATATTGAATACGTTGGAGATTATTCAGACTTTCGGAGGAGGGGGTGGAGCTGCATCGATGGTCAGCATTTGCCCAACTGAACGTGGTTCGCCGACGTACGATCTGCTCGTGCAGGGCCTTGCCGGCAGGGACCATAGGGTAGACGTGCTCGCTGGAGACAAGGACCTCAAGAACGATAGGCCTGGTGCCGTCGTACTCGAGGAACTCCTTCATCTTGGCGGGGAGCTCTTCGATAGTAGCACATCGGATACCCTTGGTGCCCATAGACTCGGAGAGCTTGACAAAGTCGGGGTTGGTCATACGGGTGTGAGAGTATCGGTTCTCGTAGAACAGATCTGAGCCATGTCAGCAAAGGATAGCAATGTAAAAGAGTGAAACTCACCTTGCCATTGCTCGACCATACCCTGGAACTCGTTGTTGAAAAGCAAGACCTTGACACCGATGTTGAACTGGTTGGCGGTCTGGAGCTCCATGGCAGTCATGGAGAAACTGGCGTCACCGTCAATGTCAATGACATATTTTTCGGGAGCGGCGACTTTGGCGCCGATGGCGGAAGGAAGGCCGAAACCCATGGTACCGAGACCACCGGAAGAGACCCAAGAGCGGGGCTCAGTCCATCGGTAGTATTGACAGGCCCACATCTGATGTTGTCCAACACCGGTAGAGATGATAAACTTCTCCTCTGCAGAACCTCGTCAGCGACGGATGGGGCACAATCGTGGAAAAAGACTCACTGCCGAGGGCCTCGGCTTGTCGGTCAAGCTCCTGGACAACCTCCTGGGGCTTCAGCTTCTGGCCAGAACCACTGGGGTGGTAGGTGAAGGGGTATCGCTCCTTGTTGGCGTTGCATCTGGCGATCCAAGCAGAACGGTCGACAGTGTTGTTGATTTGAGGGACAAGGGCGCCAAGGGAGGCAACGACATCACCAAGGACGGGGACGTTGGCTTCGATGATTTTGTTGATGTTTTTGGGTTGAATCTCGAAATGGACGATACCACCTCGACCCTCGAGAGCGGCAGCCTTAGCGGCGGGAGCAAAAGCTAAAGCACATTAGTCCATGCCCTCCAAAGATCTCAAGCACTCACTGTCGACCTTGCCGGTGACACGGTCATCGAATCGAGCACCAAGAGCAATCAACACATCGGCCTCCTGCACGGCAAAGTTGGCATAGGCAGAGCCGTGCATACCAAGCATGTGGAGAGACTTTTCATCTCGCTCGTCAAAGGCACCAAGACCCTGAAGAGTGGTGGTGACGGGGATTCTACCCTTGTCGGAGAGCTCTCTGAGGAGTCTGGGGCCATCGGGAGATGAGAGGACACCGTTACCGGCGTAGATGACGGGTCGCTTAGCCGAGTTGATCAGCTTGGCAGCTTGAGCGATGAGCTCGGGGTCTCCGGGGAGAGGTTTTGTGGGCTGAGATGAAGGATTCAGGGGGTTGGAGGGGAGGTACGGAGAGTGTCCGGGCTGAGCAGACTTGGCGGGGATGGGGGTACGGAGGATAGCGGCAGTGACGTCCTTGGGGAGGTCGACAAGGACGGGGCCGGGGCGGCCAGTGGTGGCAATCTTGAACGCCTCGTTGATTCTTCTGGGAAGCTCGGCAATGTCCTTGACCATCACGTTCCATTTCGTACAGCTTCGGGAGATACCGACCATGTCGGCTTCCTGGAAAGAGTCGGAACCAATGAGATTGGTAGCGACCTGACCACAGAAGACGACCATGGGGACACCATCACTGAGGGCGTCTTGCATGGGGGTGATTACGTTTGTGGCGCCGGGGCCAGAGGTGACGAGAACGACACCGGGCTTGCCAGAGACACGGGCATAACCCTCAGCCATGTGGCCAGCACCCTGTTCATGTCTGGGAAGGACAAAGTCGAAATTAGGAGAGTTGTAGATGGCGTCGAAGACGGGGAGGATGGCACCACCGGGGTAGCCAAAGACCTTCTTGACGCTATGACGGAGCATCATCTCGTGGAAGATCTGACCACCAGACATGCCGACGAATCTGTCACGTATTCTTTGAGCAAGATTCCAGCTTACAACATGCCGATTGTCACTTACGAGTAATCGAGTCCGTCCTTGATCTGGCTGTCGGCGGCATCGAATTGGGGCGTATTTGTGGGCATGGGCTGAGGCGCGGCTTGGAAGTGCTGGGCGGGCTGGGGGCGGACGGCGGGGCTGGCAGCGGAGCCAGAAACGGCGCTGCTCTGGATTCTCCTCACATGGGCTCGTACGCGCTCCTTGGCCTCAAGAGACATGCCTCGTTCGGCGACGGGGGCGGGGGCATTCTGGGCGGAGGAGGTGTGGATGCTGGAGGACTTGCTGCGCCTCTGAGTGTGTGCGGCGGAGAGGACGTTGTTGGGGTGGGGGATGCGCCTGAGGAGGCGTGTCTGGCGGGAGAGCATGATGAGATGTGGATTGTAGATGATCCTACTCGTCAAATCTCATCGATCCATCGCGCCGACTCGATCCCACCCAACTTTTCTTTTTCTTTTCTCCCTTTTCTCCCGCCGCCGGCCGATCGCTTAGCTTATGTAACACTCCTGGAGCCCAGCAGGGGCCATCATGCCAGGCACCCCCGGGTTCCTGCCGAAGGACGTTCTCTGCGATCCTTCTGGCGTGTTTGTTGACACATTCATCAGCAGCGAGCCATATCTCATGTCACATGCGAGCCAAAGTACAGTTTAACCTGGTTCCAGTTCATCCGCCAGTCTGCTCGTAGTCTTCTGGCGCGAGGCGGAACACCGAGCGCTTGCAGGATCAGACAGCCCCGGCGGGACAATCCACTCGGCCCAGCCTCGGTCAACTCTCCGAGTCTGCGTGACCTCTACACACCACCCCCCAGCGGCTATATATATTGTATGCACCCAGCTCCTGAGTTTCCGGAACCCACCTTGCTCCATCAATATGCCCACCGCTCTCCCCCTCGAGTCCCACAACCCTCCCAACCCCAAGGCGTTCAAGCCAAAGGACAATCACGGCTTCATCCTCCACGGCGCTCTCAATACGAGTTTCGAACAAGTACGCCGTTTGGGATATTCGAATGCAGATGCTGATCTCGCTGCCAGCAACCTGTCCCTGAACTCGGCCCCAACGATGTCCTTGTGGAGATAAAGAAGACTGTACGTCGCTCCGAAGCCTCCAGTCGCGCTCAACGCTGACCACGTTGCAGGGTATCTGTGGATCTGATGTTCACTGTACGTACTCGTATATGGCGCATACGCTCCTATGATCCAGCTTACAGTACTGCAGTCTACAATACGGGCAGCATGGGCGCCTGCAAGCTCGACGGTTCCATGTGCTTGGGCCACGAGTCGTCCGGTATCGTCGTTCAGCTCGGAGCCAACATTGCCGAGCAAGCCTCGCGCTCCAGCGACATTGCTGCTTCTCGTGGGATTGCCGAAGAATCCAACAAGGGTCCAATCGCCGGACGACCACTCCGGCTTGGGGACAAGGTGGCTCTGGAGCCCGGAGTGACTTGCAGAATGTGTGTGGATTGCAAGTCGGGACAGTATCAGGTGAGTCGAGCCAGCAGCACCGCGTGGGTATGAGCTGATAGTGGATAGATCTGCGAACACATGCTTTTTGCCGCTTACCCGCCTTCCAAAGGCGGAACTCTGCAACGATACTATGCCCTGTAAGTCTAGCTTCTGCTTCGGAACCAAAGCTCATACTATGACAGCCCCGCGGACCTGGTGTACCCTCTGCCTGAATCTGTCGCTCTCGAGTATGGTGCCATGATGGAGCCTCTCTCCGTCGCCACCCACGCCGTCGCCAATGTCGGTGGTGTCAGGTCGGGCTACAATGTTCTCATCACCGGTGCTGGCCCTGTCGGTCTGCTGGCCATGGCCGTAGCCAAGGGTATGGGAGCCAACACGATTGTGGCGGTGGATATCAACGAGGAGAGATTACAGTTTGCCAGGGAATATGCTGCTACCCATACCTACATTCCTGTAAGTCTCCGCCGAGCGTGTTACGAGCGTCAACTCACGATCGCAATAGGTCAAGCCCAACGCTGAAGAGAAGCCTCTCGCCTACTCTGAGCGGGCCGCCGCCCATCTCTTGAGAACCTGCGACATTCCCAATCGCGGTCCCGGCTCTATCGACCTTGTCGTCGACGCTACTGGTGCTCCGAGCTGTGTCGCTTTGGGCTTGCAGACCGTTCGACCTGGGTAGGGTATACACATTTCCAGTCTGACCCTCAGCTAACATTTCCTCAGCGGTACGTATGTCCAAGTCGGTTTCGGACCTCCCGACGTCCCCGTGCCCATGTTCCGCATCACCACCAACGAGATCAACATCAAGGGCGCCTGGCGCTACGGTTCTGGCGACTATCCCCTCGCTATCGACCTCGTCGCCAGAGGGCTGGTGGATCTCAAGCCGCTGTTGACCCATACCTTCAAGTTTGAAGAAGCGCTGGAGGCCTTTGAGATTACGAAGAATGGAAAGGATAAAAATGGGAAGGGGGTCATCAAGTGTGTGATTGACGGGCCAGAATGATTCGGTTGTTGGTGGTGGTTGTATGATAGAGCGCTATCTTTGCTACATTGTCGGCATACTTGTGGTAATTTTTGGGATGGGTGTATGGGTTCAGCATGGACGTTTGATGTACGCATATTATTGACGCAAATGCACAAGCGTCAACATGATTTTGAAAGAGAGATGAAGATAGCCAGGTTCACGGAGTAAACTGCAGAACTCCGCGGCGCCACACGGTGGGGAAATAATTCCGCGCCTCTGAGAATGGGCTCGAGATTGATTAGGCTTGCTCTGTTTGGCTCACATCTCTCCAGTTCCACCATGGCGTAAGTCCCCGTGCATAGAGAGCGCCGACCGCTGACCATGGGCGTATAGCTCGTAAGTGAATTCCAGAACAGGGACGCTCGGAGCCTCAGCAGAGCACACCCTCAGCGAGAGCGTGATGGGCAAAAGGACATGCAGCTGATAACAGTCGCAGAACATTCGTCAACTGGATAAAGTCTCCCGCCGGCAGGCAGTACTTCTTCAGTGCGTCTTCCCATATCTCAGACCAGACCATCGCTGACAAGGAGTAGGCACTCATTTCTGGGGTCCTGTCAGTCGCTCTCACTTTGACACGCCTCGGCCCTTATCTCGGGCTCGGTGCAGGATTGAAATCGATTCAAAGACATGCTGACTGAAGGCGTAGGTTGCCAACTGGGGTCTTCCTCTCGCTGCGCTTGCCGATATCGCCAACAAGGATGAGGAGACCATCTCTGGTGTTATGAGCCCGACCTTGGCTGCTTACTCGTGAGTCTGCATCCCACCCTGAGTGTGTATCGCCAGGGATCTCCCACGTGCCCGTATCTCATTGAGAGCTCGACCGCCCCCACCCTGCTCCCTTGATGGTGAAGGGCATGTCATTGAGCTATCGGCATCATGGATCGCTCAGCAGCTGATATCCATCACAGTATGATCTTCATGCGGTTCGCTTGGCGTGTCCAACCACGAAACTACCTCCTCTTTGCCTGCCACGCCACCAACGCCTCCGCCCAGCTCGTGCAGGAAGGCCGGTTCCTCAACTACTGGTACTTTGGCGGAAGAGAAAAGAAGCACCCGGTGGCTGCCAAGGTCGACGAGGTGAAGGATGTCGTCCAGGAGGGCGTTGACAAGGTCAAGGCCTAAGATGGATGTCTTGGTTGAGGGTTTTGAAGACTGGATTATGTATACCCATGATATGACTCGTGGAGGATCGCATTGCGAAACAGTATAGACAACTATGATACAAACAGACAAGAGGCAAAAAGAGGATCATTTGAGCGAAGTCTGAGCGTTTCTCAGCGACAGATAAGCTTGGTCACCACCTGGACCCTGCATACAACGTCAGAAGCTGTACATCGACCGAGTATCCCACTCACAAGGCCACGGACGGCGTGCCACACGTCCAGTCCTCTATATCTCAGCTTGGTCCTGGGATCCGTATAGTTGGCATGTAGGCCTGTTATGTCGCAGTATTTCTTGGCTGGAAGCAGTGAAGGAGGGGCAGTGGGTGTATGGTCTGCGAAACCATATCAGCCCCAAACCGAAAGTCAGACATGCAGACTTACAAGTGATGATCTCTTTCTTCGGAGTGCCGTCACTCTCATTGGCCAGAGCTTCCGTCTTGGACGATTCGCTTCCCTTGACAGGTGAGCTCCGGTCAACATCCATGGCCTCTCCCTCATCATCTTCCAACCCCGGCGTCGCTGATTCAGTAGCAGCCTCGCTCTCTGCCGGCGTCAAAGCTTCCCTCTTTCTCTTGCCCTTCATAAGATTCTGCAAGCTGCCCTTCTTGACCCCAACCTTCTTCTTGTTCCCGAGCTCAATCTTCACCCCCTTCTTGCGCATCTCGACATGCTGGGCCGACATGAACCCGTCGCCTCCCGACAAACGTTCGCGTTCGAGACCAAGGATCTGCTTGGCATTCTTGCGCACACCCGTGGATGAAGTCGTGGCTGTCCGAGAGGATAGCTTGGAGGTGAATGTCGTAGACTTGAACGATCGTGGGCTGTCGGCGTAGGACAAACGCTCTACGATTATCTAGAGTGATATGTCAAACCATGAGCTGGGATGTGATTTGAGAGACTCACATTCGAGGAAGCATCGTCTCCTGGTACTGGTGTTCCAGTATTGGACTTTCTGGGACCGCCCTTCGTCTGTTTTGGTGGCCTGCATGGGTCAGCTTGAATCGTCGGGTACGGGATGAAGACCCACATTGTGAGGCGTGGGACTTGACAGACTTGAAGGTCAAGGTAGGCGACGTAGATAAAGTGAGGCTGCTGCGTTTGCTGTCTTTTTTGAGTGTCGAAAGCGGACTTGAGCGTGTATCTGTGAGAAGGGTATGGTGGCAAGATGAGTTTCAATCAATGAATGATGGCCTTGTACTATACTACTGTTCCCAATCCGATACACCGCGAGTGCGCCGCATTTGGTCCCGTCGCGCCCGACGGCGAACGATTTCTTGATTTGAGACCACCATGTGGGCATGTATAGAGACCTCACTACATTGCCTTCTCGCAAAAAGCTCCAACCCACCGGCGCACCCGTTCAAAGCACTGTCATTTTCAGAAAACACAATGGCGTCTGTCCTGCGGTCACTACGATCAGGAAGCTCTTCAGCAGCTTCCTTCGCCAGATCGAATCGATCAAATCCTCAAGCCCTCCGATCTTCTCGCCGACAGTATAGCTCGCCCAAGCAGTCCCAATCCAAATTGGAGGAGCCCGTTCTTCCACCTCTTAGCGAGATGATGAGCCGAAAGTCGATCATGGCTGCTTGGTCTGGTAAGTCTCGTCTCGCTCTGTATCGACACGACGGAGCTCGGCTAACGGCCCCGTCACGATAGCTCTATCCCCCAGCAGAAAGCTGTTCTTTATATCACTGGTACTTGTAGGAGGAGCAGGAGAATTTCAGTTGATGAAGAAGTTTGTGCTGGAGCCCGCGAAAGAGCGCAAGAGGCTGAAGGAAGAAGAAGAGATGTTGAAGGCGAAGCTGGATGTTGCCGGTGGTGAGGACAAGGCTGTTCTATTGGGTGAGTCTGGCGTCATTCTGGTCATTGACAGCTCTGACAGTTACATGCAGGGAGCTCATAGAAAATGCAATCAACGTCGTTCTTATAAGAGTATTGCATTGAGGTCGATATGCTTCTCTGCTGCATCCATAATTGGTTGCCTTTGAGAGATCGCTGCCAGCTAATGCGGACGCGAACACCTGATATATAACTTCTTCCAGTCTTTGTGCTCGCAAGTGGAATGACGGCAAGAGTCGCACTAAGCGGTATGATTCCAGCAAGAAAAGTGGGTGACTCTTGCCCTCAGCCGGTTTGTACCGCAACTCCGCAAGCTTCGGCTTCAGGTTCTCTCGCTTACCAGCGGGGCCAGCAGCCAGATAGATACCAGATACAGAAGTATGGATCCTCCCGCCCCCACTCGCTGTTAGGACAAGTCCGACACATCACATGATAAGAAGGCCCAGTAGAATATACCCCGCTTATCGGAAATCGGGTACTATCAACAATTGCACCAGGAAAATCATCGACCCTGAGTACTCTTATCATGTGTCTCCCTCCCGCAATTGTAACTTTGGGCTGTACTCTGCGGAACTACCCCAGATCCCTGGGTGAGTTTGTCCTTACGCAATTATCGCCTATCGGCCAGCGCGGCAAAGTGGGGGAGAGTGGGGGACCAATTATCGGAAGCACCATGTCCACTGGCTTCACTCCACTACTCTACCATGGTTATGCAACGACTCCTCCCGAGTACATATGGACGGAGCTGCGATATGCATTCCGCATCTTTTCCCCCGACCTTTCCATATTTTGCCGCTCACCAAAAGCTATGGCCACGACTATCGTCAGAGCAGAAAATAAGCAAGAGGACCGGGTTAGCCAGCTAGCCCAGTCTGAAAAAGACTTTTACGCCTCAGACATCGACAAGGATGTTGTGACGGATATCGAGGTAGCTGCGGCAAATATCGATCGAGTGGCTGAAAAGAGGTAAGTCCCCCTTGTATCTCGCATGATGTGGCCCAAAGCAGAATTGCTTGCTGATGATGCCGCCCCGTACATTATAGACTATTGACGAAGCAAGACTTGAGATTACTACCCGTCTTGGCTATCGTATATCTTTTCAATGCTCTTGATAAGTGAGTCAGATATATCATGAAAATGTTATGAACATGAGCTGACACGAGTCTTCAGAGGCAATCTGGCTAACGCTAAGACCGGTGAGTCACTCGGCAAGGCTGATTAGTATCGTTATCTGACAAAAATGTGTTTCGTGTTCCGAATACAGATGGGCTTGACAAAGGTCAGTTGATTCTGCCTCATGCGTGCCTTCCCATTGATGCTGATGAAGATGACAGACCTTGGCCTGGTGGGGAATCAATACTGTGCGTGTTTCCCGTGACGGGCCATCCATGCCTCAACGCGGCGGACTGGTTCTTACACTTTCCAGATCTCATGATCACGATTTTCTATATCCCGCTCTGCCTCTGTGGTACTCCTCTTTCCATTGGTAAGTCACACCAATATCATAAAGAACCCCAGGGGCTGATCTCGCCGTGCATAGCCGCCAAACGTTTCTCAGCCGCCCGAGTAATACCTCTCATGATGATCGGCTTCGGTACTTGTTCTCTACTCAGTGCGGCCGTGACCAACTTTGGTGGACTATTCGCCCTACGTTTTCTGCTCGGTATCTTTGAATCTCCTATGTAAGCATGATCATAATATAATTGTGGGAGACCTCACGACTGATCAACATTTTAGGCTTCCTTCGGTCGTCTTTTATCTCAGTCAATTTTATACGAGAGGAGAGCTCGCTCGACGTGTTGGGGTCTTTTATGCTGCCTCAGCCATCTCCGGCGTAAGTACATCAGTAATCCCTGCTTCAAGCTCTGCTGATGTGCGTCTTTCTTTGAGGCCTTCTCGGGTTTGCTGGCGTTTGGTATCTTCCAGATCAAAAGCGAGAAACTCCATGGGTGGCAGTATCTATTTGTAAGCACTCATCTTAGGCATGTGACTCCTTCCAGCTGACCACTCTTGCTCCAGCTTATTGAGGGTGCTGGGACCGTCACTTTTGCCATCTTTGCATTTTTCGTGAGTATATTATCGTCTTTGATGATCTGATCGCTGAAGCTTATCTCTCAGTGGCTGCCAAGGAGCCCCGCCACATGCTGGTTCTTCACACCAGAAGAAAAGGAGATGAGTAGGGTTCGCATGCTTCGCGATGGAACAGACAAGATCGGAGAAGAGGTGAGTCGGTCGTCGCGACTTCCGGGAGCTGCAGCTGATCGTGCGCTTGACTACAGATCAATTTCAGGGTACGCTTGGTCTATACCTAACTTGCAATCCTCACTCACTCCTCAATAGGACGCTTTCATGCCTTTTGTCCAAGACTGGCGGTATATTGTCTGGGCTATGCTGGCGCTTGGTCTCGGTGTCCCACTCGCCTCTGTAGGCAACTTTCTCCCTCAGATCGTTGCCCGTCTGGGCTACAGCACTGTCAAGACCAATCTCTACACAGTAGCTCCAGTAAGCTCATCATGGCCACTGGGAGACGGAAGCCGTGCTTACCCTGACATTTAGAACATCGTTGGGACATGCTTTTTAGTATTGTTCACCCAATCCAGCGACTACTTCCGAGAACGCTCGCTGCACGTCGTAATTCCTTTGCTCATCACAATGATCGGTAAGCCAACCTAGTGCTTGTGTAGAACAAGCTGACGTTACCACCAAAGGCTTCGTCGTCCTCGGTACGATCGATGTCGTGGCCAACAAGGGTGTGGCGTATTTGTGAGCAATTGGCGACATCCGTGACCTCACTGCTGATACCCTTCTAAGCGCCACATTCTTGCTATGCATCGGCAGCAACACTCCTTCCGTCCTACTCAGCACTTGGTACTCCAACAATTCCATCTCGGAGAATAAGCGAGTCGTTCTGACGGGCGTGATGGTCGGCATTGCCAATGCCAGTGGTCTCATCTCAGCCAACATATTCCGGGTGAGTTTAGTTTCATGCGAGGCGTCTTGACACGAGCACTGACGCTGCTGCAAGGCTGAGGATGAACCCAAATACATCCCGGCTTTGGCTTGTTCGGCAGCTTTCGGCGGCTTTACAGCTCTTGTCGCCTTCTCGTTTGGGTTCTATATGCGTATTGAGAACAGGAAGCGTAACAATACACAAGGACTACCCAAGTCTTATGGGAGTAAAGACGTCCCGACGGAGCATCTGGGAAGGGGTCCCAAGGACGTCTCGTTCAGGTACATGTACTGATCTGAAAAGCGGTGAATATTCAAAGGGGTACTGGAAAATGGTGGATATCTCAAAGGGTGTAAGTGTAGTAGTGGCTCATTCTTTTGTATCAGTGTGGAATCTCGAAAGATCAACACGGTATGGCCGCAGAATGCATATGCAATGCAAGTATTGGAAACCCGAGAATAATCCAAATGCATTCTTGACCATACAAATTCCTTCTATCATCCATGCACTGTCCGAGGCTTATGATAATAACTTGGCAACCACGTACTTTCCAACGCCGGTGGTGGCGCCTTTCCCCTATCACGTCCGGGTTTCGCCCTCGGAGAATCCACCGCTCTGACTGGAGAGCCATTGTCCATCTCACTCTCATCGTACTCTGGGTACAGGATATGGTGCGGATGAGGCTGGCCACCGCTGGGATCTATTCCCAGCTTACGCAGGCCATCTTCGTATGTGATGACTACCAGCTCCGCGCTTTCATGTTTATCTGCGGGTAAACTTTTTCCACCGCCGGCGCCAATCATCATCCTTCTCAGCTTTGAGCTGCCATGGAAGCCTCCACCGGTGCTTGGAGTCACCAAAACTGTTTGTCCTGTACTAGGAGTCGGCGTGAGAGGTGTTCGAGCGTTCTGTGTAAGGATGTTGGTCGCTGAACCAAGACCCGAAGTCGTCATCGACGTCCCCCTCACGCTAGCCGAACGAGAATGTTGCGACGGGGAAAGAGGAGAAGTGGAGGAAGTAGGAGAGTGGTGGGCAGAGGCATGTGTACCACGCTGTCTTCGTCGATAGAGGCGATAAAAGACGACAAAGATGACGAGGATGACGGCGATGCTGGCGGAACGATGGCTGCGATTTGAACTGGCGGAACGTCAGCCCGCCGGGTCATTATCTGAAATATTCCCATTCATCTGTACTCACGGGGCCCAATCTCAATAGACATTCTCGGGTCCTTCTTCCACAGCCTTATTATACGAAATGGTGGCAGAAGATACTTTAGATGTGCGCTTGTGTTGTTGACCAAAGGCTAGATGTGCTAGTTGAGGAAGAGGGATATGGTGAGAAAGTGGCGGCTACTGCCGAGATGATGGAGGTAGAGATCAAGTGATAGTATCCTTCAAGAAAAGGTCAGTGTTGCCCATTTCGAAGGAATTCATCTGTAGGCCTCCCATCCTTTGTCTTCTCCTTTCCGTCTAGCCCTACACCGAGTCAAAGAAACTTTCTTCTGGGGGGCAAAGGCACAAGTGGGGTCGGTGACTGTAATGGTATACTCGCCCGAGGACTGAAATCGGCCGGTACCCTTGGCGACTGCGAATTGCCAGTTAAAGATGACAGAAAACAAAGGTGTAGAGCTGGAATATTCAGGATGGGCCTATAGTATGAACCATGTCGAGTTTCCTTTGTCCTGAGGTGCGATCAGAGGTGTTCAATACATTGATCACGGAGATTTCAGTATTGCGGGCCAAAGTCCTGGGGGCCCTTTTTGGTGAATTGAACATGAGCATAAGCAAGGGGCAAAATAGTCCGCGGTCGAAATGAAAGAAGAGCTACAGAATAAGGGAGCAAGATAACAGCGATTACACATCTTAGAAGTCTGACACGACAGCAGCTTGATTACAACACAGAGGCGGCGCCGAAAACCAAAGCTCCAAGGACGCTGCCCGCAATACCAGCTGTGGCAAGGAGGCCGACGAAGGGAGTAGCAACCGATCCAGCCGAAGAGGAGCTGGAGGATGTGCTTGTAGATGAGGCAGAAGAAGAAGAAGCAGAGGAGGCGGTATCAGGAGCCTTGGCTATTACGATAAACAGTTAGTGCCGTGACTGGATGCACCGCATTCGGACTCACTGCCAAAGTCGGAGCCGCACTTGGAAGTCAATCCCTGGCCGATAACGGTGTCCGCAATGCTAGAGTTTGCCTGCAATGCCTCGTAGTACATTCCGCTGACACAGTCGGTACACAGCTGTCCAGAGGTGAACACGCTAGCGATGCTGCTGTTGCTACTGCTCGAGCCGCTCATGAGGCTGGTCACGTCGCTGGTGGTGAGGTTGCCGCCGATAGCATTTTGGATGGTGGTAAGAGTCTCGGTGACACAGTAGTCTCTCGTTCTGCACGACGGTCAGCGATAGAGGTCACTCCTAAGATGCCACGTACGAGGTGTTGGTTGAACAAGCAGCGGCCTGGAACTCGGTGTAGTGGGCGAGAACAGCCTCCAAGGCCGATACCTCAGTGCCACTTGATCCGCCATCGCTGATATCAGAAGAGCAGCCTGAATCTATCGAGGATTGCGCTGAAGTAAGAGTGTCGTTGGAACATGTAGGAGTTGAGTCGGCACAGAGAGACTTGAGGTAGGAATCGACAGAATCGACAACCGAGCTTGAGCCCTGCATAACAAGTGAGTATTGGAGATTTTTGTTCCAAGCATGAGAAATGAACGAACACTGAGTACAGGCAGCAGAGAAGTGAGCTGGAGACAGCTGCCGAGATCGCCCAAGGCGAGTACGCCGACCTGGGTTGTACAGCTGGTTGACAGACTGTTTCCCGCGTCAGGACAGCATTCGGGGACGACTATAAGGCACTCACGCAGCCGTGTAAGTGGCAGAAGAGGCCAAGGCAATCAAAGCAGAGCGAGCAAGCATAGTGGCGAGTTGTGGTGAGGGATGTAGGGTACGATGGACAAAGGCCAAGGAGTGGTCAGAAATATATAAGAGTTGAGACAAAGAGGCAAGATATTTCAGGGAGAGGCGTCACCGGTGCCGATTACCGGGGGTCGTAGTCTGGCGCTAAGAACAACGTCGAAAGGCCGAAGCGGTGTCGCGAAGATGATGCTGGCGACGGTTGCGATGTTTCTTGGGACTGTCTTGGTGTCTTGTCGTTATTTCTGGGCCTCTGAGAGCGCCCGCCCCTGCACCTTGCCTGTACTGCCCCGCCCCCGCCATGCCAGAGCCATGCCGCAGCCTGCATTGGATGACGTAACTGCAGCAGGTGACTGCTGTTGTCCAAAACGTTACATTTCAAGGGTTAGGTGCCGGACACCTCCGCCAGGACTGCCGGCGGCCGTTGCCGCACTGATCGAGCCGAGGTTCTTCCCCGAAAACGCGCAGACTTCAGTTAGCCGACAAGTTCATGCTCATTGAATTTGTATCCATATCAGTGCAGTATCGCGCTGCCAACCCCAAGACTTGTATCTATAATCTCCCTCTACTGAGATGTCGATTCTATAACACACAATATGAGCACGATCTTGCAGGACTGGATAGACGTGAGTCACTCCAATCATCCCTTGTCTACGCACTCACCCACATCCGCCTTCTTAGCTGCTTAATGCAGAGCAGTATGTACAAGGGGACAAACTGCGGGAAAACTCGCGGCATGGCGTAGCCGCACCCATCAGAGGTGTAAGCTCAGGATCATCTCAACGGTCAAGCCGGCTTTCTAACTGGTTGATTTTGCAGGAAGTCTGGCTGTACCTGCTCAATGTCCTTTCAGAGGACAAGACATCGGAAATCACCTCTCTGATGTCCCTCAATACCAGCTATCAGTCGCTACCATCTTCAATCCCACCTCATCTTACATCCCTCTTGACCCAGGCGGCACTCGCCCACCACACCAAACGTTTCCGCAACGAGACCTACGCAGATCTTATCACTGCGATCACAGCCGAGCCACCCGTTGCCAAAGATCCTCGCGTCATGTCTCGCGCGGGTACCTTGGGCACCGTCAAGCCCGCAGCTGATGGACGGTCTTCGCGCGCGTCGCCTAAGATTGGGTCAGAGCACCACACCATGCCCCCACCTCCTGTGTCACTGCTCCCACATCCGTCGGCTGAGGAACCGGAGGCTCTGAGTACGATTCGCTCACAACTATCACGGATTTTACCCAAGCCTCCTAGCGCCCCTCCCTCCAGGCATGGGTTCCTGTCGTTATTGGAAGAGGTTTTGGGCAAGTTTTGGAATGCGGAGAACATGAACGGGAGGGACGATTCTTATAGGAGGGACGAGGCTGGGGAGTACGAGGGAAGCGAAAAGGACTGGGTGTATCTTGCGACACCTTTTGCTTGCTGCTTATCAAAGCCTGTGGGCGTTTTTCTGGGGTTCAGGGCTCTTATGGAGCGGCTCAGTACGTCTCGGCGCAGATCGGACTCGCGAGGGTCTTGACTGACAATTGCGACAGGGAACTTTCCTCCACTGCCTATCCGGCTAGCCTCATTCCTGACATTGTTCCGACAAGCTCTACCTGAATTGCATGCCTACTGCGAGGATGAGCAGGTACCTTATGTCCAGGTGGCATTGAGCTGGATGACGACTCTGTTGGCGAAGGAGATGTGGCTGGGTGATGTTTTGAGGCTGTGGGGTAAGTGAGATGCAGACGTCTGATCCATGTTAGCTGATGACTTGTCTGTCCACTTAGACACCTATCTCGCGGCTGACGACATGTTCGAACTGCATTGTTATGTTTGTGTTTCCATCTTGTCGACATGCAAGGAGTAAGTCAAACCCCGTCAAGAGGCGTCGACGCTTACCCTCACTTCAGGACTTTGGAAGAGCTGGACGGTTCAGAGGCAAGGCTTGTCTTACTAGACCTTCCTCCGTTAGACGTTGACAGAGTAAGCCGCGCCCTCCCTCATCAACTGAAAGAGTTGACAACGTGAGACCAGTTATTGCAGGACGCCGCCAACCTCAGAGTAGCCTTTCCACTACCACGTCCTGTGCAAGAAGACTGGTAAGGGGCGCCTGTCTGCGCGGGTCTCTGGTCATATCCATGGAAGGTAGAGTCAGGGCAGAGCGATGGGGTGCCATATCATAACGAATCATCAATCGGCTCTCATCTCTACAGTCTGCCCAACAATCAGGGCATCTCGTTCAACATCTATATAATGCCCATTTGTTTGCATGTACCACCACCCGTCAAGGAAGAATTATGCACAGTCAACAATCGAGCAACTTTCCAAGCGAATACTGTGCGAGTATCGAGAAGTATCGATGAATGATGACCACATCAGCGGAGCCTCCACCATACGCGGGGATTGCCGCCTAACGGGATCAAAAAGTTGGCAGAACGCTGGATCATTCTGGAGCCACGCAGGCCGATTATAAATTTTGTTCATCAGTTGATTTCAACTCGATTTCCGTGCACTTTTCGACATCCCCATCCCTCAGATTATAATAAAGTAAGTTCAGCTCTCCCGCACTTCCCCCTCCTTTTCTATGATGTTCAAATGTAATTTGCGTTTGAGAACCCTCTCTGGAGGGGCTTTGAAACCAAACTTATGCCAAAATGTCTGATCCCATCACCTCCTCCCAATCGTTGTCGAAAAACTGGGAGTTAGGAGCTGACCCACTGGTTGTAGTAGAATAGGAGCTATGGCTACCGAACAGAAAGAAAACCTTTTCCCCACTCTTGGAGAGGTAGCGGACCGCACAGGCGCTGGAGAGGGCGAGGAGGACGATGGTCAGATGCAGGAAGTCGAGAGTTTATGTATGCGATGTCATGAAAATGTATGTCGTTGGCCCCCATTCCACTAAAGGTCTGCGGCGCTTATCAAGCTGTTTGGTAGGGCGCGACTAGACTGCTGTTGACTTCCATTCCTTACTTCAAAGAGATCATCGTATCTTCTTTCCGATGTGACCACTGTGGCTTCAGGGACACTGAAATCCAGAGTGCCGGCGAGATTCAGCGTTAGCATCCTCGCGCTCTCTAAGGGGAATTAGTTCTGACCTCGTGTGTAGCCAAGGGTGTCAGCTACACCGTTCACCTCCTCTCCCGTGACGACCTCGACCGTCAAATCGTCAAGTCCAACTGGGCCACTATCACCATTCCCGACATCCAGCTCACCATCCCTCCCGGTCGTGGACAGATTAACACTGTCGAAGGCGTCATCCGCGACACTGTCCGAGACCTCAACATCTCCCAGCCGGTCCGTCGGGTTATGGACCCCGAGACGGCTGGCAAGATTGACATCTTGCTCGAGAAGCTCAGGGTCGCCATTGACATGGAGGATGATGAGGACGAGGACGGAGGTGTCGGTAGGGATGACGAAGACGAGAAGCGCGCCTACCAAGAGTCGAAACCCCACGAAGAGAAGCCTTTCGTTCCCTTCTCCATGATCGTCGATGATCCCTCCGGAAACTCGTACTTCCAGTTCAAGGGCTCTCAGTCGGACGCCCAGTGGAACATGCGTGCCTATCCTAGGACTTTTGAACAGAACGTCTCCCTGGGTCTGGTCGCTGCCAACGAGGATGGAGAGAAGCAGGAGGAGCCTGTTGTGGCCGAGGATCACAAGCTTGGGAGTGTGGAGGAGTTCGAAGAGAAGAGGAAACAGTTGATGGCGAGGGAAGACGGAACTGTGGTGCCGGATGAAGTCTTCACTTTCCCTGCCACTTGTTCATCTTGCGGGCATCCTCTGGAGACCCGCATGCAGCAAGTCAACATTCCTTATTTCCAAGTGAGTCCGCTTCTTGTTCGTCAACTTTCCAGCTGATCAAGTTTACTAGGACATCATTATCATGGCCAGTAACTGTTCCGCCTGTGGTTACAGAGATAACGAGGTCAAGTCTGGTGGCTCCATCGCCCCTAGGGGTAAGAGAATAACCTTGAAGGTGGAGGATGAAGAGGATTTGAGCAGAGACATGTTGAAAGTGAGCATAGTTGGAAATTTGTTTAAGTATGAGGCTGATCCCCTTCAAGTCTGACACTGCTGGTCTTGAGATCCCCGAAATCGACCTCGTCCTCCAGCCCGGAACTCTTGGTGGCCGATTCACTACCCTCGAGGGTCTCTTGAACGAGATCTACACCGAATTGAGTACCAAGGTTTTCCGTACTGGTGACTCTCTCACATCTGGTCTCGGCCAGATCAGCAAGGAGGCTGGGTCTGAGGAGCGCAATTTCGAGGATTTCCTCAAGGGTTTGAAAGACTGCATGGGCGCCAAGAGGCCGTTCACCCTTATCATCGACGACCCTGTCTCCAACTCTTACCTCCAGAACCTCTTTGCTCCCGACGCCGATCCCAACATGACCATCGAAGAGTACGACAGGACGTTCGAGCAGAACGACGAGTTGGGTTTGAACGACATGGTTGTGGAGGGTTACAACGAGGACGTGAAGGACTCTTCTGCCTAGGTGTGAAGATTGGAGAACGTGCTTGGGAGGGGCTGGCTGTGTAATTATAGAGGTTGCGTCACAGTATGGTAGGCGTCATTGTACGAGTATTGTTACAGATATGCATAGTAGATCAAGCATTGGGCAGTCACTGTGTTGTGGCTATGACTCAACAACACATATGTAATTGAACGTTGCTACGCGCGCAACTTGCTGTGCTACTCAACGAAAGGCGCAAGGCAAAGCAAGCCATGAACGGCTGCGGCTCCAGGATCATCTACGACCGTGGGCGCACTGCTTTCTTTGTGACTCTGTCCAGTGATAAGACATCTCACGTGAGCGGAACCGCCGAGAGGGAAAAGTGGTGCATATACCGTGAAACAACGCGCACTGCTTGCCGAGTACGTATGCTGCGATTTAAAGCATCAAGCGCTGCAGTACAAAGTTTGCGATCGATGGTCGGAAATTCCAGTTAACTTTATATATATTGCTTATTGCCATCATGTAGGAGATAGGAGTTGGTGGGAGGATGGATCTCGGTGCTTGGGCTACGTGAAGCTCCGTTAGTTAAGCTGCCGCTCGGACACCGGAGCATGGAGTGCGATGGATATCCTGCCCAGGAGGCGCATTTCGGGTGGGCATTAGGCAGAGCAGAACCAGACACTTGGCAATTTGAATACAGAGATACCGACTTTGTCCTTTGTCTTCTGAGACCGAGAACAGAGCTCGCTTTCAAGAGCTGATGGGCTAGTCTGGAGGAAGAGGGCACCAATGATGGCCTGAAGGCGCTGGAGGGGCTCGTACTCGGAGGTTTCATGTCTTTGATACGACGGATACGCGTACAGAATGCGTTCCTTGGGATCTCAAAGGTTTACTGCTTATGGAAATAGCGGCTTGCCGAAAACGTGCCGACCAGCTCAACGGGCATCTCGAACTGGCCGTTGTGAATCGTCCTTGTTCGCCCGAGAGACATGTATGCCCAAAGTGACTCCACGCCACCAGCTGACCACCAGTGGCCGAATCAAAGTCAACGACGCGTGTAGGAGATCGAAGACCGTCTGTTGTGCTACACGTTCCCATATATAAACGGAAGAAAATAACAACAAGCTCCCATGATCAGATGTGCTGACTGCAACAAATCATGTGCTCGATTGATTCCAGAACACTGGTTTCGAGCTAGCTGGCCAGAAAGAGGGGGAAAGAGAAGAGGAACGAAGCGGCTGGAAACGAATAGAAGGAACAAGACCAAAGAGTCTAGACTCTGGACAGTTTCAAGTATTCCACTTGTGGCCACGGGGACACGGGTAGCCTCGTAGACCGATTTGCACGATAAAAGAGGCCCCGCGGTCTCCGTCCGGCGGTTTGTCTCTTGCTGCTGCTGAGGCGGGGGTGCACAAACGCGGCCACGCACTCGTCGCCCCCGACCGCGTTTGAGTCATGCGCAAGCCATCCTGTGCGTCGTAACTTTATGGGCATGCGGGGCTCTGTCGGCCGGTCATGTTCATTCGCGTACTTCGCGTCCGGCACGAGATCGCAGACTGTCGCAGATCGCGGTCCGCAGGCACTTCGTAGTCAATTATACGTAGCTCGAACGTTGATTGCCTCGTCCGAGGTCCATTGTTCTGTTCATCGACGGGCAGTCTGAGACGGTCCAGGTATTCATATAGCCCACCGCATGTCATCGAAAAGGGTCTTTCCCCTCAAGCAGCCATACAAACACCTTTCCCACAACGCTCGTCACTTCCACCACTCATATGATCGACCGCGTTCCCACCCCTGTGCCCGCCGGCTACCAGCAGAGGCGCCATTCAGACGATGACCGACTGCACCTCGACTCCCTCTGCTTGTCATCGTGCCAACTTTCTCCCCCCTACGTCCAGCCCCTACATTTCAAAATGACACCTCTTCCCACACCCACCCCTCCCTCGCTGCTCAAGCGGGCCAAGTCGCTTGAGCAAGCCCGTCCTCGGCGTCATGCCCACTCCCAACCACGATCTCCCCCAGCCCATTCCCATTCCTTGCCCCCATCCCATCACCATCATGTGTCCGGCTTGCACCACGCACCGCAACCTCACCATCATACAACCACCACCACAACGGCCGCGGCGGGAGACCACCCTCCGTCCGCGCTCGCTTCCGCCGCCACGCGTCGGCACTCCACAACCACCTGTGATATCCCTCCCTTGCCTCACCAGCGCCGGAGATCATCATCCCTGATATCCGTGTCATCCATCCCCTCTCCTCCACTACCGTTGACCCCTGGTCTGGATATCCTGCCAGAGTTGGCGGACGAATCTTTCGACTTTTTCCCTCCGGCAGCCAGCTCGGCGGTTGAGAGGGTGTCCGTCAGGGCCGACGGATACCCATTTCCCCATGATCCTTATCCTGGGGGCATATCGCTAGGCGAGGGGGCGACGGAGATAAAGGCGGTTGAGGAGAAGAGGTCGGCTGCCGGAAAGCGGCGGACAACGGGAGGGTGGGATGTTAAGGAGAAGCCAAAAGTCTGCTGAGGTGGAGAGGGGAGAGTAGGTCTGTCGAGAATGGAGAAGGGAGAGACGGCATATTCAAAGTGTACCAAGGAGGTCACGATTATAGATATACACAAGTTGTCAGAAGTAAAATGTACAAAATAGCAATCGAAACAGAGCACGCCTGATCTTTTTGCACAACATTCAAGGTCACCTCTGAGAATTGCCAGACCAGAGCCATCAAAGAGAACACCTGTCGTCGAATTATAGCATGATACAAGTCTTTGCTCTCATCCCATCCAGTATCTTTTCTGCCATACCCGCCCATCTCCTCCTTGAGGCCCACACAACGCCCTCCAATCCTTTACAGCAGCTGATTCTCCCGGCTTGCACCCAGTGTCCTTCTCTGGCTCGGTTTCTGGCAAAGGATTAGTTGACCGCAAACCCGAAGGGGATCGGTTTGGTGTGGGAGGGTTTTGCCGAGGGAGAGGATTCGACGGGTCCGAGGACAAGGCTGGGGAGACTCCTTCGACAGATGTGGGTTGATAAGGCGCTTGTTTGTTGTGGAACATGTGCGCGAAACCTTCAATGACGGAGACGATGTCCCGCCAGTCTGTCATCTTTCCAGGACCTGGTACAATGAGCTCGATACCTGGGCAAGATGAAGAGGTGACACTTACCATCATCTCCGCAAGCCAGACGGCCACCCCCTTGAGGACCTGATACAAGATAACCCAGCTCATCCTGGACTATAGTAAGATGCTTGGCCGTCAGGCGATGCTGGTACATGTGCGTGTTCATGGCGGGGCACAGCACCACCGGTGTGGAGGGAGAAAGTGCGCGCATCAGCGACGTCTGCCAAAGCATTTTGGTTAGCCCATGGCACGAGCCGGAGGATAAGACACCCACGGCCAAGTCGTCGCAAAGACCCCCAGCAACTTTGGCAAGAAGGTCGGCCGAGCAAGGTGCCACGACAACCAGATCTGCCCACCGTCGCAGCTACAGGAGACATCAGTAACGAAGGACAGCTTGACGATGTGTTGCCAAACCTCTATATGCAGTATAGGGTCTCCTACTTTCCTCCAATCTGACCATTCGTCCGTGTCTGTCCATACTTTGTATCCTACATCACCGGTCGCTGAATCCGAGAGTTGAAGCGACTTTCTCACGGAGCTATCTATGTCATTCTGGCTATAGAAATGAGTAGACGCTTTGGTGGCGACGATCTGGACATCGATATCACGGTTCTATGCGTGTCCCATCAGTGCGTGCAGCGTATGCATGCCAGAGTATATCCACCTTGGCCAAAGCCGCTACAATGTCCGGAACTTTGATGCTGGCGACGCTGCCGCTGGTGATGAGAACGAGTCGAAAAAGGCCGTCGTGGGCCTCTTCGGGTGGCCGATAGGAAGCCGACACGAACGGCCGGGACGGCTTGTGGGGGGTGCGAGGGGGTACAGGGACGGGCATGCGTGGGCAGAAGGAAAGAGCGAGATGGTCCGAGAGAGAACGGAAAGAAAGCAAAAGAAAGCGCGAGAAAGTGCGCTGCAAGGATAGAATGCCCTGGAAAATGCGGGGAGGTTCGCGATGGCCCAGGCACGGAATGATGGCCTGCCTCCACTTTCGGCCCCGCGTGCATAAAAGAGGACCGTCGCCGTCGTCACTGCCCAGCAGACTCACAATCAATCTACATCTACAACTACAACTACAACTACAACTACAACTGCAACAATAATACCATGGCCGAAAACCTCACAGACAAGTCTTCCGAAGTCCTCAAGGCTGCCCTCGACAAAGCCGAGGAGCTCGCCAACGCCCAAGGTATGTTCCATCTCCACATCTTATGACGCATCACTGACAGCACACAGTCCACCCACTCCATCTCATTTCTGTTCTCTGGGAAGAACCGAGCCAATCATCCACTGCCCCTGACCAACCTACCCTCCTCAGGGCGGCCGTCGAGCATGTCGGCGGCAACCCGACACTCTTCAATCGCGCTCTCATGGGCAAGATTAACAGATTACCTGTGGTCGACCCAGCGCCCTCCCCTCCCCTCCCTCTCGCCAACTCTTTCCACGCCGTTCTCAGAGAAGCTCAAAAGCTCCAGAAAGATATGAACGATGGCTTTGTTGCCATAGATCATCTCATACTGGCTTTACTGCATGTCGACGGTTCCGAGATGAAGGAGCTTTTGAAGGGTACAGGTGCCGAGATCAAGGCCCTGGAAGCTGAAATCAAGAGGAAGAGGGGAGGTAGGAAGGTGGATAGCAAGAGCGCCGAAAGCCAATTCGATGCTCTCAACAAGTGTAAGTGACTGTTCTCTCGCAAAGACGACAAGTACTGACGACAATGGTAGACTGTGTTGACCTCACTGCCCTCGCCGAACAAGGCAAACTCGATCCAGTCATTGGACGAGACAATGAAATTCGCCGAACCATCCGCATCCTTTCCCGCCGAACCAAGGGTAACCCCGTTCTCATCGGTGAGCCCGGTGTCGGTAAGACTGCCATCGCCGAAGGCCTCGCTCAGCGTATCGTCGACCGGGATGTCCCTGCAAGCTTGATCAGTCGTCTTATGGCCCTTGACATGGGTGCTTTGATGGCTGGCGCCAAATACAAGGGAGAGTATGAGGAGCGAGTCAAGGCCGTCCTCAGCGAAGTCGAGAAGAGCGGAGACGAAGGCACTCAGATTATTCTGTTCATCGACGAAATCCATCTCATCATGTGAGTAACATCTCTCTTGTCTTGTAGAGTTGAGCTAATACGTGCCGCAGGGCCGGAAAAGATTCGAGCGGAGGTATGGATGCTGCCAACTTGCTCAAGCCCATGTTGGCCCGAGGCAAGCTCAAGGTTATCGGCGCGACCACTCTCAACGAATACCGCCAATACATCGAAAAGGATTCTGCATTCGAGCGACGATTCGCTCAAGTCATTGTGGATGAGCCTTCAGTTCCCGACACCGTTGCCAGTGAGTACATTGGATTATCATCCTAGTCGAATCAACTGACATGTCTATAGTCATGCGTGGTATCCGCGAAAAGTACGAAAGCCACCACGGTGTCCGAATCATGGACTCTGCTATCGTCCTCGCCGCGCAGCTCGCCAAGCAGTACCTCACCGCCCGGCGCCTTCCCGACTCTGCTATCGACCTCCTAGACGAGGCTGCCAGTGCCGTCAAAGTCGCCCGAGAGACCCGCCCTGAAGCTCTGGACGAGCTCGAGCGCAAGAAGCTCGGTCTCGAGGTCGAAGTCCACGCGCTCGAGAGGGAAAAGGATGAAGCTTCCAAGGAGAGGTTGGAGGCTGCCAAGAAGGCGATTGCCGATGTGGAAGATCAGCTTGGACCGCTCAAGAGAGAGTACGAGAATGAGAAGCATATTGGAGACCAGATCCACGAACTGAGAAGGAGAATTGACGAACTACGTGCCAAGGCTGATGAAGCTGAGCGAAGGTGAGTACTGTTGAGCTCTGCCCGATCTTTGACACTGTTGACTGACAAATTTAACTAGGTATGACCTCGCCACCGCAGCCGACATCCGATACCACTCCATCCCTCAACGAGAAGAGAAGCTCAAGGAGCTGGAGCAGAAGGAAGCCGAGAAGGGTTCGGGTCAAGGTGTGACCCCCGACGGTATTGCAGAGGTCGTTGCTCGGTAAGTGTCGCACTTCTAGTCTTTGATGCGTACTAACCCAAGTTCGCAGATGGACAGGTGTTCCCGTTTCTCGTCTCGTCGAGACAGAAAAGGCCAAACTTCTTCGCCTCGAGAAATTGATCTCCAAACAAGTCATCGGACAGCCCGAGGCTGTCAAATCTGTCGCCAACGCTATCCGACTCAGTCGATCCGGTCTCGGCAACCAGAACCGGCCTATCGCCTCCTTCCTACTTGTTGGACCCTCTGGTACTGGTAAGACCTTGCTAGCCAAGACCGTCGCCAGTGTCATGTTCAACAGCGAGGATGCGATGGTGAGGATCGACGCTTCAGAGTATTCAGAGAAGCATTCAATCTCTAGATTGGTTGGAGCTGTAAGTTTCTCTAGCATATCATCAGTGAGCATAGCTGACTTTTCCTCAGCCCCCAGGTTATGTCGGTCACGAGTCTGGCGGAGCTTTGTCCGAAGCTGTCCGACGCAAGCCCTATTCTCTCATCCTCATCGACGAGATCGAAAAGGCCGCTCGAGAGTTCCACCAGATCTTCCTACAAGTCCTCGATGACGGCCGTCTCACCGACGGTCAAGGACGCACCGTCGACTTCCGAAACACCATCATCATGATGACCTCCAACGTCGGCTCCAACTTCCTGAACGAAAACCCCTCCGAAGGTCCCGTGCAGCCCGAAGTCCGCGTACAAGTCAACGGTGCTATCGCCAAGACCTTCCCTCCCGAGTTCATCAACCGAATCGATGATATCATTCTTTACAGGTCTTTGAGCCGGGCGGATATCAAGAAGGTGGTGGGCGTGAGGTTGCAAGAGATCCAGAAGAGGATCTTGGACAACAACAAGAAAATCAAGTTGGACGTCGACGACTCTGCTCGCGAATGGTTGGCACAAGCTGGTTACTCTCGTAAGTTTAATTCATCTGTATCTTCACCGAACCGCACGCTAATCATGTCATAGCTTCATACGGTGCTCGACCCATGGCCCGTCTCATCCAGACCGAGATACTCAACCCTCTCTCCCGACTCTTGCTCCAGGCCCGAGTACGGGACAATGAGACGGCGCATGTTACTGCCGATCTGAGGAAGAACCGATTGGTGGTTATCCCCAACCACGAGCCAGATGTGACAATGCCGGACGAAAGTGATGAGGAAGATGATTCAATGGACATTGAGGTGGAGGATATGGATTAGACAGTTCAGTGAAGAAGATAAATGGAATCTGGGAATGCTTTTCTTATAGCTGTGTTGTGATATAGTTGTCGATCTAGGTAGTCGTTTTGGGAGAACAAATCTAATCTAGCATGTAAACGAATCTTACGGATGGAAACTTTTGTGCACACTAAAGACGCAGCGGTCCACTCTGACTGGATGACATTCTAGGCTTATCTTACATGTTGTCATTACTATCGTAGTTTCTTGTCGTATCCCTATCCCTTCTACTCTGCGATCTGGTAACCGGCCACCGTCAAAAGCGTAGCCAGCGTGACCTTGGCAATCGCCACGATCTGCTCAAAGTCGTACCCCTCCCTTTGCGAAAGGTCGCCCGAGTTGTGGTACATCGGGTCCACAATGTCGCCATTACGCTCAAACACCTGAGTGGCAGGGAATCCGTAAGAGACGAAGGACTGATGGTCAGAGCAGCACGCGGCGGTTGTACCGACAACGAGCTCGGGAGCATAGAGGTGGGAGATGTTGCCGACCAGGTAGCTGGCCTCGGGGAGGTGGATGCTAAACAATCGTAATCAGTATCGCCACATTTTGAGAGTGAATTGTGCTCACGTCTCGGGGAGGCCAAGCTGAAGAGACTCGCCGACCTAGATAGATGTAAGCAAGATGTACTGCTTGTTGAGCGGGACTCGGCTTACAGCGTGGTAGCCCAACATGTCCGCCTGCACTTGTAACAATATCGAAGTGTTCTGGGAGTGCAAATACTCTACCAAAGACTATCAGTGATGCTTTTGACTGGGCGATGTGCGGCTTACCGGCATAAGCATGGCTTCCAAGCAGCCCTTGCTCCTCGCCCGCGAAGAAAGCAAGCGTGACCTGCTTCTCAAACTGTACGCCTTGGCTGCCAATAGCATGTGCCAGACCAAGCAGGTGACCAGTACCAGAGCCATCGTCATCGCCCCCAGGAGCACGGGTAGACCCAAACGAGCCACGCGAGTCATAGTGGGCAGAGAAGATGACGTTCTCAGTGGAGTTTTGAAGGGAGGGATATTGGCAGATCACGTTGGGAGAGAAGCCTTCTAGGAAAGGTTGAAGAGTACAGGTAGCTCCCGTGGCTTCGACCTTGCCTTTGATCTAGTCAGCAACAGAGACGGAATACAATGACTCTAGTAACTGACCTTGGATCCAGTGTGCGGCCTTGACAGCTCCTGGGGTGAAGCTGTGCCTGGACTGGATACCGCTGGGAGACTCTCCAGTAAGCCATCGTACATCCCTCCTGACTTGATTGAGGTCCAAACCATCCGACAAGATCCTGTCAATGGCAGGAGAGAACTGCAGGTTCTCGATAATGCCCGCAAGATACTTGGCGTACTTGGTGGGGACAGATTCCCAGCCGAGAGCGGCCACGGGGTAAGGCTTGGTCGGTACAGCAACAGGCACAAGGTATGGGGGCAGTAGCGTGTCGATATAGGGAAGAGAAGAGGCTCCGACATGCAGCAAGAAGGAATTGGCAGTTTGGTGGAGAAGAGTGATAGGCTCCTTTCGTGTGTCACGAGGGTCATCGCTCTGGATCACAAACGGGGAGCCTTGCTCCTTGCCGTCTTCCGACATGCTTGGCCATGAGTGTGCCGAAATATCCATGGGGAGCTCGCCATCACCTTGCACACCAGCCTTTCCGATCCAGACAATACGGCCCTTCTCCAGAGATCCCAAGTCCTCCAAGGGAACAATGGATCCAGCTGTAAAGCTATCGAGATTGGAAGAAGAGAGGCATTCAGCCGAGGGGAGATATATGTGCTCTTGAGTAGCAGCCGAGCCTCCGTATGACCCGTGGTAGGAGTGCTTGAGGCAGTCGGGGACGGTATCATGAGCGCCGTTGGCGATGAAGAGCGACGGGGTGTTGGGGACGATGGCAGCCGAGGCAGATGCTGCCAGGACGGGGAGGAGGGCGAGCATAGCGGGTCGTGGGTAGAAGAGTAGAATGAGGATGGATTAGACAGAAATCAAGAGGATAGATGGACGATCATCTCATAACTCATATCGACGCGCATCGGACATCGCCGACGTGCTCGGACCGTAATAAGCCGACCTGACTCGGCTTCTTGTTGTTCTTGTCCTCCGCCACCATGTCAGCATACGGCGCCATAGCCGCCCCGAAACAGCTCGGAGAGCTGCCAATCCTCACGTTCCCGCTGTCCACCCCTGAGCTTGCCCTCGTCACCTATCCCGTCGCAGGGGCAGAGGCCCCAGACGAGCTCCTCAAGTATTTGTACTCGATCTTTTCAGACGAACTGGATGGTACGTTTGTGTCGGTACCAGCCAGCAGCCGTTAATGCTGCTTTAGAGGGGATCACATACCCACAAGAGGGGCCATTGACTTATGAACAATTCGTCGCATACTTCTTTGCGGCTACGACCATTGTCGGCGTTATTCAACCGGTCGACTCTGAGGGCCGTGCAGAGACCTCTGGTGGACTGGAAGGCGCTCGAGCGGGGCGGACTTGGGAGGAAGCTGCTGGTGGATGCTACTATATGTAGGTCTGCGACACGATCTTGATGCGATGATGTGGCTGATGCAGAACGTAGTAAACCCAACTATCCTGGAAGAAGCAGCCATGTGAGTTTGGATACTTGAATTGTCCAAGCCAACCAGCTGACCTAGTATATAGCTTTGTGTAAGCAGCGACTCTTCAGTATGAGCGTGCGCGGATAGCTAATCTTTGCTTGTAGAACGGTGGCTTTATCGTCCCACGCAATCACCGAGGCAAGAAACTGGGACAAGCACTGGCCAAGAGCTTCTTGGAATACGCGCCCCGCCTGGGGTACAGAGGCAGTGTCTTCAACTTGGTATACACAAGTAAGTCCCCTGGCATCGTGACCCAATCACGTCATGATGACTGACGCCTGCTGCAGCCAACGGCGCGTCTCTCGCACTTTGGTCCAAGCTTGGCTTCACCAAGATTGGAGTCATCCCCCAGGCTGGCCGTCTCAAGACCGGCCCCAACGGGACGGAACAGTACGTTGACGCTGCAATCATTCACAAGAGCTTCGTATGATGAGTGAAGCGGCCAGCATGGACATGTCATAAGTAGGGAAAAAGCTTGATGCCAGAATGAAGAGTACATATGAAGAGTACATTATATAATGGTCTTACAAGGCAGTCTTGCGAACTTTGACCGGCTCGTCTTTTGGTGCATCGACTGGAGACTCAACCGGGATGAAGATGTGCTCCCGGTAATACTCAAGCTCCTTGATGCTGGCTTGAATATCATCCAATGCACTAGTAGCAGCATCTGTCAGCGACTGTCGCATGAAAATTGGGGTCAACTTACCGATGCGCAATCTCTCCTGTACGACCCTTCTGCTCCTTGGCTCGCATCGTTGGATACCACCTCCTGCAGACTTCTTTGACAGTGCTGACATCTGCAATACCATATTGTAAGTTTCGGGCAGACGCGCGACGGGGAAGCGTACCAAGGATCCTGTAAGAGAGGTGCTGCATTATCTCCGGCATTCCAATGAGCATGAACCTGTCATGATATATCAGCTTGTGTACTACAATTCGAACAGATATAATCCACCTCATGTCTGCATGGACAGAGCTACCAGCCAAAAGCCCCGCACCCTTCTCTGGGATCCACTTTTGGATGTACGCCAGAACTTTTTGCACGACATCTTCGTACGAGTGAGGAGAGTCGAGGCATGCTTGTGTCAATCCAGTCTTGCCGTGCTGCTCCGTACACCAGTCGCCCATACTACGACCACACGAGTCAGCAAAGGTATATATCTTGCCGAGATACAACTTACCCGTCCAGCACCTCCTTCGAAGTGTTGATGATATAGCTCACCCCTTCGTCTACAGGCTTCAGCCTGCCATCCGTAATAATGACAGCGATCTCGATGATCTTGTCATTGAGAAAATCAAGACCAGTCATTTCACAGTCAACCTACACGGGATCAGCGTGGGCAGCTTTCGCGCGAAAGTAATGACTTGCCCAAACAAGGGGACCGTCATCGTAAGTCAGAGCGTCGGTGGTGGACATGTCGCCTTGAGGGTATGAGGTATACCTTGTTGATTCTGGAAGAGAAAACGTAGTTGTAGAGACAAGTCACAATCTTTCAACGAATTGATTTGTTGTCAAGACGCGTCCGGCGCGGCGGTTCGCGTGGACGGACAGACCACCACCGCGCCGGGGCCCCAGCAGGATCATGATATACCAGTCTAGTGTACTGTATGTTGATGATTTAAAGCAATAATCACGGACATCTATGTATGTAGGGCGCAGGCGAGATGCAAGATACATGAGATACTTTGGATGACAACTTTTCTTCCCGCTTTTACTGCTGTCGGTTGCCGGCATTACCACCCATGAACTGCTGAGCCCTGTTCCGTCACTTAGCCATTTCCCGTAGTGATACAGAGTCAGAGTCGAAACTTACAAGTTCCTCATGTTTGGGTCGTTGGCGAGCGAGCTCAGATCGGGCATACCGCCGCCATTAGCGCCGCCGTTGCCGAAGCGCTCGGCCATGTTGCGCAGAGCAGGATTTTCCATAAGCCTCTCCAGACCACCATTACCCATCATTTGTTGGGCCCTGAAAGAGTCAGCATATCGTACAGGTATTGAGAAGAGTCTTGACTAACATGGCCATCATCTGAGGGTTGTTCATCAAAGACGCCAGATCGGGCATACCCCCACCACCACCACCACCACCACCACCACCACCACCACCACCCAACATACTGGCCAGAGAAGACAGGTCGGGCATTCCACCAGCGCCCCCAGCACCTCCCGCACCGGCGTTTCTGGCAGGCTCACGGTCCGCAACAGAGTTTGAAGAAGTCTCGGCAAGCTTGGTTTTGGCGGTAGCAAGAGCAGTCTTCATGTTGGCATTGGTAGGATCGAGCTCGAGACCATTCTCGTAGGCTTGGACAGCAGCAGCAAAGTCGCCCTGGCTGAACTGAGCGTGTCTAAAGAGATACGTCAATGATGGTGCAATTCAGACTCTCTACCCATGACGTACCCGAGCCTAGAGTAGGCCTTGGTGAATTTCGGGTCGAGTTCTAAAGCCTTCTCCGCATCTTCCACCGCCTTCTCATGCTGACCAGCACCTCCCCAAGCAGCCGCACGGTTGGAGTAATAGACCGGGTTGGGGCTGAGCTTGATGGCTTCAGTGTACTGCTCGATAGCCGAGTCGTAGAGCTTCTGACCCATCAGCTGGTTTCCTTTGGCCTTCAAGGTTTCCGCCTTGGCTTTGTCGGCCTCAGATGGACCAGAGGAAGAGGAAGAAGTAGGGGCAGGGGATGATGCGAGGGGCGTTGAAGGTGGCTGAGAAGCTGACTTGGCCTTGGTCTTGAGGAAGACGTCGAGGATGGAAAGGAGCGAGGCGGGCTTGATAGAGTAGGCGTTCGCGTCCTCTGTGGAATCGGGGTCTACACCAAACGCCTCGGCGATGCATTGCACTAGACACAATTTAGCATATCGTTATCGAGCGTCTTTTTTCTACGCACCGGCAACTTCCAGTGACTCCTGATCGTCCTCCTTCACAGTCCCGTCCGCGGCGGAGGTTCTGAGAAAGTCGATGCTAGAGACCTTTCAGCTTACGCAAGTCGCACTCGCAGCAGGATGACTGACATGTTGTATACGAGCTGCTTCTTCTTTGCCTCGGCCATGATGAATGTGATGGAAGAATCAGGGGAAAGTAGGAAAAAGAGATAATGGCAGGCAGGCACTACTGCAGCGAGTGACGCATCGTTGCCGACGACGTGTCACGGACACGACTCATGTCCGGATTCAATTTCGGACAACCAGCGTTCACGACGAATTTTCGACACTCCTTTCATTTCGTATGCATTTCTCGTCGTTGTCTCGTTGGTGTATGGACGTGTGATATACAAATCAAATTCGTTGGTGTATACAGAGATTGAAACGGCTCGGGCTCTATCCCGATTACTATGTACGCGAAGACGATCGAAACTCATGTCATGAGGTGAAGAGAAAAGACGGCTAGCGCCTGGCCATCTATCAAACCATTTCTGATTGCGAGGCCTCATCCCCATCTTTGTCCATCTTGATGCCAAACATCGACGCCCAGAACTGGACAGTGTTGTCAGCCTTCTATCGTGTTGCAGAAGCGCGTAGCTCGACACTTACCCCAGGTAACGCGAGAGGGCTGGGCCCGTTGAAGTCACCAGATAGAGATGTGGCAATAGAATCTGCTTGAGCCATATTGTAGAAGCCGCCGTTATATTGGGAAGACCTGGGCAGACCATAATCAATCCCGCTTGGGAACTGCGCTGGATTCCTTTGGAAGGCGTCTGCTGCGTTGAGTGGTCGGGCAGACGAGGTAGGGCGTTGAAATGCCCGGACGTCTGTGAGAGGTGTAGGTGGCGCTTTCTGTTCAACCTGAGAACCACCAATCCCAGCATTGGTTGGGGAACCATCAAAGAATCCAAACATTGCGGGAGACATGCCGTTATACGAGGTGATGGGAGCTGGCGACCGACGGTGTTGATCATTGGCCAAGCTGAGAAGATGTCAATGAGAGCCCCTTCGCGATGCAGATATAGAATATGCGTACGACACAAGTTTGTCGAGTTGAATGATGCCTTGACAGAGGTCGCTCTGAACAGGATGGGAACTGAACCAGGTTGACAGTCTCCCTGCAAATATCTCTTTGGCGCCTCGTAGGTCCTCCTGTTGAATGATCAATATCAGTGCTGGGGAAAGAGACCAAGACACTCACTCTACACTTGGCAGCCAGCTCCGTACCGGGCTGTCTCAAAGCTAGAAATGCGCAGACAGCAGCCGCTTGGAAGGCCTGTGGCAGCGTCAGCATAATCCCACAATGACCCCAGAAAATGAAGCCTTACCCTGTATGACATTGACCAGACCGCCCACACAAGAGGAATATCAGCTTCGGCCATTGCACGGTATGCTTTCAACACCATATGGGCGGCTTCTGAGCAGTAGGCGGTGGACTCCGGGTAAGCGCCCGGGTCGGCTTCTGCTCTGAGGTAAGGGCGATGGATTACCAAGCTATTGAAAGTCAACTCGCGGCCCTTGGCTGGTCCCATATGCTATCGCTTACGTCAAAGTCCAAGTCTTGATACACAAGGCTAATGTCTGTCCCAATCGCTTTCGACTTCTTGACTTGTGTAGATCTTCTACACTGTCGTTGACGTCCAGTCGAAGACCGTCGGGGACATGAGAGTACCACCGCCGCAAGTCCTCTGCTAGCCGCAGTGCGTCTCGGTATGTATGCTTGGGCTTGGGGGACTCCTCAGAGGCCATGTGCGCGTCCGATGGAGGCGAGAACCACTTGTATAGTGCCTCCCGGCTAGCTTGCAGATCGACAAAGAAGATACCATCGAGAAATTCGAAAGACGGTATAGTCAGTTGATAGTAGGCGGTGTGGAAAGTCTGGTCTGTTGTTCTGCTGTCCAAGTCATTGGACGTTGATAACTCTCGAGCACTTCCCGGAGATTCTGAAAGCTCCTCGTCGGCTTTGTCCTGCGGCAGATTGGTCGTGTAGAAGTTGATACTGCTCGGACGCCCGAAGAAGATTGAGAGCATGGCGTCTAGAGATGCCACGGACCACCTGCAGCACGTCAGCATCGCTGACACTCGAGACAAAGGGGTGCGCTTACCATACACGCCGCTTTACTTCAGCTTCGCGTGCCGATACATGTGGGTCGAGACTCAGAGGGTCTCTGTGCAGCCCGAGCGCCGTTGCTTGCTTGATCATATTCCCGCCGATGGCCCACGCATCTGCAGCTCTTTCGCTCACAAGCCTGCAAAGACTGTTAGCTCGTCCACCATCCCCGGTGAAATGACATACAAATATAATTGGACAAGAACCTCGTTCAAGTGAGCTACAGTCTCGGTATCAAATGATGATGGATCTCACCTGACATTGCAGCACTTGAACTGTGGGATTCGCCATGAACGAGCAAAGGCGAAGCGCCTGATATGCTGCCGACACTGTACAGCTGTGAGAATTTTGCACACGGAGACGACCATGTTACCCACAATACAGCTCGCTCTGCAAACGGCTTGTAGTCAAGTCTTTGGGCTCCTTGACATCCGGACCTCCGAGGTCATCAGGGGTCCTTTGAGCACGATTCGGATGTCCGAACATTTCTGCGGCGGTAGCTCTCGATAAGCATCCTGGGAAGGGTCAGTCAGTATCTGATGTGACGGCGTGTCTACATACCCAAGGCGCAAATGGTAAGAAACACAGCTAGGGCGGACAAAGGGACGCTCATTTTTTCGTCGGGCGGCTTGGCGAAAAAGCTGCTGTACTCCTCTTTGAGCGACGGCCTGGGCATATTGTGAGCGGCACAGCCCATCTATATAGAACACTCACATGTGGAACGGGCTCACATAAGAGCCATAAGTATTGGCCCAATCCTCCCAGAGACTATTTACAGGATTCAGCAAGCAATGACGAAAAGCGAAAGAAGGAACAGCAGGCGTACAGTTCAGATTGAGCTTGGTTAGGCAGAAGACCTATAATTTCTCCACAGAAATTCTCGTGACTCCAGATAGTAGTGAAGGGGAAGGTCTTTCTGAGATTCGGGAAAGCACCTGAATACACGCCATCTTCGGGCACAGCCAAAAGACCGCTGTCGCCTTTTGCGGAAGCCAATTCTTTGAGCTACTCGAGTATCAGTATTTGCAATCGTAACCACAGAAAGTCTTCATAGAATTCTCACACTTCGAAGCATTGATTGACCAGCAGAAGCGCCCAGATATACCGTCCTACCACTGGTGTCGTGCATGATCTCGTCACCCGGAAGGAGGTTGGCCGTGTACGGCTCAGCCCTGTAATCCGCTGATCCTGAGCCTTGCTTTTCACTCTCGTGACCCGCGCCATTTTGCGTCCTTGAAGGGCCTTCATCACCACCAGATGCCTCTTGAGACGATCTTTCCGCTTTGACAGTGACGGGAGCTAAATTTTGTCCTAGGCGAGAAACGTTGTCCGCTGCCTGAGCTTCGTCTAGCTGAAAGCGGGCATACCGATCAATGATAACGCGACGGTTTTCCCCATCACTGCCATGGTCTAGAGTTGAGGCAGCTTTGCTAGGTGCTGGAGCTCGCGCAGAGGGTTTCTGTCGCAGATCGCGCACTACTTGCTCGAGCTCCGCAACGCGCCGACGCAAACGATCACTCTCAGCTACCTCCGGATCATTTCTGTATATTCTGTTAATTGACATATTGCAGCGACTATGGACTTACGGATCACGTTGTTCATCAATCTCGTAAACGCAATTCCCAGTCTGAAAGGTGGTCAGCAGGAAGCGCATGTTGATCGATGTTACATACAAGGCCCAAAGCAATGCATCTGCCGCAAGGTCGTTTACGGTCGCACTGTCATGTTTCAGCATCATGCCATGTCAAGGGTTGAACAAGCAAGCTCACTTTGCGCTTATGAGTATGGCACTGGACGCAGCTACGAATGACTCTGTTTCTTTTACGCTTCCGGTGGTCCAACTTGCGGTCCACGTCTAGCTCATCGTTGTCCATGGGATCATCAGAAAATTCCCCCTTGGTAGCTTCTGTGGGAAAAGAAGGGGCGTTGGACTTTAACACTCCTCTGCGAATTGCCTTGCCCTGGGGTGAAGCAGGTCTTGAAGGGACTTGTGAAGCCTCGTCCCAGGATAGCATAGGGTCATCCGACGCCTGCCTAGATGGTGCACCTCCCCCCAATGCCATACGTAGACCTTCCGAAGTCCCTGGGCGACTGGCGGAAACACTGCTGTCTCCAGCAGAGTATGACTCGGCAGGACTCTGCCTGACAGGCTGGCCGTGCTGTGCCGCTGATGAAGCCCCAAGACGAGGGCTCCCGGGTGAGGGGAAAGGTCTCGCGGTATCGCTGGTGGACTTTTGATCACGACTGTTGAGAGGAGAGCAACTGGGCATCGCTTGCCAGCGTTCTGTCATCTCTTCCATGGGCGATACAGACAAAGACCGGCCTTGAGGTGGAAGCCCGCCGCTGGGAGTGATTGGTCGTTCAGTGTAGCGGTGTTGGGCCGTGCTCTGAGCCGGTGGCACGGAGCCTGGTCTACTGGTATACGGCGACAGATAGCGTGGTGGTGGGTAGACTGAATTCTGAGGAAAAGCCGTTCGTGTCTGCGGGTTGACGTACTCATGAGCAGCCGATAGGTATGTATGGGGTGGATAGCTATACCCTTGGTGGGAACCCTCGGGCACGGGTAAAGACAAGCTATAGGGAGGTCGTATAGGCGGACCCTGAGGGGCTTGCGTTTGATACGATGGGGTCGGTTGATGAGGCGAAGTGGGGTATGGTCGATACGAAGGGTGATGCGAGGAGGTATAAAGGCTCCCAGGCTGCTCGCCGGCCAGGGGACCACCTCTATGGATGCGCTCAGATCTATTTCCGCCTCCTCTTTTCTTACTGCTGGCACCCCTAGAGTCCGATGCTTGAGAGCGGCCTGGATCCTGCGGCATCTTCAACGCTTTCCTCGGGCCGCACTCCCGCAAGCCTTTGAGCTACTAAAGACGACAGATGGGATTGGTTTGTTCTCGGGCCCGTCCACAAATGTTCACACACCCCACAGACCACCTCAAATGCGCTGGCTGACGACAAGAAGAGGTAGGTGAAGGGGATGAGAAGAGGAGTACGGGGAAGGGGCGGGGATATCGCGTGGGTGTTGCTTGTTCGCCCTGGAGCCTATGGCAATGCGGAAGACATATGATGTCGAGCGGACGATCGCGTGGAAGGGGAGTTGATGGTGATGGCAACGTCGACTGTTGCTGATCGCTGATGGTACAAAATAAGCACAAGCTCCGATTGTTTATGGCCTTCTCTCTCTCCCATACTGAGCACTGTGTTCTTGTCGACGGGTTCCAGAGGGACTTGTACTTACAGTCAGTGATGGTACAATGATGCGTATGCAGCTTGGATAGACGGATGACCCGGAGGTTTTCCTGCAGGGGATAGGATGTGTTATTGACCTGCAGAGTACACAAAGCCTTTCGTAACTGGGAACCCCCGCTATTAGCCCGGTGCCGTGCGTTGGGCGATTGGGCCCCTCAACCTTTCTCCGAGCTTACCACAAATATGTCTATTGTTTTGTTTGGTTCGACGCAAAGAGGGTGACGGTGGTGTCTGGGTACAGTGCCGAAGCAGTTTGGATGGTTCACTGCTGTATGTAGAAGAGAGGTTCAAAGAGCGAATGAATTGAAAGTACTGTCCATCGGCTGCTCGATTATGACTGCCGTTATATGGTTGTGACGCATGATGTAATTGGTCAGCAGCCGCATAACGTACAGGTAGTACGACTCTCTGTTCTTGATCTTTGTCTTGCGGTCGGTGCACAGGAGAGAGGTAGAGGAGAAAATGAAAAACTCCGTACGCGGCGGGACTGTCAGACTGTCTCACTATCCTGTGGCATCTTCGGTCGCAATGCAGGGCATGCAGGCTGCAGCAAGGAAATAATATGAGTAGAGCTTGACCTTGCGGATGAAATTCCAAGCAACATCACTCGTCCGAGGCGTTTCAATAACATCATACTCCTTAACGCGATTGTAAACTCTCTTCTCCTCTCGCTGAAGTCTCTTCTCCTCCCGCCCGGAAGCATGCTCGGCGTACGACGTCATTGCTGGCCTCTCCCCGCGTCGTCCACCACCATGTTGGCCTTCCTTGGCTTTTGCCATCGAGCAAGTTGGGTTCAGCGCGCCTCGTATACTCCGGCTTCATTTTCCCTGGCCCGGGTATGCTTCCATATGACGCATCAGAGGTCAAAGGTCATTGGTGGGGTCATGTAATATTGCGAAATGGACTGTCATAATAACTGTAGTAGGCCTCATCCTGCCTCAGGACCCGAGGGGTTACACCTTGCATGGGCTGCAGATACGAGATAGTTGCTGATTGAGGGTCCAGCCATTCTTCCACATCACCGAGACAAATTCTGAATACAGTCTTCACTCGCTCCCAATCATATTATGACAGGTTACATATAGGACCTGTCTGACCTAGATACAAAATCGCCCAGATATCAACAGAATGGCATGTGTTTGCCGTCTTTTACTACATTACACTACAGATGTACAACACTAACCATCCAGCCCAAAGACCCTATCCATTTCTTCGTGACTTGGACCATCTCCTCCTGAGAGACCCATGTCCATCCCGTGCTGAGCCACCCCCACGACATCCAGAAGGGTCTGATTGTCCTGCACGGACCAATTCGCAAAGTCATGTTCCTCATGACTGAGACCTCGGTCGCGCAGGTCGTCGTCGTCGTCGCCGCACCCGCGAGCCATTGCCTCCTCTTCTCTCAGTCGCATCTGCTCTGCTACGGCCTCTGGCTTGAGCCCCTTTGCATCACCCTTCTTGTCGTCGAATTGTCTCATGAGTTCACTAAACTCGTCCCGGTTCTTCTTCAGCCTCATCTCCCTCACGAGGTACCCCGGGAACTTGCGAGGCCGCCCCTTTTGTCTTTTGACGCCCATTTCCTTCTCCCGCTTTCTCAAGTCATACTCTGCCTGCTCGGCCGGGGTTCTTGGTTTGGGCGGCCGGCCTTTCGGGCGAGCAGCAGGCTTGGGAGGCTTGGGGATGCGGGGAGGAGGAGGACCGGGCTTGGGCTTGTTTTTGGAGCCCTTTGGGCGACCTCGGCCACGCTTGAGCGGAGGTTGGGATGGATCAGAGCCGGGAAGGGGTGGTTGATTATCGAGCGGGGCGGAAGAGGGCCCAGCTTCAGAGTTGACGTTGAGTGAAGAATGAGACATATCAACGTCCTCGTCATGAAGGTTGTGGTGGTCATTCAAGCTGAGGAACTCGTGGCTTGGGGAGTGAGAAAAATTGGAAGGGAAAAGGGAGTCTGCGCACAGTCAGTAAGATGGTATAGCTGTGAGGTTGAGAGACTTACTGAAACTGGCATGTGTGAGATCATCTAGCGTGTTCTGAAGACTTTGATGAAGTCTATCTCTTTCTTCCGCATCCGTATCTGTGAGATGCGCGCCGATTGCAGCAGCGGCCTGAGCTGATGACATGCCCGAATTGTTGAGATGTGAAGACTGGAAAGGGTACCGTGTTAGTCTGAGCATCGTTTGCTACGCGTACACGCACCTGTTGAGCATTGGTAAGACTGTTGACGATCTCGCGCAATGTTGGATCAATCTCAACATCCCCTTGAAGACTGTCCGACACGTCCATAGAGTGTCCAACCATGTCCTCTTGGTCTACTTCATCGGGTCGCTCATGGTGATGATGAGACCCCTGTTCCTCATCGTGTGGAATCGCTTCTTCTTCTCTTTGCTCCATCTCGCTCTCCTCGTCAAGGCGTATTCTGCCCTTGCGAAAGTCATTGACCACTTTCTCCAGCTCGAAAAGTGATGGGTCTATCTGGATATCGTCTTGTGTAGCCGTGCCTTCTATGTTTGCGAAGGAGGACGAGGGCGGCGGCGACAGTTGGTGAGAGCGCGTCCGGGGCTGCTGGGATGTGAAGGCGGACAGACTGGGGTCGATCTGGTGGTGGCGCTCATTTGCGGCAGCGGACATGGTGGCAGACGGGGTGGACGAGGAAAGTGGAGGTGGAGAAAAGCGAGAAAAGACGCAGGAAAAAGCAGAGGACATGAGGGGGCGGGATCAAATCGAGTGTATGTGTGCCCCCCTTTTGCCACCGGCGTCATGTACTCGAGTATTCCTTTCTGCCAGTCTGTATTCTTCTGTTGTGTCCAAACAATAATGTCTGTCCAAATACCCCAGGAGCATTCTGCACGCCTTCAGGTGAGTCCCTCTGTACATCTACACGCTCTTGTTGACATCCAGCAGGCAGATGTCCAAGCAGAGCTCGAAAGAAGAGAATGGGCCGAACCGAACGGTCAGTCCTATGCCATCTCAAGTTCTCATGAATACTAATACCTGAGCAGATACTGTCATGGCGGAATACGTAACTGTGCTACTAGGTGCGCGCTCCCTGACCACGACATGTGATTGACAGAACTGACAATCACTTCCTTAGTCAACGGAAGTGCCAGAGAACGAGTGCAGGCAGAGATGGAGGACCTTGTTGGTGGAGATTTCGATGCCAATTTTCTTGATTGGCTATACGCGCGAGCCAGCGCCATTGCCGGGCCGACCGCTGTCTCCTCGGTGCCTCAGTCGACCGCGCCAGAAACGCCTGCCCAGCCCCAAGAGAGCAAGCAAGAAAGCAATCGATTGCTCTCCTCCGCCCTCGCACCTGTGACGTCCCAAGCAGCAGAGAAACGAAAACTCCCAGACTCTGCCCAAGAAGGTCAGAACAAGCGGGCAGCCCCGGCAGTCCCCTCTGGCCCTCGGACTGGTCCGGCTGCCGGCAATGGTGCCCCTGTACGTGGGCAAGGCATGGGGATCAGAGGCATGGCTGGGAGTGGTCGAGGAGGATTGGCATCTGGCAATGGCTCAAACGGATTCCACCAACAACAACCTGGCTTCAGGCCCCGGCCTCCTATGCAACAAGGGAGGTTCAACGGGCCTGCGCCAGGCATGTTCGGGATGCCTGGTCAGCAGGAAATGATGGCGCAGATGATGATGATGCAGGCCAATATGGCGCAGATGGGACAGATGATGTCTATGATGACCGGCGTAAGTCTGTTCGGGATGCTAGGTCCAGGATGAACACTGACGTGCGCTCAGCAACGGCAAAATCAATCACAAGCGCCTCAACAGGGCGGCTTCCGTCCTCGCCCCCCTCCTCCTGTGGAACTTCCTCCCGGTACCAAGCTCGGCAGTCATGCTGTATCGTCAATAACTCCCGGCAAAGCTACGACTGGACCCATCCCGACAAAGCCAACCTCAACAGCACTTTGCAAGTTCGGTGTCGGTTGTAGCAACTCTCGGTGTATCTACAGCCATCCAAGCCCGGTAGCAGATGAGAAGAACGGAATGGTACTGAGTGAGGAGGCGTGTGAAAAGGGCAAAGATTGCAAGGATGCCGAGTGTATCAAGAGCCATGTCAGCCCCGCTGCTAGTGGCGATATTTCAGGGCCATCCAAGATTTTGTGCAAGTACCAAAATTGCACAAATCCGTCCTGTCCCTTCCGACATGAGGACGCCAATGGCAATCCCATTCCTCCGCCGGCTCTCGCTGGCAAGGCTGCTACCAACGGCAATGGCGCTATTGTACCCGCACCGTCTTCCGACGATGGCAGCGTGGAAGTCATCACGTCGCATAAGACGCTCATGAACTCTTCTTTGGATGATGGACCGAGGGTCGTACAATGCAGATACGCGGAACGTTGTACTAGGGGTGAGTGGTCTCTTGATCACTTTAGAGCAAATGCTGATTTGCCGTCATTCTTCAGCGGACTGTAAATTCTCCCACCCTCCTTCTCGCCCCGTGCCCAAAGGACACAACAGCAAAAGTTTCAAACCGTCGTCTTTCTCCTCCACCCCGTCGACTTCTACAGATATCGCGAGCGCTGGTATGCACAAGAGCAAGAAGTTTGGCACGGAGACCAAGCTGAACCCATCTGCGGGGGATTTCAAGCCTGCCTCTACTGCTTGAAGCGGGCGTAGAAGGTGAGAGGAGGTGAAGGGGTCAAATGATCATCGAAAACCTATCCACTGTACATTGGGGGAGGGTCTGCATGTGCTAGGGGCACTATGATGTGTAGAAGATGTATGCTTATGGAGAACTTAAAGGCTTTTGGCCATGTGCGTGCTCCTACCCAAATGCAATGAGCTCTGCAAGGTTTCCAACATACAAGTGCCCTACAGGTTTCCAGACCATTCGCCCATTTACGTCAATATCTCAAAGCCATCAGGGGTCACTAGCACCTGGTGCTCAAACTGCGCTGTCCTAGCGCCGGTCTAGGGTATCTCAGTACAGCACACATTTCTCCTGGGAAGGGAGAACCCACATTTGAAGCAAGAGTCCAGCCATCATCCCACATGTCCCCTTTGGAGTCGCTGCCTTGCACTAGACAAGGTTCAATAGTGAAACAGTCCCCAGGTTCCATCTTTCCAGGCTCAGTGTTTCCTGGATATCATCAGTCATAAGCTGCAGGGTGTGACACGAGGCTGACTCACGTCCATGGGAAATCCATGGCGGCTGATGAAACCTCTTGCCAATGCCGTGCCCCGAAACTTGCGTGTTGACAGAAAAGCCATGCCTGGACGCAAAGTCTCTAAAGAGAAGGCGTCAGGAGACTTTTCAGCGTGATCACACTTCTAACCCACTCGATAGCTTTACCGATTTCGTTGTACCTCACGCCAGGCTTGCACAGTCTGATACCAATGTCCAATGCTTCTTCTGTCGCCGAAACGAGATCTCTCCCCGGCTTGTCGTTGTCGGGCAGAACGAAAGTCGCTGACGTGTCACCATAGTAGCCATCCTTGAACAAGGTAAGGTCGAGGTTGATTATATCTTGGGGATGGAGAGGACGGCTATGAGAGTTGTCAGCAGGAAAGCCCAGCAACAGGAAGGGGTCTGTCTACGTACTCATCGGGAATGCCGTCTGTGAGAAGAGCGCTCATCAATACATGGAGGCAATATGTATGGCAAATGACTCACGGACGATGACATTGTTCACTGACGTCGTGCAACTTCTGGGAAAGAAGGAATAACCAAGAGGGGCGGGATATGCCCCTCTTTCAATGATCATCTTGTGAATGGCTTCGTCAAGCTGGGCAGTTGTCACGCCAGGCTGCAGAGGTAAATCGTGAATTAGTCTGGGGAGGCCAATGTATAGTTGACAATTCTCACTTTGACAATCTTTGAAACCTCTTTCAGTATCCCAGCTGCGTCTTTGCAGACTTTTCGTACAGCCTGTTCTCCCTCAGAATCAAATTCTATTTTCTCTCCATTGACAGCTTGGTCTTGATCCATGTCGGGAATATCGTGTTCTCCCCATGGCGCCGTGAAAAAGTTGGCTGGGACGTAATCTGGCCGAGGAATATGCGCTGGGACAGGCAAGGGGTCGGGATAGGATGTCATGGCTGAGGAAGCGAGCAGGATGGGGTACGTGCCAAAGCGCGAGGGACCGGCACGGTATGCCCACTGGCGGGCGATGAGCGAAGGTCGCATGTTCAGGGCGTTGATTCAGAGGGTACTGGGGAGCTCTAGGCCCAATAGACGAGTTGCTTGAAGATATGAGCGCCAAAATTCAGATGGAACGCCAGAAACAAATAACTCGGAGCCCCGCTGCAGTGGTGCCTTGTGGACGGCCTAAAAATAAGGCCACAGAAGCACCGTTTGTTCGTTGCATCTTTCTTCGCGCACACCATGGACAAGAACGCTTCCCCTGGCCCCTCACAGCCCTCGCAGGGTGCGACTTCAGAGGGAACAGTCAGGGTGCCCAGCTCGGGTGAGTCCTACGTCTCGCGGCCTGCCAGCATAATTGACCATGAAGATCAGGGCTCGAGTTCTTCGAGTATCGCAGACGTCTATTCCTGGCGGGATTACCAGCACCATCCACTCCTACGGTAGAACCCCTTCCTGACTTCTATGAGGTGCCCAGAGGGCTGCCAGACCCTTTGCCCATACCTATACGAAAGCAACCGAGCAATGCTTCTATGGCACGAGTGGAAGCAGCCCTCAGCCAAGAAGGCGTAGAGTATTCCAAGGAGATGTGGGAGTCCGGGGTACGACAGCTGGCGGAAAAGCTGCATGAGGGGCGCAAGTTCACCAAGGGGATGCGGCTCAGTCTCGTTGTGAGTCGATCCCAATCACATCCTTCCCATCTTATCTCACGTCTTGTGTAGATCAAAATACTGATAGCCAGCTGGATCAACGACGGTCTGTGGCCTACAAATCCCCGGACAGGACTGCCGGAAAGACCGCCTGAATCGCCTCTGATCGAAGGTATCGAGCTGTTTCCTGAAGGAGTGCCGGTCAAGGTTATCGATACCCCCGAGGATCAACTACCACCAAAGAACGAGTATGGAGCCTTCACTCAGTGAATCATCGGGAACAATGTCGCCGTCGATGGCCTGCATCAGAAGAGTATATATGTACAACGTCTTCAACTACACATTCTTATCTTGTCGGTACAATGGAAGGAGGTCGAGCTTGCTGCAACAGAGCGGCCAGGCCGAGCAGGTACTGCTCAGCAATGCTTGAGAAATAGAACTCGTGAGCAGCATTGTGGCCGGATTCTACGCACTTCCGTCAGCCAAATCGTACAAGTGCAGCCACTGGGACATGCCTAAATTGTGGGCAAGTTCTGCGGAGTTGATCAGTCAAAGAACACGAGGAGATTTGCACACATACCGTGAGCAATGCTGAAATAATTGGAGACCCAAGCATCAACATGGTTTCCCTGTTGACACGATTGGTCATCTGCAGCCAAAAAAACAAACGTTAACGCGCATTGTGAACCAGATACTAGCTTTTACTTACGCCATGCTTGGAAATAGCGACTACGTTGAGAAACAGACAGCAGTCAGCTCCAGCCTTGCGAGGTTTCTTATTTGATACTCACGCATTGCAATGGATAGCACCTCCTCGATTGAAAGCTATCAAAGGGCCCTCATGGTCCCAGAACACGTTCAGAACGGCCGGTTTGAGCTGGCCAGCATGGTCAACAATAGTCTTATCGGACGAGGGGAGTTGGGGTACCATGAAAACTTGACACAAGGGGATGAGTACCTCATTCGAGAACCGCATACAGGCCTCCAACTTGTCCCCGAAGTAACTGTCTACATCCTGAACATCTGCACGGCGTCAGATAGCCATGACAACGTATAGCCTGACTGAAGACGTACCTGTAGGACACCAAATTTGTAACGGTAATCCGTACTGTTGGGATGTATCATACGCTGAAATATGTTTTCAGCACATGCGATCGTCAGCACAGTCTCGTCACTCACCCAGCTTCAGGCTGACTTCAGCTGTAGTATCGCAATAGTCTCCTTGCGCTTCCGACACATTGTTCACGGCCTTCCGACTATCTTGGATACGTGTAGCAGTCTCCGGCCTTGATGCATCCATGGCCTCTTTGACGGTTGCGCCTATAACAGCATGAGCTCTGGTCGACGTTACTGGTAAGGGACATACGGATATCGGACAAATCTGTTGGTCTTGCAGTTTGCTTCTGGTCCGGCGCGTACGTACCAGGTCGACTATAACCTTCGGCTCCTGATGCATGCCTGCCGCCAAGGCCATGGCGCAGCTCATCAAGCACCTTGCTCTGTGGCAAACTTTCCAAGCCGCTACCGGGCCCTATGCCGGGCATTCCTCCTGGCATCCTCAACTCTTCCTTATCCTTGCTCGCAGAACCTCTTCCGAATCTGCCAAACAGCCCTCTCTTCTCCGACTTTTCGGAGCCTGTGGTACTCTCCAGGCTATGTCTGTTTCCCAGAGTCTTCGTGTCTTCAGCTGCCTTTTCAGCTGCCTTGATGTCTCTTTCGCGCAGCTCTGCCTGCAATCTGATCTTGTCTTCCTTCTGTTGATTGAGTATCCTGTCGACGTTGATGCCCCGCTTCCGCAAGGCTATGAGGGGAGTCGTCAAGATGGAATAGAGCAACAGAGCGTCGTCGGCTTTCTGTGTCTTGAATAGGATCTCGCATAGGGCTGACGCGATATCATAGTCGTCTTTTTGGGCACTCAATGAGACAGTCAGAACGATGCTTCCCCTGGTCCTTCCAGGCGCCGCAATCGCATATAGACTTTCTGTGTGCGTCTTCTCGACTCTTCCATTCTTGTAAGTGCGCTGCACCTTCAAAGATTGACATTCCTCAACTTGGAAATTGCCGTCTTTGGTAAGGCTGTCGATGCTATAGCTGGCAAGCTTCCGTCGGTCCGTAAGGAAGATAGTGAGCCGTTCAAGGACATGTCGACGAAGCGCTATCGATTGAGCAGACGCCGCTTGGGAGGAAACGGGAGTCGACACGTGTTTTGTGCGAACGAAAGAAGACAGCTGTTGAGATCCAAGGACGGAGTAGAAGTTCTCGAGTAGTGCTTCCTGCCAGAAATATTAGCTGCCATGTCCAGGACGCTGAATCAAGACCGACCTCTGGAGCTGCCAAGATGAATGGCCCAAAGTACTGTGAAAAGACTATATTGTCATTGATGACAATCTCTCCAGCTCTTGCAAGGACCCATTCCCGCTCATACTCGTCTCCTTGCTCAGTCGTCTGCCCAAACAAAGACTGACTTTTCTTTTTGACAGCCACGAGCTGGGAGGCAAGCAAGAATTTGGCGCTTCGCATGGCACTCTTTGTTTGGCTGTCCAAACGGCTCCAGTTGGTTGCCAACAGCCTGATTTGCTCGAGATATTTCTCCGGCGAGCCCGCTTGTCGAAGCATATCATCAGGGTTTGCCATGAAGAGTTTTGCAATATCTTGCACGCTTGGCTCTCTGCGGACTCCGCAATACTGGAGGAACACATTGGCCTTGTCCCCAAAGTCGACGAACGTAAAAGCGGAGGCGTAGACATTGTCGGATCGTTCTTTACTGTGGAAGTAGACCTGAGAGGGCTTGTGAAGCTTGATACCTGACGCAGTTTTGACAGGGATCAGAGGAGTATCGGCAAGAAACGACGGGGCAGTCTGGTTTACGTATGCACTCATATACTAGAGTCTGAAAGTCAGACATGACGGTTAACGATATGGGATTGACTCACCTCAAAAGTTCGAGTCGCTGTGGGAATGTCCATCGGCACATTGTTGACCAAGGCGATAACGAGCTGTCCCATAGGTGGATCCCTCCGCACACCGAGTTTACTGGCATTCTCTGGGCTTGCTATCTTCGGAATAGCAACAGCAAAGCCGAGTATAGCACAGTCGGGATTCGAAAAGGCCTAAATGATCGGTCAGCTTGAGCATAACATATTGGGTCCACCAACGAACCTCGCCAGGTTTGACCAACACCCGCGATCCGCCTTTTGTCGCTGGCAAAAACGCAACGTCCGGGAACGCATCAGATCTGAAATCTGAATAATGATTGCTGAAATTGGCCAACAGGTAGTCAAGAGCCTTTTCGTTAGCCGGTGCTGGGCCAGCCATAATTTTGAGGAGAACCTCTTTGGGGGGATAGCGGTTGAGGCCAAGCATGAAGAGCATTTTGGCTGGACAGAGTCAGCTGGGTTTGATCTTGGCTGGTGATGAGCCACTTTCCTTCTTCAGAGTTGGACCTCCATTTTGCGTGTCCCCAATCCAACAGGGGCAGACCCATCTCTTTGAAAGCATCGATTGGCTCATACAGTTGCCATGGCTTCTGTCTAACAAGAGCAGGGGGTGCAGACTCTTCGCCTTCTTTCGACGGTAGGCGTTCTCGCTGGAGAGGGAAGGCAGCTGTCTGTCTCAACCTCTTGATCTCTTCATCCGACAAGGTGTCCTTTACCGATACCAAATATTTCATCAAGTCCAGGCATCCCCAGGTCCCGCCCCCGATTAACCTCGAGAATACCAGCTGCAGATCCACCGTCTTTCTCACTCCGATTGCAAGCAGCATCTTCTCCATATTGCCTTTGATAGCGGTGTTCTTGGGGAGAGATATGATAGGAAGATCTTCGAAGAGTAGGTTTTTTTCGAAATAGGCCTCGCGGGGGAGTTTGAACCCCGCTTTGGTGGGTATGCAAGGAACATCCTTGAGCTCCAGGGCAATACCGGATTGGATATTGCTGGGAAGGTTCGTCCAAGCGCGACTTATCATACCAAGGACGCGCTCTGCAAACTCTGGTGAAATCCTCAAGTCGGTAGCCGGATCACTTCCCTGATGTGCCGACATGGGGGGGTTCAAAAGGAAATTGACATACTGCAAGAGATTGAGTTCTGTCCAGCCGAAAACCTTGTGAATTGAGTTGGCTCGGAGGTCTTTGGTGATACCGTATGGAATTGTATGCTGAGGGATGGGCATGTCAGGTGGTATCGTACCAGAGTGGGGGCGGATGAAAGTCTCCACCAAGGACAACGGTAGGACTTTACCATTGTCGAGCATGACGATAGCAGCATCTAACAGACGCGATCGAAGAGAGACGTTGAAATTATCATTCGACGCCAGATCTTGCCACCACTTGAGACATTCCATCAACTCCTTCTCAGTCAGCGGCCGTTTGCCGAGCTGATTGACTACATCATCGTATGTGATGTCAAAAAGCAGCTTCTGTGCTTGAAGGCGGCGGATGAAGCTGCTAGCTTGTTCGAGCATGGATTGTGTAATGACAGGCAGTTCGGACAGAAATTTGGCAATTGGCTCATTCGGCATCCGCACCTCTTTGACAGGAAAGATGCCGTCCGACGAAAGGATAGGCAAGGTATGATTATTCTGCGCACAATTGTAAAATGCTGCCTCCATCTCTTGCCCGACAGCCGCAGCAGGAGTGGTATTGTCGAAGGTGAAAAATTTGATAGTGTGAAGAGCCTGTGCGGACAGCTTGGCGCGAGAAGGACCATCAGTGTCGGTGGTCTTGGCCCACGCTGTGGCTAGAGCGTGCATCTCAAGCTCATAGATGAGCCGACAGAGGTATCCGCCCACCCAGAGGAGCTGACGATTCCAATGAGACACATGTCGATCAACAAGGTCGATCGATTCTCGCTCGACAGTGGGGATGAATCGGGCAGCCAAATGACCACCAATGCCCGTGGTTTGGCCAGTCGGCTGGCCAATAAACACTCGGGCAGAGCTGCTGCTTCCCAGCTTCGGGCAGAGACCGCTGAAAACCCCGGCGTCATCCGCGCTCGGATCTCCCCCATCTTCTACCTTGGTGTCATTATCTTCGTCCCGAGAGTACACGATACTAGCCGTCATCTTGCCTGGTGCAGGTTTCTTTGTCGCTCTCTCAAGCTCGCGCCCGAAAACAGGTGAAACGCTAACTTTGATGTTGGCTTGGAAAATCTGGATATCGCGCAGAAGAGTAGTAGATTTTGTTGGTTCCTCGGCTGGAGGGGGTGGTGGAGCGGGAGAAGGGGGTGTTGGAGAAGCGGCGGTGTAGCGGCCGAAGAATGAGGTGGAAATCATAGATGCTAGGCCTCGTGCAGGTTTAGCTATTTGAGTAAAGGGGTTAGACAAAGGCGGCGGGGTAAAGCCAGTATCTGCAGGATGTCAGCTTCGGGTCCAGATCCACGAAAAGATGCACTTACCAGCAAGCCATTTCATGATTTTGACACTGATAGTCATCCCTGTTGAATCGACGTTCTGTACCGTCATCATCCCTCCTGAGCTGGTGGTATTCAGTCCCTTCTTATCTACTCTGTTGGCAGACTTGATGTTCTTTTGAACTTCGAACACTTTGACGCCGTCAACCAGTATGTCAATCTTCTTGACCGTCCTCATGAACGTAATGCTTGTCACGAAGAATCTCGCGAGGTCAAGAGGCCCCTCTAGGAGGGAAGGTTCGCGGAGCGTCATAGTAAAGTTTGTCCACGAGTTGCCTGAAAGAGATGGTTCGGAAGAAGGAGGGGCAGGGAGTTTGCCGGACCGGGCGAGCAACTGGTCTTTGCCGTCTTTCCAATAGAAAGCCATCCATTTATCGCCCGACTCAACAAAGGGGCCATCTGCATGCGGTCAGTAGTAGCACTTGCTACTTCATATAGACTTACCACAGACACTGAAGAGAGAATAAAACCCTACTCCGAATCTGCTCCTTGTCAGCGATTCATCATAGGTCCATCAAAGTACTAGACGTACGCTCCAATCTTTTCCTCATCAGGGTTTCCTTCAGCAATCTTTTTCAATCTTTTCCAATCTTCATCCCGGAAAGGAATGCCATCATTGGATACGACATAACTACTCATCTGGTCAAGGTTAATAAACTCCCCGATCGAGGCGCTTAGCAAGGACATACCAAGTCACTCTTTGCATTCGGTAGTTTCGAAGACATTTCACCATTTTTCAAGGCGTCTGATCCCTCTTGAGAGTAGAACTTTACTTGTACGTGTTGAGCCTACATCATCAGCGAGGATTCTACATAAGATCGCCTTTCATGATGTACTTACTCCCGCATCGTCCGAGTTCTGTAGAAGCTCCCTAAAGACTGCGTTTCTTCAGCACAAAAACCAGTACGCCATGGTATGCGCTTACTGGTATGTTCGCCTGAGTATCTGGCAAGGATCTCTGAGTTCGCGTTCTTGTATCAGCCTCATGTCCAGTTCACTTTGCTGTCGCCACAAGGGGTACAACGAGTACTCGAGTACCAGCTGGTACGAACTACTCACTGTCGATCAAAGCTCTCTGATTGACCTCGACGTCCTCATCTTGGCCTGTAGACCAGAGCTCCTCCTTTGTAAGCGGGGCCATGAGTTATGCGAATGAGTTGCTAAAGAGAGCCTGTCGGCCAGAGCAAGGCCAGAGGGCCGTGGCAACGCGTAGACCGAGGGTGGAGGCTCAAGGCTAGAGCGGGAATCGCCGAGCCCTGTTGGACGAACCCCGTTGCGATAGCCCAAGCTGCGAGTCCCCAAAGAGCTGCGCCGAGATCCAATCTCGGATGGAGAATGGTTGAGGGTAATCGCGAGCTGCAAACACGTTGCGTGCAAGTAGCTGCTCTGTAGCTGCCCCGCGCTTTTGTTATAGTACGAGTATAGTTGGAGTCGGACCTGATCACATCATAGTCCTGACGGTTGGTGTATATGTGTTTTCTATGAACATGTGCACTTCTACGCTGTCCACTCAAGATAGCCGTCCTTCCCCTTCTTACAACAACTCGCCACAACACTCCTGACCCTCTGTTCGACTTCCGACCTCCTGCTCCCTTTGATATCCCCTTGAGCGTCCACAAACTGCTCTACCAGCTCTGCCTCCGTGAGGGCGAAAGCTCCAGATCCAGGCGCATACCCATCTACGGCAGCCTTGACCGCCGCCTCACTCGGCAGTCCAAATTTCCTGAATTGACCCCAAGTTGAGTCGCGCCCGGAATCAAGACTGCTGGCAGAAGCAGGCTCAAATTCAATTGCTCCAATGTTCTTCAGGTGCGGCGAAGAAGTAGAGAAGAATTTGGAGTTGATTTCGGAAGGCGAGAGGGAGGGGTCGGAGATGGAAGAGGGAGTCCAGGCCGTAGGAGTCTTTGACCGCTCAATGAGGACGGCAGTGACGCCAGTGATAAAGTCGTCAGTGGCTCGGTCCTTGCCGCAGAAGGCTGTTGCCATGGAGAAGTCTGCATATTGTCAGCAAGGTTCATGATGGGCGTATGAGCTCAACATACCGTTCAACAGCGTTCGGTCGAGTCGCTTCGAAGCCTTGGCTTTTTGATGGTTTTGCAAAGCAACAGCCATGCCTGTAGGACTTCTCGCGTCCATGTGTCCTTTCTGCACCTTGGCCCATTCCTTGACTTCTGCACTCAGGCTAGCATCTCCCTCAGCTTGGTCCAAAGCCTGGTAGATCTCCTGAATACTCTTCTTCTTGAAGGTCTTGTCCAAAAACTTGCGAACCTCGCCTTTGATGGGGGAGGGCCCGTCCGGGGAAGATTTGGATGAGGGGGTTGTGGTGGCGGATGAGGAGGCGGAAAAGGAAGAAATGAGAGCAGAGAGCGATTGGAGAGAAGGAGAAGTGTGTTGTGTAATTTGTGAGATAATCTCGGGAATGTTGTTTTCGGTCACGAAATGGGTCGCAATACCAAGCTCACTTCTGGAATTAGCAAAACCCACAGAATCAAATAGCTACGCACTAAGCAGCTCGGCCGTAGACCTCTTGACCAGTGACGGCGAGCCAAGCACCAATGGAGCCGTCGAGCTGGGAGAGGTAGTAATTGGCGCCCACATCAGGAGAGTAGCCAATCTTGGTCTCGGGCATGGCGAAAATGGTTCGAGGGGTGGCGATTCGAATGGGAGCAGGTAGAGAAAGACCGCCACCGCCGCCCACTAGTTATAGTGTTAGTTTCGGAACATCCCAATGAGTAAAGGACATACTGGTGACACCATCAATGATGGCAATGTAGGGCTTGCCCAGGCGCCCAAGAACCCAGTTCATCTGGAATTCGCCTTTGAAGAACTTGACAGCCGTGTCTTTGCCCGCTTGCAAATCAAGAACAAGCTGCTTGACATCGCCCCCGGCGCAAAACGCCCGTTCATCACCTCGCCCGATGATGACCTTCACAGAGTCGAGTTCTCGCCAGTTCTAAACAAAAGTCAGTTTTGGGAGAGATACAATTGAAATTACTCACCTTGAGTTTACTGGAGAGGAGGGTGATCATCTCTTCATTGAGTGAGTTGAGCTTAGCTGATCGATTGAGCTTGTAAATTCTCGTGTCCTGGTGGGACTCGAATTGGACGAGTTCTTCGGCGCTGGCCATCTTTGGGGCAGAGGTAGTGAGGTGACGCTGGACGGCGGCAAGCCTGGTAGCTGGAGATGCGCCCATACGGGATCTCAGAGGAAGTCTTGCGAATGAAGACATGGGGTGGAGTAGAGACGGGAGTAGAAAGTAGTTGTAGGTGATTACGGTTACTCGAATATCCACAGGTGGATGCGGTTTCTGCTGCATTGCCGAAAATGGCGGCTCGGTGCGGCGATGACCGCTATTGGACCAAGTAGTAGTTGATGTTGAGTTGATGACATGAAGAGAGCGAGGCAAGTATGTATTGGGCTTTAGCCACTATTGACCTTAGGGGTGGGTTTTTCTTGTAGTCTAGAAATTCCTTGGTTGCGTCTTTACTGCAGAGAAGGCGATCTCTCCAAACCAATCTAGTCTACAGGGGTCCCCTTGGAGGGGCTTCCTAATGACATCTGCTTTGTCTTCAATATCTTGCACCAAAGTCCTTCCAGTACAGTGTATCAAATGTCCCTTACATCGGCTATTTGTTCTCCATACAGTGTGTCAGATGCCGGCAATGATACTCAAGAAATGTCAATCTTATTCAGACCTTCAAAATTAATGTTTGATGCATAACTGCACCGCACACATCAGCGAGCAGAGCCATTGCCAGAGAAGGGAAAGAGAAGGAATGATATTCTTTATCATAAAGCACAAGTCATACATGGGAACATGACCCCACCACCAACTAGTATATGTTGGCCTCGTAAAGGTATTCGTCCATTGTTATGCCAAGGTCTCTTGCCAGCAACTTGCTCGTATCGTAATCAAGCTCACAGCGGAGCATGACATTATCCAGCCTATCCCGAGGCGACCAGCGTTTCAACAGTCCTTGAGCTTCCAATTCGGGTATCTACCGTAAACATAAGCACCATTTCGGCAGCTTCGGGAAGGAAAGCCCACCATTCCCCAGAACTTGACCGACATCATGAGCTGATGTACCTCAACATCCCATCGCTGTTCCTGTTCCTGCTCCCTCTTCCTTGCTTTGGCCGCCTTTTCCTCAACCCTTTTGCTATCTGTCCGCAGCGTAGGCGGCCATGTCTGCGCAATCTCCTCCTCTTCCGACTCTTCAGAGCTTTCGCTGTATTCGGTCTGAAAATCTGGGCGTGTGGCGTGTTCGGCGTAGAGAGAGAAGAACAGAGCGAGTAGGCGGTCTAAGGGAAAGGCTTTCGGGCCCAAAAGTCTTTGTGCGACCTACTTTAGATTAGCTCTATCACTTTATCGCCAGAGAGTGACCCACCTTGCCAGATCTCACTTTCCCATACCCAGCCCTTCTCATGCCTCCACCCCTCTTCTTTCTCCCGTTCTCTCCCACACCTCTGCCAAACAGTCTCACATCAGATGTGGCAGGGTTATAGCTGGCGCAATAGGCAGCCACCAGCAAGAATTTTTCCGTTCGAGAAAGTTCCAGCGGAGGGAGTTTCGGAAGAGCGTCCTGTGCGGACGTGGTTGCTGAGCGCCTCGAGAGAGCAGAGGTGAATTCATATGTGCCGATCTGGCGAGGGATGAGTCTTTCAACGGCTCCCGTTAGGGGCAGCCTCATTGATGCTGTGAGGTCTGTCAAGAGCTTCAGATTGACTTCAAGCTTTGGAGGGGGATTTGAAGGATCTGGATACTCCAGACCCAGCACCTCCATCTCAGCATGCGGGGGCAAGTCCGACGTATACAACGGCCACAGTGAAGCCGCGATATGGGCGAGCTCGGCCACAGGAGGTGTTATGAGCGATAGCGTGGTAGCCAGAAGGAGATCGACAAATTTGGGCCAGAGAGGATGAGAGCAGACGGGCAGGAGTTCGGCCAGTATGTCGGCTCGGGTTGGTGCTTGAAGGTAGATGTGAATGGGCTCCGGGGCATCCACGCGGTGCGGGCGAACAAGATCCCACGGAGAGGCGGAGGCCAAGATGACAGTAACATTGACGTTGCTCTAGGATGAACATCAGCAATGCTACAGAGAAAAGATACTGGCACTCACGAGCTCTGCCAGTCTGGTTATGACTGCCCAATTACTTCCCAGTACATTCTTCAGCCTCTCTGCATGAGTTACCAGCAGCACAATATTTTCATGATCCACCTCTTCCTTGTAGGACCACCCTCTGACTTTTTTCCGACTGTTTCCTATTTGATGGCGCTCACACCACCAACTCTTCAATTTCAGACTGAACGCATCCCACGACGATACCTCCTCTACATTGGCGTCTTCGCCTATAATGCGATGGAGGGTACCAGAGTAGAACAGCTTGGTGTTGTAGTGCTCGATAGTGTCGAGGCGAGCGAACAAGCTGTGCTCGCGTGCGCTTTCGAGAGATGGAGGAAGGTTGGTAGCAGAATGATGGGGGTGGTGAAGGTAGACGAAAGGTGGGGCGGAGGGGGTAGAAAGCAGAGTCTCAATCGAATCTGCCATTGTAGTATCGTAGACTTGCGAGTTGAAAGTAATAAGCAAAGGGTGGGTTATGGGCCGGATAAGGAGAATTGACAAAAACAAGAACGACTTCGTGAGTCGTGACGCGTTCTTTCTTTGACACAGACGCGTCGCGCCCGCCGACAACTCGGTAGAATCTTTCAGCTGGTATTTTCTAGTTGTTGACTCATTTGTAGCCATGGATTCAAAGACTGCCACCAAATCATGATCGGGGTGGCATGCACACCGGATACAGCCATACGATGTACCGGCAAACGCAACAAAGTGTCCGAGGGCGGAGATACCATAGAAGCGATTCTACTCCAGTCTCTACTCTCGCTCTCCTTGCCCTTGCCTAATGCTGAGACAGGGCGAAAGGCAAAAAGTTGATACTCTCCCGGCTCTCTCTGCGCTCCTACAACTGTCCAATCCTCTTGAAGCGCATATGCCAAACCAGCCAGAATGATCCGTTGCCGGCCTATCTGCCATTTCAAAGAAATGTAGAACTGATTTGATTACCGAGCTTTAGACCCAAAACGCAAAATCATGAGACATTGGTGGGGCTCGAACACACACGCTAGAGGAGACGAGGTTGTATTATGGGAGCGCTGAAGAGAGGAGTCCCGTGATAATAAAAGAGCATCTTCCCTTAAGCCATAACAGCATAGAAGAATTTGCTTCCTGCATGCTTATATGGCTTGTGACCATTATTCCACGCGCCGCCTGCATGCCAGCAACTTCGCTTCTCGTCGTCGCACTGTCGTCGCAACTACTTGACCACTGCATCAACAAGTCCCACTGCATACCGCTCCACTTACAGCCCAGCTCCTCGTCGGGAATCGATATATACATTCGGCACCCATCGCGCATTCCACCTTTTCGAGAATACGAACCTCCGAGCAAGCAATACAAGACCAACTCAATCCCGATACCGCCATCCGTGACGACTGTGGCCCATCATGCAGTCCCTCAATGCCTTGGGAAACAGACAAATAGCGAGTCTGAATAAGGATCTGGTGAGGATGGAGAGTGGCGAGAGCGGGGCAGCCGTGCAAGGTGAGTACGCCCCGGCAGCACAGTGATGAGGCGTGACACTGCCATCCTGTGAGATTCGTGTGATCATCGGTCGTCTGACGGACTTTGATATAGGTCAGATAACGACTACATTGAGCGCGCTCTCTCGACTCATTAACGACTATGACTCTATGGCTCAGAAGGAGATGGTGACGGCTGCTAGAGAGAAAGCCAACACGTCAGTTGACCGTGGTTGCCCAGGAGCGAATGTCGCTGACTATACCGTGTAGGCGAGTGGCGAAGTTGAAGAATGAGCACAAGGAACTCAAGTCTCGTTTTGAACGGGCCAAGAACGAGAGCCACGCAAAGGTATGGTTGTCTATTCGCACCTTCTGCTCCTCTGTTAAGACGTGTCTGCAGGCCCGCTCAAATCTGCTGGGCACTGCTTCTGGCTCTGCTCCGCCGTTTTCTCCCATGGGCGCCCAAATGTCTCAAAGACGTGCTCAACCTCAAACATTTGCCGAGTCCCCGTTCGCTTCTGATCCCCTCTTCCGGCCGAACAATCCTCCAACAGATAGAGAGAACTTTGCCCTGCGAGAGCACTCTTTCTTGCAGGAGAGCGAGAATTCGATAGATCAGTACATCTCACAGGGAAGAGCAGTGTTGGAGAACCTCGTGGAGCAGAGAGGGATGCTAAAGGGTACGAGGACAAGACTGCTCAATGCTGCCAACACTTTGGGTATGAGCAGAGAAACAATTGGCTGGGTAGAGAGAAGAACGTGAGCATCATGTTTCTCGATTCCCTATCTCAATCTAACGTTGGACTGTAGGAAGCAAGATGCTTGGATCTTTGGGATAGGTGCCACATTCACGCTGTTCAGCTTCTGGGTGATATGGCACTATCTGGGCTGAGCGGGGTGGGAAGGCGATTAGACACGTTACTTGTATCATAGCGGGCGCATATATATATCGAGGATGCCATGAGCCAACGATGTATCGTATGACTCTTAGGTGCTCTTTACCTGCTGCCAGTGTGCTAGAACAACTGAACAATGCGTTCTATTACAGATTTACAGACTACTGCCCTTGGCCATCAGACTGCATGGCGACCTCCTTTGTCTTACCCTAAAACGAAACTACTTTCAATGCACTCGCTGACCTGCGCTGCCTGTCAATTATTTGCACTTATCACTCGAGGTCTATACCGGATACCGGCCGATTCTACATATAACCAGCAACTGCGGGGCTCCGTTCAGTCTCTGCACCGTTAAAAAGAGAAGTCGCGTCCCGTGCCAGTCAGGATGTCACAACCCCTGGACACGGCCAATTCCCCAGGGTCCCCTCTGGACAACGCCCCTCCATCGACTGCGGCCTCACACCAATCTATCCAAAGTGCCTTGTCCAGTCCCGATAGTCAGACACACAGTGACGAGGACGAGTCAGACACAGAGGACGCGCTGGGAAAGGCCGACGCTCAAAGCGGCACAGATCTGGAGGAACCCCAATCAGAACAAGCATTGAACGGTGAAGAAACAGACAAAACGGCTGGAGACGTTCTGGCCTCTACAAGTAATCCACAATCACCAATTTCCATCAAGAGCGACAATTCGGCTGCTGAACGGACCACAGCCTCGGACGACGATAGACAAGGCCTTGATACTGCCGATCAGACAGTGGAAGAGAGTCCCTATAAACCAGAGGAAATACCTGAAGAATTTGGGGAGCGATCTCTGGATATCCGGAAGTCTAGGAGACATTGGACCTTTCGACAAAAGATGATCCGTCTGATATCGCTATGTAGGTTCTTCGAGAGCCATGAGGTGTAACGTGAGAGCCAGCTGACTCGGATGTATAGATGCTATTCCTGTCGTATTGACGATACCCCTCGCTTTGTCTGTCCATCTAAATTCTCTCGTCCTTACCCCTCTCTACAACTCTCTCCCATTGAGAATACACCAGCTCTCCCTTCACATCCTCTTCGCAATCCCTCCTTCACTTCTCTACTGGGCCATCACCCTCTACCGTTCCCCTAGGGACGCTTTTTCAGGACTAGTATGCTTCAGCTTGGCAGCAATGAGTGAGGATGTCGTGTCTGTCTTGGGACGTCGGATAGGGAGCTTGACGGGGAGACTTGCAGGAGCTGAGATGGGAGCTCTCATGGCCCAGATGATCATGGGTGCTGGAAGCGTTGCTGGCTGCCTGGGATTTGCCCTTCTGTGCTTTGTGAGTTTAGGATTGCTTGTTGAGTCTCTATGCTAAACCCGGAAAGGATCACATACTGCCCATATCGGCAGCCAGAACCAAAGCCGACAAAGTCAAGAATCTACTCAATGTCTCTCTCAGGTCTGCTCTTTACATGTCACATCTTTGGCTTATCGAAAATGTACTTGGGAGACTATTGGGTAGTCGAATATCGAGCCTTACATCCAATCCCGAGAAAAGTGTGAGTATCTGGTAGGGGCCGGGATTCAGACGCTTACCCATACCCAGCTGCTGTTCATCTCTCTCCTTTTCACCGTCATCGCCTTGATTGTACGCGCTAGTACTGGAGTCACGCCTTTCCCCAAACAGATACAGGATCTCCTCCGGACACTACCAATATCACCAGCAGCTCTCAAAACCCTTACCAAAGCAGCTCGCAAGCTCCCCCGTCGAGCTCTTCCCCTCATCCTTTTCCTCCGTCTCCCTTTCCTTATCCTTGTTTTGCGCCAGCAGCTATTTCTTCGACCATCTGGATTGTCGTCAGAGCCTTACGTGACTGCTCGAGGGGAACTCCGTATACTGAGCTCGGAAATGAGCTTGACTGGACGTATCGTTGTCGCCGACAATCTCAAGGATAATTATCGCTTCCTTCGGTGCGACAACTCCATCCTAGGAGGAAGATGGATCCGGGAAAGAAATGGAAAGACAGAGATGGGCGATACGTGAGTTTCCAGACGTGTCGTGCGCCTGTGACTGACTCTTCCTGTCAGTATATTTGCAGTCTTCAATCTCCAAGAGGTTGCTACCCTCGCTCACCGGTCCGATTCGAAAGAATCCCTGATCCACACTCTATCATTGACCACGGACCTACAGGTGGAGGCAGAAGGTGAAGACGAGGCTGCGGATGCTAGACCCATTGACAGAGCTCTGGTCATGTGAGTCGGCTTGTGATATCGGCACTTTGCTTTGCTCACATTTATCCAGAGGGCTCGGTGTTGGTATCTCCGCTCAAGGCTTTTTGAGACGCGGTATGGACGTCGACGTCGTCGAGATCGACCCGGAGGTTTACAGAGCGGCAACTACGTACTTTGACCTCTCTGAGAGCCGATTATCTTCGTCAATCATGATGGACGGAGCGACCTTCATCTCTGAGGCAGCAGCCCTTGCACGAGTGAACGTATCCGATCCTGACACGGACGCGGAAACATTGGCAGCTATGGAACTGGTCCCAAGGTGGAACTATGTTGTGCAGGACTGTTTCACAGGAGGAGCAGTCCCCGGAGAGATGTTTACCGTGGAATTCTGGGAAGAGCTGTCGGAACTGCTTGTCGAGGACGGCATCGTCGCGATGGTGAGTATATGATCTGAATCTGCTTGAGCTCATGGTTGTAGAACTTTGTTGGGTTGCGAAGGAGCAAAGCTTCGAAAGCTGTACTGATGACACTGTTGTCCGTCTTTCCTCAGTGCAGAGCTTTTAGTGAGGGCTTTGAAGCAAATCTTGGACCCGATGCTATCACGAACATGGTACGTATATCTGCCCATGGTCGTGTCAGCATACTGATGGACGTATCAGGTTGTGTTTTGTACAGTATGTACCCACCGAATCGTCTTTCGAGACGACACTGACCACCTTTGCTACAGAGAACATACTCTCCAATCTTGACATTCCGACCTCCCAAACCGTCCGACGTCCATCGGTCACCCCTCAAGTCCCACGTGTTTTCCACCTTCCTGCTACATGAGATATATCTCGACGAGATCGTCACCGACGATGATTTTTCAGACCCAGAGTTGACCTTGCGGAGAGGAAAGACGGAAAAGCTGGATATATGGCAGACCGAGACGGGACTAGCGACATGGTCGGCGATGCAAAAGAGTGGGTTCTCTCTTTGATTCTTAGATGACAGCTGACGAGTACTGCAGTATTGACCCCCGAGATGTGGTTGGCCTACTGACGAGATATTGCATTCGCACGACAAGCACTATACAACAAATCTAGATACAACATTTTGTAGATATTTCATGATCGGAAACGATGTATAAATGATCCTCTTACGAGGAGATCTGCTGGCTATTCGTCTTTCCAGACGAGTACCGAGCAGATACCCCCGCTTGCCTGGTCCTCTTCAATGATGAGACCTTCGAATCCTACGAGTCCTGTCGTCTAGGTCAGCCAATGATACTGCCCTCCTTGACAGCCAACTTACTACTCTCGCCTACATTGATCACGCCCTCTAGTCCGCCTTCCACAGCCCTATCAAGAGCCATTGCCGGCGGCTTTCCTGCCCCTTTGGGGCTGTAATCTGCGGGCGCCTTGCCTGCTACTCGGCCAGAGTCTCCACTAACACTCTCTTCGTCCTTGACGCCCTCCTCTTCACTCTGTACGTCATCATACTGGGACCGCTTTGGAGAGAGCTGGGATGAGAATGATCGAAGAGGCGATGTTTGGTCGAGATCACCAGAAGGAGCTGACAATACCCAGGGGCAGTGGGAGTATCTTTGGAAGAGCGGCGTGCCGGGCTACATACAAGTCAGCTGGGTAGTTGCGGACCGGTCGATACGGACAATGTTGGAGTAGCATAGGATCTTGGTGACCACATAATCAGGAGAGACGAGAAAATCCAGTCCATGCTGAAAGTAGTTCCAGAAGCCTTTACTAATCATCAGCCGACCGAGCCATCAGCTGGATAAACTGGACGCACAACCACCTGGTTCGCTCTCGCCACCCCACATCTTTTCCAACCGATCGTCCTCTTTCCAGAACTTTCTCAGTGGTGGTCCCAGATCTAGCAACAGATCCTGTGCGGTGGTCTTCCCGATCCATATTTCCAAGGGGTCTATACCAGAGAAGTGGAGGACGATTCCCTTCTTTGGCTATGGGAGTATCAGCAGCCATGCTCGACAGACGCGACCAATGACTCACCTCAATCACGCACGACATCAACTGTCCAGGAAGGGTTAACTCTACATCTTTAGCAGACACCACCAGTTTGTCCGCCGCATCGTCCCTCCCGGACCCACTGGTCGAAGTCGCGCTCATCTCAAACTTGACCCCAGGAAAGACCAGATCTTTACCCTCATTGACTAGCGTAGGTCCCAATATTCTGCCGACCTTGGCACGCGTCAACGGCTGCCCTGGAGAGGCCAGGACTTGCGTCTCATACGTCAATGTCAATGTGGACGCTGATAAGGACGGGAATGATATGAGAGCCAGTCGCTGAAGGGGTGCAGGAAAGTACAAGGTCAGAGATGGTAGGTGAATAATGATGGCAGACTTGTGAGGGTTCTACAGCGGGCCGTATCAGCGACCAAGCTATCCTGAAGCGCATTACTGACCTCAGAGTCCCAAGAGAGATCATACTTGGGGTATTCGTTCTTGTGCGTCCTGAGTAGGTCCAGGACATACCACAGGCTATCGCCTATACATGCTTGAGCTGGGCTCCCGTTTGACGCCTGAGGACTTACCGAGCTGGAAGATGCCCACCCTATCCCCTGGCACGATATCGTATTGGGCGATCATGGTGCTGCAGCGAAGAGGAATGCAGTCCACCACTTGATAGATAGCGTGTCGTTGCCGCCGAGTGTTACGTCATCCAGCGCGCCCGACGGCGTTCATCATGGTGTCGTCCAGCGCGTTTTCCTTTCTTTCTTCTTTCTGCTCTTGCCACCCAATATGTCCACACCGTCCCAAGGAGCGTCTTCTGTAGAAGACAGAGACGACTCCACAGCCATCGCCCGCTCGCTGGCAGCACGCAGACGCCGGTCCCTCGCGTCGTTGCTGCGCGACTTTCGGACCCAACGCCAAGAACAGCAGAAACAGATATCCGGCTCGAGGAGCACAAGAGTGGATGAAGAGTCGGGAGAGGAGAATCTGTCCGAGGAGGAAGGGGAGGAACAGCCTACAAGATTCGATACCATCGATTTTGAAGCCTTCCAAAGGGCTGTTGGAGACCCGGTCAAGATTGAGGGGCAGGATGGGCACGTCATTGACCCTGAAGCTATCAAAGATGATATGGAGTTGGAATACGTGTGGGACGGTAAGCCTCTGTCTCCAGCGATGATGCCTGAGCTAATCGCTATATAGTGCTATTCGAGAATCAACGAGGGTAAGCCAGCCAGCTTGGAACCTCGCCTGGGGACTGACATCTACATAGCACCTACCTGTTGGGCACGGCCTACTATTCTTCAAAAGTTCTACTACCATTGGACCCATCTCCCTTTACTCGTCCCTCGGGACCCATCCCTTCAGCCTCCTCCTTCTCTGTCAAAGGCAATCAGAATGGTAATGGTTCCACCCGCGCCATCTCTCAAGAACCCCAAGCGGAGAGTCGCAAAGATAGAGAGCCACCCGCTCAATCCAACAAGACTTCCTACACCCTCGACACCTTCCAGCCTCCTCTTCCAGACTGGGAGTACCTAACCCCCTGGCTTGTCAACATGCGGGAAGGCACAGATGAGCTGGGCTGGCGGTACAATGCGTGGTTCAAAAAGCAAGGGTGGAAGAGTCATGCCGGAAACATGGGTTGGTTGGGATGGGTGAGGAGGAGGGAATGGGTGAGACTGAGGAGGGTCAGGGAGAGGACGAAATTAGGGCCCGACATGCCAGACTCGGCCCTGCAGGCTGAACGGAGGGAGAAGAAGCTGGGACAGGTGCTTTCGGGGAGCAAAGCACAGAATGTGTGCAACATCTTGAAGGCATTTGGGAGCCTGACCTTGGACAGGGAGCGCCTCGAGCTATGGCAGAAGTGGCTGGACAGGTCCAAAAAGGACTCCGAGACGTGGATTAGGTTGGAGGCCATTTGCCAGGACGAAGAAGCCGTGAGTCTGTCTCTTTTTCCAGATTTAAAATATTGACTTCATACAGCTGGACTCTCTACGGCGCCAATTCACCTACGCCCACTCGTTCGATACTTTCTGCGAGATCCTCATCTCGCACGCCCTCATACCCCGAGACCCTTCCCCTACTCCTTCGCCTGCTCACTCAGATACACCCTAAGCTTCTCCAAAGCCCGATACCGATGGGAGATCTTGTTCTTGTCTTCATTCTTCATCTCTGCGTAGGTCTTGCCCTCCCCTTCCTCGGGCTGGAAGACAGGGTCCCAGCCAAACTTGGCGGGTCCCCGGGCGGGGACGATGTTGCCGTCAGTGCGACCTTCAAAGAGGATGGGCTCGGATCCTGGGCCGGCAGAGTAAGCAAAGGTGCAGAGAGCAGTGGCTTTGGTCGTGGGGAATCCTTGGAGAAGGGTGTTCAGGCCTGTTTTTCTTGTATTTAGCATCCATCATGTCGCATAGCATAGCCAATCGTGTAGCATAAGCATCACTTACCTTCGTGGCCAAGGTTCGCCATAAAGTCTTTGATGTATGGCCCCGGCAGGCCGTTGAGGGCTTCGAAGCACAGTGCGGTGTCTTCAGTGACACAAGCCGCCCCGAGCTTGTACAGATCAGCTTGTAATCCCGACAGGAAAGAGGACATACCTGTTCGGCGGCGGATTTGACTTTGGCGATGGCAACCTCCTGAGTCGTACCCTGCACTTCTGGGACTACAAAGCTGTCAGTAGTGTGAAAGGCGAAACTGCAGACTCACCGTCAAGAGACTGAGAAGTGCACTTAATACCACTGTCCCCCGTGGCGAGGATGGCCTGTACCTCTCGGAGCTTGTTGGCGTTGCCTGTGACGAATACTGCCGGAGAGTGAGCGGGTTAACGAAGGTATTTCTAATTGCACACACCGAAAGAAGTCATGGTATTGGGAGCTTGAAGGTGGTGATGAAAATGGAAGAAATGGTTGTAATATGACTCGAGCAACAGACTATTGCGAACGGGTTTTGACGGATAATGAAGGCAACCGAGAATCTCAAAGAAAGTCAGAGATGCCGAATGGATCAACTCGCGACGCGACGCGCTCGCTCATGACAGGTCCAATCCACATGCATTCAGGAGCCAGCCTCGTCCGCTGCAGCAGCTACTCCCCACCCTATCCTATACATCTTAGAGCTGCATGCATGCATGGCCAGGGGAGGGAGATTACTGCCAGGTTGCCACAAGCGGGAATAGCGGTGATATCCGCCGGTGCCTAGTTACCGCATGCGGACCACCAGCGCATCACGCCAACCCGCAATCTCCTGCTTTCTTATCTCGTCAAAACGCTGCATCATGGGTGAGTACTGCGGTAAACACAGAACTCCTGGAGCTGACTCTTGCAGGCATCTTCTCCAACGCTGTTGAGGACGACCTCCTCGTCTCTGCTGCTTTCCCCGAGACAAACGCTTTCGGCAGTAAGTCTCCACATTTACCAACTCTAAGCTTTTGAAGACTGACTGCTTGTATAGATGTCGTAAACGGCGAAAAGAACCCCCTTCTCATCCAGCTTGTCAACGCTGGCTCCAAAAACTACACTCTTCTTGGCGCCACATCCAGCTTCCACGACCCCAACAACCACTGGTCTTTAGTACGTTGTCGATCAGATTGCTTTGAACACAGCTAACACCCTGTACAGATTAGGAACGGTACTTCTCTCAAGTACAATGTTCCTCTTATTACCGGATCCAACTTTTCCGCTCCCTACCACACCTACTCTGAGTGAGTCGTACCTCGATGATTTACGATCAATGCTGACGGCAATCACAGGTTCCGTCCCCAGGAGCTTGGTCTTACCGTTTCCGTCAAGGTGTCTGAGGCTGGCTCTAAAGACGTCCAGTGGATTACCGCCCTCAACCGAACAGTCGGTATTGTCGAAGCCCCTGGATCATGGCTCGACTTCCAGCTCATCTTCCTCTACCTCATCATCGGCGCCGCGCTCGCCCTCAGTGGCTGGTGGGCTTATGACGCCTTCTTGGCGCCCCCTGTCAGCAAGAAGAAGTCTGGTCTTGGACCCAAGAAGGTGCGGGCTGTCGTGCCCGGCAAGGACGCTGCCTACCCCGAGGTCAAGCCTTACGAAGAGGAGTGGATCCCTGAGCATGTGTTGAAGAGCAAGGGCAGCAAGCTGAAGCAGAGGAATGTGGAGGGTGCCGTGTCTGGCGGGGAAGTGACGAGCGGTGGAGAGACGAGCGGCGGGGAGGTCAAGGGCAAGAAGAGAAAGGGAAAGAAGTAGTGGCTGTAGTGTCTGCATGCATTGCTACGTAATCGGGGTTGCTGGCCCACCGCCCATCCATTATGGCATGGCTCCTGGGCGCTATGGATTTGTTGACATGCTCGACTTTCGGCCGTCCACCTGAGACTGTTCGGAATCGGGTTCACGCCATCGCACTTGATAGCGCACCGTGGGAGAATTTGCCACCAAAGTTCACGACGACGCGTTCTTCTATAAAATTCGAAATCACTTTTTGGATCTCTACGCGTACTCTAGTTCCAAACAATACTCGACATGTCTCTCCGAACCGCTCTCCGCCCTGCCCTTAGAGCCTCTGCTCTCTCCACTGCCCGTCGTGCTGCCATCGCTCCGGTCCTCAGGCCCCTTGCCCGTGCCGACGGCTGTGGTGACTGTGGATGTGCCAACCCCCGAGCTTTCAGCTCCACACCCTTCCGTCTTGGAAGCGGCGAGAGTGGGTACTTGACAACATAGTTTGTACAATACTGACAACTAGCTTTAGCCGACAGCACCCTTTCATCTGCCCTTGCCGCCGAGCACAAGTACGAGCTCGAAGCCGCCAACGGCGAGGCCGAGGTCCCCGTCTTCATTGAAGCCTTCAAAGCTCAAGGCGTCTGGGAAATCGATGACATTGCTGGCTCTGACGATGTGGTCATTGTCAGAAAATTCGGCAACGAGACGTGAGCACTTTCATCGTCACGCTGTTACTCGCCTGACCCTCTCTCAGGATCAAACTCACTTTCCAAGTGTCCGACCTCGACGCCATTGCCTTTGACCCTGAAGTCCCCGTTAACGACCAAGAAGAGCCCGCTCCCGGCCCTGCGTCAATTACCTGCACTCTCCAGGTCACCAAGCACGCTGCTCCCTCCTCTCTAGTCGTCGACCTCGAGACTTGCGACGAAGGGTTCGAGATTACCAACGTTGCTGTTTTTGAGAAGGCGCTGGCCGAGGCCAAGGGTGCCGAGGGTGATTGGGAGAGAAGGTCGAGGTACATGGGTCCTCGTACGTTTGAATAATCGAGATTTTGAGTCATTACTGATGGGCAGCAGAGTTTGACCACCTCGACGAGACTGTCCAGGAGGCTTTCGGTGCTTACCTCGCCGAGCGAGGTGTTGACGAGTCTCTCGGTATGTCTTGCACCTAAATGTCACTTCTACGCTGACCTGTTCTGTAGCCGACTTTGTCCTTTCCTACTGCGAGCACAAGGAACAGAAGGTACGCTCATCGTGTTCAAATGACTGTCCGACATGCTGACTCGTCGTGTAGGGTTACTTGAACTGGCTCAAAGAAGTCCGTGGCTTTGTTGACCAGTAGAAAGATGGGTCTATAGTCGGATCATCATGATCGCCTGTGATTGATGGGGTTTATGCAGTCTTTCCCTACTCGATTTTCCAACTTGCCTCGTCGCGCTAGTCCTTGACCTGTTTCGGCGCCTTGTCGAACACTGTGTAGACCGATCACCATGACATGACGGAAATCAGCTTTGCCTTGTTGAGACCAGCTTGCAGGGCCATGACGTAGCACCGCCGATCTCAGCATGCACGCTCACCTGTAGGATCATGGCCAGCTTACGCGCACTTCCTACTACTTTGGCAAGCCGTCTTTGGAAGGAGCCACAGGGGTGTGGGGCAGAAAAAATGTGAGTGACGGCAGTGGAGGCAAAGCAGAGGATGGCAATGTCACGGAAGAACCACTTGTAGGAAGCTTCCATACAGAGACCGGTGATGACGAGACCAAAGACGTTGCGGAAACCACCGGCGAGGCCGAGGAGCGCAAGTTCGTTGGCCTGTTCCTTGGGTTCCGGGGACATGTGGCTACACAAGTGGTAGGCGGAGGGGATGGCTGGGTAGAGTGTTAGCTGTGTTGGTTGGCAGGAATCAAGACTTACTTAGAGATCCGTAAATACCACCCAAGCCTCGAAGAATGAGGAATCCATATTAGTTGAAGGTGACAAACGACACTACCAGACTGAACACGAGCTGAGGGGTGTGACATCGATGAAGGATCAGAGTTAGAAAACTGCAAGCAACACGTGCTTGCGGACATTCGTGAGCTGGCTGAGGGGGTGGATAGAGTGGGTGTCTTCTTCCTGAGAAGGTTCTTGCTAGTGTTTTTCTGATGATCCGGCCGAGGGCATGGCTATGAGTTGCATCTACTGGGGGGTGGCGTTGGACATGGTAGTGGATGGAGCTGCATTGCGCGCATCGGGCTATACATATGTGGGGAATGACCCGCTACTCGATGCCACTCTCTGGCATGGCCCGAGTCAGGCACTGGCAGCGGGGATTGGACTGGCGGAGGGTGCCGCTAGGGCCGGGAGCAAACTGTAACTTTAGGGGAACCCAACACCCCTGCACGTGGCGTCGCCAAGGGATACCGCCGGCTCGAAAGGACGATCCCAGTGTCACCCGACAGCGAGGGGGTATAAAGGAGGGCATTCTTCTCTTCCTTCTCTTCTTCTCTTCTTCTCTTCTTCTCTTCTTCTCTTCTTCTATCCCCTCGCCACCCACACCCCGCCCACCATCACCCAACATGGCCGACCCCGCCCCCACCTACGCCCGCGTCGCATCCATCACCCACTGGAACACCTTCTTCAGCCACGACGATGGCCTCTTCCGCCTCCCATCCACCCAGGGCGCCACCATAGAGCACCTCGACATTGACCTGCGCTACGTCGGCGACGACGAGCTCGCCAAGAGCGGCCACCGCTTCCTCAAAAGCGACCAGCCCGTCCACCTTCCCAAGGTCTGCATTCTCACCCTCCGCGGGGGCGAGTATGTCCACGACGACGACACCAGAATGGACGCCCTCGCAGAAGTCTTGCTGGCGATCAACCCCGTCGAAGTGAGGTGGTGAGTGCGCACCGCCTCCTCTCGTCATACCAGCTGACCCCTCTTCCCAGGCTCAACGCCATGATCGACCCCACCGAGCAGCTCAGCTTTGCCACCCACCTCGTCCCCCCTGCAGTCATTGCTGCGGGCGACAATTGGTCTGCCGCTGGGTCGCTCAGAAAGCTCGTCATCCAAGGTACATTAAACGAAAATTCACGTTTCACACCATCCTTTGGCGCTCCCTTGTGCACGTCATATGCTGACTCGCGGCGCAGGCGGGTTCCCGTGCCCCAACCTGACTGCACCCACCCCCTTCTCCCTCACCCCCTCCGCCACCCCCTGCCCCTCGCCCGGCCCACACCGCACCAGCTTTGGCCTCGAGTCGTTTTCCTCCATCAAGGGCCCCGCCCACCTGTCTTCCGGTCTTCCCGCGCTTACCACCACCAAGCCCAAGCGCGTCGACGAAGAGCGGCTCAAGGCTCGTGCAGAGAGGAGGAGGCTCGCAGACTATACCCTCAAGCCAAGGTCAGAGTATGCTTTCGGCACTTGGTCTGTCCAGGAACTCAAATGGCGACTTGATGGTATGTTTGTTTGTCATCCATAGCCGCAAAGCTAATCACGGATCCAAGGCCGATACACACCCGCGTGTATCGTCTCCATCATTACTCAGTTCCTCAAAGCCGTCAACACCACCTATCCCTCTGCCAGCCGACGATTCGACGTCGACCTTCCCGCCGCCGTTGCCTTTACTTCTCTTCCCAGAGATATCATCTCGGAGCTCCAGTCTCTCCCCGAGAAACTCGAACTCGCCGAGGAAGTGCACGAGTGGCTTGCCGATGTCGGTTTCGGCTCTCTTGGCGACGAGCGACATGCGCGTCTCTGGTCTGTCGGCGAGTCGGCGCAAGAAGAGCGCAACGCTGCCAGGCTCAAGGCAGATATCGTTCTCGCACAGACCCAGAATGGCGTGTCCATCGTCTCACTCGACGAGCTTTTGGCCAACAAGTCTGGCTCTGATGGCGGGCTCGACGTATCGTCTGCTTTGACAGGCGCAACCGGTACCGACTTTGTCTCTCCTGCCAACTCTATCGCCTCGCTGCTCCCCCCTCAGAGCGAGGGTGCGTCGACTGAAGACGAGAGCGAGGCCGTCACCCCCGAGCTTCAAGGTAGTCCGGTGATTGAGCCTACCGTCAGCGAAGTCTCCAAGAAGGTGTCCAGCATGGGCATCTCGGATAGTGAGAGATCGTTGGAAAACTCTGTGGTGATCTGAGCGAGTATCATGGACATGTCTATATTTTTCCCCATTATAAAACCTACTCTTTGAGAATACCCCTTGTATACCACAATATTGTTATATAGTCCGTTCTCTACGCCCATTAACGAGTTGTATCATTTGACCTGCATCCGTATATACGAGAAGACCATGTATATTTGACGATACATTTTCGGTACTATATGCATGACCCGATAATCTACACACTTGCTGATTTATTCTATCTGCCCCTACCCCTGCCACCGCCTCTCAGAGCCTGCTGAGCAGCTCCTCGGGGCATGGGAGGTCCCGCCTGGGGCTGCTCGCTCTGAGGATTCCTCACAGTCTCGTCCACACTCAGAATCAAACACGCCGCATCGACCGCACTTCCCAAAGCATTCGTCTTGACAAGAGCCGGCTCCCACACAAAGCTCTTCATGTTGTCCTGCACACCCTCGCCGTCGACGTCGACACCTGCCCAGAGATCGCCCTGCGCGTGACGCATACGGAGCTTGTTGAGAATGTCGGTAGCGTCAAGACCGGCATTGTCACAGATCTGGCGGGGGATGATTTCGAGGGATTTGGCGACGGCACCGACGATCAGCTGAGCCTTGCCCATGATCGTACGCGAGTGGCCTCGGAGGTATTTGGAGACTTCCATCTGAAACATTGTTAGCACTTGCCTATAACAGAGTCATTCCGACGCACCTCGCAAGCACCACCACCAGCGACGACACTGTTGTTCTTGATCGCCCTCTTGACAATCATGATCGAGTCGTGCAAACTCCTCTCCACCTCGGCAATAAACTGCTCGGCACCACCTCGGAGGATCAAAGTACAAGTCTGGGCCTCGGGACAATCCTCAAAGAGGTTGAACCTCTCGCCACCAATCTGCTTCTCCTCGAACGCACCACACTGGCCCAGGTGATGAGGCTCAATGTCGGAGCATGTGGACTGGATGGAACCGCCGACGGCAGAGACGACTCGCTTCAGATCACCGTCGGCGACTCGGCCAGCACAGAAAATGTCACGGTCGGCAAAGTACTGGGTGGCAAGATCACCGATGGGCAATTTTGAGAGGACGACCTTGGCGCCGGTCGCCACGATGGCCTCGAGCTTGCGGTAGATGATGGACCACTCGGCGTCGACAATGGCCTGGTACTCGGAGACCTCGTTGACCCGGACTTCGGCATTGTCCTTCTCAGCCTTGAGCTCGAGCTCGACGTTCAGACAAAGAACCTTGGGGTTCTTGAAGCTCTTGGGCTGCTGCTCGAAACCAGCATAGGCAAAGGTCTTTTTGAAGGCCACACCCTTGATGAGCTTGGAGTCTTGCATACCACCACCGGGAACCTTCTTGATACCGATCAAAGACTCGTTGAGGTCGTTCTGGTCGAGGGAGAGCACGGCGTCGACGACCATGTTGGCGAAGAAGGGGGTCTGGGTTTGGATGAGTTTGGAGGACATGGAGGTGGCGGCGCATTGCATCAAAAGGTCACGGAATTTCCTAGCACCTCGATCAGTTTGACCATCTTTAAACGTAAGAAGACATACTCGGGGTTGGATTTATCTATTGTGACGGCAATCTCGTCAATCTTATTGAGAGCCAAAGACTTGGCCTCTCGAAGACCCTTGATGATTACATGGGGAGAAACACCTTCCTCGATGAATGGCCTGACCTCTTTCAGGATCTCGGCAGCCCTGAATGTCTTGTCAGATTGAATCTCCTCGTAACGATCAGACTTACAGCAAAGTAACACTCGTCGTTCCGTCACCAACCTCGGCGTCCTGGGCTCGAGCAATGTCGACCAAAGTTCGCGCAGCGGGGTGGACAACATCGAGAAGCCTCAAGATAGTAGCACCATCGTCTGTCGGGAACAATTAGCGACGGCCGTTTGATATTGCAGAATGACATACTGGAGATGGTAGCCAGACCTCTGTCGTCAACGATGAGTTTATCCATTCCTCTGGGGCCAAGAGTAGTAGCAATGGTCTGCGCCACGGCAGTACAGGCAGAGATGTTGGACAAAAGCTGTCCGACACCTTGAGACGTGTCTGTGCCCTCTGCAACCATTGTCAGCGGCCGGCCTTGCGCGAGAAAAGGAGCATACCCTTGAGGAGGACGACGGTGGGCTGCTATGGGGGGGGGTCAGCGGGGGCATAGGGGTGGCATTAGACGTACCATTTGAGGAAGACGGCCCTGCATTTTGTGATTTTTGTTTTAGAGAGGGTAAATTGTCGCCTTGAACTTGAACAGATGGAAGCTTCGACGCGTACTGCCACCATTTGCTCCCGTCATTTGCTCCCGCCGCTCTATTCTCCTCTGACATCGCCAGCCATCTGCCACTTACCTACACCACCACCACCATGTCTGATCTCTGCCCCCCATGGGCCTACTTCTTCGGGTAAGTCCTGCAGCTCATGGCCAAGTCCCTAGCTCATCCTGTGCAGCTTCGCAGGCGTCACAAGCGCGGTATGTCCCCGTGCATCCCTCTCGACACATCGGCCCTCTGCTGACATTCCGCCTAGATGGTCTTTTCGACTGTCGGAGCTGCCTATGGAACGTCCAAGGCTGGTATTGGGATCGCGGGTCTCGGTACCTTCAGGTGGGTTCGAGAAATTATCTGCGATTGGCCAAAGGTCATGGCTGACTGGTCTGTAGGCCTGATCTGATCATGAAGGTGTGTATGGCGTCTTGATAGGTGGCCTAGCTAACCATTCGCGGCTATGACAACAGTCCCTCATCCCTGTTGTTGTGAGTGATTCCGTCTGCATCCTTGGATATTCACTGATTGCATGTAGATGTCTGGTAGTACGTTAGGCTTCTGTGCTATGCAGCCGCCAACTGATAATATCCACAGTCATCGCCGTCTACGGACTGGTGGTTTCCGTCCTGATTGCAGGTAACAGTCAGTGTCTTCCCTTGTCGATGCGCGCACGTCCTTGGGCTCACAGCGATAATAGTCTCCCCGTCAGAACCCTACTCTCTCTTTGCCGGCTTCATCCATCTTGCTGCCGGACTGGGTACGTTTCAGAATAAGCTAGTCGTGCCATGTGCTCATTATTAATACAGCGTGCGGCTTCACTGGGTTGGCAGCTGGCTACGCAATCGGTATTGTGGGTGATGCGGTAAGTAGTCTCTCGCCTCTATGACGCTCAGCTAATCTCTTTTCCAGTGTGTGCGAGCGTATCTGTACGAATCAAAGGTCTTTGTATCCATGGTCCTGATCCTTATTTTCGCCGAAGTCATCGTACGTCCACGTTCCTTCCACCTCGACACCCGGCTGAGTTTTGCAGGGTCTGTACGGTCTCATTGTCGCCCTTATCCTCAATACTGCGGTCCCCGGAGAAGCAGTGTGCGGCGCCACATAAGAGGTCCAACCAGACATTTGTAACGACATAATCGACCTGCAAAGGCATGCACACCTTGACCACTTGTCCGCACGACTCGAAAGGAAATAGCACAGTCACGGTTCGGAGTAAAAGGAGATTGACTAGGATGGCCTGCATGCTGGTCTTTCCCTCTATTAAGATATGGATTATATGTGAGTATCGACATTATACTACTTGATTCAATCTTTGGCCCCTCAAACCCGACTCGTTACATCGCGACTACTCGGCCTCCTCCACGGTGATAGTTATGACCTGCTTACCCGAGGTGGTGCTGAGGGACATGTTCTTACCACTGCTACCAGCATTGTTGGATGTGCTCAAAAGGAGCTGTGCACTGTCAGCAACACCCACCGAGTGCAAATCGACAACTTACCTTGGACGCCTTGTTCTCGACTGAATCAATAAACGCAAGCGCAGGACCAGCGACGAGGATCGAGGCGTCTTGATTGAGAATGTTGGAGCTTAAGGGGGTAGAGCTGTTGGTGAGGAACAAGTAAACAGCTCCGTCGAGACCATCTGGGACCTTGCAGTCGCCAACAGCAAGGTTGATGGCCTCGGTAGATCCACCGACAATCATATTGCAGAACAAGCCCTGCTAGGGTCAATACCGTCCTGTTAACCAAAACCGAGATACTCACGCTTTGATCAACGTCCTTGATACCGTCACCCCCAAAGGTGACAAGATCGCCGGGCGATACGGTGCCATTGTTGGTGACTGTAAGCTGGGGAGTGGCTATTTCATCGTTCAGCTCGCGCTTCTATAGTGCACACAGGACCCACGGGTCAAGCCAAGGGCAGCGACAGGGTCACAACCGCCAGAGACGAACGGCGCGGCGAGACTGAGAACTTGTTGAGGAGACAGAGCCATGTCGAATGCGTTGGCAACGGAAGAGCCGCCTGTATACGAAAGTGAGCGACATCATCCAACCACGCGTAGACCCACTGTTGAACAGGTTCAAAACGGTATTGTGCCTCGACTCTACAGTCGTGATCTGCGCAGCATTGACCAGCAAGCTCTTGTCCCCGATCAAAGTGGTACCACCGAGGTACGCCGAGATACCAACAAACTCGAGGGTACGAGCAGTAGCCAAAAAGGTGCTGACGTCGGTGAGAGCAGAGTCAAAGTTGAACTGACACGAGTCCACGTCGGCAGTATCGGCGCTCATGGCTTTGGCCACGGCCTGGAGAGTGCTGAGGTGGGTAGACTCGTCTTTGCCAATCACACTGGCAAGCGTCAGAAGGCAGCGATGAATGCAAGTCAATTGTACTTACGAGAGCTGATCGGAGATACTCTGGCCATCAGCAAACCCGGCGTCGGCGAAAGCCTGGGCATCGAATTTGGCGAGTGCCGTGTTGTAAAAGTTGTTCTCCAGGTTCTCGGCAAGGGCGGCAAACTACCACCGTCAGCTGTCGATCCCACCAACTCTCGAAGCTCACCTTTACGACCGTGAGATCGTTGGAGGTGTCGGCGGTACTGGCTGACGCAGAAGCACTATTGGTGGTGCTGGCAGTGGCTGACGCGGCGGCACTATCAGTCGAGCTGGCAGTAGCCGAAGCACTGTCTGAAGAGCTTTCAGTCGAACTGGCAGACACCGAGGCTGCAGAATCGGTCGATGAGACAGCAGCCGCAGTGTCCGCACCTGGAGTAGACAGGCCGATAACATCCTGTCGGATCCTGAGAGGCGTGGCGAGTAGGGTGGGGAGAAGAGGAAAAAGGACGAGTATGCTGGAATACATTGTGAGTCGAGCGAGCCGTGTTGTAGTTTCGGTAGGTCGGGTAGAAGAAGCAGTCGAAAGAAAATCAGGAAACAATAGGCGATTATGAGGCGACTACCAGTAGTCTCTCGTGATAATATAGGAGAATTAAGAAAGGGTAACGTCGCACAGCGAACGAGAAGAAGGTCGGCCCGGAGAGGATTGAGGTTGAGGAGCAGAAAAGCGACAGAGACGGAGGGCGGGGCGGGCGATCTCATCTTCTCACTGGAAGCCCCTTTAATACCACGAGCAATGGTGAATGAGCTCGGCAAACAAGGTAGACATTGTCGCCAGCTTCAATAGTCATCTCTTGGTGATATTTGCAGGCGCCATCCTCGTCGAGAGCGCGTACCTTGACGACTTTGAGAGGTTACCACAACTTTACATCCGAGCGGAGGTTTTGTGGAACTTGGTTTCTTGGATGCTGGATGCCCTGTTTGGTTCCTTGTTGAGAACTCGATACTCTGCAGCAGAGGCGCCACCTCTTGACATTCCATCGATCGGTCGAGCCCTCTTCTTCTTCTCCAGATATGCAGGTCGTGAAGTTTTCTTTGCGTAGTGAGGCTACAATGTGAACCTTGGCCGGCGATTGCTGTCACGTCTGATGTCGACATGTCGTGGAGAGGCCGAAGGTGATTGGAAAGCACTGAGGACGGTGCAAAGAGAGCTCCGCACACTCGGGCCGCCGTTGTTGTACAGCCATACTGCATCCTTGTCTCTCTGATCAAGAGCTGCTATGGTCGGGGGTAGCAGTAATAATATATGCATGATACACTACAAGTTATAGATGATTCTTACATGGCGCCTTGAACGGGAAACCCTCCTTGAGCCAGCGTCGTGACTTTTTCGTCCCCGGCCGACTGGACAGCGTGTACGACTCGGTGCAATAGCGCCCGGCAGGCTGCCTCGTCGGCAACCCCACTTGTGGCCGATGAGGCCGCCTTACGCACATAGACATCGATACCTGCTGCAGAAAAGAGTGTCTTTGAAAAAACTGTGTATGCCTTAGTCTCATTCCGTCTCAGACATAGGAGAAAGCTCACATGTCACAGCCCATTCCAGCCCCGAGGCTTCATCCGACCCATACCCGAGGACTTCCCAGTGCGAGTGGACAAAGAAGAGCCAGCCAGATCCTTTCCAATCAAAGGTCGCCGCATTGGGTCTGAGGGTCGACTTGGTCAGACCGATTCTGCACATTGTCTCACCGACCGCGGTCACTTACCCAGACGATGTCAAGGTGTCAACGCCCTTCACTGTGGCAACGGTGATCAGCCGAAAGCTCTTTGAATCAGACTCCACTCACCCGTGTGCACCTTCTCACTGTTGAGTTTGCGATACTCTAGTAGATCTTGAAACTTGATCGCCCCAGTAACGTCAGGCAAAGGCGTGTAGGTGAGCGTGACATCTTTGGGCATTCCATGTCAGCGGCGAGTTTGGTACTACTCCAATAATGTACCCTTTTTGTCCTACAAATGATAGGCAGATCCTTAGCTAGTTCATACAATATGAAAGCTCTGATTGAGACTCACCTTCCACATCGGTAATGTGCTCCAAGCAATGCCCCATTTGCCCATGAACCAAGATCGGTCGAAGCCTTCCGGGCCTCCTTCTGTCAGGGTAGGGTGAATTGAGCCTGGTGGGTGAATGGCGATATCTGAGCTCATCATGGGACTTGCGAGAATTGGAGCAAAGTGATGGTATTGGACTTGGAGCAGTGGTCGGCGACGCCGTCGGTGATATAGCAGCAAAGGCACCTCTCGATCGCGAATGAAGTCACGCCTCCTAGAGATCATGTCATGCTTCATATGTGCTTTATATCAATGAATGAATGAGGGAGAGTGTAGTATCCGGGGTGAGCTGATGCAGAACAAAAAAAAACAAAAAGAAATGGAGGAGCTAAGAATTGAACTCAGTACCTCGTCAAATCCACTCGTTGAAGAATGCTAATGACGCGCTCTGCCAAATGAGCTACACCCCCTTTGATATTAGGGGGCTGGCGGATAATTAAGAGACCATTGATCTCTGTAGCCCCATCCTACACCAGATCGGCAACACCTTTTGACGGCCAAGTGTACTCATTGAGGAGAGACGCAAATCAACCCCACAATAGGACACGGCGGACCCAATTCACAAGCTGCAGGGCGGAATACAGAGGGCAGCGGATGACGTAAAGGAGCAGTCGTTTGTGTCAGGGCCGGAGATAGATTGCAAGGGATCGTCATAGACAGAAATTGAACCCGCGCAGATGTAATGGGGCTAGCGGTGATTAGGTACAGATTAGTAATGGGATTAGGGATTAGGAGCTCAGGAAGAGATTGTGGCCGTTCTGGACTTGTCGATCTCTGCAGCGAGCACCGAAAGCTCATCGCAACGTCCACCTCCAGCCCAGTACCCAGTCACCCAGCCGTCACCGCCTCCAGCCCCCCGCCACCCACAGCCCATGTCAGCAAACACACGACTCTGAGGACCGCCACCACATCAGACCACAGCGGGAAATCGGCGGGAAAGGAGGCGTTCATTCCATCGGCGGCTCACAGAGCACCTCCTATTCAGTCCACACTCACTCCCGAGCGCAACTGCAGCACCCATTCGCCATCCCGCGCATCCAACGGCCATTCCGCGCAGGCCATGAGCCAGCCACCATCTCCTCGCTCTACCCAGAGCCGCGTCCCTCCATCCTCAGCCGCCTTTCTCCAGCAGCTCCACAGCGACCCCTCCTCAAACCACATCACCCTCTCCAATCACCGTGTTACCGCCCCACACTCTTTAGTGGTCCCCCTCGAGCCTACGGTCAGCGACACTCCTCATGGCTTCGCGCCCCAACGTGCGCATACCAGCCCAGTATCGCCCATGGCGGGGCCATCCGTCTTGAGCAGTCTGGGCAGGAAGCCATCAAAAAGGGGCAGGCCGAAAACTGCTCCTTCCAGACCCGAAGACGGTGCTGCTCAAACAGGGTATGAAAGTCCAGAGCTTCCAGATTCGATACCTCCCCAGCCAGAGCCTGTCGGAATGCCTGCTACCGATGCAGACACATGTTTGAACATGCTTGCTGCAGAAGAGGGCCTCGCCCCTGCAATGGACGCATTGGCGGTGTCCAATGAACCCAAAACATATATATTGGGGAGGGCGGGTTCCCTGACGGGCACACCAGAGTCGCAAACAGGTCACAGTCGCCCTACTATACCGACCGGCATGAACTGGGCCATGTTCTCACAGGCCTATTCGCATGGCCTGTTTGACCCGAACAAGGTGCCAAACCCCCCGTCAGCCTCCACCACTCCCAATACCACCGATCTTCATTCCACGCGGTCATCACCAGGTCAACAATATGCTATGCCACCCAGCGTACCCCGCCGACTTGTAGAGCCCAGCAGCAGCTCTGACGACTATAGCTCAAAGAGCTCCAAAGGCTCCAAGGGATCGACTATGACCTCTGTGAGCTCGGCGCCGTCAACTTCTTCCGCAAGTTTTTCTTCGAACAGCCGTCCAATGTCTATGTCTGCTTCACTGGCGGCGCGGAAAAAGGCGTTTGAACTGGAACATCTCCCTCTACGCCCCAATGCGCCCGTCATTGGCACCGACAAACTGGCACTTCCCTCGTACTCTCTCGCTGCTGCTACCGTCAGGATGGCATCTACGAGCTTTCTTAACGATTTTTCTCCGCTGGCGATACCCAGCCCTGAGCGAGAGCTCGTTGATCCGATGGCCAGTGTGACAACGGGTGATACAGACAGCATGCGGCAGGACAGCGCCAGCTCTGACCCTGGGTCTTCACGCTTTCCTCTGCATCATAGCATGTCCAGTGCCGCGAACCCTTACACCAGCGGTCTGCGGCTGCCGACGATTCAGGCGAGTCCCGTCAGCACCCCTCTCGAAGGGCCACACCGCCCAAAAATAAAAGAGAGGTCGCCACCCAGGGTTCGGCACGGCTTGGTCGACAAGAGCAAGCTTCCCGTCGCCTCTGCGCCCTTAGAAAAAACGATCGTCACGGAACATGCCACAGACTATTTCGGAGCTGCGGCTACCGCTACGTCGCCTCCCGAGACAAACTCTACATCGTCTACAGTCACCGACAATACACCTAAACCACCACTCAACTCGACAGCCACGTCCACCCAACAAGTCCCACCCCTGACGGCCTCTTCTCAAAAAGTGCCGCTACCCGCAGTGCCCGTCCCATCAGATATGGCCACTATCTACGAACAGTACGGATGGCTACCAGCCCCGGTGCCGCCAGATGAGATCGCGAGAAGAAGGGCGTTGTACAGATTCAACATCTTGAATACTGCGGCCGATATCAATTTCAATCGGATAGCACACATGGCGAAACTGGTGTTCAACCCGAAAATCGTGCTGTTGACCCTGATCGACAGTGATCAGCAGTGGTACAAAACGGGTAGTGGTGTTGGTATGGGATCAGATAGGGGGGAGAGAGTGTCGAGTATCTGTAGTCACGCGATTCTACCCAGGTATGTCTTCCTTTCGATCGTATCGGGCACCAGATTAATTCTCTTTTCAGATCGGACGAGCCATTTGTGGTCTTGGATACCAGCCAAGATTGGCGATTCGAAAACAACCCCAATGTTGTAGGCCCCCCGCATGTCCGCTTCTACGCTGGTGCCCCTCTTCGGACATCGGACGGACACAACATTGGAACTCTTTGCATCATCGACGACAAACCACGATCAGAGTTTACACCACGTTCACGCCTGATATTGAAAGAGTTTGCAGCTGTTGCTATGCGAGAGATGGAGCTGTGGCGAGACAAGGTGAGTCTGCTCCTAGTTGTAGTTGGCCTCCTGCTGACATAATCACAGCTACAATTGCGTGTACGCGACAAGATTCAAACCTCTATGGAGAAGTTTACTCGCGAATGTTTGGAAATGGATACTGCATCTGCCAGCTCCAACGCCGACGCCGCAGCCAAGATGGATCAAGTCTACTCCCGAGCTGCCCAATTGGTATGCTCGACCATCGGCCTCGACGGTTGCTTCATTCTTGATACCGGTCAGATTGAGACGATCACAACAGATACGCCCGAAGGCAAAAAAGTCACCTATCGCGCCAACCCGTACAGCGCCGAGCATACGTCCCCGGTACTCGAGAGAAGCGAGGCGTATGGTCCGGTAAACCCCTTCCCTGTGCTCGCTGCTGTACCCCCTGTACCTCCCACACGGGCTCTCTCTTCCTACGAACACGAAAAGCTTTCAGAGTTTCTGGAAAACCACAGAGACGGGCGTATATTTGAAGGCACAGCGCCTCTCTGGATCAGGTACATGTTCCCCTCCAAATTTCGCTTCGGCATGGCAGTTCCCATCTTTGGAGTGGACCAGCATCCTTTTGCGATGATTTGTGCCTATACTGCCAACCCAGAGAAGCAGTTCCTGGAAGGGTACGAGCTACAATTCCTTCGAGCCATTGGTGTCATCATCCTCTCTGCGGTTCTACGTCGGCGTATGGTGATGGCAGACAAGACAAAGAGTATCCTTATCTCTTCTGTCAGTCACGAGCTGCGAACGCCTCTGCACGGGATCCTTGCTTCCGCCGAGCTCCTCAGTGATACCCCACTCGATTCCAATCAGCTGTCTTTCCTTAAAACGGTCCAAACTTGTGGTAATTCTCTTATCGAGACCGTCAACCACGTCCTTGACTTTACAAAGTTGAGTGGTGGCAATAGCAATAAGACCACCGCAACAGACCTTGACAGGGTCAATTTGGCGTCGTTGGTAGAGCAGACCGTTGAAGGATGTTGGATTGGCCAAAGAGCCAGACTGTTTTTGGGCGATAACGACATCGGGAGTTTCTACGCTCCCCCGTCTTCAGCGGGCTACGTGCCCAAGTCTCAGCGGACTGCCACTGAGGAGTCGCTGTCGTATGTGGAAACAGTCATTGATATCGATCTCAGACAAAAGGTATGTGGTACTATTTGCCGTCAAGGATAAGAGTTCACCTTTGCGCTTGCAGGGATGGAATGTTCGCTGTGAAAAGGGTGGTCTCCGTCGAGTGCTCATGAACCTGGTCGGCAATTCATTCAAATTTACCAAGGTAAGAATACTTTCCTCAACAGAGATGGTATATTGATGTCGCTGTAGGATGGCTATGTTCAAATTTCCCTTCGCGAAATGCCCCACCCGCCCAATGCCAGCAAAATCCCTATCGAGATGACTGTCATTGACACCGGCAAAGGTATTGGCAAGGATTTTCTCAAGGATCAGCTTTTCCACCCATTCTCTCAAGAGAATCCTCTTCAAACTGGTACTGGTCTGGGTCTAGCTATTGTTAATTCCATCGTTCGATCGGAAAGTGTCAATGGTAAAGTCGACGTTTGGTCAGCCGAGGGAGTCGGAACAGAGATCAAGGTCACTTTCGAAGCCGAAGTCATCGACGAGGACGACGGAGACGTTGCCGTGTCGTCAAGCTCGTCTGTCGCGTCGAATAACACGGCGATATCGACATTCGGTCGCGGCATCTCTACTGCTTTCGTCTCTTTCCTTCCAGGGCACCAAGGCCACATGCTTTTGTGCGAGGTTCTCATTCGCTACGTCAACTATTGGCAATTTGAAGTGAAGGACGCTTCCTCAGCCGACATAATCATCATCAACGACGACGATGAAGACCTGGAGAGTTTCAGCAAATCGCAGAAGCCTCTGATCTGCTTGGCAGTTGGAAGAAAGTTTGGTACCAGCAGAGTCGTCGAATCCATCAATAGGAGCGGTGGCTTCTGTCGTGTGGTATTCAAACCTGTCGGTCCTACGGCTCTCCAGAAAGCACTCGTTGAGGCGTCAGAGTGGATAGAAGAACGGGACCAGAGCGGGGAGCGCGATCCTGTTGGAGATCATCTTCATCTCAGCATTGGAAGAGAGAACGTTGTGGACAGGCCTTCATTTTCACGCGGATCCTCCGGTGCCAGTCAGGATTCTGCGTCCACGATCAGCGGGATTTCCTCCATGGTATCTATGCCGAGGCCTCACATCCCGCAAAGCAATTCCAGATTGCCTCTACAGCGCCGTAGGTCTGAAGAGAATGAGCAAGCGCCCAGAAGGCCTAGCATGGCGCCTCGCGGCATGACCTTCCACAGCTCTCGTCGCATCGTCACGCCGGGTCTAAGCGATACTCCTTTGTCGTCGCCTACGTTGAGTCAAGACTCTCCTACCTCGACACTGTCGACCATCTCGCTGGCAGACGGGGGAGTCATGTTGAAGGCTGCAGCTGTCTTGTCTGGGACGCCAAGGAAGGAGAGAAAGGGTAGAGTGATGGTTGTGGAAGACAACGCCATAAACCGAAGAGTATTGGCCGCGTTTCTGAGGAAGAAGGTGAGTCATGTGCTAAACAACGTACAACCTGCTGATCGCTCTCAATGTCAGGGATTCGAGTACGCAGAGGCGGTAGATGGTCAAGAAGGTGTCGATCTCTTTGAGTCTTCGCCCCCAAATACCTGGGAGTGAGTTGCGCTCTGTATCAGTCTGTTTTGGTTATTGACAAAGTGTCCTACAGCGTCGTTCTCATGGACATAACCATGCCAATTCTAAACGGCCATCAGGCTACTCGCGCCATCCGCCGTATCGAAGCTCTTCGTCGGAACAATCTATCGGACATTCCCATGGTCCCACCGCCTGGCCGGCCGGTGACCATACCACCACAGAAAATTGTGCAGGCGAGAACCAAGATCTTTGCTTTGACCGGACTTGCCACGCCAGATGACAAGAGGGAGGCGTTCGGGAGTGGGGTTGACGGATAGTGAGTCTCATCTCAAGACCCGGTATCGTTGGTCAGCTGACAAGAGGAAAGTCTCGTAAAACCTGTATCATTAGCTAGTCTGGACATCATCCTGAGGAGTGAGTCTATCTCTGATCCTGCGACTGCTCAGCTGACCTTTGCACAGAAATCGGGTTCTGAGCTTCAGTCATCATTTGTGCCGCCATCTACTTATACCACATTTCAACGCATACCCATTTCATTCTAGTACTTCTCATCTCTTCTTCTGAATCCAACACCAATTTGTACTCTGTACTGTACGATGGAGCAGTCGGAGCCATTCTATTTACTTTTATCACTGGTTGATGGTTTCTTCTTTGCATGGGCGCTTCATTCTCCGGGAAACACATAGAGATATAACAGTTGAGACATATACCAAAAAGTGTAATGCAGAGAGCTGTTTTGTCAAGTCATTATACATGCGTTTATAGACAATGCCTAGGGTTACACCTATCCATGTGGCCCCTGCTTGCTTCTCGTTATACTAGCACGTCAATCGCCACGTTCACCTCAAGCTCTCCAGCCTACGTGCACTGCGTCCGTGCGGAAGCTACAGCAAGAGTCAGCCCACCCATATGTCTGCTACGAGAGGCGTACCGTTGCGTCACACCTGTCTTTTCCAATGGCATGCTGATACCCATCCTATGCGCTAGTAAACCCGCTTGGGCGATCATAATTCCGTTATCGATACAAAAGCTGTTGCCAATGTCAGCGGATGGTACTGAGAGATTACAGAACGACAGACCTTTCATCGGTGGCGAAGACTCGTCCGTTTCGTTCACTGGCCATGATGCCCATCATCTCTTGCAGTCGCATGTTACCTAAGAGCTCCGTCAGCCTGTGTTAGTAGTTGAGCAAAATACGTACAGCCAACACCTCCAACAATCAAAACATCTTTGGCCCCCACATGAGCCATCGCCCTCTCCGTAATCTCTACCAACATCGCAAAAGTCGTTTCCTGTAGAGAGAAACACAGATCATAGGGCGTGATGATGTCCTCGTTGGAGGGAGTATCTGGGCTGTCTCCCACAGGAACCTGGTCCCAAGTGCGGTAACGCTTATCCTTGGTGTAGGCCTCGACAGATTGCAGGATACCGGCGAGGGAGATGTCCATCCCCTTGGTGCCATATGGCAAGGGAGCTAATCTATGACCCCTAGGTAGACTATCAGCAGATGCTCCCTCGTGATTATACCCAACGCACTTCTTTGCCTCCTTCTCGATGTTGAACCCAGGACTAGGGTCATTTCTCAAGCCAATCACTCTCGCAAATCGGTCCAGGCAGTTGCCGATGGCGATATCTAGGGTTTCTCCGAATATCCGGTATCTCTGCTGAGAGTATGCAATCACTTGTGTATTGCCCCCAGAAACATACAGGACGATAGGGTTATGTGACGATGTGATTTGTCGACCCATTTCGATGTGGCCCACGCAGTGATTGACGCCCACTAGAGGAATGTTGTGCAGAAGAGAGAGGGTCCTCGCCGTCAAGGCGCCCACCTGAAGTGGAGTGCCCATGCCCGGGCCCTTTGTGAAGGCTATGCAATCCAAATCGCTCATCCTGACCCCTGCTTTGCGAACCGCCTCTTCCACCACCTTGACTACCCATTCCCGGTGATGCCGGGCAGTGTCGGAGGGCAGGAAGCCCTCGCCCGGTGGTGTGATGTAGGTATGTCTAACGTTGGAGAGGACGGTGACAGTTGTGGCACCAGTATCGGCGGGGGACGGCTGGTGGGATATGATACCGCAACCAAGCTTGTTCGCTGAGCCTTCGATGCCGAGACAGAGGAGGCGGCGCGCTGATGGGAAGGTGAGCTGGGCGGCGGCAGGCCGGAGTGGGACGTACTGGGTTTTGGGAGGGGGGATATCTTTTTCTTGGGTGTCTTTGTGAGGGCCATGGAGGACGACGAGAAAAAGCAAGAGATGAATAGATTTGAGCATCATTGTTGACTTTTTGAGACAGTGCTTCCCCAGGCACGCACCGAAATCATCGATCCGAGTGCGCCCATCTCCTCTTTCTTTCTCCATCACAGCCATGTTCTGGGACCCGGCCTTCAACAAGGCCTCGGCCATAGTCGGCGCACCCCCAGACCAGCTCAAGGTGCGCACACAGCCACACAGCCCCGCCAGAACTGACCCTAGCAGCTCATCTTCTCGCTTCTGGTGTCATACCCCCTCGGATCACTCTACATTCGCCTGCCATCGTCCAGGCCATATGTAGCGCACCTGTTCTCCATCGTGCTATCCACAGTATTCCTGGTCCCACTACTGGGACTTGGAGGGGGCATGCTCCATCTGCTGTTCAGCTCGTTGGGTACATATGCCATTGTAAAGTACATGAAGGGGACTAACATGCCATGGGTGGCTTTCTGGTACGTGAGCATCGCCACACAGCCTTGTACAACTACTGACTATCTCTCAGTTTTGTCATGGGACATTTGCTCTTCAAGTGTGACAGCTATGCTCTATCTGAGGCCCCAGCTGACGTCGATGCAGTCACCTCAAGCGCTCTTACCTCGGTCTATCTGCTAGTACCATCGAGATCACTGGATCTCAGATGGTGCTCGTCATGAAACTGTCTACATTTGCATGGAACGTGCACGACGGGAGAAGTAAGGACGAGGTGAGCCCGAAAATGCATGCTACAAGGTGCATTGCTGACCGCACCCCAGGATCTGGATACGAGCCAGAGAGAGACCAGACTCACAGATCTGCCCGGACTGATACCCTTCCTGGGATACTGGTGAGCACTACTCCAACATGTTTTGATCGAGGGTCTGACCGTCCCAGCTTCTTCTTCCCTTCCATTCTTGTCGGTCCCTCATTTGATTACGCCACATACGATGCTCTTGTGCACCATCGACTGTACAACATTGCGCCTCCAGGGACCTCTGCGGAACAAGCTGCGGCTGTCAAGACGCGCATTCCCTATGGTCGAAAGCGAGTTGCATATCTTCATCTCGTCATTGGTCTTTCCTTCCTCGGCCTCTATGCCACTTATGGCGGCAAATTCAGCTATGAGCAAATCCTGGGCAAAGAGTTCTTGGGGTACAAGCTAATCCAAAAGCTCGGATTTGTTCAGCTCTGTGGATTGTTTGCCAGGACCAAATACTATGCCGTCTGGAGTTTGTCCGAGGGGGCTTGTGTCCTGACAGGACTCGGGTTCAACGGGTATGATCCAAAGACGGGCCGGACGTTGTGGAACCGGGTCAGGAATATCAACATCAAAGGCATCGAGACGGCAGAGAGCTGGAAGGTCTTGTTTGACAGCTGGAACTGCCGGACTAATGTGAGTCGTGTGAAGAAACTGTCAAACGTTTCAGCTAATCCATCTCAGGTCTGGTTGAGAGATTCTGTGTACAAGAGGCTCACCAAGAAGGGGCAAAAAGGTGGCACCAAGGAGAGTATGGCGACTTTTTTGACTTCTGCCTTCTGGGTAAGTCGCATTTGATCGAACGATAGACTTGTCGCTAAACAAAAGTGCAGCACGGAATTGACCCTGGCTACTATCGTGAGTGACGAATCCCACGACAAGGCTGACTGGAGTAGTGGCATTCTTCATGGGTGGTGTCTTTCAATCACTAGGTCGCCAGTCGCGACGCTTCATCCGTCCATACTTTATGCCTGTCGAGGGTTCCACTATCGCTCCTGCCAAGAGATTCTACGACGTCGCCGGCTGGTTGTTTGTACAAGCCAACCTCAACTATCTCGTCGCTCCTTTCCTGCTACTCAATTTCAAGGATTCCGTCGGCGCCTGGGGCCGAATGTACTGGTACGGCCACATAGCCGCTTTCAGTACACTCGCCTTCATGTCTCTTGGTGGCAGGCGCACCCTCAAAAATGGTCTACGATCACAAAAACCTGCCTTCCCGCCCCCTTCGCTCAGAGTGTCGCCTCCCTCACCTCCCCTTCTTGCACCCGAAATCCCGCCACCTGCACCCGAGGACGAGAAAGACAGCCGAGATCTTCGATGGGTCAAGCACGCGCTCGATAACCCCGAGTATCAGGATGACGGCGAAGGTGTGGGGATGGGAGTGGCCATTCCCGACCATGGGTTTATTGATAGATGGATAGAAGGAGCAGAGACTCCTGCGACTGGGATTAGTCGGGTTGGTACGCCAAGGAACGAGGCTGGTGATCCCCTAGTCAAAAGGAAGTGAGATTGCGTTAGAATCAATGTGGGAAGAATGCATCAATGACAAGACTGAGATACCAAGGTCGCTCATATCAACTTCAAGAAGGCTGACAACCTATAGTCTGCATGAGCATTCGCTGGAAACTATCAGCTAAATCCTAGCTCTCCAGGACGACCAACAGTGAAGTATGCACTATATACGCGTTTGCATACACGACTATCTCCACAATGCTCCAAGCATGCAATGCAAGATTTTCCGAAAACTCCCGAAATTCAAATACTGCCTTGTTTTGACTACCAACAATCCATGGACTATACAAGGTGACTCGGTTCTCTCGTTCCCACAAACACGTCTATTCCCGCCGAGCAATCTTGGCATAACTCGCCGCCTGATTCTGCCTGCTGGGCGGCGGGCCAATACTGACCCCTGCGCTGATCGACACCGCCGCCAGCTTGGCTTCTATAACTTCCTCCGGCGACAATCCTGCACCACTCGTCATTGACCTAGCTGATGTCGGCGTTCCGGGGTTCGCATTAACCGACGGTGGGCGAGATCCACCGGAAATGAGGGAGCCCGAAGGCGCCGAAGGGTCATACAGCGTCGGCGCAGCTTTGGCAGGTACCCGCCGAGGGAAATCGGGGTCTTCTTCCTTTGCCGTTGGGGGAGCGTGATGGTGGAGAGGGGGTTGAGATTGTGCGCGGGGGGCAGAGAGGATGGCGACATGACTGGGCACATGGGGAGCCATTTGAGGGCTTCCTATTCCACCAGCAGTCGCGCCCGCTCCCCAGACTGTTGGCTTAGTTATAGGCCTCATTTTAGCTCTCTCCACCTGCATGGGCTCAGCGGCAGTGCCGCTCCTTAGCAAGGGAGGAAACTCTGATGCACTGGGCCCTTGCCCGGACACCAATCCCATACCACCGTGCATCCCTGGAGCAGCCACTGACGCAGCCAAGTTGGGAGGCGTCACCATGGGCGATGGGTGATATGGCACATTGTTGGCCGCCCAGTCGGGTCGCTGTGGGAGCTGATGTTGGCTAGGAGGTGGGACATTGATCGACGATGTTCGACGAGAGGAATGAGAAGAGGAAGCCGTCGTTGTGGAAGACTAGACACGAATGAGTTGTGATTATCAAGCATATAAAGACCAAACTTACAGGGCTGTGCCCTCTTCCCCTCTTTCCTTCGTTCAATACGAGACTGGTCATTCCGTTCAATCCTCCCTGCTGCTTCATACCTTTCTGCCTGTATCCGCCTCCCATACCTCCTCCAGGTGCTTGTCCGGCAGGATACATTGCTCCCAGCCTCACACTACTCGCCGCACTTCTATTGCTCGTATTTGACCCCCTGGAGTGGGGCCGTGAGCTTTCGGGATACGACTGTGACTGGTATGACCGAGAAGAGATGGAAGAAGAAGCGCTGCTGTGGGGATGCGGATGCGGGCGCTGTGGGGTGGGCTGCACTAGGTGCGAGTAAGGACTCTGGCCTTGTGGCGGCATGGCTGCTGGTCTTTGCTGCTGATTTGAATAGGTTTGCGAAGGTTGTTGGGGCGGCTGACTGTAGCCGTAGGTAGGGCCAGCATACGGTATGCCTTGCTGTATGGCCGGCATGGGTTGATTGACTGTAGGCTGATACCACTGACCACCCTGGCCCTGTACCATCCCATATGGTTGCTGCTGTTGCTGATCATTCACAGGCTGAGGATACCCTGCTGATGATTGCCATGCGGGCACCATATAAGGTTGTTGTGGTGCTGGATACTGGCCATCCGAGTATCCGCCATACCCATGAGCCGTCTGCGTACCCTGATGATAGCCTGCCCCGGCAGAATGCCCATTCATGTCCATTTGCGGGTATGGAGCGTAACCCATGTTGGCTGGCTGATAACCGTACATCGGGTCCACCCTTGGCTGCTGCTGTCCATACTGGTCTGGCATATTTGGTGCAGGTGAGGGGGTGTGATTGCCGGAAGAGGGGTGGTAGAGAGATGCGTAGATCACCTCGTAGGGGGCACTGGAAGCGCCATATCGGCGTCTAGGGACAGGATCGATATCATCTTCCAAGGCGGCCGCAGCTCGATTGGCTGAAACCTCTGGCTCGTCGGCTTGGGGCGCAGACGATTCCTCCGTATCACCAGCTTTGCCATAGATCTTCTCTCTCGCAACAGCATAGGCGGCCTCGCGTTCCTCCAATGTCTTGAGCTTGTTTGACGCCGCTGTGTCGGACAGGGACGACGACGATGAGCCCTCAGCAGAGGCGTTCTGGGAGGAAGCGGGTGTGCGCTGCATGATGCGAAACTTTTGGGCTGGGGATGGAGCTGCTGGGACAAGATCCGATAGTCTCAGTGATGTGCTGTTCACGAATGTCAGCATGCCACGACACGCGGGGGACCTTGTCTTACCTCTTGTCATTGAAAGTGCCCAGAACGCCTATGATCATGGAACCATCTGGCCCCGGTACTGCCTTGATCCCGTACCACTCTGCTGACTTGTACACGAGCATCCGTTGAAACTTGCTGCTAGGGGTGACGTTCAAGGGCGCCGAAGGACCCAGTGCGGCCAAGGTGCTGGTCGTCGCTGCCAACCCCCCGGATGCCGATGATGCTGTGAGCGCCCCATTCGCTACACGGGCGATGAATGCCTCGAGCTCTTTTGCGAGCACAAGGACAAACATCCTATCCTTGGACTGGAGGGCGTTTTTGAGCTGCTCCTCGCCATGGAGGAGGCCTAAGCCTATCTCGGCCGGGTGAGTGACGCTGGCGGCGAAGGAGGGGGGGACGGGCTGGGAGGAGGAAGCGGTGGTGGAGGTGAGGGAGATGGTGGTGGGATTCGGGGAGGGGGGGTCTGGGCATAGAGGTGAGCGGGATCTGCGGGGGGGCGGCGTACCTGAGGATGTTGGGATGGGGCTTGGGAGTGGCCTGGGTGGGGGAGTGGCCGTGGGGCATCGCGGGTGGGGAGGCAACAGGAGAGAGACAGAGAACGAAAGATAATCAACGACGGAAACCGCAACTCGGCGCGACCCCGTCCGGACACGGACATATTCATCCCAGTACAGAATATAATGCTATCTATCTATCTCATCCCTGCACTGCCGCCCTCCGCCGTGTCACCCGCGGACTCGGCACCCCTCTATCCAGAGCTGCACTCGCAGCCACCTGTGCCCGCGTCTTGCGCACCTTGACTGTATTCACCGGCACATTCTCCTTTTCTCCCCCTCCCTTCCCACGCGTCCGGGTCGCCTTGCCCTTCTGCACACCCTCGATCGCAGTCTTCTTTTCAGGTGACGTCCCAAACACATCCTCATCAGCGGATGTATACGGGGGAGGCGCCGCTTTGTCGTCCTGGAACGGCTTCTTGCGGCTTGGCGTCCCCAAAACATCTGCCAGGTCGTCGATCCCACCCTTGCTTTTCTTGTTGGGGCTAGCCTGCGACTTGGGGCGACGCTTTGAAGGTGAGAGAGGTGTGGGAGGAGCAGACTTTGCTTCGACAGCATCTTCTACTTCTGTAGCCTGACTCGCCTGTGAACTCGGGAGTGCTTGAGAGGACTGTGAGCCAAAGATGTCTGACACTGCACTGCACGAGTCTTGGGACGATGTAGGGTAGGAAGACTGTGTAGGTGAGGAAGGGGGGGTGGGAAGTCTGTTGATGTCTCGATTTGACAGTTCTAAAGCAGTGTTAGCTTCTACTGAGAGCAAGTCTGCACGACCAACTGACCTTTCTTGCCCTTTGGCTGGGGCTTCTTGGCCGAAAAGTTTTCTTTATCAAGAAGAGTCTGGGACAACCAGTCTCCGGGCCTGATGCTCCTCCATTCCTCTTCCACTCTTTCGACCCACATATCCGTCTCTCCTTCTATATGCACATCGATGATGCCTTCCCACTCTTTACTCGGCGCAGTCGCATTGACGAAAACGACCAGTCCGGGCTTCTTACCCCCATGGACCGCCTTGGCGAATTCTTTCACCAGGCGCTTCAGCCCGTGTACTTTGAGCGAGGTGCCCATGATGAGCAGAACATCCGGGGAGCGCGCGGCGTCATAGGCAGCCAATGAGCCAATGTCATCGCCCAGAGGGTGGGGCTCGTCATATAGCACGATGGAAGGGCGAAGGGTGCCAACGGCAGTTGCTCTTGCCGACCGATTGATCCTTGATTCGCCTGCCAGCCACCAATCAGCGCGCTTTCCCACATTGCAGTATCCATCAGCCTACATCTTTCCGAACAGGATGGACACTCGGGAGCCTCCCCTTCTCTAAACATCTCCATATACTCGGGCGTAGCTTCATAGTCGCTGAAACACAGCACACATCTCACCCGTCCAAGATCGCCGTGCAGCTCCACATTCTTTGTGCCCAGCTTTTTCAGCCCCCTTCCTCTTCCGCCGCTCTCCAAGCCCATCCTCCGTTCCAGACCATCCACATTCTGCGTGTACGATCTCAGCAGCTTCTTCTTCTCGTGTAGAGTCTCGATGAAGCGGTGGGTACGCGTCGGTTTGGCCTGATTGCACGAGCGGGAGAGCTCTGCGATAAAGGTGTAAAAGATGGCTGTGGTGACGGGATTCGAAAACGTCCCAGCAGAGAAGAGGTCTTTTCCGGTAAAGAATGCGTCAGGATACTTTTCTTTGACTAGGCTGTAGAGGCCGCCTTCCGATCGAAAGTCCTGTGAGAGATGATACCATGAGCGTGCAATCCCGAGACAGATTTTTGGAATATGGATTGCTTACCGGGATACCACTGGAGCAGCTGATACCAGCGCCACTGACGACGATGACCTTCTTGGCCTTGGCTATCGCAGTAGAGACGTCGGAAAGCTGTCGCCTCCCGGAGAAATCGGCAGGGCCGGTGGATGCCAGCAGGTGCGCGAGAGGGAGCGACGGGGGCATGTTTGTGTTGTGTGCACTGGTAGGTGTGAGTTTGGCGAGGTGGGAGAGGGGGAGGGGTGTGGCGGGGAGGTAGGGCACCAAGAGGAGGCAGCAAGGGTAAAGGTGAATTAGAAACAGGCGAGGATGGATGGAATGAAGGAAAGACGAGTATTGTTGTTGTTGACGTGAAGCGCAACTCGCTCGAAGGCCAGGCGCGTTCCTTGAAACTCTTTAAAATCCTTTCTCCTTCATTTGCAGCGATTCTTGTTCTGTTTCTGAGTACTGGGATGCTTTTCTGGATACCCCACGGAGCTCATGGACGCAATCTTGTATGCACGGGAAGGAACTCATGCATTTCGGCTCTCAGATTAGCCGTTTATCCAACAAACATCAAAGGGGGTGTAGCTCATTTGGCAGAGCGCGTCATTAGCATTCTTCAACGAGTGGATTTGACGAGGTACTGAGTTCAATTCTTAGCTCCTCCATTTCTTTTTGTTTTTTTTTTGTACATTGCTACTGACTGTCAATCCCTACGAGTATGATAGATAGCTCTTGCATACTCTCCTAGAGTCAGCCATTTGATTTCTATAACTCGTTGTGTCGCATTACCAGGCATGCCGTTATTCGCAAAAGCTCCTCGCCCAACGTCGACAGCATGAAGTTGTGTCCCCTCGCCTTCGTGCATACACTTACTACTATACATGTACACTCTAAACGCCGACATATTATCTTACAGAGCTCTCAAATAGGGGCCAATCACCTCGACAACTCGTCCCCAAAGTTGCCTTTCAGCATAGCCCACAGCGCCTTCTTTTCACCTTCATCAAACTCTTTGAACTTGATGATCTTCCTTGTGGGACCAAGACCATCATCAGACGCCAAACTGTTCATGGAAGTCTGACGTTGACGCGTGGGGGTGGACGTTTTGCTGGTGGGCGATGGTGGGAGGGGGTGAGCGTCGGGGTACAACGTGGTTTGAGAGGCAGTGTATGCGGCACGTTGAGCGGTCATTGAAAGGAACGTTTGATGGGAGTGGTGGTACAGTCTTGAGCTACATGTCAGCATGATGCGTGTGCTTATACGTATATGAGCGGAGACTGAGGAGACATACGACCAGACGTGTTTGTTGACAGCGTCGTCCTCATGGACCTGTTCCAGAGCTTTCGTCTTGAAGCTAGCTTTCAGGTTATGCAAGAGCTGCGGAACATGATCGAGCCGCGGTCTTGAGAGGACTTTGAGTACGTTTGATATAGTCATGGTCGTGCAGACTCACTTCCACTGCCGCAAATGCCCCGATGGATACCATATTCTGCTTTTGGGATCAACCATAGCTGTTGTAGGTCAGTACGGCCATTCACAAGACACGAGTCAAGCTTACGATGGAAAACATCATTGGTGAACCGTATTATCGGACGGTCCGAAGGATAGTTGAGAGGGAACACAATTGAGAAGCGCAGCACTGCTCCAGAGTATGGACCTGCATTCGTCTATCAGCGCTGGTACACGCCGCACGGGCATGAGGATGATCTGGACAGACCTTTGTGGACAAAGAAGACGCCGTGCCATTTGAGGATGGTCTCTTCTGAGGGGCTCAAATACATGCCTCTGGGGCAGTTCCGAGCGGCGCCCAAGGAGGCACTGAGAGGCTGCAATGAGCGTCGGACAGGATCAGATGAACGGTGCTCACTATTCCTGAGCGAGTTCTGCTGCCAGGAGAGGGGGGATGTCTGGATGGCGGGGAGGCTCTTGATTCCTGGGTGTGAAGAGTGCTCTGGGGGAGGAGAACATGGCTGTTGTTGACACTGAAGAGGACACTGAGTGCATGGCGACAACAACGCGGGCAAGAGCGACAGTCAGGCACAGGGCCGAAGTGGAGGTTGGACAGGGGAATGACTCGCAATGAGATTATATAAATGCTTTTAGTTCGCCCATCTCAGCATCACCAACGCCATGGCAGCTCGGCTCGGGTACGTAGGCCTCGGCAACATGGGCGTCCCCATCGCCCGCAACCTCGCAAGATACGCAGCGTCCTCGGGCCTCCCGCCTCTCTCTTTCTGGAATCGTTCCCAGGCCAAGTATGATCTAGTCAGACAAGATGCCCCCGACGCCTTCTACGCCACAGACGTCGAAGATGTAGTCAAGAGATCCGATATAGTGTTCACCAGTCTCCTCAATGACCAAGCAGCCGAGGACATCTACGGCAAGATGTTCAAGGCGACTGAGGGCAGGAACGTGATCTTTGTGGACCAGTCGAGTGTAAAGGCTCTCACCACGGGTAGGTCATATTCATCTCCAATATGCTTTCTGACATTCTGAACAGGAAAGCTCTCGGCGGAAGCGCAGACCATTGGCGCTACGTACATTGCTTCTCCCGTCTTTGGCCGTCCCCCAGCTGCCGAAGCTGCAAAGCTCGTCATCGTCCTCTCCGGTCCAGCCGAAGTCAAGGACAAGATAAGGCAATACTTGGTGCCTGCTCTAGGCGATAGGGTCGTTGATGTCGGCGAAGACGTCAAGCTTGGTGAGATGACTACTTTAAGCACCGGGACGTATGTTGACGAGTGTTCCAAGCGAGTGCTCTCAAGAGCATCGGCAACTCGGTCATCCTGGGCTGGATCGAGCTCATGGCAGAATCATACACCCTCGGCGATGCTGTGGGTCTCGATCCCTCCGTCTTTAACGACCTACTCCGTAAGCATCGTCGAACCTGTCAATGAGTTTAGATTTACCCGTCATGCAGACAAACTCATTCCTGCGCCACCTCTTCTGGCGTATGCCGACTCTGTGGCCAAGGGTCATTTCCCAGCAGGCGGTTTCTCTGTAGACGGTGGACTCAAGGGCAAGTCTTCATCTTCTGCATACCCATGATACAGCTGATTCCTCTGGCTAGATGCCCGCAACATGCTTTCTCTTGGTGCCGACCTTGGTCACCCCTGTCCTCTCCCCACGATCCAGCGTGCACACGACAATCTCGAGCGCGCACAAGAGCTTGGAGGGCCGAACCAAGACTGGGCGTCGCTTTCGGCTGCTGTAAGGGAGCAGGCTGGTTTCACGCCTTATCGGGAGGATAAAGGACAATGAACCCTACTTGTCACTCATTATCTTTGCTCCATGGGGTGCTTGCAATGAAGATGGAAGACTCGTGCTCTTTGTATGATATTGAATCTATGCATCATCACAGGCGTTCCGTATTTTACAGCCTACTCGATTACAGTTCAAGACCGTAGTTTATTCGTCGTCACCTCCCAGCGCGTCTCAACGTGTCGTTAGATCGTGGCCTCTATCTTAGGTATCTTGTCTTGTTTAGGCACCATTTGAACCGGTGCTGATGCCCCCGGGGATAAGCAGCCTCGACATAGGCTGGGCATACGCAAGGGAACGCTTGACGTAAAAGAGCATATACGCCTTCTGCTGAAGCACCATACTCAGCGTCGTTGGCGTCACTGCGCTTTGTCAGCTTGGGTCACGTCGTGAAAAATATACACACCTTTATCATCATCACAATGCCACCACTCATCTCCATCCCTCACATCCGCCCAATAATGCCCATTGTCCAGCTTTCCTTCGTGGGTCACCACGGCGAAAAGGTCGTACAAGTAGAGAGAGTCTGGGAGTCCGTCATCGGAAGAGTGGTCGACATATGAGCGCATGTCCAGGGTGGAGGGGAAGCGGACATGAGACTCGATCTTGGCGGTGGAGGATGTGGAGTGGGCGAATCGCTGCGAAATTGGTAAACAGCCGCTTCATGGGGGCCTAGAGAAGTAAGGGGGCATACCTTGAACTGGAAAGCCAGCACAGGAGCAAGCTTCTTTACGCCCAGTCGCCTCATTGCGAATACTCCTCTCCCTCCCCCACAGCTCCCACAATCGTATCCTTTCCCGCCAGTCTCACCAGCATCGCCGATCCTCTCTGGGGCACAGTACTTTCTCAGCATTCCCGCCAGCGTCAATTGATTCTCCTTTCCATTCGCCGAAGGACCGAAAGCGGCAGCATCGGAAGAAGAAGAGAGGGATGACGAAGATGGGGAAGGGGAAAGAGTAGGCGGAAAGTCGAGCTGGATGTCGAGGATGGGGTCGACGGTGGTAGATGTTTTGGAACACTTGGAACATGTCACTGAAGATTGCAGGGATCCCGCGAATGTTTGGTCTGAGAATGGAGTCAATGATTGATGCCAGGTGACTGACGTCTGGCTTACGGGCGATGCAGTTGCAGCTGGAGAGTTGACCCTTTGCGTGTGCATGCATCTGGTCGAGGGCGGCGAGGAAGAACGAGTGGGCGTCTGTAGCATGTTAGCTTTCACTTTTAATCACAATATCCTCCTCACCTTGCTGACCGTGCCCCTCGAGCTCTGTACTAGCATGCCACATGGAGTACAGCATGGTGATAGGTCCAAATGGCGATTTGTCCTCCTTGTAAAACTACAAACGTATCAGTGGGCTGGTCCTAGTTGCCAAGACATGTGCTCACCTCTTCGAAAGCCTTGTCCATTTCACAACACATACACCCCTTCTCTCTGTCCCCACCAACTTGACCAGGCCCATTCTCCACCCCCAAGAACGGTTTGCCGGTCAGCAGACCTCGACTGCCGTTGCCGCAGACATGTCGGTTATGCTTGTCAGACAAAAAGTATGCTTTCAAGAGTGGGTTGTGGATGAGAGCCTGTAGGACCGCAGAGAGGAAGCAAGTTTGGGATAGATTCAGGAGAGGACGGAGACCTGCCAAACCCTGTCAGCGCCATTACGACACTCGGTAACAGACATACCTCTACAGCTCGTCTTGGAGATATCCTTCTCGTCTACTCCCACCATGTTGCTCGAATTCCACGGCTTCCAGGGCCCTCTGCTCCGTCCCTTGCCGCCCGATATCCCGGGCTCGCTTGACCTATCGTGCCCCTCCTCGACGCGAACACGGGCCGTGAGGAACAGCGAGTCAAAGCTGTCCGGGTAGATGGTGTCGTTACAAGCAAAGCAAAAGATGGAGCCTGTAGGAGGATCCACCGCTTTCAGCAACATGTCAGCCAGGGTACAAGAGGCGAACGGGGAGGTTCTTACCAAAGCCGCAACGACCACTGCTACCTTTGAGATGCGATTTCATGCAGTCTTTTGCTTTGCCATGGCGGCCAGACATCTGAAGACAGCCGACATAGCTGCAAGTCAAGCACGCCCAGGGTCTCGTCATAGATGACCGACACGACCCGCATTCCGGCGCTGCGGTCTTTGCCCCATAGTCAGCCTCTGATTCCGAATCAACGCATAGCAACACGTACTTTCCGCCGCTTGGCGCCTTGGGCCACAGCACCCCAGTTGACAGCTCTGACGAATTTGCCCTCCACTTCGCTCCTGCGATTCCCAGAAGAGGGACCAGGGACGGCGCCGTTTGTGTCGAGGGAGTTGGGGCCAGCAGGGGATTTGAGGAGGGCGGACAGGTGGTCGCATATGGAGCTGTCGGGGCGGGAGAAAAGGGGGGTGGGGGTGGACATGGTGGTCGTAGTAGCCATGGGAGTGCCGGTGGTGGGCGAAGAAATGTGTAGATGGATTAGTGGAAGAGATCATTCGCGCTGGAAAGTGTATCCGACCGACATTACCGACCGACGCCCGTGCCTGGCTAGCATTGCAAAGGTGTTGTACGTTGGCTGATCTCTTTCCGGCGTATGCATCTGGTATGCAGTCCGATGCTCGAGTGTTGTGGCAGCGCACGGTGCATAGTAGCTGGTGACCTAGATGACAGCACTGTAAATGTGAAGGGATAGAATGCACGGTACTTGAGCGCGTACCCCGCCCAAAACCCTCATTGTGAAGTGACCCATGACGGTCGGAAAGATGCGCCAAACCAGCTGCGGCCGTTGACCATCATTGATAGTTTTGAACCCAGCCATGATACATGTAGATATGCATACAGACAACAGTGTCGTGAAAGATTATAACACCTTAGGTAGCCCGCGTGATCGACCTAATATCCATGCCCGCATCGCAAGCCCTAAACCCACGCCCTACCATCAAATCTGTTGCTGACCGACAGCGCAGGGTTCACCTCCCTCATATCCTTTACCTCCCACCCACTCGGATCTATCCAGCTTGGGAACTGAGGCCTGCCAATGGAGGCTTGGACGACGTTGGCCCAGGTGGAATGTTGGGCGAAGGGGTTGTCGGGGCGGACAGGAAGAGCAAAGAGAGAGTTGGATGTATTGGCTCGAATCTACATTTCGAGGGTTAGTAGACGTATAGCTCGGATCGTGATACAAACTTGTTCTAGCGTTGTGATGTTGAGCAGCAGCAACTGTGGATGATGTGAGCGATGATCATCCTTATCACGATTGAAGCTTACCCTGATATGATACTGCAAGAGGAATATCACTGGGAAAAGGGTGAGAACGCCTAGTAAGAAACTGACGGCAGCGCCCGGCGAGTCCTTCAGGGCCTGCCCAAAAGACACATGGTCGTGATGACATATCAGGGAGAAATGGACCGCCGAGAACACGACGATATAGATATCAGATATTGTCTGTACTCTGTCAGATTGATCTATAGCATACACGACACGACTCACTGCTGTGACAAGGAGCACAATGAAGGAAAAGTAGTTGCGTTTTCCGACACATGTATGCAGGTATGAACAATGGTGATCGATCCCGTCCACACAGTTTCCACACTAGATATCCATCAGCCTTGTTTTTTGTAAACTAAGGATGCCTACCAATCGACAGTGACTGCACCGAGGAGCTCTATAAGATTCACAAGTCTCGCAGTATTTGACAGTCACCCTTGAATAGATCAGCGAATGTCGATATGAGGATAGGCAACCTACCTTCCCTCTTTAACAGTAAGATCCCGAGGATAAGCTTCCCACCACTGTTCAATGAACGTTTTGGGAGGATCAGGATCCAGCTTCCTGGGTATTATTCCTAAAAGCAGTGAGTATTTAGTGTCGGCCGACTGGGATACTCACCAGGGTCTCTCAACGCTGTCACAGCAAACGAGCTCGTCACTAGACAGAACAGATATCTGCAAGGTGTCAGTACGGAGCAATACTCTCTGTGAAATCGTGCTTACACAAATATGATTGTGATAGCCACACCACCGCCTTTCGCCAATCCATATTCACTTCCATGACTCCACATCCACGCTCCAGTAGTGCCAATCCAGACACCCGATATGGCAAACAGTACCAGAAGCGCCGCCCCCATCGAGTACCACACATCGCCCCCGACCAGCACTCGCCCACCACACAAAAAGGTCGCCAAGGGGTTATCGATCGTCTCATACTTTCGCCGCCGCTCTTCCAATCGAACAGGGGAATCTCGGTTCCGTATCCGTTCAAACGTAGCGCGACTCCCTCGCGATTGCCACCTCGCAGGCCGCCCCATATCCGACGCCTTTTCCTGATCGAGGCGATGTACGAGATTATCGGACGAAAGCTCCAGTGCTTGGGCCCGGGGAGGAGAAGAGACTGTGGTGATGCTATGTCTGAGTGATCTGTCCCACATGTCTTGAGAATTGAATGCCGTACCCATAGGTGGCCCGGGGATATGCGGTATCTCGACTGTAGGCGCATCGGGGGGTAGAGACTCGCTGGGCAGAGAGATGGATGGGACCTCTGGTGATAGCATGGTCGAGAATGTAGGTGACATGGTCTCCTGGCGGGATTGAAAGTTGGAAGCAACAGAGGGCTCGTACCGCTGCCCATTCTGGGTCGTAGTATCGCTCAGCACCTCGGACGCGTTAGACGTGTCCTTGTAGTGACTTTTACTTGTAACAGACGCAGTCGTCCTGCCGTTCATTCCTCTTTCCAACCTCTGCGCCGCTGCCGACTTTTTGGGTGACAAGAAGCCTTTCGGAGTAGGAAGCGGCGCAGTTGTACGCGGAGGGGAGATGGGCGATAGGGGGTTGCCAGAGGGCGTGGCTGCGCGGGAGGTGGTCGCAGAGATGTGAGAGTCGGACCGCGCACGGACAGTGCCAGTCGCCCGCGAGGTGGTCGAGGGGGGTCGATAGAGGGAGCCATTGGAGTTGTATGACGGTTTTTGTGCATACTGGTGCGGATCAGTACGTTTGGCTGCTCAGTGTGCTGCGATGGACCCACAAAGCTCTTTGTAGTCTCCAAGCTGTCTCGTCGGTGGTGTCCGTGCGGGGCATGCTCGTCGGCCTCGTCTACATGGCCGAGGACGGTGACGCTCGCGTGGCGGATGGGGAGGGAGATGCCTCCGGTGATTCCGGTGGGGGGGTCGCCCGGGGCAGACATGGGATGCTGACTGCACAAGTCGAGAGGAGTACATGCGTGCAAGTGTCAACATGAGCGTGCCTGCCTATCGCGTGGGTTCGGCGGTCGCCACCTGCTGCATACCGCGGCGCTGCGCGATTTCCTTAGTGCTCCATGTCGCAGATCAATTAAGCCCGGCCCTGGCATTTCTAATCCCCAGTCTACAAGCATTAGCCCGCGCTGTAATTGCGAAATACTCCCGCTAATCTCATTTGCCCCCGGCGCAAGCTGCGCGCAGTCCGGCGCTAAACCTGCGACAATCACCTCTCCTTATAAATACTGCAGCCCTCTCTGCAACCCGCAATCACCCCCTCCAAGCCATGTCCATCATATTATAACCACCAGCAATGCAAGACACCATCGTTGCTGGACCTTCCGTCCCCCGCAGGAGAGACGACCCCGTCGAGCCCAGGCAGAGCGCCCTTCTTGTCAATGGCAATCGGGACGAGAGAAAGCCCAAGATCGCTCCAGCGTCGTAAGTCCAGCTGTTTGGCTGTGCTGTCTTGCTGACGCTTTCGTAGCCCTTCCGCTGCAAGGCCTCGCACCAGGCCTTCATCTTCACGGGCTCTCCGCAGCGACGAGTACTCCCGGGGATCCACCGGCCCATCAGCCCCTCGTGTGCTATTTGATCCGTCAAAACCCATTCCACCTACCATGCCTGCTGAGCGGGTCAGGACGTCCGAAAGGGAAAGATCCCTTCACCATCCTTCATCGTCCCTGCCAAGGGAACGTTCACGTTCCGAGCTGGAAGAGAGGTCCAGCGACAAGGACAGAGACAAGGAGAGATCCCGCCGCCGGACAGAGTCTCGCAGAGCAGAGTCGTCTAGCAAGACACTTTTTGACCCGGCATTACACAACCCTCAAACTTTTACTGCCCGCCCCGCCCATTCGAATCTGCTAGAACCAGAAATCCCAAAGCCCGTCTCTAGGCGCCTGCAGCCGGGCGTAAGTCAAAGAGCATCAGAGATGGATGCAGATAGGGAGAGGGAGAGACGGCGGCGGAAAGAAGGGAGCGAGAGAGGAAGCGCCATGTCGGGCAAGAAGAAGGAGAGCGACTCGAAGAGCAAGGGGTCGCGAAGCAGCGAAGGGAGTGAGAGTTTCAAGGATAGAGAAAGAGGAAAGGGTAGAGGGTGAGTTCTCTGAAAACTGTTCAGCTCAGTACTAACTGGTCGAAAGTGATACTGGTGTCAAGACCATGCTCAAAAAGATTCATGATGATATCAAGGACCTCGAGCAAGAACTCAACGATCTCCATCGAAGGCTGTCTCAAGACCCGGAGGCTGCTATTTCTAGCCTATCGGACAAGAAGATGGATGCTTTCTCAAGGGCTCCTCAGTCGACAGAGGATGATACTGCCGTATGGGTTCAGCTCATAGCCAAGCACAAGCAGTGAGTGCCATCCCGAGCATGTTCCTTGATACTAACGCCTTGTCCAGATTAGCCGAGCTACATGATTACTTTCTCACCACCCTCTACGACCCCCTCGTACCCTCATCATACCACCAACTTTCCGTCAAATACAACATCCCGTCTCGTCTATGGCAAACCGCATTCTACTATCTCCTCGAGCAACTCCGTCACGCCTGGCTCTCCAACCACCCCACCGCCCTCGACCTCCTTACGGACGTAGTCTATGACGCCTATCGATTCTATTCAGAGCTGCTGGAGAATCAGACGCTTGTAGCCCTGAGAGGCGCTTGGATCGAAGCTCTGGGCGACTTGGCGAGGTATCGTATGACGATTGCTTCCCATGTAGCTGAAGCCGAAGCGCTTCGCACAGCGCGATCCAAGGGCAAAGCTCGGCAAATAGAGCAAGACGAGCAACTCGACGGCGAGCCGATTTCTTCGGGCGCTAGTATCGGCGCAGAGGTCGCTCAGAGCTGGGATGTGGAGGACAAAGAGACTTGGAGGGTGACGGCGAGAGACTGGTATACGATGGGGCTGACTGAGAAGCCAGGAGAGGGAAGACTGCATCATCACCTGGCGCTGCTGTGTAGAGATGTCAAGGGACAGGAAGGCAGGGCGTTGCACCATTTCGTGAAAAGGCAAGTCTTTTGACTCGTGCGGGCAAGACTCTTTCTGACTCTTGAACAGCATGATTGTGACCCACGCATACACTCAAACCCGCGAGAATATCCTTCCACTGTTCGACTCTGCTCTCCAATCCCAACGCTCATTGCCAGAAGCAACGGCCATCGATCTCTACCTACATCTCCACGGCATGATTTTCACCCGCATCTCCCTCGACTTGTTTGACGACGTCAAGTCTCGTTTCATGGAGCGACTCGACGAAGACGCAAGTCTTGACGGAGTCAGCCGCAAAGCTACCATCACACAGGTCGACTGGATGATCATGGGAGTCGTCAACATTGCGTGTGTGCTCCAGTACGGAGCTAGCTCGGGGCTGATCCGGAAAGCCTTGGCGCAGGAAGGAGCAGAGCGACGAAAGGCACAGGTGGCTACGGTCGATGAAGAGGAGGGAGAAGGCGACGAGCTCGCAGGCAATGCTGACGTTACGCCGCCTGCGTCAGACGATGACTCTCCGCCATCGACACTCACCAACGCCCTCTCCCTCTCCTTCTCTGTCCTCTCGTTCGTCCTCGCCCACCCAAACCGTATTCAAGGCTTCCACCAAGTCCTCAACCCCTATATCACCATCTTCTTGACCTTTCTCGCCACCATCTTCCGCCAACCTCATGTGGGCGCGAGTATCTTGCTTGATGTCCCATGGCATCTCCTTGCAGAGTTTATCAATGCCACCGGGCTCAAGGTGGTGGAGGAAAAGCGCCTCGCGAGTGGGGCACCTCTGCCGGAAGACTGGTTGATACGTGGATCCGAGTGGGTCGGTCGTCGGGTATATGAACGAGGTTTCTGGAAGGGCAAAACACCTTCTGGACGCGGTTCTAGCGGCCTAGCTCAGCCACAGCCTCACGCTGGCGGTGAGCGCTTCCAGTCTGAGATGGACGTCCTCCTGTCCAGCTTTGACGCCACTGTCGATATCCAAGAGGGTGTCGTCGATGAGGCGGAGGGAACAGACATGACGGATGGCCCGCAGGCTGTCAATCAGAGGAGATGGAAGAGGGTTGCGTGGGCAGTGGGCGTGCTTGGCAAGCATGTGGACGGTTTCGAAATTCGGGACGGCAAAGTCTACGTTGAGGGGGTTTTGGAGGAGAAGATTGAAGAGGCGAAGAGGAGAAAGGAGGAGCACGATCGCAAGGAGCACGAGATGTTGGAGATCAAGAGGCAGGATAGGGAGAAGGAGGAAGAGCTCCTCAGACTCGAGATGGACGAAGGGAGCAGTGACGATCAAGAGCTTGCTGGTCTCAGGAAGAAGCTCCAGGATCTCAAGGCTCAGGCCAGTGGGGTTGCCTCGATCTCGAGGAAAGCCAAGAAGGCTGGGACAGCTGCGCTACAAGTTCTTGCGGGTTATACGATGCTTGTGTTTGATACAAACATTCTGCTCGACTCGTTCAACCTCGTCAAGAGCATCGTGGAAAGCGGCCAGTGGAGTGTAGTAATCCCTCTTCCAGGTGCGTCCATGTGTCTTCATCAATATACAATGCTAATTTCTTGTCGCAGTTGTCACCGAGCTTGATGGTCTCTCAAAAGAGACGGGGGCGCTAGGTGCTTCCGCACGAGCTGCTGTCGCTCTCCTCGAGCAGCTCATTCGCACCCATACCCTCTGTCTCAAGGTGCAGACTACCAAGGGCAATTACCTTTTCGATCTCCTCATCAGAACTGAGCAGATTGACGCCTCCACCTACGCCAGTGATTCTCAATTTGCTCGCACTATGGACGACCGGATCGTCCACATTGCCAGCTTTGCGCAGGACCACTTTGTGGACCGATCGATCTTGCTGGGTATGCCAAAGCCCGAGATGGAAGCCGCCAAGGTTCTTCTGGTCAGTAACGATAGGAATCTGAGGCTGAAGGCAAAGGCGAGAGGGGTCGAGGTTGCGAGTGAGAAGGAGCTTCAGGGTGTTTTGGCGAGAGTGTAAAAACGTATATGTAGTGGCTGGGCCAGTCAGGCAGTATCACCTGCCAGTGTATAATGTGTAGCAAGTACCTTTTATAGAGCTCGTACTCTAGAATTATACATATAATCGATGTAAGCCATATGCTTGAGGCATTACATGCGGCTCGGGCGGTGCGCCTTGTCCGCTTGCACACACTCTTTCACGACATTCGTCCCTTGAGCACGGCCCTTCAAGCAAACATGGAGCTGTGAAAAAAAGGATCCATACGTCTTTCTCGCATATACATAACCTATATAATACACCTTCGTCAAGAGGCACGCCTTCCTCCTCCTCTCCAGCCTCGCCTCCTGCGCCTTCGCGACTCTCTCTATCACCGAACCCTCTGCCGCCCATTGGTGTGAGTGCTTTTGCTGCTGCTGCGAGGCTGCGGATATCACTCTTTATCTCTTGATCAGAGCTAATCTGGAATTCGCTACTGCGCAGGGGTAGGAAACAGTGTCAACACATTGGCCTGGGATGGCAAGGATCCTGCCGAGTTCAGCGTATTCCTCGCCAACCCCGACGTCAACGTTCTCGTACGTGCCTTGACAGATCGGCAGAGCGTATTAGAGCTGATAGAGAGTCATAGACCAGTATGCTGGCTCTCGCATCCATTGTCCCGACCTACCAGACCTCCTTGACGATGAAGCCGTGAGCTCGAGTCTGCTCAAAAGAAAAGGACCATTGTGACTGATCTGTGAGCCAGTGGAGATGCTACCCCTGCTACGGGGTATACCATTCTCATCACCAATCCTCTCAATTCTTCTGGTGAGCACAGATACCCACTTCCCAATGAAATATATGCTGACACAATCCACTGCAAGACGTGTATGCCACTTCCGAGACTTTTGAGATCAAGAAGGAAGGCTCCTCCTACCCGCCTCAGGGTGTGGCCGTCAACGCCTCTGCGACTGCCGAGGGGACCGGTACGCAAGCCGGCTCTGGCTTGGCCTCCGTTGCATCTGCTACTTCCTCGTCGAGCTCTTCGAGCTCTCAGGTGGGAAAGGAGGTTGTTTCATACGGCGCTTTGGGGCTAGTCGCTGTTTCTGGGTTGATCGCTTTCACCCAGAGTCTCTAGACAAGTCAGCTGCTGGGAATGACGGTATAGGTGTGGGTCTGGGATAGCTGGAGAATGCACATGTCCCGCCCGAAAATGGCTTTGCACGAGCAGCGGGGCTTCATACAGGTACAGCCGCAGAGCTCTCTGAGTCTCGTCCCACCGATATCGGCTTACTGGATCCTAATTGTTTGCTTTCTATCTATTTGCTGGTTTCGAAAGTATTCGCAGGCTCACTGCACTACACGAAGACTCTGTTGGAGTTGGCGTCAGCGATGTCAGTCACTGTTCAAGAAGTGTAAGCCCTTCATCGACAGTAATCTTGGTTTTAGAAGTCCAGACATAGTCAGCTTGGTGATATGTCATCTCCGGGCTGAGAGAAACCTTGCCGTCTTCGGATGTGGGACTACATGCAGAGAAGCAGGTTCAAATCCACGACTTTTATGAAAATGCTTGACGCAATAGCTGACCGGCGATAGCCGCTGCCCCGTGGTGGAGGTTGTCCCAGCTATCACGACGGATGTGCTCGTAGTTGCATCTCCCGCCAGCCACCCCTTCCCGCTCAATCTTCTCCTCCAAACCTCACCATGGCCCCCGCAAGGCCGCCACTCACCAGTCTCGTAGGCCTCCCTCGTACGTTCACCCGGGCATAGCTGACAGACCGGTCTACGCAGCATGATGTCGTCCTCGAATACATCACTGTCAACGCCTATGCCTCTACCGCTCGTGCTCTCTTCGATTCCGATCAGGGATCTTTGTCCGGCAGCTCTGATTCCGCATGGCTTCCTGTAGATGGGTTTGGTCAGCCCGGGCCGTCGAATGGCATCACGAAGAATGGGGCTGGGAACGGGAATGTGCAGGGTGACGATGGGGCCGAGGAAGGCATGGATGTTGACGATGGGAACGGCGATGACGAGGAAGCGGGAGATGAATTTGTCCACAAAGGGGAGATCCCGGCAAGCAGATTCGTCATCGATAAAGACATGCTGCAGTCAATCGAGCGCCGTCGAGGTGGGTGGCTCTATTGATGGTGATGCCATAGCTGACGGCTGCGCAGAGATACTCGACCACATCCTGAACGGCTCCATAGAGAGAGCTGTCGAGGCGCTTCAAACTCATTTCCCAGACGTGCTCCGGGATGTGCCCGAGGAACCCTCCTGGTCCACATATCACAGCGATGGTACCGCAAATGGCAATGGCAGTACCCGCCTGCACGTCTCGCGATCTCTTCAGTCGGATGATCAACCATCCCATGATACTCCCGTGTTCAACACATCCAGCGACCCATCACACGTGCGGCTCAACCTGCAGATCCAACAGTTCATCGAGTCATTCCGGCAACTGAACCCCGGGTCATCATCTACTTCCTCTCCCGCATCTTCTATATCGTCCCTTGCCAACTCCCAGACGTTGAACGGCGGAGGAGGAGGCGTGACGCTCACGCATGCTTTGACATCGGCGCAGGGTCTGCACGCTGAAGCAAAAAAGCTGAAACCTGAAGTACGTGCAGTGTACATGCAGGAGATTAAAGATGTGGGTGCGCTCTTTGCGTATGAGAATGTGGAACAGAGTCCGCTTGGGGGATTTGTGAAACAAGAGCGTAGGATAAGGCTTGCTGAGCAAGTGAATCGGGCGATCCTCGGTGAGTCGCCATGTCAGTCAAGGGAAAGGTAACTGAGGTGAGGTTTAGAATCAAAAGGGGCACCGGTAGAGTCACAGCTGGAAGAATACACCAAACGGACACAAGCTATATACGCGTTACTGGGCGAGCATCGCGTAGATGTACAGCCGCCGTGGACCAGTGCCGATGGTGCGGCCAAGGCACACGTAGCTGAAGTGAGTGATAGATACATATCTGGGCAGCGGCTGATTGCAATGATCCCAGTTCTGGAAATACTACGGCGAGCGGCCATTCAGCCTTCAAGACTTTCTAGACTTTTCATGGTGAATTTGTATCTGTAAAACACGTGTTGGTTGTGCTGTTTGCTCCTTGTATGAATATATTTTTAAATCCGCATTCATGCCCAGTGTATCGCTTTCTATACGGGACTGCCACGCCACCAAGCCTTTTACATGGCTGCCTACTTTCTGCCGTATCGTACCTTCTTGCCGAGGTCGAAGGGCACGTACTTGTACTTGATCATGTGTCTAGACATATCAGCAAGGGTCTCTTGGCAAAGGGGAACGACAACTCACTGAATCTGCCTTCTCATAGTGAGACCAAACAAGGTGAAAAAGTAGATGACGAGAATGGGCCAGTAGACGGGGACATCGGTAGCTCGGGTGATGGTGCAGAGGAGGGCGATGGAGGTGGCCTTGGTGGCAGAGTACCAGAATTTGAACTCTTGCAGCAGCGTTAGACTTGTACGAAAAGACGCTTTGGATGTGGACATACCAGGGAGACGCCTAATGAATGGCCTGAATTCCTCATCCTCCTCGCCAGTGGAGAATCCGTTCAAGAGACCCTTGATGCCGCCTGCAGGCTTGGCACCTGCGCCACCACCGGGCAATCCAGGCGCGCCTTCTTCCACGTCGTCGGCAGCGAGGTCCTCTGCGAGACTAGGGTCGAACCGGGGTTGGAGGAAGGCGAGGAAGAGATTGAGAATGTAGATGGCGAGGGCGTAACATACAATGTACCACTGCGACGAGTCAGCATCCATCGATTGTTTCCCTGTTTTGTACACGACCTACGCCTTGACGGATGATGACGTTGAGCAAAAAGATGATGAAGAAGCCGAGGGTCAATAGCCACCTCTCCAGCACCATAGGAGTCGACCGGTCCAGAGCAGCCTGGAACCGACGCGCAAAGAGATTTGTGCTCTCCTTGAACTTGTGCGCGACAGATTTTTCCTCCGAGACGCCGCCGCGGTATCCCGCACCGGACCCTGGGCCTATGTTGTTTGCGCCGTACGCGTTGTTGGGGGCGGGGGTGCTAGACATGGAGTGAGGCTGGACGCCTGCGAGGCCAGAGGTGGGAGGGAATCCGGAGCCGGGGCCGGTGGCTGGGTTGTTGCCGGCGGGGGGATACGGGGAGACGGCGGGGTACTGCAGGGGTCAGCGGTGCACGCAGGGTCGCTGTACTCACGCTCATGGCGGATGGATGAGAAAGTGTACTTTTGCGTGGTGTTGTTCGCTGGAACTTAGGTGGTAATGGTTACGTAATAGCATGGGGTGTTGTTGTTGGGATAAACAGACAAGTGGTAGATGTATTGTTGTTCACCAGGAAGATGTCTGCCCACGTCCACCGCCGCCTCGCCGCCCTCGCTGCCTCCTCCCCGCCCCCCTCCGCCCTCTTCTACGCCCGCCTCTTCCACGCCCTCGCCCCCGGCCTCCACGACGCAGCACACGCCCTCGCACTCGCATTCCTCGCAAACCACCAGCCATACAGCGCCATACACCTCCTCAGAGACTCCACAGGTCTCGAGAGCCTCGACCAGGACCTTAACCGCATTGCAGAGCCCACCGCAAAGCCCTGCTATGCCTGTGCACTCATCGTCGCAAAGGCCTGCGACCATCTCGGCAGGTACACCGAGGGACAAGCCGTCCTCGCCAGAGCACTCAAGAGATGTCCAGTCACCAGTACGTGTCCCTCGGATGGAACGGAATTATACTCACCCTGCTGCCAGACATCATTTTCCCCTCTCCCGTGTCATCACCGGCTACTGCTCATCTGCTCCTGGCGACCCTCTCGCAAAAGAGCAAGGCGACAGAGACAGCGGTAGACAGCTACAAAAAGGCCCTCGAAGAAGACCCATGGCTATGGGAAGCATTCACCGGACTGTGTGATATCGGTATGCCTCATCCATTTACTCGAATGTCCACGGCTTACAGTTCGCAGGTGCCCATCCATCCGTCGAGCAACTATTCCCTATCCCAACGTCACACCCGCTCTCTCGCTCGAATACTTCCCGGTCATCTAGGCCCCCATTATCACCTAATTTGCATAGACAAAAGTCGCCTGCAGATCTCGCGCCAGGTATACTGAGGGCGCAGGGGAGTGGCAGCAATGGTAACTCCAACGTCCCTTCCAATGGCGGCGGCCTCTTCACCCCAGACGTTGGTGGCGCCGAAAGAAAACTCGGAATGCTGGGCAACACGTCCGCTTGGGAGTGCGTATCTTGTTCTTGTTACAGTATACACGCTGACCGGACCGTAGCACATCCTCCGTCATGGGTGACTCGACATTTGCGCTCACCTCAGAGCCCCAGTCCAAACGACCCTTCCCAACATTCATGTCCCAAGCCACCTCCTTCCTCCCCTCATCCCTCCGCGGCGGCACAAGCACACCCGCCAACCCCAACATCAGCGACTCTCCCCCCAAACTGCAAATCAAACGTGCCCGCGGCAAAGACGTCAAGAAGGCTGCCGAAACGCCGCAGAATCAGATGGGGCCCTTGGCCAGGGAATTGCGGCCGAACGGTGCCATGAGAGGGTTGGATGATGACGGGATTGTGCGAAGAAGCTCGAGGCTGAAGACCGGGACGGCCAAACCTATCGCCACAAAGCCTACAGCGCGCAGTGTCAGGTCGCGCTCGGCAGCTTCGTCTGCATCGACTGATATACCTTCCCCGCCCGCTTCCGCGCAATCGCAATCATCGCAAGCACAAGCACAAATGCAGGCTCAAGCACAGGCACAAGCACAAGAGGCACTGCTCCAGAGTGCGGCCGATGACTATCTTCGGGATATCGTGAGAAAGTGTGCAAAGGCTTATAGAAGCCTGAGTATGTACCAGTGTGAGCAGGCACTCAAAGATATAGATCTTTTGCCCAATGAGCTCAAAACAAGTGCTTGGGCACTCGATATCTTGGGTCGAGCGTTCTACGAGATGGCTAATTATACCATGGTGAGTCGCTTCGAACGACAAGTATAGGCTGACAAGGAGCAGGCTCGCCAGGCATTCGCCTTTCTCCAACAGCTCGAACCCTACCGCCTTCAATCCATGGAACAATACTCGACCCTCCTCTGGCATCTCGACGATCTCCCCATGCTCTCCCACCTCTCCCAAACCCTCATATCCATCTCACGCACCTCGCCGCAGGCGTGGATCGCCATCGGCAACTCGTTCTCTCTCAAAGGCGAGCATGATGAGGCCATGAGATGTTTTAGGCGGGCAACGCAGGTTGACCCTGGATGTGCGTATGCTTGGACGTTGTGCGGGTATGAGGCGGTTGAAATGGAGGAGTTTGAGAGGGCGCTGGCGTTCTATCGTACAGCCATCAGGACTGATACGAGACACTACAATGCTTGGTGAGTCCATCACTCATTCGATCCAATCGTCTGACCCCTGTAGGTACGGGATGGGATTAGTCTATCTCAAGACCGACAAGCCTGCCTATGCCGAGCACCACTTTAAAAGAGCAGTCGAAATCAACCCCAGCAATGCTGTCCTCCTGTGCTGCGTCGGCATGGTATGTCCGCCCTCATTTAGATTCACAGGCTGACTCTCTACAGGCTCTCGAGAAATCCGACGATATCGTCCAAGCCATTCATTACTATGAGCTCGCCTCAAGATATGCCCCCCACTCGCCCATGGTCCAATTCAAGCGTATCCGCGCCCTCGTCTCGCTGCAGCGGTACGACGAAGCCATCTTGGCCCTCGAACCCCTCACGCATACCGCACCGGATGAGGCCAATGTGTTCTTCTTGCTGGGTAAATGTTATCTCAAGAGAGATAGGCGGGCAGAGGCGACCAAGGCGTTGACGATGGCGAGGGAGTTGGCGCCCAAGCTGGAGGGCGCTATCAACTCTGTGTTTTTGGCGAATGGGGACGAACTCGAGGAAAAAGATTAGGAGGGGGTACGTTCATTACGTCAGTTTCAACGACCTTGCCATTGCCTAGTATCCTTTGTCGTGAAGACTCACAAAGGAGCTGTATGTATGTCTTCCAGCCCAACTACGCAAACTCTTGCTGGTAGACTCTCGTCTCGCAAGGATCGAGACAGACAGCAACAATGTCAAGCAGAGTCCCTCCGACGACTTTTAGAGGGATTCACGAATCCCTTCCTCGAGCCCAAACCCCAACACTGACGGAGAACTCTCTAGGTAGTGGAGGCAGCGGCTGGGTGACGACTGCATCCTCTTGGAGTACCCGGAACGGCTCGCCCTCGTATAACGCAGCAGGCAGGGTGTATCAGGGACGTACAGGTCGGGATGCTTTCCGACATGAGCCTCGGCTGGCTTGGGCTGGAATCAGGCATCAGGTGGGGGATGCGGAAACGATCGAGGTCGAACAAGAAGGCAATCAGGGTAGGCTTGTTGCAGCTTTTGGTCTCGTTTGCTGATACGCGGGTAGTGTCTCATTGCAGCCAGGCCGTGCTGATTACATGTCTGCATCTCTCGCATTGGATGGCTATTAGAGATATCGGACAGTATGGATGGACCGTGCCTTCCATCAAAGATCCCATAGGAAGTATGGTCACGATCATGAAACGTGAGCCGTCATAGTGTATTCTCTGGTTGATATATTGACGATATGGCAGAGTATACGAAACAAATGAAGGATCTGAGCAAGCACTCCGATCTTACATGTCGTACTGTAAGCATCGTCCTTTCCTCAACGTCCCAAAGCTTATAGCCTTCAAGGCGCCTGATCCTAGTAAAATCGTCATTCAACACCACTTGACCAAAGCTCGAATGGCAGCAGGTTTGAACAGCTATGTTGCCGTCATATATAACGGCCATGGCATCCAAGAGCCCCCCACAGAGGCCGGAGAGCTTTGGTGCTATGATAAAGATTTTGGAGAATGTTTGCAGAGCGGTGGGCCCTCCGAGTGAGTCGTTATCGTTCCAAGATACGCCTATGCTGACTCTTCCCAGGTACATTCCCATTCTCCTCTTCGACATGCTCACGTGGGCCGGCGCTTCTACCTGTTTCGTATGGGACTGCCCCAGTGCTGGTCGATTCATCCGTGCAGCTCATACCGAAGCGAACGAGATTGACTCTCAGCTTCGCGCCGCTGCTGCACAAAACCCCTCCATCGCCGAAGTTCATCCCGCGATATACACCAGACGACAGATCCACTTTGCTGCATGCGGCGCAGGAGGTGCAGTCCCAAGGGTCAAAGGTATGCCAGACGACCTGTTTACGGCCTGTCTGACTACGCCCTTGCGAATTGCTCTGCTCTTTCACAATCTGCAGACGTTCCCGCTCACCAAAAGTGACAGTGAAAGGTCGATCCGCAAGTCTGCCAGTTACATGGAAGCGCTATGGGACAATATGAGCCAGAAACTCAAAGATAGGCTATGGTCTGAATTGTCGGCCATACTACACACCATCGCTTGGCAGACGCTCGAGGGTGTAGATTACCAAAAGCTATTTGGCAAGTCGGGTGATGTTGTCAGCAACCTTTCCAGCGGGTTCCTGCTCTCTCAGAGAGTCTTTGCGGCCTACAATGCTACGCCCGAGTCGATACCCGCGATTCCATCAGCCAACGGCCACGCGCTATGGACGACATGGGACTTGATTCTCGACAACTTTTTCGAGCAGCTTCCCCAATACTTTGAAGACACCCGACACGCCAAAGACACAAACTGGGAGAAGGAACTCAAGCTGGTGTCGTTCATGGCAGACCAGCTGGAAAGCATCACCGCAGCTGATCAAAACCTGCTGTTCACCCGAGCTCCGAAATCAGGAATGATCCCTAGTCTTACCCGCCTGCCGATCATATGCGAAGCGGCAATGACCTCCGAGTTTAGGATCACAGCCTGCGCGGCGCTTGATGCTTGCCTTCGAGTTCTCGACGTTCGGGACTTGGCGCACGCTGTTCAAGGTGGGGCTCTCGACGTTGCAGCAAAGCTCTTGGCGTTGGACGATGCCAATATCAAGCCTCAAGTGATCAGTATATGGTCATCATTGGTTCGGCATGATGTTTGCGTATCATCTCTTGCCCAAGAAGGACTCGAGTCTGAACGACTCACGACCGTCCCGGCCGTTCAATTCTTCCTCGACGCCCTTCAACAGCAGCTGCCACTGCACGAGGAGAATGAGCAGTCTTCTACACTCGACGTAGCCCCAACCATACAGATCTCTGCGGTCCTTGCAGCGATTGCCAACTTTGTTGCAGGCCGATCAGCCCCGCGCTTTGTGCTTCGTACGCTCAACATGTCGACCGTCATGCTACGCACTTCTATCGACATTGTGCGACAGTGGGGCGCTTTGCTCGTCTCGGAAGTCTTGGGATGTCTGGACAGGCCAGACGACGAGGAGCTGGTGGCCAAGCTCAAAAGTGATCTACTCGAAATGATAGACGATGGCAATGTGGAAAACCGTGCCGCCGGCGTGTATGCGCTCTCGAGATGGCTGCCTGTAGGAGAATCATGGTCGGAGGACGAACTCGAGAAAGCTCTCGAGTTGTCTGTCAAACTTGTCACTCAGAACAAGGTTGAAGGGTCCCCTTTGGTACGGAGAGAGCTTGCCAAGGTTTTTGTCAAGATCCTCCAGTCGGCCAAAGGCTATGCAGCCGTTACTCTATGGACCCACATCTTGCAGGAAGCCTTGCGAGACCGTCCTGCAAACCGCACAAAGATCACGGACAGTATCCTGGCTCTGGGGAAGAAACTCAAGATTGATCGAGATGACAAACAGAGACTTTTCCATGTTACTGGCATCATCAAGGCAATCTGCTCGCAAAGGTTTGATCCTGACCCCGTGGTTGCCAAGCTTGTCCACCAATCATTGCGGGGCATCATTCTCTCCTCGTTGAAGGCCCAGTCACAACAGCACAAGGGCGCCCGAAAAAGTGAAATCTGGGAAGACATATATCTGGCCGCCTTTCCCTCTAGCGGAGAAGACAACGGAGCTTCGTGGCCGGGGGACACGATGAACGTCATTCTACGGTCGGGAGATACCGTAGCAGAGCTCTGGGAAGAACAAAGGCAGCCCAGCGAGGACCTGTCGAGGCCACTGCATGACTCTGGGGAACGCAAGAAGAATGGGGCAAAAAGAAGCAAGGTCAACCACCAGCTGTTTTTGCGAAGCAAATTGGCTCTGCAAGCTCATATCGCTGTAAGTCCATGGCTGAACAGCCAGCAAGAGAAGTCAGACTGACAAGTGCCCTATTAGCAAGCAAACCGCAAGGCCCCGGGTTCGTCTTTGGACAATGCAAAAGTCAAGCCGTCTTCACAAGAAGACCCCTCCTCAATGAGACATCGAGAGTTGGAAGACTCTCTTGTCATTGGGGAACAGCAAGTCGGGCTTCCTTGGAAATGGACCATGAGAGACATCACATGCCCCGATCCTTGGTCAACCGTCACATTCCACTCGTTCAACAGCACCGTCATGTCCTGTAACAAAGGGCACGACCTTTTCCTTTGGGACTGGAATTCATCAAAGAAGACTGGACAAGTCACGCTGAAGTTACCGGATAACGAGATGATAACGTCGGCTAGATTCGTCAATGAGCTGCACGAGCAGAATGTCATTCTGGCGGAGATAAGTGCGTAGATACGGGCGTGACACTATCCTTGCAGCTGACGATTACATAGCCAACGGAGATATCCATATCTTTGCGGGATCTCAGGACTCTACACGCATCAAGCCAATCGCAAACTTCCGCGCCTTAGACATGCGCTCTCCCCGATACATGTCCACTGCAGACGAGAATCGTCGAAAAATTGAAACGACCTGGTACAGATCAAGCGGAAAACTTTGTGTCGGAGGGGCTAGCAACGCCATTAACGTTTGGGACTGTCCTGCCGAGAGATGTTCACAAGTGGGTGACTGACATCGGAAATGGCTGAGCTTATATACTGATCTCGTACAGGTCTTGAACACCGAGTCTGAAGTTCCTGTCACGAGTCTCATAACAGAACCCGTCTCGGGTAGGCTCTTGTTTTCAGGTCAGGATGACGGGATGGTCAAGCTTTACGACCTGCGACAGTCCTCTGGAAAGGCTGTTCTGTATTGGAAAGCAGACGCTACTTCTCACTTGAGGTCTGACGAAACAACAGGGTTCAAGAGTGGTGCCGCGCGCGGAATTGCAAAGATGGGCGTTATCCTTGGAGAAAGCAAGCATGTCTCATCAGCATGGTAAGCATATCCCGTACTATATACGGCCAGTCACTGAATTGAGTAGCTACAACGGCATGCTAAGCGTACATGACATTCGAAACCTGTCTCAACCAGCTGCTTCTGTACTGGCCCACCCGGAGGGCATATCGTCAGCTTCATTTCAGCCCCACTCCGGCTTGATGTCAACGATATCTATACTTGATGTCTCGCAGGAGCATGGTTCACCGGTCAAGCATGACCCCGAGATCGTCAAACAGAAACCATTATCCCAGAAGTTTCAATTGGCGACGGCACTCTCGCACCTAAGCGTCCGGCCAAAATCATCCTCCTCCACACAAACCCTTCCTTCAGTACAGCCGACCTCATTAGTCAGTACGACTGCCAATTGGTCGTTGCACAGAACGGCTTTAGGGTCATGTGAGCCTGTCACATCGGAAACCATGGCTTTCCCGGTCCAGTCGCCAGACGTTCAGGCGCAGAATTACCGGCCCTATACCGTCATGCACCCGCTCCGACCCTTCTTGGGTATTGGGTATGGCAGAAAGTGCCATCTGAGAGGATGTGGAGTCGGAGAAGGAGATTGCACGGATAGTGGCAGTTATACGTTCCTCAAATCGCAGGCCAAGTACTTGATTTAGATAGCGACGAAAACATGTACCCATTTGTTCTAGTTCAAGTCCATTCTGTTCGTCATGATATCTACAAGATCAACTGTACATTCTCTTTTCAGCCAGGATCGACACTTTGAGTGCGATTACAACGTTTTCCGGTCAGTCATGACCCGCACGATACACCCAACACCGGCAGCTTCGGTGAGCTAAAGCAGACCCACGAGATCAGCAGCGACCCACGGATTAAGCCAAATGGGGACAAACCTTCTCATGCCAAGTCAGCAGCACACTGCCACTAGTATCCCCGCTCCCCTGCCCAAGCGCCGCCATCCCCTTGTAGAGGTACGCCATCAAGCGGTCTTGCTGAACGTGGTCGAGACCTTTCACGAGTGCGGGAATGTCTGTCGAGCGAGTGGAGTTGAATATCAGGAGAAGGGAATTTGTTGTCAGAGCCTGCCATGAGCCGGGTAAGCAATGCCACTGAGTGATAAGGAGGGGCGTACTTTGGCTTCGTCCACGCCTTCGCCGTATGGAGGATCAGTCAGGATTGTCCCCAAAGCTCCTGCAATATCGCCCCTGTCTGATGTTCAGCCCCTATTCCCTTGAGCACATCGAGGCATCTTGATGCATCTCACCTTGATACGAGACTCCTGACCTCCCCACTCCTGCTCTGGGCATCAGCTAACACGCCGTCAGGACCCCGGGGGTCTGGGTCGTAGAGGTCGGAGGGGAGGAGGACGTCCTCTTCAAGAGCGTCGATGTTGATCTTTCTGAATGCGTACTCGGACATGGCTGTACGGAGGGAACTGAAGATGTCAGCGATGCATGTGGACGCAGTGACGTCGTTATATGGGGGGCGCGTTTTGCATTGGCCTCCACTTGGGCGGCCTGCTTGTTGTTGCCATTCAATCGCATCTCCCTGGCATTTCCTGGCGTTCGACCTTGACCCAGTCAAGTCACAATGGCAAAGAAGAGCGGGAATCCAGCAGACGCTTATCGTGAGCATCCCTGTATACTGTGGCAGGTCTCTGCTGACGCATCTCTCAGGCAAGCAGCTCAAAGCCAAAGAACAGAAAAAAGTGCGCTCTCGCCGGTGCTCTGCCAGGCCGTGTATACTGACAGGCAGTGCAGAATAAAGAAGCGAGGCAGAAGGCAAGAGATACTCAAACTGCAAAGAAGGATACTCGAGAGCTGGAGACGGAAATACGAGCTCTCAAGTCGCAAAGTGCGTATCGTCGCTGAAGTACGTGCTGCATTACACTAATCATGAACTATATAGACGATTCCGATAGCAAGAAGAGGGTACAAGAGCTTGAAAAAGAGCTCAAATACATATCCGGAGTCAAAGAAAAATACGTCGAAGAACATCCAGACGAACATGATAAAGTGTTTCGGGTTCGTCGCCGGCCCGAAGGCGAGGGACAAGGAGAAAGCTCGGGGGCTGGGAGTGATAAATTCGACCAAATGGGGCGATTGAGGGATCCAAAGAGGAGTGTCTATTATGACGCGGTGTATAATCCTTATGGAGCGCCTCCACCTGGTATGCCTTACCGCGAAAGAAGTGAGTTATATATTTTGTCAGTGTTGCGGACAGTATTAACATACAAATGAAGCGCCGGAAGAAGAGAGTGAGGAGGAGGACAGTGACGATGATATTGTGATGCCAGAAGGTCCTCGGCCAGATTCTGGGGAAGACTCTGACGGCGACTCGGACGATTCAGACTATATACCTCTACCAGAAGGCCCACCACCCCCTAAACCTCAGTCTGCCCCCTCACTACCGCTGCCGAATCTGGGGCCCCCGCGCCCGCCTCATGCCCCCGGCTTCTTTCATGGGCCATTGTCCAGCATACCCCCTCGTCCGCCTTATGGCATGCCCCAGAATGTGCAGCCGTGGGGCGTACCACCACCAGGGTTCAGGCCACCTCCTTCTGGGCAGATGAGAGGTCAGTTCAGCGGGCCACCGTCATCTGCCAACCTTCCGCCACGCCCGCCTCCCGGCGGCCAGCCAGGGGCTATCTCAGCCCCTCCCAAGCCGGCTGCTCCTGTGCCCGCCGTCGAGAGCAGACCATCAACGGAAGCACCCGCCTCTGCAGAGATTTCGGCAGCTCCAGTGCTGCGGGATCTTCGCAAAGAGGCTACTACATTCGTTCCCCGAAATATCAAGAAGCGTAAGCCCGGAACTGCAGCTCCCGACAGGATCAACGCGGCTCCGGGAGCGGGCGAGATTGACGAGGACGGCGACGAGCGTAGAAGGGCGAGGGTGGAGGAAGAAGGGGGTGGGCTGATGGGTAAGCTGGGTAGTGTACTCGGAGCTCAGACTCAGGCCAGTAAGAGTACGAAACAGAATGTGGACGATGATTACCAAAAGTTCCTGGAAGGGCTTGGCGACTTGGGATGATGCATATGTACCGACCTCACGTTCTCTTACTATTCTGCTGTGTCCCATGTGTTCATTTAGTCCGTAGCATACTCGGCAGGAATTTGCATAGTCGACTGTATGTCCAGCACAAACCTGGCCGAGCCGGCTTACGCCCACGTGGCTTTGCATCGTCATGGCGGCCGCAGCTCGAGCGACGTTTTCAGATGTCAAAAACACAAGCAATCTTCCGTAGATTCTGCAAAATTCCATACCCCGTCACTCACAGCATGGTCAAAGAAACACAACTCTACGACCTCCTGGAGGTCCAGCCCGATGCTACAGACATCCAGTGCGTATCATTTCCACCTAGCTGAGAAAGCACGACTCCAGGTCGCAGGGCCTTGCCACCCTCCTGAGCACAGTCTTGCTCACATTGATCTTGTAGGTTGAAGAAGGCCTACAGAAAGCTGGCCATCAAAGTGCGTATTGAGCATACCATACCTGCTCGACCACCTTTCTCATCATACAAACGGTTCTGACAGCGATGAAATAGTACCACCCCGATAAAAACCCCAGCCCCGAGGCCGGTGAAAGATTCAAAGAGATCGGGTGCGCTCCATCTGAAAGCTATAGGATAACAACTGATATCATACAGCGAGGCCTATCAGATCCTCTCCGACCCCGATACCCGCGCTTTCTACGACAAGGTTGGCAAGGATGGTATGAGCCGCCCGGAGGAGGGCAACTTTGACCCCCAAGAGGTCTTTTCACAGATCTTTGGTGGCGCGGCTTTCTTCGACTATGTAAGTTTTACGGCTGCATTTTGAAGCAGGTGCTCATACTGTATAGATTGGCGAGATTGCTTTGGTCAAGGACTTTACTACCACCATGGATGTTGTCATGACCGATGAAGAGAAGGAGCAGGTACGCTACATGACCTTTCTGAGTACGAAAGTTGACGGGAGATCAGATGGAAGCGGCTGCCAAGGCCGACGCAGAGGCCCATGCCGAAGCCGATGCCCCCACCGAGAAGACCTCTGCCGCTGCGGCCGCTACAGCTGCCACAACGGCTGACCCCCTGGGCCAGCCCGCTGCTGGAGCCGCTAAAGACGCTGCTGTTGATGAAGTTGGCGAGGGCGTACAAAGCATGACATTGCATTCTGGCGCCAGTAACGCCCCTACCCCCTCAGACAAGGCCGAAGTTGGGAGCGCGCAGAAAACAGAGAGTGCTAAGAAGGCCAAGGCCAAGATCACTCCCGAGCAAAAAGCTCAGTTGGAGGCTCTCGAGAAGAAGCAGGAAGAGGAGAAGGAAAAGAGGTGAGTCTACGGGCCTGTATAGATAAACGATTGACAATTGTAGGATCAAAACTCTTCAGGATAAGCTGTTGCTGAGGATCAGACCATTCGTCGACGCCAAGCATCCTGGTGATATCAATGACCAAGAGACGAAAGTGTTTGAGAGCCGAATCAGGATTGAGGCTGAGGATCTCAAGTTGGAGTCTTTCGGTGTTGAGGTGAGTGTCTTGATGTGAATTGGAGTGTCACTAATGCAAGTGCAGATGCTTCACACGATCAGTCAAGTGTACATCACTAAAGCCGGCAACTTCCTGAAGAGCAAAAAGTTCTTTGGTGGCGGGTTCATTGGGCGTTTGAAGGAGAAGGGAGGTATGATGAAGGAGGGCTGGAATCTCTTGGGGTCTGCGTGAGTCCTATCGCTGTACCTGCGGCTGAACATGACTGATGCTTTGCAGGGTCGGTGTGCAAACAGCAATGGCCGAGATGGAACGCCTCGAGGCCAAGGGCGACGCCACACAAGAGGAACTTGAGGCCCTCGCTCAAGAAGTCTCCGGCAAGATGCTCCTCACCACGTGGCGCGCCACTAGATGGGAGGTCATCAACGTCCTTGGAGTAGTAGTTGACAATGTCTTGTACGAGCAAGGCATCTCCAAGGATGTGGCGGCGAAGAGGGCAAAGGCTATCATGTGCATCGGAGGAATCTTCAAGGATGTACAGCCTGACGAGAGCGACGATGAAAGACGGGAGCTTGAGAGGTAAGTCGTGTCCCAAGCAGCTGGTATGGAACCTGACTCTGTACAGACTGGTGATGAACGCTGGGAAGAAGAAGGTCGAGAAGAAGGATGAGAAGGAGAAGAAGGGTTGGTTCGGCAAGTCTAGCCACAAGCATGAGTCTGTCGCCACCGCGGAGGGCACGGAAGCCAAGGAGACGCCCAAGGTCAGCGCTTAGGTTTGAATCACTTTCCAGGGAGGAGGGCGGCGTATCACGATAATTGATGAGAATAGACCACTCTACATGTTATGATTACTCTTGTTACAGTGCTGGGTACATCAACAATAATCAAGAGACATTGAATGCCCGCTCGACGCTTTCACTTCGATGTACCCGTGCCCTCCGAAAGTCCCAACATCTCCATCTCATGCCGCAACTTGATCTCTCTTTGTCGGTGGAAAAACTTTTGCTCGACTTCTTTTTCGAATTGGTCTCTCTGCTCTTTGGCCTGCGATTCTGCCAGCGCTTCCTTGGCCTTGGATTGACGACTACGACGGCGTCGGTACCATTTGAAGGCCAGGAAAAGGATGAGGAAAAGACCGGCTATTGACAGGGTGCCTGCATGGATCATGTCAGGTTCGGGCCTCAGGGACGGATGTTGACAAAGAGACTTACTGACGACGGCTTTACACTCTGAGGGATTGTCATTGCACCAATTCTGCGCCTGCTCGGTATATCCATCACCGTCATCTCGTTCGTAGAGCCTGCTCTTGGACTGACGGTGAGAGGCATGGTTGTTTCCGATGGGCTGCGCCGAGGCGGCGCCTGGGCATTGAACAAAGAGAGAGAGCAGTATGCTGCTGAGAGTCGAGGTCGGCAGTAGTGAAGTTGGCATCGCGGCTTTGGTGCCAGCCCTGGAAGGGCTCAATAGGGGGACAAGGCGGGTTATATTCCGCGACGGCCTGGATGTACAGAGTCGAGGATTTGATAGCGATTGAACTGTACGTACAGTCGAGGGGGAGATGAGAAGCGGATGCTGGCAGAAATGCGAACACTGCAACTTTCACAGCTTCAATCCAATGCCACCCATATCGACCGTCAGTGGTCAAAGGATCGCAATGACCAATGCTGAACGCCAAAGGAGACGTCTGCATGGCCGACCCCTGCGACAAAGGTCCGCATCATACCTGCACAGGGGTGGCCGCCTGCCCTCAGAAAGAAATCGTACCAATACATACAAACGATACTTTTACAGGGTCTCATGAACTCTGAAGATGTCTTGCGGCAGATTCGGCTGATCATTGCTTGGCCTTATCTTTCCCCTCTGAGCTTGTAGCGCCCGCAGAAGTAGTTTCGCCTCCGTACGGTAGACGTACAAGACACGGAATGGGATCTTGCTCGTCTTCTTCCGTGCGAGAAGAGTCGGGTTTCTGATCCATCTGTGTGGCTGCACAACATTAGTCAGGATTGTCACACAATAACAGCGTTCTAGATGTCGTACCAAACAGATTTAGGATTGAAAAAACATGGGGCCAGTTTCTCAGAACCCCTCCGATAGCTGAGAGACAAGCATCAGTACCACAATGAGATTTTCTCTAGCTGTATATCTCACCCTCGCCACCATCCGCCATGATGTTGCTCATCTCTGACAGCTTTTCAGCTCTGGCCACCAAGTCCCCAGAGGCTTCCCGGAGGGCTTGAAGGCCGGCATACTCTTGTTGTTTTTGGTAGAGGTTCTGGAGGGACGGGGGAAGGTTGAGCTCTGAGGATCGATTAGACATGGCGGGGATGTGTTGTGGAAAAAAGCAGAGTGTTGTATCTTTTCTACCTTCTGCTTGTCAACGACTTGTCAACAAGAAGCCCGCCGTTCACATCTCGACGCGACGCGTTCAAATCGGCGATCGCCGTCCAGCCCCGGAAGCGTCATTCACGATATACGGAACGGCGGTTCACTTTGCTTTCGGTCGCTCGCAACGCTCACCTCTCACGTATACAAAGCTAGACGCGCAACGCCTTGCAAGATTCTGCGCCATGGGTGTCAAAGGACTATGGTCCCTGCTCAACCCAGTCGCTCGCCCTGTCCAGTACGCTCACCGGCAGTGGTTGAGCATAGCTGACGGAGCTCCTTGTAGGATAGAGAGTATGGAAGGGAAGAGGCTTGCTATCGACTCTTCCATTTGGCTGTACCAGGTATGAGTCCCAAGCATAGTGAACCATGCGCTGACACATCGTGACCCAGTTCCAAGCCACGATGAGAGACAAAGATGGAAGAGTCCTTGTGAATGCACATGTACTAGGTCAGTGATCTGACCAGGCCCGTGGTGAAGCGCGCCATTGACTCTCAGTTACTGCTTAGGGTTTCTACGGCGTATAAACAAGTTATTGTTTCATGGAATCAAACCCGTCTTTGTCTTCGATGGCGGAGCTCCGGCCCTCAAACGCTCAACTATTGTAGGGACTGCTTGACTCTAACAATATTGTTGGATGGCACACTGACGGAGTCTGCAGGCCGAACGAAAGAGGAAGAAGTCTGGGGCTGCAGCAAATCACGCCAAAGTAGCAGAAAAGCTGTTCGCCGCCCAAATGCGGAGAGAAGCCGTGAAAGCCGCACAAGTGTATGGGATTTCCCCGGTATGAAGTAGCAGTGCTGATTCATTTGACAGTGCACATCAAGAAAAACAAGACCGCGAAGCCGCCGAAGCAGCGGCTGAATATGCCCGGCGCTACCCAAATGAGGCTGGGGAGCAGATCGCCGAGGATGTGATTTATCTCGATGAGCTCGAAGGACGAGCTGGTCCGTCTCGCCCTCGTTCGCCCAAGGAAAGTGAATTGAGAGCCCCCACAGATGCTGTGCCTACAGATCCCGAGAAGAGGAGGAAGTACTTCAAGAAACACGACCCTTATCGGCTACCTGAAACCAATATGCCGAAAGTGTCCACGGCAGACAAGCCTGACGCGCGTCTTGCGACAGAGGAAGAATTGAACCAGTTCATCGATGAAGTGAACCCAGAGGATATCGATGTCGAGTCGGAAGAATTTCGAGCTCTGCCAACAGAAGTTCAGTACGAGATCATTGGTGACCTTCGAGTCCGCTCTCGCCAACAGTCGCATCGTCGACTAGCAAACATGCTCCGCGCCGCCCCGACTGCACTGGACTTTTCTATGGCTCAAATCAAACAGCTTTCGCAGCGAAACGCCCTCACTCAACAACTCCTTACGGTCACGGATATGGTTGGTACTGCGCACTTGACCATCCCTGTGAGAATAGCGGCAGAGAGAAATCGAGAGTATGTTCTCGTGAAGAAGGATGAGACCGAGGGGGGAGGCTGGGCGCTCGGTATCAGAGAGGGGACGAAGGAGAAGCCGATCGAGGTGGAACCGGCATCATCACCAAAGGCAGAAAGTGCGGAAGAAGAATCAGACATAGAACCTCTCTCGCCGTGAGTAATGATGTTGATCGCACACAAAGCAAAATCTGACAATGCCCAGAGTGGCACAAGTACCGATGGACTCGGACCTTCGTCAACATCGACGGCAACAAGTGCTCGAAGCCCTCGCTGCCCGTTATGCTCCTCAGAAACCCGCCCGAGCCTCCCTTGATGTAGCCGTTAAACCTTTCGGTGCGGCGAGGACAGCATCTTCCAAACCATTGTTTGACGTAGATGAAGATGTTGATGAAATCGTCCCCACCGCGAATGACGAAGCTCTCGCGTTGGCGCTCCAGCAGGAGGAGTTAGGGGATGATGAGACTGAAGTTGACTCGGACCTTGCTCGGGCACTGGCAATGAGTCGCACCCAAGCGGAGAGAGAATCCAACAGTCAAAGTGAGGATGCGGCGATCACCTTCAACCAGAGTGAGGACGAAGAAGTTGATATGGAAGAAGTCGAGCTCGTGCCTAGTAGAACAGCAACTCCAGTCGCTGGTTCCGCGGCGGAGCCCATTGCTTTTGAAGAGCAAGACACGGAGGAGGAGGATGAGTTTGAAGAAGTTGACACGACTTCGGCTACTCACAGTCGTTCACTGAGTGCAGTGCCTCTACAAGGCGAGATGTCCGATTCGAGGCCAAACAGGGACGAGCCGATCATCATTGACGACGACGAAGACACTGAGGAGCCCCTGTTCCCGGAAATCGTACCTAGCCCCAGCCCCCCAAAGGAGCAAGAAACCACTACTTCTTCCTGTCAGATTGTAGACCAGACACCCAGGACTATCTCCACTGAGCCACCTCGGCCTAAACATCTGCAGAGGCTGAGCTCTGCGTCAATCAACCCGTCGCCTCTGCGAACCGTCACACGGCCGGAATCCTCTCCGGCTCCTTTGCCCGAGGCGCCAGAGGAAGAAGATGCCGCGCCAACCGCAGAGGTGAGGGGCGCTCCATCACCTGAACTTCCTCCTCGGCCCATTCTTCCGCCAGATTCCGATGACGACGTGCACTATGCACCTGAGCCACTGAGATTGCCAAGTGCAGCCCCAGTGACGAGTCAACGCTACGATCCAGTAGAGGATGAAAGCGAACACGCAGAAGATTTCGATGACTCTCGTTCGAATCTTTCATGGTCTCGCTCACCCACGCCGCCCCCAAAGGCGAATGGGCTACGAGCTGTCGATTCCACCACTTCCCTCGTCTCTACTGAAACAGAAGCACCAAGAGATGACGATGCAGATGACGGGGACCTTGCACCTGCAGACGTCGCCGCAGAGTCTGACGATTACGCTAGATTCATAGCGTCTATCAAAGGGCGTAACCTAGAGGAGGTTCGAGGAGAGCTCGATGACGAAATCAGGGTGTTGAACAGTGAGAACAAGGTGGCTATGAGAGATTCTGATGAAATCACCGCGAGCATGGTTGCTCAAATTCAGGTGTGTCGCCGTGCTGCCTATGATGTGACGTGATTGAGCTGACAGGGCCTAGACCATGTTGAGACACTTCGGTATCCCCTATATCACCGCTCCAATGGAAGCTGAAGCCCAATGTGCCAAACTTGCCCAGCTCGGCCTCGTGGACGGAATTATCACAGACGATTCGGATGTCTTCCTCTTTGGCGGAATACAATGTTACAAGAACATTTTCAACGATGCCAAATACGCCGAATGTTTCCTGGTGGCCGATCTCGAAAGAGAGATGATGCTCACGCGGGAAAGATTGATTACGCTCGCATACTTTTTGGGAAGCGATTACACCTTGGGGCTGGCGGGTATCGGGCCAGTGATGGCACTAGAGCTGTTGGCCAACTTCCCGGGGCCGCGGGGAATCTACGCCTTCAAAGACTGGTGGATGAAAGTGCAAAGAGGTCAAGACACCGAGGAGGAAACGCATTCCAAATGGCAAAAGAGCTTCAAGAAGCGGTTCAGCAAAGTTCTGTATCTGACGGCAGACTGGCCTGATCCCCTTGTGGTAAGCCGTTCGACCGATGGTTGGAAATGAGCTGACTATGCTCCAAGAGGGAGGCATACTTGTACCCGACTGTGGACGAGTCGGATGAACCTTTCCATTGGGGATTCCCTCGGCTGCCGTCACTGAGAATGTGAGTCTGTACTAGAATAGCTTGAAGCTTACTGACGCTGTTTTCAAAGTTTCCTGCACGAGGAACTATCTTGGTCGATATCCAAAGTCGACGACGAGCTCACCCCTATCGTTCAACGGATCGCTCTACGGGGCAAAGAAGGCGGTCTCAAGAAACAGGCTACTCTGGACCCGTTCTTTGACCTCTCGGCCGGTACCGGCCACTATGCCCCAAAGCGAAGAGGTACAAACGTGAGCAAGCGGCTCTTGGGCGTGATCAAACAGTTTAAAGAGGCCGAGGCGGGCGCAAGTGAAGGAGTCTTGCAAGATGTTGTAGATGATATCATTGCAGAAGAGCAAGAGGCGCACGAAGAAGAGGAAAGGGGGAAGGGGAAGGGGAAGAGAAAGGCGGGAGACAACGAGGATGAGGAAGGCGCTGTCAGAGGAAGAAAGAAGGCTGCCAGAGGAAGGAAGCGAGCTGCGACAGTGTCGAGCACTGGCGAGTCTGTGTCCAGTGAAGGCGGCAGTACGAGTGCCCGCAGCAGCAGTCGTGGAACAAGTAGAGGACGCGGCAGAGGTCGAGGTCGAGGTAAGGAGAAGACAAACAAGTAGCGATCCACATGTGTTGTAACGATTAGCATGTAGCCTTATGCCGTCCTGTTATGATGACGTGAAACTATGGGGATATCAATACATCTGTGGCCATGGTCTAGTCCTCCTCGTCGACCTGTTCCTTCCTGGCAACATTGATGCCGCCAAGCTCTTGCTCAAGTCCGTTGTAAGGGTACTCTCGGGCGACAGCTGGTCGTTCCGGGCGGGTCTGGATCAGGAAGAAAGCGGCGATGCCGACCAGTCCAAAGGCACCAGAGAGCTATAGGGCCTGTCAGATGGATATACTGGGGTGCCAGGCGTATACATACCTGGAGAAGGGCGCTTTGCCACGACGTCTTGTGGACATCAGGACCCCACATGCCGATAACATCCTCACTCTCGTGGACCTGCAACAAACGCGTCAGACTTGATTGATAAGCCCGAGTTCGATGATTTGACGTACCACCTCGCCAAAGTTCTTTCGCTCCTGGACATCCCACCATCCGAAAGGTTGTCTCTTTTGCAGGGTCTCGTTGGGAAGCTGGGGGTAACCGTTCACTAGTAGCCGCGAAACGCACATCAGTATTTTGTTACTCTCCAGCTGAGCCCCAAATCCCGCAGACCTCTTCCTGCTCTTCCTCCTATTCGACCCGCTTCGATCACACTGAGGACATACACTGGGGGTCGAGTTCCTGGCCGGGCGGCAGAGGGTATGTTTCGTTGGCGATGGAGAGCTTTGAGGAGGCGGAGGCGAAGCGGGAAGCGGCGGGGAGGGTGGTGCTGAGCCTGGGGGCTGCTGTGCGGGCTGCTCTGAGTGCTGTAGGGGCGATCATGGCTGCGGTGGAGATGTCAGAGATGAATAGGGCGACGTGCAAATCAAGGCAGCCCATTCGCAGGTTCCTCCTCGCGCGCCTACTTCGCCGGTCTCTGCCGCTCGGGTGTGCCTGTTAGATAGGCATGCCAGAAGTGGCCACCCGAGATGAGATACGCGATTTTTTGTTTTCATGTTTACGATGAATTCGACCACCACTTGTTTCTGATATCCCCCTCTGCCAGCACCATTCAGCCATATATTCACCCCCCGCCTTGCCCGCATCATCAACTATAACGACGGGCCCGTACCACACGAGATCCTTTCACACCTGGGATAGCTTTCCGACATGTCGCTCCGTCTCCGTAAGTGCTTGTTACCAGACACATCGTGGACATCCAGCTGACATCCAGTCGTGTAGCGAGCCAAAACAAGTTTAAGCCAGTGGCAAGGCCGGGTATAAGGAAACCTGGTGCTCCCGGCGCGAGACCTGGCGTGATAGCCCAAAAATCTGCTCCCAACGTCGGCACGTCTACGTCGATTACAACACCCCGAGCTGGGCCACAGAAACCAGTGCCGGCCTCACCATCGAATTCAGCAATCCAGAAGCCGCCAACTCCAAAATCTGCTATCCCTCTTACGCCCTCAGCTGAAACGCAAGAGTCTCCGACCGTGCCACCAGGAGTAGCAGATGCTCCTGCGCCGCCTGTGACTACATCTGCGCTACCAGCTGCATCCACGGGGAGGTCAAAAGTCCCCCAACTATCACTGCTAGAGGCTGCAGCCAGTACGCCGTCAGGCTCTCGTCCTTCCCCCTCATCAGCTACGCGCAAGACGCCAAATACCCCACGGTTTCCCAGGGCACCATCCGTTGCCCCTCGAGCTCGTGCGCCATCGGTGGTTCGTTCGCGAGTTTCAGCTACCCCTCAACCTCCTTCCGATATACGCGAACCTTCCCTACCCCCCACGCCAAGGACGTCTGGTTTCCCACCTACCTTGAGTGCAGCCATGCAATCTTCCGCGCCTGGTGGTTTCCCGCCAACTCTAGCGAGCGCTACTGAAGAACCCGTGACGCAACAGCAAATAGATCATGCGCAGCTTGCGGCAGCCGCTGTTGCCTCCATCCAGTCTGATATGCCCCCGCCCAGCACCGAGATTCGTCGCAGACCACCCCGTCGGAGAAAGGCGCCCACCGGGCAAGCTGCCAGAGGCAAAAAGGCAACCCAGTCCCTCATTGTCGATGACGAGGGGCCAGATGATGATGCCGCTAGTCTGGCTGGGTCCAAAAGAGGCGCCTCGGTGATGGATGAAGACGACGATGGGGCTTCCGTGGCGGATTCACAAATTTCATCCCGCGCTGGCTCTGTTGCTCCTCGAACCAAACGCGCCAAAAAGGCGAGGGGCCCCCGCGTAGCCACCATCTCTCTGCAGGCCATTCAGCCGGACGAAATGGTTGGCAGCGAAGTCACAGATCTGACTACTATGGGCGACTTGGCGACTATCCTTGCTGGCGAAGGTCGTGTCACCGAGCGCGCCATCAAGATTGACGAATTCCGTCGTGGGCAAGAAGCTCAGAAAAGGGAGGATCATCATAAACGCATCGAAGAAATGTACCAACGAAACCAAATCAAACGACGTAAAGTCCGATCTGCCAACAATAGGGATCGCGCGAGAAGAAGAGAAGAGCTTAGGAATCAAGGTGGGAATGAGTTGGATGTTTCTCCGGACGAGATGGACTCGGAAGAGGAGTTTGATGTTGTGCCCGAAAGGTTGACGCCTCCTGCATCATCGCCCGAGCCCGATAGGCCCGAAGAGGGGGGACAAGAAGAAGGCGAGGAGGGGTCAGACGCTGAGGAAGTTGCTTTCGACAACCACGCCATTCCGAACGACCGCGAACCCGATATGTTTGACGGCGATGAAGGCCTGGTTGGCACACCAGAACCAGAGTTCGAGCCGGTTACAGAAGATGCGGACGATGACGATGCCTTGGCTGCTCTCCGCGCCGCTGGGTTTACAGTAAACGACGAGGAACCCGGATCCCCTCGCTCCGATGTAGACGAATGGGACCGCGATGCGGTTGATCTGGACGAATATCGTATGCGTACCCAGGAGCAGAGGCGGAGGGATATTGAGAGGAGAGAAGACGAGGACGAGGTCGTCGAAGTGGACGATGAGACTCGGTTCGTTAATTCTGCGACCTTTGGCAAAAACAAGCGAACGCAGAGGTGGACCAAAATGGAAACTGAGCTATTCTATCAAGTGAGTACCGCGCATGTCTTCCGGTATATGCAGTGCTGATTGTGTACAGGTTCTTGGTGAAACTGGCGAGAATTACACCCTCATGAAGGCGTATTTTCCTGGCCGCGATGTCCGCTCCCTCAAACTGAAGGGTGCGCGAGAGAATAAGGTCAATTTCGACAAGATGACTCAGGCTATCATGAGTCGTAAACCCATCGGTATGTTGCGTGAGAATCATACCTTCTCTTCACTTACACTTTGATTACAGACAAAGAATATCTCGCCAAAGCCGTCGGCTACGATCCTCATCGCGCTTTTGACAAGGAGATGGCTCTTTTCGAAGAAATCGAGGCCGACAAAGCGAGGCTCAAGAAGCTCAATAGTGAACAGCCTACAGAGGGCGATATCGTTGAAGAAGGTGAAGAGCAGGAGGACCGTGATCAAGCTGGATTGGACGGGATATCAGAGGGTGATGAAGGAGAGAAGCTGGACGAGAATGAAGATGAGCAAGTGGAGGAAGTGAACGAGGAGGATTTTCAGCAGTATAACTTTGTGTAACCTACTTTTCTGGGCTTTTAGTGAGATTTAGCTGTTTTCTTTCATGCTTGGTTGTATCCTAGACTGTTGGCTATCTGATAATGCATGTACTGTATGAGTACTCTACGAGTGCCGAGTGAAAGAGGCTCGGAGCCAAGATCGGAGTGCGTGTATGATACAAGTTTGTATCGTTGCATTTCGACCCATATTTCTCTATACATGTATGTAACGTTTGCCTCGTAGGACATTGTCGTAATGGTCGTAAATCATAGAGTATACTCACAAGCGACATGGACAGTGCCTTCGTCGTAATCTCTGCTTCCCGCCCAGCCCACATCCTCATCCTCATCCACAACCCTCCACCCCACGTCTCGCACCCAGCACCAGCCATTCTCCTTCTCCACGACCTTGATAACCGGAAGTGCCTTCTCGGAAGCGGATTTGGGAAGAGTTTGGATGACACCGCGAAGAAATTCGATGATGGGGCGGACATGCCAGCGGCGGTGTCGCTCGGGGCCAAAGAAGGGGCCGTCAAACCACCCAAGATGGCCGCCTTGGGGGACGCCAGCTAGTACCATGTGAGAAGAGTTCCGGATGGCAGAGAAAGGGAGACAGTCGCCCGAAACAATCGGGTCGTCAAGGGCAGAGATAGCCAAAGTTGGCCTGTGAAGTTTCAGAGATCGGACCCGTCGAAAAAAAGAAGCGCATTACCTTTTGATTTTCCCAAGCCATCCACTGGGACAGGCCCACTCCAAGAAAGAGTCCATACCCTCGAAGGGGAAACATGGTCCACTCCCCCCGACCTTGGTGACCACCAACTCCATGACCTTGCTCGCACGAAGAGTCCACTTATACTTGAATGACGCGGTGAGGGACAGGATCTCTGGGATGGAGCTGTAGAGCTCGGACGATGGGGCGGACAGAGCCGAGTGTGGGAGTAGGTGAGGGGATATGGAGCTAAGAATCTTGCGTGCCATGGAGAGAGAGTAGAGCCGCGGAAAGATGTGCGCAGAGTCGAGTCTATTGTGACGTCAGCCAGAGCTTTTCCGTGCATTGACTGTACCACCGTACTTGGCCGTGACTGATCTAAACTCCAATGGGCAGCAAAGTACTACTGCAGCTCGTAAACGACTTTTTGCACCTTGCTCACCCATGTAGCGAGTCATGACAGCAGCGCCGAGCGAAAAGCCGATGCCGACCAGAGGGGCATCAGGAAATAGGCTAGCGAGGTAGAGAGTGGCAGTATGGTTGTCGATGGTGTTCCCGGAAGAGTACAGCACAGGGGATGTGAGTGGCGTATTTGCACAGCCTCGGAACTTGAGAGTGTCTTTAGCGGGGATCAGTTGACCAGAGCGTGACTCACGTTGACCACAGCGCATCTGGCTCCAAGCCCTCCATCTTTCATGGGTTTTGCCAAGCACAAGACCAGGTTTCGAATATAGCTGCGTGACATCGTCAGCCAGCCCAGCATGCTCTATGCTCGAACCCACCTTTCATGAGCTCCCCCAGTGAGGCCATGATTGATGATCACGACGGGGGCGCTATTGGGCAACTTGACACACAGCTTGGGGTAAATATCCACACCGCTATCATTGCGGCAAGTCAGCCGTGAACGCCCAAGCGGTCTTGCTATACTCTTGTAAATCGATCCACTGACATGGTTCCTCCATCTGGAAGTCTCAACAACTGTCTGTTTAGACCACAGAGTTAGTCTCCTTTGAGTGTGGCAGTGGAGCCCTGGTGCTCGGACCCACCTTTGATATACAAGCTGGCCGTCCTTGGAGAAGTCTGCGAGTGCCGAGTAGATCGTCTGAGCATGGCCACTGGTGAGGCAGCACGCGGCACCGGTCAGCCATGAAATCTTGCAGAAAACCGCTACCTACATAGGTAACCACCAGCTTGCCCTGAATCCCTGCTTGAGGCTGCCACACCAGCTCCGGACGAGCTCTTCTGTCGTCTCGCCGTTCTCACCCACCTCTGCGCGGCGAAGTGGTCCTACGATGGTGATATAGGCGTATCGCCTGACGAGGATATAGTAAGCAGCATATAGGATGAGTATTAGAGAGCATGTCGTCGCCACGTTGAGGTGGTGGGTGAGGCTGGTGAGGGGGCGAGGGGTGAGGGGGCTCAGGTCCATTGAAGGTGGACCGGGGGAGTAGGGGAGTTGAGTGCGGTCTGTGGTGCGGAGTTGGGATTGTAGAGAAGAGAAAGAGAAACAGATAGAAATGGGGGGCACGCTATATACTGCACTCCGATTCGGATATGAAGATACACACTGATCTCCAGGAACAACACAGATAAGGGCCCTCCCTGCCTCTCGTCGGCGTTCCGCCCGCTCCTCTTACACAGCGTTTCGATGCAATAAACCACTACTCGTACATGCATAATCATAATTTCATATCTCCTCAAACGCTAGCCAGTCACACCTCAGTAATAGACGCGCTGGCAGCAGCTGGTCATACCACATCCCTCATCGTCTTGCCGCTCGTTATCCTCGCACAATCCCGATACGCCCTTCGGCCCGTAGAATTGATTGGCGTTCTAGCTGGATGAGGCGAAATCTCTCTCGCAGCCCGTCCATAGAGGCACGCAGGACATCTAGAACGTGCCGTCAGTCATACACCGCTCGGCTCGTGTATGAGATACATACGCTCGCAGTCCCAATAGTCGATGATGACCTGGGCATTGTCCAAGGCCATATGGTAGATCTTGTCTGCGTCATCCCAGAACGCCTTGTCGATTCGGGACATCTCAAGGGCACTGTCTACTGGTAAGCCCACGTCCTAGTGAACCACTGTGCCTGCTCACCTGTATGCCTCAATGAGCATCCACCAAGTGACCATGGGTCGCCTCTTTACACCGGGAACCAGTGCCCTGTCCCCAAGCAGACTGTGGAAGTACTTGAGCTCAACTTGGAACCATTTCTCAAGTGTCTTGGGGTCAACAGCCCCAAGGATTCGGCGTAAAACTGTAATTACATCGATCAACACGGCGCGCAAGTCGCCCGGCAAAGCAACTCACCCATCGCCCAGTCCAAAGACTGCCAGAGGTAAACCTTCATTCCGCCGACTTGGACCAGAATCTGGATGTCTTCTTCAATGACTGTCAATTCCTTGACAATCTGCTCTCTGTAGTGCGGTTCGAGTGGCCGATTGTTGGTGACAAAGTGCCTTACATAGGGTATCAGCCACTGCCCTACGCCACCCGTCCATGGACTCACCATAAGCATATGAGACGCTGATACAGTGCCCAAGGAGTAGTCTTTCCTTGTTTGTCGTCTCCGGCTTCCAAAAACACCATTTCCCCGGGGAAAAACAACCGGAACTGCCTTGAATGTCAGCACAAGCCAAGTGTAATTCAAACGAGACGCACCCTCTCCGGGCGACTGATTCGCAAATCCAGCGTCTTCTTCCCCACCATAAATTTCCAAAGACTGTGAGATGCGGCTATACTACTCGCCGTCCAACACATTCTCCTCATCTCCTCTTTCCACATTTCCCCGGGCGACCAGTTCTCGCCCCAGCCAGGTACCTGTGCCCAACTGGCTACCGTCGCATCCATATCCAACTTTCCTTGAGATTTCTGTAAGTTGACAGAGGCGGCGGCGTCCCACGTCAAACGTGGTAGCCCGAGCATATCTGACGTGACTCTATCATCGTCTGCATCCAGACGACTTGAAAAGACGGTACAACCGATACCATCCAGCATCACCAGCGCATCTCCGAGTCGGTCATCCTTGTGATCTTTGTGGGGCATGGTCTCAAATATTGCAATTACGATGGCCGCTGCCATTAGACTGGGGTCCTGGGAGCCAGCCTGGACGCAGTAGGAGAGGATGCTTTGAGCTTCGCGGTTGAAAAGAAGAGCAAGGGCATGGCCCTCTGGAGTGTGGCCTTGCTGGAGGAGCGTGACGAGGGAGAGTATGGCTAGCAGGATATGAGGAGCAGCGCGAAGTGATGGAGTCCCGTTGTCACTCGATGTATTGGTCAACAAAGAGCTGAAGAACATGGGTTTGTTTAGAAAACTGGACCACATTGACGAATCTGTGAAACTTTTCAGAGTCAGCTTCACCGCCTTCAGTAACAGGTAGACTGACAAAGCGTTACAGGATTTGACAACTTTCGAGATTGCCAGGCGACGATCCGTGTCGTACTGACTCAAGATCCAACGCCACCAGCCCTCACTCGCCGCCCCAATGTTTCCCGGCGCGTCATACATCTTGAATGATGCTATACCCTCCATCGACGTCTTCCGTTTCCTCGATAGCCGTGACACTCGCTGCTCTTCAGTCTCTCCGTATTCTTGTGCCATGTACGGATGCTCAAAGACGGGCTCTACAGTACCAACTGGCCAGGTATACGTTTGATGGGCGACCTTGGGCCAGAGGTGCATGGATCTGCTGTCACAGCCTTGCACCGCAGGTTGCGATTCGGCCATGGGCTGCCAAACCAGCCCTTGAACACCAGCAGGCAGGATCTGGATGGCGGGGTCCATGCCAGCAGGAGGGAGGCCCATCGATGATGAGACAGAAATGTTGCTGGATGTGAGAGAGGAGTAGGCGGCCGATTGACCCATGGCGGGGTTGCTTTCCTGGGTAGCAGCGCCCATGCCACCATCCAAGCCCGGATAGAAAATCGGAATTGGATCTGAGCCAATAGTATCGAGCGACGTCGGCTGCGTGGGGTAGACCAGAGGTGCTGAATATATAGGGGAGACATGTTGGGAATTGAACAGCTCTTGACTGCTCGTCACACTGTTGTTTGCGGCGAGAGGAGCTTTGAGAGCCGGACCTGGGTTATAATTATACGAAGGGTAGGATTCTAGAGGGTAAGACAGCGGAGGTTGCTGTGCAGGAAGCTCCTGCTCCAAAGATAGATGGGAGAATGCTTGGTAGGAAGGGGTTCCAAGAGAGGAAGGGTCATGGGGGATCCCGCTCGCAAGCCCGGACTGTAGCTGGTGTATCCCACTACTTCGGGGATAGCCCAGCTCTGGGAGGGGTTGGGGGTGAGAACGTGAGGGAGCTTGCCTATACGAGGCAGGCTGGCAGCTCGACACTGAGCTCGTGCGGGACGAACCAGGGGATGGTTCAGGTTTTGCTGCTGCCATGTCGCTCTTAACATCAGTTGACCCTAGCAGCCTGGGCGCAGAATCGTCGCCAGCGCCGCCTGTGGAATGAGAAAGTTGGAGAACATGGGGCATGGAGAAAGATGAGGTGTCAGAGGAGATGGTCTCGGATGACTGGGCGAGACCACTACCAGAAGGAGGATGAGCCGTTGGAAGTGGCATTTCCACCTTCTTGCTGAGAGTTGCTTCCAGCGGCTGATCTAGCTGGTGTTTCTCCCTCCTATCTCTTTTTGTGGCACGAGCTAGATACAAGTCAGATTATTACCCTGGAGACTTGACATATACACACTTCCTGGCAGCTTGTCCGGCCCTCGGCGTCTTATGGAAGTGGGATACGTGCACGCATTGCTTTTCTTTTTACAATTCATACACATTGGTTTTTCTGCCGAGCACTTGATTTTTCTGATGCGGCTAAGGAAACAATAAGCCAGCGCTGAAGGGTGTGATGCTACTCACCAAGAATCGCAGCTGATTCGTACAGGCTCTTTCGCCGGTTTGTCGGCAGCCAATACGGACTGCCGACTTTCGGGAGCGACTGTGGTGCGCACAGAGAGATCCACAGAGGTCTCGGGGGTGGAAGAGGAGGTGGGGCGGCTAGCTTGAGAGGAATTCAAGTGTTTCATGGCGGCAGGGCTGTTCGTGAGGGAGTGGGCGGGAGACGAGCCTCAGCAGATGCTCACACCGCGAGGGCTGCTGGCATCCGTATGTCACAGAGGCAATGCGAAGGTTGCAGCGTGTGTGGCCATGGAAGCCACTGATGGATGGTCAGGCGAGGCTGGTGGCGGAGTATGCACTGGATGCTGCTGGTTGCTGCACTGGGCGGCTGGGAAATGGGATGCTTATGGCCAGATCTGGCAGAAGACAACCCGGCAGCCGGCCACCTGAGATCTCTTCTGCGGCCATCTCCGCAAGACGCGTCGCGTAGAATTGTTTACGCGCAATGTCAAGCCCAGCATCGTCTGTCTGTCTGTCTCAATCGATATGTCCAAGGCTGTCCTCCGCTGAGAAGATCCGCATCGACAATCCCGCATGCGCCTCCCTTTAGACATCTACCAAGAAGACCAAAGTGCTGGAACGCCCTCCGCATACTCTCCTTCAGATCCAGAGTCGGAACCCGAGTCGCCCCCTCCCAAACGAGTAAGATCTTTCGCAAGACTACGAGGTGGCTATTGACTGTACACAGGGTGCAAAGCGCAAACGGACATCGGGAAGCTCAACACACCGCAGACGCCGCTCCCCCTCACAGTCCTCGGACGACTCTGTCTATGCGGTAGCCCAGATCCTGGCCAGGTCTTTAAACAAGTGGCGCAACCCAGACACGAAACAATTCGAACTCCGTTACCTTGTGAGGTGGGAAGGGTATGGCCCGGCTGACGATACGTGGGAGCCGATCTCTAGCTTGATGGAAGGGTCGCAAAGCTTGATAGATGAGTTTGAAGATTTCGGCAAGTCCCAAACAGGCAAGTATCCCGACCGGTGCTAATCAATGCTCAGAGTACCACCCGTTTGCTATCCTGTCGTCCAGGAATATTCCGTCGAAACCCGCATCTTATCTTGTACGCTACGGCCTCGCGTCCCTCGACACCCCACCGTCTCCGCTATGCGACAAGGTCTGGCATACCGCGTCCCAGATTCACCGTATCGCTGGGATCCCAAAGAATATCGTGGAAACAGCCATACGAGACTTTGAAGACGAGCAAGTCGCCGAAGACAGCATCGCTGTCCGGGGCGCAAGCCCAAGAAGGCTACAGCTGTTGAAGAAACAGTGCATACTCGACATTCTCACTCGAGAAGAGCAAGAGGACGAGAAAGGAGGCTCGTCTTTGCTGTATCATGTCAGGTGGAGGGACAAGATGAAACTGAAAGAGGAGTGGATGGACTATGAGCAGATTGTATTCACATTTGAAGAAGACGGCGTGCTGTTTGTCAGAAAGTGGGAGACTGAAAGGGGGTTCAAGCGGCGGCGGAGTCAGGAGGGCACGTCTATAAAGAAGGAAAGCAGTAGTAATACAAAGCCAGTCAAGAGAGAAGGTCAGCAGTCGATGGCTCCTGGCGCACTGTGCTCATTGTCCTGCAGCGTTAAGCGAGTATGAGATGGAGAGACTCGAAAACATCAGAGCGAACAGGGAGCTCATGAAGGACTTGGGACTCTAGATACCTTGCATTCTTGGCACGCACATTCTGGCATGTATGTATCAACATGAATGTATGCAATTGCATGGCGACAAGTCGCAAAGTCTGTCAGTCAACCAGATGACCGCCACAGAGGGCCCTGACGAAACGCCGCTTGGTCGGCGTTTTTTTTGAATGATTTTCTTCAAGCATTCATCGCCATATTCGATCTCTATACAAAAACGGCAAAAGGTGAATTTGCCTCTGACCACCCCCTGGCCCCGCTGACAACCAACAGCCTATCTATATACAATCAACATGTCCGCTGAAGACGTTTACGAGGGTGCCATCGGTATCGGTCAGTCGGCAATTTGAGATCTCAAGGAGGAATCAGGAAACTGACGGGCGTCTGCAGACCTTGGAACCACCTACTCTTGTGTTGGTGTGTGGCAGAATGACCGAGTCGAGGTGAGCATGGATGTATACAGGCGGTTTGAATGAACACTGACGTCTTTTGTAGATCATTGCCAACGGTGAATAAATTTTGACCCACGCGAATGAGAATCAATTCTGACTTTTTGCAGACCAGGGTAACCGAACCACCCCTTCTTACGTTGCCTTCACTGAGGGTGAGCGTTTGATCGGTGACGGTGAGTATACTTTCTTTTGCCCACTCAACAATCGCCTGACAAATTTATTCAGCCGCCAAGAACCAGTCTGCCATGAACCCCCGTAACACCGTCTTTGACGCCAAGCGATTGATTGGTCGACGATTCGACGATGCCGACGTCAAGAAGGACATGAAGGTGAGATTTTTCAGGATCGGCGAGACCTGGTCTGACGTGAAATAGCACTGGCCCTTCGCTGTCGTCGACAAGGACGGCTCCCCCTACGTCGAGGTTGACTACCTCGGCGAGAGGAAGACCTTCTCTCCCCAGGAGGTCTCCGCCATGGTCCTCACCAAGATGAAGGAGATCGCCGAGGCCAAGCTCGGTAAGGAGGTCAAGAAGGCCGTCGTTACCGTCCCCGCCTACTTCAACGACTCTCAGCGTCTTGCCACCAAGGACGCCGGGGCCATCGCTGGTCTCGAGGTTCTCCGAATCATCAACGAGCCCACCGCTGCCGCCATCGCCTACGGTCTCGACGAGAAGACCAAGGAGGAGCGAAACGTCCTCATCTTCGACTTGGGAGGTGGTACTTTCGATGTCTCTCTTCTTTCCATCCAGGGTAAGGTCTTCTCCGTCAAGGCCACCGCTGGTGACACCCACTTGGGTGGTGAAGACTTCGACAACAACCTCCTTGAGCACTTCAAGGCCGAGTTTAAGAGGAAGAGCAAGCACGACATCTCCGAGGACCCCCGTGCCATGAGGCGATTGAGGTCTGCTTGTGAGCGAGCCAAGCGAACTCTTTCTTCCGTCACCCAGACCACCGTCGAGGTTGACTCTCTCTACTCTGGTGTCGACTTCAACTCTTCCATCACCCGAGCTAGGTTCGAGGAGATCAACGCCGTTGCCTTCAAGTCTACCGTTGACCCTGTCGAGAAGGTCCTCAAGGACTCCAAGATCCCCGCCGCCAAGGTCGACGACATTGTCCTCGTCGGTGGTTCCACCCGTATCCCCAAGATCCAGTCTCTTGTCTCCGAGTACTTCGGTGGCCGTCAGCTCAACAAGTCCATCAACCCCGATGAGGCTGTTGCCTACGGTGCCGCTGTCCAGGCCGCTGTCCTTACCGGTCAGACCTCCGACAAGACTGCCGACCTCTTGCTTCTCGATGTCGCTCCCCTCTCCCTCGGTGTTGCCATGCAGGGTGACATCTTCGGTGTTGTGCTCCCCCGAAACACCCCCATCCCCGCCAACAAGTCTCGAGTCTTCACCACCGTCGAGGACAACCAGACCACCGTCATGTTCCCCGTCTACGAGGGTGAGCGAACCCAGTGCAAGGACAACCGACTCCTCGGTGAATTCGAGCTCTCTGGTATCCCCCCTATGCCCCGAGGTCAGGCCGAGCTTCAGTGTACCTTCGAGGTTGACGCCAACGGTCTCCTCAAGGTTTCTGCTCAGGACCGTGCTTCTGGCCGAAAGGCTCAGATCACCATCCAAAACTCTGTCGGTCGTCTCTCTTCCGAGGAGATCCAGGCTATGATCAAGGATGCCGAGCAGTTCAAGAACGCCGACAAGGACTTCTCTGCCAAGCACGAGGCCAAGTCTGACCTCGAGGCTTACCTCCACACCTGTACGTTGCTCATGTTGATATTTAAACCCCCGCTGACTTTTTGCAGGTGAACAATCCATCTCCGCCCCTGAACTTTCCATGAAGATCAAGCGTGGAGCTCGTGCCGCTGTCGAGTCCGAGATCGCCAAGGCCCTCGAGGTCCTTGAGCAGGAGGACGCCACCGCTGACCAGCTTAAGAAGGCTCAGCTCGGTGTCAAGAGGGCTATGCAGAAGGCCATGGCTTCTGCCCGTTAAATTTCCCCGTGAGATATAACGGTCAGAGGTTGGAGGAGGGAGTTTAGGTGTAGCAGTTGTTCGGGCATGCTTGGTGTTTCTATTCCTGTACCAAGTATTCGTTTTCTCTTTTCCCCTACATATTCATGCTCTTCATTTGTACAGGACATATGGCGAGATGAAAAAATTCGAATCCAAAACAGTGTTGCATTAGAATCGTGTTGAGCACATACCGGCGAAGCTACATCTTGTCTACTATGCTCATGGGACCTTTCATGAAGGTGTGAAGGCATTTTCACCCGTAGCACATCACAAGCAACGGGATCCTACATTCCACCAACTGCACCCAGCCGACTGTGTACACGTAGCGACCGGCACGATTTCCCTCGACTCTTGCGCGTCATTGTGCAGATTCAAGCCACGTTTGGAACGGCGAAAGCTCGGCATCTGAGAGCAGGAACGAATGAACGAAGCTTCCTTGCCTACAAATTCCAAGAGGCGCGTCGGACGCGTCGGTGTGGGTATCTCTTACCGTTGTCAGGTTGTTACGCGGCTGGTCACCCCGCAACGCAGCAACCGTGCTCCAAGCCCGATATGAAGATATGTACTGTATGGGCGATGCAGGGCCGGTTACTTGGCTACGCCGTATATCAAGAGGCAACCAATCGCCTAGCCCTCATTGCTCCGAGCCGTATATAAAGACATCTCTATGTGACTCTTCCTGCCCCATTTGACTGATACGGCTCTATAACTTGCTTTTACCCGTTTACTCACACATTTCTCAAACGCTGGACGTTTGCGACGATGGGTGGAATTGGTGAACGGCTTCGTATCGAACTGGTTGGTGGCGCTGCTCTCACCAGCTATAGCTGACCCGGATGTTAGACTGGCCGAAGGCTTATTTGGAACATCATCTGGTATGGTGTCCACTTTTTCCTCTGTAAGCCCGTCTTGCCTTTGCAACATTCGAAGACTGATCGGGGGTCGCAGTTGCCTACGGGTGGTACTCACAAGCAACCAACGCCAAGCTGGCGGCTTTGAACGGTCTCAAGTTTTCCGTTTGGATTTCACGAGGAGCGGGTCTCGTGTTGGCCTTTGACGGGGCTGTCATCCTGGTACCGAGTAGGTACTTTTGCTTGTGACAAGACGAGGCTGATGGGTGTAGTGTTGCGCAATGTCATCAAGCTGGTGCGACCCCGGTTGATGAGGCTCTTTCCTGCGGATGAGAATATCTGGTTTCACCGGCAAGTCGCGTACCAGATGGTATTCTGGACGATGGTGCATACAACTGCTCACTATGTCAACTTTATCAACGTATGTCTATGATCAAAAGGCACGGGCTGATTGTGTGTAGGTCGAGAGGACGCAGGTGCGCAAACAGACTGCCTGGGAGATTCATTATACCCAGCCGGGTGGATTGACGGGACATGTGTAAGTCTATCCGCCCCTCATGCCGCGCTGACGAGAACTAGGATGCTCCTGATCATGTTTGTGCTGTATACCACGGCGCACGCGTTCATCCGGCAACAGTGTTTTGAAGCGTTTTGGTACACCCACCACCTCGTACGTCGACGGCATGTTGAATGACACTGACAGGACCAGGCATTCTTCTTTATGATCGGACTGTATACCCACGCCACTGGGTGTTTCGTGCGCGACTCTGTGGACCCGGCGTACACGTCTGTGTTTCCGTTCTACGATACAGAGCACTGTCTTGGGTACGAGTCGTGGCGATTCACCATCTGGGCCGGCATTCTCGTGAGTCGCCGCGAGGACTTGGTCAGTTTTAACGGGGAGTAGTACTTTGGCGAACGTATCTACCGCGAGATCCGGGCACGCAGAAAGACTGAAATTGTCAAGGTGTTGGGTCATCCCTCGGGCGCCATGGAACTGCGATTCTCCAAGCCGTCCTTCAAGTACAAGGCCGGGCAGTGGTTGTTCTTGAACGTCCCGGAAGTGTCCAGATTCCAATGGCATCCAGTGAGTCTTTTTCCTCGATAGGTCATTGCTAATAGGTATAGTTTACGATATCGTCTGCGCCAGAAGACCCGTTCGTGTCGGTGCACATTCGCCAAGTCGGCGACTTTACCAAAGCCCTCGGCGCGCGGCTGGGTGCTTCCCCCAACCAAGGACTGATCCCCGGGCAAGTCGCACAAGACGACGAAAAGGGCAAAGGCGGGCGACGGGGCGACTTTATCCAGATCGACCCAAAGAGTTTGGGGCTGGAGATGCCAAAACTGAGGATTGACGGGCCGTTTGGGGCGCCGGCAGAGGATGTGTTTGGGTCGGAAGTGGCAGTACTGATCGGGGCTGGTATCGGTGTTACCGTGAGTTTACCCGCATGTCTTCGGGGATCTGACGGCTGATGCGATGATTAGCCATTTGCGTCCATCTTGAAGCATATCTGGTACGCTCAGCGGTCCGGGCAGTGCGGCGCACTTCGGCGGGTCGAATTCATCTGGAGTTGCCGAGATACCGGTGAGTATACATGGTGATAGCTGGACTGACAAGGTTAGGAACGTTTGGCTGGTTCCAGTCGCTTCTGGAAGAGATTGAGGCTGCTCAGACGGATCGTAAGTGGGAGAAGGTGAAAGAGTGCATGGCTGACGACTTGTGCAGCCAACTTTTTGCGCATCTCGGTACGCCGCTGCATCATGACTCGGGACAAGCTGACCCGTGCAGATCTACTTGACGCAAAAGATGGACTCTGACCAGGTCCAGAACATTGCACTGAACGAGTGAGTCGTATACATGAAATGAGATTCATCCGCTGACCATGCCTAGTATTGGGCAAGATTACGAGTGAGTACGGCCGTGTCGGCGTTCGCGCTTCGCTAACCATACGACCTACATCAGCCCGTTGACGCTGCTGCAATCGCGTACGCTGTTTGGACGTCCCAACTTTAGGCAGATATTCCAGTCGCTTGGCACGAGTCTCTCAAACGGGACGTATCTTCCGGGGCTGGAGGCGACGCTCAAAACGCGGGTCGGGGTATACTTTTGCGGTGTAAGTGCATGGCTACGATGCAAGGGGCGGGCTGACGCTATGCAGCCGTCGGCGCTGGCACGGGTGATCCGAAGCGAGGCGCTGGAGGTGAAGAGCAAGGCTGTGGATGTCAAGTTTTACAAGGAGCACTTTTAGATGCGATGTACAGTTACAGGGTGCAGGGCTGCGTTACGAATGTCAGGAGATCGGACGGTGGATCCCGATGCTACCGGATGGTGTTTGCTGAGGGCGGGGGTGGCCGCACGGGCGGGAGGACGGCGGGAATCGTGGGTTTGATGAGATGCATGTGCGGTGCCTGGCCTGGACCGGTGACGACATGGGGGCGAGATCGGCAGGCGGTCTGCAGGAACTTGATGGATGGTTTGGTGCCGTGCCGCATTCGTCGATTGATTCCTGGTCAACAAGTAGCTGCACAGACGGACATGGCCAGCAGCGAGGCAGCCCATCCCCATCAACCACCCATGGACACCGTCTGGGACCGCCTCTGCGCCGACCTCCGCCCCCCGCCCCCGGCCACCCCCGCCCGCGACACCCCCCTCCTCCAGCCCCCGCCCCTCACCCCCGGCAGCCGCACCGTCCAACACGCCGCCCATGCCGAATGGAAGGCTTCTCTCGACAGCCACGTCGAGGTAGATGGCGTCGGCACACTGCCCGTCATCAAGGTCCTCCAAGAGGTCTGGAAGCGGGGTGGCGGTGACTCGGCAAGTCCTTTTCATTCCTCTCGAGAACATTGCTAACACTCCCCAGGTCACTGCCCTCTGCCTCTGGCCCAGTGTTATCATCGCCCTTGGCATGCCCTCAGATCCTGCATCCCAAGCGCGCGTCGCACCGCCCTCGGCTCAATCAGCATTGTCTCTCCAGCAGCTGTACAATCTCACCATCCGGCACTGGGAGCCCTCCATTTTTTCAGGCCTCCTAGGGGCGTATGCCTCGGGAACCATGCCGCCACCTGTCGCCCAGTCAATGGACCGTGCCTTCCAGTCCCACCACTATGGCCCCTCCACGCCCATGCGCGAGGCGGATCTCACCCAGTGGATCAACCTCACCCCTGGCGCCTGGTCTGCCCAGCATGACCCGTTCATCGGCAATGGCGGCCAGAACACCCTTTTTCCTCGCAAGTCGTCTTTGGCGTCTACGGCCTTTCCCTTTCCCTTCCAGCTTGATGATGAAAAGAAGCCTGCGGAACAAGACGAGCAGGCCTCGACAGAGGACGACAATCACGTGGCGGGTCTCGACGAGCTGTTGGCGGGCATGGAAGACCAGCGCAATGATGTGCAGCACGATATCAAGCCGGTAGAAAACACCACCATCCAGACATTCAATCTGCCCACGCCTGAAACGACGTCGTCTGATTCACCCACCACCACGTCTAACAAAATGGTATTCTCCCCGCCAACGACCTTGTCCTCTCCGTTTGTCACGGCAGGCTCGTCCATCAGCGCTGCCCCCGTCCCCGCTCCCGTCCCAGCCAAACCCCACACCAAGGCACGTCCGCCCCAACTGTCCATGCCCCCCGTCGACTTTGTACCGCCGCCTCCGATGTGCATGTTTTTCAAGTCGGCGTTTGACAATCTGACCGACGGCAAGGTTGGGATCTGGAAGGGTGATTTGGAGGTGCGAGGCAGGGGCGGTGGCAAGTTCTCAGTCTTGGTTGTTGGCGAGCAGGGCTTTGATCATTTATGGTGAGTCTTCAAGTCGGCCAAGTGTCCCAGGCTGACAGAACCAGGCAATCAACCGCTTGGCCGCAACAACTCTCGTATCCCATGCGGTCGGTATCGGATAACGACTGCTATACCAGTTCCATGATTCCCGTTTCGCATCTTGCCCGAGAAGGTCTCGTCCCCATCACCATGGGTATGGTCCTGTGCAACGAGCCGGCAGACAGGATCGACCCGTATGTCAAGATGGTGCACGGCCTGCATGCGGAAGGAGTTGTAAGTCTTACAAACCCTATGATTCGTCCACTAACACGAGACTAGGCATTCCACTTGCCATGCGATAACCCGCGGCTGCCCGTCGTCTTTCTCCCTGCCAAGTTTCATGCCAACGACCCGCTCCTCCGGCTGGGCGTCGCATTCATGGGAAAGGCCGGGCTCCCCTACCCCGCCGCCCCGCTTCCACAACCAACCAACCAAGATGCCGAAGAGAGCGGCGCGGACGAGCCGGCGAGAAAGAAGAGGAGACAGAGCGCGCCTGTGCCGTCCAAGAGCAAGAGCAGGAAAGGCTCGAAAGATTAAACCCAAAAGCTAGACCCTAGCATCGCGCGCAAAGCGACATTACGACCGTACGACCATCATGACCAGATCGTCTTCCATGTAGACGCCCATTAGTCGTCTACAAGGACAATTCCTTTTTCTACTGTAAATTACAACTCCGTCTCGATCTGTACAAACAGCAACAAGCTAGGGATGGGAGGGGTTCCAAAAGAGAAGAAACCGTACGCGAGTCGAGATATAATAAATAATGCAAAGGATCTCTTCAGGCAAAATGGCTGCATATATCACATACCTGGGGACCGCATACGGTGACACCAGGACTATCACGGGTTCCTGCGTACTGCTGGCAGATGCTCTGTATCGCCTCGTCCAGCTCTTCGGCAGTGAGATCTGCCGAGGTCGCAGTGTTGGATATAATGACATCCTCGATGGGTCGCTCTTCCTGACTATCGTCGCTGATGCCACGTCAGTCTCACACAGCGACTGAAACAACCTACTCGTCAGACGCGGAAGGAGCTCGGCAGTATTTGAGATACCTCTGCACCCAATCCACAATCACCTCCATATGCTCCCTCTCTGTTTGCTGCGGCGCCAAGTCGAAGTGCAGCCTGTCTGCCTTGCCCAGCCAGTACTCGTGCAGCGCCGGCCGCGCATTGTGCAATGTGAGCACATGTCTTCGCCGCGCCAGCAGGCCGAGAAAGGTATCAAACGGCCGGTCGATGAGCCAGCCTCGTCCAACGTCCAGTGGGTCCGGGTCCGGCATGTGGACACAGATCTTTTTGGGGGTGAACGGCTCGAGTGACGGGGCGATGAATTGAGCTTGTTGGGATAGCACCAATTCGGGCTCTTCGTACAGCGCTTGGCCGAGGAGGGGACCGAGAGAAAGTCTCTGGACAGAGTTGAAAAGGTCTCGAGGTTCGCCCGTCTCTTGTCCTGCACGTAGCGAGACAGCTTTGCGCCAGGCATGCCTTGCTTTCAAGAACGAGCTGAATGCGTCGGGCGTCTCGAAGCGCAGTGTCTCGCAGTATCGCACCAGTGCGACTTTGCGCGACCCGTAATGTGTCTCTCCTGGGTAGAGAAACCCATAAGAGAGATGCGTGGCTATATCCCCGGAGAACGGTGGGGATGCTTTCGCCCGTCGATTGCACGACAAGAGCCCTTCAAAGAAGCAGTCGCCGTTGGTATCGTTCAGTGACACGGTCCGGTACAATCGCAATATGTTGTCGAGGTAGAACTCGGCACTGAATGAGATGAGCCTGGCTTTATGCGCCAAGCACAGATCGTCATTGCGAAAGAGCAGCTGGAATATGCGGTTGCACACCTCGGCAGGCAGAGGGTGGAGGGTGGTGATGCTGGGGTAGCGTGAGCTTCTGTCAGCATCCTCGCAGGTGCAGGGCATGCTAGTCTGGAAGGCATACGGGACGGCACAGCGTGATGCAGCAATGCAGAGGATGATTGGAGAGGCATGTTGGGTTACAGTACGTTGGAGGGTTGCGGCGATGTCCGCCCGCTGCCACAAGCGGTATCCCCGTGAGTGGCTCCCGCCTATTCTCTCTCTTTCAGTGCATCTCTGCCATCGACACAAAATGGCCCCCTTCGCCGCCGTACGTGCCCCGCCCCATGCCCACAGCGATGCCCGCCGCAAGGAAAGCTGACTCTGCTCCTCACAGCGCCTCCTCCGCTCCCCTCTTCTCCCGACCTCTGTCGTCGCATCTACCCTCTACATGTCCTCCGCTTCGCTCGCTGCCGACGAGGGCAAGGCCCCTGCTGCCCCCTCTGTCTTTCCCGGACGCTCAAGCTCAGGCGAGAAGGTCGGTCAGACATCATCATGACGTGCTCCAGCTCATTATCAACGTAGCTTCCCATCTACCCCACCCCTGAACACACGCCCACAGTCACCCTCGTCGAGACGCACAACCCTATCGTGCCGTATATCACTCAGAGCAGAGAAGCTGTCAGCGGCGTGTTGGGCGACGCAAAGGGCGCTGTCCAGGGCGGTGTCTCTAAATGGATCTCTTTCGAGCGAGGTGTCGAGCGTGGGTATCGTCATTGGGACCGAAAACGGCCAGCTAATGTCTCTGATAGGCGAGGTCAAATCAGTCCTCCCTTCTGACGAGCCTCTGAACCCGGGATTGATCTATGTCCTCATTTCCGGTCTTTCTGGCTCTGTCCTCACCCGAACCCGATCCCTGCCCATCCGGTTCCTCGCCCCTCCCATCTTTACCCTCCTCGCTTTCCCCTACTTCCTCCCTAAAACCTCGCACAACATCCGATCATACTTTTCCAACCTCGAAAACAAGCACTTTCCCGAATTTGCTGCCAAGCACGACCACATTGTGCAGACTGGCATTGCCCATACCTCTGGGCTTTTCTACAGGATCGGAGATGCCGCCGAGGATGCTAGAGAGTGGGGACACAAGGCTGTTGAGGGTGTCGAGAAGACTACAGGGCTGAGGCTTGGCGAGGCCGTGAGCAGGGTCGAAAAGGAGCAAGGGAGATTGGCCGAGCAGAAGGCTGTCGCGGTCCCTGTGCAAAAGTACGAGACAGTCGGCTATGTGGTGGAGCAAAAGCCGGTGGCAGAGGTTGTGGCTCCTGTAGAGCCCAAGGTGGAGAAGAAGTTGGTGTAATAACCAAGAGATGGGTAGAATACATGCAATTATTACAGAATATCATGACGGTCAGACGGGAAGAATGTGGCAACCAAGAGAGCCCCGACCGCCCCAGCCGTTGCGCGGTGTGAGAGATAGTCGGATCTGCTCTTGTCCACGCAGTATGAGGAGTGGGAGGGCAGTCTGGAACAAGTCAGCGCGGTCGCAAACCGGGTTGAGACTTGCATTTTCTGAACGCGACACGACGGCTGCTATAGCTTGCAAAGCCGCATCAGAGGCATGTGTGATACCGGCAAAAGAATAGACGAGATCTTGTGTTTTGAGTCCCTACGAAGCGTGTCAATGATCTGCCAGGCGATATCCTAGCTACATACCGCCTCAGCTGCTGGGCTGCCTTCGGCCACAGAGTTGACCTTGACCACCGCCTTCTCGGGCCACGACTCTGCCGGTTGAGCACGAGGTTGCGGAGGGTGTCCGTCAATCGCTGAAGTATTTCCATTGGGCTGGGTTGAGTCAGAAGACCCCCGGGCGAATGCCTCGTTCAGAGCATTACCGAGCAACTCGTTGACCGTCTGCCGATCGGTTTGTAGGCGCACAAGAGATGAGCGAGCGTGTCGGATGGCATACTGGTATGACATCAGTTGGCTGCCACGAAAGGGCCGTATTGACTGACTATATCGATATCGCCTCGAGGATAACCCTCATTGTCCACCAGAGAAGTTGACTGAGTTGTTCCGTGCTACATGGTGTGAGCGACGGCATGTCCGTTGGCAGTCTATACTGACAGAGGTGAGAACATCGGTTAGTACGTCCTATACATGGTCAGTGAGGTACAAACAGACACGAGGCGCCTACAATCTCTTTCTGGATGGCGTCCCGACGCTGCATCAGCGCCAGCGCATACTCTCTGGGTTCTCCCTCGTACGCTTCCGGATGCGGAAGGGGCAAGGCGAGGATGGAGGGCTCTTCTGGAGGCGGGAAGACAAGGTCCATGATGAGTGGAATGGGTAAAAATGATTGAATGCATTAGAGGAGATGGCTAAGTATTCCGCGTCATGACTTGCGACTTTTCATCTCCGTCGGTCGCCTTGTTGATTCCTCAAAATCGCATGGTCACCGCGAAAATCATAAACGCTTTCCGATCCATCGCACCCCTCTCCCCCCGCCTCCTGCACACAAGACACACCATGCTCGCCTCTCTCCCCTTCACTACCTTCGTCGACGAGGCCCAGGTCGGCATCCTCTCCGTCCTCCGTGCTTGCTACCTGTCAGTCCCTGCCTCCTCCAGTGCTCATCTGTCTGACTCATGCCCAGTACCAAAAACGTCCAAGACACTCTTGTCACCAAGGACACTCTTCTCAAGTCTGACAAGTCTCCCGTGACAGTGGCCGACCTCTCCGCCCAGTCCCTCATCTCCCTGCACCTCCTTGAGCACTTTCCCAAAGACCCCATCATTGGAGAAGAGGACACCAGCGAGCTTCGGGTTAACGAGCCTCTGAGAGAGAGGGTCGTCGGTCTTGTCAACGACGGCCTTAAGAGAGAGGAAGGGTGGGGCAAGGACAAGACCTTCTCCGAGGACGAGTGAGTAACAGCAGGTCCTCTGGCATTGTCCCTGCTGACAGTATCTAGAATTCTGTGTGCCATCGACGCTGGATCGGCCGAGGGCGGTCCCAAGGGCCGATTCTGGACGATCGATCCCGTCGACGGAACTTCTGGGTTCATCCGACACCAGCAATTCGCCGTGTGCCTCGCCTTGATCGAGGACGGTGTCGTGCAAGTCGGCGTCATTGGATGTCCCAACCTCGGACCTGAGCCTGCAAAGATTGGCGAGGAGATCATCCCCAACGGCAAAGGTGTTCTCATGGTGGCGGTCAGGGGCGAGGGCAGTTGGTCTGTAAGTCGTCGTGTCAAGTCGTTGAGCCCTTGCTTACTTGGTGCATAGCGACCTTTGGACTCGGAGGTCTACACCAAGCTCAACCTCCCCCCCTCTCCCCCGGCTTCAAACCCTCTGACATTCTTGGAGTCTGTCGAGTCTGGGCACTCGGCGCACTCTGTCCAGGCCCGCATCGGTGCTCTCCTAAACGTCCAGCGCCCCTCTCTCCGTATGGACTCGCAGGCCAAGTACACCTGTCTCTCCCGAGGAGAAGGCGGTGTCTACCTCCGTATTCCCACAAAGTATGCGGGCGGAAAGATCTACGAGGAGAGGATCTGGGACCACGCACCTGGAGCTTTGTTGATTGAGGAGAGTGGTGGTATCTGTACAGACATGTGGGGCAAGGCGCTCAATTTCGGTGTCGGTAGGACTCTGAAGGAGAACGACGGTATCGTGGCTGCTGGTAAGGAAGTGCACCCCAAGGCCGTGGAAGCTGTCAAGACGGCCATCGAGGAAGCTCAGAGCAAGAAGTGAACTGTATTGTATGCATGATGGGTCATCTAGACTACTCGTCACCCCAGGCCTGTAGCCCCTCGTTACCGACTCGAAAATGAAATCCAATGCCCTCTTTCCCCAAGAGCACACCGTCCGACCTTACCATCCTTACCAGGCCATTGTACGTATCCCCTCGAGTATCTTCAGCCTTATCATTCCTCTCGCGGGCTTTGACTCTGAGGGCGTCGGCAATCATGGTATCTCCTGGCAGCTGAAGGCCTCGTGAACGACCCATGAGGCTCAGCTGGATGTTGAGTGGCCAGTACATGGGGTTCGAAGCCGACAAGGGCAGATTGTTGGATGAAGCGAAAGGACTCGGATAAGGGGGTGGCAGATGTGGCAGATGAAAGGGCTGGGCGTCGCGGGAGACCTGTTGGAGGATCAGACATCCGTCAAAATATTGATCAGCCCGACTTACCCGTAGACTCTGTACGCTCATCACGACAACGCTCCCGAGCTCCTTGCGAACAGCTCCTATAGCTTCCATGACCTGCCTCAAACCGATATCCTCCATTTCCACTGCTTTTCCAGTCAAGTGAGGCTGCTGTCTCCGACCGTGCTCCTCCTCGGACCATCTCTTAGGGTAGTAGGCATCGGACAGGCCGTCAATGGCAAGCAAGTCAAGGGCATGGCCAGAGTTTGAAAGAGGAAAGGTGTAAGGCGAAGTCTCATCTAGAACACTCTGAATACCTAGCGCGAGGTCTTTCCACCTGAGTTTGCCCGTCCATATACGAAGCCGGCTCATACTGTCTTTGATGACACTGTTGACCACATCATCTTCTACTCCCGGGGCACAGGCTTTGATGTGGGCTTCCATGGCGCGTCGAATGAGAGGTAGGATTGGCCGATGCGTGTTGGGCTGAAAGAGCATGGCCTGAGCCTCTTTCCCCCCAAGATTCGTTGACAGCGGGGCCGGAAGGGTAGCCGAGAGTATGGTGATGAGGATCAGAAATGTAATCAAAGAGCTTTTGCCTTTGCAATTGAGCTCTCACCAACATAGGCGATACGAGACATACCTGATCCACTAGTGCCGACAATCTCCATCAAGTCGCCTCGCCTCAAGGATGAGCTGCCCAGATGCGGACGAAGATGTAGCAGAGCAGCATCTAGCGACGGGACGAATGTAGGACCAGGAGGAGAGGCTGTATCAATGTCAGTTTACATCGCGCGTGACATCGACGACAGACTGTTGTAGCGGATACCCATGAGCGCCTGGTAGCCCGTCAGCATGCCCTTCGAAGTGATACCTGCTGGTATAGAAACAAGAGGGTATACTCGCCTCGGCAGCAGTCCCATATCCAATCTCTGCCAAAGATGGCCCGTTAGAAGAGCTATCTTGTTGGCCGACCATGATTTGTAGTCGGCACCGCAGGTTTGTCGGCTACAGGAGGGGATTTGACAGCCAGAGCCTCGATTGGCGACCGAGGATCATAGAGAAGCTGTATGAAGGAGTGAATGCGTGAAAAAGGTTGACAAGGAGGGAGGCTCTCTCTACTTTCTCTATCACGCTGGGTTATACGGTACTCTATTTTGAGTACTCGATCGAGTAGTTCGTTCGTTGACGGTACATTTAGCCCACCGGCCAGAATGTACACAATCAGTCATGAAAACAATTAAGGGGGTGTAGCTCATTTGGCAGAGCGCGTCATTAGCATTCTTCAACGAGTGGATTTGACGAGGTACTGAGTTCAATTCTTAGCTCCTCCATTTCTTTTACTTTTTGTGTCCTGTGATCCTTGGTTTGAGTCGTTTGGCTGAGTTTACCGGCATCAAAGCGTGCACATACATATCAGTGTAGGAGTACGAGTAGAGTACAGTAGTACAAACGCTGGCTCTTGTCTTAGCTTGAACGTTGTTGGCTGCTGACGTTGTTTGTTGGTGTATACCACTTGGCAAATTGAATTTCTCTTCAAGCTCTAACACACGGCGATTGGTTTCCGGGGGTGGGTATTGCAATTCAGTCATGCCGAAAACTCTGAAAGAAATGAAGGAGGCTTGGGAAATACTTATAACGTTGAACAAAAGGACCGATCGGAGGACAACGATAATGCAGCAGTAGTGAGTAGTTCCGACGTGCTGGCCATCATGGCTACAACCGGCTACGTGAATCTTCTTGCTCCGCAAGACAGCAATACAAGAAAGGAATGTAGGCAGCGAGAAGGCATCGATCTGTGAAGGGAGTCAAAAAGTATTCAGAAAAATGGAGGAGCTAAGAATTGAACTCAGTACCTCGTCAAATCCACTCGTTGAAGAATGCTAATGACGCGCTCTGCCAAATGAGCTACACCCCCTTGATGGTTAAAGCAGTTTGCAGCTTCTTCCGGAGGCAAGCATTGTGGCGTGCCAAACAGATATCGCGAGCCTGAACCTTGCCATATATGCTACACGTGGTTTGTATCAGCCAGTAGGCATTGGGTTGATTGTGATCGATGAATGGCCTTGACGAAGCGCAAACTGACGCCGAGCCAGACCGACGGGCACATGATGATGCGCGCCAGATGCGCGCGGTGGAGGTCAGGTGGATCTCATCTTGTTGTGCAGTCAAGCTGGGAAAGGCTCCCATTGCACTAGCACACCTCCTCACCCATGTCTCTCACTCGCATACCCCCATCTATTAGACTTTCGGGCCGCCTCAGGCAGTCGATATTACGCCGGTCATTGTCCACCCAGTCCGAGTCACACGCCTTTCTACGCCCCCTCTTGTCCACTCGCTCTGACTCTGCTTTATCAGAGCTGGAAGGCGTATTATGCCTGACTTTGAATCGGCCCAAGACCAAGAATGCACTGAGCGTACAGATGGTCGCAGTAAGTCAGCCAGGGATGTGACGTGCGTCATGCTGACGGAAGGGTGCAGGAAATGCGTGAGGCGCTGACGAGGATCGAGACACACAAGTAATTACCCAAGGTCGAAAGCAAGAATTCTAGCTGAGTCGACATAGTGCTCGCCTTCTCCTCCTTGAATCGTCCACACCGTCCATTTTTTGCTCCGGGGCAGATCTCCGTGAACGCCGCACGATGTCTCCCTTGGACGTCTCCAACTTTCTCGATTCCCTCCGCGGTCTACTTGGCGAGCTGGAGGACGTGCCGGTACCCACAGTGGCAGTTGTAGATGGGTATGCCCTGGGAGGTGGGGCGGAGCTTGCTCTGGCATCTGACCTGCGGGTCGGGGGCGAAAATACAAAAATGGCGTTGCCAGAGGCGAAACTGGGCATCATACCGGGGGCAGGCGGAACGCAGCGTCTGACGAGGCTAGTCGGTCCCTCAAAGGCCAAGGAGCTCATCTTTACGGGCCGTCATGTGAACGGCCCGGAAGCAGAACGTATAGGTGAGTTGTATGATCATGTGAGAGACGACACCGCTGACGTTTGTGTGGGCATCCTGAACATCTACGCCCAATCGCCTTCCTCTGCAAGAGAAGCTTCTTTGATCCTAGCCCGCCAGATTCTGAGTTCTGCCCCCTTGGCTTTAGCAGCCGCCAAAAGTGCTATCGATGGCGCTACCGATTCGTCTCTCGACGCTGGGCTCACATTGGAGAGAGAAATGTATAATAGCTTGTTGGATACCTATGATAGACAAGAAGGATTGAAAGCATTTGCCGAGAAGAGACGTGCCATATTTACCGGCCGCTGAGATGTTGGGCCGTACTAGCATAATCGACATACTGTACATGTGACGTATTATATGTTGGTACGCTTACACAGCAGCTTGCTTGGCTCGCGAAGCCTTCTCCCACTCTTCGGCTTCCTGCACTAATCTTGACCTCTTCTGCACCTCTGTTTCCTCCACCTTCTCGAGCACATACTCTACACTAGCAAACCCTCTAGTAGCAGAACCGGCATAAGTAGGTTGGACATGATGAAGATGTGAGAGGTCGGAGGAGGCCGAGAGGATAGGCTTCGAGCTGAGCTGCTGGACAGCATTGCCGGAAGGCTGGGTCGATTGGGGGACATGAGGTGTATTCGTGTGAGGCTAGATAGATGTAAGCTCATTGACATCGTACATGGCGCAAATGTCTCACCTCGTAGGCTGCTCTAATGACACCAGCCTGCCATTTTCTTCCCAAGCCCCAATTGTGCGTGCTCGAAACGTGGCCCTCCTTTTCCACAATGATTGCACCCGTTTCTTTGGGCGGCTCATCCATCATGACATCACCTCCTGTTTGTGAAGTCCCCTCGTCTCCCATCACCACTTCATTCGAAAGCCCACTCTTCTTCATTTCGCCAGAGCTTTCCACACCAATGAAACGATGTTTATCTCCTTCCGTTTCCTTCTCCGCAGCAAACACCCAGCCTCTGGTACCATCCACTCCCTCCAGTACCTGAAGCCTTTCGGCCCTGAAGCCCTTGAGCTGCTCGTCAACAAGCCGGCTCTCCTCGGCCGTTTTGTACATCCAATCCTCCTCTGTTACGCCAGCGGTCTTCAACTTGCTTCGTTTGTTGCCCCATCCACCGTCCGTCCAAGGATCAATACCATTGCTGGCGAATTGCGTAGTAAGACCACCGGCAGTGTAGAAAGCAGACAAGCTAGCGAGTGTTCGAGACTCGTTGGCAGCAGCGCGCGCGCCGCGGTCGCCGGTATTTTGGGCGATTTGAATGAATTCTTCTTCGGGCACCAGGGATCCCGGTTCGATACCTTCCGCGGCACATTCGGCGGTAGCTCGGTCTTCGTAATAGTCGTCAACCACATGCCTGCCATCTGAGACAATCAATATCACCACAATCATACATGATAGGCGACTCACTTTTGACAACCTTTGCACCCATGGCCTTGTAGACATTACGCATAGCCACCATGGTCACCTGGCGGTGTTTGAGATTGCCTGAAATACGATTCAAGTCGATGAGTTTCAGCCTCTCTCCAGCTGTACACGACAGCTTGAGAATGGTAGGATATCTGCGCAAGAACGCCAGAGAGTCGCCATAGCCGCAGGCTCGGGCAGCATCAATAGTGAGGGCATAAAGGCGGTCGGGATTGCGGCGTTCAGTGGAGGTAAAGGTGACAGGCTTGTACTCTCTTCCACCCAGCAAGCGGCCACATTCATCGATTTTGGTGTCACCCTTGGGGTCGCTGGCAACAACCAACTCGTCGTCACCGACCGTGTACTCCTCGCCCTTGATTGTCACCGTTGTACCCACTACTCTGGTCAGCAAGTTCTAATTATACGACTTGGTCGGGGCTTACTCTGATAATCCGCGGGCGGACCAATGGCGTGCTTTCTCACGACATTGTTTGATTTTCTGCTGGGCTTTGGGGTATCTTCCTCGCCTCTCTCCGCCTTCTCCCGTCTGACCTTTTCCCAACGAGCTCGAGCAGCAGCAGCGGCAGCGCCTTTGACACTGAACCCGCCTCGACCTGAACCACCAGGGATCTTCTCCTTCTTATAAGAGCCATCTCGCTCGTCATCCCCATCATCGTCGCCAGCGGCTCGTTTAGGTGGGCGTCCTCGTCGTCTTGGTGTCGCAGGAGCTGTTTTTGAGATTAGCAGGTTGGAGATGCTTCAAAGTGTTGCGACTTGCCGCCATGTGACTCGTCGTCGTCATCCTCATCCTCATCCTCATCGTCCTCTTGAAATGCCTCCCCTGGAAGGATCTCCTTGTAGCTGACGCTCTTTCGCCCTCTCCGCCGCGAAGCCTTGTCCTCCTCATCATCGTCTTCTTCTCCATTCTTTGCGAGGGTCTTCTTGTTGAGCGATCCCTTGGGCCTGCCTCGCTTCTTTGTTTGGGGCGCGACGTCCTCCAGCTCGTCGTCGTCTTCCTCTTCCTCTATCTCTCCTTCGGCATCTTCATCCAGGGACTCGTCTTCTTCAATGGCGGGCTCGTCGTACTCGAGCTGAGCGCGTCTACGGCGAGTGCGAGGCGTTCCCTCGCCGGGAGTGTCGGCTGCGGAGGCCCTCTTTGGGCGGGAGCGGGAGGACATGGCGGTGGATGGCTGACGCGACAGTGCTCGATAACAAAAACAACAACATATAATAGCCATTCATTCAGAAACAGGTGGGTAATGCCGGTGTGGCAGAGACGGCGGCGGCCCCCGCAGGCACCTCTGAATTAGTGCTGAGTATTATGCAATCAGTTACGTCCCTGCTGAAGTTATACCCGCGACGCGTTTTTTTGTTGTTGTGATTGTCGGTTCCTTGGCGTCGCCACGAATCTCTTGTCCTGGCATGTACAGCACGCAGCCCTCCACTAGACAGCTGCCACTAGCGGGAGCCTCCTTTGTCATGGCCCGCAGCCCTCCTCCGCCGCCTCCCGTCGTCATCGGATGTTGACTGACAATTCTCGACCTTCTCTCCCTGTAAACCTTACCCGCTACCCCGCAGTAGGTCGCGTAGCTAAGTCCGACACGGTCTTCTACATTCGATTTCTTGCAATTGTATCCCACTGTCTCCTCCAAAGTTTCCGGTCCGAGCCCCTTCACCCCTTCCTTTCAGTCTACCCCACCGCCCACCCAAACCGCCTTGGCATACGACAAGTTGTTGATCAACGCTGTCTGCTGTCCAACTACGAAAACCTCTTCACCACGCTCTTTGAAACCCACGGGCCCCAAAGGTACCGACTTGGCCACCGTCGCAACCTTTGATTCTCATCACACGTCTCCTCACACGTCTCCCAGCTCGCAGCTACAGGATCACCCTCTTCGGCGCGATCTCCAACCCCAACGTTGGACACCATGCGCAGCTTTTCTCAAGCATTGACTTGTCTTCTTTCCCTGTCATTACTCGCTCCAACCGCCTTTGCCCTCTCGTCATGGTATACGGAACCAGGCGGCACTCCTGCTGGTTCGGACGATGGAGATAAAGTCAGAGGCGTCAATCTTGGCGGCTGGTTCCTCCTAGAGAACTGGATGATGCCCAGCTTTCTCGAGACAGATATTGTCAAGGACACTTACATCAACGACGAGGTGCGTATGATCGCGTCGGTTTACTCGTGTAAGGTGTAGACTGATGGGTATCGTAGTGGTCCTATTGTCTTGTCCTTGGACAGGATGAATGCATGACAAGGCTCGAAGCACATTGGGACAGCTACATCTCCGAAGATGACTTTAAACGTTTCGCCTACTACTCCCTCAATACTGTTAGAATTCCGATGGGCTATTGGGCCTGGACCGATGTTGAGGACTATGAGCCGTGAGTCGATGTCGCCGTTCACGGGAACGCACGAGGCTGACTGTTGTGCAGATATATACAAGGTCAGTTGCCCTACCTCGAGCGAGCCCTCAACTGGTCAAGCTGGTATGGTCTCGACGTCATGTTGGACCTTCACGGTACGTGGCTGTTCAACTGTAGCTGGTGCCTTTGCTGACTTGACTCTAGGCTTGGCGGGTGGACAGAATGGCCAAGACAATCAAGGCTACAAGGGACCCATCGAGTTTCAGCTCAACACTACCAACATGGACCGGTCTCTTGAGGCGCTCGCCAATATGACCGCGTTCGTTACGCAAGAAAAGTGGAACGGTGTGGTCAAGGCCATCGAGCTCACAAATGAGGTTCGTGCATCTGATAGTTCACGGTGATACCAGACTGATGATTCATTAGCCGTATATTCTCGAATACAGTAGTGCGGGAATGAGCTTTGATGACCTTGCCGATTTCTATGTCAAGGGATATAAGACTGTCAGAGCCAATGAGAATATCATTAGTGGGGCCAACGAGACCATGGTAGTCATTCACGATGCCTTCCAGCCGCTCTTGAATTGGAAGTACTTTTGGTCAGAAGCGAGCTTGGGCTTGAATTGGACCAATTATGCTCTCGATACTCGTACGTATCGAACTGCTCTAGAAAATCATCGCTGACAATCAATAGACATCTACGACGTGTTCAACGGTGCCAGCTCCAAGACGCATCAAGAGCACCTCGACACCATCTGCGCCTTGTCGAGCTCCATTGCTGAGGCTCAGACATACTTTCCCGTGATAGTCGGGGAATTTGCTTTGTGCGTACCCCCTCCCCCCGTGTAAGGTTACTCAGACTGACGATCTCGCAGAGGCGTCAATACTTATTGCGTTGACTACCAATCGTGTTGGGGGCTCACTCTCGACGAGGTCATCTCCAACTTCACCTCCACCTACGAAGCTTCTCTCTTCCTCCGACAATTCTGGGAAGTACAATCCTCTGTCTATGAGCTTGGTGCTGGATGGATATTCTGGTCCGTCCATCACGAGCTTGCTGGGCCTTGGAGCTGGACTCAAAGTGCCGCTCAAAACTGGATCCCCCAGGACCCGACGGAGAAAATGTGAGTAGTCATAACGCTTGATGGTGTGTTGTCGTCTGACATGATGCCACTCAGATACCCTTTCTACTCGGGCAACTCTTCTTCCTGTCTGGACACCGCCAACCCTTTCAACGGCGACAATGACAGTCCCACCTTCCCCCTGTATGCGAACAACTACACCAATATAGATATTTCTGGGGTTGAACCCAAAAATCTCAACGCAAACAATAATGCCAACACATCCAACTCAACGACAGGGTCGTCCTCTACCTCTTCTTCGGTTTCGACTGCATCCTCAACGAGCGGTGCTCTCCACACGACTTCATTCTCGATCTCTTCATCCATCGTCTCTTTCGTATTTTTGCTTTCATACTTTACCATTTTATAGATACTTTTGCTTTTATCGGGACTGCTCCGCACATTCCTCATCTCTTACGGACACTGTCATAATTGACTCGGATATGGATACATTTGGGGAATATGCACGCTGAGCCATTTTCCTATCCACTCTACTCGTAGAGTCTCCAACTGGTAACAGCGTACCCGTATTTTTCTCAATCGCTTGGAGGCCAAAGACTTACTCTTAATCCTGATTTCTGATTTTCCCCGGTCTGACTGATTGAAATCCTCATCAACGCCGAGAGTGGTGAAGATCTTCTGACAACGTCGCTAGGATATGCCTTGGTACCATGCGTATGTCAGTCTGCAATATGATACCATACACAACAATTTAATCAACATACTGGATTAACGATGTTCACGAATCGCTGGAGTCGCTGGACTCCTGTTTCGGTCTTGAGCTGTTCGCGGACGCCGGCGACGCTTGGATATGTCGATGTCCGACGACGATGTTTTATTGTAAGATAGACATCCTCACCGTCTTCCTCGTCATCCACCGCACTGTAGTAAGCCAATCAGGATTTGCTCGAAAGAAAACGCTCTGGAAGAATGAAGCTCACAAATCGTCCCCATTGCTATCCAGTCGGGCTTCACATGTTCCCTGCCTGCCCCTCCTAGGTCTCAGATGCGGCCCTTGACTGATTTGTCCTCCTCTTTTACCCTGTCCCACTTTGGCATGCAGTCCCCTACAAGCGTATACCTTCTCTTGAGCTTGCAGGGCACTCTTTAAAAGGCACAACCGGCTGAACTCGTCCGCGGAACCTTCCAAGAGGTGGCGCCGCAAGCGGGATAGTGCGGCATTGATAAAGATTGGTCGGGTTGGATCAGGGAGAGGAATTCCCGACGAGACTCTGTGGAAGAGAGTGTTGGCTAGCTGGCTAGTATATAGATTAGTATAAATCTGAATAGCCCCAGATCATTGTGCCAAGATCATTATGAGTGGCTTACATCTGTTTCCAGCTGGGCTTCGTGAGCACAAACTGCCGCATGGCCCTCTGCACATTGACATTCTCTCGATCTGGATCGCAGAATGGATCACGAAGATCATCGGAAGATATCTGTAGCAGCTGTTACCATTAGAAGTTAGCGATTTTGATGGTTTGACACTGCTTATACTGAACGGGTCTATACGACTGACCTCCTGCTGATACTTGACGCCAGAGTTTGATCCATGTACCAATTCAGGGTCTTCAGTCTTTTCTTCGTCTAGACACTCATCATCCGCCAAGTCCCTAAATGGATCCAGCTCCTCAAAGACTGTCCGCATACTGTCAGACCTCTCTCCTTTTCACTTTCACTTGTTCCCTGTTGCTGCTATGTTGATCGACGGACTCGATCGCTGGTGACTGATATGAATGATGTGGAGAGGTCAAAGCGAAACCGATATAGCGATTCTCGTGGTTACCATGCAAAAGGAATGGTCCCACCGTGATCCATTCCATGAGCGCCTATAGTGAGGCGGATAGAGTACGCTGGCGGATAGACAAGTATCGCGCGGAATCCCCGGTAATGCGCAACTAGAAAAAATCAAAATCACACGCGAAGGCCTTGACGTCACGGCGCAGGCGCGGGGTGCATGGTTGCTATCGAAAGCATCGAGATTGGCTGTGCATCTCAACCTGCAGCAATGGCATCCCTCAAGAGCACCCAGCCAGAGAACGTAGAGGCATACGACCTCCTCTCCATCGACCACGCAGTCGTCAAGCAGGCAAGTACCATCTTCACCCCAACACTCCCGCCCTGACGTCCACAGTGCTTCGACAACGAGGAGGGGACCCTGGCAAAAGGGCAGTTCAGGTGCGTCCATCTCCATCATCACGCACAGGGCTGATGTGGTCAAAGACTGCAATGTGTATCGCTTCCCATCCCCAAGGAGATCGGGCGTCAAACGGCGAACCCTTTCGCCCCATCTCCTTCCGATCCCCCCATCCCGACCCATGACTACTGGCTCATCATCCATGTCGGCGCGTCATTCGAGCTGCTGGTGACACCGGGTCAGCTATTCACTCCGCAGGTGACAAAAGACAGCATCACGTACACCATTGCTTCCCGAGACGGACCAGGAGCGTCCATCGCCTTCATCTTGCCGTATCCCCAGACCAATGCCCAGCTCGAGGACTTGGAATCGCTGGAGCTCTTGCTTCACCATTACAAGTCCATGGGAGCAGAAGTGACGGCTTTGGCCGGTATCGAGCCGCAGAATCTGACGGGCTCAGCGCTCGCCCCGGAAGAGTTGCGGGGCAAGTTGGTTCTGGTCAACAACGACAACGGCGAAGTGCTGGGTGAGATGGACGAGAATCTGGATATTGAGGTGGATAAGAGGATTGCCAAGGAAAACGAGAATCTTCCTGTTGTTCTGGACTTTGAGCAGGTGGTGGAGGGTCATCAGGCTCTGAGAGTCAAGGTCAAGACTGTGCCAGAAGGCGATATGGATGACTGGCTTCTTCGTGGTGCAAACTCAATCAGGTATGCCTGATACATGAGGCGTTTTGAAAGATACTGATTATCTACAAGCCGAGGACTCTTGACTTTCGGAGCGTGGTCGTCACGCCACATGCTGTCAGGGGCAGACCAGTTTGTCAAAGGCTCCAGTCCTCGAGAGAAACCTGTGGTCTTTTCGCCTCAGACCAAGGAAGGATTTATGAAGGTTCATAAGGCTTCTGTTACCACGGCAACTGTCACAAAGTCTACCTTGAACAAGATTCACGGAGTCAGTACCTTCTGTGAATGACCTTTGCTGCGCTGACGGTTGATGTAGGCGATTCAATCGGTAGCAGGAAAGACATATACCCACGGGGTCCAACCCGTCCTGAGCACCTACCAGGAAAACTACCGAGAGCTTGCGGGACCCCCTCTCCCGCCCCGAAAGCAGCCCCAACAAGTTGCAGCATCATCCGCATCTCAGAAAGGCGCACCCTCCATCCCAAACAAACCGTTGGAGCCAGGTGGCGCTCAAGTTCCGTATGCCGCGCGTCAATCCCCCAGCTCAACGAAAGAGAATCAGCTAGCTTATCCAGCGAGCACGCAAGCCGCCACAGGTCAGCTAGAGAAACCCCCCAGCTACTCTGTGGATCCTAGCGCATCTCGCCTGCCATCTGGCGTCGTCCCAGACCAGCCAAAGAAGAAGAGAGGGCTCCTGAGCCGAGTGGTGCTGGCAGGCGAAGTGGTCTTTACTTCTCTTGAAGCCACCGCACACGATATCATCAACAACGGTACCATCGCAGCTTCCACTGCGGCTGGTCACAAATACGGCAGAGATGCCGGAGAAGCCACCGCTCTGGTGGGAGGCTCAATCAAGAACGTGGCTGTGGTCTATGTCGACATTGCTGGAGTAGGAAGGCGTGCTCTCTTGAAGTCTACTGTCAAGGGCGTGATCAAGACGAGGACCAATGACGGAGAGATCGTAGAGCTAAGGGCGGAGGGGAATGGTAACCAGATCAGAGCCGGTGAGGCAGAGAGGGTAAACGAAGGGGAAATCGTGGTCGGCATGACGGAGGTCAAGGGAAAATCCTCCAATCGTACAAGTACCCTGAAGCGTTGATGTGTTGCTGGGGCGTTTCGCTGGTGGGCATTACGATAAGCACATGTCAATAGACATGCCGCCGGGTACAAGTTTAAAATGTCATTCAGAGTCTGTATAAGTTGTCTATATGTAGAATAGTTCCTTGACATGAGACCGTGATATACATACAGACGATCTCAGGCAACAATTCGGGTGTGCACATCAGGGTGGATAGTATGCGCGAATGATAGAAGGCATATCGGAGTCTGGAGATGGCGACCTGCCTCCTCCGTATCTGCCATACTCGTCCTCGTATACTCCAGTGCTGGCCTGAGCATTGCTATTTCCATCCTTGATTTCGAATCAGCTCCGGCATCATGGGGGCTGAGGAACCTTCAAAGAGAGACTCACTTCAATCAAATGCTGAACATCATACGGGTACTGAGCCACGACATCATGAGTCAGGATTAAGCTTGGGTCCAGCAGAGCCAACACTCACGTCAAAGTATCTTGTGAATGGATTGATGTGGTGTCGAATGAGGGCCACCCATTGGATCCAGGAGTCTGGTGGAAGCGTATGCACAGCAAGCATGTCCCGACAGGCATCAAGGGCGCAATCAATCGTGACTGGTTCCAAGACGTTGTCTCGCTGATCAAGCTCGATTAGCTAACGGGCACCCCTTCACAGATCATCGTGTCAAAGCGAATTTACATGCAGGGTGGCAAATATGTTGAAGTTGTCTTCCATCCAGCTACCAAAGTTATCCCTGATTCTTGCATCAGTAGCAGTCGATGCGGACGAGGCAAATCCAGGTCTACTCACAGTCCAATAATGCCTGGGTGTCCTCCTCGCCCGTAGGCAGCAACCATGCGATTCCGAGCTGTCCTGAACGAATACTGGAGGTAGTTGTTTGCTTCGCGAGGGCTGTAAGGAAGTGCAGGTGGTCTTGTCATCATCATTGTCTCAGAGCAGATTGTGAGATAGGAGAGTAGACCTGATTGCTAGGCTTGTCAAACACTTGCCCTCTTATATACTTCCATAGTAGGCGACAAAATGCGGGGAAGAAGAAGAATAAGGGTCATTGAGTGTTCTCTGCCGCACACGCCACAGCAGCTCGTTAGGCCGTTCTACAGGCTGACACCCCCACTTGGCGTACACCAACCTAATTTGCTCATATGCTGACTTACGCTGTTCGCTTGTGATATAATCTTCTCTGTTCTCATGCGCTTCTTTCACTTGCCCGACAGCGCAGGAATCTGGTACCACGAAGCTTACAATGCGCTGTGGCGGTTCGTCGGAGGAATTTATCGTGCGCCCCGGTCATAGGATGGGATGCATCTAAAACTGTGATGGAAGCACACGAGCACAGTGTACAGAACAGAAGAAGCTCACAGGGACGGATCACCCCATTCTGTATCAAGTCAGTCCGGCGATGATATGTGTAAGGGCGATGCAGAGAGGTGACAGCCCGAGGGGTGACCACCGACAAAAGGATCAAACAGCAAGATGGGAGGACACAGAACGATTTGCTGACGGCCGCCCGGAGATCCTATGTGTGGTTGTTGTGTGGTGTGCCTCGTGTCTCGCGCAGTGGGTTGACTACGTACGTACTGTCCCGTATCGTGTATACATACAGTACACTGTCACAGGACGAGTCAGCCATCAGTGTCCGTTACATACTCACACTGGTCAGGGAAGCGTTACTGTGTAAGTCGTCTGTCGATCTCCGGAAAGAGCGGCCTGGATGGCGAGGGACGACGTCGGTACATTGAGCCATATATTGCGGTGCATTAATTGTGGCGGATACATCTACTCGATTCAGCAGCTATTGATATACAACGATGTGCTCCCCGTACGCAGACTTTGCAGTACACGAACGCCGGTGTATGTCCTGACCTGCTTACACCTTTTCCACCCCTATCAGTCCGTCAACACCGATTGCCTTTTCTTCAGTATCTTGTCCAAAGCCTTCTCCATCGCATTCGCCTGTTTGGTGTACGTGCTCTTCTCGCCATTGTATTGTCGGCAATTGGCGCACATGAGTTTCACATCGGACACAAAGTCTTCGATCGACTCGTAGTGATTGTTCTCAAGTTTGTACTCCATCGTTGACAAGTCTAGAGGTGACGTCAGGACATGTCGCAAAGCGGGTGCAGAAAACGCCACTTGACTTACCCATCGGCTCGGCAATCACATCATAGTAGTCAGCCACGACGTTGGCGTCAACAGGCTTGACAAATGGCCACGCAGAACCCTCGTTCTGCAGGTCGTTCAGGACGAGCTGGAGAAGAACGTGGTGGGGGTTCCGTTTTGGTTGCCGGATGCTGTGTAATACGCGGGTGAGCCACTGATGATGGCACCGCAGGATGTTCTAACTTACATGTCATCCAGATCAGGATTCCACCCGCTTTCCGCTGTCATACTGTCAGCCTTGTTCTAGAACGCGATAAGAATCAATCCGATCACTGACCGAGACCAGGGACTTCCTCTTTCGCGAGCTTCCTGTCGTCTCCTTCCGGTTTTCTGTCTTTGAAGACATCAAGACCAGGATGAACTATATGCGATTTCGTGAGGGTTTTAATTTTGCCGATGATCGCCTACAGAAGTGTTTAGTTTGTCCATTGGTTCTGGAGACAATTGTCGACTCACCGCCTTTTGATCCGCCAACATTTGATGGACCTCTAGGTATTTCACTTTAGGCAGCATCCGCCCTTGCATGATTGTACCTCCCTCATAGTCCTTGATATACCCCACCCAACGTTCCCTAGGATAAGAAATCTCCTTCGTGAAACCTTGCTTTTTGAAATATCCGACGGCATAATTGTCGGCGTACGTGAGGAACACATTGATGGTCGGGTGGGCTTTTCGGACATGGTCTTTCAAAGAGTTCATTAGATGGGAGCCGTAACCCTGAAGCTCGGTCAGTGAGGCAAGCTAACGAACTGCATTAGAGAGCCTCTCACCTTGATCTGTTCTGAACTGTCGACTGCACAGAACACAATCTCTGCGAAGCCTCTGGCTTCGAAAGGCCTGTAGCAAATACCGCCAACTACCCTCCAGCCGCGCTTGACGATCGCCATGCTAATATGATTCTTGTCCAGCACTAGTCGGGTGATGTATTCGCGCGGCATCTTGGGAAGCTGGCGTTGGAAAACATTCTTGAGCCCAACGAGGAGAATGGTGGCCACGGGAGTGGGATTACGGGAGGAAACAACAGGAAGCATGATTTCTTGGTTGGCTTGCTCTATAGCGGCAGGTCTAAGTGGCAATTTTTGCTTCGTTTCCATGAGTATGGCCCAATGTGTTGAGATGTCACCCACAAGTTCGATCCCTTCCCATATCTCAACTGCCTCTTCGGCATTATCTGCTTTGCCGGTTGCCAGTCTACTGACCAACTCCTCCTCTCGTTCTTTTTCCTTCACCTTGATCTCTGTTCTTCTCTTTCGCTCGCTTTCATCCAGCTCTGGCCTTCTAGCCAACGGTATATCCTCCTCCTCCTCGTCGTCTTCTTCTTCGTCTTCCATCGCTTGCTCCTGTCCCCCGGCGCTGATGGGAAGGTGGCCAGCGACGTGTTGGTTGCCGTCGGGATCGGTGGCCATTGGAATGTATCCCTGTGCCCCACGAACAACAGTCCGAGGTTTGGTTCCTTTGACAGCGCTCTTGCCCGACTTCTTTTTGCCATATTTAGGATGGTCATCTTTCACCGGACTCTCATGATCCTCATCACTTGGAGCATCCGAGCCGCTCCCCTGTCTTCTCCGTTTCCGAGGCGGTTCGTCGTCCGTAACTTCATTTGGGGTTTCACTACCAGGTGTGGACATGTCGATTGGTACAGGCAGTGAGGGAGCAGTGGTTTTGCCAGCCGGACGGACAAAATGGTCAAGTTGTTTGAGCAGTGAAGATATCGATTCTGTACTAGGTGTCGGGAAAGTGAGAAGATTGTCCTCATCCTGCAGTTGTCAGTCCCAGTGAAGCCAGCCAAACAATTCGGGCGTACCTGGAGTATCTCTTCCATCCTGCCTACAACTTTCCCACGTCTTGTTTTCTCTTTGGGAGGTATGTCACTGGCCCAGATATGCCCCTGGCCTTCCCAGCCATGTCCACATCGACCACATATCCTCCACCACCCTTCTTCTGTTCTCCATTCCTTCTTTCTCCGCTCTATGTTTTCGACACTCTCAGCATCCTCCATCGAGACGTCTTCATCTTCATCCTCGATGTCATCCTCGTCCTCGTCCTCGTCCTCGTCGCGCTTGCCCAGTTTGACGACCCTGTCAACAGGAGGTTCTAGACCGGTACAAGCGCATTCTGCGACAGTACAGGGTAGAAATCGGCCAACTTTGAAAGCCTTTTCGCGATCTGATAGTGTTGAGAAGTCAGGAGCTGACGGTGGGTATCTGAATCTAATGCCTTTAGGACACGAGTGATCTTCCTCAGCCTCGTCTTCTGCGGTCCGCTCGGTGAGCTCTGTTCCATCTTGCTCAGCCGTCTTCGACTCCTCCGCATCATTGTCGTCATCCGCATTTTTCCCATTCTCCTTGTCCTCTGGTTCGGATTCTGAATCAGAGTGACCGGACTTGATAGGTGAAAGAGACGAGGAGCGTCCCCGAGAGCGCGCCGGAGATGACTGGGCGGTCGTTATTGGAGTGTCGGCGGCAGAAGTAGGCGTAGCAACCTTGGCTCTTCCTCTTCTGTTCCTGGGGGCCATTTGAGAGAAATGATGCTGGTGTTCTGCAGCGAAGATAGAAAGCGAACCAAACAGAGGGAAGTGAGAGAATCAAAGCCGGAAGAGCAAGACGCGGTCGGTTGGGGTGTCAACAAACCGTATCGCGCCTAACCCTGGTGACGCCTAACTCCAAAAAAATGATTAGATGTTGTTTACGAGCCATCTTAATATAAAGGGGGTGTAGCTCATTTGGCAGAGCGCGTCATTAGCATTCTTCAACGAGTGGATTTGACGAGGTACTGAGTTCAATTCTTAGCTCCTCCATTTCTTTTTTATTTTTGCTTTTGATCGCTCGATGGCATGTTTTGACATAAAGTACCTCCACCTGCACGTCCGAGCGCGTTTCGTAGACAACACACTGCCTGGCGCATTCACTTTCCTTTTGCATCTGGCGTTGCCTTCCCATCTCCCTCATCACAGCACCCAGCATGTCCCTCGACCCCTCACAAGCAAACCACTCTCGCCCAGTCGCACCTCGCCATCGCAAGCGCCTCTCATCCTCCATAAGCCCAAGGACATTTCCGACTACGGCTAGGGAAGCTCGTGAGACGACGCCAAGTCCCATGTTTGGGAACGCCACTGGATCGCTAGCGCCAAATGGAGATGGTGGAAATGCCCTTGTGTTGAGCGAACTACGACAAAGGAGCGAAAGTGTGCTGAATAGAGCTGGGCGAGAGGACGTGGAATGGGCCTTGAGGGAAGAATGGGAGACGAGGGAAAAGGTAGGATGAGTGGGATTCCTCGCTGTTTCGTCAGGCTCATATCATCCTTTAGCTCGAGAAAAAAGTTGGGAGCCTTGAAGGCGAGATAGGCGCTTTGGAGGCGACTAATGCGGAGCTAGAGAGAGCCCTGGCGGTTGTACAAGCCAGGACAGACGAGGCTTTCAACGAACAAGTCAGTGTGCTTTTTGTTTCCACAAAGCTACTAGTCGCTCATACCCGGTAGGCGCGTATGGAGGCAGATCTAGAAGACAGGGACAGGCTGCTGGACAGACTGAGAAAGAGAGTATCAGACACTGAAAGGCAACTCAAGGATAGTCAGAAACGCAATGCGGACCAGGTGCGCTATTGAAAGCCAGCTTGAGCGCTTGATCGCTGACAAACGGGAACAGGAAAAGGCGTTTGAAACTGAGCGTCATGCACTTCAAGCACAAGAGGAGCATCTCCAGAAGCGCCTCAATACCGCTCTGTCGGCAGCACGTAAAACTCGCCCACCATCTCCAACGCCCGTCCATTCAGACACCGCCTTTTCGACCTCGAATCTCAAAGAGGAGCTCGCCACTCTTCGCCTCTCCAAATCTGCCCTCGAAGCAAAGTTTTCCACCGTCCTGCGGGAAGTCAGCGAACTTCGAGAGGAAAACAGAGAGTTGAAGGAAGAGAATGAAGGCTGGGAGTTCATGGTTCGCCAGAAGACCTTGAACGGGCATATCAGGAATGACAGAGGATTCCTGGGCATGGATGCTGACGGTGCTGATGCCGGGCGCGCACAAGTTGATGAGGCTCTAGTACAAGATACTCTTGACCCCCACAGTCCTATCAAATCCAGGAAAGGAGTCCGAGAGGCAAGTACCGAACAAGCCGGTGGTGGGTCTCATCTGGCCGCTGAAATCGGGAGAGCCCAGGAGACGAGAGAATTGGGTGTCGTCGAGGAGGGCGATGAAGATGAGGGTGAGCTTATGCAGCGATTAAATTGGAACTTCTCTAACAGATACAGCTCTACGAAACGAGGTCAAGCACCTTAGAGAGGCACACAAGGCGCTCTCCCTATATTGCTCCAAGGTAGATATATATCATACACAGCAAAGTCCGCGGTTGACACCATCCGACAGATCATTGACCGCATCATCGCTCAGGAGGGCTTTGAGCAAATCCTTTCCGTCGACTACAAGACTCGCCGTGTTGGATCCAGAAACGTGTCTGCTACCCAAACTCCTCTCAAAGAGATAGCCATCTCCCTCGCTGATTCTTCGGTAAACACTAATTTGCCACCTTCTGTGCCATTGTCCGAAGAGAGGGTTCGCGAGGCTGCTGAAAGGAAGACGAGACCCATGAGCATGTTCAGGGCCTTCTCCAGCTCGACCGATAGAATCGTAGAAGAGCCCAAACCCCTTCCACCACCTGTCGAAGTCCCAGTCCCAGCACTTGAAGCAAAAGCAGAGAAACGCGCCCGTCGCGGCTTTTCTCTCGACTTCCGATCGCTCGGCTTTGGCGGAGCCGCTACGCCTGATCCTCCGAAGCCGGCTCTTCGCCCGCTCACTCTGTCTTCTCGTGCTACTAGCGCTACACCTCCTTCTGAGAAAGACAAAGACAAGAAGGATAAAATGCTCTCTCCACCTCTGAGCGCTACCGCTAGGAAGCTAGAGCCGCAGGAAGAGGATGAAGATGACAAGAGAGAAAGACACAGGATGGAGGCTTCACTGAAGCTCATGGGCATACAGCCAGGCAACGTGGAATCCACATCGCCAGGGCCAGTGACCGCTGTGGAGAGGAGATCACCTTGGTCCAGACTGTATTCTGTCATCGGCACCCCCGATCCCGAACCCCTGTCTCCTCGTCCAGCTGCCGACGCGAAAGACGCAGAGGTGGCGCTCAAAGAGTTTCATCAGTTGGAGGCGGAAAGGATCAAGGCTTTGCAGCAGGGCAAAGCAGAGCCAAGATATACCACCCCACCAAAGGTCGGCCTTCATAGGAGACAGAGTTCAAGTGGAGCGGGTGCCAGGGATAGGGCGATGAGTGGAGGTAGTGTGAGAACGTTGTGGAGTTTAGGGTCCAGCAGGCCTGCCAGCCAGGAGATTGCGAAGGAGTACGAGTAAAGTACACAAGACACGCCTTGTATATACGAATCCTCACGAACATTATGTTGATAACGGGCTGGTTTACGATGTGAGTATGATGACATTATGCATGGTATCTTGTCTTATAGTACAGTATAATCATAAGCTGGTTAAGGAGCGGGTCGGAAGCGTTGATAGTAATTCTTGCATCGTGCTTCCATCGTCTCCTGGTAAGTCTCGGGGAGAGTGTCCACTATGCGCCCTTAGAAGAAGGCGTAAGCTATAGTAAATCATAATTCAGATATCCACTTGCCTGGATTTCCGCCCCATACTGACATCGAAGCAACCACTGTTCCTTCAGGAAGTACTGTGCCAGGCAATATGACCGCAAGATCTTTGATCACCACGAACTTTCCCTTGCCGATACTTATCAGCGTATGCTTGAGCCAGATCATGGGATTTCCACCTACTATGATACTGCCTTCCCCGATATCTACCCCAGACCCGATCTGCGCCGCCTCCACTATGCAGTTGGGACCTATATGGGTGAAGTCTGATATTCTCACAGGGTAAAATGTGAACGCGCTGCATTCGGTCATCAGTCTTCGGAAGACGTTCCCATGTTAACCATACCTACCCCTCGTAAATCTTGCCAGGCGGCCGAATGACCGCACCCTCACCGATGAGGCAGTATCTGCCAACGGTAATGACAACATGCTGCCCAGCTGTCGACCGTCGAAGATCACCTCGGAGGATGGCAGATGTTTGGATGATAGACTTTCCTCCAAGAACAATGTTGGTGGCGCCAGAAATCAGGGCCCTCCGAGAGACTTTGTCTACTTAAGTGAGCATGGGCACCGAGGGGAGGCGAGGCCACTTACTGCCTGTATCTGTCTCGATGTATGTCGCCTTGTCATAAGTGATGATGGGGTCGAAGGCGCCCATGTTCAGTCATCTCCACTTGCTATATTGTAGCGAAATGGCGAGAGCTGAATAATATGTGGGTATATGGGGGTCGAAATGACAAGACTTGAAGCAACAAATGTACGAGTACGAGTAATTTCCGACGCGACGCAGCGCGACACGCTGGCGCACCTGAATGACGCTCAATGCATATTGTCACCGCACACTTACTTTCACCACCGATGGCTTCTTCAAGCTCGCCTCCATTGCCACCCGTGCCAAGGGCTTCAGCGACTCTTGCAACCGATGCCAGCACAAGCTCCCGCGCCATGGCCAGGCTGGCGAACGAGTTTCCCAGTGGTACGTCGCTGAGCCTCTCCTTTCGGTCGTAGCTTATCCTCTGATCTATAGCGGCATCCCTGGCTGACCACAAAGTGACTCACGCCAAGCTGGGGCTCGAGATAATGGATATCAGGGAGGAAATTGCGAAGTTAAAAGCCGAGCTCAGAAGAGACCAAGACCCAGCCAGAATGAGCAACATCCAGAGCCAGATCGGTGTATGCCCTGCATGCTGTCCTGACATGGACCTATGGCTGACAAGGATCTTAGCAACTCATGCTTCAGATTAATGTGATCCAAGAGAAAGCTGCTGAAGCAGAAGCCATCGTGAAAGGCATCACCTCGGACATCCAGCGGTTGGACGTCGCCAAGAGCAATCTGACCACTGCTATTCAGATGCTTGAGCGGTGGGGCATGCTGAGTATGGCAGCTGAGAGTATGACTGCTCTGATGCTAACGCTACGTACAGGGCAATCTCACGAGCAATTGAGACATCTCCTACCTACACGGCAGTACAAGAACATGTCCCAAGCTTTCGCTGTGAGCTGATCTGGGTGATGGGTGTACTTGAGGCTAATGTATAATAAGGCTGTCACACAACTCCTTACCCCCCTCAAGCCCCTCTCATCTGTCCCCGCTGTTGCTGAAATATTCAAAGCCGCCGAAGCAGACCGAAAAACCATACAGGAAAAGGCCGCTGTTGAGATGGATACATTGTGAGCTTTCGCTAGCGTGACTTGTGCTGGGATGACACTGACGTACAGTTAGCTTTCAACAAGACCCAAACAAGGTCGTCGATAGAAGGAGCATTGCCGAAGTTTGCTTGCTGATAGATGTATTGGGAGGTGACTTCAGGTAAGTTCCTCGACCGCCATGCCACTGTCCGTTGACGACTCTATCAAGAGATCACATCGTGGAACGCTATCTCCAAATTCAACTTGCTGAATATCGTCGCATCTTCCGCTCCACCGACGAAGCTGGACAATTGGACAATGTCCCGCGCCGCTTTGCCTGGTTCAGACGCGTCCTGAAACATCACGACGAAGAGGATTCAATGCTCTTTCCGGCTTCTTGGCAGGTGACGAGGTTGTTGGTGTCTGCATTTGCAGAGTGCACGAGGAGTGACTTGTCAAATTTGCTAGGGAAGCAGAGCCCGGCTGTGAATGTGCTGCTGGACGCTTTACAAGCGACTTTGGACTTTGAGCAGGCAATGTCGAGGAAGCTTGATATGACGGCAAGTCACAGCTTCTATGGAAATATTGCTATGCTGATAGCCGTAGTTTAACGAAATCACAAGTCTGACACTGCGCGGTGGTAGTCTAAAATGGACTATCGCTTCGATATTCGACCAGTACCTCAATGTCTACGTGGAAGCCCAAGATAGGTATGATCTCCCCTGTAGCTACGAAAACCCATATTGACACGGTCGCAGAGCCATATCCGACATGCTCTCAGCATACCGCGGCTCAAACGCTCGCCCATCCCTCGAGTCTGTCATTGCCGAAGAACCTGAAACCCCCGTGCCCACCGTCCTTCCCTCCTCCACAGAGCTGTTCTATTTCTATGGCCAACAGCTGGACCAGTGCGAAAAGTATTCGAGAGGAGAAACTATGAGGAAGCTGTCAGACGTGTTTGTCAAGTGGCTGAACGTGTATGCCGGGGAGGTACTGCTGGCGGGGATGAAGTCTGCACCGTCGCGAAAGTCGTTCGAGGGGAGAGATAGTCTGCAGGAAGTAAAAACGGCTTGTATGGTGCTGAATACTGCGGAGTACTGTCAAAATACATCGGTCCAAGTGCGTCATTTGTAATGCGATTGGTTTGGGGCTGACTTTATACAGCTGGAAGAGAGGTTGAGATCCAAGATATCTCCCGACTTGAGTGAAAGTATATCCTTCAAATCAGCCCGCGAAACATTCTCCTCCGTCATCAGCCAATCCATTGCCGTCCTCTTGCGGGAACTCGAATACTCGTGCGAACCTGCTTTCTCTGCAATATTGAAAACCCCGTGGATCCATTTGGAGAATGTCAGTGGCCGGTCGGCCTATGTGGTGGATCTGGTGGGAAGTATCAAGAGCGTGGCCGAGGGGGTGAGGGCGCGGATCGAAGGGAAAAAATATATCAGGAACTTTGCGGATAAGGCTGTTGGGTACGTATTTTGGCATGTGGGCGAAAAGCGTAGCTGATCCAAGCAGTGTAATCATTACGAGATTCACCCAGGCTGTGATCAAGAGTGCGCCGCTCAAGAAGATCGGTGCTGAGCAGATTCTTCTTGACGTGCAGGCAGTGAAAGCTTGTCTTCTGGATCTTCCAGAACCACACCCAGAGAACTCTTCCACCATGTGAGTCTAGCCTCCTCCTCATATTTACGAGGCTAAAGTTATAGCTATACGAAATATGTAACCAAGAACACGGGCCAGCTAGAGACGATGCTAAAGGTCATCTTGGCCCCCGACGAGGTTCCGGAGGGTACGTTTTGCGCAATCATATAATCAACTCGCAAGGTGCTGACATTGTCCGTAGGCTTTGTTCAAAATTATTGCCTTCTCATTGGCGACCGCTCGTTCACCAACTTTCAGAAAATTCTCGACCTCAAAGGCACTGCCCGCACCGACCAGCAACGCTTGCTTGACATATTTCTTTCCGTCACATCCACCAACTCTGACCTCACGGACACTTCTTTCCTCACTCATATCGACATGGACCCACCTGCGAGCAGCGAGGCCGCGAGGGGCTTTACGTCGCCGTCGGCAAGCTCGACGGGGCTGTTCTCGCCGACGACAGGGCCCGGAGGGATGGGGGGCTTGCCAGGCTTACTGAGAAGTGGGAGCGCGGAGGGAGGGGAGCGGACGGAAACTCCCAAGGCGTTTGGGGATTTCAGGCGACTGGTGAACTTTGCCACGAGGAGGGATAACAGTGCTATAAACGTCCCACATTGAGGGGTTGTATCATTAGATGTACAACCTTATTGTTTGCATACATTATACAGTGGTATATGCTTACAGGCGGTATTATATATATGCGCCCGCGTATTATTGTGTACCGGTATACGATGCGCCAGCGAGGGGCGGCTGTCCATTCACGCCATGTTGGCTGACGAGCTTTTCGTTCAAGAACTTCGCAGGCGATCCCGTAATATCTGGCGTCACGCCGTGCGATAAAGCCGCTGGCGATCCTGTCCCTTGGCCTGGCGTTGCTCCTAGCCACCCCCCCTGCGGTGTGGGCGCACCAAGAAGACTCCCAGCCTTGGGCACTCCCGAACCCTTCACCGACCCCGCCCCGCTCGCCCCTGCTACTCTGGGCACCACCGATCTCCCGTTCACACTCTCCTGCCCCCCACCTCCCCCGAACTGCTGAGTTATAGCAGCTTCTATACTCTTCAGTTCTTCTTTTGGATCGAGCTTTTTCCCGGGGGCTCTGGACATGGCTGTCAAAGAGGCGAGTGATGCGCGGGTAGATTGTAGAGCATAGAAAAGGTGCCAATCAGGTTCTTGCACTTGTTCCTTGGTCTTGCCCGCGGGTTTTTCTCCAAGATCAAGCTCTTTTGGAGAGTCGGCTGGGGCTTCCGCGTGGTCACTTTCAACGACAGGCGATTGATTGGAGGATGGACCGGGCTTGGAGGTGGAGGGAGGGAGGGACCGCCATAGTGTCGTGGTTCGGGGGTTGGCGGGGGGTCTGTTGTCGGAAAGGGTTCGCATCGTCTTGGAAATAAGGCTTGTCGCATTTTTCTGCCGCCTCCCTTCAGTATGGCGCATATTGTATGCTAAGCAAATGACTTACAAGCCTCGCGGACATGACATCGTACAGAGAAGGACATTGATATATCTTTTCCTGTAGAATGAACCAAGCTCCGGTGACATGGTCTCTCTTGCCTGATGACTCGACATCACGGCGATGAATCACAAACAGATTTGGGGGTTGTGAATGGGCTACAATGTACTCAAAGCCGGACATGAACGCGTTCAGCTCGCTATATGCCATCAGTCATTGCCTCGGGCGTCAAAGAGGACGCACATTTTCTCTTCAGCATGTCCATAAGTCGGATTTTCTATCCGCCTTTGGGTACGAAGCACATTGTTGTTTGAGCGAGAGTCCCAGAAAGGCGAGTAGGCAAAGTAATCCATGCTGAAAGATGTGTCAGTGAACGGCTCGAGATGGCGAGGCGGACTCACGCCAAGTCGGCTGTGGCGAGTGAACGAGCTGGATTAGCCTGCATATGGATGAGCAAGGTATTCTGAAAGATCTGAGATGGTTCTCACAGCCACTGCTTCTGGCCATGACCTAGATGAGATATTAGCGAAGAGTAGCGTAGTGTGGATGGAGAACTTGCCAATGGATGTGGGAGAGATCTTGCTCTACCTCTGCTACCGACATTTGTGTATGGCGACTGTTGCTTTGCCAGTATACAGAAAGATCCGACAGCTTGAGAACTGTCAATATGGTTGTCTTGTTCTGGGGAGACTTCGTTGGGACCTGCTTGGGACCTGAGTTGCGATTGTATCACCGTGGGAATGTTCGGCACCCCTCAAGAACTTCAAATGTCTCCATGATTGATGGCCATGATAATGTGCCATATCCTCACTATATTCGGGTACCATAGGCAAAGTTCCAGCGATCAGAATTCATTCTGCATGCCAGCCAAGCTCTATGGAAGTGCGCATGCTGCCTCTGGAATGAATGGGCGGCCGCCCTCGATTCACGCGCGAGATTCCCAAGGCACTCTTTCACTATATTCACAAACAACGATACATACTCTCCTATTACGATCCAGATGGTCTAGTCAACCTGCGTATAGTTGCCGGGGAACACACCCTGCCTGCCATTGAGCCTTCCCGTCCACCAGTCCTCCGAACTCTCTGTCCTCTCTACGATCTCAATCCTATCTCCTGCGTTGAAAGACAGATCTCCTTCTGCCTGCGCCTCATAATCGAAAATCGCGGTCGCGTACTTGACAGCATTATAGCTGGGCTTGGGCTTGAGAGGAGGCGGGGGAGGCGGGGCCTTTTTGCCGACAGCGGTGCCACCAGCAGTATAGGGAGGAGGGGCAGCAACGGCAGCGGGGGCAGAAGGGGGAGGAAGACGCTTCTCAGAAGCATAGGTATCGGGAGAGTCTTTGCGGTCGAGCGCATAGGTGGTAGGGGTGCGAGAAGCGATGGAACTGGTGCGGCCGATGGTGCTACTGCTGCCGGAAGCACTTCGGTGTTGCTGAACGAGCTTGGCTATGGGCGCATAAGAATTTGGGATGATCATGATGATATGAGACTTACCAGTGGAAATGATCCTCTTGGTGATCTGCAACTCTTCAATACGGTCCGCGGCGTCGCCGCGCTGCTCGAGGTAGATATTTTCAATGTCCTTTCTCGTCAAGTCGTACTTGCCGTCGGCAAACGATTGAAGCTTCTCCATCATAATGTAGTAGACGTTCAGCCTGTGGTCTTGTCAGCTGCTATTCGTGCCGGATGATCAGTCACGTACTGCATGTAGTAGAACGAATGGAAGAGAGGGTCGATGAATCTGGTAGCCATCGCAAGGAATTGCGGCAGCTCGGTCTTGAGCAAGTTGTTGTAATGCTCATACTCTCCGCTCGCGATTTCATAATCTTGCTCGACCTTGAACAAGTTCTTCTCGTCGCTCAAGCTCTTCTCCTTCTTCTCCCTGAGCTTGTTCAAGCTGTTGTTGTGGCGATCATAGTCGACCAGCTTGTGTTCTCGCTTGACAATTGTCTTGCGGATCTTTTTACAGATCTCGACAAGTTCCTTGCAAGGGTTGACGATTCGAGATTCGATCAACTCCAATTCGGGGACGAGCGTCTCTCGCACTTCTTCCATCAGACCCTGGTAGGTGGAGATGTTTTCGACTGTGGTCTCGGCTTGAGGATGCTTGCCGGCCAAGTTGTACTCGGCTCCCAAGGGAGAAAAGAGGGTTGCTAGAGAGCCAGAGAAGCTAGACCCGGACGTCAAGAGGCCTATGGCATGGTCAGTCTGCAGTCTGTACACATGAGAGTTGACCTACCGGATACAGCGTCACGGAAGGTGACCGAGTCCTTGTGCATTTTCGCACACGCGGTCTCTACAGCGGTAAACTTTCTGTCTCTGTGTACAGTCCGTCAGCTTTCGCGCCGCCAAGAAAGGACGGCAGAGCACAGCCGAGATGGCGACGTACAATTCGTCGAATTCGGCATCGCTCGATTCTGTCCGAAACGTCAGTCCGAGGGCCCAACATGGGTGCAGGCTGACTCACTCTTGGCCATGCCCATCCTGCTTGTGAGATTGTGGGGTGTCCTAGGGGATGCGTGTCAGCGCCAAGAGTGCTCGGTCATGCCCCTCCGTTGGCGGTGCCCGCTGCTGCTGGGGTGAGGGGCCTGCATGTACGCACCTCTGGAGGACCTTTGTGAATCCCTTCATGTTGGCGGTGTGGTGGATGGTGACAACAACGAAGCACTACGACTCCCATACAGAGCACTCATCAGGAGCAGCTGCGCGGTCATGGCGGCGACCCCCGATTGCTTTCTCGTTTGCTTCCGTCGCACAGCGGGGATCGCCGCTCGCTCAAGGCCCAGACTCTGGTGGGTCATGAGGGGACAATGCTCCGGTCCCTGCTCGTCCCTTGCTCCCTGACTTCTTCTGTTTGGTTCTCCCGCCGCAAAAGTGCTCGAGGCAGCGTCCCGGCACCCGGGGGTACACAAGACGCCTCTCATGCCCCCCGGCCTCCCCAGAATGCCTCCTATACAGCGCATGCAGCACCATCCAGTCTCCTGCCCCCACGAACGCTCTTCACGTCTTCGGCCCTGGGTTGTCGTCGGATCAGCAGCGAGTGCCTGTGCCTGGGAGCTTTGTCGGTCATTCTTCGATTGTTGTTCGTCGCTCCCGCCAGAAAGAATTATTTACATCTCTTCTCTCTTCTTCCTCCAGACGTTTACTCTTCTATAATCCCACTCTCTTCTACCCACTTTCGTTTCACCCACGCTCATTTTCCTCCCACTGTCCCACCCCGTCCAACAGCGACGCGCCACAAAACCCACAAGGGCCATCTGTTGATCACACAAAGGCCGCAGCGACAGAAAGCGCAATCCCCCCAAGTGTCTGCAAGATGAGAATACATGCCCTGGCAGCGTTGATAGTGCTGGCCAGCGGTCCCGTCTTTGGCCACTACAAGGGGCGAGACCATCGCCACCACGAACGCCTCGTCCGGGACCTCCTCGCGCACGAGCCTTTTGCCTTGGAGGCACCCGATGAGCGTGCGCTCGTGGCTGAGGTTATCATCCGCGCGGAACACGTCGTCGACCAGGTGCTCGTCGCCCGCGCCAACTCTACCAACGCCACCGCCACAGTCTCAACACCCAACAGCACTCTTCCTCTGCCTCCCTCCCCTGTACCCACATCAGCACCCTCTCCCGTCCCTACGCCGCTCGACCTCTCCATCTCCAACGCCATGTCGTCATCTTGCATGACCTACCTCACCTCCCTCGTCTCCTCAAGCACCTTTATGGCATGCCTGCCATTTTCGCTGCTCTTGACGACGTCGTCAGCGTACGCGACCCTGGTATCCACCGCGCTCTCATCGGGCAACTATACACATCTGAACGAGCTAGTAGGGTACACGTCCTCTCCCCAGCCAATCAGCGATACATGCGAAAGCTACATGGAGGGAGTCATGACTGCCCTCACAAGCAAGTCCAACTGCGCCAGTGACATTTCAAGCAATCTCGCCGTTGTCAAAAAGACAAAGCTGGGAGTGGGCAACTATAAAGTAATGAAGGAGGCAGAGGCGTTGGTGGATACGGATACGGGAAGCTATTGTTATCTTGAAGCTATTGCGAGTGAAAAGCCGGACGATCTGTACCTGTGGGGCCTGCCAGGAGGTATCTCGTACGTATCGACTTTTCCTTTGAGATTTGGCTGACGTCTTCTAGTCTGCCCTCATCTTCCACCCCCTCATGCTCCAAATGTTCCTCCTCTCTCCTCACCACCTATGGCTCCTACATCTCCTCCACATCTACCCTCAATTCTACCGTCATCAATGCCGCCGTGAAGCGCGTGAATGATGCCTGTGGAGCTAGCTTCGTAACTTTTACGGCTACGAATCAGACGAGTAACGCAGAGAGAGGGATGGGCGCTGGGAAGCATATTGAGGGTGCTGTATTTTGGCTGAGGTTACTGCTAGGGGCAGCAGCGGCGGGCGGTTTATCTTGGATATGATTTTGGTCAACAGGACTTTTCTTTATTCTCATCGGGTGTGCGGATCATGACCGCTCTTTTTGTCTTCTTTTCATATATACAAGTATTCATCAACATTGTAAACATCTCAGTAGGGTACATGCATTTGAGAGTGTTCCGTTGTACCTCGTCTATTCTGCGCCAGGGAAGACTTCAAGAGAGGGGCCGCCGTCATCTTCATTCACGTCAGAGGTGTCAGACGCGTCAACGTCATCTCGCGATGAGTGTCCTCCTTTGGGGTCAGATTGTTCTCCTTCTGCCGATGATGGAGAGTTTGAGCTTCTGGAAACAGACTTGGACTGCTCAGATGATTCCCCAGACCGGGTAGCGTCCGCAGGAGAGTCGGGATGATGGTGAGGAGCCGCCACACTTGTCGTCGACGGCTGCATCCTGTGAGCATAGGTATCAGTCGAGGGCATACCTTCGCAAGTCCAACTATGCCGGGCCCCCGATGAAGGTAGTTGATGCGATAACCGCGGCCACCTAGCTCGATACGCGGGTCCTTCATCGGATCCATCCAGCAGATGACTCTATGCAAATGTCTTTCTCAGCCAACGACTATGCATTCACCGTGCCAATGACTCACCTCAGGTTCGACATAGTCGGGGAAAGGCTCTATGTCTCCTGGTTCAGGCTCACAGCACGCGATGGGGGAGACTGAGCGACTGATACTGGTCGCTGCCCACTGCTGTTCGAAGACGCTTGGGTCCAGGACCTGCTCGTCATCATTTAGGAGTAGCTGCGGTACACTCAATTGAGTGGTCATCCTGTTCTTTCGATATTCGAAGGGTTGGTGGAGGTTGCAGGAAGAGACGGCTTACCGCTTTATCAGATCTGGATAAGATTCTTTGACAGCGGACTTTTACCAATTTTGTGAGCCCCGCCGGCGGAGGTCGGAGTTTCCTTTGGCATGTCACTTACGCATATGATGGGGGGAAGCTTAAAGATATACAGTCTACTTGTGAGTCTCAAAAGCTTGCACGCCGCTTGGTCTCGCGCCAGTACCATTGTTGTTTTTGGGTCGGCGGCACAAGTCGATGACGAGACTGGATTGGAATAAACTTGTGAGCATTCCTCAGGCATCAGCCGTGGTTGTTTGACGTGTGGTGTCGATGGATGAATCAATTGTTGGGTAGCAGACTGGAGAGATGAGCTGGAGATGAGCACATGCAGAGCGCGGTATCGAAAGAGAGAGAGTGCCCCTTGTGATGGAAGGATGATGCTCTAGCAGACATGCGCGTTGTCAGGACAGACAGCGATCGATGTACGCAGATATTTGACCTTTGTCGGCGTATGCTGCTGTCTGGAATCCCATGCAAGAGCAGAATGGGAAATACGAACCAGATAAGCAAAAGATTCGCGGATCCGGCCGCCGAAGTTGCAGCCCGGGCCAAAGTGCCACACGGAAGCAATTATCGGGGATTGGAGAGTTTCGTTGTGCGCGATTGCTAGCAACATGGAATGGCAGTCATTCTCACCTAAAACTAACGAGTTTGCAGGACAGCCACAGTGAGTACAGCCGCCCCCAGGGAGAGCATCGTGCTGACCCGTTCTGTAGATGCAGATTTTCGTCAAGACGTACGTCCCCCTCCCCCTCTTTCGACAATCTCGAAAACCTCGAATTTGTCGCAAAAGTAGAATTGGTGAAGAGGGTTGTGTTGACAGAGCTGTAGCCTTACCGGTAAAACCATCACCCTCGAGGTGGAGTCCTCCGACACCATCGACAACGTCAAGTCCAAGATCCAGGACAAGGAGGGTATCCCCCCTGACCAGCAGCGATTGATTTTTGCCGGAAAGCAGCTCGAGGACGGCAGGACTCTTTCTGACTACAGTGGGTATCGTCCTTATATTGGCGGCGGACGGGATTGGATAGGATGCGGATGCAAAGGGAAGGGCAGAGGGATGGGCGGAAGGAGGAAGGCAGTGGATGTGGTCATTTAGGGCGGCGTAGTGTTGAAAGGGGATAGGCGCTGACTGAGACTCTAGACATCCAGAAGGAGTCTACCCTCCACTTGGTGCTCCGTCTCCGTGGTGGTATCATCGAGCCCTCTCTTAAGGCTCTTGCTTCCAAGTACAACGTGAGTTTTTTTTTCCACATTGTCATCTATATTCGTTGCTAATGGTCATCGAAGTGTGAGAAGCAAATCTGCCGAAAGTGCTACGCCCGTCTCCCTCCCCGTGCCACCAACTGCGTACGCCTACAACTTCCTGTCAAGCATGGGCATCAGACTGACCGATTTCACAGCGAAAGAGGAAGTGTGGTCACTCTTCTCAGATCCGACCCAAGAAGACCCTCAAGAAGTAAATGTGCTTTGGAGGACTTTTTGGCTACGATTGGGGTGCGGGAGTACCCATAGCGAGATGTATTCCTTTGCTCTATGATTGTGGGATGGGCTTGTGTGACTAGTTGGAATCAGTCTGGAGGAATTGGGTTGTGTGAGGGTCACTGCGCAGAGGAGAGTGTGACCGGTCGACTTGCTGCTTTTAATCCTGTTGACGTGAAGTGGCAGAGACATATCGTCAACAGGCATACCAGAACTTGGCCGTCTTGTGACCGGATGGCTGAACATAGTACGCAAGCTCCAAAAATGGCGTTCGCGTCGAGTCTGGGTGATGTGCGCTGCTTATCGTGCTGTTGTTAGGTCACTTCGCTTGCAGCAGGTGTACATAGGATACTTGATGTGGTGCAAAGTACAGCAACAAGAAGTACGATAATGTGATCCAAAATTCCAAATGGTGATTCAACCGCCTCTGCTGCAGATGACGTAAGCAAGCAAGACGCCTCCCACCATACAGTCACGTAGTAGCAGTGTATCCTCTCCCACTCTGCACTGCGCGATGGACTCTTCGGCCCTCTCCACCTCCCAGTCCGCCAGCTCCTTCCGGCCCACCCGCCGCCCGTCCACCTCTGCCCGCCGCCCCTCCACCGCCACCCACCGCCCCCCGCCCCCGCCAAGGCCCCTCACCCACGACGAGGCCCTCGACTCCCTCCGCGCCTTCCTCAAAGAGCGCTCCAGCTACGATGTCTTCCCCGTCAGCTTCAGGCTCATCGTCCTAGACACACATCTCAAGGTCAAGAAGGCCCTCGATGTCATGCTGCTCTACGGTGCGTACTGCCCAAGCGGGCCGGCCTTGACTGATCATTTATAGGCGTTGTGTCGGCGCCGCTATGGAATACCGCTGCCGCTCAGTTTGCAGGTCAGTGTGTACCGACCTTACAGGCTCTCAAAGCTGATACGTGGTATAGGCATGTTCACCGTACAAGATGTCATCCATCTCATTCAGTACTACTACCAGTCTTCCAGCTGGGAGGGAGCCACTGCCGACGTCGAACAGTTCAGACTGCAGAGTATCAGGGGTGAGCTATACTCGTATCGACTCGGATATTGGCTGACATAAGCAGACATTGAAAAGATCCTTCACGTACCCCCGCCTCCACTCCTCTATGTCCACCCCCTCCGACCGCTCTATGACGCTTGTCGATACCTCATTCGGACCCACGCCCGTCGTCTTCCGCTCATTGACAAAGACCCTCAGACTGGAGGCGAGGTCGTAATCAGTGTCTTGACTCAGTATCGGGTATTGAAGTTTATTGCCATGAATGTGAGTCTGGTAGATAGTGAGCGCACGATTTTAGCTGATAGATGACAGTGTCGCGATATCACCCAATACCTGACAGCTTCTGTACACCAACTGGGTATCGGAACGTATGTGTCTCCCAATCCGGATCCCGAGAGCACCAACAAGTTCTACCCCCTCGCAACTGCCACGATGAAGACGACCGTCTTTGATGTCGTTCACTTGTTCTCTGAGCAGGGTATCAGTGCAGTGCCGATTGTTGATGACCAGGGGAAAGTCTTGAACCTGTATGAGACTGTCGATGTCATTGTCAGTACTCATTGGGCATGTTTGTCATTGTTTCTTGCTCACCGTCCTACAGACTCTTGTACGGAACGGCGCCTACACCTCCCTCGATCTCACCATCGCTCAAGCACTCAAGCAGCGCGCTGTAGACTTTCCGGGCGTCGTCACCTGCTCTCCCAATGACTCTCTCAGTGCCATTTTCAGCTTGATCAAGATTAGAAGAGTGCACAGATTGGTGGTTGTTGCGGGGCAGGACGACCCTAAGCCTGGGCGATTAGTGGGGGTGATCAGTCTCAGTGACATTATGAGAGCTTTGATCGTAAGCACATCCCACTGCGCTTTCGAAATGCGTTACTGACTGCAAACAGGGGAGCGATGTACCTTTAGGAAGTGCTGGAGTAGGAGCCAAAGTTGTAGACAAGGTGTTGAGAGAGGAGGGCGAGGATGAGGTGTTTGCCACGTCAGAAGGGACCAGAAGTGGCGGTACAAGCATGGAAGGATAGACACGACGTCAGACTCCTATGGCTCCAGAAAACATTTGTAGCAAATTGTGTAACTTTAGATCGGGATGATCCGATGTAGGTTGGTTGATGCTCTCACTTCTCTGGAATGGCGCAAGGATAATGCTCGAAACCAGACGCACAAGAAGCTGCATTCAAGTCCGTTACGGCGAGCTCCTTTTTCAACGAGAGCTGAGTTATTGTGTGGAGGCCTTGTATACTCTCTTTCTCAGAACAGCACTAGGCCCAACAACCTCTTCAAAAGTTTCAAAAGATGCCTGAGAAAGACGGTGATCTTGCGCTTTTCCGTTCCACATCACAACCAAGACCAACTGGGCCATGAGCGACGCAACGTATCGTGCATAATTGAATGGACTATATGAGCCCCACGCTCTTGAGAACTTCATCCGCCTTCTTCCCCTTAGCTCGTATGAGCCCCAGCATCCTGGCTTCTTCGACGAATCTCACAAAGATCGCGTGTAGTCTCTCCTCCTCCTCAGCCTCCTGTTTGCGACCTATCCTATCCCCATTGCTGTTCCCGTTCGCACCTCCTACGCCATTTTCGGCATGCGTTTCTGAACTCTCCAATTCCGCCTCTTTGCCCTCTCCTTCTCCACGACCCCCCGCGTTCTCTTTCCCCTCGGCATTGCTCTCGTCCATGACATCTCGGAATTCCTCCAGCCAGTCCCAGAGATTTACAGATTTTCCAGCCTCTTTCCATATTCCAAAGAGCACTTTCAGCCTCTTCAACTCTTCCGCCAGATCCACTTGTCTGGCGCCTTCATCTTTGCGCGGCGCCTCCAGCCTTGGTCTCTTGTTGCGGCGCTCAGCAAATTGTTTTTCGGCACGTTCGGAAGGCCTTGAGGCGATGTCCCCGGCGTCGGTAGAGAGGTTTTGCCCATTGTATGCGGCAGATAACGAGACGAATTGTTCGGGGTTGGATAGAGCGTGGAGAAAAGATGGTCTGGGGGATGGATCATGGACCTTTCGATGATATCAGTATTGACATCGGTCAGAACAATTCAACAGCTCACAGATAAGAGGTTGTCATGTAGAGTCAAACTGAGTAGATATCTGACGCTTTCCGGTATATCAGGCTTCGCTGGGTTCGCACGGATAATTTTGAACAATTGTAGAATCTTGCGCTGTTTTTCAGCAGTATCGGCGTTCTGGATGATCACCGCCAAGGGGCCGTTGACATAAAAGTCCAGAAGAGCCCACTACGAGTAGTATCAGCAAGCAAGAATTTTGGCATCGCGGAACTCGGTATCACCTTTAGGGTTTTCAAAGCAGCCGCGGGTCCTCCATCAAGCTGATCCTCCTGCGTCAGCAACTCGTCGGCCAAGTCGTCAGAAATCTTCAGTGGAGCACGCTCAAAAGCCTAAAGATAGTATTCAATTAGCTGCTTCCGCGCGGTAGATGACAGTTCTGACCCTGATGATGGCATCAACTCCTCCAGCCTTCTTCTTGATACGGCCAGCTTGTAAGATGCACATGTCCACAGCACTGGGTTCTATATGTCCCCACGTAGAGAGGAAGACCGCCGAGGAAGGGACAGAGAGAAGTACACGCAGTGGGATGGCAGGATGTAGCCTACTCGAGGGTCAATACATGCCTTTGTCAAGGCAGCGACTTACGTGAGGGTAAAGATCAATTCCGACAACACTGATGAAGGAATCATCTGCGCATCTCGCACATGTATCAAGAGAGGCCTCTCAGGTTGCGACTTCCACCATAGTTCTAGCTCATCAATCCCTGACCTCCCAGTTCGTTTTCCAGATACGGTCGCATCTCCGATGAATCCTATGGCGATGGAGCGGATAGCAGACGCGAGATCTGTAAAGTTCCGGGCACCCTGGACTGTGTGATGATATATATCAAGCTGTGAGAAGTGGGAAGGTAAAGACTCCGATGCATCTACAGGTACATCATCAGTATGAATTTGACAAGGAGAAACGACTACTCACTCTGGAGGACAGCCACAGGTAGACGATGTATAGGCCGAATTAATTGGATGGTCTGTGGTTCATTACATCTTTCCAGCCAACTTGAGACATTCGATATTTGTTGCTGTGTTCTCTGCTCTTCGTAAACCTCCATGAAAGATCAGCATACGCCGTAGCTGTGCTGGTATCAGGCTTACGGAATAGGCCTCCTTTATTGAGTTGAGAGTAGAAGCGTAAATCTCGTCAAAAAGCTCTTGAAGCACAGGCTCGCTCTGGTCAGGTGGTACTTCTGGAGCTTCATCTACTGTGCCCAGTCAGCACCGCAATTTCCGGCTGGTTTGGCGACTGTTTGATTATATACCTTGAGGACTAAATGGGAGAACGAAGACGCCCTGTGCCAGGTCAGAAAGTGAGGAGGGAAAATGGGGGCAATGCTTACTTTGCTCAGAGATTGGAGGGGGTCATCCATTTTTCCACTATATGTCTTGATGAGGATGAGGTCAAGGAGAGTAACAAGTCAAGGAAAGGCAAGTTGGTGCAGCCGTCTTCAATCGGCGAGATCAACGGACGCGTTGTCGCGACTTGAGCGGCGGTCGCCGCACCTCCACCTTCAATTGCTTCTATTCGTCGGAATACCGATTCGTTTTTGCTTTCTGAGTTGTGTTACTCCAAGAAGGGGATGCTCGCCGCCCTTCGCCGCTTGACCATGCCCAGAAGAACATCCGCAGACCACCGCAATGTCGTCGCTGTCATCGGTACCACAGGCGTCGGCAAGTCACAGCTCGCGGTATCCCTCGCTCAGTCTCATCAGCGCTTCAGCAAAGGCCATTCGCCGGCAGTGGTGCTGTCCGCAGACTCTATGCAGCTCTACAAAGGCCTTGATGTCATCACCAACAAAGTCACAAAGGAAGAGATGGGAGGCGTGGAACACTGGGGCTTGGACATGGTCAGTCCAGCCGCGGGCCGGAGCTGGGAAGTCGGCAAATGGTGCAATGAAGCGGACCAGGAGGTAAGAGGCCAATCAGACATCACTCAGTGGCATAGCTGAGAATGCGTCTCCTCTACACAGATAGCCAATATGCCGCTTGAAACCTTGCCGATCGTTTGCGGAGGCACCCATTACTTCATTCAGCACTTTCTCTTCCCCCCACCAGAGCTCTCCTTCAGTCGAGAAGACTCGAGTGGACAAGGGCGCCCGCTAGAAATCAGATGGTCTCCCCCTGGACCGCCGCCACCTACACCCGAAAACCTGGCCCCTGCCTTGAAACGCCTTCTCGAATCCTTCTGGCTGCCAGATCCCGTCTGGCCTTCGGCAGAGCTGGAAACGCCTTCCTCACCATCCACCAAAGCTGAATCCTCAAAGTCTAGCCGACCGACAGTGCAAGACGAAAACAACCTTTTGAGATTGTTTCGTCTACTAGAGGCTGTGGACCCGACTGAAGCAGGACGTTGGCATTGGAAAGATGGGCGAAAAGTGCGGAGGGGTTTGGAAAGGTGGTGGGAGCGCGGAGGTCCGGTAAACCAAAAAAATGACGTTTTGGAGAGCGAGGCGAGGCCTTCTGGTAAAGATGGGAGACACGCCAAGTTCAGAACTCTCATATTTTGGGTCTATGAACCTCTGACATCACTACGGCCAAGGCTCGACAAACGCGTTGACAAGATGCTCGAGGTCGGCCCTATATTTGTAATCACGATATGGCATACTGACTGAGTAGCAGAATGGTCTACTACGAGAGATCGAAGAATTGCGGGGAATTGCAGCCGAGCTGTTTGGCAGCGACAACCCTGTCGATCATACGGAGGGGATCTTTCAGTCTATTGGCAAGTTGCGGTCTCGATTGCAAACGACAATAACTCACAGAAGTCTTGGCAGGATACAAAGAGTTTGCCAACCTCCCACTACCGCAGCCAGACCCTCAAAGTCACCCTCTCTTCCCAGCCATGCTCGAGAGGACCAAGATATCCACCCATCAGTACGCCAAATCACAAATAAGCTGGATCAAGAAGCAACTGCTGCCAGCCGTGCGCGAGGCCCGGTCCCTGGGTGGACAGGTGGAAGTGTATGTTGTGCCCGGCGGAGAAAAGGGGGAGAAACCTGCCGTGGATGTTCTGAGTCGATTCTTGAAGGAAGAAAAGCTCCCGGATGCAAGCGCAATCGGCCACCCGGATGCGGGTGAGCTGTTGGCATGTCTCAAAGAAGGCGATGCAAAAGTTCCTGACATAGCCGAGTGAGTGTTTACGGCTGACCATGGTCTTCCTCTCATGTCATCTTTTAGTCGTCAAAGCCTCAATGCGCGAAAGTTTTGCGATATCTGTTCCACTCCAAACCAACCTTATTCCGTCATCGTTCGCGACTGGGACGCGCATCTGAAGTCCAAGATACATAATCGGTACGCTTTATGTGCATCTCTCCAGAACGACTGCCTGACTCGGCTTGCAGCAATTCGCGGTCGTATGACAAGTCTGACAGGGAAGCCTGGATAGCTGAGCAGAGGGCGAAAGCCGAACAAAGAAGGGCAGAGAAGGAGAGATCAAGAGAAGAGTCGGTACAGCAGCAGGAAGAAATTTAGATCATATAGATTGTGATGTCTTTATCTTCTTATGAGATGAAAAGCTATCATTTGGATCGCACGATAATGCAAAGTATCTACTCAGCTATCTCTGCCCACTCCTCTATCACCTTCGGCAAGGTCCCTTTCTAGAAGGTCGATCTCTTCGGCAGACATGAGCCATCGTTCGTCAATCTACCCTGGAGTGAGCTCTGCAATCAGTAACCCAACGGCACTGCTCACCTCCGTATCCACAGATATCAGCTTGTTATCTTGTGGTTCTTCAGGTAGATCCAAGTCCAGCCACTCTCCCCTATCTTTCACATCGGGCAACGCGCCTCCTGTCTTGGCCAACCTCTACAAATTGTGTTCAGTGCAACAACTCGTCTGATACGGGCGCACTTACATCCGCTTCTTCATTGCCTATGATGCCAGAGTGGGCTGAAACGTGCTTGAATCTGACGGGGGCATTGGGGCCTCTTCGGCGGATGATGGTCATCAGGTGTTTGATGAGATCGACATTCATCACCGGTTCACCTCTACTGCCTTTGAAGCCCTTCTCAACCCACTTCGGCAGCCAGACGGTCATACCTGATCAATCGAGCATAAGTCAACCGAGGAATACGAGCAGCCTGGGTGTACATACAGGAAATGGAATAACGAGAGTCGCACCTGACTTCCAGAGGCAAGTCGGGATATGGACATCGCTCTATTGCTCTGATGACAGCCTGCCTTCGCCGTCAGCGTTTACATGTGCTGGACAAGCGATCACCCACAAGTAGCTCGCCTCTGTTATTTGTCTGAGGATGTCCTGGCACACGTTCTGCCCAGTTGCTAGTGTATACGTTCAGAAGGGCTCTGGACGACCTATCGCGACTGACCTCTTTGATGCTTCACCCTGAGATCCCCACCACACACCCGCACCCGCTTTCGAGCCAACTTGACCGTTTCCTCGAGCGGAGCCATCGGTATAGACGATCAGATGATGCGGCGAGCTCTTGGAGAACGAAAATCCTTTCTTGGCGATGTCTGCAAGAATGGGCGAAAGAGGTGACGGGGAGACATTGTTGAAGAGGAAAGCTGCGCGGTCGGTTTCGAGATCTCTGACTTGTGATACGGGGAGAGAAGGCTGTGTGCTCGTGTTGGTGTTTGGGACGGTGACCTTCCGCGCTGTAGCTGTAGGAACTCTCTCTTGACCATGATTCCTTTCTCGAGGTCGTGGCTCGGGGCTGCATGATCTGCGCTGAGCGGCTTTTGAGGAGGCATCGAGATCGACGCCCGATTCGGCTAGCCATCCCGTGGCTTCTTGTCTCGTCCCGAATTTCTTATGCTTTGCACTATACCACGTAAGATTTGGCATCAAGACGAATTATGCTACATACCCAGGATATCCTCTCACTTGAGCATTGACTTCATCCCACGTCTCGTATAGACCAGGCTTAAAGCCTATCGCTACTGCGTAGACACCAGCTTTGCGTGGCCTGGCGAGTGGCGATGAGTATCGTCTTGCGCTCTGCTCGACCGGCGATCCTCACATTTTTTCTTGTGGAGGAAGTCCACCTATTTCTTGTGAGTTTGCCCCGATGACTGAAAACTTCCTCTGTACGAGTTTCGGAAGTCCGTTGATGGCGCGCCGGAGGCCCGAGATGTCTTGAGGTTGTAAGCTGCGAGGCCGGTGCGCGGGGGCGGCCCGGCGAAGCAAGCGAGTAAGGGACAGTTTGTCGGGTGTTGCGCTGTGTCGTTCCAGGTGAGCAGGAGAAGGGCAGGGGGAAGTGGGCTGCAATGGCCCTTGGATCAAACTGGGATCAAAGTATGACACCTGCGGTGACGGACGGAGGCAAATATCGAAGGTGCGAAGTGGAGGTCAGTGCCTGGCTCGAGCTTCGACTTGTTGAGTGAACCCAGAGTGATTTCTCCTCCATCTCGCTCATTGAAGTCCGGCAGTGGTAACTCATAGCGTCATAGGAGAGGTTACTATGGGACATCTCCACCAGTCAATCACGCTAGCAGATGCGTTATCATGGTTGTGGGCTACATCAACTCATGATGTCACGGTCAAGGTGACGACTCACTCTCTCGGCGGGCCTGTTCCTTCGAGTATGGCGGTGCACTGCAGCTCGATCGAACAAGAAGACATGGAGTACGTACAGACTCCGAACTCTTTCCCTCTACGTGGAACACCTAGGGTAAAGTTTGGGATCGAAAGGCAGCCATGCTGTACCTATACTTTAGGTTGAGGTTCAACGTCGGACGGCATTGTACATACCCTCGCCTCGGGCCTCGGGCCTCGACTGTGCCCCTCCTCCCACGTTGTTTCTGCAGATGATCGCCATGATCGCGATTGCACTCAGGCGAGCACGGTGCATGATGCACGATGATAAAGGAACGGCATGGGTCCCAGTCTGTCGTCAACGACAAGAGCAAACCAAGAGTGACAAGAGAAGCACGTCTACTTTAGGTCCCCATATCCCCCATCACCCTCCGGGGCCTCCGGCGCTTTCGCCAGTGTATATTTGTACTTATGAGGCACAACAATCCCCCTTGACCCCCTTTGGGTGAGTATAACAGTATAGAAGGAGCTGCATGAAGTGTCTCTCAATTTCCCCATAACATCTGCAAGATGCTCGTCTCCGCTCTCACCGTCTTTGCACTCCTTCCCTTAAGCCTCGCCTTTCCAGTCGCGCCTGTAGTCGACCGAGCAGAGCCCGGCATCGCTCTCGCGGTGGATGAAAGAACGCCTGCGATTGCTTCGCTTGCTGCTCCCGGGTCCGTCAATGCGTTTGGGCGTGCCATCGCGTCTGTTGCCTCATCTGATGAAAGTTTGGCCTTTGGCGCCTTGCCCCGTGCTGCCGTCCCGGCCGCTGCCAACGACGCAGTGTCCATTGACGCTTTTGGGCGACGAGACGCTCTTCCAACGGCTGTCATCACGGACACTGCTTCTCTTGACGCGTTTGGCAAATAAAGTCGTCGGTGAATTTCGCGTGTCTGCAGGCGATTTCTGCTGATCCCTGTCTTAGGAGACGGCAAGGGTCTCTAGTTGAGACCGAGGAACAGCACCGCTGAAAAAAAAGAGCCTGTCGCAAATGATACCGGGAATACGTCCGTAGACTTCTTGTTACTTGAGATGCCACCATCTGACCGTCCTTGACGAGGCTGAAGAGTGCAAGAGATCCATAAGTGTGCTATATAACTCCAAAAAGACCACATTATTCGAGGGGACGATGAATTAGACATGCAAGTGCTGTATTAGTTGTTGTATTGGGTGACAGATAGATTCAGATCGACTTTGCCGCAAGCATTGGGTATTACAGGAGGTGCGACTAGACGTTGACGAAAGAGGCCTCGTTGAAGATCCAGCCCTTGACAGAAACAGTCTCCTCGCCGCGAGTGACCTCGAGGGTGGTAGGGTTGTGGTACTATGATATGTCAGCATAGTGCAATGTGTCGACACAATTCTCAGACTGACCTGGTAAATGAAAGGCTTAGTCCCGGTAGCAGCCGCAAGACCCTTCCTGATGACATAAGGAATCTCATGCAGCACATCAACCTTCTCAATCAGACCACCCTCACCGACAACCTTGCCGGCCTTCTCGATAACTGCACGGGCGCTTGCCCTACCGGTACCGTCTCGGCTATCGCCTGCCCAGTTGAACTCGAGTCCCCCGGGTGCAGAATATCCCGTCTCGCCATCTACAACGGCGTTGAGATGGGAGGCAGTGGATACGTCGAAAGAAGGAGCGGGGTAGTCCTCGACGCCAGCAGGAGTGTGGGTCTGGCCAGTGATGAGGAAGGGGACGGGATCCGTCTTGCTGGAGTAGACGCAGCCAATGTTGACCTTTGTCTGGCCAGACTTGGGACCCTTGGGTCCGTAGTCCTCCTGGAGAGAAATGAGCATGTATATTGTCAGTATTTCGAGGACCCACAGTAGTTTCAAACTCCATCTGGATTGCCCTCACAGCCCCGAGCTTTTCATCTTCCTGCCCGGGGGCAGTGGTGAAGAAGGCAAAGTTCCAAGTTGAAGCCACCAAGTTGGGCCTCATACCCTGGATGGCATGCACAAACATGCCTTCACCAGCCATGTCGACGATTGCGCCGCTGAGGACGAGGGTCCCTGAGCTCTTGACGAGGGGGTGGAAGCGGTGAACGACATAGCCATCTCGCTTGAGCTTGTCCTTGCCGAACGTAGAGACGCCACCTTCGGGACCGGAACCAAGCTTGAATCCGGGGGCAGAAGAGGGCTTGGTGAATTGGACGGAGATCTGGACGTCCTTTTCGAGGTGGGCCGTGATGGAGTAGGTCTCGTCGGTGGCGGGGGTGCCGGTATGCTTGATTTCCTAACCAATGTGTCAACAAAAGAGTCTGTGGGACACTGAAGGCTTACAAATTCATCAGCCTTGCAGTTTTGCCTGTCGAATTTGGACTTTGAGGCGTTCACAGACTTCCAAATGGACTTCTTGGTGGCGGGATTGTAGTGCTTGAAGGTGATTTGGGTGGTGGCGGGGATCAGGAAAACGCTGGCGCAAAGTCAGAATTTGGGGCCTACATGCACCTTGCCGGTCTGAGGGTGAGAATGCAAGAACGTACCCGAGGTATGACCAGATGATCTGGACCATGACTACACTACCGTCGGCAAGCACAGTGTACCAAGTTTGAGTCTCGGTCTGGAAACCAGCGTCGTTCGTGTTGAGCCACTATGCGCAGCATTGTGAGCGTTTCTCAACACACGCTGGGTAGACTACTCACGGCGGTGTCGTCGCTGGTGAGCTCACCGAACCCGGTCTGGGACGAGGTTGCTGGCCAGAAGTTGTTGACGGCAGCGGCGGCATCGGGCTTTGATCTGGGAGGCTAGGGTCAGCTCGGGGGGAGTGTGAAGGGGGAGGACGCACGAGAACCAAGACATGGCGGCAGATGGATTTGTGGAGGATGTTATGGAGTGGGGCGAGCGCAACAGAGAGCATCGGAGCGGCCCTCGCGGAACAACATTCCTGTCGGTGTCCCGATCCCGCCAACTTGCGGTTCCTTCCTTCAACCGCCCCTATGATGTTTTGGGCAGGGTCGTCCCGGGCGAGTGTGGCTATGGACTACATGGGTGCTGCTACTCTAATACAACGGCTCCTCTTTCACAGGCCTTTTGCCATGGCCTCCATGATCACGCGCCTCTCTCGGTCTCTCTCGCTCAATGTCTCGTCGAGGCGGCGAGCGTGTACTCGACCTCTCGCGTTTCACCAGAGCATCATTCGAAAGTGGCGTATGTTCGCGCCGCCTGTCTCTGTACCGCCCGCCCGCTCTGTCTCGGTCGTCACGCTCGCGCTCTGGCCCTCCGCCACTCCGCCTCGGGTACTCTCTCGTATCATCGTCTCGACGGCTGTAACGTCTGTCCCGTTCATAATCGTAGTGGCGCCTGGATCTGTCGTGATCACGCTCAGAGTCATCGCGATGGTGCCGTCTGGACTCTGAGCGGCGATGGTGGTCTTTGTGGTCACGCTTCACTTCCTTCTCGGCACGCTTCATCGCACGTTGTTCTTTGCGAAGGCTTTCAGAAAAGTCAGCACGTATATACAACGAGTGGAAGCATGCATCAGACTTACGCCTTTTCCCTCTTCCTCTCCTCCTTCTCCAGTCTCTCGATCTCCTCATCCTTTTCGCTCTTCTTCACCGGCACGTCGTTCGCTCCAGTCCCAATAGCATCCGGGTCTCTCTTTGTTACCGGCAGGCCGAGAGCTTCTGCCAATGCATTTTCCTCTTGCTGCTTGACCCGTGCAATCTCTTCCGCCCGCTCTCGAGCAGCCCGTTCTGTGTCGCCGTCATCGACATCGCGATTGTACCAATGGATATCCTTATTTTTGGCCCAGCGGCCTACTGGGGCGTTGATAGAGTGTCCAAGGTAGTTTTCTGGATTCTGTTAAGCCATGACCTATGGCTAGAGCAGCAAAGACCCACCTCTGTGCTTGTCATCTGCGACCGCAGACCATCTAAAATCACCCTGTCCACCGCGAGTGCCTGGGTCGAAGTGAGCGAATGCATATGCAAGGGGAAGAGAGGACGCACCTCCTCTAACAGGACCGTCGTACATGGTATGTATGCTGAGGTTATGGATATGAATGAGATGCAAGATAAACAAGCGGTGCCACACGTCTAACACCGCAGATTTCCGCCTGGCTGACGCGCTTTGGCCGAGAGGATAACAACCCGCATAGGCGCAACACGTCCAAGTATCCCTTGTCACTCCTCCGCCCCCCTCGCCACCACCGCCACCACTCTCCCGCCTGCCCCGCCACTCCTTCGCTACTCCCCACCATGGGCAACGCAGTCAGCAGCTGCTGCAGGCCAAGGCGCAAGAACAGCTACGAGCCCCTTCTCCTAGAGACAGAGAGGGAGGCCGTAGCCGACTTGCTGCAGTATCTTGAGAGTCAGTCGCAGCCTCACCGGTCTCGCATGCATGGCTGACGCGCAGGCTTATCGCAGACCGATCCACCACCAACTTCTTCGCCGGCGCGCCCCTGGCTGCCCTTACGACCCTCTCGTTCTCCGAGAACGTCGACCTCCAGCGATCCGCGGCCCTGGCGTTTGCAGAAATCACAGAGAAGGAGGTCAGAGAGGTGGGCAGGGATACGCTCGACCCGGTCCTGTACTTGTTGAGCAGCCACGACCCCGAGGTACAGCGCGCGGCAAGTGCGGCTTTGGGCAATCTGGCCGTGAATGGTGGGTGGATCCCTTGGGCGGCACATGAATGGAAGGCTCATGCACATCTCAGCGGAGAACAAGCTCCTTGTGGTGTCTCTTGGTGGGCTCGAGCCCCTCATACGACAGATGCTCAGCCCCAACGTGGAGGTCCAGTGCAACGCGGTGGGATGCATCACCAACCTGGCAACCCATGGTGCGTAGTGCTATCGGCCTGGTAGCCTGACTGATGCCCCGTTCAGATGAGAACAAGACGCAGATTGCCAAGTCGGGCGCATTGGTGCCGCTGACTCGCTTAGCCAAGTCAAAGGACATGCGTGTACAGCGAAACGCCACTGGGGCGTTGCTCAACATGACTCACTCTGGTACGTGTCGTTTCCCATGTATGCGCCATGACTGACAATATGTAAAGACGAGAATCGACAGCAGCTTGTGTCGGCTGGCGCCATTCCCGTACTTGTCAGCTTGCTCAACTCTCCCGACACGGACGTTCAATACTACTGCACGACCGCTCTTAGTAACATTGCTGTCGATGGTGCGTGAGAGAATCTTGCGAGAATCATGGCTGATCAATCTGTACAGCGAACAACCGGAAAAAGCTCGCCACCTCCGAGCCCAAGTTGGTGCAGAGCCTTGTCCAGTTGATGGACAGTCAGAGTCTGAAAGTACAGTGCCAAGCGGCTCTGGCTCTGCGTAACCTTGCCAGTGACAGTAGGTCGTCTCATTGCGACACTGATGTATGCTGACTCTTGCACAGGCAAGTACCAACTCGAGATTGTCAAGTTTAACGGCCTTCAACCTCTTCTTCGACTTCTTCACTCCTCTTATCTGCCCCTCATCCTTTCCGCCGCTGCTTGTGTCCGAAATGTCTCCATTCACCCCGCCAACGAGTCGCCCATCATTGAATCTGGCTTCCTCCAGCCTTTGATCGAGTTGTTGTCTTTCGACGAGAATGAGGAAGTGCAATGCCATGCAATCTCAACGCTGAGGAATTTGGCAGCGAGCAGCGAGAAAAACAAGGGCGCTATCGTGGAAGCGGGTGCGGTTGAAAAGATCAAGAGTTTGGTCTTGACCGTTCCCTTGGCCGTTCAGAGTGAGATGACAGCCTGTGTGGCAGTCTTGGCCCTCAGTGGTGAGTCTTGCGTCGACAGGCACGGCTCGTGCTCAAACCCTGTTTAGATGATCTCAAGCCTCAACTACTCGAAATGGGTATCTGTGAAGTCCTGATTCCCCTCACCAACTCCCCCAGCGTCGAAGTGCAGGGCAACTCTGCTGCCGCTCTCGGCAACCTGTCCTCCAAGGCTGCCGAAGACTATGCGCCTTTCAATGCTGTCTGGAACAAGCCCGACGGTGGCCTTCATGCCTATCTTGTCCGATTCCTGAGCTCTGCCGATATCACCTTCCAGCATATTGCCGTCTGGACGATTGTTCAATTGCTCGAGGCCGAGGACGAGCAGCTTACAAACAATATCCGCTCCTCCCCCATCCTAATCTCCTCTATCCGCCAACTCTCCAAATCACCCCCACCCTCCCACTCTGGCGGAAGACGTGACCCCACAGATCCGTCAGGGAGCTCATCAGACGAGGAGTATGACGACGGCATGACGGACCAGGAAGGAGAGGGCGAGATTGTGTCTCTTGCGCGAAGGATCTTGGACTTGACAGAGGTTGGGGAGGAAGAGGGGGACGCTTTCGAGTCCCGGCCCAGGCCAGTCGCTGGAAGTCAAGGGGTGCAACAATACTCTTCAGGCGGACAGGGTAGTCAGGTCGGGAGTGTTGGGTCGGAGCATGCGGCGTTGCGAGCGAGTATCCACAGGGCGTTGAGCGGAGGTGGTCGATGAGCGGTCGAGCTTGGCCAAACCAGTCTTGTTGCTGTTTGAGGCAATAGACACACATGCGTAAAAGTCATGTTGTCAGCGCGTACAAGCGCCAAATGTTTGATGACGGACCGAAAGGAACAAAACCAAAGGCGAAGAGTTTGTGAATGACCCTGTGAGATGTGAATGTATGTATAGCATTTTGATACTACGTCTTATTTTTATTCGAATAGTCTTTCACCTGGCAGGATAATGCACCATGATGTTTCTGTGTCTTGTTGCAGCGGGTAGCGAACAGGGAATACGGGGCGGGGGTGGCCGCTCGGAGGAAATCGGAGGACGGGATCAAATGGGGGAGGGCGAATGGGATGCGGACAATTACCAGGACATGGTGTTGAACTCTTGAAGTGCCCTTGTACTGCCCCCATACACCACTCACCGCCATGTCCCTCCTCCGCCAGTCCATCGCCCGCGCCGCCTTCAAGCGTACGCATCCCGGCCCTGCCCGCCTGTCCCTCGCTGACCTGCCGTCTCCAGCCTCCATCCTCCGGTCCACCCCCGGTCTTATGCTCGCCCAGCGACGGTCAGTCGATCGCTGCAACCGAATGCTGAAAGAGTAGCTGACAGGACATGCTCCAGATTCGCTTCTACCGAGCCCATGTCTGCCAGCGAGAATATCGCTCTGCTCAACTCTCAGAGGCAATACCGACCCACATCTCCTCACTTGGACATCTACCAGCCTCAAGTATGTATTATGTCTATGCCCAATCGACATTGAGACATGTAAACAAGACCGCTGCTAACATGCAATCAGCTTACCTGGATCCTGTCCAGTCTTCACCGAATCACTGGTGTCGCCTTCTCTGGAGCTCTCTACCTTTCCGCTATCGCCTATCTTTTCCACCCCATGTTCCCCGTAATCGACTCTGCCCACATCGTCGACCTTGTGCACACTTTCCCTGGATGGGTCAAGGGTGGTCTGAAATTCGCGGTGTCTCTGCCGTTCACTTTCCATTGCTTCAATGGTCTCAGGCATCTGAACTGGGATATTGGAAAGGGTAGGTTCTAGCAGGCGTGCATATGCGAGAGTTGTTGCTGATGCTGTCTCAAGGCCTCACCGTCAAGGGCGTTTACCAGACCGGCTATGCCGTCCTCGGCGCCACATTGGCCACTTCCCTCTACCTCGCCTTCCTCCTCTAACTCTAATTTCATAATCCTGGATGATGACCTGTCGTGGAGGAGCACGAGTATGGGCTGGGCAGAGAGCGGGGAGTGATGCGATTATGTGGCGTGGCGATCGGATCAAGCGTCGCAGGGTTCGTGTGATGATAGGGATCTCATGGGACGCATGCCTTGAATGTTGTGCCCATTGTATTTTAGTCCGATACGAATGCATTAGTATCTTTTTCGGACAAGGCCAGTTTGCTGGTCAAGACTATATTCATCTGAACCAAGCACCCACACCAACTCCTGGCCCATCTATGCCCTCGGCGGCATGCCACCATCCTTCGGGTATCAACACGCTCTCACCAGGGCCAACTACAACCTGACAGCCTCCTTCGAGCTCATATGCTCGACGCAATCTGTCTCTACATTCTACCAACGTATTTGGCGGGAGATCGTCGAGATCCGCAAATTCTGAGAGAGGAGAGACGATTCGGGAGACAGGAATGGGAATCTGCGAGGTATTGGCGTGTAATGGCTTTGGCGACGGATTGAGATGTGGGGATGCGGCAGGCGGAACCACATGAAAGATCTTCCGACCTACGACTATACCGCAGAGAAAGTATCGGCATCAAGCTTCGCATACGTACACTAGGCACTTACTCTGCGTGTATATACCCATATATGGATCTTTATGGAATGGGGTAAAGCTTCCCGCCGGCCCGATCCATATCGTCCGCCTATACAGGCTTTTCTCTTTGCCCACGTAGAAGTGAGGCAAGGGAGGGACATCCGATAGCAGAGACGTAGTTGAGTCAAGGAGATCAGATTGAGCAAGATATGCCGTTGGCAACTTGAAAGAGGGATCGGAGGAAGGTATGAGGTTGAATATAAAGGCATCCAAGAATAGTCCTGTTCCCTACATCAGGATTCTCCAAATCGTTATGCTAGAAGACATACCAAAAGGCATGTTGATTTTTTGCCATTCCTGGTCTAGATAACCGCGACCACTCTTTCCCAGCTCGACCTCGGCCACCCTCTCTTCACCAATTCGATCACGAAGGATTCGAAGATTATCTTTAAGGCTCCAAGAGGCCAGTGCCGGCCATGCGGCAGCAATGTTTGGCAGGTGGAGGGGAAGAATGGGCGTAGTGCTCAGGTGTTTCTGGAGGCTGGCCGGGGTGAACGCGCTCACTGAACGAGCTGTAGGGATGGCGATGTGGGATATAGTCATATTGAGAGTGGACCAAGGCCTAGCGGTCGTCAGTGTCGCCTAAGAAAGAATCGCCGCGCAAGACACATCGATGTAGTCTGTAAGCCAAGGAAACAAGAACAAGAAGCGGTCATGAAAGTGGAGGTCGGTCGCGTCGGTTCTGACTTCTCAAACTTTTGTCTTGCTTTGCCTTTCACTCCATCTTCCAGCTCGCGATAACACTCTACGCACTCCCCTCTGCCAGAGCGCGTCGTATACCAAACAATTACTCCTTCGGCCATCTCACCCACAAAGCCAACCAGCATGTCGAACTCTCAAAAAAGAGAAAAGCTTGATATCGAGTCCCCAGAGGAACGCGAAGCCCGTCTCGGTACGTGGCACATAGCCACATCTACTACATGCGTCACCATAATCCAACTGACTGTATATGCATACAGGTCAGCTGTTATCTAGTATCTCTACCGGGACAAAATCGTCAGATACTGAGCCCTCAACACCTTCAAACCCCTTACCAAGTCGGCCACATGCCATGCCCGAGAGCGATGGTAAATATGCCTGACTGATGATTATTCTCGTATTGACGTATGCTCGGCATTAGTTTTGGCTCGCGTACGGGCCTTCCTACCCCAATTCCAGGCCGCCAACGAGGACCTGCTCAAGCGCGCAAAGGAAGATCCAGATTCGGTGGATATCGAGAAAGGCCAGGGTCAACACATTGCCATGGTATGTCACTCTCATCCTGTAAAGGACTGCTCATGAGTACATGTTCGTGCTGCCAGAGTTTGAACGTTGACATCCTATTTAGGATCTTGGCCTGGGTGTGTTCGATGCCCCTGAGAACCCTTCGAGCGACATGGGGCCTATCATCGAAAGCACAGTGCCAGAAGGCTTCCAACAACGGCAAGATGAAGAGAGCGAGGATGAAAGCAGCAGCGATAGCGACAGTGAAGGCACCAGTAGTAGTTCAGAGTCAGGCGAGAGTGTGTCAGCCGCAAAGTAATTCGACGTGAATACGCTAGACTTTTGTTTGTGTTATTGTACGCATCTAATATGTACTCGTACTGTACATGATGAAGATTGAGGGAGTTAGGAAGCCTTTATAGACTCGTGGTTTCTTATTCGCTTATCAATTGACTCACCAAATCGTTGTCTCCGAACACTGCCTTCGTACTCGTATACCTGCACCGTGCCGTGCCACTCAGAATGCCGCCGCGATGACCGTCGGGCGTCAGCTTCGCCGCGTCTTTAACAATCCATGTAACATTTCTCATTTTTTTTCATCCTCCATATCTCTCCTCTCAACAGCGATATGGAGAGCCTGTCCAATGACCAGGCGCAAGCATTGTGGGAGGTAGGAGGGTTTGTCATCATCACCGACTTGCCAGAAGGCAGTGAGTTCGGTATCGACGGGACGTGAGTTAGACAATTAGCTCCTTCGAGCACGAAAGCTCGAGACTGATCTAGCTAAATTTGTAGGTACCATACCACCAGAAAATTCTCTGGGATCAAATTTGTCCCGCCAGGCATTCATATGATCGCCTGGTGTCCACCGCCATCGACCGCCCCATCCTCCGGGCCATCCGCTATACCCATTCGCCAAGCTATCATCAAATATTTCAAACCGAAAGAGCGATATGTGCTCAAATACGACAAGGGAACGGAGAGTGTAATCCTTCCTGAAGGAGAGGTTCTGATGAGCGACGACAATCTCAAGAATCTCGATGCTGAGCTCGCGCCGTACCCTTTTGATGAGATCACAGGATGGAAGGCTCTCACTTCCGAGATCGCTCCCTCTGTCGTGTCCGCTGTGGTACCGGCTGGAATCATAGATGGCCTCACTCCAGTGATGGATCAGGACGACGAGACATTATCGAAAGAGATGAAAGACAAGCTGGAGGAAATGAAGATGAGGTCGCATATGGAGGAAGGCGAGATGGAAGGGGCTAGTTTGGCATTCGCCCGATTCAATCTGAAGAGGAGCTGGAGAGAAGGGGCAGTGGGGGAAGAGGTAACGAGGTACTCTAGGGACAAGAGTTGGCTGTTTGGAAACGTCCTGGAAGAGCAATTGAAACGAGGTACGGGATTTTTTTGCTAAGAATGAACATAGCTGACGCTGAGACAAAGACCCAAAGCTCTTGCTTGGGCATCTGCAGCTGTCTTTCATTTTACTCCTCCATCTTTCGTCGTTTGCATGTCTGCAAGCCTATAGAAGTATCATTGCCCTCTTCACGGCATCACCATCCCTTCTTCAAACACCATCTAAATACCTCTCGCCCCCAAAATCAGATCCCAATGCCCATGTGGGCACAGGCATCAAACAAGCATTCCAAACGCTCGTTGACACCTTGGTGTCGCAGCTGGGCGCATTGCCAGAACAGGTTTTCGAAAGTGAACTGCCTGAAATGGACGTTTTCTTCCTTGACCAAATTGAAGCCCTTCGTCAAAACCTCGGCGCTGCTTTATGGGCCACCTCTCCATCTGGGCTTCAAGTCGGTGTCGAGGAGGGTGCACAATGGTCAGAAGAGGAGAGGCAGGATATGAATGCGAGATGGAATAGGCTGCGCGATGTGGCATGGAGAAGATGGAGATGGGATGTGGACGAGCTGGGTCATCGGGTTGAAGAGGAGGACGAAGACGAGGACGGCGAGTATGCGCCAATGGTGGTAGAAATGTAAAGATCATACATCGAGTCCCATCTACAAGAGACCAGGGACGACTGCTTTTCTGTCCTTGGGATACTTGTCTCCGAATTCTTTTTGATACCAATTGTGGCCTCTGATCGCCCGGGGCAGCATGCTCGTAAATTCCGCCAATAAAAAAGCCCACCCCGGTGCAAGAAGATACGCCGGCCAGTAACATCTTGAGATGGTGTGTACCAATGTATGAGCAGGGCCGCCGGACAGGAGTAATGATGAGGCAGGCGGAACAGCGATGACTGCTGAAGAACTAGCTGCAAAAGACCAGCCAGTCCATTCGATCCTGTAGATGTGAGCTCATGAAGCGCGGGTGTAGAGAGAAAGACCCACCATTCAAACAGATAATTCGGATATGACACCCACCTAAAGAACCCCCCTCGAGGAATCTTGTATCTTTCTGTATTGGCGCTCCCATCTCCTGGCTGGTGGTGGATGATCAGGCGCCTACCTGGGGGTCTACGGAGATCATTGAGAATCTCATCATGGACAACTGCCACCGGTAACATCAGAAGGAGAATCAAGTATGGAGATGATGCTCACTGTTTCCAACGAACCCGACTGCCCAAGCACATACCCCCAGTATGAACTTCCAGGTCAATTCCTCCCGAGGTGGATAGAAAGCCAAACCAAGGGCCAAAAGGTAGCCATTGCTAATATATAAATCAATCGCACTCTTCGAGCTATATCAGGGGTCCCCCGGTGACAACGCACATCAGATTGAAGACCACGGCTGAAATTGCTACACTGATGTGCAATGGAGATCGGGACGGAGAAAGAATGAGGGGTGATATTATGGCTCGGTGGGCATAGTGGACCGTATAGAGGACCTGTAGATGTGAAGACGCATCATCAAATCATGTCCAAACATATGAACCAGCTGTAGCCTTGTTGCTCCTGAAAGGAGTGCTCACCTGAAGTATCCTTGCTGAAAGATTCAGAGGAGGGTATTCATGTGTGTAGAGAGCAACCATGAATGTCACAGGCTATGAAAGACGTCAGCTCTTCCTCCTGAGCTCTTGCCCGACCTACCGAGACTATCTCCATGGCGGCCCATCCGAGATTACCTACCGAAGCTCGGTCAGCGTGAAGGATCAATAGTATGATGGAGAGAGCGAAAGCCAACGTACCATTGATATTCAGGCGACTGCCATGGCTTGCGAATTTGCCGAAAGGCGCATCGATGAGTCCCGAAAGAGTGATGGGCATGTGGAGGGCGAAGAGGTGGAAGACGATGAGGGCGGGGAAGAAGTTTCCAGGTGGTAGCATGCTGATGGTGAGAGGGTATACGATTGATTTCTGGAAAGGGTCTCCGCGCCAGGAGCACTGTTGTGATCGATGGATGTCGCGCAGACGAGAGGCAGAACGGCGACAAAGATCGGAACGGGACCAAACAAGCCAAATGACGATGGTGAAGTAATGAGTGCCGTTTGTCGCCCCGAGCTCTTTAGGAGTGCGACGCCAATGCCATGCAGCCATTGAAGATATTCCTGGGACTATTGCATACTGTACACAAGAAATAGACTACTACAACGATATATAGGATTACAGCTCCATATCTTCTGCTCCGCCCATACTCTCACTATGTCCTTGCTCGCCCGACGGGAGACCGACTCTCGCCCCCGCAGGTTCAGACCCGGCTCGACGACCTTTACGGGAGACAATAGACCAACCTTCCTCCTCGTCTTCTTCTCTGACAATCTCCAAGCTCCCGCTCCGGCCTGTCTTTCCGAGAGGCGTACCATCTGCCCCACCTGCCTTGGACTTGGAATCGACGGGCACCAATTTGCCCATTTTGACAGGCCCAAGCGGACTCGTGAAATCAAACCTGCCACTCTTGACTTCCTCTGGCATGCCGAACCCGCTCGGGGCTGTCTCATCGCCTGAAGGCAGGATTCGAGGCGGAGTATAAGTGCGCCTGACAGACGCTGCCGGGGAGAGTTCCCCAAGGGCATACATACGTTTGTCTCTGTCTCTCCGAGTAGGGGTGCGGCGAGGAGAATTGGTACGCTGATTGGAGAGGGAAGGGCGGATGTAGGATGCCATGGAGGGAGAGCCCGTCGTGCGCGGGGGCGGAGTGGAGGGCGCAGAGGGAACGATGGACAAAGCTGGTATAGTGGGGTCCAATTTGGGTTTTGGAGGAGGAAGGGAAGTACGCCTTTTCTTGGGCACACCAAATATTGAGTCGAGGCGCTCGTCAGTAGCGGAAGACTCTCCGTTCGCCTCAAAGACGGGCGTCGACGCCGACCGACCGACCTCGCGCAGGACGCGACCCCGCTCTTCGGCCAGTATCCGGAGCTTCTCCATGCGGCGTTCGCTCATGACCCAATTGACCTGAGTATTCCATTCCTCCCTTTCGGCCTTGTACCTGGCTTGGTTGTCCTCTCCGGTGACACCTGGGTGCAGGCGTGTGCGAGCAGAGTGGGCTTCGCGAGCAGTGGCGAGTACGTCGAAACCACCTGGGTTTTTGGCATGGTGGTATGCACTTTGTAGGGATGCGGACGCGAGAAGGGGTGGTTCTGGACGAAGGTGGAAGGGGATCAAGCGAGCTTTGATACTTATGACACTGAGTTTTGTGGGATCAGCAGAGCGTGTGATGCGGAAGCTCCTTGATTGCTTACGGTGGCATGGATTCATTATAGATGCGAACGGGAAAGAAGTGGTTCCCCCGCGGTGTGGTTCTTCCTTGGAAGAATGCCTTCTTGTCGATGATCTGGAAGCTTTACGTCAGCCATAGAAAGTCATCAATCAAAGCCAGTAACTGATCTCACCTTTCCTGGCCATACGCCGTCATGAGCCGTGTCGACGAGAACAACATTTCCCAATCTGGGGATCCATTTTCTCCATTCGTCCTCCTCATCCGCAGCCAGATTGTGCACAGAGACAGCCCCCGGGTATGCGGTGGGCATAGGTCGGCATTTTCCGTCCCGCTCTGCTTTGACTAAGCGGGCGGCAGAACGCGCACAAGTCAGTGAGAGTCAATCAAGAAGACTGCAGAGGGGATGTCAGTACATACCGGTATCCTCTGCATCCTCCATCACCCCATCTTCTCCATCTGGCAGGGACCCAATATACCCATTGCCGTTGCCACCCGCAGCACATTTCTTCTCAGCGCTGCACGTCAACTCGTCCATGCTCTTCATGACCCAGTACCGCTTGACTGCCTCTTCCCATCTTGCGTGGACTACGCCGTCGTTGAGTTTTACGGCGGCACATGCCTCGAACTTGGCGGCGATAGAGTCGAGGCGGGTAAAGGTGTCGCAGACGAGGAGGTCGAGGGCGGCGTCGAGGGAGGAGAGGGGCGGGGGCTGCGGGGGTACGGGGTCTATGGATTTGCGTTTGGGCATGGGGCTGGTGGTGGGGCGAGGGAGAAGGGCAGTCCATGGCAGGAGATGTGTCAGCTATGTGGACGAATCTCCGCGGCGGGGGGCCCCGCATCCTCTTGCTCGTCTTTGTTCGTCGCCGTCTCCGGTTGCATTGTATACCTCCACCATGGCAAAAAAGAAGCTGTCCCTCAAACGTAAGCCCACATCCCATGGTCTCTCCTGACGCCCAGCAGCCGTACAGAGGGGGTTCGCAACCACCTCGGCCGCCAAGAAACCCCAGTCACAGCAACCGCCCTCCCCTCTGAGCCAGCACGACGCCACGCCGGAGGAGCCCTTGGGTGACCAGCCCAGGGAGAAGGTAGAGGCAGAATCCACAGACGCAAAGAAGGAAGATTGGGAGGACGACGACGCGACAGAACGCAATGCGTTACAAGGCTTCGTTGACAGGCTTCACGAAAAAGGAGAGAAGGAGGTCGTCAGAGTCATCAAGGTATGCTCCAATTTGTGCGCTTTAGAAACGGGGCTGATATCTCTCTTAAGGCTATTGAATTTGACCAGCGTCTTGGGGCATCGTTCCCCAAAGTTGAGATCAATCAGTCGTTACGAGACCAGGCTCTGGAAACAGCTCTAGAAGAAGAGCGAGCGAATCTCATTGGTATGCCTGCTCTGGAACAACGACCATGGGCACTCATACTCCTTTAGATCCATCCAATCCCCCAACGGTAACTCACCCAGCTGCCAACGCTCCGGAAACCGAGAAGGGTCTTCTTCGTTTCTTCATCGCCTACCATGTCCTTCAAAGGCTCGGCTTTAGAACAGCAAGGATCGAGCAGTGCTTCTTGCAGGGCTTACAGGAAGGCGAGGGATGGGAGGAAGCCCTGGAGTGGCTATGGCTACATTGCACTGAAGATGAGTGTCTGCAGAAAGGAGAGTTTGCCAAGCAAGAAGGTGAGTTTTGGGTTTCTGGGTCAGGCAGCAAGGCATGTCGAATAAGCACTGATGATTCTACAGAGCGGCCACTCGAAGAGCCGGAAGAAGCTCTACTACCTGCTTTGGAATCTGTGATCGAGGAGAAGGTGATCCAAGACGCTCCACCATTACAAACAGCCTCGGTCGTTACAGGCCCAGACCCTTCAACAACGGCGACTTCGTTATTCCAGGCGGCCGATTCCGAATCGGATAGTGGGTCAGACTTGGATGATGGTAACAGCGTCAACGAACAATGGGCACGGCTGCAGCTCTCGCTCGACACACTGAGAGGGCCTGGGTCAGGCAAGAAGGGCAAGAAGGGAAAGGGGTCTGGGGTGGTCTTGGACACACCAGAAATCAGACGATTGAAGGAGAAAATCGCGGCGGTTGAAAAGGAATACATGTTCAGTCGAAAACATGCTGGTGAGTATGCCAATAAATCCGGGATAGCGGAAGCTGATGCAAGCTAGACTCGATATTGAAGACGCTGAAAAGTCAAAGGAATGCCGAGTCAATTGCTGCAAAATTCAAGGGACTCTCGACCAAACCCGAAGAGAAGGCTGAGGAACAGGTCGACAAAGACGTTCAGCCAGAAAACGAAAGAACCGGACTACCGGTCCAGGAAGAGGAGGAGAAACCCAAAGCGACGGATAGTAGCAATATCCTTGATGCCTCTGCGTCCGACGATGACGATGGCGGCGGTCTGTTTGGTGCTATGCTCGACGAGCCGACAAAGCCAAAGTCCGGCATTCAACCCGACACTGTACCCTCTTCATCAACTAGCATATCAGTCCGATCAATGCCTATTCCTAAGCAATTGTCCTTTGCGGGAACCATACCCAAGAATGTGCTCAAGGCAGCATTTTCAAAAGCCACCAAGCAAGTGGTGCTCTCGTATGTCAACCTGTCTGGTCATAGCAAGGCCGCAAGGGCAGGCTTGGAATGTCGATGGCAATCTGGCAGTGACAAAGGGAGAAGAATATGGAGGATGGACGATATTGCGTGCGATGACATGGCTCAAGCCGAAAACTATGTTTCCACTTTAGCTTTGTCGGATCTGGAAGCCGAGAAGCTCATCAGTGGAGTCAACTGGAGGACGATGCCTGTCGCCTACCGAGAACTGTGGGAGGAGCTTGGTATTGAAAAGAAGGAGAAGGAGGATGCCAGTCGAAGAGAGGTCTGGAAAACGATCAAGAAGCTTTGGGACGCCAAAGCGACCGAGGTGACCATGGAGAAGGGCATAGTCGACAAATCGTCAGGTGGGAAAGAGAAGGATGGGGGACAAACAAAGGGAGTGGAGATGGACAAAGAGGATGTCTTTGTCAAGGACCTTCAAGACGATTACGCGAAACGCCGAGAATCCGCGCCTTATCAAAATATGCTCAAGCAACGAGACACTCTCCCTATCGCCTCCTTCCGAGATGAGATCCTAGCGACGCTCGAACAAAATCAAGTGATGGTGTTCAGCGGTGAGACGGGGTGCGGGAAATCCACTCAGCTGCCGTCTTATATCCTTGAGAACCAACTTTCACAGGGTAAGCCCTGTAAGATAGTTGTCACCGAGCCGAGACGAATCAGTGCTATTTCACTGGCCCAGAGAGTGTCTCAAGAGCTTGGTGATGCTACTGGTGCCGTCGGCTCTCTTAGCAGTCTGGTCGGCTACAGTATTCGACTGGAGAGTAAAACATCCGCAAACACGAGGCTGTCGTTTGTCACGAATGGTATAGCTCTGAGGATGCTCGAGTCTGGATCTTCTGGCGACAGCAAGGGTACTGCTTTCGACGAGATCACCCATATTATTGTTGATGAGGTGCACGAGCGCTCGATTGAGTCCGACTTTCTCTTGATCGTGTTGAAGAATCTCTGTCAAACCAGACCTGACCTCAAGGTTGTCCTCATGTCTGCCACGGTCGACGCTGAGAAGATTTCAAACTTCTTCGGGAGAGCGCCCTATATGAGCGTACCGGGTAGGACTTTCCCGGTGACTGTAAACTACCTTGAAGATGCAGTCCAGCTGGCTGGCTGGAGTATCGACGAGAGGTCACCTTATGCTGTCAGGGGACGTAGGCAAAAGCCACAATCGCAGATGTTGGAATGGAATGAGGAGGGTGCAAAGTCGGACTCTGATCCTTCGGACGATGAGGAAGAGTCGACGTCTGTTAATCCGGCCAAGCTATCTTCTGCGAGATACAGCTCCCAGACGGTCAATACCCTCAACTTGCTTGATTCTCGGCAGATCCCGTACGACCTTATCGTTGCCTTGCTGGAAAAGGTTTGCTATGGCTCGCTCGAGCACGTAACATTCTCTCAGGCTACGCTGGTATTCATGCCTGGCCTGGCAGAGATAAGGAAGTTGAACGATATGCTTCTAGCCCACCCACAATTCGGCAGTCAAGAGTTTGTTGTGTGGCCTTTGCATTCCAGTATCTCTTCGGAAGGTCAAGGTGCCGTGTTTCAGAAACCACCGAAGGGAGTCAGGAAAATCGTCATTTGTAGATCTTCATTCTCGACATACGGAGGCTGGAGCTAACCCCGACAATAGCAACCAATATCGCTGAAACTGGTGTCACTATTCCTGATATCACATGCGTAATAGACACAGGAAAACAACGCGAAATGAGGTGCGTCGACGTTTTTGCAAAAGGGCATTGACTGACGGCCTCAACAGGTATGACGAGAAGAGACAGCTGTCTCGTTTCGTCGAGTCCTATGTCGCGCGGAGTAATGCCAAGCAAAGACGTGGTCGAGCGGGTCGTGTCCAAGAGGGTCTCGCCTTCCATCTGTTCACCAAAGCCAGACATGACACCCAGCTCGCTGAGCATCCGATACCCGAGATGCTGCGTCTTTCTCTTCAAGATCTCGCCCTTCGTATCAAGATCCTCAAAGTACCGCTCGGCAACACCATATCGTCGGTGCTTCTACAGGCCCTTGATCCCCCCTCTGCGATCAACATACAGCGTGCCATCTCCTCACTTGTGGAAGTTAAGGCTCTTACGGTCAACGAGGATATTACACCCTTGGGGAGATTGCTCAGCAAGCTGCCGATGGATGTACATCTAGGCAAGTTCCTGTTGGTTGCGGCCATGTATGGATGTTTGGATCCCGCTTTGACAATAGCGGCAACCCTCAACTCAAAGAGCCCGTTCGTCACACCGTTTGGCTTTGAATCGCAAGCGAGAGCTGCCAAAGCAGGATTTGCAATTGGTACGTTGCCAAACTGGTCTACAGTGCGTACAATGCTGACTCTCATCTTGTAGGTAACAGCGATTTTCTTACTATCGCCAACGTTTTCGCAAGCTGGAGACGGGCATCTGACAATCCTAATTTTGTTCGGACTTTCTGCAAGAGAAATTACGTCTCCCACCAAAACTTGCAGCAGATCGAAGAGCTTCGCCAGCAGCTACTTGCGTATGTACCCTGCCAAAGCCACGACTTTACTGACGCTACAAAACAGATACCTTGTGGACACGGCGTTCGTGGATACCACACCCGAACAGCGGCGAGCTATCAGCCAGTACGTGTTTCGCAAAGTCCCTCGTCTGCGCTGACTTTGAGTAGGAGCCGTTTCTCCAAAGGGGTGCGAACACGATTTGTCCCCGTTCCAGCGGCAGTCAATGTCAATGGCGAAGACTTCAAGGTATTAGGCGCTGCACTTGTCTCCGGCTTATATCCCAAACTTTTGGCCCTGGACCCATCCGGCGGGCTGAAGACTATCACTAACCAGCAACCTGTTGTGATTGTAAGTACTATACATAGCATCGTCCACATGTCTCTTATCTACTCTCATAGCACCCCAGCTCAGTCAACTTCAAAGTTCCCTACAAGTCTTTTGGGACCAACTATCTCGCATACTTCACCATCATGCACTCCAAGAGGCTGTATGCATGGGAAACAGGGCCCGTGGAAGATACGGCGCTAGCACTGGTTTGTGGCGATATCGCCGACTTTAAAGTGCGTACTACGATACTTCCCAGGTCTCACCAGCTGACACCTATGTAGATATCTGCGTCTTCCCTCATCATCGACCGCCGTATCAAATACAATGTGGCACCAAAAACGGCCCTTGCCATCAAGCTCATACGCGAGCAATTTGCATCTGTAATGTCAATGCGACTTCGTGGCAAGACGTTGAGCAATAGCCAGAGGACATGGTTCGATCTGGGTTTGAAGTGTCTGGTGGCAGGATTGGATGAAGAGGAGGGAGCAAAGATAGGTGTTGTGTAGCAATCTGATTAAGAAGTATAGTCATTGTAGCATACCATTGCGATCAGATCAGCATACTAGCCAAGTCATCTAAATGATGCATACTTATACAAATGTCCAGCATCATACACGGGATACCATACACATATCATCGTGGACTGATCATCTACTGCTTTGCTTTGCCCTTCGCCCCACTGGGCTGGACGTCATATCGATTGGGCTCCGGCGTGCCATGTGCATGGTCGCAGTCGTGATTGTGGCTCTTGTGATGGCGGCGGGGACGTGCTTTGCGTATAGGTCTGCAAATGGCGTCAGCAACGGCCTGCAAATGTGCGAGTAGCGGCAACACGAACTTGGCGCGTCCATCTCCCGCGCCACCGTCTGATTCAGAGCTGAGCTCATCTTGGACTCTGCCGCTGTCCCCGATTCTTCGCGACTGTGATTGCTGTCCTGTATTCCGTGCACACTCATCCTCGTTTGACGAATCGTCTGATGATGACTCTGAAGAGGACTCGTCGTATGCCTTAGGCTTGTGGTAGATGCAACATACTAGACAAGCAAGTCAGAACCCAGTCAGCACAACGCCGGGCTTGAGACCAAGTCGACACACTCTTGGACTTTTTTTTGCCCATGCCCTCGTTGTCTACTGTCTCTTTGCTCCATACCACACGCTTTTCTTGCAAGGGACCGCCACGAAGCCTGAGGGTACCGACTGGGGGCTGGGTTGGCTGCTGTGCTGAGTTGGAGGGGCCTGCTTCCACGACGGTGGCGGTGATTCCCTGGGACGACGGGGACCTGGGTCTTGTAGACATGGCGAAGGTCGATCTGGTGGTTGAAGCAGGTGTAAATGTACTGCTGGTATATGTCCGCCACCGAAAGAGCGTCGCGCGTACGGCGTATTGGTTTGGTTCCGCGGGGAATTACGTACGCAGGAGCCGTGTCATTTCGGCGCTGGCCGACGGGCTCCCGACGGCACCTAAAAGTCGCCAGGCTCAGCTATTTTGAACTGGATTGAAATCTGCAATTCAACTCGCCGCCATGTCCAACCAGGTATGTCAAACGCACTCCCCCCCACAATGCTCACCCAGAACAGTTCAAAGCCCCCCCTCTCCAGGTCTCGTACGTCTTTGAATCCACATACCTGACTCACAGGCTGACTGGACTTGCAGCTCCATCTTGTCCGGCGGTATCCACCATCCCACTCTCCGAGCATGGCAGGCCAACGGGAGAAACCTCACAAAAGACATGTTGATCTATCCGATCTTCATTTCCGACGACCCTGAGGCCGAGCAGGTGGTCGCAACTCTTCCTGGCCAAAAGCGATGGGGAATCAACAAGCTCGAAGGCTTCTTGAGGCCTTTAGTGGAGAAGGGTTTGAAGAGTGTCATATTGTTCGGTGTTCCGATGAAGATGGAGAAGGTAAGCGTCTGCGTACTAGACCCGTGGTGTCGATCTCGGGTTAACCATGTCTGCCTCCAGGATCCTCGAGGAAGTGCCGCCGATGACGAAAGCACACCTGTCATCCAGGGTCTCAAGCTTCTATCTAAACTGTTTCCCCAGCTCATGCTCGTGGTTGATGTTTGTCTCTGCGAGTACACCTCACATGGTCACTGCGGTATTCTCTCCTCCCTCCCCAACCCCATTCACTCCAACGCACCTACCCTCGATGCCGAGTCTTCTGCCCAGAGGATTGCCGAGGTCGCTATTGCGTACGCCAGAGCGGGTGCCCACTGTGTGGCCCCCAGTGACATGATGGACGGACGAATCAGGGCTATCAAGCTTGGTCTCATGCACGCTGGATTGGCCAATAGGTGTGCTTTGATGAGCTACTCGGCCAAATTTGCCAGTGGCCTGTATGGTCCTTTCAGAGACGCTGCCGGTAGTGCTCCTTCGTTCGGCAACAGAAAGTGCTACCAGCTACCGCCTAACGCCAGGAGCCTCGCCAGAAGGGCTATAGTAGGTCTTCCTCCATTCAGAGAGAGCTATACTGATCCGAATCTAGCAACGCGATGCCGCTGAAGGTGCTGATATCCTCATGGTCAAGCCTTCTCTTCCTTACTTGGACATCATCTCGGATTGTGCTCAATATGCTCCGGATCACCCCACAGCTTGCTACCAAGTGTCCGGAGAATATGCTATGGTCTGCGCAGGAGCCGAGAAGGGCATATACGAGCTGAAAGAGATGGCTTTTGAGACAACGGAGTCTATGGTCAGGGCGGGTGAGCATTTCTTACCATATACCTTGCGGGATTGATAGCTTACACCGATGATAGGCGCCAGCATCATTCTCAGCTACTTTACACCCCAGTTCTTGGACTGGCTGGACCAATAGTTACACACACATGATCTTCTGGTTGTTCGTTCTGGTTGTCCGTAATTTTGCCGTCAAGCGCGGGGTGCGCATGCATCGTCAACTTCTCCACCCCCCATTCATCAGTCCATGAACGCTTCTATGTCCCTAATCGCTTTTGTGGCCACCTCCCCTTCGGTGATCGCCTCCTTATCTACATCGTCCTCCAAAACAAAGCCCCGAGGAAACAGCTTCCCTATCGTATTCTGCATGGCCAACTGCAGTTCGTTTAGTTCTCGAAGCGACCTTGCGAGTCCTTGCAGTTTCTCTTCTCTCGAAGCGCCTGGAAGGGCCCCGATTATGCTGCCGCTGGTCTCGGGAGAGGCAATGAATATCTTTGAAAAGAGTAACGCCAAGTTCCCGGCGAGAATGGGTGCGAAAGCCTGGAGAACGTCAATGATGTCAACCTCCAAGTACACAGCATCACTCACATCGTCTTGGTGACGTTGATATCTCTCATAAAGATACGCAAGTTGTCTGCCAAGAGGCATTGGGGACATACAACGACAACGAAGCAGACACCCGTGATTACCCAAGCAATCTCCTTGCACATCTGCCTCACCATCAGCACAGAGGTCAACAAGAACAATGACATGCTCACTCGTGCGAGCAATCACAGAAGCACAATTCCCGTCCGTGATAGCCGATGTAGTAAGTAACGCCAGGCCAAAGCACAGATACTCCTCTTCCGACATCTCTGGGTCTTCCGGCTGGACCGATACTGTTCCGCCTTGCCTGGCATCCTCGTCCATCTCTGTCGCAGTGCTACTACAACGTCTCCGGCGCATTTCGTCTGCCGTTCCAAGAATGACTTTTCGGTGAATAATGATTCGGGCAAGGAGAGAAGGTCCACCGGAGGACTGGATGACGGTTGTGGCCCAGGCTGGGACGGCGGTAGCCAGATGCGCTAGGAGCTGGATGGCGCGGACGACACATGTAGAAGCTGTATGCTTCGTTCAGTTCCTGTGCGCAAGCTATTGAAAAAGAACATACCTTCAAGCTCTGGGTCTGGGGACGTAAGTGCCACGTTGCAACTTATGATCGCTACGTAGATGATATTTTGAGTGTTTGACGGGTAAGTCTGGAGATAATTTTCGCGCTGGGCTTTTGATTTCTCGACAAGGGAAAGAAGGATCCCGAGACACTCAGCCAAGTATTGAAACTCGACGGAGCCCCCTTCCGTCACTAATTCCTACAGCCACATACTGAGCATTCCATACGAAACGAGCCACGCAAACATACCATGCCTTTTTCATACAGATCGAGACGATTTATCACCGGGAAGATTTCCCTTTGCAAGTTGCTTGAGATAAGTGCTGACAGATTTTGGGACTCGAAGGCTTCTTTTGCAGTGGTCCACAGAGGCCCGGAGCAGATAGATCTGAGGAGTACAGATGCCAAGCGGCGTGTCGCGAGCTTGACGACGTTGACTTCAGCTAGATGTCCAGTTGTGGCGACATGTACTCACAGTGCTCTTCCATCCCAAGTCCAGCTGGTTTCCTAATTGTCGCAGTCTGGTCACCTGTGGAAATGTTGGTCAGTATTACATCACTGATGACTGTCAATTCAACCTACCGACCCAGCCACCTTTGTTTTGTATGTGATGTCCAATGGGCCATCACGAAGATTGAGGTTCTGAGCGACTAGGGCAACACATTGTTCGGAATTGCCAGACAAGACCTGTTCTAGCCCCGATCCTGATAACATGAGGACCACAAGGAACAGTAGGCAGGCTGCTCTCATTATCTATATTCATAATGATCAACAAACGATTATCAGGGGTTTTGGTAGAAAGGGACGTACTTCATCTTCAAAGCTGGCCCCATAGAAGCAATCCCACGCCTTGTCCACCTGACCGCAAATCTTCATCTTGGTCAGCCAGGATACATCCTGCATATTTTGAAGGATATCAACAGCACTGAAGAGGTTGTCAACAAACGTTACGTAGCCGTAGTAACAACATCTGACCTTGATCTTCTGAAGGCGGAGCTTGCTGTGGGATCCGAAATGCCTTCCAATAGATAACCTAATTCGTCTATGAACCGCCTATTTTCGCCTCGGGACCTCATGTCGGACACTGTCTCAGGCGCCCGCGCTTGCATCATTTCCTGTGATGAATTAGAAGTGATCACCCACAGCGTGTACTTGTCGTGAAATGTACTTACCTGAAGGAGACTCGCTGAACGACTATTGGGAAGGACTGTGTTGTCGACTTCATACTTGTGTCTCAGTTCCGTATAGCTCTCTTGGGCTTCTTCCGAATCAATATTGGCAAACGTAGATTGGCTTCTTAGCACCTCTTTGGGTTGCTCTACAAGCATGGTCCGGACTTTACCATAAGTCCGCTTGGCCCTTCCGCCCGAACCTGGCTGAACTGCCTGTATTTGAGGTATCGGAACTTCTTCGCTTTGTGATTCCTTTGGACTAGGGATGTGAGGAGATTCGGGCATAGAGTGCAATCGCCTGAGTGCCCCAGGCGGCGTGAGTGGAGCAGGGACCGACGGCTTGGTAGAGCTGGCTTGGAACCCGGCAGCGTCCCCATCATCGATACCAGAAGCTGAACAGGGCTCTCCCAGACTCTGAGTTCTGGTGAGCATACGCCGGAGGCCACTCGGCTTTGGTAAGGCTAGACGAGAGCCCGAGGAATCTGCCTCGCTATCACTGTGTCCATCCAAACTCCTTGCTGGGGAGTGAGATGCTCGTCTTCCTGGAGAAACACCAGCAAAGATAGCGGACAGGTCTGGATGTTCTATGCGATTGCCTGAAAGAGTACGGGTGATTGGTCTTTTGGTTTGTAGTTCTCGCATAAGAGGAGGGGGAGGTCGACTGATAGGCAGTTGGGGGGAGGGTAGATCATTCGACGATCCTGGTTTTGAGTCTGCGCTGCCATCTTGTGCCTTGGGGGCTCGCTTGGTGACCAGAGTAGGGCGGACAAGACCAGAAGCCTGAGCTGGTATGTCTGTTTCTGGTTCGGGTCTGCGCTCGCGCGAAGGTGATGGAGAGTGACGTCTTGAAGACGAAGTTGGTGCGTCTCCAGTACCTGATTGCTCGCGTGACGCTGTCCTTTTCCGCTTTGGTGTATATACGCTGCTGCCAGCATCAGACATCCCTTCAGGTCGTCGACGGCTGTGGTCGGTACCATCATCGCTGGCGTTACTTTCACCGCCGGTCAAGAGCTCCGACTTTCTCTTCTGTTTGTGGGCGAGGGAGCGCCGTCCATATGTCCTTCTGGCGATTTTGTTTTGAGAGACATCTGAGGGCGAGGTGGGCATCGTGAAGCCGGGGTCCACTACGTGCGATATGATGAGACAGCAACGGAAACAAAGACCAATAACTCGTAGCTTGTGTCCGCAACAACATCATGTCAGAAGGTGGAGGCGCGCCACTGCACGCGGTATCAATCCTCGCGTGAATTGGCGTCTGACTTTGCTTTTCCCTCGTATACGTTTATACTACTTGCACAAGCCACGTTATCATAATGGATCAATATCATCGCAAGTATATGTACACTAAAAATAGGAAAATGGAAGGGGAGGGTGGCCGATCATCGTATACCCTCATTCACTAATCAGAGCCTCGTCACTACAAACTCTTTGTCTCCACAGGATCCGTATGAAGGGTATCTACTCGTCATCATCTGAGACCATATCAATATAAGCGGGCTTCTTGGCCGCACCCCTTCCAGGACGTGCAGAAGTCTTGGGTGCAGGAGACGCGTCTTCGGCGTCACTACAAGTGTTGTGCGTCAGCGATTTTCAGACTTCGAGCGAACCTTGCAACACACGAGTCGGCCACAAACGAATCCTCTTCATCCGAATCGACGAGTTTCCTCTTTCCCTTGGTTTTTGGCGCAGCCGCCTTCTTTGTAACAGTCTTTGCTTTAGGTTTAGGCTTGACAGGTGAAGACATGTCGAAATCGTCGTCGTCGTCGTCAGACTCTGCGATGACAGACTTCTTGGCAGTGGGCTTGACCCGTGCCTTCGGGGCGGGCGTCGCCTCGTCGTCGGACGACAGTGTCTTCTTCACTGCTGGCTTCGACTTCTTTGCGGCCGGTTTCGATTTGGGCTTGGGCGAGTCGGGCTCAACAATCGAGTCGGCAGACTCATCAACGGCAGCAGCTTTTGTTTTCTTTGCTGCTGGTTTGGTGTTTGCTTTGGGTGGGGATATGACGTCGGCGTCCGAGCCATCATCATCGTCTACCAGTTTCGACAAAGTGGTCTGCTTCAAAGCGGGTTTTGCCGCTGCCTTGGGCTTTGCTTTGGGTTTCGGCAAGACCTCAGCTTCAGACTCTTCATCGATGTCTCTCAGGGGGGTACCGGCTTTGACAATCGTGGGTTTGGCTGAAGCGGCCTTGGGCTTGGGAGCAGCTCGTGGTTTGGTGGCTTTTTTGGTAGGCTTGAAGTCTTCCTCGGAGTCCGAGTCATCGCCAGTAGCCTTCTTCTTGCGCTTGAGCGCTGCCGCAATTGCAGTCTTGTTTTTGGGCTTCCCAGACTTGACAGCCGCAATATCCTCTTGAAGAGCAATCTGGAGATTGGTATATCAGCGGCATGGTCAATATTGTCAAGATGTGTGATTCACCTCCCATTCACCCAAAAAGTTGTCAAGGTCAACATTCCAGATATCCTGAGGAGTCAATTTGAGGAGCTCATGGAGCTCATGCTCCTTGAGATCTTTTTGGCGGTTCAGTTTCTCGATCTATAAAGCCCATCAGCGAAGGTGTGCAAATCAGTAAAAAAGACCTGACGTCTTCCTCGGACAGACTCCACAGCTTCATTCCCAACAGGTAATCATAATCACTCGCCAGACCCTCCTGTTCGTCTTCGTCATCTTGGCCAACAGGGTCGTCAGCACCCTTGACCTTGTCCTTCTTGGGGAAAGGCTTGAAGTTCTCTTCGCGAAGCTCTGCAACGAGCTGGGCCTTCCGCTTCTTGCTGACGACGAATTTGTCATCAACAACCATGGATATGAAGCGAGCCTGGTTAGCGAGCTTGTCGAGTTGCTTTGTGAGCTCGTCCGCGAGGTATTGCTAGGCAAATATCAGTACCCGAAGCGAGGACTGGCGGCCACAGACTTACTTTGCGAAGGCCGTAGAACTCCAATCGCTTGAAGTAAAATTCTTCCAAAATTTGCTCAGGGCTCGAGTACTTCTTGATCTTGCCGTTCAGGTCAAAGCAGACCATGTTACCAGTGCTGAGGGTGGTAGTCAATTTGAACCGCTTGTCAAGTCCTTCTTTCTCCGCTTCCGCAAGGTTCTTTTCGGTCATGTGTATCTTGAAATGGACAGTGTTGACTGTGTGATGTTCCTCGTAATCCTTCGCAATTTTAACATATGTTCAGAGACAAAAAAGACATCGTCACTCACTTGGACTGTTTTGGGAACTTTCTCAGAGCCAACTGTCATCTCTTCAAGCATCTCTTTGAAGTCTTGAGTCCATTTGCGGATAGGCAATTCAGTGATTTCGAGGGTAGTGTCGTCGATCTTTTCAATGGTGCCGCTGACCTTATACTTGTCTTGATCGACCCGCTCAGTTGTACCCTGCGTTGTGTAAGCTTGGCGTACTCCGGTTAAAGCAATGGTCACACCTTGTAGCCTCTGAACCAGGGAGTCATACTCTCGAGCTCCTCGTTCCTCATCAGCCTCCTGATGTTGTTGACGATATCAACCGGATTGTAATTGGGGATGGCAGTACTCCAACCTAAGGACGATCAATATGATCAGCCGCACGGACGAACGAGTCGCAAGATATTCACTGACCTGTTCCGATACCATCGGCACCATTGATCAGCACCATGGGCACTGTGGGCAAAAAGTAGTCCGGCTCTATACCCATACCATCTTCGACAAGATAGTTGAGAAGGCCATCGTCTGCAGGATGAAACACAGCCCTAGTCATCCGCGGAAGGTTGGTAAAAATATATCGCGCACTGGCAGAATCTTTACCACCAGACAATCGCGTACCAAATTGACCGTTGGGCGCAAGGAGGTTGACGTTGTTGCTGCCGACGTAATTCTGCGCTAGACCGACAATGGTAGAAGTCAGACTCTGTTCACCGTGGTGATAGGCAGTCTTCTCCGATACGTAACCAGCAAGCTGGGCGACCTTGATCTCCTTGACGAGGTTACGTTTGAAACAGCCAAACAGGACCTTTCGTTGACCGGGTTTGAGACCATCCGCGACGGACGGTATAGATCGGATGTTATCAGCCATGGAGAAGAGAATGAGCTCTCGGTTGACGAAATCGGAGATCGGCAGTGACTTGACCGCGTGGTCAAGATACGTTCCCGGCTAAAATTGATGAGACTCGCCTGAATGCACCAAAGCTAATACTCACCTTGAATTGGCGAAGCCATTCCTTTCGATCGTCCGCCTTTTTCTTGTTGAACGCCATGTCGATGAGAAGCCTGTCGTCTGGTTCCATAGCTTCGAACGGTAACCTGTGCTTATCCAATGCGCTGAAGTATTTCCTAGCGTCCGCATCCGTACTAGTCCCTAAACCCTTGTAGTACTTGGAGTCCCAACCGCGGCCATCGTTGTTCTGTTCCTTCCACTCTTCATATTGGGGCATGGTGTAGAAGCTGATTTCTTGCTTGCCCTTCCATACCTTGACGATGGGGGTGATGAACTCGACAAGGAATTCGGGAATACGCAGAAGGGAGGGATAGAAGTGGTCCAGAAAGTTGATGATAAGACCCTTGATATGCGAGCCATCATGATCCTGTGGACGATCTGCGTTAGCGAAGCGGTATCATCGGAAACATTGACTCACCTGATCAGTCATGATCATCAAATGTCCGTAACGCAAGCTATCGACAGACTTATATTCCTGGTTGTGCTTGAGACCAAGAATCTGCCTGATATGCTGGATCTCGGTGTTTTTGACGATCTGGTCGTGACCCGCTTCGCGGACATTGAGAAGCTTTCCTCGAAGGGGAAAGACACCATAGTGGTCACGTCCGACCACCGCAAGACCAGACACCGCCAGGGCTTTGGCGGAGTCTCCTTCTGTCAAGATCAAAGTGCACAACTTCGAATTCTTCCCACCAGCATTGTTGGCATCTTCAAGTTTCACGATCCCGGAGATACTATCTCAAGATCAGTCCGGCTCCTGCAATATCTTCACTGAGACTGACCGCGATCGCTTGGAGCCGTCGGTTTTTTTCATGATTTGATCTTGCTTGAACTTGGCCCAGTTGAGGACATTGTCGATGATTCCCGTCTTGGCGACTGTAATCGTTTGAGCGTTGAAGAGACAGGGGATTTCTTGTGCTCACCTTTCTTGATAAAGTCCTCTGAAAGCTCACATCTACTGCCGAAAGCAGACGACTTGAGTGTCAAGTTTTCCTTGGTCTGCGAGTCGAAGGCAGGGTTCTCAACAGCAGCATTGACGAAAATCCACATGTGGTTTTTGATCTGAAAAGGCTTGACAGGAGCAGCCTTGTTTTTCTTCTTGATCTGGTCCATGCTGAAAGTGTGATGAGCAGAGACCTAGTGTCAACAGAGTCAGCCACTTACAGCTTGTTGGCAAGTTGAGTAGCAATCATGTCGACGTGAGTACCACCCTTGGTGGTGGCAATCGAGTTGACGAAAGATACTTGCTTGAACTCTCCTTCGGAAAGTGCGAATGCGACTTCCCATCGCTTGTGGGCTACTTCATAGATGAGAGGGGGTTTGCTGATTGCCGCGCCGCCAGCAGCATCAGAAGCAGCGTTGGTAGAAGCGTTGAGATACATCTCGACATACTGTGGACTCCCGTCAGTCATGAGAGCGAGGAGGTGACGCACGGCGTACCTGCTTGAAGTTCTTGACTTTGACGCGTTCACCGTTGAGTGTGACCTTTATGTCTTTAATAGTGCCCGCCATATCATAGACTCGCTTCATCAGGAGGGCAGTCGTGTCATCGTCAATGTTGGCCATGTTGAAACGCTCGAGGTCAGGTTTGAAGGTGATTTTGGTCCACTCTTCATCCTTCTTGTTTTCAGTGATTTTGGGTGGCTTCTTGGTGCCCATGTTGTTGGTGAAGATCTGTTTGTATTTCTTGCTGTTGCTCTTGTCCGCAGTTTCAACAACTGATAGCATCGTCAGCCAAGGAGCATAAAACAGCCGTAGAACGTACTGAATTCGTGAGAATATATGTTTGTCAGTTTGGCTCCGTAACCATTCCGACCACCAGTCAGCTTTTTCTGGTCGTCATCGAAATTGCTACCAGCAAGCCTGTAGTATCCATGAGCCATAGAATCAGGAAAACAAAGGACAGAAGATACGCACAAATG